CTGTGACAGCGTCAGGCGTAGAACTTGCCACGTCCGGAGGCACAGTTGTCGACGTCGGGATCGACCACGCTTCCTCAGCAGGGGCATTCGTCGTATCGTACACGGGCTCCTGCGCCGTCTCCGTGGTAGGCACCTCATCTGATGGCACAACCTCCTGCGTAGGGACCTCTGCCTGGGCGACCGTAGGCTGCGACGGGTACCGCGGGATGTCCGGCAAAGCAGGTAGCATTGTCGTATTTTCACCACGCATTCGCGCGGCCATCAGATCGTGGAGCATTTGACGTGTCGCCACATGGTCTTCCACTGTGATGTCCAAGTACTCTGCCAATGTGCGGTCCAGGAACAAATGGTCTTTGTACGGCCCAATGGGGTACGCAAAGAACGGCGAGTCGGGGTGACGAGGATCCCATACAAAGCGTTCCGGACGACCATACAAGCGGAATGCATCCATCATCGCAATGACCCATTTCATCATTTCAGCATTCGCACCGCGCACAGACTGCGGCGGCAGGTCAGGCATGAACATAACCCAGCCGGAGGTGCGGGGTCGGTGCGTAGCAGAGACAATACGGGATTGCGGTAAGGACCCTTCCGCCTTGAAAAGCACAGAATCTTCGACCAAGTCAGCTCGCGATGGGTAGACAGCATAAACATGTCGGACATGCCATAGACTCGCAAAGGGCTGTCGACTACGTTTGGTATCATAAAAGTAGGCCACCGCTGGGGACGCAATCACGCCCTGCGGCGGCGTTGGCGGCATCATGGATTGCGTGTCGTGCATGGGGCTATGCAAAGAAAACCGAGAGCCACGCTCACCGAACCGTAAGAACCGCTTCAATCCACTCGACGTGTGATCCTCGTCGGACCAGTGAGAACGCAAGACCACCCAGCATCGCCGCCACTCAGTCGAGCCCATGAAACGTGCACGTACCCAGCCTTCATGCTGTCCACGCACCAAAGGAGAACGAATCTCCAAGTCTTCGATTTTCACGCTATCCGTATTGCGCACGGCACTCAGTCGGGCACGGATGAGCGCGCCTGTGTAAATTTCATCCAGACGTGTACGCTCCCAGGAAGAGAGACGGATCGCATTGATCCATGTCTGCAGGTACCTGTTCCCCAGCTGGAACCATTCCACCACAGGACGGTGCTCGGGGTGACGTTCGTTCTTGGGCGATAGCCGCTGCTCGACTTTCGTAGGATCACAGGGCGGGGGAACATGGAAGCCAAAGAGGATCTTGTTGCTCCCTGCTGAGTTGACAGCGAATACATGGTACAGTGTCTGACGCTTTTGTGGCTCGAGCAGGGTGGTATCCACATGCATGCCGACATAGTCGACCAATGCATCCATAACATTAATAAACGTGGGCACTACGTCCCGCTGCTCTTGGGCTGCCACGTCGAGCGCATGGGCGTCCCAGATGCTGAGAGTCGTCCCGTAAAGCTGTACATAGCACTCGGTCCATGTAGAAAAGTGATCGGCGCGGTGGTCAGGTTGACCATCCACAGCCAGGGTATGACGAACAAGCAGGTATCCTTCCATATAAACTTTGCGCGTATGTGCCTCATGTAGATGCAACGCACTTCGAAGGTCAGTACTCTTGAACGTCATCCGAGGCGATGTGCTCGACGGCACCAAGCTGAGCCGTGCCTGACTCGCAAAGAACTGCTGCTGCGAAGGCGGTCGGGCATGCGAGAGGTCCATCGAAGGGTATCGAGCTGAAAGAAATGAACTTGACGAACGCGACTCTGGGCGGTCCAAAGACGCTCGTGCCACGTCAGTCGAAGTCCTTTGTGACCGAGTACTCATGAACGACGCTCGGCCCCCCTCAGCACCATGCGCAGCCGACATGGCACGGATTAGGAACAACGAGAGCCTTTGACAGCTTTAGGTCGGTCTACCTTCGTCAGTGGCCCTTCGAAATAGGCACTAATACGCACGGTACTGCTGTGCGGCCCGATATTTCGAAGCTTCTTGGCCGCAACGCCGTAGGTGAGGCCCCTGAACCACACAGCCCCCGATTCCTACGGTCCACGGGCTTTTTCGTACATCACGTGACATGGCCAAACGCGGCAGAGCGACAAAGCCGACGTAAGCACCAGGCTGGCGCGGGGCCTGCGACAGAAAGCCGGAGGAGTGCGAATCACTGATCGTCCCTTCGGCTACTCCCCCGCTTCCGCTCCATGGCAGCCCAGTCGAAGCTGCACGTCCCTATGGTGAGCCTGGCTCACCGCCGCTCTCGAGCGGCTGTGCTGCTGGTCATCATGGTACTGGCAATGGGGCACAAACAGCTCGTTGCCTTGCTCAAGCGCAACCGGCATCTCGCCCACTTGCGTCTGCATCGCAAGCACGAAAACAAATTGACCATGGAACAGGGACTCGAGCAGATGTACTACCCAACCAAGCGCAAAGATGGTACGATCCAGCTTCTAGTGCCGGACCGTGGTCTTCTTCGTAAGTCGTTTGTGACACCCACACCGCGTGAGGTGTACGAGAAGAACTATGAGCATTTCTCGCTGCCACCGCCTCTGACCAAGCAGGCCGCCAAGAAGCGTGCGAGTCTGCTGGGCCGCTTTGGTGGTCTGACTCCAGAGGCAGCAGAAAAAATCCGCGAGGCCGAGGCTAGCCTTGTGCCTGAGGCAGGTGAGAGTGTCACAAGCGCCAGTGCGATGCGTGTCGGTGTCGACCGTGAATTCTTCCGCCAACTGCGTGCTCTGATGCGCATTCTGTTCCCGAGCTGGAAGACGAAGGAGATGTTTATCTTTGTGCTCAATACCTTCTTCCTGGTGCTGCGTACGTACCTCAGTCTGCTAGTCGCGCGCCTGGACGGTTATATTGTCAAGTCGCTCATTTCCGCGGACCGCACAGGCTTCTTCCGCGGTCTCGGTCTGTGGTTTGCATTGGCTGTGCCGGCTACGTATACCAATGCGATGATTCGATTCCTGCAATCGAAGCTGTCCATTGGCTTCCGTACTCGTCTGACGCGCTATGTGCACGACCTGTATCTGAACAAGCACCAGAACTTTTACAAGGTGATGAACCTGGACAACCGTTTGGAGGCTGTGAGTCAATATATTACACACGATATGGCACACTTCTGTGACGTGCTGTCGGAGCTCTACCAGAACATTTCCAAGCCTCTCCTCGATATGACGATCTTCATGTGGCAGATCGGTAACAGCGTTGGTATGCGCGGTGTCTTGGGCGCCTTTGCTGGCTACATTGCTTCGTCGTATGCACTGCGAGCTGTCTCGCCACCCTTCGGCAAGCTCGCGGCGATGGAGGCGAAGTTGGAGGGCAACTTCTACAATGCTCACAGCCGTCTGATTATCAACGCAGAGGAAGTGGCGTTCTACAATGGCGCACCGATCGAAGAGGGTATTCTGCGTCGCTCGTACCAGCAGCTCGTGCAGCACATTCGCAAGATTCTGCGTGCTCGCATTGGCTACAACTCGATGGAAGACTTTGTGTTGAAGTACTCGTGGTCGGCATGTGGTTACATTATGATGGCTGTACCTGCGTTTGCAGCACAGGAGAAGTCGGGCAGCACGGCGTCGAGTGACCCGTCCATTGCCAAGCAGACGGAAGGCTACATTTCGAACCGCCGTATCCTGCTTTCGCTCGCCGATGCAGGCAGCCGTCTCATGTACAGCTACAAGGGTGTGGCGACATTGGCTGGTCAGACCTCGCGTGTGTACTCCCTGATTTCGTCGCTGCATCTGCTTGAACACGATGACTACCAGAAGGTACAGCGTCCTGCGGATCTGCCTGCCAACGAGCCGTTCTATGACTTGGGCGATCTGAACGGCAAGGTAATCGAGGGCCAAGAGCTGGTCAAGTTCACGGATGCGCCGATTGTCACGCCGGCGCCTGGTCAAGAGCGTGGTGGTGATGTGCTAATTAAGAACTTGAATTTGACAGTGAAGCCGGGTGATCACATCCTCATTACGGGTCCCAATGGTGTGGGTAAGACGGCTGTAGCGCGTGTCCTGGCCGGTCTCTGGCCGCTCTTCGAAGGTGTGATGGAGAAGCCGAGCACAAGCGATATGATGTTCTTACCGCAGCGCCCCTACTTGAACACGGGCAGTCTGCGTGAGCAGATTATCTACCCGTACTCGTACCAGGAGCACGTCGAGGCAGGTCGTACCGATGAGGAGCTCATGGACATTCTGCGCCATGTCCACCTGGCGTACCTGCCTGACCGTGAAGGCGGCTGGACGACACGCAAGGAATGGAAGGATGTTCTTTCGGGCGGTGAGAAGCAGCGCATGGGTATGGCTCGTCTGTTCTACCACCTGCCGAAGTACGCCGTGTTGGATGAGTGCACATCGGCCGTGTCGACAGACGTGGAAGGATTGATGTACTCGCACGCGAAGGACCTGGGCATTACACTGATCACAATTTCCCATCGTCCCAGCTTGCTGAAGTACCACCAGCTGTTGCTCGACGTGAAGGGCGACAACTCGTACGAGATCATCAATCTGGCCGAGGACACGGAAGAAGTCTCGCTTGAGCAGGAACTGGCGGATCTGCGGGCGAAGGTCGCGGATGTTGACAAGTGGAAGACACGTCTCGATGAAATTCACAAGGAACTGTCTTTTAGTCACTCGTAGAGAGAATCAATCCTCGGTTCAGGAAGCGCATAGGCCTCCACATGGAGAAGGGTTGGGGTGCTTGACTAGCGCTAGGGCCGTCGTGGGTGCTTGCTGTGTAGGAACCGCCATGGCATTGTACAGAGCTTGGAACACACGGCTTACGCAGCGCATTGGATCCTTGCACACACCGATCATCGGTGCACCTATGGCGAATGCGTCGAACAGTGAGCTGGTATCCGCCATATCCAAGGCGGGCAGCCTTGGCATGCTGGGCGCTGGCTTTTACGATGAGAACCGACTACAGACAGAATTGCGTGGAATCAGCGACAAACTAGGCGAAACTGCGCCGAAGGCGCGTGTGCCGATTGGTATTGGGTTCCTTGGCTGGGTGCTCACGGCGAGTCATGGCAGTGCAGACCCATGGGCGGCTCAGGATACCAAGGCACGACGCCTGGTAGATCTCGCCTTGCAAGCTCGACCATGCGCTATTCTTATGGCTTTTGGTACACGCGCAGATATGAAGGCCTGGTGCAAGTACATTCGTCAACGCGATGCTGAGCTTGTCAAGACGGAGGAACCGCTGCATCTCTTCGTCACGGCCAACTCTGTAGAAGAGGCGAAGCTGGTTGTGGAAGAGTGCGATGCGGACATTATCGTCTTGCAGGGGAATGGGGCAGGTGGACATGGCTATGGTGCATCGCCCCACCGTGAGGTGCTATTAAAGCAGGTGCTGGGTGCGTACGAGGCATGGATGACACCCAGGGGGACCAAACCCCTGATCGTGACGGCTGGCGGCGTAGGTGATGGGACAGATGTGGCTGCAGATCTGCTTCGCGGAGCAGATGGCGTACTTCTTGGCACACGTTTCCTGCTGACGCCAGAAGCTGATTACAAGGACGAACAAAAGCAACTCCTCTTGAAGGCCAAGGAAACTGATACGATCCGAAGCTATGCTTTTGATGAAGCACGCAACACTATGAGCTGGCCGGAAGGCATCGATGGACGTGGTCTCTACAGTCCTACGGTGGCAGAGTACGAGGCTGCGGCAGCGCAAGCGCCGAAAGGCACAACGCATGTGCCGGGCTGGCAAGAACGCCAGGCGCGCTACAAGCAAGCCATGGCGCAGAACGATGTGGAGCGCCTCATTACCTGGTCAGGCACAGGCGTGGGCGCGATGAACGATATCTGCCCAGCCGGCCAGCTGGTCGTACGTTTGACGCAAGAGGCGGCCCATGCGCTAGAACGAGCATCTTTGTACATAGAGAAGGCATAGTTGAGTGGAGGCCTCGTGGGCCCACGTGAAGTCACTCTAAGATATCGCCAGAGGCACGGCGCCTGGCCTTGCATACGCGCGGTCATGACCTCGACGGCAACAGGATCGCGCGGGAAGTCGGCCGGGGACGATGCCGAGATCGAGCTTGGTGCTATGAATGGCTCTGAACCTGGCGCTGAATCGGAATCGTCGCGGTCTCGCCTTCTGAGTGGGGATTCTACAGCAGCGGCACGCAACCTGTTGTACTCGGCTCACGATGCAACAGGCAAGTCAGGGGCTGTAGCTGCTGTCTTGAGTTACTGTGTAGCAAGTATCTCCATGACGGTGATCAACAAGTTCGCCGTGTCAGGCGAAAAGTTTACCATGAATCTGCTGGTCCTCTTATGTCAGTGCACGGTCGGTGTGATCATGGTGTGGACCGCTAAGATGATGGGCTGGATCCAGATTCGTGCCTTGAATATGAAAGACATCAAGACATGGTTCCCTATATCGACTATGCTTGTGTTTGTGATCTGGACAGGCAGCAAGGCCTTGGTACGTGCTTGTCAACGACTCACACACAGCAATTCATGGACATCCCAATTTACACAATTTTCAAGAACCTGACGATTATCTTGATTGTATGTATACATGGTATTGACGCCAGGCCTATGGTGAAGTGATTTGGTTCGAAGGCCGAATTACGCCTATGGTGTTTGCCTCCTTCGTCCTTATGGTGATGTCGTCTGTCATTGCTGCGTGGCCTGATCTGATGCCCGACTCGCCAACGGCGTCGCTGGTTCGTCGTGCCACCAATGAGATCGGAATGTACACGGGTATTGGCACAGACGCTGGCGCTTCGGTACCTGGCTCAGCCATGCCAGTCACCTCGGCGCCTATTCAAGGCGCCATTCCGTCCGATGGCTTGAGTCACAGTGGCTACTTTTGGATGTTACTGAACTGCTTGGTTAGTGCTACATATGTCCTAGTTATGCGGAAACGCATCAAAATCACCGGGTTTAAGGACTGGGACACGATGTTCTTCAACAATTTACTCAGTATTCCTGTTCTCTTCTTCATGTCTCTGCTTGTGGAAAACTGGAGTGCAGAGACCTTCTCACGGAACTTCCCCAAGGAGCGCCGCTCCTCGTTGATTCTGGCGATTTTGCTGTCTGGCACAGGCGGTGTATTTATCAGCTACACGACAGCTTGGTGCATCCGTGTCACAAGCAGTACCACGTACAGCATGGTGGGTGCTTTGAATAAACTGCCTTTGGCCTTGAGTGGTATCTTGTTCTTCGGCAACGCAGTTACACCCTACAATTCGTTGGGCATTGCGGTGGGCTTTGTGGCAGGCATTGTATATGCAGTTGGGAAGAACAAGCAAGCGGAAGCTGCTCGTTTGGCCAACTCTGCCGCCACTGGCTCTAGCGTGCCTAGCTCACGCTTAACATCAGGCGGTGGCCATATCTCAGACCCCAAGGGTGAAATTCCTACGCATGTGCACGAGCGACGGGATTAAGTATAGTCACATTCATTTCGGTAGGAAATACACAGCCTGCGTTCAACGCAGTCCGAATTGGGTCCTATTTTTGTGTCCAGCGCCTCCACACCAACATCGGTCGGAGCACCATGTCGCATCGCCGCACCGGAACGGATCGAAGCACGGCTAGAGTTGCCGATCTAGGCTTTGCACCGCTCATTGAGACTGTACGTTGATCACATTTCTTATCCTAGCTTGAGTCCACACATACTACATCTGATGAGCGGATGTATGCGCTTGTACAGCTAGAGCATATTGTATCCCAACGTGTCCTACAAGGCCTTCCTGATGTGCAGCGCCAAGCACATGAATTGGGCATGCGACGTCAAGTGTTCTATATTAAGATGGAAAAGTGCTGCGACTGGACATTTATTGATCAGGGTGTGCGTCTTCATGGTGCGTGTCTGTCCTCGTCTCACATGTAGTGGCCGAATGTCTTGTAGCCTTACTGGGGCGCCTTCATATTCTCCTAAAGAGTCAGGATTCGGACGAGCAAAGCTCTCTAGCGGCTGAAATGGGATGCACACTTTCTATACTACAAGGGATGTGCCTCACCAACTCGTCCAGCAAACAAATATGCTCACGTCGCAGCACTCTTGAGTTGCTTCTCACCATTGTTAGTGCAGATTACAGCCAGTCATCAGACCCTACATCTCCCTTGCGACTTTTGGCCCCCCATGCTATTGATACCCTTATGTGTGTCTTGGTCGATGCATCTTCCAGCACGCGTCGCGCATTCGAACAGGCTCATGGTTTGTCGATTATACGGCGTGTCATGAATGCCCACCCTGCGGTCTCTGGCCCTTCTTCTGCCTCGGGCTCCTCAGACCTTGATGTCACTGGATCAAAATGTTTTGAGTTTCTTCTATTTTATTTACAGACAAAGTCCTTCGAGGAGCAAGCAGCGTCGCAACATCCAGACACACCAGATTCACTGTTCAAACCACCAGAGACACCCAAACCGAAACGGGGCCATGGTCGATCTAAGTCGGCTATCACTGCAACCCCTTTCAATGCGCCTATGGCAACACCGCAATTACATCACAGAGTACTATCCTACGGCTCTCCTACTAAAAACCTTGTTCACAGTCGAACACCTATTTCCTTGGACATCAATCCATTTATGCGGGCTCAAGAGAGAGCACAGTCTCGTGCTAAAGAATCAGAGCAGAGCGAGCTGTTAACCCCTCGGGCTCAGCCGAGAATTCTGGATCGAGAAAACTCGCCCAGTCAACGATCTCGTCGACGTGAATTGGCTCGTGAGCCTACGCAAGAGACGCGTCGTGCCAAACCCTCGCAAGAGCCATCTTCGAGTGAGTCTCGATGGTAATCACGTGACAAGAGGGCGTCGCAGCATCGCCTCGAGCGATGGCACGCGCGTCTTTTTCCTATAGCGTCCCAACGTGCATCTGAACGTCGGGGCTAGTAGTATTCATACCCATCATGTCGGGACGTCAACACAAAGTGATGGTCCAACCCATCAATGTTATCTTCCGACATCTGCAGCAACAAACCCGTGTGTCGCTTTGGCTCTACGACAATTTGGAATACCGCATTGAGGGAAAAATTATTGTATGTTACCCATGCTATGGACAAAGCTTACACGAACCAGGGTTTTGATGAATTCATGAATGTGACTCTCCAAGAGGCTGAAGAAGTGCCATGTGGTCCGGGGCGGGAGCGCAAGTCGCTAGGTATGTGTTTATCGTTGAAGATGTGGCATCATAACTAACACCATGCCTTTCTTTTTTAATGCACGTCTACCGCAACGTTGTATCTTTTCTTTCGCTCTTCTTTTCTATACAGGTCGCATTTTGTTGAAGGGTGACAACATTGTACGTATTTGGCACATGCACACGCCTCTAGCCGGCATGACTCGGGCTTGCGGTGCTGTTTTGCAGAGGTCTACATCCCTATGTGCTGTACCGGCTCAATTTTATGGCTTGTGCCTCTTATCTCATCCGAAGCCTTGTCTTGCTTTGCAGTGCTACCCACGACACGTCCAGATACTAACCATGACAGACTCTCATCCAGCCAGCAATGTAGAAAATATTTTATGCTTAGTCACTATATAGTAATCTATTATCACCGACACGGAGTGAAATGTTTAAAGATGTCAAGATTGCTTGCGTGATTGGCTTTCCCCGCATTCAGAGCGGAACCGGCTGAGCCGGCATCAGATCGGATTGATGTGGGGGACGAGTCATCTATTCTTGCTGCGTATAAATCAGGGGCGTCTGGCCACCGTTATCTATCTTTATACACTATCCCTGACTCGGTTGAACGCCTTGCTTCAGTCCGCCTCGATCTATCTATTGCCATATTATGGAACTCTTGCCACGACGAACTCTTCAAGCCATGATTCCTACTATTCCTAAGCCGACGTTTATGACGTCTATCTCCATGCCGAAGTCGCTGAAGCCACTGCGACCCCGACCCGTGTCTCAGCTCAAGACTCCTAAGCATTCCAAAAACCTCCGCGTAGCTCTCTCTGTGGAATCTATTCTGCAGCAATGCGGTACTAAGAATGCGCATACTCTTCACTCTATGCAACGGACTGCGGCAGTGAACCGCGCTAGTTCCCGCGCTCTTCTGCCAGCTACTGCTTTGGGCGTAGCTGCTCTGAGTGTAGCCACTGCCCTTTGCTATATGCGTCTCTGTGGACCTGTTCACGCAGAAGGTGGCGCTACTTCATCAGCGTATATGACAGCGGCGATGAACTCGTCGTCTATCATTGGTATGGCTCGACAACAGCAGCACACTGCTGATGAGCTTCTTATGGTGAAGAGCGTTGCCCAGATTGGATCGCTCTAAATGTATCAATATCATCTTTTTCCCTCCTCCATGCCTACAATTTGTACATTTTATGGCGTATACCAATCTGAAAACGACCACCTTTCATCTTTCCTTATGTATTCCTTCACATCTATATACTGTGTAACGAATGTAACTGTTGTATTGACTCCATATTGGTGGGCCATGACTTGCGGGGGAGGGCTGATCCTATAGAAGACAACGGCGTGAAAACGTTTGTGGCGTGAAGCCGCTCGCGTCCCTGCACGTGATACGAATTTTTTTTTGTGCATCGCAAGGCCATTTGTTCATTGTCTGTCTGCGCTATGGTGAAGCAAGGCACAGCGAAACGGCTTACTGTTCCACCGACAGCTACTGGCACCGCGTTCCGCAAAGCAAAAAAGCGTTCTCATGCGGAAGAAAATCCAGCCGGGGAGAGAAGCAAGGCTGCCGACGCCAAAAAGCCCAAAGTGAAGGCCTCCCCTGCGACACCCACGTCCGCCGCGCCTGTCCCATCCACAAAGGCCCCGCGCGGGAATGTGCAGGCTTCCAAGCAAAAGGATACCAAGGCGACGGATGTGTCCAAGCCTAAGAAGTCAGCACCCCAGTCGCAGCCTACGAAATCCCATGGCGACGCAGCTGCAGCTTCCCCCACGCTCTCATTCCCGTCTGGGTTCCGCATCGTGGCTGGTTCGTACGAGCGCTTCCTGTATGGTTTGGAGGGCAAAATGCACAAGAGCGGAGATGGCACATATTCTGTCAAACTGGAGCCACGCTTTGTTTTTCCAGCCCATGTTTCGTCCATTCGATCTGTGGCTTGTGCAGGTCGTGATTCGAAATGGCTTGTAACGGGTGGCATGGATGAGACAATCAAGGTGTGGGACCTGCGTCGTCGGAAGGAGGTAGGTGCACTTACGGGGCACGAGGGCACGATTACTTCTCTCACGTTCCCTTCGCGTACCTTTTTGCTATCGACTTCGGAAGATGGCACGATGAACTTGTATCGCACACGCGATTGGGCGCTTTTGCGGACGTTGCGTGGCCATGCTGGCCGCGTGAATGCTGCGAATGCTCATGCAAGTGGCCGTGTTGCACTGTCTGTCGGTGCAGATCGTATGATCCGTATGTGGGACTTGATGCGTGGCACAGGGTCTGCTTCTGTGAAGATCGGTGTTGAAGCGGACCGTATTTTGTGGGATACCCAAGGCAAGCGTTTTGCGGTCTTGGCTGGTCGCCAAGTCATGGTGTTCGCTACTGATATGACGAAACTTGCTGAAATCGAGCAGTCAAAGCGTTTGCACGATATGTTATTTGTGCAGGGCACCGTGCAAGGCAAGGAGCATGAGCTGTTACTGGTATGCAGCGAAGCTGGCGTTGTACACGTGTATGATATGGACGATCTGCAAGAGACGGACGACAGTGCCACCCCGAAGGAGCTTGCGCGTCTCGTGGGCCACCAGAACCGTGTGCGAAGTGTCTCGGCTGTGAAGGTCTTGGCGGATGATCGTACGACGCACCTGGTCATCACAACCATCAGCTCGGATGGGCTGATTCGTGTGTTTGAGCTTTCTGATCTGCATGAGGACGTACAAGAACTTGAGCCTATGGCATACTATGATACAAAGAAATCGCGTCTGACGTGTCTCAGCACTGTTGGCTTTGACGACCAAGTCTCCGAGGCTGATGAAGATGCTCTGGATGCGGCGGTCGATGGCAACGATGACGACGATGACGATGACGATGACGATGACGATGACGATGACGAGGATGAGGAGGAGGCTGTTGATGAAGATAGTGACGAGGAGCTTGCTCGTCTGGAGGAAGAGATCCGTCAAGCTCGCGCGGCTGGTATCATTGTCGAAGGTATGGACGACGAGGATGACGAGGACGATGAAGAAGAGGAAGAAGAGGAAGAAGAAGAGGAAGAAGAGGAAGAGGCCTAAGGGCCTTGTAGATACCCATCACGCAAACTTGATGCCGAGATTCCCATCTGCTTCGGCGTCGGTAGCCTCTGACCCTCCGAAGATCTGTGCACATCCTCGAGCCGCTAGAGACCTGAGAGCCAGCATAAGAATGGCGTGAGGGAGTTGTTCACGTTGTACAAATGTGCCATGCTCAATTTCATAGACGGTCAAGACGGATTTGTTCTGGCCCGTTTCTTTGATCCAATCGTAGAGTAAATCGCCCCATTCGTCTGGTGTGTGCCAGTATACTAGTACTTTGCTTCCTGGCTCGATATGATAGCCTGGCGCCTGCGTTGCAGCAGCGAAACTTAGAGCATGCATGCGACGGTCGGCTTCCACCATCCCCACTTTCATCGGCTTGACGTTGCGCGGCAGCGGCGGATCAAAGACGGCACGGCCCTGCTCGACCAAGCGTGCGAGAATCAGGCGGATCATGTCGGGCGACAAGGCTCGGTCGAGGCCGCGGTGGCAAAACAAGTCGCTCGCTCTCTCCCAGGCCCCATCGACTTCGACGGTAAAGTGCTTGTGCGCTGCACAGTACGACAAGACCAGCCGCGCCCACGAATCTACTTGGGCGGCGGCTGTCTGTGGATTCGGCTGGAGGGTATAAAAAGGCGCAAAGGCATGGATGGACGGGAACACAAACGCCGATGTCATCACCTGTCTTGGCAAGGGTCCCCCGGCTGGGTGAACCACAAGGAAGGAGGCGCACCGCACCGCACCGCATCGCAACGCAGCACGGCTCGGCGCGGGGGTACGCTGACATAAGCACAAAGACAAGTGGAGCGATGCTGTGGTCGGTCCATGAGACGATTCCTGTGAGCTACGTTGCCTAGGATGGACAGGGCTGACCCACGTCCTGGCTACGCGCCAGCGACAGCTCCTATGGGTCGCAGTGTGCCCTACAATGAAGAAACTATGTCCACACCTGTATCTCCGCCGGTGCATGACGATCCCATGCGTGTCAGTGCGATGGTGGCGAGGGAGGGGCCGCCGCGCGACGTACGTGGTCCTCTTCCTCCGCCGACGTTGTCTTCGCCACGTCGCCTGCATCGAAGTGAGTACCATGGCACAGAGTTTCCGCCGTCGTATGCAAAAGAGGGAGGGGAGTGGCCTCCTGCGCCCTCCTCGTCTTCGTCCGACATGCCAGAGCGGCCCTTCTCCGCCTCGTCGCGGCCACCCTTTCCACGTCCCTCTGTCACGGAGGAGCGGCATGGGGGCCAAGTCCCCACGTCTCTGCCGCCACGCAGTGCGACAGAGCCACACGAAGAGCCCATGTCTTCCTCAACGTCGCATCATCGTACACCGTCAGGTATGTACCATGACTACGTGCCTCCGGACGAGCGTCGGGCCGTACCACACGACCCAATCGATGCATTCCCTGGCCCTCCACGAGTAGGCGCGCCAGAGCGTCTCAAACGCCCTGCGTCGCCGCTGTATGAGCGGTCGTACGACCATCCTGACGCGTCTCTGCCGCGGCTACGGGACAGCCAGGACGCGGCGCCTAGTGCGTCGATGCACGCCCAAGATGGCACAGCACCGCACCACCACCATCATCACCACCACCATACGATTCCGCACCACCACCACCACCATGTGGTGCCGCATCACCATCACCACCATCATCATCGTGCGCAGGCGACCGATGATGCACAGGAGGACAAGGCGGCGATGACACATGAGCAGGCCCACTCGCATCACCACCACCATCACCACCACCATCATCACCATACCCTCGGGAGCCACCACCACCACCATCACCACCGGCCTGCGGACATGTCAGCGCCAAGGTACGAGCATGAGCGCGGGTACGAGTCGGGTGCGCCTCCTCACCACCATCACCACCACCTCCACGCCCATCACCCTCAACGTGCCGCATCGCCAACGCATCAAGAGCGACCGTCTGAGGTGCGGGATGCGTGGTCGGCGCAGGACGAGCTGCCCGTCTCGGATCTACGCTCCTACCTTCCGCCTGACGCAGCGAACCCTCCGCTGGACAGTGTGCAAGGCAGGGAATCGGCGGTAGCGACAGCAGCAGCTGCGGATATGCCGCCTCTGTCGTCGGTCGAGCTGAAGCTACGTGAGCTGTCGTCTGGTCCGCGTGTGGATAATGAGCCTGTGTGGCAGTTTTTGGATCGGTGTGAACAGATGGAAGAAGTGGCTCGGAAAGAGGAAAAGGCGCAGCCACGCGAGTCGGAGACATCCGACAAAGGCACCTCGACTGTGGCGCCTGTGCCGCCCCCCGAGAAGCCGATGCCTCTTTTTGGTCTTGGCCAGGACCGTGGGCGTGCTGTACGTCATCTTGGCTCGTTCCTGTACGATCCAACCGGCCAATCGACCATCCCTGCGGAGTTGCTAGTGAACAATATCGGCGCGACCATCGAGGTGCGCATTAGCGGGCGTACCATTGGCCTTGGCATTACTGAGGCAGAATGGCAGGCTGACGAAGCGCGTTTGCAGGCACACGTCATGGAACGCATTCAGCGCGAGGCCGAGCAGGGCATTGAGCCGTCGCTGGCGCTGGAACGTACGCCGGCGGTCATGCCGTCTGCGGACGAGTTCCGAGGGCGCTGGCGACTTGGCTGGCGTGGCCTGGAGCATGCACGGATCAACCGAGAAATTCGGCTGGCACATGCATGGCACGAGCAGCGGTGCCAGGAGAAAGTGTCCAAGCGACGACGTACGTGGACGCCGCCACGGCCGGCTGACACCCCGGCGCTGCCTACGCAGCGTGTGGACGATGCGACGCTGGCGCACGCGGCCTGGCAGTTCTGGGCTCAGCCAAGCTTGGATCACCGCAAGTTGTGGGGCACCGATGTATACACGGACGACTCGGACGTGCTGGCTATGTGTGTGCATGCAGGCTGGATTGAGGCGCCTCACATCCCCGGTGTCCCAGAATGGCTGAGTGGCGGCGGAGGACGTCGAGTGGCCAAGGCCTGGACAGCGTTGGCAGAGCGCCAAGCGGCACAGACCGGCGAGCCACTGGAGGCGCTGCCGCCAGGTCCGCCTACCTACTTGGTCCCTCATTCGACATGCGACTTGTCAGTGGTCCTGCGCATCGCGCCGAAGCTGATCTTGTACAAGGGCTGCCATCGCGGCGGCGTGCAAAGCCGAAGTTGGGGCAATACCCATGACGGTGTGAGCCTCGTCGTGGAGAGCGTAGAGCTTCGATCGCCTCAGTATGCGGCCTGCAATGGCCGCCGATCGGCCAAGGCACGTATGACGCACATGCAAACGCTGCGGCAGCTTGCACAGACTGTGCCTGTACCGCGCTCTATCGCGAACCACGCCGACGATCACGCGCCTCCTTTGGCCCTCCCGGCGATGGTCCACAAGGGCGCGCGGGCGTTTTGGGATGTGCGTATGCCTGCCAAGGCTACCTAAAAACCTATGGCTGTGCCATGAGACCCTGGCGCACGAAGACATGTCATGCTGCAGAGTGGATGGTCTGTTGTTCTCCGCTGCCACATACACCCTGCTCTCTTCATCTTGACGAGGCAGGGTACCTTGGGACAGCGCAGGACGTACGTACGTACGTACGTACGCACGCCTCCCTGCCGCCAGCCACACTGCTGACGGCTTCGTGTACGCTTGTTGCACGCTATGTCCTGTTTTTCTAGCTTTTATCCACTGTAGTAGCGATCGCCGTAATCGCCCAAGCCAGGCAAAATGTACTGCTGGTCCGAGAGCTTGGTATCGACCCAAGCCGAGATCACATGCACGTCCGGGAATGCGTCCCATACGTTCTTCAGACCTTCAGGGCTCGCGATCATATTGAGGAACAGGATTTTGTCCGCCTTCACACCATGGTCGACGAGCACTTGAATTGCCTGAATCGCCGAGCCCCCTGTCGCCAACATGGGGTCGAGAAGGAGGACCCAGCGCTCGTTGATATCTTCTGGCAGCTTTGCATAGAACAGCTTGGGCTGCGCCGTCTCTTCGTCACGCTGGATCAAGATCTTGCCGATACGCACACTGCGGCAGCACTCACGCAGCCCCGCTTCCATCGCTTCCCCCGCCCGCAAGATCGAGACACCACAAATACGGCCTTGGAACGAGACACCTGGCGGCGTAAGTCACGTACGACGTACCCTTGTACGGCAGACCGGTTGGCGTCATCACGGTGTGATCCACGACGGGAAGGTGGTTCAGACCTTCTTCCACCAACAGACGAATCACACGGTCCGAGTAAAAGATAAAGTCGGAGCGTGGTGTATCCTTATCGCGAATGATCGTAAGCAGCGCATCTACGTCTTAGCACATATGTACGTACGCAGCTGAGGCGTGATGGGCAATCGCCTCGCATTTGGCGGCAACTCTGGTGCGGCGGTAGACGCGTCGCCAGGCACCCACATCGTGGCTGGGCAAGCGTGGCCAGGACGTGCGCAGGCGTGTGGAGACCACCTACGATGACATAAGCCGTCGACGGCCGGTGGGTGGCGAACGTCGCTCTCCCTCTCATACACACACTCCCTCGGCGATGTCGGTCGCTGCTCCTACGCGTGAGCAGCTCATGGCGCTGTACCGCGCCCACCTATCTGCGGCGCGCTCCTTTGTACGTACACTTGTTCTTACGCCAGACCTCGTACAATTTCCGCGAATATTTCGTGCGTCGCACTCGTGATCTTTTCCGGGCTCGGCTGTACCCATCGTCCGAGTCCACACAGCATGTGAATACCAGCGCCGAGAAACTCTCGAACCTCTCGACGGCCAAGCAGAGCGTCACTGGCATTGATCCGGCGTCTGTGAATTCGGCAGAGAAACTTGCTCAGTTTTACGAGGATATGCAGGCGGAGCTGCGTGTCTTGCAACGGGCCGCTGTGACGAATATGATGTACGCTGGCGATCGTCTCATCGTCGAAGAGGCCGGCGCGCAGGCCTGGTCGGTGCGTTCGCACGAGGAAGAGCAGGATGCGACGCACCGCGACGCCTAAGGAGGATGCTGTTGTTCGTACGTGGCACGTGCTGACGGCGCCGGCGACGATGACGACGACGACGACGACGTCAACAACAACAACGTGCGATGCTCGTGTCCTCTAGTACTCCCTAGAACTTGTATGCCATACATGAAAGGATCGTTGATCTACCGTATCTATAGTTAAGAAAAGTCAACAGCCAAAAAAATAAAAATAAAAGAGAGAGTATATGAACAAGCAGACAGCCGGACCAGCCGCTAGGACCGCCTTGTCCGCCACACGATCGAGTTATTTACTCTGCCGCGCTGTCCAAGGTCCATTCACGCCGCAAGGTATCCATGAACTGACGGAACGTCGAGAGCGAGCCCTTTTCATGGGTGCATGTCACACTCGTCGCAAATGACAAGGGCTCATCGTCTGTACGTCGGTGGGTACGTGGGTCCCAACCAGGCATGCCAGGCGATTTGGGCGTCGTGGAGGCGTTCGAGGAAGCTTTCGTGCCACTCTCACTCACACTCCGGGCCTGTGAGCGGATCGGCAGGATCGTGTACTCCACACGGAATCGCATGGGCTTGCACGATATGACCTGCTGCGTCTTGGGGTCTTGCAGACGCTCCAGCAGGTACACCAACGGACCTTGCTGCGTTAGTGGCAGGCCCATTTGCGCACGTGAGTACGGCGTAGGCACGGCGCCAAGGCGCTGCAGCATCTGCTGGCACGTCTCCGCGGTGAGTGTCAGGTTCTCGACCGACATCAACACGTGCATCTGACGCTTCGGCAACAACCCATAGAACCAGGAGTGCCGAGCGCCGATCGTCGAGGACGTGCCTGCGGTAGTCGTCACCGGCTCCGAGCCGATGGGCGACATGGGCCGCTGCAAGTGCATATTGTCCTTATCGAGGCCAATGATATCGACGCCCAGACCTGCAGGCTCGTCGTCGCGACGCAGCACTTGCAAAAAGCTGCGGCGCTGACGCACATGTGCCTTGCTCTGTGACGTTGTCGAGGCGCCCGACACTGTCCGCGCGCCGTCGGTGGACGTGGGCACGGTGGGCGGCGACGTAGGCTGAATCGACTTGAATCGCGCGCCTTCGAACGTAGGACTCGCCACCGATACGGGGCTGGCCACACTGGTCGGCGCCGTCGACGCGGTCGAGGCGCCGCTGACAGTCCGGCCTGAGCCTGTGGCTGTGCTTGAGACACTGGTCAGGCGAATGGAGGGCGTAGGTACACTGGACGTCGGCAACGGCACAGGCGACGTCGCGACCGGCTTCACCTCCGGCAGGGTCGTCATAGTCTTCAGGGGCTTGGGCGAGAGGCTCACTTCCTTCTTTCGCTCTGCCGAGCCTAGCGACACACTCTGCACACGAGGGCTTGCGTTCATCGCGCTCTGTGGGCGAGGCGTCTGATCGGCACTCAGCGGACGCGTACGGATCGGCGTCTCCTGCACACTTTGGGGGCGAGGCGTCTCCGCCTTGGGCGTCGACGTCGGGCGGCCCAGGCCGACGCCCAACGCCTGTGCCTGCTGCTGTGGCTTGGCCCGTGGCATCAGCTTGGTCGTGTGGCCAATACGCGGGCTCTCCGGCGAGGCTGGCACAGCTGTCGACGCCGCTGGCGCGGCCGGCGCAGGGGCTGTAGCAGGGGCCGGCGGCATTTCGCGGGCTCCTACCGGCTGACGCACTTGCGGCATGCCAGGCACCTGCGCACGGCTCTCGCGGTAGCGCGGGCGAAGACCCAAATCGCTAGCGCGCGGTTTGGGGCTCGGCGACGACATACTGGCGGTGTGTGTCGGCGCCGAGACAACGCGAGGCGAGTCTGTCGCCTGTGGCACCTGGCTGGTGTACTTCGCAAAGGCTGCGTACACAGGCGTGTGCGTCCGATGCAGCGTGTCTTGTGCCTTGATAGGCGTCACGAACAGCGAGTCTTCCGTCGCGTCGTCGAAGCGATCCGACGTGCTGCTTACGGAGCTGAGCGTGAGATCTGCTGGCTGCGTAGGCGCCGCAGGCGCAGGGCGCGTAGGCCGAATCGACGCAGGCAAAATCGACGAGGTGCCCATATCGGTGTCGGTCTTGCGCGGCGACGGGTACTCGAAGTTCAACGTCGGATGAATCGAGTCTAGTGAGTCGAGCTCGTCGGCAATCTCCTGCATAAATGTCCGCATAAGCGAATCATCGTTGCCTTGGCTGCTGCCATTGGACACGATACGCTTGTTGTTCGGCGCCGCTTGCACGGATGGCAGGCGCTGCTTCCATGCGGCAACGGTCGGCGGTGCAGGGACGGGGCGTGTAGACTTGGTGACTGCTTGGCTGTCGATTGCAGGCTTGGTCACGGGCCGAATGCCGATAGGCTCCGCCGTCTTGGTATCCACCTGCGCCTCTTCTGGCTTCGTAGTCTTCGAAAGGGTTGGCATGTCGACCTTCACCGCATGCGCCTCTACTGGCTTCTCCGTCTTCGTCTCCACCGCCCTGACTTGCGCTGGCTTCTCTGTCTCCAATGCCTTGACTGGCACTGGCTTCTCAATCTCTGTCTCGACCGGCTTCTCTGCTTTCGTCTCTGCCTGCTTTGCAGGGCTGAGCATCAATGGATTGGTCTTGATGGCCTTCGCAGCGACAGGCTTGGTCTCTGTCGTCGACGACGTACGCACCGATGCAGGAGATGGCACTTCAATCACCACAGGCAGCGGTAGAGAAGTAGGCGTTGGTACTGATGATGCCCCTGGCTTGGCCACTGGCGCAGTGGTCGTCGGGGTCACAGGCTTGGACACTGGTGCTGCCGTCGTGGGAGCCACAGGCTTGGTAGCAGGCATCGTTGTCTTCGTCTCTGGGAGTACAGGTGAGGACATGCGAGGCGAAGCATTCGTCGGGAAGGCCAGCGACGATGCCTTGATGCTAGGCGACATCGGTCGCGAGACAGGGGCCGCGGCAGGCGAGCCCATCGTAGGCGCATCAGGTGGAATCGGCGACGTGGAGCGCGAATGAGAGGCCGACGACGTGCGTAGCGAGGCCAACGACGTTTTCCGACCGGGGAACGGCATCGAGCTAAAGAGAGCCGAAATACGACGGCCTGGGCCCTTGTGTGCTGACGTCGAGGGTGCCGACGGCTCTGGCGTGCTAGCTGCCGCCTTGACCTGCGCCTCCTTTTCCAACGCCGCACGCTCTTCCGCTGCCTGGCGCGCTGCATCGTCCAAGACCTTTTGCATCGCTGCCTGACGCGCAGCCGCATCACGTGCCATGCGGGCCTCGACAGCTTTGCGGGCCTCGGCCTCGACGGCCAACCGCGTAGCCTCAGCTGCCTTGCGTGCTTGCTCTTCCTTTGCCTTGCGGGCCTGCTCTTCCGCGGCTTTACGAGCCTGCTCCTCCGCAGCCTTGCGGGCCTGTTCCTCTGCAGCCTTACGAGCCTGTTCTTCCGCAGCCTTGAGAGCCAAAAGCTGCTGTGCCTTTTCTTGCTCTAGACGCAGCTGCTCCTTCCGCTCATCCTCGGCGCGCTGCAGCTCGGCACGCAGCGCTGCAGCCTCAGCCTCCTCTCGCGCCTTTTGTGCAGCCATATCCGCAGCAAGAGATTGCTCTGCTTTAGCCACATCTGCACGAATCTTGTCAGCACGAGCTTGCTCGGCACGTGCCTGTTCACGCAAGCGCTCGGTGACTTCGTCCTTCAAAGGCGTAGGCGGCACCATCTCCGGGGTCTTTGTACCAGCGGGCAACGTAGCAGCGGCCCGTGGCGGCGTAGACGTCACATGGGCGGCCGCCGGCGGCTGGTTCGACATGGCCACAGGCGCCGGTGGCTGCTCTTCAAGACGCTCCTTCTCTTCGTGGCCAATGACGAGACCCAGGCTGTTGTTGACCGGCGCTTGCGCCGCCTTCCCCATCACGGCAGGCATGATAGGTGGCGCTTGAGGCGGTTCTGTGCGGTTTCGCTGCAGCTCCAACTGGTCGTCCTCATCGAGATCCTCATCGTCCTCGTCCTCTTCGTCATCACTGCCATGACGGTCTCGGTGAATAACAAGGAGCGAATAAAAGGTCTTTTGCCAATTAGGGCCTGGTTCCAGCAAGCATCGAATGATCCGCTCATGCGAGAGTTCAGGCCACAGCGTGCTCAGGTTACCGAGGATATCTGGATCAATATCGGCCAATTGCACAGGTTCGTTGGCCAGTGTGCTAATCTCCGTCGAGACAGGGTTGTGCGACGAGAGACGGCCGTGATCGGTGAACCACGGGTGGTTGCAAATCTCATGCATCGTGGCACGTTTTTTCGGGTCCGTCTGCAGCATGCGGCTAATCAGATCCTTCACTTCTGGGTCCAGATGCGAGGGCATAGCAAACTTGCCCGAACGCACCTTGCTTAGCAGCATCTGGATGTTGGGGTCATCAAAGGGCAGACGGCCACATAACAACGCAAAAAGAATAATACCACAGCTCCAAATATCACTCGCGGTACCATCGTACGTCTTGCCGCTCACGATTTCCGGACTGGCGTAGTGTGGGCTACCGCAGCTTGTTTCAAGCATCTTCTCAGTGGGCTGCAGCGCCGCCATACCAAAGTCTGCAATCTTCACAACACTGCGACTGCCATCCAGAAGCAGGTTCTCCGGCTTCAAGTCACGATGGCAGATGCTGAACGTATGGCAGTAGTCCACACCAAAGATGACTTGTCGGAAATACATACGCGCCTCGTCAGGTTGCAAGCGTCCACGGGCCACCAAGTAGTCAAACAACTCACCACCAGCGACATATTCCATGACGAGGAACAGCTCCTTGCTCGTTTCGTATACATCCCATAGACCGAGCAGGTTGGGGTGCTCGATCAGTTTCATAATAACAATTTCACGTTCAATACCGAGCGTAAGCTTGTCCTGCTTGGCACTTAGATCCCGCAAGCTCATTCGACTGTTGATGAGCATCTGCTTCGGAATGATCTTCACAGCTGCCTTTTGTTGTGTACGTGAGTGGATAGCAACGCGCACTCGACCCGACGCGCCTTGGCCGATTAGCTTACCGAGCTTCCAAGGGCCAACATTAGGAGGATCATTGTAGTGCCGCTTTTTCTCGCGCTCCAAGCGCGTTGGAGGGCGAGATGCTTCAGCTGGCTGTGGTCGAGCCGCGCTGATGGGAGGCGCAGCACGTACTTCTGGCGAGCGTTGCTGTCCGCGCGCCATCTGCGCCGCCGTAATGGGGGGCTGTAGGGCACGCACCGACTCTCTATTACTGGGCGTGGGCCGCTTGTCAAAGACCGCGGCCACGTCCTTCGTACGCTTGCGCGTCCCCAACGTATTGGTCGCCGCCTGCAATGGGCTGGCGACCGACCGCATAGCAGCGGTGGGCCGCGACACCTTGGGTGGTGCCGATGCCCCAGTCGCAGAGTGCAGTGTCGACATGACGCTCACTCTACCTGCGACGTCGAGGGATAGAAACCGTCGTCAGTCGTAGCGACACGAGCGGAACTCGACGAAAAGGGCTGGTGCACGCCCGCCGCGTCGCACCAAAGTGCCTGCAAGGCAGGCGCGCACTCGACTAATCGTACATGCGATTCGTGGAGGCTGACTGGGTGCATCACCGCTGCCCCCTTGCGCGTGTCATGCACGAGGGGTTGCATTGCCACGTGCGACAGGAATGACACAGCACTATTCTGCACAACATCTTACCGGATTGGGTCGAAATCTATAACAGCAAATCATGCAAGCTATGATGTCGGTGCTGGATGCGTGGGCAAGAAATTCTGCAGGTAAGTCAGGAATATGCAGGCACAAGATACATACGCCCACAATCATAGTAGGTACCTACAGAGTGTTAGCCATCGACAGGGTCTCGCGTGCATACGTACATTCCATTTGTCTCGGCGAATCGTAAAGCTAAAGCAGCAGGATATACAGGCAGGTTCCTTGGCCCGTGCCTTGACCTCCAGCGGATCGGCTGGCGGTTTTGTTGCTGTTGTCGTCATGCTTTCTTTCGAAGTCATATCTGGCTGGTTCGTCGCATCCTGGTCTAAAGGATCGTTGGAACCTTCCTTTTGGGCGTCACTAGGCTCCGTCTTTTTCTCAGAATGGGCCGTGTTCATAGCACTAGCCAGAGCTTGGTTATTGGTCCGTAGTTTGCACATAGTCAGCACGGCCTTTTGGCTTGGATCGAAGGACACGGAGCCGTACTTCTCCCAGTAGTTCACCGCACTCTCCTCAGCCATCAACTCATATATACACACACGCCCATCTCGCAGCGATTCAATGGGAATGCCGACAAGCTCAGCAAACTCTTTGTTGCCTTTGTAAATTTCTCCTGTACGTCGCCATAGGCATGCAGGGATCCCTTGAATCGAAAATACACGATCATAGTTTAGTAACAGGCGTTCAAACGATTCTTCAATGTACATCAAGTCAAAGCTCGTGAGATTTTTGGCGAGCGCACTGAATACTGGTTGGAATACGGTCAATGGCTTCAGAATACGGCGCCGTGAGGACGCGGATACATTCTTCTCCATCCACTGATTCAAGCGTGCGTAGCCATGCACATGGTTGTACGGCCGCAACAAACCAGCTTCCCATTTCGCTTGAATCACCTTATGGAGACGCTCATCTCGACTTCCATCGGATTGGTCGGCTGCTGTAAGCAGGAAGCGCTCTGTTTTCGTTGCGGTTTTACTGATATAAGGCGGGTACAAGGCGGAACGTTGTCCTTGGCTGGACTGTTGTTCCAAGCTTGTACCAATGCAGGGAGTGGATGCAGCCATCACCTCTGACGTGTCTTGTGCTTCATTGGATCCCTCTTTGATTCCAGCCACATCACTCAATGTCCGTCGGTGAGGACGCATCATAGGGCTGTAGTTGCCCGTCCTCACGGATGTAGAAGGTAAGAAACCCAGCGTAGGGTCATGGGTGAACGAAGCGGAACTTGGATCCATTGTATCACCTACCATGGATGGTGGCGTATCCAGCAAGCTGTTGGTCGATGGGCGTTGGAACAGTGACATGGGCCCCGACATGTTGTTGTCTGATGGCTGCTGGAACGAGGTGACGTCATCCGTCTGGCTCACGCCATGATCATCCAGCGACTCAAGGAACTCACTAAGTAGGTTGAGTTCGCTGCCACCACCGGCGTCACCCGTATGATGCATTGACCCGCCCAGTCCCAACCATGCCGTATTGCCGAGCTGCGTGCCCAATACCGATGGGCCTTTCTCTCCTTCCTGGCGCATAGCCGAGGGACGCATCGCAAAGGAAGGGTCTGTGAACATTGACTGCGATGAAGGGTTGTTGAAGGAGTGCAGTGATACCGTCTCTGCACTGCTCGGTGCGCTCGAAGAAATGCTCTGAAGCTGGCGCAGTAGTGGCATAGCTGGATCCAGCTCGCGCTTTGACTTCGGCGACGATGCCAAAGATGCATCCGAATGTGAGCTAGAGAAGTTGACATCGAAAGGAGGTATACCTGCAGACTCAAAGTTGGACGAGGTCATAGGATGCCCTGCCAGAGAGTCTGCATGGAAGGAAGGCCGATGTACATTGGACATGCTATGCTCTAATGCCATAAGGCTAGGGCTAGTGGCATTGGTACTGAGGTCATGCCTCATAACCGTAGGATTGGTCTGCATCCCATTGACACCTATCATGGGTGGGGCTGCCAGCATTGCGTTGGGTTGTTGCGTCACAGTGGCATTCGCCACTTGCTTACGTGCGTTTCGATTCCGTGCGGAGCCTGCGTTGGGCGGTGTCACTTCGTTTCGGCACAAGTGGCCAATATCACGCTTGATACTACATTTGTAAGTGAGCTGGGAACGTACCAACGCTGACACGGCCGATTTTCATCACAAGTCATATGGCTTCGACGGCAGTAAATGCAAGCCATATTGACCTTGCGACGCGTCGTTTGTTTTTTCTTGGGCGGCTGCGGTGTCCCCTCTGTGTTTTCTTTTACATCCATATTTTTTTCATCACTTTTTTCCAGGGATGAACCTGGACGCGTGGTTGCTTCGCGTTTGACCGCTCTAGGCATGGCAATGCCCTTGAGCGTATGCAATCGGCGATCGAGATGGAGGAGGGTGGGGAAAAGGATGTAGCGCGTGGCGCCACGTGCAACTATGCTGCGGCAGGGGGCTGCTCGGGCGAACTTCTGGTGTCGAAAAATCAAATATTGGATATGAGATTTTTTTTTTTCTGTAACTTCGAGCCGTTTCGTATAGGTTTGCGACGTGTTCCTAGTCCCTTGCCTTTGTGTTGTATACCGTGCTATCGGTTGCTGCGTGAAGAGTTTGATCCCTGTCTGCCCAAGCTATGATTCCAACGACTGCGGGATACGATGCGCGCGCCCTGACGCCGCCGCCTGACAACATGGACGAGGTGGTAAGCACGCCTGTGCTCAAGTCCATCTTGGGACACGAGGTGTACCGTGGCTCCACGACTCAGCAGTTCAAGTCTGCCTTGAGCGATATTGATGTGGATGCATGCGAGGCCGATGGTGAGAACGCCTTTTTTGTCGCTGATTTGGCCGAGGTGTATCGCCAGTACATTCGGTGGCGTCGTGAGCTGCCGCAGATCATTCCCTTCTACGCTGTAAAGTGCAACCCTGAGCCCATGGTACTGCATCTACTGGCTGGCTTGGGCCTTGGCTTTGACTGTGCATCGAATGGTGAGATCCAAACGGTGCTGGATATGGGTGTTTCGCCGAAACGCATTATTTACGCGAACCCTTGCAAGGCCTCTTCTTTCGTGCGTCGCTCCAAGGCGCAAGATGTGATGCTGACCACGTTTGACAACATGGACGAGTTGTACAAGATGAAGAAATTCCATCCCGACTGCAAGTTGGTGATTCGTATTCTTACCGACGACTCGAAGAGCGTGTGCCAGCTGGGCATCAAGTTCGGCGCACCTCTGCAAAATGTGCCAGCCCTGCTGGCCAAGGCTCGCGAGCTTGAACTGGATGTCGTAGGAGTAAGTTTCCATGTGGGATCAGGCTGCTACGACCCGGAGGCTTATCGTGATGCACTGGACCGCGCTCGTCAGGCCTTTGATATGGGCCGTGACCATGGCTATACGTTTGATTTGCTCGATATTGGCGGCGGGTTTGAGCATGACAACTTTGAAGCGATTGCCAAGGTCGTGCGCTCGTCCCTTGTGCAGTACTTCCCTGATGAGGCCTTTGCGCCTGGCGGCACACGTATGACCGGTCTCCCGAATGGCCTGCGCATCATTGCTGAGCCTGGTCGCTACTTTGTCTTCCGTGCTTTCTCGTTGGCGACCAACATTATTGCGCGTCGTCTTAGCGCAGAGGCTGAGGCGGAGGAAGAAATGAGCGATGCCAAGCCCTTGGCAATGTACTACCAAAACGATGGCACGTACGGTGCCTTTAACTGCATTGTCTTCGATCACCAGCATGTACATCCGAAGGTGCTCTCCATGCAACGCGAGTTTATGTACCGCCCAGACTTGGAGGCGCCTGGTGTGGAGTCGTCCAAGGCGCTGCGGCCCTGCAGTGTATGGGGCCCGACGTGTGACAGCATGGACTGTATTTTGAAGCTGACGCACCTCCCTAAGGGCCTTGACGTGGGCGACTGGCTTGTCTACGAAAACATGGGCGCTTACACGCTGTGTGCAGCTTCGACATTTAACGGCTTGGCTACGGCGCAGGTGCGGTACACGATCGGATGCGACGCAATCGAGCAGGACGGAGCACCGGGGGCGGTGCTGCGCGTTCTCTCGGCTCTGGCGCACGATGCCTAAAATGAATGCAATGCTTGGTAATGATCACATGTAGTTATGATGGTCCTGTTATATAGATGTATTACTAGTTTACCAGACAATATGGAAAGTACAGCCACTATGGTCGAACGACACCTACTAGCGGCGTCGACGCTTGGTCCCGATTTTGTTGATATTAATCAGGTCTGATTCAATCTCAATGTCCTTCGCAGAGGTGAGCTGCGCTAGGCACTTTGCCGTATCCCACCGCAAACGGCCACCACCTGAGGAAAGAAGTGGAGTACTGGTATCCTCGTCGTCCCCTGAACGTTCCGAGCCATTGGCAGCACTGACCTTGGCAGCAGCGCCTTTCTTCTTGTTCTTACTCGCGGCAACATTTGTGTTCACATTGACACCGGCCAGCAGCGACGTTTGCGAGGCTAGCGTTGCTTGCAGTGGCAGGGCCGTCGTAGTACCGTCGGCCGATTTACATAGAAGCATACCATCTTCACCCTCTGCACTAGCGGCAGCGATCGTCACAGCGACTTCCAGCTCGGACCAGCCAAGCAGGTAGGCCACCGCTTGAGTAATGCCTTGACGCCCACCTGTCATTGCATCGTCGTCGTCTAGCAGCCTGCTTAAACGCGTCGCCGGAGCATTGACACTCGCGCTCTTGTTGCGCAGTTGGCGTGTGGACTGCCGCTGCGTCGATTCCAGTAAAAAGTCAGAGGCAAAGTCGCCACCATCTCGTTCCTCACGTAGCCGGCGCTTTCGCTCTTCAATCACCGCTAGCAGCTTATCACGCGTGCTCCGTTTTGCAAGACGTGCCTCGTCTTCCACTTTGCCCCGCTCTGCCTGGTACAAGTGATGGCTGCGTTCCAGCAGGAAGGCATGGTATAATGAGTTGGCACGAAGGGTAGCTGTGCGATTTACGGCCTTATCGGCCACCTCCATAGCGTATTCACGGACCATCGACGGGCGCATCATCAGCGCTTGGTACGTCGATGCAAGGCCCATGTATGTCTCCTGGTAGATTGTGTCGCGGTTTTCCATATCATCCCAATGCGTCCGCTCCAATCGCTCCAAAATTTCCTTGCGTTTGCGATCACGTTTGGACGACACAGGTTCGGCCATACTGGGCGGGCCGCGCTTGGACGACGTGCGATGCGACGACGTGGGGCCACGTCGAGCCGGCATCATAGGCCCACCATGATGCATCGGCATCATCTCGGGCATGCCACCATGGCCCATAGGGAGGGACATACCCATCTCCATGGGCATCATCGCATCCTCCGGCATGGGCGGCGGGGGTCGATGCAGGTCCGGACCGTTGTGCATGGCCATGTACTCCATCGGCTCATGTGCGTATCGCATATGCGGTGGCGATGCCGGATGCATCGGCATCTCCGGCATTCTGTTGTGGTACGCACCATGCGCTTCCGCCATACCATGCGGCGGTGGGCCATAGTACGACGATTCTGGCGGCATATTCATGGGCGGCGCATTGTAATAGTAGCCTGGGCCGCCTTCCGATGCCGGAGGCAGCGGTGGCCGGTAATCTGAGAGACATAAGCATGGGTGCTCCTTCACTGAGGTACGTACCTGCCTCGTACGGCATCATCGTCCGACGGAGCGCGTTGCTTCGTTGAGCCCTGTCGACTTGCAGCAGCGAGGGCCGCGGCACCTGCATTCAAAAGCGGAGGTCCATCCTTCGGCCGAAAATGCCATCGGGTCCGCCTCTGGTCGTCGTCGTCGCGCTCGTCGCTCGTGCATCGTTCGCTCTCCTTTCTGTGCGCTGTTCCCAGTATGTTTGCGACGAAGGTGGCACGCTACATCCCTACGGCCGTCCGTGCCAACGCCACGCAGTTCTTGCGCACGAAGCGTACGACCAACCTGGCCGGCCTCGAGATTCACCCGGACCCGCTGCCGGAGCTTGTGTCGACCTATACCCAGACGCTCAAGGTGCTCCAGGCCCTGCCGGCCTCGGCTGTGTTCCGCCAGTCCTCTGAGGCTGTGACGCAGCAGCGTCTTGATATCGTGCGTGCTGCTATGACCGATGTTTCGCGCCAGAACGCACACGCCTCGGAGGCTGCTATCGACAAGGTCGTCGCGGAGATTGATGGTGGTGTTATTGAAGAAATTCTGGACCAGGCACACGACGAATTCCATCTGGCTACGAAGATGATTGACTGGAAGCCGTATGTATTCGCTTGTTGACTAACGTATCAGGCATGAGCCTCTGCAGGTGCCGGCGCCCCCCGGTCAATGGAAGGGCTTCAGCATGAAGGAAGCTGCTGGCGAAGGTGAACACTAGAAACCATGCCTCCATCGTAGATGATATAGGCTCTGATGCCATGCCCCTTTTGCCCATGCTACCGTGGTTCTGTGATGACGCCGCCTTCGTAACATGGGTCTAGCAGGTCTTTAAAAAATCGCGAGGGCCGCGCTGGTGTTCTACTCCACGTGCTCCTAGCGCTGCGCGACGGCCTGTGTCACACGCCGCCATACCGCCATGACGCGACACTCTAAGCAAAATACGGCATTAGGTCACTTTACCTATGCAGAGTATCAGTATGTGCCAAGCATCTCACAATAGAATGCTTAAAGACCGTTGGGGTTCGCAGAGTATGCGTCTCTCGCAAGAAAATGTGCGTGCCTTTAATGCATGCTACTTGTGTCTGCAGACAGCACAACGGCCTGTCAGCTGTATGGAAGGGCACTTGTACTGCAAGGTGGGTTGGCCTATGTACTTACGCAGGAATGCATCTTGACCGATCTCGTCAAGCAAAAGGCGCAACTGGCTTCCCATGCCCAGCGTCGTGCTGAACTTCTGCGGAAGCGCTCCGAGAAAGAAGCAGAGACTAAAGCCACAGAAGCGGCGGACAAAATTGCACAATTTGAGCAAGGGTCTGCTATTATGCCCAAGAAGCGCAAGGTAGAGAATGATCAGGATACTGCATCATCTAAGAAGCGCACGTCGGACGACAGTCATGTGTCGAAGGCAGCGACGATGCCTGCTTTTTGGCTGCCTAGTATGGCACCTGAGTACGAGCAAGATGACGAAGCCCTGTTGGAAGAGGATCGGGCATCAATCACGCTATGTACGGCCAGTGCTTCACATCCTCACAAGCTTTTATCAAAGCAGCTTGTGGACGTGCACTTTAGCGAGCGCACTGTACAGAATGATAAGCAAGTGTATTGCCCTTGCTGTAAAAAAGAGTGTTCGCGTGTGTCGCAGACGTTCGGTACGTTGATCTACCTCACTTATTTCCAGTCTTGCGTCGATGTGGACATGTGCTTTGTGCACCCTGCACCAAGACGTTGATTCAAGGTCCCTTGGCCAAAGAAGAGCCCACGGCCTGTCCGGACTGCAGCATGGCTGTAAAGAAAGAGCGTGATGTCATCTCCCTTGTGCGTGAAGGCACAGGGTTTGCAGGCGGTGGCACAGCCGAGGCCAAGTCCAAGGGTATTGCTTTCCAGGGCTAAGTTATTTACCTACGACCGCGACGGAGGAACGTGGTAAGCAATACACCCGTCACGGTAACTACGCCGCCTAGCAGAGCCATCCCAATATACCCCTCTACTAATTAGCACATCCTTTCGTACATACCTTTAGCAATACCCTGATCGATCAGGGCATTGAGGCTTTGAGCCTGCTGGTTTTTCGGTTCACGTTCCAACAGAAGGGCTTGCGCGTCAGCAGCACGCTATATACACACCGTTGAATCGCTTGGCCTCATCAAAATTCGAGAGCTTGTAATGGCCCAGTGCCAAGTAGTACAGGCACTCACGCCGCCGAGGTGGATCAGTACGATAAATGTCTACCATTAGCATGATTGTCACATACCTGTCAGTAGCGCCACACCTTGCAGCATTTGTGGACGGCTGGTGCTCTTGATCAAGGCCCAGGCGTAGTTGAACTTGGTCTGTGTCGTAATGTGACCTGACGCCGCTTCTGTCTCGTACTGGTCATGAAGGACCTGCAGTTCCGCTGGCGATAACGATGTCTGTGCGTCCACCACGTACGGCAATGTCATGTTCAAAAAGTGCGTGGCGTGGCGTGGCGTGTCGTTCTCCACTAGGAGGGCGTGACTTCCAGGCTTGTTTTCGCCTGCTTGTGGAGGTGTCACCCACGTGGAAGGTGCGTGGTGGCGGGCAAGGAGTCGCATGGGAGCGACGATACGCTCTTTCTAAGAGACATGTCGACGTCTGACACAGCTTCACCATGGCACGGTGAGCTCCGTGTACAGATCGTTGAGCCAAGGAAGGAGTCTCCTAGGTCTACGCATGTCCCAGAGGAGGAGGTACCTTCAACAAGTGGGCGGTCGAATACATTCGTTTCCTATGGCGTTCGAGCCGAGACGACGTTACCCCACTTTGCCTCCTCCTACATGGTCACCCGCAAACGGTTCCAGGACTTTGTGTTCCTGCGCAATGCGCTTATCAAAGACTTTCCTGCATGTGTCGTACCCCCGCTTCCAGACAAGCATCGTATGGGTACGTTGTGCCATGCTGACAACAGGTTACTTGACGGGCGAACGGTTCAGTCCCGAGTTCATTCAGCGCCGAAGTATGGAGCTACAACTATTTCTTGAGCGCGTATGCCGGCATCCTGTCCTGCAACGTGCACAGATCTTGCAGCACTTCTTGGAGTCTAGTGAATGGCACATTGACATGCACAAACGCACAGGCGATGCAATCGTCTCTACTTCCGTCTCGGAGACGTCACTTCCGCCGTCAGTGCCACATGGACTGCTCGATTCTATGGGAGACATGCTTGTGAACGCGTTCACGCGCGTTCGAAAGCCTGACCCCAAGTCGTCGGAGATCCAAGCGGCGCTGCAGTCGGAAGAGGAAACCATTGGACACTTGGAGCGGCTGCTCTTGCGCAACCGTACACACACATCTGGTACGTATTCCGGTTCCGTTCTGGTTATACCGGCATTTATGCATAAGATCCCGATGACTCATGCCAACGTGAAGTGGCCGCGTTTGACGAATTGTACGCGACACATATTGGTGCTTCTTCTGAAGATTTGTCCACGGATTATCGAGATTTGTCTACATCACTTGAACAGCTGGCTGTGCTGGAAAGCGGCATGGCGAAGGCTTTGCAGGGTACGGCTCATGCCCTCAGCGAGTTTGCCGAGTTGGAAACGCGTTTCACGACACGCGCCACCGATGATTTCCTTACCTACTTGCATGCACGTCACGGGTTTGTGCAAACGCACAAGGCTCTGCTGAAACAGCAAGATGCCAAGCAGTTGGACTTTGAGGGGCTCACCGACTACCTCCATGCGGCGATCACCGAACGAGAGCGCTTGGCCGGTCTGGGTGCGAACGCAGGCACGCCTGCTTTTGGGACTGTACGTGGGACTGGCTTGCGCGGTTATATGCGCTCAGCCGTAGATCGTGTGTGGGGCGTGGATGAAGAGCAAGCACGTATTGAGCGTATGGAGCGATTGGATGATCGTATTGCTGAGCTCCGTGACGCTGTGACCACGTCTCACAAGCATGCACAGGCGTTTGGCTCGCATGTGGAGCAGGAGCACCACATCTTTGATCTGGGCCGACGTCGTGAAGTGGCGCATATGTTGACCACGTATATTGATGGCCACATGGAGATGTACGAGCAGGGCATCTCTATATGGGACGATCTCATTGCGACCCTCGAAACGGCGCCTGCCGCCCCGTCTTCTGCGGGGCAGGAGGCCGATGACTCACGTGGGTCGTCGACGATACCTTTGTAGCATACATATGTACTCATGAGACACGATTCTTTCATCTTGTGATCTGTACTTCTATTCTTTCAACTATGAATCCTCAAGCAAACATGCCTGTAGACTGCGGTGGCATCATCATGCTACCACCGGTCGGTGCAGCGGTGAGCAGGCGGTTGCTGAAAGCGCCTGGGCCCAGAATGGGTGCGTCTTCTTCCTCCTTCTCCTTGGCCGAGTCCTTCGCCGCGCGCTCCTGGACCTGTTTCTCGAGCGCCCGCAACTTCTGCCGTGTGTCACGTGCCTGCTGAATCTGGTAGGGCATCGTAAAGTCGTTCAGCGCGTAGCGCCACGACATTTCCATGACAAAGTCAGGCGCCAGCAAGTCGTAGCAGGCAAAGAGCATGGCCGCGTAGCACTCCTTGTTACCTGTATCGACAAAGTATTGCAGCAGCTCTTCAGCAACCTCGGCATTGTCCGAGTGTGCTGCCGTCTCGATGGCATCACGGAAGAGCGAGTCCGACTTGGACAGCGAGATGCTGTCGTCAAACTTGCTGTTCTTACGGTAGAGATGCGCCGCCAAGCGACGGAACTCCAGTAGCTCGTGACGCTCCAAGCGTGAGGCCAGAGCCAGTGCGTCAAAGTTGTCGTACGCATCGATCGATACACGCAGCGTGTCGTAGTCCTCCTCCTCGATAAGCAGGTCGTTGTACGCATCGTTCACAGCCTCAATGTTCTGTGGCTGGACCGACATGAGGTACGAGCGGATCAGCGGCACATTGTCGTGGTCATGCTTCTTGAACATACGCACGACACGGCCATGGTCGATACGCTTGACCAACACAGTCAGCAGGTCGTTGAGGAGCAGTGGGTGCTGCTCCAGGTAGAACGTCAGGGCACGGTAGTAAATTTCCGTATTGGCCACCTGCGGCAGGACCTCCTTGAACTGATCATGGTCCCATGCCTCGGTGCAGTGCTCCATGATCGTCAGCGCAGCATTGTCAAACTCGTCGTACTTCATGTACAGGAATACGAGCTCGCGCCACATGTGCGCCTTGTCCGCGACCTTGATGAGCTGCGGCAGGTTGCTGCGGCTCCAGTACAACTTCAAGTGCTCCATCAGACGCTCTGGGCGGTACTTGGCCAACGCAATGCCCATCTGCGTGAACACACCCATGTGTGCGCGCTCCAGGCCCAGCGCCGAGTCAAGCAGTTGCAGAAGCTCATCAAAGTAGCCCTTCACTTCGTACGCGCGAATAAGCGTCGGCAAGTCCTCGGCATGCGGCACAACAGCCAGACCGGCAATCTGAGCCAGCTTGAACTCACCCTGGTTCAAGCACGCAGCGTGCATCTGCTTCCACACCGACGTGTTGCCCGCCTTGCGAGCCGCCTCGATCGCCGCCTGGTAGTCGCCAAGGTACACCAACGTCGTAGCAAGACGTGCATAGTTCGAGACACTGCTGAACAGGAGACGCGCCGCCTCGTACAGACCGTCGTGGAAGCACTTCTCGCCGACGTGCAAAATGTCCGCCACGTTCGTCATCGAGAGGAACTCTTCCATGTCCGACAGTCGGTTGGCCTTCGCCAGACAGTACGCGTACTCCGTATCGATCTTCGGCTCACGTGCGTTCTTGCGGGCCATCTGGAGGAAGCGGATCAGCTCCTCTTCACGACCAGCGCGCTCCGCCAGCTCAATGACCTCCTCAAAGTTGTTCGGGTCCTCGGCACGTACGTACGAGTCAATAGCGTCCTTGATACGCAAGCCATCCAGCTGCGCCTTACCGAGGCGCGACCAGATTTCCGGCTTGTCCAGCTTGTTGGCGTACTGCTGCGCACGGTCAATCGACACAATATGCTCGACCAACGTGTTCATCGCATCGAGATGCTGGCCAGCCTTGGAGTACGTCTGGAACGCCTCTTCGTACAGGCCGTGGTCAATCGCAATCTTAGCAATCTCGTCCACGTCGTAGCCAACCAGGCGCTCAATGTACGAGCTGACCTTCGCCTTGTCGGTACGGATCGCCGTAAGCAGCAGCAAATTCTTCAGACTGCGGTTGTCGCTGAACGCCGACGATTCCAGCACAATGGGCTCCAAGAGCTTGATCAGCTCGTGCGGCAGGTCGGCCGCCATGAACGCCTTCACGGTCGCAGAGACATCCTCAGGGTTCGTCGACTCAGGGACAGCTACCGACGAGACTTGGTCCATCAGCGAGCGGCGGTGCACATTGTCTTCTGCCAGCACCTTGGCCCACAGCGCAGGGTCGCGACGCAGGACCAAGTAGCGTGCCTGATGCTTGTACATTGAGTTGTCGTTCGTGATCGCAATCAACTCGTCATCGCAGAAGCCCTTGGCATACGCAATGTACGCCAGGTAGGGGTCACGCTTCTCGCAGTACTTACCCACGACGAGCGGGTCGTACAGGTTGTTCTCCTTAAGGAACGCCTCTGGGTTCTGGTTGCTGTCAATGGCAATCTTTGCCATGGCATTGTATAGCGCCTGGTCCTCGCTACCGCTTTCAATCTGCTTCTTGAGCCACGGCAGAATGAGCTTCAAGCGGTTGCGCTTCTCCACTTCCTCGACCAGCTCATCGACGGGGATCGGACCAGTGACTGAGGCGAGCAGGTCCTTGATCACACCCTCGTCACAGTCGACATCGAGCAGACCACCAATGACCTGCGGCGTACGCGTAGAGTTGACCTTCTGCACGTACACCTCAATGGCCTGCAACTGCATGTTCTGATACAAGTACAGCACCAGGTCGTGCACATAGTTGAAACGGTCGCACACAATGATCAGCGGCAGCTGGTCGGCCAGCTTGGCCTCCTTCAGGAAGTTCTTCACCTTCTCCGGGTTGTACGCATTCGACTCACGGCAAATACGCTCCACCTCACGGAACTGGCCTGTACGCGTTGCGGCCTGGATGTACTTGAAGTGCACCTCAGGGTCCTCACTCAGGTTGACCACCGAGCCGAGGTAGTAGTACAGACCCTCGAAGCTACGGAACTTTTCAAACATCTCAATGAGCTTCGGAGCGCCCAGCAGGTCCGAGTACTTGGTCGCAATTTGGACCACGACTTGCAGGTTCTGGCGGATGTTCGAGCGAAGCATCTCGTACATCGACTCAAGCGACTGCTCCACGGTAAGCGTGCCAAAGTAGTTTACAAGCCACTCGTTGTCGAACAAGTTCGAGTGCACCACGACACGCTTGATATCGGCCAAATCATCATAGTGCTCAAGCGCACGCTGCATGAGACCCGCCTTCTCACACAAGCTCGCAATACGAGGGCGGTCATAGTGCGTGAACATGTGGTTGCCCAGAATAGCATCCGCCACCTGCGGCGCGTTGAGCAGGTTGACTTCCAACAGACGCGTCTGCAGATCGCCCTGCTCTGGCTTGTTGTCCTTAAGCGCATCCAGCAAGAACGACGTAGCCTGCTGCACCATGTTCTGGCTGAAGAAGATGTCCGCCACACGCTCCACATCGACCAGGGGGCCATCCTCGTCGGTCACCAAGCTCGAGGCAAACTCGGCGCCCTGCTCGGGATTCACACGCACGACATGGCGCAACAGCGTAGCATAGTCGGGCGTGTAGCCCACCTTCTTGGCATACAAGACAATCTTGTTGAACTGACCCGTCTCAGCAAAGCAAGCTACCACCTTGTTGGGCACATTCGCACGGAGGTACACACTCAGCGCCAAGTTCATATCGTGCTGACGCACAATATCACCCAGCTCCTCGCTGCACTCAATTTTGTCTTCCTTGAGCCACTTCTCAAGAAGGTGCTTACGTCCCTGCACCAGCACCGGCTTGGCCAACTCCAGCGATTCGTACTGGTTCAGCGTACCGCTCTCCAGGAGTACACCAAAGTACTGCAGGATCGGAGAGAGCGTACCGGGCTGCGTCGGCACCTGCTTCAGCTGTTCGATCGTCTGCGCCGTGCGCAGAATGCCACGTGGCGAATGGGCCGCGACCTTGATGGCCTCGCTGTACTGACCTGCGCTGAACAGCGAGTGGAACTGCTGCAGATACAAGTCATCTGCACCGGGCAGATCGCCACGCGATGCCAGCTTGAATGCAAGGTCCGTGTTGTTCAACGTCCGCAGCACATATGGAATGATCGTGTCTGGGTCCACCGACACAGAAAGCACCTGACCGCGACGGTTTACAGCGATAATACCGTTGGAGCTCTTCTGCTCCGCAGCGACAAACACCGTCTCACCCGAGACACGGTTCATATAAATACACGCACCCGTTTCAAGGTCGTACAGGTGGATAAAGCCATACTTGGTCATCAAGTAGACAATACCGTAGCGCTTGCTCACCTGCATTGCGACAGGGAAATCGTTCGCTGCCTCGGCAGGGAAGAAGACATCCACAGATTTCTTCGAGAAAACAGGGTTCTCTTCCGCATGGTCCACCTCAACAATGTGCAGCTTCGCACCATTGGCTGTGCGGGCAGCAAAAGTGAACAACTTATACGGCACGGAGCTATCTTGAGTCTTGAGCTCGGCAAACGCAGCTGCATGACCCTCAATCGGCTGCGAAACTCCACGCTCTTTACTGTACAGCTGCATAGATCCCTTGATCTTGAAGCCACTGGGGTCAGGATTGCTCGAAATGCCGATCAGGACCATCCATTGGCCATCCGTCGAGGAGCGGTAGTTAATGATCTGCGTGTCGGCCAAACTCGCATGACGGTCAAACATCTTCTGCGGCGGCGCATCTCCCTCGATGCTCCAGTGGTACACACTTGTGCCTGTCACAATACCCAGCGTAGTAGGGGAGATCCAGCGCCAGAAGATCACATCTTGCGGCGAGGTATGCGACTTGAGCTTGGTTTTAGTGTCGAGATTGAACACCTGAAGCTGACGCTGCAGCTTCAGCGCCAAGATATTTGCCTCCGGGTTCATAATCGCAGAGTCTGCGCTCATGGGACGACGAACGACATTGCTGATATTGTTCAGGTCCACAATCGCGACCGAGTTGCCTGACTCTTTGCTCTCGCGAACACAGACGTACTTTTCTGATTCCAACGTTACATTGGCAAATGATATACTATCAGGAGCAATGCCCAGCTCCTGTAGCTGGACATGCTCCGCAAAGTTGATCGGCTTGTCCGCTGCCATGTCGGAGGTGCCGCTGGAGTGAAAGCAAACAAGCCAGCGAGGCACGCTGGCGTTGCTCACTCTCCGTGGCGCCGGGGCCACGGCGTGTTCGGCCGAATGCACGGCCGCGTGTGTTGGTGTCCAGGGCGGCTCGATTTCGATCACTCCTGGCCTATGAAGGGGAATTATGCAAGGCCACGCCACGCTTACGTTGGCTTCGTCGACGCGATCCACGCAAGCGCTCCTTGCACCGTTTCGCAGCCTACAGTACGCGCGATCGATCCAACATGAGCGACGCGGATAAGACGGCTGCGCTTGAAGCGTACCGTAAGGCGGCGCAGCAGCACGAAGAGCGTGCTGAAGACCTAAAAAATCGTACGTGTCCGCCTACGCTTACCATCAGTCCGCAAAGGCATTCGTGATCTCGAGTCCGAGTATGACAAAACAGAAGACGATATCAAGGCACTGCAGTCTGTCGGTCAGATTATCGGCGAAGTGTTGTGCCAGCTTGATCCGGAGCGATGTACGTTGTTTTACTCCTCACTGACCGTCAGACATAGTCAAGGCATCGTCGGGCCCTCGTTATGTTGTTGGTGTGCGCGCCGCAGTGCCAAAGAAAAAGCTTGTTCAGGGCGTGCGTGTATCACTGGATATGACGACACTTACTATCATGCGCATTCTGCCGCGTGAAGTGGACCCACTTGTATACAAAATGAGCACGGAAGACCCGAGTGGCGCTTCGTTTGCCGGTATCGGTGGTTTGAGCGAGCAGATTCGCGAGCTGCGTGAAGTGATCGAGCTACCGCTACTGAACCCTGAACTGTTCCAGCGTGTGGGTATCAAGACCCCCAAAGGCGTGCTGCTCTATGGCCCGCCGGGTACCGGCAAAACACTGCTGGCGCGTGCTGTTGCTGCGACGTTGGAGACCAACTTCCTGAAAGTGGTGGCAAGTGCCATTGTGGACAAGTATATCGGCGAGAGTGCGCGGTTGGTGCGCGAAATGTTCGCATACGCACGCACCAAGGAGCCGTGTATTATATTCATGGACGAGGTGGATGCCATTGGTGGTCGTCGTTTTAGTGAGGGTACGAGTGCCGATCGTGAGATTCAGCGAACGCTGATGGAGCTTTTGAACCAGATGGACGGCTTCGATGCGCTCGGTAAGACCAAGGTGATCATGGCCACGAACCGTCCTGACACGCTGGACCCTGCGTTGCTGCGACCTGGCCGTATCGACCGAAAGGTTGAGATTCCCCTTCCGAACGAACAGAGTCGTCTTGAGATCCTCAAGATCCATACACGCCCCATTGCCAAGAAAGAAGAGCTGGACTACGAAGCAATCGTCAAACTCTCGGATGGCTTCAACGGTGCTGACTTGCGTAACGTGGCAACGGAAGCGGGCATGTTTGCCATCCGCGCTGACCGCGACTACTGTATCCAGGAAGACTTTATGAAGGCAGCGCGCAAACTGCAAGAAGCCAAGCGTCATGAGACCAAAATCGACTATGCAGCTGTCTAATGATATATACATTGCCTATAGTTTATTGAACCCAGCCTGGCTGCATCCATGGGTCCGGTGTCATGAGCACGTGTCGATCGAGGAACGTAAGGAATCGCATACGGTACTGCCGCGGCGTGATGATCGTCGGCTCGCCTTTGCCGCCGCCGCCGAGAATGGCCGTTTCTTTGACGAAGCTCTCGACGCGTTTGTCCCACGTGTAGGTACGTAGGTAGTCGATGATGCCGATGACCAGCTCGTTGCGTGTTGCGTCCAGCGCAACAATCAGGGAATAGTCCATGACATTCATGTCAGTCAGGAAAAGGGAGTCATTGTACAGCGCTGTACGCAAAATCCGCTTGGAATGCTCACGGACATACAATGGCGCAGTTTGGACGTATCGGGCCAAGTTTTCGTCCAGCAGCACTTCATGTGCACTGCCCGTCTCCTGCGCAAAGCGGTGACGTGTGCTGCCTTTCAAGTCGAAAATCTTGGTCGCCGTACGACCGTACAACAAGTTCTCCATGACCAAGAAGTCCATCTTGAATCCTTTGCCTGTGTGATTGTTCTTGAACCCGATACGGAAATAGCCGTAGATCTTCGTGAGCGTGGTAGGCCGTTCCTGCGCTTGGCAGTCGGCTAAGTAGCTAAAGTACTCTGGCGCAAACTTCGAGAAGCCATCCAGTTCCGCACGCGAGAGCTGCTTGACCACCAGCCGGTCGTCACGCGTCTTGAGGAACGCCGAGCCGGACTTGCCACCTTGAGATTGCCACTTGACGCATCGCGCGAGTGACGAGACAAAGTGCGCATCGCACTCACACAATTGACGGAGCGCATCAAATTGCTCGGCAAAGAACACTTTGCACCACAGCTTTACACTGCCTGTATCGAACTCGTACAGAGAGTGCAGTCCCTCCGTGCGCCGCAGCTCCTGTTCCAAGTACGTGCGTTCATCGACACACTGCGCACGTCGCGATTGACGCGACTGCAGAAGCTGGTCGCGATAGCTGTGCGAGTCCAGCGTAAATGCAATGATGGAGCTTGGCTCGTCCTCTCGAACGACTACACGCGCGTCGGAGAATACGTGGTCGGTCGACAAGAACGGGTAGTCCAGCGCTTTCATATGACCCACATGCATCCGCCAAATCGATTCAAGGACGTGGAACAGGCGCGTACGCTCAGGAACGATCTCGGTCGACGTCTCCGGGACGGTACCATCAGAGATGGACGCCGTCTCTGAAAGGGGCACGTCTGTGCCAGTATCGCTCGCGGCAATACTGCGCACGTCGTCAGCGGTCTGGGAAGGCATCGGAGGCATAGAGGCTGTCTCGCTTACGACACTCTGTCCAGGGACCACGAACTCTGAGACTGAATCGCCAGCAGGCGCCGAAACTTGGATCGACATAGGCCCGGTGGCCTCCGTGTGATGGGGGCCTGGGTCAGGAATTCCCTCCTGAGGCTCTGGGATTTTCGGCTCCAGCGTCGACGAGCGAGAGGACGGCGGTACGCGTGCATCTTCACCCAGCCAGGACGCACCACGCCGTGCCGCATTGCTTTGCTCCAGTGGCTTTGCATCGTCTTCGTTATCACTCTCATCGCCACGCACAGCATCACGCAGACTCTTGAACACTTCGACTGTCGCATGCGTCGTCGTGACAGGCCGCGCGCGGCGCACACGGGAAGCAAGCCGAGCGTGCTCGGCATCGCGGTGCAGTTGGTCATAGTGTTTCGCCATCTTCGCGACCTGACTTCGCGCTGTCGCTTCACGGCGCACCTTGGAGACGCTTTCCTGCGTACGATGACGTGTATTCTTGGTATCGCTCCATGGTGGACGCAGCGTCAGACCTTCACTTCGGTGATGCACAAACGACGCGAACGAGTTGGGCGGTCGCGTCAGACGCAGACCAGAGACGGGAGTCTTGCTACTGCTGTTCTCTGCATCCATACGGGCACGGTGTTCGGATGCACGAGACGTCGCAGGGCGAAGAGCAGCTTTGGCTGCCTGCAGCGTTTCATGCGAGGGACGGTACCGTGGCTTGGACGGCGAGGGTGTACGACTGGGCGCGCCAGCTGTCGTAAGCGGCGATGCTGCGGGCGTACGTGAAACAGGCGCTAGTAGCGCAGGTTCCTCGGTAGGCGGCGCAGAGGCGTGCTCCTCGTGCCCGGCATCGGGCTGTGTCGACGTGGCTGTCACAGCGGGTGTCTCGTCTGTCGTCGGTGCATCGTCCTTCTGCGATAGCTTTAGCGTCGCAGCTGACTCAGATGTCGGCATGGTCGGCATAGCTGGCATGGCATGCTCATGCTCGTCCGGTGCGGCATGGGTCTGCGGTGCATCGTCCTTGGCCTCCTCAGGCGCAGGAGTCTGCGACGGAGGTGTTACACTCGAGGAAGGTGACGTGGCCTTCTCCTCGCTGCCTGGCGGGGCTCGACTGGCAGTGTAGGACGAGCTTGCGCTCCGCTCGCGTGATGAGGCTGCGACACCGTCAATCGAGACGCTGATTCGCTTAGCGTCTTCAATACGCTGCGCCTCTTCCTTGTGCTTCTCCTTATCGAAGCCGGCCCAAAGCTCCATGAAAGAAGACAGCTCCAAGTGTCGCTTCTCCATTGGCGTGTCCGTCATCTCGGTATCCGTATCATCGCCGTCTCCTCGCTGGGCGGCACGTTTGCGATAATGCTCGGCCAACCGACGAAGCTCTCGCTCACTCACAGAGGACTGCTTATCGAATTCAATGAACAGCATATCCCACTCCACGACCTTGTCCTGCAGGAACCGGCGCACGTCGTTGAGCGTAAGGATCGAGCGATCCAGCTGCCAGTACGAATCGGAAAGGTGCTGCTCTACCTCTGCACAGTCGGCCACGGCAATATCCAAGATACGTTCCAGCAAGGCATCGGCCTCTGTACGCACCTTGGCAAGGGCCGGCTCCGCGTACACGTCGCGCGTCGCCAATTCCTGCCGCAGGGCTGTGATGCGCCCACACACCGAGCGCCAGTACCGCAAATTCTTCTCAAATAAGCTTTTCACTTCTGTGTTGACCGTCTCACACAAATTCTCGTCGTTCCGAATGGACTTGAGGATCGGCGGGACGACCTCCCACAGCTCAATCGGCTCTGCATGGAACCGAATCGCAAAGTTGTGCAGCGCAAAGTACCGCACCGCATCGCGGTAGTAGTCGTGCTGACACGTTGACGAATGGCACGATGCATTGGGATAAAATTGCAGCTCCAGGTACTTGGCAAAGCTCACAGACCATCCTTCATCGCTCAGTCGCGTTACCGGGGTAGTCGTTTCGCATGTCTTGCAGTAGCTCCAGCACAGCAGCACATCCTCCTGGCCCGGCAACGGACAGGCAAATCGTTCAATGACCATTTGCACCTGCATGGCATTGTGAATCCATGTCTTATAGTGGACCAAGTTCGCACTATCGCAGCCACGCGCATCGCACGGCAGTAGACTCTCTGCACATGTATTCTCCAAAAACTGGCCTAGAGGTACATCGTCCGGGCCGTACAGCTCATGTGTCGCATAGTCCGGGCCATAGCATGTCTGCAGCGTCGCAGCACATGTCTTGGCAGCGAGAACAATGAGGCGCTGGTGCGCAAACGGCGTGAGAAGCTTGGTCATATGGCTCACACACGCGTGCCAGCATGTCTGAATGACACATTGCTCGGCTTCTAGCATAGCAAGGTCCGTGGTATGACGCCACATGTGCGGCGCACAGAGCGTAATGGAGTGGTCTTGCAAGGCCACGGTATCGTCGTCCGATGGCGTATCGTCTTCAGCTTTGTACACAAACGTCTCTTGCTCCATCTCTGTCGCACGCAGCATGTGAATTCGATCAAAGACGTACTTCATGCGTGTGACGAGGTACGGTGGGGGAAGAACGACAGAGATGGAGGCGCTGAGCAGAAGGCGCTGGTACTTCTTCAACGTTTCATCAAGAATGATACGTCGCTGCATATCGTCTTCATTCGGCTGCGACGGAGCGCCTTGGCTGGGTCCCGCATGGAAATTGATGACGGACCAGTCAAGGACCGCACCTACGTCACGACGCAAGAACTCTTCCAGCTTGAGATTGTAGCCCACAAATACCATAAGCGCCAAGATCGCCTTGATGCGACGCAGCTTCGGCAACGTCGCGCCACGCAAGACCAAGGCACTGCTCACTTCTTTGGACGTGACCTCGATCCGTAGCAGTGGTTTACGTCGCGCTGGCTCGTCGAATTGCTGGTACGTATCGACACTGATGGTCGCACAACGACCTAAGCGTGGCTCCAGGGCCAACCGATCAATCGACGAGATGATCTCGGCTTGCGTACAATGCGCAATGGTATCGATCGCTGTACGTTTCATGCAGCTAAACACGACAATGCGCGCCTTCTCAAACATTTCAAGCGCCATATGCGACACACTCTTCTCCGAAATGACCACATGCGGACGTTTCGCGGCAATTCGTGCGACGAGGATCCGAAGAAACTCACGCTCTTGTGCCATGATGGATTCCAACGACATGAGCTGACTCGCATTGCGGTGGTACTCAATGGGGAACGCAATGATCATAATCCGCGCATGCCGCATCGGCAAAAACGAGGCCATGCCACGCGTGCCCACATTCTTGGTACACACAAACCCATCGAGAAATTCACAATCCGACACCTGGCCGCCAGGGAAGCACTTGATCTTGACAAAGTGACGGATGTCTGTCAGCACCGTATTGCGCGTACGCACATGGATTCGCTCAATGACAGACAGGGCCAGGAGCTTGATAATCTCTTTCCACTCCTGCACATCGCCCACATGCTCCGCAAGAAGAAGCTGATGCAGCATGCGCAGAAAGTACACCAGCGACGCAGGGCCCAGCGCTGTGCTGGTCACAAAGCGGGAGGCACCATGCATGAGCTTCTGGCGGGCGGTGCTGCGCTTAATGGGACTGCCAAGAGGCGGCGTAGCAGGATCCGGCTCGCGTTGTGACATGGACAACGGAGGTAGTGACACTTTGGGCGGCGTGGTAGGATGCGCTGCAGGGGGCTTATCCTGCAAGTGCGTACTGCCTTCGTCATCACTCGCGATGATCACGCTGGGCTCACTGCTGGGCACCTCTGGCGCTGTGGCCTCGTCTTGGTCGTCCACAGGAAGACTCTCTGCCTTGTTTGTGCTGAGCTGCGTCGGTACGCTGTCTGGGTCTGTGTCGTGGTCTGTAGGAGCGGCCACGGCGCTGGAGGTGCCCAACTCAATGCCTAGCGGCACGGACGTAGGATGGTCCGTAGGTAGCAAGTCTGTCTCAGGTGCATCCGTGTCATCACTCAGGCCGGATCGAAAAGGCGCGACTTCTTGGACCGTAGATTCATCTGCTTCGACGTCGCCCAAGGCCTCAATGCGGCGAATATCCAGCTGCGAGGCATCCGCTTCCTCATCCACGTCCGAGTCGCGACGGCGTGGCAAAGCATTGGCATCGTTGGCAAACAGCGTCGTAGCTGCAAATTGCGAGAGGGGGGTATGTAGATCCGGCGGCTCATCTGCCTCCGTGGCTGCGTTGGATACGGAGGACCCCTTTCGCGCATGACTTTGCGCGCGGGCCTCAGCGTCGATCTGCTCGCGCCGATCGTACTCTTCGAGCATGGCTTTGCATTGATCACACGTACGTACGCCACCTTTCTGTCCCCATCGTTCACCCGGCACAATGTTCGAGGCACATCGACTGCAGAAAATCTGGCCACAGATACGGCAATGGTGCTTCCGACGAAGCGACGTAAAGGGCATTAAGCAGTTTCGACATTCTTTCGCCGTCTCATCGGCCATCCAATACTTTCGACTGAGCCCTTCGCCACGGAATCGACGAATCCACGCATCCGCGCTGGGCCGAGCGCTTATTGTACTGAGCGTCTCGTCGCCCACATCCGAGCGCCCACGACGTACGGTCGTGAACGACTGAGCATCGTCCAGGACATCACCACCGAGAGGAAATCCTGGAACGCTTTGGATAGCGCCACCAAGGAACGACCAAGCCGACTCGTTCCGCCGCGAGTCACTCTCCGCCTCTGCCTCCTCGTGGCCGGGAAGAGGACGTACCGTCCCATCGTCCTGGGGCAAGGACACCGAATTGACAGGCGTCATCGTCACTAGCGGCGACACAGTACGCAGTGGAATGATGCCATGTGCAGGCGCCGAAACATGATGCGGCGCACGATAAAGCCGCGATGATCGCCGGCGGGTCGGTGGTGGGGGTGGCGGGATCGGGTGAGAGATGCGCTCTTTCAGCACAGGCGCTCGCTTCGGCGCGTCTGAAGAGGACGCAGCGGCAAACGCAGTGCGCATACGGCCCAGCAACGAGCCAAATGCAAAAGGCGAGGCGGGGTGATCGTCTGCCTCTGGGAGAAAACCAAACGACACCATCTCACGCGATGGCTGTGCCGTCGCTGTATCGTGTGACATAGCTGATGTCGTAGCGTGGGTGGGCGTGGCCACAGCATCGCTACGACGGACCGACATGACCAGGTCTCGCACCTAGCGATCCCCCGGGGCTACGGCAGGGCACAAAGAAAAACCACGAGCCCTCGACGCGGTGGTCCGTGAGGGAGACGCAGCGGCACATCGATTGGCTCGTGCATGTGGAGCATGTAATCTTACATAGTACGACACTCTTCTTTCTACCTACCTACCACTCGCGGCGGTACTCGCGATCGATGCGTGTGATGAGATTGAGGCCACGCACATGACGCAGCGCCACACATCGGTGATGAAGAAGTTCCAGGTCGGCAAACAGCAGTTTGGGCCGCATGGGGGCGAAGCTTACATAGGAGCCGGGACGAACAGGCCCCAGCGGTAGTGCCTGCAGCGCCTTGAGCATCGAAGGCGGTGGTGGCACGGGCATCCAGTCCATAGCATTCGCGCTTGTAGGGGCGCTAGTGTCCACAGGGGCCACATCTGTTGCCATGGCCTTGTTGTGTGGGGGGTATCTCTTGTAAAAAGCACGGAGCAGGGCCAATGCCTCCTCCACGCGGAAGGCCTTCGCATGCTGACGAATCATGCGGGCCCACATCTGCGATATGGTCTTGGTATCCACGCCGTCTTCACGTCGGCCCTCGTTTTCTAGTGCCGTCCACTGCGTCCATACGGACGTGGCCAGCTCGTCGGCATACGCACGGTCGGCATGGGTAGTGCATTCGCCTAGGATCATCGCCAATGTATGCCCATTGGGCTGGATATGCGCTTGAGCAAATACGCCATCTTCACCCCATACGGTATCGGCCATCGTACGTAGTCGTGTGCGCGGGGTCAGATGGTGCATGAGGACCGAAAGAAAGGCATTCAGAAGTCGTGGCGTCACAGACACGGTGGCCAAAGGATGCGTCGCGGTCGATGGAGCGCCTTGATCGGCCAAGATGCGCGCCATGAAAGCACGTGCCTCGGCCAAGACATCACTAGCAGTGGACGGCATGGCATGGGTGAAGCTCGGCGCATCGGACGACGTGACATCGGCCTCTGGCGATGCAGCGACCATTTCCACTGCCTCGTCGTCAGCCTGCGTCGTGGAAGTGGCGGCTGGCGCCGTGCGCAGATCTGAGCGACGCTGCGGGGGTTGGAAGACTGCGTACGTCCAAAACACGTTGGCCATCGTCTCTTCGTTAGGAGCCCGATGTAGCACGCCATTCATGGACTGGTGGACCATATCAGCCAGCACCCATCGTGCCGTGCGCAAGTCGCCTTGCCGCGCGCTGCCCTGCAGCACGGCATTGTACGTATACACGTCAGGGGAAAGCGGCGCAGCATGATCGGGCGAGCCATCCATAAGCTCACAAAGCAGACGAATAGCGTCCTGGTAATGATCTTTGCGGCGTGCACATGTCAAGATGAGGCTGTCGTACACGTCCTTGGTAGGCCGAATACGATGATGCAGTGTCATTTCACGGAACAAGTCCAAGGCGCGTTCTGCATCTGCTTGGAATGGCCGTTTGCGGCGTTGCCAGTAGCTGGTCGGCTGAGGAATGCCCGCGGCACAAGCACGGATCATCATCGCGTACGTGGATGTGTCTGGCACAGGATGTGCAGCGAAGCGCATATGATAAAACAACGACCAAGCAAGTGGTTGTACGTCTCGTGTAGGCTGCTTGAGCAAGTGATCAAGCACCAAGGCGTAGCTGGACTGCGGCGCGGGTTCACTTGCTTCCCAGTGCGTCAGGTATTGCACAGCGCCCATGAGGTGATTCGCATTGGCGTAGGCTTTGACGATCGTATGCTTGATTTCTGACGTAGGCGCCACTTGGTACTCTTCCATCTTTGCACTTAACTGCAATACAGTCTCCCACTCGCCTGCAGTCGCATAGACGTCCATCACGCTATGGAAGAGAGGTACACAGTCCACTTGTTGGTACGCAGCCAGTTGGAGCACATGCTGAATATGGGCCACATCACGGTCATGCGCACTCTCTGCGGCAATGGCGGCCCATTCCAAGGGGGCGAGTGGAAGCGACGTAGACGGCACCGATTCCAGCGCTTTCAGTAGCGATGCGCGCCGCGCATGACGCGATGGTGCATCTAGTGGGGTATCGATAGATGTAGAGGGCACTGTAGGTACGCCCGTAGGTGTCTCTAGGTCATGCGACGTCAAGACAGCTGCGATTTTGTCGGCCAACTGCGTAACACTCGGCGGCTTCGGCGGTGCTTCGATCTGGGGCCGCGGCGCAGGGGTTGTGCTGAGCTCCAGGTACATGGCCTCCAGCGTCGCTTCATCTAACGGAGGCAGGTCACGGGTCAGCGCTTCAGACTGAGCGCGCTTCTCGGACAGGTGGACGTCGCGTTCCAGCTCAGCCAATTCACGTCGCATCGCACTTTCGCGACGAAACATCGCGCTCCGTCGTGGTAGATGACGCGCAGCCTGATACGATGTCGTGGACATAGCACGTGCAGTAGCCGCATACGTGCGTGTCCCCACAGTGTAGGCCCACCCATGTCGTAACATCGTCGTGTGGCAAGCCAACGCCCTTGTCTTCATTCACCTGCATGCAGATCCATCTCAAAAAAAGGGGATCACGTGGGCTCTCCACATAGGCTCTATGGGGGGCTGGTCGGGGGGTCTACTTCAGGAAATCAAGGCCCGCAAAGGGATCGTGCGCGGCAGGCGGCGCTGCCGTTGACGACGAAGACGTGGTCAAAGACGTCAACGGCCGGGACGGTGCGGCAGCTGGTGTGTTGGGGCTAGCCAATGGCTCGTCCATATCGCCCAACAAGTCAAAGACGTTGCTGCTCTGTGCCGCCTTGGGCTTCGCCTGGCTTGACGCGGAGGACGGCGCGGAGGGCCGTGCGGAGGTGGTATCGTGAAGCGAGAGGGACTCCAGATCGTCCAGGAACGACGACGGTGCCTTCGACTTGCCTGGCGCCGAGGAAGGGGGGTTGGGTGTAGGCGCCTCCTCCGCTTCGTCAAACGAGATCAGCTCGGTGCCGCGGGCACGTGGACGCGACGTGCCTGTGGCCATCACATCGTACCGATCGAGAGCCTGAAGAATCTTGTCGTTTACCTCCAGGAAGCGCTGCAAGTACTCCGACTCGTCTTCTTCAGCCTGCTCAATCCACTTTTGCAAGCGTGGCTGGACCCCACGCAAATTCGATGCGACTTGGTCATACGCATCGCCTGCGACAAACTTGTCAGTCTCCTTCGCCTGGTCAAGCATATCATTTAGCAGCTTGATTCGCGACTCGATCTTGTCCATATCGCGACTGATCTGCTTGGCATGTACGTTGTTCTTTTCTGGCTCTGCGCCGGACAAGATCTTCATAAGCTCTTGGGCCTGCTGCAAATCCCGCGGGGTCCCACGACGAATGAGTTCCTGGAGTTTGGCGCTTTGTGCAGCGCGCGTCTCCTCTTCCAGCTCTTCTGGCGACTGAAGTCGTTCCGAGGTGCTAAGCACAGCAGCCGAGCGTGCGTCGACTTTCGGGAAGCGGTAGCCTTTGTACATAAGCAGACGATGCATATCGCGGATGTGCACGAGATCCTCTTTGTATTTGCTCGTGACACAAATCGTCTGACGCCATTCGTGGATCATCTCCAAGATGCGCGTCATGACAGGACCTGGATGCATCGGTGGACGCTCGGGAAAGCGACGCACGAGCTCGTTGAGGAATTCCTTGGTCGCTATTTGCAAGTGCATAGGAAACCCACAGTTTTTCACCAAGATATCAAGGAGCTGCATGGTCAATGGAGGTAGTACATACATGCAAGGCCAGCATACCCACATGCGGCAGGCGTGAGTTGACGCGATCCACAATTTCAAAAGCGGCCTCCCGGGCCGTATTAGCCTTTTTCACGTTGATATAATCGGCCAGTTCCAACGCCAAGGACAGGTTTGGCTGCTCGAGTGATGGATCGCAGCACCGATCTAGAACGTCAGCATACAAACACGTACCAACAAACGACTGGACTTGCGTGAGGCGCTGTGATGGCTCCATAGAGTACCCTGACCATTCCGACACCCGAGCCCCACTGCCTCCATACGGCGAGGCGGCACCGCGTGTGCGGCTGGCATGAGAAGCGTACATCACAAGCAGCTAGAAGGAGACCAACCGACCAAGGTAGGTCGCGCCGCCGCCGCCCTGGCCTCACGACCCCACGCACTATCACGTGATCATATACGGCCGTGCGCGCCCATGCGACTGGCGTAGACGCGTCTATCGACGGCGAGGAGCACTGCTACCGTGCCTGGGGGAGGGGGCATGTGGCTCTTGCGATCGTGTTTTGAGGGCGAGCATGGTACGTATGCTCCTTCTAACCGAAGCGCCGCTCTCCGATCGTGTGCTGTACGGTGGGCACACCTATACGCTGGGCCGCAAAGAAGGGGCCGTCGATTTGCTCGTGCCAGTCGGCCGTCTAAGTCGGCATACAGGCACGATCCATGTCACATCGGTGGCTCCAGCACAGGTACATGAGCCAGAAGTACGCGCAAAAGTAACATGGACAATGCAAATGGGCAGCAAAGCGGGTGGAATGATTGAGACGTGGCGTGATCGCAACCGCGTCGAGCAGCGCATTCGCGTCGATACGCCGTACCCACTCGAGGATGGAGCGCGCATTCGCCTCGTTGCAGGGGTGTATGCGGAGCTGCGGTGGATCCCGTGTGTCGTGCAGCTGGTACGTACGCCATCCCTCGATACACCTGAGGTACGGCAGGCGGCTGCCACGGCCGGTGTGCATCTCGTTACCATGGCTAGCGGACTGCATCCTGCTGCGACGCACATTTGTGTAGCTCATGTGCGGCCCAATAAGACGCAGCTACTTGCATTGGTACAAGGTCTGCCGCTCGTGTCGACTGCGTTTGTAGCACAAGTGTGCGAGTGTCGACCCATGTCGTGTCCCTATACGTTCCCAGACGTATTGACGTATACCCCTCCATCCGATCCAAGCCTGCACCGCGATGAGCAGATCCCATCAGAACTGCTTGCACCACGTCCAGAGCGGGCGCATGTTCTAGCCCATTGTGTGCTGCTATTCTGGGTACCTACCTTGGAACGTATGTACATGGACATGGCCGACTTGGCTCAAGCGGCTGGCGCGCATGTCGACATGCTGGAAGTCGTGTCTACATGGACGCCTGATGAGAAGCAGCGAGCTTTGCTACGACAACGCGAGGCTCTGCCTGCTACAGTTGCATCGTGGCCCATCTATTGGATGGGCGTAGAGTTGCCGTCCCAGGCGGCATCATGGGCCACGTCCCTGCGCATCCAATATTTGCCGCAGGGATTGGCCGCAATTACGCAAAGCATTTTGGAAGTGCGGCCGCTGACCTCAGCTCTGCCACAGTCAAATCAGCCTCGACCGGAGGCATGGCCTGTGCCTGCCGCGACATCGCGTCCTTCGCCGGAACGTGTGGTGGATCCATCCATCGCCGAAATGAGCACGACAACGATAGAGGGGGGAGGTAGCGATACGTCGTTGGGGCCGGGCGATACGTGGTCCTCCATTGACGTCACAGAAGCATCCCTGGCCTTGCATCCACCGACGGCCCCCCCATCGAACGACACAGGGATATCGTCGGCGCCCGCAGCATCGACTTCTGCGTCAGAGGGAGCACCGGACCGACTTCGCCGGACGCCGCGCGTCACAGCCGACGAACTGCTAGGCATGGCGGAAGATCGATCGCCGCTGCCGCCGCCGCCGCCATCGCCATCGCCGCCTCCAACCGCAGCCATTCTCCCACCAGCGCCAGCCGCAGCGAATCTGCCGCGTCGCGCAGGCGGCCGACGATCGGCGTTGCTGGATGAGCTGCTGGGCATCGATCGACCACCGCCGCCGCCGCCGCCGCCTGCCTCCCCTTCGCCTCCTCCACGAGAGAGTGCCAAGTACCGCTCGCTTCTTCCGCGTGCAACGCCTCCCACGGTGTCAGAGATACCACCACCATCGTCGCCTGCCTGGGATCGACTTACACGCCCTTCATTCCTGCAAGTACGAACGATGCCACTGGTACGTCGTGCGCCATCCACGGGCCTTCCCAACTACAAAAAGTTTCGTCGTACACAGACGACTGCACGGCCCCACCGCGTAGCTTTAGTCCCTGACTATGCAGTCCGATCCGACGCTGCGTTGTTCCTTGGGGACGAGGACGATGCTGCCTAAGGCAAATACACATACCCATCATTGTCTTGTACATAGCGCTATGCAGCCACACACACGCCGTACCATGAACTACAGAAGAAAAAAAAATCCCAAAATACATGCGCCTGCCTCGTGCTTACACTGCCTCTCGTACGCGATCCAGCACAGGCACACGCGGCACAGATTTCTCGCGGCGTGACGGGCCAGGTTCACGCGAGGCCGAGCGAGAACGCGATAAGGAACGAAGGACCGACGAAGGTGACATACTGCGCCCTCGACTATGCTCGATATCGGTGTTGGGATGCGGAATGTTGCCACGGCCACCGCGGCCTGTGACTTGCACGTGCGAAAGCTCTTCGCTTTGCAATTTGCCTTGCTGTTCCAGCGCCCGAATTTTCTCGTCTTCGTGGCGCTGCCGATCCAAAGGATCACGCGAGGGAGATCGCACGTTGCCGGCCCCACCGCGGCCTACATGGACGGTATACAGCTGCTCCCGTATAGCATTTTCATCGGTCACATCGCGCTCTGCAAGCTGATGGTGCATCTGATCATCGTTAGTCCACAAGCACGTACATTGCCAGCGCCGCCGCGGCCAGACGCACGCAGAGGACGACCACGCTCAGGCGGCGGCGTGCCACTTGCCTCGGTACTCGACTCAGGTTTCTTGGGACCCAGGTGAAAGTGTCCTAAAAACGTCATAGCCTAAAGGAGAAAGAGAGCGTCCTGAACCAGCGCGCGTCTTATCACGATAAGCGCACGCGGGGTTCCCAAGCCCACAGTCGGCCCCCCGCAGCTGCCCATCACGTGAATAGATATGTCCACTATGGCAAAGCTAAATCCGTAGGTACATCGAGGCCTGGCGATAGCGTGGCAGTGCCCTCGTTCAGCTTGAAGAACCCGGCGCCTGAGCCTAGCAGCTTGCGCTTTTTCTTCCGAGCGACGGGACGCGCAGGCTGCGCCGCCTCCTCGGCCAAGTCAGGGCGGATGCGCGTGCCCAGCATGGGCGTCTCGTCCGCGTTCAGGTCCACGGCCGTGACGGCGGTCCGTTGCAGCATCGGTGTGAGGCCCGGTTGCAGTGTTCGTGGAGGCGGCGTGATGTCCGCCTCGTCGTTCATAGTGTGGGTTGGTAAATGTGTAGGCGATACAATCACCGGGGCCTCGTCCACGGATACGATCCCTTCCACGTCGGCCAGCGAGGCTGTCGGCATACCAGGCTCCGTCGGCGGCATACGCAGCGGCATGTCCAGTGCGGGGGGCGGTGCTGGCGTCGGTGCCGGCGACGGCGACGGCGATGGCGACGGCGGCGGGATCGTACTCGGCTCGCCGGCCGGCAACGTCAAGGTCGGCGCCGGCAGAGGTCGAGATGACGACGCTGACGATGAGGCCAACGCCGCCTCTGCCGCTTCGCGTGCCGCTGTCTCCATCGCGAGTTGCTGCTCAACATGCGCCAGGTGCGAGCGAAGTGCTTGCACCTCGTCAGTTTGGGCTGCTAGAGCTTGGGTACCCCGCCACTTGTGCAGCCCAACCAGGAAGGCGGTATGCTCCTCGGCCAAACGTACACGTCGCCGCTCTTCTGCCAACGCCGCTTGCAGTTGTGTAACGCGATTCTGCTCCAAGACCAGCTGGACATGCACCGTATCCTCTGGATCTGACGACGACGTAAGAAGACGCCAGTACCGATTGTCGTATTCAATCTTTGTATCGGCCATATGTGACTCCAGTACACGCACACGCTGCCGCATCGCACGTCGGTCCTGCTCGCGCCCGCGCTGAAGCTGCTCGACTTGCTGCTGCCATGTCGTCTGCTCACTTGACCAGTCCTGCGCATGATCCAGCCGATCTTGCATCGCATCCAGTTCGTCTTCCAACTCGGCGCACCGTTTCTTCCATTTGAGCAGCTCCTCAGTCAGCAAGCGATTGGATCGGGTCGGTGCAGGTGCAGAAGGGAGAGATGACGAGGCAGGTGGCGGGGAGGAGCGTGAGGCAAAGGCTGACATCTGCTGGGGGGGCGACGTGGGCGGGATGGCACGGACAGGTGAGCGTGGTGTAGGTCGAGGATGCGTTGCTTTGGGCGGCGACGGCTTCGGCGGCGATGCGACCCGGGGCTTTGGTGGCGAGTCCATGGCCATCGGCGTAGGTGTAGGTGACCGACGTCGTGCCACTGGCGCGATGGGGGAGGCTGTCGGCGATCTGCGCGACGTCACGGAGGCGATCGGCGACGATGACGCAGGTGGGCGTGGCGCGGCGGACGTGCTGGGAAGTTGCGGCGGCGAAGGTGCATGCATCCTAGAGCGAGGCTCTGCTTGGTGTGTAGGTGATGCGTGCACAGCTGGCTTGCGTCGTGGCGAGGCGACGGCGACGGCGACGGCGGGGGAACGCATGGGCGCAGCGGCGACGTCCGACGCCGCCTCCGTAGGGAAAGCTGCGCCACTCTCTTTGCGAGGGGAAGGTTCGCGTGACGTTGAGGCTGCTTGTACTGACGCACGGCGCGGCGGAGACGACGCGGCGGGCGGTTCCGCTGCTTGGCCGCGCATGAACGCACGGCGTGTATCCTTAAACGGATCGGTAATTTTGTCAAAATCAATCGTGTCGTAGTAGTCCGTCGAAGCAGGGACAATCGGTCGCGATGTCGCAGGTGTCCGACGTGGCGTATGCGACATGGGTTTCGAAGCGCTAGGTGGCTTACGCTCTTTCGCATGGGAGCGGGGCGGCGAGATACGTGAAGGCGTTTTGCGTGTGCGCCCAAACGACGTATCCAAGACATGCTCCGACTCGTGGAACGTATCGTTGGCACTAGCATTGCTCTCTCCGTCCTCGCCGTCGTCGTCATCGTCTTCATGCAGAGGAGGGCGGTAGTCGTCGTCCTCGTCGTCTTCTTCTTCTTCGTCGTCGTCATCGTCCATAGAGCCATCGTCATCAGCGTCATCACCGTCGTTTGGCTCAGGGGATCGCCGCATTAGCCTAGGCTGTGGCGATGGACTCCATGTCTCTGTCGGCATGTGCATTGTAGCAAGGCTTGTGCCGACCAGAGGCGACTCGCCGAGCGCCTCGTCCAACGACCATCGCAACGAGCGATCGGCACTGCGTGGAGGGGGCGGCGTGCGTGCGGCGGAGCGAGGCGTGCGCGCACTAGCTGCACCACCACCACCACCCAACATAGGCAAGCGCCCGATTTTGCGGGGCTCATGCGAGGCGCGGTCCATCGTAGCGTCCCACCGTCCACGCGTGAAGCTCGTCACGAACGACGCGCGCGTCGAGGCACCTCGCGTCGGTGGTGATGTCACGTGATAGAGGCCCTGGGGGCACTCCCTCGTGAGGGCCACGACGCACGGCGTAGCTTTTTTCTTGTAGGCCAAAGTGTGGGTGCGTCCGCGAATTGTTTGTTGTCGTGCCTTTGGTTGTTGGACAAGACAAGCTTCTAGATTGGTACCACATCCTATACTACGCTACAAAATGAGTCATCCACCCGTTCCCTCGAAGCATACTTTTGCTGGTGTGCCGTTCTTCCAGCAGCTGCCGAAGCTGCCGTCGTTGGAAGGCACAGACGCAGCGCGTGCGCCGCAGGATGCGTTCCGTCTGGCGATTGCGGCGCAGCTCTCGGAGGTGCTGGGCATCTCGCTGCAGGATGCGTTCCTGGCTGTGGCCCCTGGTGGGAAGGAGGCGGACTTTAAAGTGGTTCTGCCGCGTTTCCGTCTGCCGGCCAAGATCGATGAGCTGCAGGCCAAGGTGCTTGATGCATTCCAGCCCAACGAGTACATCGAGTCCGTCTCGAAGCAGGGCCCTGCTGTGCTGTACAAGGTGAACAAGTCGACGCTCGTGAAGCTTGTACTGTCGACGGTCCACGCCATGACGTACGGCGACGGTGCTGCGACGGATGAGCAGGGCAACAAGCAGCCGTCCTATGGCTCGAACTACTCGGGGGATGGCAAGTCGGTGATTGTCGAGTTCTCCTCGCCGAACATTGCCAAGCCCTTCCACGCTGGTCACCTGCGCAGCACGATTATCGGTGCGTTCTTGGCGAACTTGTACGAAGCGAACGGCTGGCAGGTGCGCCGCTTCAACTACCTCGGTGACTGGGGTAAGCAGTTTGGCTTGCTGGCGCTCGGCTGGCGCCGCTTCGGCGACGAAGCGAAGCTGAAGGCGGACCCTGTGCAGCACCTGTTTGACGTGTACGTGGAGATCAACCGCCTCGCCTCGGAGGGAGAGGAAGGCGAGAAGATTCATGAGGCTGCGCGTGAGTTCTTCAAGGGTATGGAAGAAGGCAAGGAGGAGAACCTGACTGAATGGCGTCGTTTCCGCGAGCTCTCGATTGAAAAGTACAAGGAGACGTATGCGCGTCTCAATGTGCACTTTGACGAGTACCGCGGTGAATCGAGTGTGAAGCTGACCGACCTGGAGACGACGCTGCAGCAGCTGCGTGAGGCGCCCTTCACGACGCGCGAGGAGAACGGTGCGCTGCTTGCTGACCTGACGCCATACAAGCTGGAGAAGGCTGTGATTGAGCGCAAGGATGGTACGCCGCTGTATCTGACGCGTGACATTCGCGAGGCCGCGCAGCGGTACGACCAATACCACTTTGACAAGATGATCTACGTGATTGCCTCCCAGCAGGATCTGCATGCGGCGCAGCTGTTCAAGATTCTCGAGTTGATGGGCTACCCGTGGGCGAAGAAAGAGGATGGCCGTCTGCTGCACATCAACTTCGGTATGGTGCAGGGCATGTCGACACGGAAGGGCACCGTGGTGTTCCTCGACCATATTCTCAACGAGACGAAGGATGCAATGCACGATGTCATGCGCAAGAACGAGGAGAAGTATGCACAGCTCGAGGATCCAGAGGGAACCGCGGACATTGTCGGTATGACTGCGATCAAGATCCAGGATATGGCCGGCAAGCGTATCAACAACTATGCGTTCGACTGGAAGCGCATGTTCTCGTTTGAGGGCGACACGGGTCCCTACCTGCAGTACAACCACGTGCGTCTGTGCTCGATGGAGCGTACGAACGCGGAAGATGGCCTCGTGCTCCCGAAAGCCGACCTAGACTTGGCCTCGATGCAGACGGACCGCCTTGCGTCGACCCCAGAAGCGATTGAGCTGGTCTGGCTCATCGCGCAGTGGCCGGATGTCGTGCGCACAGCGAGCCGCGACCACCAAGCCTCGACCATCGTGACATACTGCTTCAAGCTGACGCACGCCATCTCCTCGGCGTGGGAGAAGCTGATTGTCAAGGGCCAGGAACGCGAGGAGGCGCTCGTGCGTCTGTGGCTCTACCGCTGTGCGAAGGATGTGCTGGGCAGCGCGCTGCGTCTGCTCACCATTACGCCGCTGGAGCGCATGTAAGTACGTAGTCGATGCAATGAGGATGTCGTTCGACATGCTATATATAGTACAATATTCTACATGTGTATCCGTACATGGCAAAGCGCTTACTTGCGCTTCTTCAACTTGGGATTCGAAGTACGACTCGCCTTCTTGTTTGCACCGATACGGCTTCCCCGCTCGCGCTGTCGGCTCTGGGCTTGCACGGCCTCCAAGCTTGCTTTCTTGGCACGGTTGCGGTTCTTTACATTGGCATGTGTATAGTAGTTCTCAGCCTTGCGCTTGCTGGTCGTCATACGCTTCTCCTTGACACGCGGCGCCTCCTCGTCGTCCGACACTTCGTCGTTGTCCGTGGAGGCCGAGGCCTTCGAGGCGCGAGGACGCTGGCTGAACACATCTTCCCACGCCAAGCCTTCAAACTCGTCGTCGTCGTCGTCCTCCTCCTCCTCCTCCTCGTCTTCGTCATGGCCCTCTTCGTCCTCGTCCACCTCGTCTTCGTCACTCAGGGCCGCTGCATCTTCGTCTTCCGGCTCTGCATCGTCTTCCCGCTCAAAGTCTTCCGGCACACCACCATTGGCATCTTCCTCGGTAAACTTGCTCATCACAGGAATCTGACGAATTGGCTGATCCACGCCACGCACCTCCTTCGCATGGTCCTCCTCGGCACGACTCGGCGGCAGGGGCGGAGGAACAAAGAAGGGAATCTTGCCACGGATCCAGTCGTTGAGTACCATTTTTGCACTCGTATCCAGATCAGGCTCGCCACCACGAAGCAGTTTGCCCATGCGTATGGACAGTTGCGAGAGGAAATCCTCAGCGTTCTTCCACGATTCCAGGTTGTAAGTGCGCTTGATGTACTCTGGCTTAACACGGCTAAGCAACGAAGCAATGTGCTCACTGGGCGTCTCGAGATTCTCAACACGAACCACACCTTTCAGCACAGTACCTGTTTCCGAGTCATGCGCACTCACAGGCACAATACCAGGGCAGTCAATAAGGTAAATGCGGCGCATCAGCGAAATGTACTGCCACACCTTCGTTTCACCAGGAATCGGGGCCACATTACACACTTTCTTCTTCTTCAGTGTGTTGATGATCGAGCTTTTGCCGACGTTCGGGTATCCAACAAAGCCGACACTAATCTGCTTCTTGTCCGAATGAAGCACACTGAACTGACGCAGCAGTTGAATCAAGCTGCCTTTACCGAAACTGTGATTGATCGACGCATGGAAGGCCAGCGTAGGGAACTCTTTCGAGAGGATCTTAATCCATCGCGCCTGTAATGTTAGTTCTGTTCATCCACGAAAAAAGGAGGGGAGAGGGAGAGGGAGGGGAGGGGATGTTCGTTATCGGGCACAGCCCCGTCACGCATCGCCGAAGCTCGCGACAGAACCATGTCCACAACGCCAGCCTTGGGGACGTCCTTCCCACATCCGGCCCTCAATGGCGGGAGAGGGCTTGGGAGGGGTGAAGATCACGATGAAGTCCGTGCACCCAAGGCCGTTACTCTTCCACGTTCGTAACAGTGTATGCGCCACGGAATTGTACAAGGTACACGGCAGCAACCCTTGACTTGAATGTGGGGTCTAAAAAACACAGAGGGGAGAGGGAGAGGAGGGGGAGAAGTAGTATACGTACCGTAACCCACGTAGGGACCAAATCAACCTTGTTCAGAATAAAGACCAAATGCTTGTGGGGCGTCTCTTCACGGATATGCTTTTCCACGTTGCGGCAGCGTGTACCCATGGGATCACGAGCGTCCAGCACATGCAAAATCACGTCCGAGCTATCAATGACTTTGTACAACTCACCCCAGATACGACGAGATTGGCCTTTGGAGTAAATGGGTTCCGAACGGCCACGCTGCACAGGGATCGAGTAGAGCTCGTCTGGATGGGCAATGCGATCCGACTCCGACGAACCAAGCGGGATTTCACGGTCTGCAGGCACGAGCCCTTCGCCCTTCAGTTTGGCCTCTAGCGCTGCCACCTTTTCGTCTTCCTGCTCGCCCAAGGTTCGCGACGTCTCAGCCAGGTCGGCAAACGAGCTCATACCCATATCCAAGCGAGGTCGCTTTCGCTGTGCACCGGGCCCAAATGTCTTCTCAAACGGCTCAATCTCCGTAAGCGAGGGTGCCTTGCCACGCGATGCGTCTTGGATCAGACTCATCGGCAGTTTGTTGCGACGCAGCACAACACTGTAGGGATCGTTGACCTTGTTGCCCAGCGCGGTGCGGAAATGGTCCAAAGCATCTTGCGCAATGACACGTGTATTTCCGAACCACCGGCGGTCGGGCTGAACACGGCCAGGCTTGGCCTCGGAACTTTGAAACTCGGCGGCCTGGACGATATTGCCACGTCGATCACGCACGGCCTTGGTCGACGTGCTAAACTTCGAAAGGAGCTTTACACGTTTGGCATCCTTTGCATCACGGTAGAAGTTCTCGCCCTTGACACTCTTGATGCCAGTAGGGCGCTCCTTCTTCTTTTGGACCGCCATGGTGTGCCACAAGAAAAAGAGCCCAAAAAATTTTTTGGCCTCGGCCTGCACAGACACCGAGGTCAAATCACGTGAACGTCTCCACACGTCACGCGTGGGAGGCGTGTCCACTCGCGGCTGTGAATGCAATGCAAGTGCGTCACGGTGCCGTGCGCAACACGCATCTCGACACGTTCAACGTCGACGCAATGAGTGCAGTGGACAATCCCCCACCACCTCCGCCACGCAGTCGCGCCCGTGGTACGCCCAAGCGTCCTACAGCAGAGAAAAAGGGCGCATCGACTGAAAAGTCGGAAGAGCCCACAGACGCCTCTGAGAGCGGCGATGTATTCACAGATGCGCCGGCCTCGCAGGAGACGCACCCTGAAGTGGAACGCTTGCAGACGCTCCTTGTGCAAAAAGAAGAAGAACTTGCTCATATGAAGAAAGAGCTGGAAGAAGCAGTATCAGCGCGTGATGATGTTGTTGAGCGGCATACAGACTGGCTCAAAGAGCGTGAGGAACTGCGTGGCGAAATGGACGCCTTGCAAAACCAGATCGCATCGGAGCGTGAGCGTGCCGATGCTGCCGAGGAACGTGTGCGTGACCTGCGTCGTACCAATGAAGAAAGCCGTCGTGCGATTATGCGCTTGCAGCAGTCGCGCCCTGGCACACCGCGCACAGAGAGCGAGACGAGTGAGCGTTTGACGCGCCGCTCCAGTGCGATACTTAGCTCACTAGCCCCGCGCTCCATCTCCGGTGCATCTGAGGCCGATTCCGAGACGGAACGCACAGGTTTGCGTGACTTACGCTTAGTCTCACCTTCGCAGGCTTCGACGGATGGATTCTCGCCCGTGCTGGGAGCCAAGAGTCCAGAAGAGGCTTCTGTGGTACCAGAGACGGACTTGCCGAAAGAAGACACAGAGACTGTGGGCGCCGCAGACGAGGGGCAGAGTCCTGGCCATGCCACATCGCCTTCGGGCATTACTGGCCTCTTTCCCTCGTCCTTACTTCGTCCGCCCTTCTCTCTTCTGCGCAAGAGCCCCAGCTCAGACGCCAACAGTGTGCCTGTAGCTGGATCGAGTGAAGATGCGACTATGCAGATGGAGCAACTCCGCTCTGAGCATGACAAGGCACAAGAACGTGTGATGGCACTCGAAAAGGAGCTGACAAGTATGCAAGACCAGCTGACGGAATCGCGCGAGGCGCAGCAGGCAAGTGAAACGTTGATCAAATCGCTGCGTGAATACATTGTAAATGCGGGTCAAGGTAGCTCACTGCCTACAGACACGCCCAGCTTGGAAGAAAAGGCAGAGACAGGCGCTACGATGGACGTTACCGAGAATGTGCTTGTGAGCCAAGATGAAACAGAGAGCGATGCCAAGCCTCTCACAGAGGCCGACATCCAGAAAGAAGACCCAGCTGTCTCAGCTACTGTGCAAGTCGACGCTGAAGAGCGTGCCAAGGAGACCCAAGAGGCCTCAGACGTCACAGAGACAGAGACCACGACAGCGAAGAGTGATGCAGCTACTACGGAAGAGACAGAGGCGAAGAAGGAAGAAGAAATAGTCGACGCCGATGTAGCCACATCGTCGACATAACGACGTGCCCATCTAGATCATCCGTAGAGCACAGACGCCACGACGCATGAAATTAGCAGCGAGGTCTTCGTGTCCTCCACATAGCCTCCCCAACGTTGACCAGCATCATGTGGCTGATACTAGGGCTATGGGCGTTTGTGACCGCCCTAGCGACGTGGCGGTGGTCGCAATCGACACCGACATGGCATGCCACGATTCCAGATGATATCCCTGTGTACATGCGCGCGCCGTCGCAAGGGTACCCATCCTACTACAACACTACAGGTACACGCGGTGCTGTGGCCTGTGAATTGGATGTGTGCTCTAACGTCGGTGCCTATATCTTGGAGAAAGGCGGCTCCGCCGCGGATGCAGTATGTACTCAGATACGAATTAATGTCAGATGATTGCTACATTGAGCTGCGTCGGTGTAATGGACAGTTTTCATTCCGGTTTGTCGGGCGGCGGCTTTGCACTTGTCAAGACTCGCTACAGTGACCCTGTGATGATTGATTATCGTGAGACAGCACCCCAGGCGGCTCATCGTGATATGTATGCTAAGGCTCCACCCAATTCCTCGATTGTTGGTGGTCTAGCCGTCGCTGTGCCTGGCGAGGTGCGTGGATGGGAACAGCTTCATCGCTTGTATGGCCGCCTGCCATGGGAGCAGCTGCTTGAACCGTCTATCGTAATTGCTCGTCGTGGATTCCGCGTGCCTGCGCAACTTTATTCAAAGATACAATGGGGTGGCAACTTGGCCTGCCTGGCGCCTACGTTGGTGCCCACGTTCTGCCCGGATGGCGAGCCCCTGCCTGCCGGGAGCCTCCTGCGCCTCCCCGCTTTGGCTGATACATTGGAGCAGATTGCGACGTATGGCCCCAATGTGATGTATGAAGGCCCTATTGCCGAGCGAATGATTGAAACGATTCAGCAGCATGGCGGCATTATGACCATGGACGACTTGCGCCAGTTCCAAGTGCGTATCGGCCAAGCTGCGTCGATTGATTTCCGCGATAAGTACCGTGTATGGACAACAACGGCACCAAGCTCAGGTAGTGTCATCCTTTCCACACTCAAGACCATGGAGCAATACCCGGATGAGCCCTATTACGAGACGGATGCGTTGCATACACATCGCTTCATTGAGGCAACCAAGTTTTCGTACGGAGAACGTACTTTCCTGGCTGACCCGGCTTTCCTGCCCAATGTGACAGCATGGGAAGAGCACATTATCCAGCCGTCGGTGGCCAAGAAGCGATTCGACAAAATTCGAGATGACACAGTGCGACGTATGCACAAGTACGATCCGCAGCATTGGGACGTGCTATCCGACAAAGGCACCTCGCACTTGAATGCTGTGGACGCCGAGGGCATGTCGATCTCGGTCACAACCACTATCAAGTACGTATAGTCATGACTAACAGCAGTGGCATTTGGGGCGCTTTCCTTAGCACACCTGACGGCATTCTCCTCAACAACGACATGGACGACTTTTCGCAACCTGATCGCTCGAACCTCTTTGGGTATGCGCCGTCACCGGCCAATTACATTGCGCCTGGCAAGCGGCCCATGTCGTCCATGTCACCCTTCCTGATTGAGAACCGACACACGGGTGAGGTGGAAGTCATTGGTGGCTCTGCGGGTGGTTCGCGTATCATCACAGCGAATTTGCTATTGGCCTATACGTACATGTCATTCCATGGACAGATTGATATGCAAAGTGTCATTGATCGGCCTCGTTGGCATCATCAGCTGGTACCAGACCTCGCGTTCTTTGAGTACGAAATGCCGACGTGGCCATTCTGGCATGGGTATAGCAACCGTACTGTGGAGGCCTTGCAAGCCAAAGGCCACCACCCCTATTTCTTCGGACCTGGTGTGTCCACAGCGCAGGCCATTGTTCGACGCCCAGATGGGCACTTTGTCACGGCCTCAGAAGTGCGGCAGGAAGAAGCGCGTGGCGCTGCTGTCTAATTCACATGCTAGTACCTACATTACAAACCGCGGAAACGCGCAAAGGCGACGCCGGCCAGCAAACCACCCACATGTCCCACATGATCCACATGACCATCCCGATGCGGCGTACTGGCTTGGTATAGTTCCCATGCAGCGATACCTCCAATGCAGACCCAGGCTGGTAGAGGAATCGCGTAGAATAAATAGACGGTGGACATGGGCTGCATCATGGTAAATGCGGAAAGGATGGCATACACAGATCCACTAGCGCCCTGCGAAAATGTGTAGCGATGCCGAGCGAGGGACGTACGTTCGCCATGTATGATGGGATCGACAATGTACGGCCATACAATGCTTGTCGCAGAAGCGATCATACCAGCACCAACATACAGGGACAACAATGTCGGTGCACCAATCATTGGAATCAAGGCTGGTGCTGTTAGGGCGAATGTGAGCATATTGATGCCAAAGTGCGTGGCGTCTTGATGGCTAAAGCACGCTGTAAGAAGTGTCCACCAGCGGCCAGCGCGCAGTTGTGGCTCGCCACTAGTGAAGTTTCGTATCATAAAATTGTACCAACGTGGATCACCCTGCTGTGCATGGTCCTTTGCATACCACCATGCGCCAAAGACCAGAGTATTCACGCCGAGAAGGCCCAGTAGGACAGAGTTGGGACTCGCAGATGGACGTGGCACGCGAGATCGAGGCCGACTCGATCGAGCGGGGAATGTACGAAGACTTCGTACCAATGGTGCTCTTCTGCATGAAAGAGACGGCCATCGGCCCAGCCCAACGCGTGTGAGAAGCATGGGGAACAGCGTGACACCACCAACACGAAGCGTCATGACGTACTCCACATGCATCACGTGCGTACACATTTGCTGGACGACCGCGCGGCGCGACAAACGAGGCTACGACGACTTGCTTCGATGGCCGGCATGATGCGCAACGGCGGGCGGTTGGGAATGATGCAACCGCCTGTGATCTTGCTGAAAGAGGGAACGGATACGTCGCAGGGTAAGGGTCAGCTTCTATCGAATATCGGTGCGTGCTTGGCCGTAGTCTCGTGTGTGGCGTCTACGTTGGGTCCTCGTGGTATGGACAAGATGATTGTCAACGACCGTGGCGAGGCAACCATCTCGAACGACGGCGCGACGATCGTCAAGCTGCTGGACATTGTGCACCCCGCTGCGCGTACGCTTGTCGACATTGCGCGTGCGCAGGATGCTGAGGTGGGTGATGGTACGACGTCCGTCGTGCTGCTCACGGGTGAAATTCTGAAGCAGTGTCGTCCGTTTGTGGAAGAGGGTGTGAGCCCGCACATTATTGCGAAGGGCATTATCGCTTCTGCGCAGCTGGCGATCGAGCATGTGAACCGCTTGGCGGTACATATTGAGCGTGACAATGAAACGTATGTATGGCACAGACTAACAACCAGGGAATTCCGGGATTTGTTGTTGAAGTGCGCAGGCACGGCGATGTCGTCGAAGCTAATTGTGTCCCAACGTCCATTCTTCTCGGAGATGGCCGTGAATGCGGTGCTCTCGCTGAACCAAGATGATCTCAACGAGAAGCTGATCGGTATTAAGCAAGTGCCTGGTGGTGCGATGCAAGACTCGCTGCTCATTCAGGGCGTTGCGTTCAAGAAGACGTTTGCGTATGCTGGCTTTGAGCAGCAGCCGAAAACGTTTACGAACCCCAAGGTGCTGTGTCTCAACGTGGAGCTGGAGCTCAAGGCGGAGAAAGACAATGCGGAAGTGCGTGTGACAGACGTAAATGAGTACCAAGCGATTGTCGATGCGGAATGGTCGATTATCTACAACAAGCTTGAGAAGATTGTCGAGACGGGCGCGAAAGTGGTTCTGTCGAAGCTGCCGATCGGTGATCTCGCGACGCAATACTTTGCGGACCGTGATATTTTCTGTGCGGGCCGTGTACCGAACGAAGATATGCAACGTGTGGTGCAAGCTGTGGGCGGCTCTGTGCAGTCGACCGTGTCTGACATTGACCCTGCGCGCCATCTCGGCACGTGTGGCCGCTTTGAGGAGCGCCAGATCGGCGGAGAACGCTTTAATATCTTTACCGAGTGTGTCGGCGCGAAGACGGCGACGATTGTGTTGCGTGGTGGTGCCGAGCAGGTGATTGCCGAGATTGAGCGCAGCTTGCATGATGCTATTATGATTGTGAAGCGTGCGATGAAGAACAACGACGTTGTCGCTGGCGGCGGCGCTATTGAGATGGAGTTGTCCAAGTTGCTACGTGAGCATGCTCGCACGATTCAAGGCAAGCAGCAAATGATCATGACGGCGTACGCCAAGGCTTTGGAGTGCGTCCCCCGGCAGTTGGCCGACAATGCTGGCTTTGACGCGACGGATCTGCTGAATCAGTTGCGTATGCAGCATGCGAAGGGCCACACATGGGACGGCATCGATGTGACCACGGAAGGCGTGTCGAACAACATGGAAAAGTTTGTGTGGGAACCTGCGCTCATCAAGATCAATGCGCTGGGCAGCTCAGCCGAAGCTGCTCGTATCATTCTGAGCGTTGACGAAACGATCAGTGCCAAGCAAAATGAGCCGCAAGGGCCTGGGCCTGCGATGCCGCCCGGCACCGCGCAGCGTGCGCTTCGTGGTGGAGTGCCGCGTAGGTAGTGTGTAGACACGAAGGGGAGCGGTCGCGACGTCGGCTTGCAGCCTCCACCTGAATTTGGGGCGATTTCGAAGATCTGTGCGCCTTAACGATGCGCCTCTATGCGGCCGGCTCCAACAGTGAGGGGCAGTTGGGCGTAGGCCATACGGACGACATGGCGTCGTGGACGCCATGCGAACAGGACGATGGATGTGCGTTTCCACCGCCGGGCTGGGACATACAAGCCTGTGTATGCACGTCGTCAGCGACGTGGGCTCTGTGTACGCACGCCGACGCCTCGGCTCGTTCGCTGTACGTGTGTGGGCGTACAGCCCATGCAACGTACCGTGCGTTTACACGCGTGCCATGCAAAGCGATCGGTATTGACGCTGGGCCGGACGATGCGCAAGTGACAATGCTAGCAGCCAGCTGGGATTGTGTCTACATCGTCGTCCGAGGACCGGAGGCGGACGATATCTACGCCTATGGCGGCTCGGCATGGGGCGAAGCAGGGCCGGCCCATGAGCCTGGCGCGTACGCCACACGCATTCCGCTGCAGATCGAGACGGTGGCCTATACATCGACGCCGCTCTCGTGCGAGTCGCTAGCGCAGGCCTCGGTGCGTATTCGTGCCGTGCAGGCGGGTGTGCGGCATGTGGTTCTGCATGTTGTATGGGAATCGACGGCGTCGCATGCGATCGTGTGCCATGGCATCCTTGGATGGGGTCATGCGCGGCATGGTCAGCTCGGTCCGCCGCCGCCGCCATCGTCGCGCGGCATGTACACACGCCCGATCGCCGTGTGCCTATGGCCACCGACAAAGAGCGATACCACCGTGTACCTGGCTGCGGGCATGCAGCATACTGTGCTGGCGTGGGCGACGCCGGCCCACACGGAGCTGTGGGCTTTGGGCCAAGCGCGGGACGGTCAACTGGCGCTGCCTTTCCCCCGGTCGGACGTGTGCCCTGCCTGGGCCCACCGATTTGATGTGGATGGGCCTGCGATGCCGCTGTGCCAATGGAAGACGACGTTCGTCTGGGCTGGCGCGGCGCTGCATGCGTGTGGTCGCGCGTCGCATGAGCAAACAAGTGGGACGTCGCTCTCGATGGCGCACGCCCAGGCGATGGCCGCAGGCAGTGAGCACTGCCTTGTGCGCACAGCGTCAGGCGACGTGTATGGCTGGGGATGGAATGAGCATGGGAATCTGGCGCACAGTCCTGATGCGGCGGCGCTCGCGCCACGTCGTGTGTGGGATCATCGTGCTGATGCTGGGCGTGCACAGCGAATGTGGGCCGGGAATGGCACGTCGTTTCTCGTTGTATGAGTTTCGTATAGTACAATATATCACCTATTTACGCGGGAGTGAGCCATAGCAGGCCAGGTTGAGAGCGATCACGGAGGAGGCGCCATGGATATGTCGGGCGAAGGTCCGCCTCGTCCTTCGTGGGCATAGGCGGCACCGGGAACGACGTCGCGTTGCCGTCCAGCACGGCCTGCAGGATCTTCTGCGCCAGCTCGGGCGGGTCGTCGGGCGTCATGCAGCGGCGAATGACGTCGAGAATATGCTCGGTCGTACTCTCGATTTCCAGTGCCACGGTGCCATTCCAGCCGTGATGCGCATCGAACGCACACTCCAAAAAGTCGGGGAGTTCATGGAGGGGCATGTTCATGGTAAACGCGGTACGATACACCCACTTGGTCAGGCGGTATACTTGGCCATTGGGGCCTACCGTGTCCACATTGTCACGCACCAGCTGCACGGACGGCAAGAACAGGTGGCGCCACGGCGCCACGTCCAAGTGCATCAGCGGCGTGGAGTCTGGCGGGAGCACCATGTCGTAGTATGTCGGTGGGAAGAGGAACATGTTGAGGTACGATGGAATGTGGGCGTGCGTCGTGTTTTTAGTGCACAGCAGCTCAAATCCTTCGCCATTGAAGATGAAACGATGGTCGCTGGCCGTATTTATGACCACATCGCCGCGCAGCAGGAACCGCCAAATGCCCGCAATGAACAGCTCACGCTCCATACGCTGCAGCTCCGTGCTAAACAGCGACGGATCGCCGTGAGGCAGGGGCGCCCACGCACGGAACGTCGACACGTAGCCAGGCGCATGCACCGTCGCTAGCGTACGCAGCTGAACGCCGTCCGGCCCAGGCGTCTCGATGGACACCGGCACAGGGTGCATACCGCCTGGCTGCATACGCACACGCGCCAGGATGCGGCTGTACGCGCGTGTTGCCGCACGTGCCATACGTGGGATCCGGCGGTCCAGACGGTGGCCGGCGGTCGTGTATGCTTCCGCTGCGATGGCCAGCTCCGGCTCCGCGTACAGGTACAGCAGGAACGACTCACACTCGCGCAGGCTGATCGGCAGCGGATCGGGCACGCGCTCCACAGTGCCCTTCTCGTCGGTGACGATGGTCTCGTCCCATGTCAGGTACCCTATCGGACGCAGGAACTGCTCCAAAATCGACTCATGCACCGCCGGCTGCTGCAGCACCGCGCGAATCGAGTGGGACACATTGTATAGGTGGAGGATGTCGGACATGTCGAGCTGCGCCAGAATCCGCTGCACCGTGTATGGCTTCGTGGAGGTAAACACCAATTCACCGAGGTCGCTCACGCGTTTGTACTCGGACTCGGCCTCGGGCGAGTCGTCCGGCGCCAGGACGAAGCGGGTGCGATCAATCTTGTGTGTTGGATCCGCCAACCCGTGGATCGTGAAGCCCGGCATGTAGCGCACACCGCCGTCTCGGTAGGGGCCCACAGGACGCACGACCCAGTCCTCGTCGGCGACCACCGACATGTCTGCACTCGCCATGGATATGGTCGAGTGGCGGAACCAGCTGGTGAGGCTCTGGCGAATGGTCGGCGTGACCTGGACCGACGGCAGCACGGGCAGCGCAAGGCCAGGCACACGATGCTCCAGCAGGTACGACATCCAGCCAAGCATCGGGTGCGACTCAATCGCGTCGTCCCTCGGCGCGCGCGCCAGCTCGGCAAAGCGCAGGCCACGTGCACCTGTGGCCACCGGTGTCGAAGGCTCATCGTCCTCGGTGTCGCTCCCTGCGCGAATGGTCGTTGCCTGCGAGCTGCCGCTCACCTGGCGACTGCCCGTCATCTTCGCCAGAATGCCCGTGATCGCGGGCTTTGGCTCTTTCGAGACGATCTTCGTGCGCTGCATGAGCTGCGTGAGCTGCGTAAAGTCCGTCGCATCCGACGCGCGCGACGTCGTAGACCGTTCCGTCTCGGCCACCGACGACGTCTCATCGTCGCCATGCTGCTCTTCCATGCGGCGCGCATGGGTACGTGCCATACGATCTTCATCGTCCGCCTCGCGCTTCGCACGCTTGAGCGCCTTCTCTTCCATCTGGATCCGCTGCAGATCTTCACGCTCACGATCCGCTTGGGCCTGCAACAGCGCCTCGCGCTCCTTCTGCTCTTTCTCGATGCGGGCACGCTCCGCCGCTTCTTGTGCCTCGCGTTTCAGCCGCGCATCGCGCTCCAGCTGCGCGAGCTTTTCACGCTCACGCCGCTCCTTGGCCTCGCGCTCTTCACGCTCCAAGCGTAGCGCACGTTCCTGCCGCTCGCGATCCTCACGCTCAATGCGTTCCAGGCGCTCTTTCTCTTCGCGTGCCAATCGCTCTTCACGCTCACGCGCCTCGCGCGCACGCCGCTCCGCCTCTTCACGCTCACGCTCCTGCCGCGCCAACTCCGCTTCCAAGCGCTTCCGCTCTTCTTCGGCTCGTCGCTCCGCTTCCAGTCGCGCTTGCAGCGCCGCTTCTTTCTCGGCCAGCATCCTGGTGTGCCGCTCCATCTCGATGCGCTCGCGCTCTTCCTGCACTCGCCGTGCCTCCGCAGCGAGTGCCTCGTCACGTCGTTTCTGCTCGCGCTCCATAGCTTCCGCCAATAAACGCGCCTGCCGCGATCGCTCCGTCTCTGCCCGCTCCGCCTCCGCGCGCATACGCTTCTCCAGTCGCAAGCGCTCCGATTCCAGTCGCGCAGCCTCGCGGCGTTGCTCCCGCTCCAGCGCGATACGTCGCTCCCGCTCGGCCAAGTCGGCCAGGCGCTGCCGCTCGCGACGCTCTTCCTCTTCGAGCCGCTCTTTCTCACGCTCGTACTCTTCCTCCTCCTGGATGCGGCGACGCTCTTCCTCTTCACGCTGCCGTTCACGCTCCAGCGCGGCTTCCGCCTCCGCCTCTTTCTGACGAAGCTCTTCTTCCAGTTGCAGCCGCGCGGCTTCCGCCGCCGCTTCCGCTTCAGCTGCCGCCTCCAGCTGGCGTCGACGTGCCTCTTCTTCGCGTCGCTGCCGCTCTTCTATCGCTTCGCGACGGCGCTGCTCCAGAGCCCGCTCCTGCTCTTGCAGGGCACGACGAAGCGCTGCTTCACGCTCGCGCTCTTCACGCTCACGCTCCAGTTCTTCTTGCTGCAGCCGCTTGACAATTTCCAGCCGCTGCATCTCGGCCTGCTGACGTGCGAGCGCTTCCGCTTCGATACGCTCCCGACGCTCGCGCTCACGGTCCGCCCGCTTCTGGCGAGCTGCTCGTCGCTGCTCGTCCTTGGGATCAAACCACACCTCCTCGTCGGACGCCATACTGTCGTCAAACGCACGTGCATCTTCAAAGTTGTCCGCGGACGACGGCGTCGCTGTCAGCTCTGCCATGTCCACTTTCGACGAGGCTGGCGGCGTCTGAGGCCGTTCCAGCCGGTATGGCGAAGCTTCTGGGCGCATATGCGTCGCAGGATCAGCATCGTCCCGTAGAAGGACTGGCGAGGCTTCGCGTCGGCGCGACATGGACGAACTCGCACGCGGCCGACCTTTGGACCGCGATCGACGGCCTTCGTGGGTCGCCATCGATGTACTGGCGCGTGGACGTTGCCGACGTCGCAACTCTTCGCGCACAGACAATTTGCGTGCCACCTTGGGACTCTCTGTGCCACCCACCTCCACTGGCATCGGCGGGAAGCGTTCGCTGGACTGCGCACGCACCGAGCGTCGCAGCTCGGCATCGCCCGCGGACGCCGCACGCAAGGGCGGCAGGGGCGGCGGCGGCGACGCCGGCGACGTCTCGCGGAGAGGCGGCGACGTGGCCTTGGCACGTTGCTTACGACGAGGAGCGCTGAGGCCGCGTGTTCGTGGCGGAGGCGATTGCGTGTAGGCGGCATGCCTCTCCCGCTCCTCGTTCAGCCACTGCTCGTCGCGAAGTTTCTGTGCTTCCTCTTCTAGGGCATCGTTGTCGCCCACTGCAATGGTTGCTAGTGTGACCAGGTCGTTGGATGGTATACGTGAGGCGCCATGGGTTTGCTCGCGCGGTACGGACGCCGATGCGCGTGGCGCCGCCGCTGAGCCCAGAGGCTTGAAGGGCACAGCGGGATTTTGAGGTGGATCGTCTTCCTCGTCATCGTCGCTCATGGAGTGCAGATCAGCCATGCGATAGGTAGGTTGCGAAGGCCGTGACTGCGGTTTCCGCTGGCGCGTGAAAATAGGCTCAGACGGTGTCGAGTTTTTCCACGACTCGTTGACGAGACGTAGCGTGACTGCATCCGAGTCCTCGTTCTTCTGTGGCGAGGTCGGCGATGCTAGACTTGTGCGGCGTATGCGTCCGCGGATCACATGGGCCTCCTCGTCCAGTGGAAGGTCCGCTATCCGTGACGACGACGTATGCCGTGGCGATCGGCTTCGACGCATGCGACGCTCGTCTGAGGCTTTGACACGCAGCAACGGGTCGTACACTACTGCATCATTCGCAGACGCACGTCGACGTGTGCCCGATGGCAGCGACGTCGCTACGCCGGGCACGGCATGCGACAAGCCTGACCCCTCCAGCTCGTGCGCCTGCCACGATGGCGCGTGGGCAGCCGAGGATGGGCCTGAGTGCGCCTGCCCTGGCTCCATGAACCGTATATTCCGTGTCGATGCAGATGCCATAGGTGCATCATACTCACGCCGGCGCGGCGGTTTATGCGTGCTAGGGTGCATACTCTAGCAACGACGACACTGGGGTTTAAACCTCCCAGAGCTGTATGTAACATCGAATCGAAGCTCTCAGTCTGCGTGCATCTACGCTCGGCCGAATGCAAGGCGCCTTGCATGCGATGCTTAATTTTTTAGGTGGAGGTTGTCAGGTGGAGTGCGGGGCAGACAGGCCGACAGCTGCGGTCGATCGAGCACATACGAGCGACTATGTACAAACGGGGCGCTAGGACCAGTTACAAGCACCGTTGATTTAGCATGTGGATGTGGGAGCATAGAGCGTACCACAAGTATGGGCGTTGGCCTAGGCATTGGCGGTCCATGCGCGTAGGCAGACGGCCCAGTGGCCTGCACCAGGAATCGCTCCCAGCCCATCAAGTCCCAGAAAAACAGCAAATGCGGCTGAAGAATCACATGAAGGTGGCGGCTGCGTACGTACAAGTACGCATCGTCCAAGCTCCAGTCCATATGCGCCAGCACGTAGGCAATGACCACCGTGGCACTTCGGTTCACACCATGTCGGCAGTGGACCAACACCTTGCCGCCAGCGAGCCGAGCTTGTTTGACAAAGGCCAATACGTCCAGGAAGTATGTGGACGACGCGTGTCCAGCCCATCGTCCATCACCTGGGCCACGTGCAAAACGGTCACCTGCGTGGGCCGCCCCTCGTCGTTGGCCATCGATTCGCCCATAGACACCACATGCGTAATGCCCATCGCCTGTAAGAGAGATTGGTTGTTGGCGTGATCCAATGTACCCAAGTACAAGAATGGAAGAACCTTGGACGATAGGCACCCATGGAAATGTGCACTCTTTATCCTGGCACTGGCACGCCTCGTGCGTCGGCCTTTTGCTTTTCCATCACTTCCAGCACATGTTTACATTTCGGCGTGACGTAGAAGGCACGTTGCATCGTTTCTTGGAGATGTGGGTAGGCGGACGGCAGCGAAAAGCCGTGCTTGCATATCAAGTAGCTCAGCGCCAAGAGCGACGTGTTTACGAACCCATCTCGGCAATGAATCAAAATACGCCGCGGGAGGTGCGGCGCTTGGCATGAGGATGGATGTGCCAGAGCATACATCCATGCGCATACCTGCAGAATCGAGGCGGAAAGGCCGGTACGTCTTCCTCACAGGCTGGCAGGACGCCCCAGCTGAGATGGACAACAGGGCAGAGGTACGTCGTCGCTTAAATCCTGTTCATTATACGCCAGTAAATTCTCACGTAGTTGCTGCAGCCAACGTTCCTATGGCATAGAATGGGAAGGCTCCATTTGTACACCGATAGCAAAGGGCTCGGACAAGGTCTGTTTTAGATCGCTCGAGGGGCCCACAAACACATTGGTGGTAATAGGCGTAGCATGGCTGCGGCCTGTTCGCGCTCTAGGAGCGATACATGGTGATTCACGTCAACAGATGCGCGCATGTGCGTAGGGTATGCTTCGGCGGTCATCCCTTGTGTATCGTATACGACAATATCCGCGATACGGGCATAGTACGCACACTGCGAGGCAAAGTCGCGGATGTGAGCTCGGCTCAGAGGGGAAGAGAGTTGCAGGCATCCGCCTTCGCCCATGGGGGCCAACGTAGCCCGATCCAGTTCCTGGCTCATGCCAGCCAGAGGTCACAGCGTAGGCTCAGGCTGTACTCGTGACATCGTCGTGGATCATCAAAAAGCACCACGGGCACGCTGAGGATAGTTGGATGGGAGTGACGCCTTTAATTCGCGCGGCCCAGGTGGGGTAGTCATCTCGGGCTGCGCATCTCGCCTGTTTCTCGTAGGCGAAAGGCGCCAGGGACTAAATGAAATTCGATCGGCGAGCGAGGGGTCGGTCGCTTGGCTACGGCGCCAGCTGTGCCTTGGGAGTGCCACTGGCTCGGCGTGAGGTGCTTACCTAAGACGTGCCGGGTCATGTGATGCATCGCCGTGCCCTCTCTCTTTCTTCCACACCTATGCTCGGCGGCTCGGTAGTGCGAGCAGCGGCGGCGATGCGCGTCTGCGCTGCGCCGACACAGTGGGTGCGTACGTTCGCCATTTCGCGACTCGTATGCCAAGAGACCAAGGCCGAGTGGACGCCCCTTTCGCAGCGGGTAGGCCTGATTACACGTAAGAAAGGCATGACGACCATGTTCACGCCGGAAGGCCAACGTGTGCCTGTGACTGTGCTGTACGTGGACAGCAACCAGATTTCGAAGCATATCCGCCATGAGCCGGCCTCGTCTGAAGAGGCCCCGTATATCGCGATGCAAGTCGCTGCGACCGATGCCCGGCCGCAGGCCGTGACGGCGCCTGTACGTGGCCACCTTGCCAAGGCGGGGCTGGGCCCCAAGCGTGTGCTGCGTGAGTTCCGTGTGTCGGAAGATGCACTGGTGCCGCTTGGTACGCAGCTCTCCGCCGCGCACTTTGTGCCGGGCCAGGATGTGGATGTGCGTGCGATCACACGTGGTAAGGGCTTTGCCGGTGTGATGAAGCGCCACGGCTTCGCCGGAGGCAATGCCTCGCATGGTGCCTCGCTTGCGCACCGTACCCCTGGTTCGATCGGTAACAACCAGGACCCCGGCCGTGTGTTCCCAGGCAAGCGCATGCCTGGACGCATGGGTGGCCACTACCGCACTGTGCAGAATGTGCGTGTACTGCGTGTGGATGTGAAGAATGAGCTGCTGTTCGTCAAGGGCCACGTTCCTGGGCCGGAGGGCGGTGTCGTCCTTGTGCGGGATGCGCTGAAAAATCTGGTGAAGAACGCATACTTTACGTATCGCCGTGGCCAGACGCCGGCAGGCGAGCTGTTGGACCCTGCGAAGGGCGCGGCACAGTACTTGCCGCGTGGCTTGACGGGTCTGCCGTTCCCGGCCGGCACACGCGAGATGGCAGCGGCGCTGCCGGACGTGATCGAGGTCGGTCCATACCCATAAATGCCGACCTTGTACATAGCATCCTAGGCTCTACATGGTGTGCTATTGATTGACTTGCGCCACGAGATGATAGATGGCTTGACGGACACGTACGAGGTTCATCGATACGTTGCCCTCAATCACAATACGCCCATCGGCCTGCTTGGCCACACGCACAGGCCGATCGCCCTGCTTGTCGGTGCAGATCATCACACCTTCGCCGGCAAAATCCGCGCGGATGCGGTGCTCACGTGCCAAGTACGCTTTGAGCGCCGATAGACGCAAGTCGCCCACGTACAAGGTCGAGGGCGCCTGCGCAGCATGCAGCGTAGCTGCGTCGTGCACGGGCATCAGTGTCGGCGTATCTGCATCGCCTGCAAAATCAGGCGCGACGTGGACGTGGACCACTTGGTACTCTTCCATCTGACGCCAACGCAGCTGGCTCATCAACGTATCCCCGAGACGCACACTGTACGAGTCGACGAGGCCCCCCACCGTCACTGTCTCGCCGAGACTTGGCATGTACAGCTCGTACTTGCTCAGCGTCGTGCGCATCTCCGCAAACGTCGTTGCGTCGCCATTCACCAGAATGACGCGGCGTGGCTGCAATTGGGGAATTAAGGTCGTGAGCGCTCGTCCATCGTACAAGCCCTGCAGATCGACGTAGATGGCGCGGCATCGTACTGCGGCATGGAGCGTGTCGGTGGTATACTTGGACGGCACCTCGGACGGTGCTGTGGCTTGGGCCTTCGTCCGCGCTTGCTGCGCAGCCGCACGTCGGAATCGCTCGGGATCAAGCTGCTCTTCCTGCTCGGCCTCCAATCGGCGTCGTCGCGCAAGCCATCGCGCGGTATCGATAGCCTCGCCGTAGCCATCGACACGCCGCTTGCGCTCCGCCGCAGGGAACATACGGTAGTGCTGCCCGGCATCGCGACTGGCATGGCCACGTAGGTAGATATCGAACGAGATCTCCGTCGACTCTTTGGTATTCATCGCGTCCGGCGCAATGTCGCGCGTCGACATGAGCCGACGATGCGCAAGAAGCTCGCCATCGTTGTCTTCATCCATACTTGAGTCTGACGACGAGCCATCTTCTTCGTCGTCCATTTCATCGGCGTCAGCTTCACGCTGTCGTGGCGCTACCTTTACACGCTGCGCCTGCGCCTGCGCCTCAGCCTGCTTCCGCTCATGGTACGCACGCAGTTCGTCGCCAGCCAGGGGCACTCGACGCCGCATCTCATAGGTAATCGTGCCGCCAAGTGTCGCCGCCGTGCCGATGTGCCCTGTGCGCCAAGCCAATGGATCAGACTGTGTCGCATTCCACCGGTCAAACAGCGTCCGTAGCAGCGAGCCACGTGGACCACAATCGATCATGGCCAGCAGCGCATCTGGATCACAGAGAAAGTCTGGCAGCAGCTGCCGAGCTAGGCCATGCGTGATCGCAGCTGGTGTCGCCAAAACGACCTTCACTTGCGAAGCAGAGAGCGCCTGATGCAGTGCTTCCACGGACGTAAAGTACCGCACGCCAGGGAAGTCCAGCGGCGACTTGGTCAGTGCCTGGCTTTTGGTTCGTCGCGCACGCTGCTTGTCCGACGCGTCCAGGAGCTGAATAGCCCACTCACGCGACATCCACTCCATAAACGTACGTGCACGTTCCACGACTTCCTGGCCGGTATGCGAGACCAGGCACAACGGGAAGCGTTGGTGCTGGTACGCGTACGCCCAATGCTGATCCAGCAGCACGAGCACTTCCAGCATACGCGCAGCACTATCCACAGGGATCAAGACTGAATGGCCGCCTGTTAGGGTACGATGCACTTGCTCAAGCAGCGCAGCATCACGGTCTTTTCGGCGCGCATTGGTACGCTGACCACGTTCTACGCCTGTGATAAACACGTCGGGCCGTCCTACCGTGTGTGCCAGCGGCGCTGCAGCGCCGACAGACACCAACGCTGTGCCATCCAAGTGACGCTCGCGATGATGGTTCCAATCGAGGGCCATGACCAATGTACCGACCGACGGGGAACGCAGCTTCCATACTGTGCCTCCCAAAGTGTGGCCTGCATTGTAGGCTGTGAGTACGAGGCCGGCGCATTTGCCTTCGAGCGGCGTTGGCTGCAAGTATCGTACGGTGCGAATAGCCTCAAAGGCTTCATCGACTTGCGCTTCTGTTGGAAGGCACCGTGTCGACGCTTCAGAGGTGCGGTCCACTTCGTTGCTCCATCCACGCACGATATCTAGCATCTGTAGACGGCCCATGGCCTGGACAGGCAGTGTGGCATACACAGGGCATTGCAGACCATAGTGCGTGTAGGCATACGCATACAAGCCCATATGCGCCATCTCCGCATGCGCAAGCAAAACCACATCAATAGTCGATCCAATTCTGAGGTTAGCGGACAGTCACTACGTACGTTTGCAAGATCTCCGGCAATGTGCCTTGTAGCTCAGTGCGCTCACACTTGACAGACGTCGCCTCGAAACACAAGTCTTCCGGCGCGCCACAGTCCAGCAAGATACGCGCATTATCGATCTCCAGCAAGTATGCTAGAGCGCGTGGATGCTCCGCATGCGCACTGCTCTGCTCCGCCACATACGGGGCAGAGAGCGGCGTGAACTGCAGCATGTCGCAGCAACACGACGTCGAGCGACGCACCGCGACGGCCTAGGGGAGGAATGGAGGTGTGTGCTACGCTATGGCCTCCACTATAGATCGGCTTCCCCCTCGTCACCGCCGGCGAGCCACGCGATGTCGTCGATGGACAACTCGTCCTCGTTGAGCGAGGCGTCCTCGTCCTCGTCCGACGATGCATCAGCAGAGAGTTGTGCTAAGACTCCCCACCATCGCGCAGGGACGTGCCGCTCCTGTGGCTTGGCGGCGGTATCCCATCGAAAGGCGGCGACCATAGTTGACCTGTTTTCCAGGCAGGCTTCCTGGTACGTCGGTGGGAACGACAGCGGGTCTGTGCCGATCTCTTTCTCGAGAATTTGTGTGGATACATAGTAGATACCCGTCTGTATGTCAGCATCCATGTACGTACATCGTCCATCTGGACACAGCTGCATAGCTCCATGGGCCACATGCTAGTCTCGTCCTCCATCATCATATCCATTATGTCTGTCCATATGTAGGTGGAATATGGCGCATGCGTAGGTCCTTGAACGTCTCTAGACGAGCGAGGGACCACCGCCGAAGGCGCACATAGGTCTACCATCAGGACCATGCCATGCACGACCACAACGCGGCCTTGGTGCACGGCAAGGAACCCTGGTTTTTGGTGAGCTAGAAAGAGACCCCAATGCGGCGGCAACAGACGTCGGTGTTGCCAGCCAGAGGCATCCTCTGTTGCACAGACTTGGTACACAGTTCGTGGGAACTCCATAAACGTCACTCGGAGCGACGCACCCTGCAAAAAGTGCGCTTGGTAGCCATGCAAAAACAGCAAACCGCCATTGCACAAAACAACGAGCGTATCTGTGAAAGGATCAGGGTGGATAGCCATCCACGCAAGGGGGCCACGAAGCGTTTCAGACGCAAGAGGGCCAGTACCGCCTAGAGCACTGGCAGGTGTGCTCATAGGGTGTCGTTGGAAGCATGGCATAGTAGGCGTAGGAGCACATGCCGGCTCAAAAACGTCCATGTGATCCTCTTGCAAGACAAAATCACGCATAGTCCATACAATCTCGCCCGTCTCACGCCGCAGAATTGTGACGGCGGCTAGGCCATAGCCTACAACAAACGCGAAATGATCATCAAAGTCTGCATTAGTACACTTTTACACACCAATATAGTTGCTGCGAGTAAGCCCATTTGTACGTACATATTACCCTGCTGATGTCGTGTGGGGTGCAGCGACATGGTCCGCGTCCATGCTTCACGTGTTACATCGTACTCAACAAGATGTCCGTCAATGGTAGCGCAGAGGAGCGTGGGGTATTGAAATCGGTACGCTAGTATACCATGCGGTGCTTCCAAAATCGTTTCTTGTCGGTACGCACCACGCCGTGGCGCGGGGATATCGTCGCAGCATCGCTCGCTCTTCCATATTTCAAAGTGGCCAGGGCCTGAGGTTAGTCGTGGGACACGTACCCAATCGATCAAAAATCATCCAGCCTTCGGACCATTCCAAGTGTGGATGCTCACGTGTCTCAGAGCGTGGTAGTGACCACAACACGTCGCCTGAATGAGCATCCAACGTCCGAATGCCGCCATGACAGCCTGTGACAATAACACAATGATCCACAGGATCGAGCTTAATACGCCATACATCTTCTTCCCAGCCGGCCGGTCGAAAGTATTGGCACTGTGGATGCAGCTCTACGACACGCTGCTCGTCTTCAGGCTGGGTCGCGAGGCGTCCTAGACATTCGTCCAGCCGCCGTCGCTTGTGTACAAGCTCAGAGAACGTGCGCACATCATCCCAATACCCTGTGATACTTCCATAGGCAGGATCTGTACGATACCGTTGCAAGGCCATCGGTAGCGTATCGCTTGGCCGAATATACTGTGCCTGAACAGCATGACGTCGCCAAAGCCATTCATCGTGGGCAATATGGAACCATTCTAACGTGAGCGCAGAGCAACATACGTTGGCATACAAGAGAAGCTGATTGTAGAGACGGTACATCCAATTCGCTCAAGATAGCAGCGACCACATCGCGTGGCCACAGCTTGGCCTTAGCCATGAGCGTCGAAAGAGAGCAGCAGGTGGCTATGTGGAGGGGTTCAAGACGCACGGGCGTTTCGCCGTGCCTACGTAACGTGCCATGTGGACAACGTCGAAGTGGTTCTATGCTGCTCCGCCTGTCTTTGGCGGGCTACGCAGTAGATGGACGTCTGCATGTGAGATGCACTTTGTACCTACCTGGTCCATCTGTATGGCATAGTTTTGGGGGATGGGCCATGCACTTGCGCTAGTCGAATCGGTCCAGATCATTTCGGACCATTCGTACACAGTAAACGGTACACACACACCTGGCCGCGATACCCGCGCATAGATGTCCGGCACAGGCTGCTTCGACAAAGAGGAGGGCACGCGCAGGTCGAGCAACGTACACAGGCCATGCACAACCAATACGCGGCCCTGGCAGACGGACAGGCTGCCCATCCCATGCAACTGTAGTGCACGCATCCAATCACGAGGCAGGTGCTGGGGTGACATGGGTTGATAAGGTCCTGGCATAGTTGAGGCAGCTGAGGCCGGCCGCTGCTGCGGAAAGGCATACAAGCACAGCGACGGCGGAATCAGGGAATGCGTTAAATACGATACGTGTCGTAACAGCAGTACACCTTGCGAGGAAAGGGCGACCATTGTATCAGTACTGCTGTCTAGTTCCACTTTGTACCACTCACTCCATCCTAACGCCCCCGCATGCTGCCAGAGGCGACGTGCATGTGTCCATGTTTGCGGCGCTCTGACTTGGTGCACAAAGCGCTGCTGAAAGCATGGGCGAGACGGCGCGGGGCTTGAGTCTGGCGTGTAATATGGTGGAATGCCATGCAAAGCCATATGAGAATCCAAAGTCCACAAGATACGGAGGTACGAGGAGTTCCGGTCAAAGATCATAAGGCCTTCACTAGCACCACAAGAAATCACAATGAACTTGTCATCAAAGTCTGGGTAAGTATGCAAATGCGTACCTATCGAATGACTGCTGGTAAGCACGAGTCATACGTACATCATTTGGTGCGTAAGTCCATGAATATATACTCGGTGATGCCGGGTGATAGTACGGTGTACAATGTTCATCTGCACAATGTACCGATCCGACGTAATAGCCACAAGCCATGGGAAACGAAAACGAAACGCCGAAAAACGGGCCATGGGCGAGTGTGTATCCAAGAACGTATACCTCTGGTACGCGCCGCGCCTAGGATGCTCGAGACCGGGTACAAGTGACTCGCTCTGCCATACTTCCAACCGGCAGTGGCCTATGTTAGTTGGCCAATGTACAAACCTCGCTTTTCTAAGACCATCCAGCCATCGGATACGTCAAAAAAGGGAATCAAAGAGGGAATATTGTATGGAGAGTCGGTATACAATGGCATGGACCATAGTATGGCCCCAGTATCCGCCTCCAACGCTGCCAACAATCCGTCGCGCGTAGTGCACAGCAGGCATTGATTGACATGGTCGATGTGCATATCCCACACGTCAGACAACAAAGGATCCAGATTCCGCTCAGAGTACGTGGGCAAGAGGGTTTGATACTCCAGTGCCTTGGCATTGCCTCGGCCCCAGGCCTGATCCAGACGTTGGCGGATATGGAATAGCTCATGGAATGAGTTCATCGTGGAGAAGGGCTGGTACAAGCTTGCCCATGCCTTAGAGATACGGTGTTGGGTCCATACTTCCTCCCATGACCGGTGGCGCTCGACATAGCCGCACGCTATGGCACGTTTCCACACTCTAAGATGAGACCGAGCAACAAAGTGCCAATCTGGTCGATGTCAGCGCTAATCGTAGCGTACCGCGGCATGTACGGCTAGCAGCCAGAAGGCTATCAAGATCCAAGCGCGAAAATATGGCGTCCAGGAGAAGGTAGGGGAACATCGTACGGCTGGCAGGATGAGGACGAAGAGCCAGCCGGCCTTGTTATATAACAGGCACAAAGTGCGTGGCATCGGCCGATGCCATGAAGACGATAGTTGGGGATCTGTATAGTTCATAGCTGTGGAGATCATGCCAATCCAATACGAAGAGCATAGTGTGCATGAACTGGCTACGTTCTACGAATCACTTGGTGCAACACAACAGGGGTGCGAATCTCTGGCGTGACACTCTCATAGCCAATGGTCAACATGTCGCTCCACGAGAATTATGCGCACGGTCCATACACGTCGGCCGAACTCCACGAGGGCCGCTAAGACATTCAGCCTTTTGGCAAGCGACCATGACAGACGAACCGTCCGACGAGGCCATGGCACCGTCGCCTGTGACGCAACCTACCTCTGAGGGAGGTGTAAAGGTGGAGACGGAGACTAAATGGAGCACTGATCAAATGCAGAGGGAAGCGGAGCCTGACGCAGAAATGCAAGACCATGACAATGGTGATAACGAGGCATCCGCGGACGGCAAAGTTGAGGAGGAAGACCAGGCTGGCAACGCTACGCCTCCTCGTGATGCGGCTAGTGATGAAGAAGAAAAGACTCCGATGCGGCGCTCACGCCGCACGACCGCGCAGGAAGATGCCATGAAAGAAGACCCTACAGACGACATGGTCGACTATGACGAGGCGTCCGCCCAAGTGGATGGGGGCGATGCCGGCGACGAAGGCGTGACGCGCTGCATTTGTGGTAGCACTGATGAAAATTTAGGTTTGATGATTCAGTGCGAGACGTGCAAATGCTGGCAGCACTGTTCATGTATGGGTATGCATACGGAAGAAGATTGCCCTGATGTGTACTATTGCGAGCAATGCAGGCCTGAGAACCATATTGAGCTACTTCGCTCCTTGGGATTCCTTCCGTCCTCCAAGAACGGCAAGCGCGGTCCAGCACGGAGTCGGAATGCGAAAGAGACCGCACGTGAGCTACGGGAAGCGCGTGATGCTGTGCGTGCTATGGCCGAGGAAAATGCAGCGCGTCTCCGTGGGGAGATGACAAGTCGTGATCGACGGTCTACACAGGCTTCACGTACGGCTGCAGAGCCTCGAGCCACACCCAAGCGACGAACGCTGAACAGCCGCGACATTGGCGAAGATGGATGGGAGCAGATTCCGCCAGAGTTGCTCAGTGAGGAAACACAGCCTGTGGACGAAGACGTAGATGAGTCACGCAAGCGTAAGCGCAGCAACGAGGCGCAGGAGGAAACAGCGGCCAGTCAAGCACCAGCACAAGACGCAGGCAAACGCCGACGTACAGGTATGTCTGAGTCGCCTGTCAAAGAGCGACGCTCGAACGAGAGCAAACGTGAAACGCCTATGCCGGAACGCAGTCGGAAAGATCGATCGACGCCCTTGGCGCGGGACGTGGATGCGAAGTCCAAACACCCGAACCAATATACCTACCGCCAGCAGCGCCAGGATACGCCATTGAGTGCCGTGCCGGCACGTACGCGAGAAGCACGTCGCGCTGGACGCGAGAGTGTATCGCGATCAGGTACGCCATTGCCGGAGGCAGGGAGTCGCCTGCCGAACAATACGCTGCCGGAGCACCTGGCACATTTGGCGTACTTGATGCCGCCCATGGTCGGTGAAAGTACAGAGGAGAGCGAGACATCGACGCCGGCTGTCGTCGCGAAGCCTGGCGGTCCAGAGCCTTTTGCATTGGTGACACCGATCGATCCTGCGATCAAAATTCGATACCCACAAAAGCGCATGACGCTCGGTGAGATGCGGAAACGTGTGCGCACGATTGGCGAATATGTGACACGCGTCCAAATCGAGGCGGTAGAGCGCGAGAAGCGTGTCACATTTTTACGCGATCTAGCCAAGGTGTCCTCTACCACAGACGATGTGGCAGGCGAGGACCAGCAGCCAGAGGCTGAGCGCCAGGACGACACATCGTCGATTCACATGAGCATTCGACTGGTTGAACAGCTTACGCGTGACTTGAATACCTTCCAGCGGCGGTTTGCGCAGACAGGTTCTGTGTCACGCAGTGATGCTTCCACGGAGGCTGTATCTGCTCCATAGTGATGATAGATTTTACAAGGGTTCACGGACCTTCGTAAGAGGCAGCGAGGACGCAGCCTGGCTTGATCTGTGCGGTCCAGGCAGGTGGAGCAGGATGGCCTCGAGGAAAAAATGGAAACCACGTGGTCCCAAAAAAAAAAAAAAAAGCGCTGCCGACCTGCCTCAACGTTTGCTGTGCTTCGGCGTGCAGGAATCATGGCATCGTCGCTTGCTTCGCAGTTAGCGAGCATTCGATCGCACAATGCCTCACGTCTGGGAAGTGCTAATGCGCTAACGTCCCGTGATTCCTACCTATTCCCACCGCGCGTTGCAGCTGAACAGGACCATGAAACAGTGCACGCGCTGGGTGTGACCGGGTGGGAGCAATTGCTCGACGAGGACGCGACGCTTGCGCAGTGGCCGCATGGCACCTTGCTATTTGGTGAGAAGAGCGTCAAGACAGACCGTACGACGCTTCCCAAAGAAGCGAACGACGAAATTGATGTCGCCGTGTGTGAGCTGCTCTACTTGCTGGGCCCCGTGCTTCTTTCACGAAGCGCGGCCAAGTGCTTGGAATGGCTTGTTCGTCGATTCCGGATTCATGAGTATACTCCACGTGAGGTGCTTCGTGCTTTCATGCCTTATCATCTTACGCCGCAGTTTTCACGCATGCTGCAGCTCATTCAGGTCGAGCAGTTCCCCGACATGCAATTCCTCGCACCTGTGAAAAAGGCACAGACGCCGCTACCAACAAGTGTGCTCTTGCAGGCGATGAATGGTCATTTGGATCTTGTACGTTGGATCGCTACGGTGCGTGCGCCAGCTGGAATGCAGGTGTCGCGTGTGCATGTGCCTTTCTGGACATCGACACTAGTCCAATACTGCCTGTACCGTCGCACTCCCAAGCGCCGTGGCGGCGCAGATGCGCAAGCTGTTCTCGCTGTACTGCTACCTGAGATTCTGTACATGGCCAACGCTCAAGTGCACAGCAGTGAGGCGGTGATTGGTGCGTTGATGGTGCTGTGCTCAGTCAGCGCCTCGTTCTCCCTCACAGCCCAGGCCGTACGTGGGCTGCTAGAGTCGCTTGCGCGTATCCTTTCATCACCGCTAGCTTCTGATGTGGCGCGTGCGTGGGTGGCAGCGTGCATGTCGCTGTGTGCCAGCCCGGAGGACGTGGCTGACCCCCTCGGCGACGTGGCTGAGACGCAGCGTTTGCTCTCGACCTCAACAGTGCAGGCACTTCTGTCCCTCCCAGAGCTGACTGCCCAAATGTCTCGAGCTTTGGCTACGCATGACGTCGATGCATTTGCCGCTCAACTGCTTGGTGCCTTGATCGAGCATGTGGCGGACCCTAAAGCGCACACTTTGTTGTCATCTCTGCTGGATGAGCCATCGCTCCAAGAGGCGATGGCACAGAAAGCGTGTGTACGCCTCCTTCTCAGCACGGCCAAAGACACATGGGAGGCGCGTGTCGAGCTCCTGGCCCAGCTTCGGGAGCGTTACCCTGAGCGTTTGGACCAGGCCGTAGATGTCGCGCGCTCTCAGGACGAGGCGCAGACATGGCACGTTTTGCGTGCAATCCTGCAAACCCAAGCCACCGGACGTGTTCCTTCCGTGGCCGATGCCACGGACGATGTGGCCTTGTGGTTGGGTGTGCATGGTGCAGATGTGCATGCCCAGCACCTGGCTCTGAAACACCTCTTGACCCATGTCCAGCAGGGTCTCGTGCGTGCAAAGGACGTACTGGTACGCGAGGCGCTGATGGCCGCATTGCACAGTGGCTACGCCGTGCTTTTAGAGACGTTGTATGCGCCTGCGAACGCGTCGCTCTTGTTTGACGCAATGGATGCTACGTCATGGGCTGATCAGCTGGAAGCACGCATGGCGACCACCTCCATGACGGCCGAGGAGCTTACATGGCATGTACGGTTCCTCACCACAACACTACTAACGCATGCGCCATCGCTGCGTGAACGTGTGTGGCGCCGCATGTTGTGGCCGCATTTGTTGCCTACGGCACAAACGCCTGACCTGGTGCCGATGATGGCCAAAGCAGCTCAATCTCTGGATGGTGTGTACGCGCGTGCGATGCAGCAGGCGCAAGCGGAAACGTCGTCTACATCCGATGCTGTGACGTGGACCATGGCTCTGTGTGATGCGTTGGTGGCACAACTCCATACGTGCAATGAAGCGATGCTACTGGAGGAACTGGACCAGCTGTGCCGTGCCATGGATGCGCCGGTTTCCCCAGGAGGCGCGCTGGCCCTGATGGTCCTCAGCCAACTGCTGGCACAGCCTCAAGCGCTGCCGCCACGTGTATGGATCGCTCTGGCATACCGCATGATTACGTTGGTGCACACACACCAACTCCTCGCCGGCCAGGTGGAAGGTGTGGTTCTAGGCGATCGTGTTGGCCGTGCTGTGGTGCAGCAAGTGCATGACAAGCTCTCACGGCATAGCGTGCGCTTGTTGGGTGTGCAAGCGCTCTACGCTGTGCTCCGTCATGTACCCACAGCCGAGCTGGATGCCTCGTTGATGGTTGCTGTGCAGTGTCGTACCACGCCTATGGCACAGCTGTTGCTGCATGCGTACCAGACACTGCATGCGCCGGGAGTGGGCCGCGTAGCCTCCGCAAAGCTGGTGCCCGTGCTGTTCGAGCAGTTGGGGATGTACTCCTTCTCTCTGCTGGCGGGTGTGTGGACAACGCCGGGTGGTCAGCCACCGTCTGTCACCTCGACTACACTTGCGACATCCCCAACACTGGCAGCGCTAGCGGATGCATTGGCAGCTGGCGCGCTTGTGCCTACCAGTGACGTGCCTACACGGCTCATGGCGATGCGGCATGCAGCGCTCTTGGTCCAGGCTGCCACGTCGCAGGCTCGTCTCGTCGATGTACAGACGCTCCTGCCGAGTTTGTTAGTCGTGCTGCAGGACACCACAGCTGTGCTGCGCGACGCGGCGGCTCAGCTCTTGTGTGCATTGGATACGTGGAACAAGGTCAACGATGCACCTCGTACGATTTACGGCCTTGAAAAGGTGTATGGCGAAGCCAGCAGTGCGTTGCAGTACCTCGATACACCGACGTATGTCAAGTACACATCGCTTTTAGCGAAGGAAGCTGGTGCGTTTATCAACGATGCTTCCTTCCTCGCTTCTACGCATGCTGCTGTTCTACGTGGCAGCGGAAAGAAGGATACCTTGTTCCGTACCAAGGTGCTGTGTTACTTGCTCAGCCATGCTGTGTGTGTGCCGGAGCCCAGTGTGCGTGTAGCGCTCTTGCGTATGGTGCGTGACGTGCATGCCCCATGCAAGCTCACGACGGTGCTCCCTCTGCTGCAAGACGCGGTATCACAGCCGCCTACCGATGCAGAGTATGTCCACTTGCTCTTTGATACCATGGATGCGAGCAGTGTATCGGTGTTGACAGATCGCGATACGCATACATGGACGCTCCTCCTGCAAGCGCTGCGTAGCGATGCATCCACAGGCTTGGCACAGGCCGCCTTGGATACACTGCAGAATGGCTTGTGTGCCGCACTACCTGCTGATCTGCGGGAAGAGGCGTTCTTGGCCCTTGCCGAAACACTGTCCGATCCACACACGACCAGTGTACCGGAAGCTAGTGTGGCACTGCGTACGCTGCCAGTGTCGGACAGTGTATTGGTGCATGTCCTGCGTAAACTGTGCACGCAGCTCACAAGGGACGATGCAATGGACGACGATGTGCCGACATCGAAGCGTGCTCGCAGTGCGACGCACGAAGAGCCGATGCGTCATGCTGCTGTGATGCTGATCACCGTGCTGGAGAGCATGCAGAGTCGTACGCTAGGTATGGGCGCTGCCTTAGTCGCTGCGTTGTTTGACGTGGTGCGCGCGGCGATCGCGCAGAGTGCGACGCACCTTTTCAATGCAGAGTACCTTGTGCAGCTGGCCATGCAGAGCTTGTGCAATCTATTCGATCATGTCACGGTGCTGCCGACAGATGTGGCACAGGTGGTGCGTGCCGATACGATCGTGCATGCGATCAAAGTGTCGAGCAACATGCAAAGCATCAACCATGCGATTTTGTTGCTGGCGCGCTTTGCTCGTCTGGACGCCGAGTTGGTGTTGCACAACATTATGCCAATCTTCACGTTTGTGGGCTTGAATGTCTTGCAGCGTGACGACCGCTTTACGTTGTCAGTGGTTGAGCAGACGCTGCGCAGCATTATTCCTGCCTTTGTGAACGCCGTTCGTCCGAAAGTAATCAACGACAAGGATGCGCGCCTGGCGCTGTGGCGTGAGACACGCAGTCTCCTGCGTATTTTCTCCGATGCGTCGTCGCATATCCCGCGCCATCGTCGGCATGTATTTTTCCGTTTGCTAATCGATGTGCTGGGCACCGACGATTTCCTGGCGCCGGTGTGTATGCTACTAGCCGATCGCGTGGCGCACCGCGTGTCGAAGACACCGAGCAACAGCGCGACGCTCTTGCAGCTACCGCTTGGCCTCGTACGTGCCGAGCCGTTGCGTGTGCGTGTGCATGCGCTGAACCAGATGTGGGCCGAGATTGGTCGGCTGCTTTCGCATGCCGACGACATGTTCCTTGCGCCAGCGCCTAAGCGTGAGTACTCGGAGGAGCATCTGTCGCCTGTGCACCAAGCACTTACGTTGCTTCTATTCTTGCAGCATGCGCTGAGCAAAGCGGATGCGACGGAGGCGGATACGTGTGTGGACGAGTTGGAAGAGTATGCATGGCACACACTGTGCCTTGGTCCGGCCGATGAGACCGTTGCGCAGGCCCTGGATGAAGCACGTGCGCCTGTGCTGCGCATGCTGCCGGCCCCCGCGCTCTTATCGATGGCGTTGCAGCTGCTGCAGGGCGAGCGTGCTCGTTCTGGCATGCCGTGCAAGATCCCTGCATCGCTCTCGCGGGCATCTCTGGCGTCCTTGGGTCTGCAATGGCTCGAAGATATGCCTCACAGCAGCGCTGTGGCAGCGTCGCGCACCGATCATGTCGCGCTGTGGACGGCCGTGTACGAAGCTCTGATCTCTCTCTGGGAGTCGCACCGTGCTGAGCCGCTGGGCGAGGAGGCGCTGCAGGCCCTGTACACATGCCTGCAGCATGCCACGTCAGCGGAGCATACGGCACTTACGCAGCTTCTCCCTCGGCTGCTGGCACACGATGCCACGGCATCGACGCTCCAGATTCTTACCTCGATTGTCTCGCATGTGGGTGTTCGTGCACTGGCGCAGCTCAATGCCTTGGTGCCGTACGTTGCGCAGGCGGTGCAGCAAGGTGTCGAGGACGAGCGATTGGCTGCTGGTCTGTCCTTGCTGGCGGCCTTGTTCAAGACACTGCCGCAGTTCATGCATGCCCATGTCGAACGAGCCGTGCGACTCATGACGGAGGACAAGGTGCAAGCGATGCAGCGTCACTCGTACGCCAAGGGCGCGTTCCGCCGCGCACAGGACGCGCTGGTGAAGCGCATGCCAGCCGCCACGCTGCTCGATGCCTTGACGTCCGTGTGGCGTGAGACCATCGTGTCATCGACGCAATTGGCCCTCTTGCAACTCATGCAATTGACGGTGCGGGAGATGGACAAGGCAGCCGTCACAGCGCAGTACAAGTCCGTGTTCCGTTTCCTGCTGCTGGCACTGGATGGTCAGCGTACAAGCGACGATGCCTCGCAGGCCCTGACAGCCACTGTGACGCGGGCCTTGCATGTCTACGTGACACTCGCTCTCAAGCTGAGTGAGTCACAATTCCGCCCGTTGTTCCTGCGTACGTACGACTGGGCCGTGGTGGATCTCCTAGACGATGACGCAAAGGGCGTACAAGCACGAACGCATGTGCTCTATGCCTTAGTCTCTACGTTGCTGGAGCAGTTGCATGGCATGTTTGTTCCCTTCTACGCCATTGTCCTCGATAATGCGCGTGACCTGGTTCGTGAGAAGCCAAGTGCGACGTGGCATGCTGTGGTCCACAGTGTACGACTGTGCGCCGAAGCCGACGAAGGCACGTTCTGGACAGCCTCCCGTGCCACCAAGTTTGTGGCGCCTCTTGTCAAGGCGTTGAGCTACACGGACAACGAGGAGGTGCCACGTACGCTCCTTGCCCTAGCCCATGCAGTGCCGGATGACACATTCCTGCGTACATTGAACTCGGCTTTGATGTCGGCGGCCAACGTACGTGACATGGAGAGCCGTGTGCGGGCTCTCTCGGCCTGTGCGTCGCTGTGGGAGGCCCAAGGCATGGCACTGCTTACGTTTGTCCCAGAGACTGTGGCAGCTCTCACGGAAGTCCTGGACGATGTAGACCCACGTGTATCTGCCGCTGCCTTGTCTCTGCGCGGTTTCATTGAGGAGGCACTGGGCGAGTCGCTAGACTCGTACTTGGACGCAGCGTAATGGATATAGCCATTCTGTTATGTGGTAGACATCTGTGTGGAGGAAAAGAAGAACCACAATTTACTAGCCAGCTACATTGGTTGAGCCCTAACGGTGACAGTGGCATAGTGGCTAGGGCCGCACGGTCGTAGAGGGAGGATGCAGGCGACGCACGTCGTCTATGGTATCAAAGGTGTACTACCTTTCCTCCGTCGTACGGCGCCCTCGTGCTTCCAGCCGTTGAGTCTGCCGGACCTGCGGCATGCACGCATTGCCATGTACGTGGACCATGCTTCTTACATGCAGCGACGCAACACTGTTAACGCAGCGGCTCTTTTATCGTGATCAGAACGATCCATCACGGCACTTGTCAGGCTTTTTGCAGGTTATACATACGTTGCGGCAGCACAATTGCACGCCGATCATGGTATTTGACCATGTCGATGCACGACTCCCTCAAAAGGCGCGCGAGCATGCGAAGCGGCGCATAACAAACCAGCGTGCCCAGTTTCGGTACAAAGTCGAGACGGCTCGACATGCGCGATTACAGGCATTGCTCACATGTGTGGATGCCTACGACGGCATGTCCATGCACGCCAAGCATGACGTCCGTCACTTGCTCCAGCAGTGGGTCGCTAAGGCTGAGGGCGAGGTGGACCTATGGTCCACCGTCCCACTAGATGCTAAGACATGGGACTATATGAGTACGGTACCTCTGCCGACGTTTGACGAAGAAACCACAGTGCCCATGGTCTGGACGCCAAATGATACAAACGACGATGCCTCGGTGCTCTACGATGACGCGCACTGTGACGAAAGCACATGGGCAGACCCGTTGGCCTATGACTGGGTGGATGAGCCATGTATATGGAGCAGCGATGCGTCGACCACGGGCAGCTTCGCCATCACCCCTGCCTCGTTGGCTCATGCGATGTACGCATTGCAAGCCGATCAAAAGATGTACCAAGATCACGCAGTGTATACGGAGTCGGCATCACAGATACCTTTGACGTATGCGGAGAAGGACATGTACCAGACCCTTTGGAAGGGACCAACGGACGCCCATGGTCATCACCTGTGCCCACCTGAGGCATGGCACGCTTTGCAACAGAGGCTAGTACGCTCAGGGAAGCGACAGGCAATAGAAGTCCCACCAAAAGCAGCGCCTCACCTGTTAAGGGATATGATTGCATATGCTTGTTCACAAAGTGAACGACTTGTGCACATGTATCGACGATCGTCTCGTCTTGCTCCTAAGCAGGCGTACAAGGACTGTATGGAACTGTGTCACTGGCTGCAAGTGCCGACTTTAGTGACAGGCGACGGGACCTCACAAGGAGGGGCTTTGCATGAGGCAGAGGCTGTGGCAAGCGCCTTGGTTCATCATGGATTTGCTGATATGGTGGCAAGTGAAGATAGCGATGTGCTGTTATACCAGGTGCCTCTTTTACGCGGCCTATCTAGCTTTACGCTGGAACTCTTGGATACGCAGCAGGCACGCGAGACATTGTTCCCATGTGGCGATGCAAAACAAAGCTACCAGTACTTATTGGAGTTTGCCTTGCTGTGTGGCACCGACTTTAACCGCACAGTACCTGGTATTGCCGCCAGAGGCGCATACCGTTGGATTTCGTACGTATTTGCTTCGTTACTTACGTCTCAGTCATTATGGTACTATTCGTGCACTTCTACGTGCTGAGACAGGCCGGTTTCGCCCACCGGATATGCTCACGCGAGAGGCGTACGAGGCGGAGTTGGACGAGGCACGCGCCGTGTTTGCGCAAAAACCAGATGTGCGTGTCACCGCCTTATCATTAGGCTTGACCCAGGCACAGCCCACGCCGGATTCTCTGCATACGCAAACGGAAGTCCCGAAGTGGGCTGCATTTTTGAACCGTACCGTCTCGTTCCCGGAGGCCACCTCGCTCACTCCTCTCTCGATGGACCGCAAAGGACTGGTGGCCTTTCTTCAGGCTCATCAAGTCCACATTACAGCGCCCTGGCGCGAAACGTACGAGGTTCCTGATATCTCCGCGCAGCCATCTGCGCTCGTCGAACCGACGTGGGCGACCACATCACTTGCGGCACATGCCGCTGCACAAAAGGAATGACATCCGCCGAGAGTGCAATGCACGTATCAATATCCAGCATGGACAATGATGTACATATAGGCTCCGATGACGTTTCTGATACAGGTGCATTGGTGCCAGCTTGGGATGTGGCTTTTAACGTTTTCCATGCTGTCTCCCATGTATACCCTCGAGATAGCAATGTACGAATACCCACCATTTCCATCAGCTCGCGACCACGGACAGACGTATCGTTATGGATCTCGATGCGCTGCAACTTAGGACAACGAACCTGGTGATGTAGAGCGCCAGGCGTGAGCAGCTGCAGCAGCAACGCAGGCGTACACACACTCGCCATGGCAGCGGCCGGCGTGAGTAGGCCAGGGGGGTCCACAGTGGCTTCGTCGACATAAATACGTAGAGTGTGTAAGTTGGTACATTGAGCAAGGACATCGTCGACAATTTGCGTCCTTGTATCGCTGGTAAGTCGTATATTCCATTCTTCAAGTGTCGTACGCGTGGCATGCACAAGCTCCATGAGCGCGTAAGTCGTGGTACCTGCTCCTGCCAACTGGCATTCCCATACACGTAAATGCGGTGTTAGAAGAGGCCACACCAAGGTCCATGGTGCTTTCAGGATTTCCAAATAAGGGAACATTGGTTGTGATGATAAATTCGGCACCGTGGGTAAAGACCGTAAGGCGCCCCCACCCAAATCCAAGCACTGCAATGTGGGTTCACAGGCACGTACGATAGACGTGATGATGGGCATAGCACGCTCACGCACGTCCTGAAGAGCCTGCATAGAGGGGCCAGCATCGTACACAAACGAATGGAGATGCGAGCATAAGGAAGCATGCTCTTCACGAAGGGGGGGTGTTTGGAAGAGTGACAAATGCGTGAGAGGTGGTGTGGCGGTAGGCACCGGCATAGGAGAGCCGAGCCATGGATGAGGTGAGGTAAATTTCGATGCAGTGCATTGAATCGTAAGCTGATGAAGTTTTGGAAGTTGCATGGCCCAAGCAAACCAAGCTGCCGCGCGGGTATAATCACATTCAATGTACAGAGATGTCAAGCGCAGATAGGGCAGGATGCGCCATGGTCGATCCATGTTAGTGAGGGGAGGTGTGAGAGACAGGTGAGATAGGTGCCGTGTACTCCGCGATACAAATGTCTTGAGAGTATCAGATTGAGCACGTAGGACCACAGGATCAGCACTCGGCGGCCCCGAGGCGGCCTTTACATGGATGGTATGCCATAGCGGAGAGTGTCGTGTAATCCATCGACGCCATGCACGGCATACTTGCATACACGGAAACAAAGAAGCAAAGGAGAGGTAACCAAATACGTGCACCATCAACTCAACGGGCAGTCTATGCAAGGCGGATTCGCGTGGCTGAAGGGCAATACGCAAGGAATGAATATGTTGAGCTTGGGAATCTGTCGGTGCGCGATGCAGAGCGGCATCGAGGACTCTCACCGCCTTCTCTGGCATATTAAGTACCGTGAAGATGTGAGCTGCGCGTGTTAATGCGTCGACGTCAGAGGATGCCAGACGCATGGCCTCGCGCGTATCGCGTAGCGCGTGTTTACTATCTTGCGACGTGGCATAATACAGAGCACGTTGCAAATATAGGAGCGCACGTTTCTTAGTATTTTTTTCTGTGTCCAACGACTTGGTATAAGTAGTACGATAGCAATACGTACCTGCGTTACCCGGCGTAGCGCACGCTGCGTTGTCTCCCCTGCCATACAGCGGCGGCAGGACGCGAGATTTAGAAAGTGGAGGTGTTGACTACCGCGTAGAGAACCAAAGTGGAGAACCACGCAACGCGGATCTCTATCAGCAAAGAAAAGCTAGAATGGGCGGCCAGCCAACCCCGCGTCATGTGGCTATCGCCATCGCGATCCAACTCGATACAACGAAGAAAGAGAAAGATCAGGTTTTTGTATGCTTGGTTTCGTCACGAAAACACAAGAACCAATGGGTTTTACCAAAAGGTGGTGTAGAAAAGGGGGAATCGGAACGTGCTGCGGCTCTGCGCGAGTTGGAAGAGGAAGGTACGTCAGTGGTATGAGACTAATAGGTAGCGGGCATTCGAGGCTCCTTGGAATATCCCCCTTGGGATGATGCGCAAAGCCCGTTGATCCAATTTGCGGATACAAAGGCCCATCCCAAATCGCCTACAACGAATCCAAGCGACCCTTCGTTCGTGCCGCTTACTTTGTACAGTGTGCATGAATTTCTCGTGGATAAGGATGCAGTGCAGGAGGTATGGCTTGAATCAACGGAGCGTGGGCGTAAATGGGTCCCTTGGGCTAAGGCCATGGACCTTGTCGCGTGGCGACGTGGTCTACCGGCGGCCTTATCGCACGCAAAAATCAATAAGAGTCACTACTTGAATCGTACATAGATCTGGCTAGTATGTAATATAGTCAACAGTAAAGAGGGGGTATGAGTCTTTAAATCACATTCAGAACCGAATCTGAGGTTAGTGGTAAGGGACACCCGACGTACCTGCCCTGCGGCAACGATGAAGAAAGCCGACAATGATATCCGTTTCCTTAGGCGGAGGTAAAGACTGGTAATGTTCTGTTGCAAGAGAGGCAAGGTAGGAAAATTCGTCTTCATGGTCGAAAAACCGATCGTCGTCCTTCACACGATGACGATCCGTATTCGTAGCCGATCTTGTGCGAGACGATACACCTTGCTCGCCTTCGTCCTCCTCATTTTTGTGTGTGTCCATATACTTTTGCATATCCTCCTCAGCCGTATGCACCACATCAGGGTCTTGGATTGCATGCCGGGGTGGATAATCAGGTTCGATGCCATTGTGGACCATGTATTTAATTGTAGCATCGAAGGGCAAATCGGCAAAATTAATACCCGGGTTAGTAGCCGTTTCATCGGCACCTAGTATGTTAGTAGATGAGCAGATTCATACCTTTGTCACGTTGGCCAAGGTCCTTGTCCCCTTGGCCGCTGCTCATCGTGTCTGTAGTAGCTGGGTTTCCAACGCAATTGCCCTTACCGTCATGCAGCTCGTATAACACCAACGCCTCCACATACACGTGATCCACAGAGGAAAAATCTGAACCTAGACACACATGCCCAAACGAAAGGAGGGCTGAGCTGAAGTGCTAGAACGGATGCTGAGGGCGAGTAGCAGACTACCGGCTTCGGCGGCATGGAGGCCTACTTTGGGCTATCGGTATGCACACCTCAAAGGAGGCGCGTACAAGCCTAGTGCATCACTACCACCATCCCCACCACCACGCTCAGCATGGCGCGAACAACGATGGTCCTCACGAACTATGGTATCATTGTCCACGAGTGTGGGCTTCTTGGTATGTATAGATACGGATCTGAGCAATACGAGCCTAAAGATGTACTTTTTCGGTATGATGCAAGGATATAAACAGGGCCAGGCTCAGGCGGAAGCCAAGGCTCTCAAGGCAGACTCCCTCACATCAGCATTGCCACCCATTTAATTGGCCGTGGATGTCAAGCCATTCAAAGCAACTGAACAACATAACACTGAATAGATCATCGATTCATGCACTACTACTATCCAGCGGGACATTTTTGGGCACCACAGGGTGCTACTAAGCATAGACATCTATATGGCACGTCCGTGGGCCTGGCCATAGATGCGCGGTATCATACAAGGAACCGAACCACGCATTTAAAGCGAGTCGGCAGCAGCAGCGATAGCCGCAGCAGCCTGACCAGCGGCCTTGGCACGCTTGCGGAGCTTCTCCGCCGACTTGTTGCCGCGGACACCACCACCCCAGTGACGGCGGGCCTCGTCGTACTTGTCAAGGTAGTTAGCCTTGGCAGCCGACACGAGGTCGGCGAGCTCACGCTCGTCCTCAGAACGCACGTCCTGGATCACAGCGATGGCAGTGCGCTTGAGGTGCACAACGGCACCGAGACGCGAGCTCGACTTGACGATCACGTAGGGAATGCCCATCTTGCGGCAGAGAGCCGGGATGAAGACGACCAGCTCAATCGGGTCAACATCGTCGGCAATGACGACGAGGTTGGCCTTCTTGGCCTCAATGAGAGCAACACAGTGGTTGAGACCGTACTTCACGAAGAGCGGCTTCTTGCCGTCGGCCTTCGGGTCGACCTTGTTACCGGCAGCCACCTCCTTGGCGACAGCGTCGAGACGGGCCTTCTTCTCCTGCTTCGACTCAGGGCGGTACTTGTTCATGAGCTTGAACAGGGCCGTGGCGGTGTTCTTGTCAAGAGTGTTCGAGAACTGAGCAATCGCCGGCGGCACCTTAAGGCGCTGCTGGAGAATGACACGCTGGCGCTGCAGACGAACGTACTCCGGCCACTTCACGAAGCGGGTCAGGTCACGCGGAGGCTGGATGTCCTGGCCTATCCAGGGTCAGCATATGCAAACACAAGATATACATACCGATACCGAAGCTGCGGCTGCGCTTCTCGAACAGAGGGTTCGAGGGAGCCTTGTTGGCGTTGCCCTTCGAGTAGGGCGAAGGAGCGGGCTTTTTACCAGTCTTGGTAGCCTTAGGCTGTAGGGTCATCGAGACGAGTCAGCATCATGTCCTGCACAAGCCGAGCTCGGAGCTCTAAGCCACGCCCTGCACCTGCTCAGAGAGCAGGATACGGGACGCAGCGAGAAGTATGCGTACCATTACGAACAAATGTAGGAAATAATACCGTGTGGGTAAAGAAAGCAAGTCGAGCGCAGCGTTTGCGAGAGGGGAGGTCTGTGGCTGCTATGTACTCACGTGATAACAAGTATATTACATCACGTGATAATGTTCTGTGGACCCTAGGGCGATTGACAAGCACCCTTGTCGGCGTTTGATGGGTGGGGCGCACGGGCCCATGCACGCGCGGGGCAATTGAGCCAACCCGCAAACGTGGGCGAAGCGGGACATAAGACGAGGGTCGGTGGCGTCGTGGTAGCTCCCAATTACCCACAACGATGCGTTTGACCCCGGTTTTTCTGTTTGCTGTTATTTCCAACGCATCGCTCCTAGCCCGTGCTGACGTCGCTGGTAGTGCTGCTGATGTGTTGGAGTCGTGCACCGGCCTGGACTTCCAGAACTGGGATACGTGCGTATGAAATTAAGAGACATGGACTAACACCACTCAGCCAGAGCCTTCGCTCCTACCTTCTGGACCGCGGTATCATTTCCCCTGCGTCCACACATGAGAAGCTGGCTAAGCTGGCCAAGAACGACTGTGACTACCTTGTGAATGAGGTGCAGGTGGCGACAGCGTCGGCCAAGTCGCTGGCATCGGCTGAGATGACGTCGATGATGAGCCTTGCGTCCTCTGTGCAGGCTGCTCTGCCTACGTCGGTGGCGCCCTCTGCGTCTTCGCTTGCATCGGGTGCGTCGAAGTCGGGTACGTCGCTGTATGGCCAGGCCAGCAAGTCGGGTAGCAAGGTGGCGTCGTCGCAGCATGCCGCGGCGTCGTCAATGGCCTCGCAGGGCTACCAGTCGGCCTCCTCGGCAGTCTCGGCAGGTTCTAAGGCGGCTGCGTCTGCGGCCAAAGATGGCCACCAGTACGCTTCTTCGGCGGTCTCAGCTGGCCACAAGGCGGCGTCGTCCGCTGCGGCAGATGGCTACGCGGAGGCGGAGCGCCGTGTGCAGCAGTCGGGTGACTACCTGAACAGTCTCGCCAAGGATGCGTCGGCCTACTTGGACGACACGAAGGACTACGTGTACAGTTCGTGGAACACGAAGGAGCTGCAGAAGTGGCTCAAGTCGAACGGCATTGAGCTGCCGTCGAATACGCCGACGAAGGAGGAGCTTCTGGCTACCATCCAGAAGCCATTCGCGGAGGCGCATGTGAGCCGCCCGTATGAGCGTCTCTCGACGGACTACCTGCGCGACTGGCTGGTGCAGCACGGCTACCTGGACTCGGATGCGAAGAAGAAGCGTGACGAGCTGATCAACATGGCGCAGGACTACTACTACTATGTCCAGGACTCTGTGTACGACACATGGAGTGATGCGGACCTGCGTTCGTGGCTGCAGAAGCACAACCTGATCAAGTCGGACTGGCAAGGCAAGCGCGATGAGGCGCTGGCGCTTGTGCAGAAGAACTTCGACTCAATGAAGGACACTGTGTGGGCTGGCTGGCGTGACAGCGACATGCGTCAGTACCTGCAGCGCGAGAACCTGATTGACACGAGCCGCACGTACTCGCATGACGAGCTGCTTGACCTGATGCAGAAGCATGCGTCGAGCTTTTCTTCGACGGCGAGCAAGTACGTGAGCTGGTCGGATGCGAAGCTGCGTGGCTTCCTGAAGGACCACGGCGTATCGCTTGACTCGATGCCGAAGGACCGGGATGAGCTGCTGCGTCTGATGCGTGCGTACTACGCGCCGGACTGGGCCGACAGCTGGCACACCCGTCTTTCGCAGTTCATTACCAAGCTGAGCAACGGTGTGCGTGACGTGTTTGGTCTCTCTGCCGAACAGGTGTACCACCTGAACAAGGAGAAGCTTGGCTCGTACGCTGCGACCGCTAGCAAGAGCGCGAGCTCTGCTGCCAGTGCTGTCTCGAGCGCTGCCTCGAGCGCTGTGTCGCAGGTGCGTGATGAGCTTTAAAGTCGATGAAGGGCCCCGTAGAAGTATATACAAACTTACATCGATCTTTCTATACACGGCGAACGTATTCACGCTCAATGACCGAGTGCTGCAGGATACGTAAGACTGGCTACCAGGACGTACCAATTTTGCGTCGCGCGACACGCGCCAGTACTGCTCGAGTGTGTCAGACTGCGAGAGGCGCGTGAGGAACTCTTCGTCGTGGGTAATGACGATCAGCTGGAAATTCGGCTGGTGCTGCCGCTCGGCCAGCAGGCTGGGTGTGAGTGCGTGAAGGAAGGAAGAAAGGTACGTACTCGACAAGGCTGGCCGCAAGGGCCTCGACATTTTCACGGTCGAGGTTGGTCGTGGGTTCATCCAAAGCCAAGAACCCGCAGTGGGCGCCAAACGAGTCGGCAAGCGCCAAGCGAATCAGTAAGCATGCCAGCACTTTCTGGCCAGCACTGCATCGGCCTCGCATATCGAGCTCCACGCCATCCTTGACCATACATACGCGGTACTGGTACGAGCGCAGCCCATTCGCACCTACGCGGCCCTCGGCGTCCGACCGAATGAGCACGGTATCGATATCTGTACCTTGGTACGTCTTCTTCCATAAATAGTCAAGGGTCTGATTGACTTCTTCCATTTTGATCCCGTGGTACTGCAAGATCGCCTGTTGCAGTGCACCACAGTACGTATCGAGATCGCGGTTCGCCATACTCGCCACCTTGATGTGAACAAGCTGCTGCATGTACCGCGCCTCGACATCGCGGAACTCATCGCGCAGCTCCGCACGGCGGCGCGTAAGCTCTGCTTCCATACTCTGGATCTCGCCACGGAGGTGCGCAGCCGTGCCGTGCATATCGCGTTCCTCTTCTCTCGCGCGGTCGTACGCGGCCGTCGCATGCGCATGCCGCTGGTGGGCTTCGTCCAGGTCCATCGATGCGAGTTCCTGACGCACTCGCGCCCTGTCGCGCACCACCTCGCGGAGGCGTACGTTGTCCTGCAGATTCGCCTGGCGGCTTTGTGCATCATGTACAGCCGCTTCCAGATCGTACATGTTACGCGTCGCCTGCTCTGCCGTATGACGAGCGGCAGCAAGGTCCGAGGTAGCGGCTTGCAGAGCTGCCGCACACGTTGCCAGGGCATCACGTTCATGTTGTGCGTCAGCCTCCTGTACACGCTTCTGCAGGGCCATCAGTTGGCGGTAGGTCTGCGTATGGGAGTGTATAGCAGCGTCACGCGCAGCCGCCGCCTCTTGATGCGCTTGACGGCAGGTAGCTAGGTCAGTCCGTGCCGTCGCTAGCGGCGCCTCCGCTTGCGTAAGCGTGTCACGCAACGTCGCTTTTTGCGACGTAAACTCCGCCAAATCGGCGACGTGCTCGGCCAAGCGCTGCTGCGCCGCAGCCCGTGTGGATGCATGCTGTTGCTGCATCGCGACCGCCATCTCGAGCGTGTGCACACGACGCTCCGCCGCCACGATCTTCTCGCGGTGCGTGGCCCGTGCATGATGCAGAGCATCGCACGCGGCCTGCTGCGTTTGGCTGTCAATGAGTACTCATGTGGAGGTAGTTAACGTACATCGCTTGGGTCACGTCGTCCAATCGCGCAGGCGTAGCGTCAGGAGCAGATAGCAAAGTAGCAGGACGAAGGCTCTCTAGGCGCTGTTGCAGGGATTGAACATCCTGTTGGACACTACGCCATCGCTCTTCGTCGTCACGTAGCGCCTGCAGGGCTACAAGCTGGGCTTCCGCATGCGCCAAGGCCGCTTGGGCCTGGTCCCTGGCCGCCTGAGCATCGCGCTGCGTCTTCTGTAGCTCAGTCTGGGATGCCTGTAGCGCATCAATCTCCTTCATCTCAGACTCGCGTCGTTCCACTAGTGCCTGTGCACGACGGAGCTGCGTTTGCTGCTTGGACCACGCCTCTAAATCACGCTGCAATCCCTCGATACGTTCCGGCTGGCTGCGCTGCAAAGAGGCGGAAATATGCGCATCAAAATCGTGCATATGGGAAGAGGGGATGGATTGGTTACATGCCAGGCATACATGGCGTTCATGTGCATGTTTTTGGATCCGTTCAAAGAACGCCGCAGCATGCTCCAATAGCCCCAGCGATTCACGAAGCACTTGGACTTCCTCGTTTGCCGTCGCCACTCCCTCGTCGAGTGATGCAAATTCGCCTAGGAGACCCTGAATGTCGTTAAAAAGGTCTGTAGTTAGTCCTAGCCAAGGCATACAACATACTTTCACACGTAGTCTGCTTCTGTGCAAGAACACGCTCTTGTGACGCATACGACGCTTCTGCTTGGTCCACGTTATGCTGTGCAGATTGGACTTGCCGCTTGGCCTCAGAACACTGCTTTTCCGCGTTATGAAGGAGCGGCATTAGATCCGTAGGAACATGGCCCAGCACAGATTGACATTGTGTACGCCACGCTGTCTCCTGCGCTGTGTACGTCTGCTCTTTATCGGCTAGCATCGACTGTGTTTGGGCGTACAGAGCCCGTCCTTCAGCATCACGGTGGGACGTAGCTAAGGCTTGGACTAGCGCGTGCCGCTCTGCCTCTAATGAAGCAAGGCGTCCGGCGGCTTCAGCCTCGGCTTGCACATGCTCTTCGTCGGACGATTCATTCTGCAAGGCGGCTAGGGCCTTCCTCGCATCGTCTAGCGCAGCGATATCCACTGACGGGAGCTCCGATGCAATGTCTTTTTCACACGCTGCTTTACGCGCCTGGACGCGATCAATCGTGGCACACACTTGATCGTACTGTGCCTGGGTATCACGCATCGCCGCCTCCAGAGACTGGAAAGTACGCTCCAGGTGACGTTCCTTCTCCTTCTCACGCTGCGCAGCGTCAGCTGCTTCTCGTTCCAGCACACGCTTCTGCTGCTCCAAAGACGTGCGTAGATTCACAGCCGCCGCCTCCCATTGTGCTGCGGACGGCGAACCGTCAATATCCGCCCCAAGAGAAGCCAGCTCTTTCGTACTGTCCTGCAGAAGTCGTTCATATGTCCGCTCCGCTGCCTCGAGATCTGCATGCTGCCGCACTAGCGCTTCATGTTTGGCTATCGTGGCGTCACGATCTGCCACGTATGTATCATGCTTTCCACGGATGTCCGCTAGACGTCGTTCATCAGCTTCCAACTGACGTGGAAAATCATCTAACATACGCTGCAGCGTCACATCGTCCAAGTCCAAGACGGTCATACGAGCCTGAAGGGCATCGTGGTGCTCTTGGTACAGCGCCAGTCGTTCTTCCAATGCCTCAGCCTGACCAATCACCTCGCGAAAACGTGTCGCATCATCATACAGCGCCTGATTCTCTGTGACTTTACGCTGAATCTGCACTTCTAATTCATCACGCTCTTTCGTCTTCTGTGTGAGGGACAGCTCCAACACACGGATCTTTTCTTTGATGCCATCGGCTCGCTCCTTTTCTTGCCGAATTCCACGTAGCTCAGCCTCATCAACACGAGCATCTTGAGTTCGCTGCTTGCGCAGCGCTCGAATAGACTCGAGAGCTTTGGTATACCGAGTCACTTCGAAGATTTCATCAAAGCGTTTCTTAAGGACAGCCGGCTCTGAGAGCGGCCAGTTGGATTCTTCCTGGTGGCAAAAGAGCACATTCTCAAGGATTGCTCGAGATACGCCTAGCAATGTAGCCATTTCCTGGTCTAGTTCAGCACACCTCGTGGATATAGCCGCACGCGACTCAGGATCAACGTGATCATCATCGATACCCAGCACACCCTCGAGGGTCTTCATCGTGAGCCCGCCGCCTTTTTTCTTAGATACTTGCAAATTGCGCACACAACTCATACGCGTACCGCTTGTGTTGCGAAAGCGCAGGCGCACTTGCGCCTTGACGGCGTCGGTGCCTGCGAGCTGGACACATTAGCATGGGTATACGTACCATAGGATCATGAACAAAGCCTCCGCCCTTGGTATTCGGAGGCAAATCGCCAGTTGCAGCATATTTTAGGCATTCCACAATAGTCTGCAGTCAGAACAGAAGTCATACGCACTGTCTTGCCACTGCCATTATGTCCTACAATCACAGTGAGCGGTTTGAAGAACTGGATGATGTGCACATCGCGCGGATCGAACGAGCGCACACCGCGAATCGCGAGTTCTATGGTAAGTCATCGTCGTACGTACTATCCAGCTCGGCCATCGAAGAAGTGCATGCAAGCGCCGTCCAGTCTCAATGCCACGACGCGTACAATGTGGAGGATGAGGGAGCGACACAGGCCACACAGGCGGGGGAGCGCGGCGGCAACCGTCTGTCTCCACACCCTCCATGCAAGGCCGGCGTCGGTGGCGACGCGTCGCGAGTGGTGTGGGTCTGGGAGCTTTATGGCTCTTTGATCTTCTTACGTTGATGTGCACCACGATAAGACCTGCATGGAAGCATGATCCCATACACATGCAATGGCGCTATGGGATTACGTTGGGCCTAGCAGGGATGACGGCATGGTGCTTTGGCATGACAGTCACAAGACCTTCGTTCTATGTTCATACGGCGCCTCTTCCCACCTGTTTGACAGTCAAGCACTCTACAGGGAAAGCACGGTGGTGCAATAAGTGCATGGCGCCCAAACCTGATCGATGTCATCACTGCCGGCAGTGTGAACGATGCATTCTGCGCATGGACCACCATTGCCCATGGCTGATGGATACGTGCATCGGCCTGCGAAACTATAAACCCTTTCTCCTTTTCCTCGTTTACGCCATTCTTCTGTGTGTTTGGACATGCGATACACTCGCACGCGGCTTCTTGCGCCACTGGGACGACAGTCTGGCGCACAATCACGCCGTCGATATCCCTCTGGCATGGCTTGGCCTCTTTGGCTTGGCAGCCTTGGTACGTCATCGCAAAAAAAGACTAACGCTAGTTTTCCTTGGCATTGATACCCTTCTTACTGTACCATATGTATCTGGTGCTCAACAACAAAACTACACTCGAAAGCTTAGAAGGTCTCTCAAATGTACGGCCAGCGCAGGACGCAATGTCAACAGCTGCGCCCAGCACATCTACGACACGGCTACTCCATCTTTCTACATCGAATCACCAGCGACGACGTACCGGACCCAAGTATAATGTATACAATGTGGGGATATGGACCAATATGCAACAGGCGCTAGGTCCAGCATGGTGGCTTTGGGGCGTTCCGATCGGGCCTTTGTACGTATAGAGATGCAAACTGACCATCAGGGCTTCAGATGGGCTTTCGTTTCCTATCAATGAATCTACATTACATGCGCTGCAAACGGCGCCTCAGACGCAACCACCTACTTACAGAGCGGTAGGCTGAGCCATCGACGCAGGACCAAGCAAGTGAATATCCGCCGAGCCCATAGCTGCATCCAGAATACACCAGTTCACAACCGGCTCTTCACGCTGTCCCAAGGCATTCAGCACGGCCTGTGCGACAAAACCACCAAGAATGGCACATGTCGGTGCAAACGACGCCGTGCTGCGGCGTGTGACAGCGTCGTACGTAGCCTTCGCAAAGTGTGCATAGAACGTCTTAGCATCACGCCGGCGAAATACACTCGCAGTTTTTGCATTCTTCGACGACATAATGTCGGAAGCATGCGTCTCCAACGCTTGTTCGTAGTCATTCAGCGTTGACGGTGGCGTAGTGTCCTGCATGATAGCCCATTGAGCTAACGTCGCAATGAGCCCTGGACTTGGGCGAAACGACCAGGGAGCCTTGAGTGATTCAGAGAGCGGTACAAATGTCTGTTCAAACCGCTTCAGTACCTTTTCCGAGGGATCATCCGGCGAAGGACGCTCTGTTGCATACGTAAGTGCTCCCAAGTCGCAGAACACAAAGCCGCCCATACCCTGTGCAGCCGACGCAAAGAACATTGCATCAGCGCTGCGGCATGCATCATTCCATTGTACAAGCTCCTCTTTAGTCCCGCTTGTTACGATTACCACATTCGGTCGAAGTTCTTGCAAGGCTTTGTGGGATGGAACGCCTTCGTGGGCAACACCTTGGATACCCACGTGAGGATTCAATTGCTGGATTCGTTGCAGAGGCGCATCACTGATACGCGGTTGACCTACATCGTCTGCACGAAAGAAGAACGACGCAGAGAGGTCCTCCTCAAGGACTATGCCAGCATCGACGATCGTCAACTTGCCGATGCCAGCCAAGACGACATTCTTGATCACCTCGGTTGCTACGCCAGAGAGCGTCACAACTACAATATGCGCTGAGCGCATACGGTTCTGCGCCTCAAGACCCCACAGACGGATCTGGCGATCATACAACGCCGCTTCATCTAGCTGTGTGAGTGCACATCGTACACGGCCTACCTTCTGTGACGCCAGTGCCTTGCGGCGGCGGTGGGGACGACATGTCAATGGAAAAGGTATGACTAAACCTAACTGATTATTATACACGCCAGAGGAACGAATCCGCGACTATGAAAGAACGAGCCAGCCACCTGTCGCCAAGGCGGTAAAGGACATGAGCGCCAGGTTGACATACAGGCGAGCGCCTGCACTCTGTGGCTGCGACTGATCAACAAACTGATACGTTGGGAGTTTGCCGGGTTTGTCAACCATGTAAGACACACCATACTGCACAGTCTTGTCACAGCTGCTTCCAATCTGATCCTGGCAACTCTGCATGCAGACAGAGCGTCGCATGAAAGGCGTTTCGCGCTGGTTGTTGCACAGATCCACACAACGCTGCATACGAAGGAGGCAGTCCTGCGACTGGACGGGCCACTGGTACTGCGGAAGACGAGATAAGCTCTTCTTGCATGTGCACATTGTAGCCATACCGTGAGACACATCACAGAAGTTGTGAGAAATCTCATCCGTGTCGTCCGAGCAGCCGGCTGTGGCGCAGAAGTTGGTCTGCATCTGGCAGATCATCGTTTTGGTGTCATTCGAGACGGACGAGTTCGCAATGTTGTAATAGAACGTCGGCAAGTTCGATTTAGCTTCCTCCGAGCCACGGTACATGTTTCCAATAATCGGTGGCAATGTTCCATTCCATGTGGCCGTTACACTAGGTGCTGGGATCGTCACATTGGACGTCACGTTCACATTGGCTTGCGGGAATGACGTCGGTACAGCCATCACATCGTACGCTGCAGACGTGGAAGACGCCACTGGCACCGACACGGCCGGGTACAAGGGACTCGAGGAAGCGTTCACAGATGGTGATGCTGGGGCTGGCGCAGGTGCTTGATTGGATCCTGATGCCGGCGCGGGGGCCGACGACACAGGGCTATTGCTTCCGCCCGCCGGAGATGCACTCCCACGTGCCTGCGTGGAGCCATTTTGGTTCGCTTTCGGAGCAGCCGAGGATGGCGCTGGAGGTTGTGAAGAAGCTGGAGCTGGCTTGCTGGACGAGGCGGCGTTATTAACTGGGGCTGGAGGGGGAGCCGACGACACAGAAGAAGCAGGCGGTGCAGACGAGCTGCTGCCTACAGGATCGCTGAATAGGTAGGAAAGAGCCCTCCCTTGAAGAGAATCAGCATGAGCAGTAGAGGTTACAGAGAGGATAGCGAAAAGAACCCAAAGCAGGTGAATCGCCGCCCCAGGACGCATCCTGAGTAGGCTCACGATAAAAAAGGGAGTGTTGGGATAGAGACCCCAACTGGTGGGATCTTTGGGAATGTCGATCCCCCCGCAAAAAGGAAACACGTGACAGTGCAGGCCTGTGCATTAAATGAGCGTGAAGCGCGCCGCAGCGCGTCTGGCTCTGCCCTATGTCCCAGCGGCGGCGCGTGTGCGCGGTCTGTGGCAGCACACGCTTCCGACTGCTCTCGGCCCAGCTGGTATGTCATGCGGGGCATGTTCAGCGTGACTTTCGTGTTGAGGCCGCACAGGAAGATGATGGTTTTGATACCCAAATTACCACACGTTCACGGAATTTCAACCGATCATCGCAGCGCGACGCACGTCGGATTGAGCGACAGCAATGGGCTGTTGAGCAGCGGCGCAAGCGGCGCGGACGTGTAGGACATGTGTTTCCCGGGACAGCAGAGCACGCATCTCTATCGGACCCTGATAAGGCACTCCTACAAGGCACAAGAGCTACGTTTGCTATTGTTCAATGCTTGCAATTGATTCTGCGGCACCAAATTGAATCAGTATCGCTTTGGCTTCCGGGTGTGGATGTGACAATCTTAGAAGTATGTACATTGTGTGACTTACCTAGACCTGCGCACGCAAAATATGGGCCTATAATGTGTCATGCCATAATGTCCCAGCCGCACCACTAGAGGCGGCGCGTGATACCTTGTCACGTCAGCAACAGTCTAAAGCGACACCACTTCGCTCTGTGCCACGACGAGGTCGGCAGCGCTATGAGACTCCCAACAGCAAATCTGTGCGAACTGTGAACTTGTCCATTCGTTCAACAGTGGCGGTGCTCTATCTCGCCTTCGTACAGTGTCGCATCCCCATCACCTTAGGTGACTTGCGCAAGTACGTTTTTTTCTACTGACGTAATAGACGCATATTTGACAGGACTCTGCCGTACCTGAACGCGATTCGGTTCCTTCCGAATACACTCACAAGTGCGCTTTCATTCAGCGATATCCAATTTGCAAATCTGGACTGCAACGTGCGTGACTTTGGTCGACTGACCTCAGCATATTCCCAGTGTAACAGAACTACATCGAAGGACAGAGCACATCGCCTCGCAGTTGTACTCGCGCTTTGATGTGATGTTCCTTGAGGTGAACAGTGCCCCTATTCTGAGTCGCTATGTTCACGACTTGCTACTTCCTTCTACATTTTATGTGGGCGCCAAGTCTTTGTTGACATTCCTTCGTATTGATATGCATGTTCACAGCGTCTCTGTCATGCCTGTGAACCCAATTGCTCGTGCCAAATTCAAGGAAAAACGGCCAGATGCAGGAACTCGCAATTCCAAGCATGCCTTTTCACGCAACTCGGTCATTCCACGTAGTGTGATGCTCATGGCAGCGCTACTTGTTGTGGTCAAGTTGCAATATGGCCTGGATGGTATACGCCGGCGTGAGTCGCCATTGTATGTACATGACCGAGCCATCTTCTCGGGGGCGGCGCCGCAGGATGCGTGGATTGATGCGATTTGCGCATTACACGGTCTGCCTAGTGAAAGGACATGGGATGCGGTGCCTGCTGAGTTTGCGCCATGGGATACGCAGATTGACCTACTCTCGCTTTCGGACAAAGATGTGGATACGTATCTGTCCTTTCTGGAAGACCAGTATGCGCCGAAAAATATACCCAGCAGCATGCCACTGCGTGAACGCAATGATGAGGATGATCTGCTACCTTGCTTGCCTGGAAAGCATAGACCAGAAATGCATCTCGCCACACTCTCTACCCAAAATCGAAAAACATACTACGAGCGCCGCGCCCAGCTTCAGTCAGCTTTGTATACCCAACCGAACGAAGAGGATACGATATGCCTGGCCCCTGGTGAGGGATATGCTACGCATACACATGATCCTGGTGGTGTCATGCCACGTGAGATGAAACGTGTGTTGGATGTGGCCATGAAAGTGATCGGACTCGACACGACGCCAGAACCGGCCTTTGAAACGACATCAATTGCATGGGGCCGACCGCATGACCAGACAGTTCTGGCCGACTGTATGATGCAATTAGAAGAAGGGCTCCTTGTAATGCTACGCCAACGACGATGATGATATATACCCTTAAGTAGCCTACTTTGTATTTGTGCTATTTTCTCCTTTGCCTTCGGCGCGTGATTTCTTGGTAGCTGTCGCCTTTGTAGGCGTCTTCTCACCTTCGCTGGATGTCGACGTATTCAGCTCACGCTTGCGCTTGGCTGCGCCTGCAATGGAAATAGCGCCGCCACGACCGCGTGTCGCAGTACCTCGAGCAGAAGCAGCACCGCGAATCGATGTCTCAGTCGGGCGGATTGGTACAGGCTTGGGAGCCACCGCACCTCCACGTCCGCCACGTGCAGCCGCATTGCCGCCTCGCACGACAGCCGGTCGCGATGGCGTCGTGGTCGGAGTAGCTCCGTCCTTCGATGTGCCCTTGTTACTTTCTTTGCTGTCCTGTTCAGCGGGCTTCGTATCTTTGGCTGGGGCTACGCCATCACCAAGTTGACCTTTGAGTTCATTGAGCTCGTTGGTCAAGTTCGCAATCTTCTTGTCACGCTGACTGATCATGATCTGGTTGCGCAAAGCCGCTTCCTTCTTGCCGTCTTCGTATCGCGACTGTAGAAGCGGCTGGTAGTGAGCTTGAAGTTCTGCTTCCTTGGCTGAGACAGCTGCCTCAGGACCTGCACGCAGAGTCTCCAGCTCGCCGTCCTTCTCTGCTAAGGCCTTGGCGTATTCGGCCTTGGACGACTCCAACTCTTTCTCAAGCTCAGCGACACGACCATTTGCCGTAGCCAAGAGACTTTCCAGCTCTGCAATACGTGCTTGAAGCGGTGCCAACTGTGCAGCTGTATCTTCCGCAGTCGATGTAGCCGCTGATGGCTCCGTTGCGTTGTCAGCAGAACCGTCTTCTGTCTTGGGCTGTGTTTCGGTGGCTGGCGTTGTCGCCGGCTCACTTGCCTGCACAGCCTCGGTAGTTTCGCCCACCTTGTCAGCCGTAGAAGCGGAAACATTCTTCTGCACTTCTTCGAGCTGCTCTGTCAGCGCTTTCACTTGGGCTTCTGCTGCGCGCTTGTCCTTCAAGAATGTACGAGCAAAGTGCTTGTGCTTCTCACACTCCTCGGTCTTCACGCGCAGCTGCTCTTCAAGCTCTTTGAGGTCAGGCTTCGTCTCGTCCGAGGTCTCTGATGCATCTTCAGCTTTAGGTTCAGTCGAAGGGGCCGCATCGGCATTCTCCGTTCCGTCCGCCGCTGACTCGGCCGTAGCGTCAGCCGCCGTCGCAGGCACTTCGTCAGCCGCTTTCGTAGCCTCATTGACTTGTGTCGTGAGCTCATCGATCTTGGCCTGCAGAGCCTCTTTCTCCTTCTCGGCCTCGGCGGCCTTGGCCGACATATCCTTTTCGAGCTGATTCGCTTTCTCCACGGCCTCCGCCACAGCACGACGTTCTTGCGTAATGCGTGCACGTACTTGCTCACGCAACTGCTCGAACTTCTTGTTGGCCGTCTGCAGCTCAGCAGTGAGTCGAGTGGTTTCCTTCTCTAACTCAGCTTTCGCGGCAGCGATTTGCTCCTGTGCTTCGGTACGCTCTTTCTCCGCCTTCTTCAGCTCCTCTTCCACACCACTTGTCTGCAGCAGACCGGATGCCCGCTTCTTCCAGCGCGTAACATCGTCTTGTACCACACGGAGCTGGCTCTGAGCCGTCTCTAGCTCGACCTTCGCCTTCTGCAGCTCATCACGGTGTGGCTGCAGATCAGTCTGAGCTTGCTGCAGCTGCGCCTCGAGCGATTGGTTACGTGACTCGACAGCCTGCTTGGCCTCTTCGAGAGTAGTGACATGCTCACGCAGCGTGCTTAGCTCATTGATCTTCTCCAAGAGCTCCGCGTACTGTCCACTAGGTGCCGAGGCAGATTCACGTGCCGTCGTCAGTTCAGCACGTGTAGCCTCGAGCGTCTCCTGGGTCTTGGTCAGCGCATGCTCAATGCGCGTGCGTTCCTGCACGGCCATATCCAGCTGAAGCTCCCTGAGCTCCTTTTCACGGCGCAAGTACCGAATTACTTGAAGCTCACTAGCCGTAGGTGTCGAGGACGATGCGCCGTCCTCCACCTTAGGAGCCGCGGCTGCGTCTGTGGAGGTATCGGTAACGTCGTCGATCGCCATGGGCACGTCGGACGAAGCGGTGCCGAGCGCTGCCACTTGCTGTGTCACACCTTCGAGGTGCTCATGGAGTTGGTTGTTTTGCTGCTGCAGCTCGTCACGCTGCTCACGAAGCTGCTCAGCGGTCTTCTCAAGCGCCCGAATCTTGTCTTCCGCATCGACCACAGCCTTGTTGTGTTCCGCAGAAAGCACATCCTTGGCCGTCCTTACCTTCTCCATCTCTTCACGTACACGTTGAGCGTCGGAACGTGCACGACCAAGCTCCTGCTCCAACGCCTCTTTGATTTGCACAAGCTCCTCTGCTCGGGTCGTCGCTTCCTTGGCCTGCATTGAGAACTTGCGTACTTCGTCCCATGCCGACGCCTGCTCCTTCACCTCTTCCGCCTCGGCGGCATTGAGGCCGGCTAGCGTGTCTTCCAGCTCGCGCTTCTCTGCGGCATGCGCAGACGCCTGCTCTTCCAACTTGGTCTGCAGGGCGGACACTTGGCTGTTCAATTCGGCACGCTGCGCCTCCAAGGTATCCCAGCGTGTCTGCCATGCGGCATCAGCCGACGCCTTCTCCGCAAGAGCGGTGTCCTTGGCCTCGTTCGCCTCTGTTAATGCCTTCTGGGTGTCCGCCAGCTCGGTAGCGATGCGCGCCTGCGCGCTTTCAGCCTCGGCTTGCGCCGCCTTGGCCGCCAGGGTATCCGCCTCCGCTGCTGCACGTCCACGACGCACATCGGCCAGCTCCATCTCCAGCTGCCGCTCCGGCGAGAGCTGCGAGTCGTTCGTACCGCCCAGAGCAGCAGCCACAGCTGCACGACGACTCTCTTCGGCAGCAGCATGCTGCTTCTCGAGCAGGGCAGCGACATTGCGTGCATGCTCTAGTTGCGAGAGGAGATCGTCAATGCGGCGCTCACTGTGCTGCACATTCGCCTGCGCAGTCACAAGGGCCTCACGCGCGGCCGCATGCTGCTGACTCAATACGTCCAGCCGCTCACGCAGCTCACGAGTCTCGACATCACGACGTAGCGACGCATGTGTCGCTTCCGTACGTGCCTCAGTAAGCTTCGACTCGTGCACGGCCGCTGCCGCTTGAAGCGCGGCGATTTCCGCCTGCAGACGTTCAGTCTGCGAAGACTTCTCCATTGCTGATGCAGCGTCCGCCTGGTGAGCAGATCGCGCCGCTGCCTCAGCCTCGGCCTTGGCCAGGCCGAGCTTTGCATTCTCATCCAGCAGCCGATCACGCTGCTCTGTGACCAGGCGGTGCTCGGCCTCCTTCGCTGCCAGATGCGTCTGAGCTTCATGGGCGGTGGCCTGCAACTTGGCCAAAGCCTGCTCAGCCTCTTGCAGTGCCGACTCGCGACGATCAAGGAGCGCGTGGATGCGCTCCGTATGCGCAACAGCATCCGCCAGCCGCGACTCATGGAACTTAGCCGACTCCTGCAACATGTGCACACGCTCTTCCGCAGCCGCACGTGCGGCTGCTTCGCGGCGAAGGTCCGCAAGAACAGCAGGAGGAGTTTCAGGCTCAGCTGTCGCCGCCTCGACCACAGGCGGCCGCTCATGGACGTCCAGACCACGTGCTACACATACGTCGCGGTACATATCACGCTCCTGTTGCACCTCGGCCAACATCTCGCGCTCGGTATGCAGCTCATCCGTGACCTTTTCCAGCATATCGGCCGCCTGCTGCAGCTCGTCGTCACGAGGATCACGTGCCTCCAGGCGTTGGCCCAACTCGCGCACTGTCTGTAGGAGACGCGCATTTTGCGCACACAGCTCAGAAAGCGAGCGGAACGTCACAAGCTCTTCGGTAATGACGTCTTGGACGCCAGAAACATCGCCTGGCTGATCCTCGTCAAGACGTTCGGCAGCGGATGGGTCCTTCAGCACAATGGTCTCACGCAGCAGAGTACGGACCTGTGCCGTCGCGTCATCCAGCTGCTGCGAGACCAACTCGTATTCGCGCTGTACACGTTCCAGTTCTGCATTCGCATCCTGTGCATGGCCTTCCGCCTCGGCACGCACCGTCTGCGCGTCCTGTAGCTCATCAGAAATCGCATCGAGGTCCTGGCGCAGCTGGGCTGCTTCTTCACGCTGTGCTTTAAGCTGAGGCGCATGTGCATCGAGATCAGCCATGACTTCAGCCAGCACACCTTCCAGACGTCCGGTCTCTTCACGTTCACGGCGCAGTTCTTCTTGTGTGCGTACAAGGTCGGTATACACATCGCTAAAGCTCTTTCCGTCTTGCTGGATATGCGATGCAAATGCCGCAGCACGAGACGGCGTCGCAGCTGCAGAGCCATCGGCATTAACACCAAGTGCCTCAGCCAAACGGTCCAGCGCCTCTTGTAATCGTGCCTTCTCATCCAGAAGCACTTGGCGTTCCGCTGACGCCTCATCCACTTCTGCCCGGGCAGCACGCTCGCGCGCTGCACATTCCGAGACGAGGGCATCACAACTGGCTTCAAGCTCAGCAGCACGTCGCTCAGCACGCGTCACACGCACGTCAGCGAGCTGTGATGCCTGCTCTGCAGCGGCGCGTTCAACCGTCGCCTCGTTCTCCTGCGATGCAATACGTGCACGCAGATCAGAAATAGTACGAGTAGCATCAGCATAACGCGTCTGTGCCTCCGTAAGTAAACGTTCCGCATGCGATAGCTGCGCTCTAGCCGATGTACGTGCCTGCTCGGCCAGATCGCGCGCCGATTCTGCCTGGACGATACGTGCATGCAGATCTGCACGCGTGGCCGACGACACCTCGTGCTCTCGCGCCAGCTCTTTACGAGCCCATTCGGCATCTTTCTGCGCGAGAGCAAGCTCCTGCTCTAGAGCATGCGTGCGAAACTGGCATCAGAATACGTGATCTAGCAACATACCTTGCTGTTATTCTCAGAGGACTGGGCACGCTCGAGTGCAAGGACCGTCGAGGCGAGCTCTGAGCGCACAGATTGGTGCCGCTGTTGAAGGGACTCGAGTTCATCTGCGGTGAGACTAAGAGGATACATACCCTGCTTCTGAGCGTTGGCTTCACGCTCACGTTGCCAGCTTTCAAGAAGCTTGCGCTTCTCGTTCTCGAGCGCTGCAACTCGCGACTCGAGATCGGACATTCGCGCACGTCCTTCTCGCGTCGTCGTCCCGTGCACGTCGATCGCCTGCTGCCTGCGTTCAGCACGTTGACGTAGTGCAATGGAGGATCACGTGATGATGACATACGAAGTTCCGGCAGTGGCCCCAGCGCCCCACAGCTTCGCCCCATTGTGGCGTAAGGTGGGGCGCAGCCAGTCTTAAAATCCGTGCGAAGAGCTCGGCTATCTTTTTACCGATCTACAATGTCGAATAACGTTTACGAGCCGATTGCCAGCCACGCCCTGAGGGCGTTCCCCCACCTCAAGGCACCGGGCTTTGAGTCAAGCAAGGTATTCGCGGTGACCGCTCTGTACCTGGCCTCGCCCCCACCGGGCTTCCCGAGCCAGGGCTACCTTGCCAAGAACCTCGCCTCTCTGTACCTGTTTGTGATTCACCCGTCGGAGCATGGCCGCCGCTCGCGTGCCCTGACCAAGTCGACCCCAGAAATCTTCTACATCAACATCACCCGTAACAAGATCGAGGTCGGCCGTGGTCACCCGCCGAACAGCAACTCCTCGTCGCTGTTCTCGCGCAAGAACCGCAAGGTGGTCGTCATGGAGTGCTCGGACACGGACATGGTCAACATTGCCACTGGCAAGTCGCAGGTTCAGAGCCTCCTCGACGCTGGCAAGCTTCGTTTCAAGGGTAAGCTGGACTACCTTGAAAAAATCAGCCGAATTCTCCACCACGAACGCTCGGAGCTCTACAAGTCGGTCACCACTGAACCGCGTGAGCGCCCGGACGACAACATGGTCGTCGACGAAGAGGCTCTTGGACAGAGCATGGGTTCTGTCCCCCGCGCTCGCTTGTAAATGCGTAATTAAATAGCTCTGTATATCACTACTCTATATACACACTTCATTTATGAAGCCTGCTTGGTATGGCGGTGCTTGAGCGTACTCTTCTCAGCACCTGATCCTGCTGAGGGGACCGGCTGAGGTACCGCATCCTTTTCCTCCTGATGTTTTAGTCCAGACGCCTTGGGTGCCGATTCGTACGGTGCCTCAAGTTGAGGCATAGGCTCCCGCACAAACAACTCGCGACCATAGGCGCCAATAAGCGCTAGTACGCGGCCGCATACAGTTGTCCTGGGCTGTTAGAGATAGGCAATACATACCACACGGTGCTGCTCACAGCCCCAGCAGGTGCATTTGGGAAGCTGAACAGCGGACCGAGCGGACCAAACCAGTCACCCGGAGGAAGGTAGAACATAGGCACGCGCTTAAAGTACCAGTTCAAAATGAAAGGGATCGCACTGTTGAGGACAAACATGAACCCTTTGAACATGATAGAGAACATGAACTGCGAGGAGGCCATCGTTTTGTCTGTCGTGTCAATAGCACCTCGAACCACATACTTTGCTCATCCACTTCTTGAGTAAGCTTGTCCACCTTACGACGGAGACGAGCCCACTTCGAAAACTCATCCTGGGCACTGGTCATGTTCAGCTGCTGCCGCATCTCGTATAGTTCCTTCTTCTTGGTAGACAGCTTGGACGAAGCCGAGAAGTTGACGACGCGAACATATATGTTACGGAACTGGTGTAAGCTCACTAGTACGTACAAATTCCTGTAGTAAATCACGTCCTAGCCATGTAATGGCATGGTTGATGAAGGACACCAAGAAGATCAACAAGGCCGGATGCATCGTGATCGTTGTCGGCGACGATGTTGTTGAGTTTCAAGGGGACAGAAATTGGGTCAATTTACACCTCCACTGTATTATAACCCTCCTATCCAAACCTACGCACTAACCTGAGCAGATGAGGACGACGACATCTGTCGTCGATGGGGCACCGTAGTTGAGGGCCCAGCTTCGGTGAGTGACGATGATGTATGGAATCCAGCACGAAGCACAAAGTCTGGATTCCTTGCAAGAGTCTCCGGACAGGCATTATGGAATTCATCCATAATGGGATATTGCAGAACGTTCATATTGGGGGTAATGCAGACCAACGTATTCGAAGGGATTTCCATCCAGTCCGCTAATGGTAAGCTAAATGAGTAAACTTACCTTGTTCAAATGTCAACGGTTCACTTGCGATCATGACAATTTTTTGGCGACGACCAGCTTTCACCATTCGATATTCGCCTTTGGAATGCTCATAGAAAGACGTGCCGGTAGAGAAAAACTTTGAATATGAGTCGGCTTGGTCACTTACCAGACTAGCTGCTTCGTCTGTCTTACTTGAAACATATCTAGTGCAAACCACACTTTTGCCATCAGTGACACAAAAGTTCAGCAAACTCGGCTGTCTGTCAGGTAAGGCACTTACTCACCTCATCGACGCCCGCCTCTTTCGACCATGTGTTGATATCACGGATTGTCTGTAGCATGGCGTCTTTCAGTTCCTGATATGAGAATTCATCCGAACTCTTGGGGTCCTTAATATGGCTTAAAAACAGGGCAAATGCAAATTCCGAGTCAGTGTGTCCCTGAGGGAATAAGAACAACGGTTCAGGAAGTGCAGCCAAAAGGCGGCGCTTGATTTTCGCAAACTGAGAAATCTGACCGTTGTGCATCCTTTGTGTCAGTCTCTAGTATACATACCACATCAAACGACCGTACCTCCAAGGGTGGCAATTGGTCTCACTCAGTGCACCTGCCGTGGATGCACGCACATGACCACTACTCACGTCAGTCCAACCTAGCACAGACATACAAAATAAGCGGGCTTTTAATCTTTTCAGCAATACGACGCAAATTAATATTGTTCCATGCCTGGTTATCAGTATTCGTATCGAGTTCGGCGAAAGTAATATATCACGTACTGGTGTTACACTTGTAAATATACAAGGGGCCTGACCAAGTTCGGAGTCGGTTACCGAGTCATACCACCCAACCCCAAAACCATCACCCTTGAATAAGAAAAATGTTAATATTTAAACTCACAAAACTTGATAGAACATACATTGATAGGTGTGTTGAGATCCAAACGAAGTCGCGAATCAAAAGCCTGAGCGGTTGGTAATCACTTCATAGAGATAAAGGCATACCTGATTAATAATGCTATGCGCTGGGCGAGTAAACAAATGGGAGAGTAGAATAGGTTCACTGCCCTTATACACTGCAATATTAGAGCGAATACCAACACTTATCACCATACCTAGTAATCGACACATATGCGTGAATATAATATGTGAAGTTGAGCTCTGAAGTGGAGGAGAAGAGTCGAGGCAAGGTGGAGGTGGAGGTGGAGGTATGAACAGACAGGATTTAAGTACAAACAAATAATAATAAAACATTAGAAGATCTAAAAATAGCTAATATCATTTGAAATATTCAAATACAAATATTAAACAAAAAACGAAAAAAACAGATAACTTGAAAAAATATAACTTAAATAAATTATAAATACAAATATATTCAAATGAAATTAAAATAAATTACATATAAGGCTAATATTAAATTAAGGTTAAATCATATACAAAAATATTCATTCATAGTTCAAAAATTATAATAAATGTAAATATTTAAAAATATTGACATGATAACTATTTATTAACTTAAAATAATTATATTATTTTAATTATTTACTCAAACACTATTCAGTAAATACAAAAATTGATAATATTTTAATATTAATTTTAAAATAAGTTATTATATTGTGCATGTCCATATTTAGTATTTAAAAATGGTAGTTTCAATATATTCATCAATTATATTACTTTTTAATATAATTTATGATCGGTTCTTTGTGATTGCTTTGTCATCAAATGTGGAGGGCTGTATGATGGGGAGTTAAGTGTGTATGTTTTGCGGTCCCCTTTATACGTGGTTTGAAGTCTCATTCATTTATGCATTTATCGCTTGGACTTAGGGATTGGACCCACTCATTAAGGGATCGTCAAAATTGTTCGAAACTCTGTTTTGCTTCACAGTCATGAATAGAGAGGGGATGTCGGGTATTTTTTCTATCTCACCCTTTTTATATCGGCTTTCTCCAGGAAATGAATGAATGTGCGGACTTGAATATTTCATGTAACACTAGAACTACCAATTGTAAGTTATCAGTATTCGTCCGTTATAGTAGCTTCTCTCGGGCATATGCTAGCCGTACATGCACGTAAAAAAATCAACATAATATATCATCTATACTACATAAATGCGAGAAGCAATATAATTGCGACTTCAACGACTATAATGAAGACGGACACGAATGCCACAATGTACCCAGCCGTTTGGAACTTGGGGAGGTAAACGTAAGCGTCAGGATCAACGACGATATCATCCTCATGTTCTGAGTCTCTCTTGTTTCTTCGCTCCAGAATGAACTCCGTAACTTTCTGCTCATATTGCATAGTCATACGATATCGGAAAGCAGCAGTAACGAAAAGGCCAATAGCCAATACACAGTTTGCAACGCCAATCCAAAAGAATGCTGGTTGAAAAATTTTTATAACCGTCAGTGAAAAAGAGAGTTGTCCAAGAGCAGTACGGGTGTATGCACCATCGAATGTCCTTTGTGATGCTCTATTCTGTTAGTATATATGCACTGACTTACCTCAGGTCCAACTTTTCTACTTCTTTGAGAAGTTTGTGCGGATGCTTGACTTGGTCTTGCTTATTCTGTCCAAATGGAAAGAGGACCTTTGAAAACCCAGCTGACATTTGGCGTATATTGTGCCTTGGCCGTGGATGATTCGCAGCGTCGTTAGTCATAATGGTCGCCGTACAGGATGCACGAGCCAAGTACGTGTGCTTGTGCCTGTTTAACCGTCCACGTGACACCAACTCATTGGATCGCAGCGTGTCGCATGTCGGCTTTCTTAGGTGCAATGATGGGTTATGCTCGGCGAGTGCCATCGCTCCTATGGCTTACTGTATTTATCCTCACGTTAGCCAAGAGCGTGGCTCCTCTGTACTTTTACTTTGAAGCCGGTACAAATAAGTGCTTCTATGAGCAACTTCCTGCTGACACAATTGTTGTTGGCCACTATTACCTGGAGGAATGGGATGATACACAGAGTCACTTTGATATCCCCAAAGACGTTGCTCTAGGTATCCTGGTCAAGCATGTTGACAGTGACCATGATCTTGTATCATCGAAAGGGAAGTCAGATGGCCGTTTCGCTTTTAGTTCACATGAAGCTGGTCGTCATGAAATCTGCTTCAACACAGAATACCAAGGTGTGCGCCTCCCTCACCAACACACACCTGAGCTCCGTATGCATCTCGATATTATCATTGGTGATTCACACCGTTCTAATTCTGTTGCTGACAAGGAGCATGCCGAGGATCTTCTTTCCAGGGCTAGAGCATTGAATGCGAAAATGCGTGACCTTCGTAAAGAACAACAATACCAACGTGAGCGCGAGATGGAATTCCGTGACTTAAGTGAGTCTACCAATGCGCGAGTTGTCTGGTGCATTATTCTTCAGATGCTCGTGTTGTTGGTTTGCTGTCTCTGGCAGCTTGTAAGCCTGAAGGTATGTTGCAATGAATGTCTGACAAGTTTAGCTCTTTTTTGAGGACAAAAAGTTCCGTTAGGAATATATATATATATATAGGCGACTATTGACGATAATGTACAAACTATTCGTCTTGATGCACGGTTGTTACAGTAGTGAGTGGTACGTTGTCCACATTGTGACTTGCATTGGGCCACCACTTGAAACGCTTAGTAAGGGAGGTCATCCATTGCCATGTCAACTCGAGTGTTTCCTCCAGCTCACCACTGCCCACCATAAAATTGGTATCCATATGTGAGTCTTGCATGTTTGCAGGCACGTATGTAGGCTGTTGCTCTTCTTTCTCCCTCTCTGTAAGATGCCGTATCAAGTCTTTAATGGTAACCAATCCTTGTAACTGGCCATTCTTGCAAACTAGGATGACACGGGGTCCTAGGCTCTTGAACATTTCAGCCACCACCTCCAGATCTAATTCCGGCTGCACCATTAAAGGTGTAGGGTCGACCCAAGAACCCAGGTCCAAGGGGCCAGAATCGACCTCCATGCTTTCCTCGAGGATGTAGTCAGGTTCATCAAAAGCACCGCTACCCCATCTCATAGTTTCAGGCAAATCTTTAGGCATCTGTGCTGTTGTCAGCGCATATTCTTCGGTGCCCTTGGGATAAAACTTGCATACAACCTCCGGCGTGAGGCTTTGGAGCTTAGAGGTTTGGTCAATAGCATACCGGAGATGGTTCCTTTCGACATAGCCAAGGACGGTAGCGTCATTTCTGCTGGAAACCACAGGGAATCCACGATATGTAGCTTCCGATACATACTTCTCAATATCACTGAGCTTCATTCCATCAGCATACAAGGCATCTGGCTGCTTCTGGATAAGAGAACCCACCTCTGCACCGAAAATGTGTTCTTCTTGTTCCAAGTAGGGGTAGCCGTTGAATTTGATGGCCCTGTCGGAAATACCGCCTTTACCATTGAGATCAGCCACCAGTTTTGCCGTACCTACAACCAGCATAATAGGCAGGATGTAGGTCAAAGCACCCGTCAGCTCGAACATAATCACCACCACAGCCACAGTGATACGAGTAACGCCAGCCAATCCAGCTGCAGCGCCCAGCATAGCGTAAGTACCTGGGGTAATGCAAGGCTCATGTGGATTACATGCAGCAAACATACTCCAGCTTGGGAAGGCTGACTGCATTGCTTTTACAAGTATACCGATCATGCGACCAAATGTGGCTCCCACAGCCATCGAAGGGATGAAAATGCCTGCCGGTACTTTACAGCCATAAGACAGTACAACAAACATGAACCGAAGGATGGTGGCCAGCAACAACGATGTGGCCATCGACCATTGCATACGCGATTGGCAGAGCACGTCGTTCTCACTTGCTCCATCACATTGCTGGAATAGGATTTCCAGCGACTCTGTCATGTCGATCCGCATGAAGCGGTTGAAATAGCTGACCATGGCTGTTAGGACAGCCAGGATCACAGCTTCCGCCACACCGTGATTGGCAAGTCGTTTCCGTCTGAAACGCTGTACCTGCAAGTTGAAACGTGCCACATATTCTCCATAGAGTCCACCAAAGGCACCGAGAAGAAGGAAAAAGGCAATTTCGAAGTAGTGCCAATCTCGGTTGTATTCCACTTGGAAGAGCACCAGTTTACCAGTCCTGAACGGGTTCATGAAGGAGAGTGCTACTGTGCTTGCTAGAGCACACAAGAAGGTACGCCACATAGTCTGTGCTGGGAAATGCGATGTCATTTCTTCTAGGGCAAAGAGCACACCACCTACAGGCGAGCCGAACGCCACGGCTACGCCAGCTGCACTAGAGGCGGTAAGCAGTTCGCGCAGTTTTGCATGGCTTGGCACAAGCCAGTGGAATACTTCGGAGGCTGTGTAACCCATACAACAGGCGACATGAACGGCAGGTCCTTCTTTGCCTACACTCAATCCGGAGGCGATCGCCAATGGTAGGCCCAAACTCTTAATGACCAAGGTCCATGCACTGAGGAAACCACGAATGACAAAACCTGAGAGAACACACTTGATCTCACTGATACCACTTCCTGCTGCATAGGGCGCATACTGCTTTACCAGGTAGGCACATGAAAATGCCAGCAAGGCCGAAAATCCGATATACACAAACCATGCGGGGACCGTCCACGCGGCCCATTCGATCCACTCGTTGCAGGTCTCCACAGGCGCGACAGGGCTCTCACTCCGCAGGGTCAGCCGCGTCATGGTTTGAATAGCACTTGCGACGCTTGTCGTGTTTGCATTGGCTGCTGCCGCCGCCGCTAACGCCGCCATGCCCTTGGGTCCTGATCCTGCGCCTGGACCTGCCGGGTCCATATCTTCCCAACAACAAAACTTCTTGTTCAGCCACCAGCCGGCGGAGCAGTATCCCTGCTTCAGGTCCGAAGCCCACTCTGTCACAACGCTAATGACGGCCATGTTGAGACCAATGAGTACACCTAGCCGTAAGTTTGCCATGGCTCGTTCACGTACCGACCAAAATGACTAGGCCTGATTCCGCCGTCGTCAGCAGGGGCGCTCGAAGCGCGCCAGCCAATCCACCCACATAACCAAATATCGCATTAAGGAACATCATCAGACGTTCACCGAACGGCATTCGTTCAGCGTATGCTGCAAACGTCCTCCAAGCCTGAGAACTCTGTGCGTGCATATTCTCGGCAATACGCTGCACTTGCTCCTCATGTCGCATAATCTTCACTCGCTCTCTGCGTCCATCGACGACCCAGTCCACGGTCGTGAACTTGCATTAGTATAGCGTATACGTACACGGCCATAATCCTTCGTTGCCTCGCGCGCTGGCGCTGGAGGCCGTAGCGGCATGGCCATGGTGGGAAGGTGCGAGGTGTATGTGGAGGTTATCAACACTATTCACGCGGTTCGTGCAGTAGCAACGAAGCCGAGCGGGCTAAGAGCCCACGTAGACGTGCGCGAGGTGCATCCTTGTCATCCTCGTCGCGAATACGCTTGGACGCATGGGAAGGAGCGATGGATGCGCGTTTTCGCGGCGTCGTTGGGATGGGACTCGGCAAGGCGGGTGCTGGACCCTTGGGCCGATCGTTGTCCACGCGACTTGCCAATTCGCGCAGGGCTTGGTTGCCCAGGGACCGGAACTGCTCCAGGTCTTCCGAGGGAACATGCGCATCCGACTGTGCGTCACCAATGTACGCAAATGCCATCCGGAGGATGGCCTGCATGTACGTGTTGAGATGAAATGTGCCTTGGTGTGCCCACTCCAATGTATGTGCCTTTAAAAGACTCACAGCCTCTGGATCGCCCCATGCCATGGACTGCAGCTGATGCAGGGCGAGAGAGACGAGGGTATCGGGAATCGTCGTACTGTGTGCCGTTTTCGGGATGCACAGCGCGATGTGGGTGGTCGAGTCGTCTGGCTCTGCCTCGGCGGCTAGGGCCATACGCAGCAAGAGATTCGCTAGCGACGTAAGCAACGCAAATGCGTCGGCAGCAATGGCAGGCGTATGCGCCCGTGCCAGGAGCGTATCGAACGCATCAGCCAAGTCACTCCACATATGCCAAAGAGGCTGAATGGCTGTGCGTAGCCCAGGTGTTCGATCCATTCCGACATGGAGCGTAGGCAGGACGTCAAGCAATGCTTCGCGAAGCACCTGATCCACATTGACCGTGGGCTCATGCAGCGTTACAACCTTGCATGGCATCCATACCTTGTTGTGTGTCTGCATGAATGTCTGTGCCTGTGCCTCCGCCCACGCCACCGCCAGCAACGGTGTAGGTACCGACGGCGTAGGCACAGTAGCCATCGCATCACACACGACCAACTGTGCCTCCTGTGCCATGGCCGGAGCACGTACGCCATCGACGATGCGGACCTGCGTCCCGTGCGCTAGCGGATGAAGGACTTCATCGGCACTCAGCCCCATTTTATGCCGTAGCCATCGAGCGCCTGCGGCGGGGCCGTCTTTCGATACATACACGGCAATGGTAAAGGTCGGTGGACTTTGCATCGTCTCGTGGCACAGCCATGCAACACGATCGACCATGCTATCCGCCCACGTCCCTCGCTCCCATAGCCGCGTACTAGCCTCTTGGGCGTGCACAAACGCGTCGACTCGCTCGTCATCGGACCATCGGGGCGCACGCCCTGTAGCATCACTTGAGCGCCGAGAACGCGATACATGCAAATGCGGCAGACGTGTACGAAGATCCTCGAGACGCTCTGCCTGTACCTTGCGATCACGCTGCTTTGCGAGAATCGCTTGCCAATGTTTCATAGTCGCCCGAAATATATGCCGCGTGAACTGGACCTGTGCCAACGCATCCATGGACGCGTGACGAACATTTGCTGCGACAGGCTCAGCCAAGAGTCGTGACGTGAGACGCGAAGCCATGGACGCCAACAGCGACGCACGTCGTACACGTCGTCGATGCTTTGCCTCGCTCTCCAATGCCTGCTGTCCCACATGATGCACCATGTCGTCCAGAGCGGCGTCGCACAGTTGCTGCGTGAGGGATGTCGTGAGCTGAGTACGTGGAAGGCGGGGTTTAGGTTTGGGTTTGGGCGGGGGTGCTGGCGTACTTGGCACCACGTCGGCTGGCGGTTTCGTCTTCGTGAAGGATGGCGTGGCTGGCGGCGGTTTAGGTTGGGAAGCGGACGGCGGCGCTGGCCAAGCAAACGCCGGCGTCGTTGGTGGCGGCATCACCGCGGGAGTTTTCGCGGCAGGCGCCTTCGCAGGTGTGAACGTGAACGGCTTGGCCGGAGGGGATGGCGTCTTGGCCCTTTTTGTTGTTGTTGGTGTTGGGGTGGTCGATGGCATCACGGGGGGCAGCGATGTTGTCACTGTCGGCTTGGGTGGCTGCAGAGTCTTGCCATCGACAATGTCCTGGCACGTCGCTGTGCCACGCTTGACTTCGACAAGTGTTTGGCTGAAAGGCGAGACAAACGACTTGTCTTCGTCTAGCACGACGAGCTTGTTGATCTTCGCGACACCGTCCTGCTCATCCACATCCACGTGTACCAAGCGAAGAAACTCGATCGTCTCTGCATCGTCGTCCATCCCCAAAATCGTCGTCACGTAACTCAGCGGCAAACCGTTATGTTGCGGCATGTAGGCCCTGGCCAGTGCCTTGATGGCACCGATGCGTACACTAGGAAACAAGTTCTCAGCGAGGCAGGCCGTCAGGTAACTCACCTCTGGCCGTGCCACGATCTTAAAGAAGCGTGTGAAAAAGTTGGGCGTCGCTTCCGTATTGCGCGGCTGACCGCGCTTTTCAAGGAGATTCGATCGCTGGACCAACGTCTGGAGCTGCAAAGCCCACTGCAGGGGCGCCGCCGTAAAGACAGGCGTCGGGAGCAGCTCGACTTCACGTAGCGATTCAGGATCGCGAATGTGCAAGAGCAAATTGTACGCACGAAACTCGGGCTCGTTGGGGTAGGTATGGCCCAGCAGTCGCTGGTCGTCGTAGTACTCAATCAAGCTACGCAGCGTCTTGCGCAGCTGCTCGAGTTCCTGCTGCTCGCTCCATGCCTCAGCATCTACGCCGCCTTTCCAGTGCAGACACAGAATGTGGTACCGGGCGATGCGTTCATGACAGGCAATGGCAATCGCACCGCGATCGCTTTGTACGATAAAGTCCTGCCGAATCGCTCGTGTACGGTTCCACAGAAATGGTTGGACAACTGCGAACTGTGGATCGCGCGGGTCTGCTGGAAGAAGCGTATGTAGCAGGTAGTCCAGTGTGGTTTGGAGGACCGCAGGGGGACGAACTTCTTCTGGCAGCGGCAGTTCGCGGCCAGCAGCTGGACGTCGGTAAATCTTGACCGCCGCCTTCGGATCAGCGTGCGTCGTCCCTGGGATAAGCTCCAGCTTATCTAGTTCTTTTTGGATCTCTCTCTCGAGACGCTCGTGCTCGGGGCACATCTCCATGCAGGTGCCTACCAGCTTCGTCGCATCTTCCAGCAGACCCGGCTTGGCGGGGTCTGGAAGGACACCGCTGGCAATATACGCCTCGCGCTTGTGTGCATATTCGACCTTGAGCTGCCTGTGAGTGAAGTATGTCCACCTACCTCAGCGAGACGCGCGGCCGTCGTATCTTCTCGCGGCCGGAATCGCTCGAGGCGCTCGTCGTTCGCGCCATTCATGGCGGTAGGACGTGCGTTGCGACACGCCTCCACTCGCTGCCATCGCTGCCTCCTCCCGTCATGGCGCGAGACGTGTGGGGCTCCCTGCTGCAGGGCGCCCGCGCCCGCCATGCGTTTGTGTCAAAGAGCATTGTTGTGCTAGGTACGTATACACCTATCTTACACGCTAGGCGAACCTGGGAGCGGCAAGTCGACATTGGTCCGCCAGTTGGCTGGCACCGCAGAGGCACGAACGACGGTGCCGAAAGAGTCGTCAGGCCCCCTTAACTTTGGGTACCTGGACCTCCAGGACGACGCGACGTCCATTGGTACGTGATGCAGTCCTACTTACCTTCAGAGCCGTGGCGCACAGGCGTGTACACTGTCCACTCGGCGGACATGGCAGTGGCAGCCACACTGCCTTACGCTTTCCCACCCGTGCACACTGCGCCGGATGCCTCAGTGCAACCGTCGCTCCGTCGCTTGCGTGATACCGTGTTTGTGATTACGCTCGATTGGCGCGAGCCGTGGGCGTTTGCTGCCCAAATCACGGCGTGGCTGGGTCTCCTTGAGCGTCTCATTGCGAGCGCCCATGCCAGTGGCTCCGACGTGGACGCCGACGCAGATGCAGACACTCTACGCCGTGCTATGCGTGCGCAACGTACGTATCCACTGATCACACCTGACCGCAGTCTCTGCCTGGACGTATCCACCGTCCGATACACAGCCATCACCACCGACCACCGCGCTGGCTGACAACCTCGGCGTGCCGTTGGTGTTTGTGGGTACGCACACAGATCACATCGATACGCTCCTTGCGGAGCACGTCCTCACTGAGGCACAGCTCGATACGGTCCAGCAATTCTTACGCACCGTCGCTTTGCGGTACGGCGCAGCCTTGTTTTCTACGACGATGCATCGTGCCTCTACCTACGATGCAGTACGTACGTGCATTCGGCATCGCCTCTATGTCGATCAGCCCGTGCCCAGCACAGCCCGACCTGCCCCACTGGAGGCTGAGATCGTCACAGCAGATGTACGCAAGCTGTGCATCCCGCCAGGCTGGGATACGTGGGCCAAGATCGAAGCGCTGGCTTCCTCGTTTTCGTGTGCAGCGTGGGACGAGACATGGGCAAACGATCATGCGGGCCGGCTGCATCCCACCGCGGAGAGCACCTCGGTGGTGGCGCAGCGGATGGCCGAGTGTGTCCCTCCGCCGCCATCGATCAAGGCTCAGGCGCCTACCCACGTCGAGGTATCGTCCACCGCCGAGTTTCTTGCGTCGCTACGGGCGCGGCAGCCCCCTGCAACGGAGGCCATACCCACGCCGCCTACTTCGGCAGGGCCGGCACGTCATGCCCTCGGTCCATCGATGCAGGTATCGACGCTGGACTTGCCGGCTGTCGAGAGCGCATTGCAAGAGCAAGTGCGAGATGTCCCTGTGGCACCAACGACGCCGATCGCATCGGCGCATCACAAATCTCATACGCCCAGCAGCTTGCGCACAGAGTCCCTGGCCTCGCCTAGTGTCGCGACACCCAAGCAGACCGAAGTCCTGCACAGCTTCTTCCAGAGCTGTACGTATGCGAACTTGGATACTTACCTCAGTACTCAAAAAGCCATCATCCACCTCCAGCCCAGGCTCCACGCCAGGCACGCCCAGTGCTCGCATTGGCCGTGTACGTCGTCGGAAAGACGAGATGGGGGGGTAGTCATGTACTAATAGATCCATCCTTAGCCATGCCTGCGATTTTCCTTATCATCATGCGTCATCATCGCGGCCATCGCACGCGTCTGCATCGCATGCGAGCGCGTATTGGCAGGCCGGCTTCGAGGCGGCGTACTCGCAGGGTCCTCCAAAACGACAAAGGCCGAGGCTTCTGGCTCTCTTCGTCTCGACGGATGTGGCTGAGCGGCCGACGACCCGGTGTCGAGCTCCGTCCGTGGCGTGGGTCGGCGTGGCGTGGTGCGTGTCGACGACCGTGTCTTTTTCATGGCCATGGCATCCAGGCGCGCACATACGGCATCGACTATATCGGCACTCGACCTCTCTGCAATCTCTTCTGTACTTAGCTCGTGCAGCGGCACACGCTGCATCGTGGAACTCGCAGCACGATCCATATAGATTCACTCGGTCAAGAAGCAGCGGCGGCGCGCGCCGCCGCCTCTTCCTCCTCCGCACTGTACGTATGCTATATCAACACGCCCCACGCGTTATATCACGTGACTATGGGTATCTAGGGCGAGGACGAGGCCGACGTCGAGGCCGAGGCAGAAGACGAAGGCAGCGTCGGATAGCGATGACGGAACTGGGCAAGACACGAGGCCGCCACCGGGTACTCGGGCAGCAACGCTTCCTCTGCTGATCGATCCTGCGCGAGCGCCTTGTCGAGCGCCTCCAGCGTATGGTACGTCGCGAACCATTGACGGCGTGGCTCCAGAAGGAAGTGGCGCATGACGTCCGTGTCCGTGGTCTCGGATGTCATGTCGGATGCCGGGAGCTGCTCGCGCCGGTGAGGCGGATGTGTCGGTCCCAGCTTGGTCAAGTCCACATGCGTCGATGTAGATCGGTAGAGGGGATCGCGTGCAAATGCCTCTTCGTCCTTTTCATTTTGAGCGGCGCGCACATAGCTCGACGGCGAGATCCCGTCGATCCGTACTGCCCGCTGATGTGCCTGCGGTGGTGATTCTGGTAGTACGTGTTCAATGATGTGCAAGGCATCACGAAGACGATGAGCGCGTGCTAGCGCCGCACACAAATGGTTCCAGTTGTGCGCATCAAAAGCGAAGCCATCGCGCTTGGCACGTGTCCAAATCTCCGCAACACGATCATGCATGCCTGCCCGCGACGCACTCTCGATTACAATCGACAGGGGTAAGCATAGCAGGCTTCGTTGGTACGGCCCAATACTAGGCTCCTCCCTACCGGCTGTGTTCGCAGAAAGGGCATCGGCCGCAGAGACTTGCGCCTTGACCCACGGCACAAGCTCATCGTACAATTCATCCCACAGACGTAGCACCCCTTGGACATCACCCGCGTAGCGGTACGCATTCATAAGCGCTGTCAAGGCTCGCGGCGAAATCGGCTGGCCTGCATGCACCAAGTGACGGAACACGTGTTCGGCCGCCCATACATCGCCACGCCGGCCATGTGCATCAATCAGCGGCACCAGCACATCTTCGTACATCGGACCCTGATCAAGAGCGGGCACCCGCCACGCGTCTATATCACGTGGTCCTTGGGCCTCTGCCACCAGCTGCATTGCGAGGTCCTGCGCAATATGGAGACTGGACTCTGTGCCGCTGGCATAGCTGCGAATCAATACGCCCATCGTGACGTGACTCGGCTCAATGCCACGCGCTTTCACTTGATCAAGCATCGCTCGCGCTTTTGACGTCTCGCCCTCGCGTAAGTAGGCATGCAGCATAATGGTGTGCAATTCCAACGAAGCGCCATCAGCGAGCGACTTGTCCGCCAGGGCAAATAGTTCCTCGGCCAACGACATACGTCGCCCATCGCAGGCACTCTGCACCGCCAATGCATAGGTCCGCGCATCTGGGGCTAAGCCACGGCGTCTCATATCTAGTAGACTGCGCAGCACATGTGCGACAGGTGTGCCGCGATACACATGCGCTTTTAAGAACGTGTTGTACACTGCAGTATCTGGCTGCAGCGCCACATCGCGCTGCTGCGTCAAAAACTTGAAAATACCCATGACCGCCGCATAGTGGCCGACGCGAATGTACGCGTTCATCAGGGCCGTATACACACGACGAGCCAAAGGCGTGCCTCGCGCTTGGTGATGCGCCATGAGCGCTGCTGCCCGCTCTGGAAGCTGCGCCCGGCCGAGCGCTTGTACAAGGTAGGTCAGCGTGTTTGCCGAGCACACCAGGCCAGCCCCTTCCAATTGCGCAGCGAGATGCATGGCTTCTGTAGCATCACCAGTACGCGCCAACATACGCGCCATCTCACTGTACAAACGTTCCGATGCGTATTCACTGCTAGCCGCTGTGAAGACATCACGTGCACCACTCAGATCATCCTGGCGGACATGCGCACGTAGAAGCCAGAAAGCTTCGTCTTCGTTGCGCGGCACACGGCCGATCCGCCGATGCACAGCCACCACATCACCACGACTGGCCTCGCATACTAGGTACGCATACGAACGTTTCTCGTCATGCACAGGCAAGTGCGAAAGGGCCGACTCCATGGCCTGCACATCGCCCCGCTCTGCATGGTACAGCACAAGCCATTTCCAGGAGGATGCTTCCTTGGCATGAGATTCGAGCCACGTCACAAGAGGCTGTATCACGGTGGCCTGCCTTTGTGGTGCACACATCCGCGCCGTGCGACGCACCACAGCCTCATGCGGTTCGATGCCATGCTCCCATATCAAGTCCAAAAGCTGAGCGGCAATATGAGGGGCTCCGCGATTCGCAAAGGCCAGGGCTATTAGACCGGCATAATGCGAACGAACTTGCGCCATACGTGGTGTTTGTAAGACGTGCTGGACATGTTCCCGTGCATCCTTGACGGACGAGAGCAGTGTGTACACGGCCTGAATGACTTTCGGGAATGGTGGTTGAATAAGTGCAAACGACAGCGGATGAGCCCACAGCCAGGCAGCTGCCTGCGCAGCGGCTTTGCCGGCATAGTCGTCCTGCTGCTTCTCGCGTGTGCTTTGTGCCAACCATACATCTAGAACAGCCCGCATCGCGCGGTAGACGCTATCCAGCGCCGGGTCTCTACGCATATGTAGATGCTGTCCACGTAGGGCTTGAGCCTGCACACGCTCAAGCGCTATTGTGTGTGTAGTAAGCAACGTAGCGAGACGATCCAAGGCTTCACGTAGATCGCCGCGAAGGGCATAGACTTCCACTTGCAATGCCAGGTCCATGTCACTGGGTATAGAGATACGTGCACCGATCGCATGCCGCATAGCCTCGCGTGCCTCCTGCTCTGATGGCGATGTAGACGGCAAAGGCGGCAGGCACGAATTCACATGGTCCAAGACGAGACGCAGAGTAGGGGTGTCCAAAGATCTCACATCCACGCGATCTAAAAACGCATGAAGCATGCGCGACACATAGTCCCGATGAGATGCATGCCGAGCGCGCTTTACCTTGGTTGGCAGCGTCGTTCCTTGGACCGTATCTACGTTCGACGTGGCCGTCTGCCATGTTGGCTGTCGTCGTGTGGTCTCCCCCCTTACAGCCACACCATTATGCTGGGTATGCTGCCATGCCCGACCTGTTGGCCATACGGCCCTGGCCATAGGGTGACATATACGTGGCGTGTAAATGGGTATCATTCGCGTAGGCCGCCAAACCTCACTCGCCCACCAACGCGGCTGCATCTCTACGGTGTACGACCAGAGCCATTGCAGCGCATAGTGCGAAAAGAGGGACGACGTGAAGCTAAAGTGTGCCGAAGCAGCACTTGTCATGCCTGCGTATATCGTTCGGCACGATCTCTGCGCGCACCGAACGATCCACAACCGTCGTTGGAAGGATGACCGCGCGAGCCCTGCGGCTGCGGTGGCAAGCGCAAACGAAAATGCACGCTTTCGCCTCGCTGACTAAACAGATCGTCGTACCTCTGGCTCGCGCTCCTCCGTGTCGCAAAACTGGCAATACGGCACACAATCCGTGCCCCAGTGTCCTTGGCTTCCTGCGATGTCGAAACGTATGCGCGTACGTACTTGCTGTATCGAACCTAACTCACTAGGGCATTGCCGTGTCGCGCCCCATTCTGATTGGTAGCACAGCTACACCTCTCACGCCTGCAGAGAAGCTGACTGCACCGCCGGATCATACACATCGCTGGACTGTCGCAGTACGAAGCGCGGCGACCAACCCTATTCCTGCCCTTCCTAACGGAGATTCTCAGGACCATACAACTGAAGATGGCGGTATTGGTACACGTCTTCGCGATAGTGAGACGGATCTGCACCGTGCCGTCGGCGGGAAGGACGACTTGTCGTACTTTATCAAGCGCGTCCAATTCCGATTGCATGAGACGTACGCACAGCCTACACGTAGTATGTATTCCTATCGACTTACCCACAGACATCGACCATCCACCTTTCAGCGTCACAGAGACAGGGTGGGGTGAGTTTGAGATCCAAATCAAGATCTTCTTTGTCCCTGAAGCGGGGGAGAAGCCCCTCACAGTCTTGCATCATTTGAAGTTACACCCTTGGCAACCGCTTGCCCCAGCGCCAGCGCCAGCGCCAGCCATTGCGCCTGCACCCCCGACTGACTCGAACGCTACAGCGGACACGGTGCCCATCAAAGAAGAGGCACCTGCTGCTGCGTCGGTGCCTGCTGAACCTACGCCGTCTACCATCCCTCCTGTGGTGCATTCATGGCAGTACGAAGAAATTGTATTCCCAGAGCCTCTCGAGCCGTTTTACGAGATCCTCCTAGCTCATCCACCCACGCCCTGGGCTGCCACGTCCGCTCAGGCGTGGGCGGAACCTGCGGCTGACGCGAGTCAGAAGCATCACATACATACGCCTACCGGCCAGCTTATGGACGCCTTTAGTCTCGAAGCCCAACGTGCCGAGGCAGACCGTATTGACTTGGCACGAGCTAATGCTGTAAAACAGCTCGATGAAGATCGGTCGAAACTCATTCATACAGAAAAACTTCTACGTGAAGCGCGCGCTCAGCTTGCGCGGTTGGAGTCTAATGGTCCGTAGAAAATTGATACCCTGATCGTCATAGAATCAACAGGCTGATGGTTGGTATGCGAAAACAAAGAATACAAACTTGTTTACGACGTTGGCAGTGGCGTATGGTTGCCAGATGCTTTGCGTTTTGCGACACGCGCTAGGAATTCGTCGTCGTCGTCGTGGCCAGCTTCGTCTTTTCGTCGTTTCAGGTCCCATGTTAGCTCCGTTGGGGTCTGACTAGCCTCTGTAGGGTCGGCCAAGTCTGTGACAGAGGTTGTAGGTTCCTCTGAGTCAAAGTAGTCCGCTTCATCGGCTGCCTCCTGCGCAGCAAAAAGCTCCAGCCCAGGCTGCGCATCCATATCGCCCTCGACTTTCTGCGACAGCGCATCCTCGTCCACACTATCGTTTTCGTCATGGCCATACATATAGCGTGTCACCAATGGCTGAAGACTTGCCTTGGCCAAGGGATGCTCAGCCAGCCGCTCTAACTCCGCACGGTGCTGCTCCCATATGTGCTGCTCCAGCGGCCGGATGTGATCCTGCCGAATCTGCTCCACCAACCCCAAGCACGATGACACGACCAAGTTGTCACGGGGTAATTCCTGCGCGAGCAACGCCAGCACATGGCCCAGCAAATCCACCTCGATGAGGTGCCGACATGTCATTTGACTCTGATTCGCCATACACGCCCGGAAGACACGCACCGCGGCCAAACGCAGCGACTTATCACGTGCATGCAGAAGGGCACCGACATGGCGACCTACACCAGAGGCCACAAGGAAATGCTGGCTGCGGTACGAATGCTGGGTGACGACAAAGCACAAGAGCTCACATAACGGGATATACAGCGCAGCTTGGATAGGAGGTATCGAAATGCGTTCCGTCATCGTAAGCGCTGTCATGCTCGGAATGGAGAGGAGGGGCTCAAACAAGTGCTTGATATCGTCTTGGTAGAGCCACGACATGAATTGCTCAGGCTCGTTACGCGCCTTGAACACTGTACCATGCCCCATAGCGCTGTTGGAAATACCTTCCAAATTGGTATCGAGCAAAATTTTGAGAGACTCCACAAGCTGAGCGCGCAGACCTGTATCCTTACAGCGGAGAAGTAGGTCGGCTAGCAGACGGAATAGCGTCGTAGTCGACTGTTCGACCTGCGTCAAGATATGCGACCGCACACTGTTAGCATCGTATTCAATCACCGACATGAGCACCTCCGCCGCCGCATTCTTCACAGACATATCATCTTCGCGCAACGCACACTCCATCATCGGAAGCACACCCCCTTCGATGAGACTGCGGAACAGACTTACTCGCCCAGGCAGCTGAATCTGCTTCGCCATGGTACACAAGTGCTGCAAAAAAAGCACACCCTTAGCGCGCTGCGTCGACACATCTGTCTGGGCATCTCCCTCGCCTTCAAACAGCACACGAAGCTGTGTCCACAGTTGGTCGCTTGACACACAATAATTTACAATGTCGCTTTGGTAAAAGAATACCAGCGACGCCAGCATAGATTGTAGCGCATCGTCTGCAAAACCAGCCAGAATCACATCTTTCAGGTACACAAGGCGATACGTCTCCTTGATCTTGGTCACAATCGATGGATCGTCAAAGTCCACCACCTGGTGAAACTTGGCCTCCTCTTGCAAGTACTGCCGATACGACGCTTTGAGTTTCGGTAGCTCTGGATTGTATTCCAGCATGCCAATGGCCGAGAAAAACACCTCATCCTGAAGAAGGTACTCGACCATCACATTGTCGTTCAGCGATAGAATCATTTTCATAATACCATAGAGCGCGTACAGTATAGGGAGCAAATGTTGTTCTTCTGCTGCCACAAACACACTCTCTAGTTTGCGCACATAGTCGTACTTGAGCAGCCATTCCACCACTCGTTCTCTCATCGGCACACTGTGCAGACATGCCACTGCCAGCTCCTCTTCAATGGATTCAATGTTGTCAAGGGTGGGATCCTCCAAATGGAACGAAGGTAGGCCATCGATATTACCTTTGGTATAATCCAAGCCACGGCTCAGTGCAAAGTGCTGCTGCACTTCGGTAATAAAATCCCATACTTCATTGCAGCCCTCCAGCTCCTGGAATGACAGCGCCATATCTGACCCGTCCAGTTCTGTCCAGACTACCAATGTGTCTTGCTGTCGCTGGTACACATCTTCTTTGATAACCGGCGCATTTAGAAGAACATCGTTAGAATCCAGTGACTCTTGCGCGACCAACATATACTCATGTGGCGGTGCATCCGAATCCTGGGTATCCTCGGGTACTGTAACATCCGCTACACTACCAAGTGATTCACAGAAGTCCTCTTTGCGTACAACAATCAGCGCCTCGTCTTTGTCCTCATCGTACACGCCTGCACAGAAGCCAGTACCACGATCAGACCAGGCCTGCCCTTCCAAAACATACAATTTTACTCGACGTCCTGAACCACACTGGTGGTAGTGGCCACGCGTAATAGTTGATGAAAATAGCAGCGGCGCATCGTGGGCATTTGTCGCGCCACGCGCTGCAAAGGCCGGTGGCCCTTCAGCTGCGACGCCGTCCACGTCGACGGCGTGCTCAGCTACGGCGGTGGATGCTTCCATCCGTCGTCGCAGTTATGCTATCTAGGAAGCGATGCCACGGAGGATCAGCGTCTCTATCGTGCACACCCACCTCGCGCGTTGCGTCGTTGCGATACAATTCACGTGCTTTGGCACTTTCAGAGCCACGCGTCCCTCCGCAAACGCTGTATCTGCCTGAAAGGCGTCGACACGCTCGATGGCTTGCTGCGCCTTGCTCACCGCGCATCGCTGACAAAATATCACGTGCTAATCGGGGATGCCGAGCCTAGGGTTCCATGACCTTGATAAGTCGGCCGCACCCGTCGGTCAGGCCACTGTTCCTTATCTAAAGAGCTAAGATAATGAGGGGAGTAATCTGCAATAATGATGACAAACTTCTTCGCGTCGCGTGCATCGGTCCAATATCCGTGACAGACAGGCGGCCAAGACCCATAGAATATAGCAATTATTTCTGTATGGGGGCTAGATTACAAACCCGGCAGGGCCGGCCTGTGCCGAACCACTCATAATCTTATAAAGGCCGCCAGCCACCAGTGAAAATTAGCACCGTCTCTTCTCCTTGACACCTATTCCCCATGTCGATTGTTACTAAGAACCCGAACCTTCTTGCTCCGTATATGGATTTGCCCCAGAAGGGCAAGGTTGCTGCTGAGTACGTCTGGCTTGACGCTGCTGGCCACCCACGTGCTAAGACCACTACGGTCGATGGCCCGGTCAAGTCGCTCGCCGACCTCAAGGAGTGGAACTTTGACGGCTCGTCGACTGGTCAAGCCCCGGGTGGTAACTCGGACGTGTACCTGCGTCCGGTTGCCTACTACCCTGACCCCTTCCGTCTCGGTGACAACGTCATTGTCTTGGCTGAGTGCTACAACAACGACGGCACGCCGAACAAGGCCAACCACCGCCACGCTGCCGCCAAGATCTTCGAGCAGTGCAAGGACCAGCACCCGTGGTTCGGTATTGAGCAGGAGTACTCGCTCATGGGTGCCGACGACAGGCCATACGGCTGGCCCGTGGGTGGTTTCCCTGGCCCGCAGGGTCCCTACTACTGTGGTGTGGGTGCTGGCCGCGTTGTCGGTCGTGACCTCGTCGAGGCCCACTACCGTGCCTGCCTGTACGCCGGTATCAACCACTCGGGTATCAACGCCGAGGTGATGCCGTCGCAGTGGGAGTTCCAGGTCGGCCCTTGCGAGGGTATCGAGATGGGCGACCACCTTACCATTGCCCGTTACCTCCTCCTCCGCATTGCTGAGGAGTGGGGTGTCAAGGTCTCCATCCACCCTAAGGCTGTGCCGGGTGACTGGAACGGTGCTGGTTGCCACACCAACTTCTCGACGGAGGCTATGCGTCAAAAGGGTGGCATGAAGGCCATTGAGGAGGCCATTGAGCGCCTCGGCAAGCGCCACAACGAGCACATTGCTGTGTACGGTGAGGACAACGAGATGCGTCTCACTGGTCGCCACGAGACTGGTCACATTGGTCAGTTCTCGGCTGGTGTTGCCAACCGTGGTGCCTCGATCCGTATCCCTCGTCATGTCGCTGCTCAGGGTTACGGTTACCTTGAGGACCGTCGCCCGGCCTCGAACATCGACCCGTACCAGGTCACTGGTATTATCGCCGAGACCGTGTGTCTGAACCAGTAAATGGTAAGACTTGCGTATTGGCTTGTTTTCTCTGCAAAATCTCTATCACGTATTTCTACTTGTAGTGTAAAGAATAACCTTGCTCTCGACTATTCCTTTATGCGATATGTACGTCCGTTATCTCGAGCGTTGTTATCTAAAGTCTTGATGTGACTTCGTCCGAATCCGGGGTATCGAAGCCTACGATGCTTAGTACCGGCTCGATTGGCCTCGACTTGCCACACTTTTGGCCAGGGCCCCGTGCGGCCACGGGTCCCTCTGATTTAGAGCGCATGGTCGCCTCCACTTCAGCATATCACGTGATCTCATCGGTCTCCACTTCGATTCGCTTGTGCTCAGTCCAACTGCAGGGGTCCGTCAGCGAACCATCGAGGGCTGTGGTAACTTCCTTCCCCTTGTGGTTTAGGTGTGGCAGAGCGTATCACCCATGAGTGCCGCTGCGCCCAGTGAGGTATATCCGGAGTATGTCTCCATGCCCTCAACGATACCACCTATCCCTGCGACGCCGCTTACGCAATTGGCGCAAGGGTTGATTGGCACTGTCATGGCCCTATTGCGTATCGTCCGTTGGTTCCTGCATTTCTTTTCCATCACAGTGCCCAGCTCCATATACCGCGTCGTTCACTACAGTATGACAGTTCAAGTGACTTTCTCGGTCCTAGCACTCTGGTGTGTCGGTGCAGCTACCGTAGTGGTGCTATGGCTGCGATACTGGTACTGGAACCGGTACGAATCTTTCCGCGAGGAGCCTCTTCGTAAGGAGCCAGCCACTGATTTGCCGTCGGACGTCAAGCCAGCACCGCTCGAAGAGGATCGTGGGTCGTTCCATTCCTATTTAGATGAGTTTCTGAATGCGATCCGTATCTTTGGTTTCCTGGAAAGACCTGTCTTCCATGAATTGACGCGTCATTTGCAGACACGCCGTATGCTGGAAGGAGATACCCTTTCAATGGACATGGAAACGTCCTTCTTTACTGTGATTGATGGTCATGTCCAAGTCTTTGCGCCTGCACCATTCACAGCATCCACGGGTTTGCCAGATGCGCAGCCCGACCTGCAGCTTATCAACGACGTAAAGAGCGGCGGCACACTCAGCTCTCTCTTCACTATTTTACGCCTCTTCACAGAACAAGTGCAGTTAGGCTTCACCAGCGAAGATGCAGACGTGCCTCCGCTGCGCACCGAAGCGACCAGTGCGCCCCCGTCCATGCCAGGCTCTCCTCCTTCGTCCACAGCCAGTGACGCTATGAGCAGTACCCCATCACTACAAACGCCCTCCTCTATCCTGCGTCAGCACCATGCGTCCAACTTTGCCTCGTACCTTCGGTCCTTGCCGACGAGCGATATGCCGAATCAAACAGGCACGATCGCTCGGGCAATGAGCGATACGACGCTGGCTGTGATTCCCGCCGATGCTTTTCGTCGCTTGACGGTCAAATACCCTAGTGCTGCGTCGTACATTGTCCAAGTGATTCTCACACGCCTGGCGCGTGTTACGTTTCACATGGCACACTCGTACTTGGGCCTTACTCGCGAAGTGATGAAAACGGAGCATGCTATCAACGATCATGCAAAGGTGTTCTTGCCTGAGTCATACTACCAGCCTGCTGCTCTTGATGAACTGTGGCGCAGGTACAACCCCACGTCAGCACGACCCAGTGTCGCAGACCTCAGTCGCGAGAACCTGCCGTCACGGCCGTGTACACAGGGTTCTACCGTTGATATGTCTGTGCCTGAAGAGGCTCATACATCTGTGCAGCCAGGCGATTTGCACAGTATGGTAGGCACCGATCTGGAAGAATCGTCCCTCTTTCTTGACCTGGCCTCGCATACACCACGGCGGCATGTATCAGGCGACTTGCTCACGTCCAACTCGCGCTTAGAGACACTTCAGTTTGGCAAAGAAGTCATGAAATGCATCGTGGATAGTATTGGTCTTTCTCAAGCTATTATCCCAGAGCTTCCGTCTACACTGGAAAGCCCGTTTTTAACGTCTCAGCGGAATGGCTTGGCCAGTGTATGCTCCAACTTCTCCAGTCTGGACACATCGTCGTCGACCTTACCAGACGTCCAAGAGTCCACCACGGAAACTACGACCACCGACCTGGAAGATGGCACAATCGAGATCCGCTTCTTCAAGGCGGGGAGTGTACTGGTCAAGGCTGGACAGCCAGGTGTTGGCCTCTTTTACGTAATTGACGGCACTCTGGATATGCATTTGCCTGACCGTGGCCCTGACTCGTACCTGTTTAGTGCCGAACGTGGTGGCATTGCCGGCTACTTGTCCAGTCTGCTTGGCGTACCAAGCTACGTCGACATTGTCGCGAAAAAAGATACCTATGTGGGTCTCTTGCCTATTCAGGTTCTTGAGCGGCTGGTGGAAAAACGTCCCAATGTACTTTTGACGCTGTCCAAGCGTTTACTGAGCTTGCTACCGCCTCTTATCCAGCATATTGATGCAGCCTTGGACTGGGTGCATGTGGGTGCCGGCCAAATTCTGTTCCGCGAAGGCGATGAGGGTGACAGTTTGTATATGGTCATCAACGGGCGCCTTCGTGCGATACGGAAGGAGGAAGGCGGTGCGATGGAGGTGCTGGGCGAGTACAGTCAGGGAGATAGTGTAGGAGAATTGGAGGTGATTACCAGCAGTGCACGCTCCATTACCCTACACTCGATCCGCGACTCAGAGCTGGTTCGTATGCCGACAACGCTTTTCAATGCGATCGCCTTGTGGCATCCGCCTATTACCATCCAAATTTCCCGTATTATTGCCCAAAGAATGAGTGCAGAAATTGTGGAACGTGAACGAGCCAAGCGAATGGCCTTGCCGCCGCATTTGGCTGCGACGATTGGGCGTGGTCAAAACACGTACAATTTCAAGACAGTAGCGATTTTGCCGGCCTCCAATGAAGTGCCCGTGGCTGAATTTGCGAGCGAACTGCAAGAGGCCTTTGCCGCTACCATCTCTGCGCCGGTCGCCTTCCTCAATCAGAGCAGTGTGATTCGTGCGCTGGGCCGGCATGCATTTACGCGGATGGGCAAATTGAAGTTGGCGGGATGGCTAGCAGACAAGGAGCAAAACTACCGTCTCGTGTTGTACGTTGTCGATACCTCGCCTTCCATGTCCTGGGCCACCACGGCGATTCGACAGGCCGACTGCGTTTTGCTCGTCGGCCTAGGTGACGATCCACATGTGGGTGAGATGGAACGTACACTGCTCAGCATCAAGACGACGGCCCGCAAAGAACTGGTGCTTCTTCATCCCGAACGTAGTGTGCGGTCAGGCACCACGCGTGAATGGCTGAAGCCACGCCCCTGGGTCACGGCTCATCACCATATCGAAATGGGAAGCCTACCGAGATCGCGTACGCGCCATGTGCGTGGATCTGCACCTGTATTAGCTTTGCGCTTGCTCAAGCATCGTTTGAAGCGTCGGATGCAGCATGAACAACACAGTGCTGTACCTATAGCGCGGCCTGCGCACCTCTCCGACTTTGCCCGCCTCGCACGTCGCCTGTGTGGTGTGTCCATTGGCCTGGTGCTTGGTGGTGGTGGTGCACGTGGCTGTGCGCATATTGGTGTGCTGCGTGCGTTGGAAGAGCTGGACATCCCGATTGATCTCGTGGGTGGTACGTCGATTGGCTCGTTTGTGGGTGGTTTGTATGCACGCGAAGGCATGTCCGTGTCTAGTCACGGACGTGCCAAGCGGTTCGCCGGGCGTATGGCGTCCTTGTGGCGCTTCGTCACGGACTTGACGTACCCGCTTGTGTCGTATACGACTGGCCATGAATTCAATCGTGGTATTTTCAAGTGCTTTGCGGATACGCACATTGAGGATATGTGGCTGCCGTACTTTACCAATACGACGAACATTACGTGGAGTCGAATGGAAGTACATACAAGTGGGTATGCCTGGCGGTACATTCGCGCTAGTATGACGCTCGCAGGCTTGGTCCCACCCATGATTGACGATGGCAATATGCTCGTCGATGGCGGCTACACCGACAACTTGCCCGTCTCGATCATGCATGCGCTGGGTGCGCGCACGGTCATTGCGATCGACGTGAGCAGCGTGGATGACACATCACCGCAGTACTATGGCGATACGCTATCGGGTTGGTGGGTCCTTTTGAATCGCCTGAATCCATGGAGCAGCATGCGCACGATTCCCAATATACCCGACATTCAATCGCGCCTGATGTACACCACGTCCGTCAAGATGCTGGAGGATGCGAAGGCCGACAATGCATGTCTGTACCTACGCATGCCTGTCGAAAGCTATGGCACGCTCGATTTTAGAAAGTACATGGAGATCCTCTCTGTGGGCTACGACAAGTCCATTGAAGCGCTTACAAAGTGGCAGGACGACGGCAAATTACCGGCCTACTACGGCATGAAGCCCATGAAAAAGACAGAAAAGACCAAACGTGCGCGTAGAAATAGTTTGTAGATGTCATGATTCTTCTTCCTCCTCGTCCTCGATGGGCATCTTCATCGCCATCTTCAGTGCGCCGCCTTCGTTGTCGTAAAGTTTGTGCCGTTTCCTATCAAACTCAGCATGCCGCGCCTCTTCGGCCTCGACCTCAGCTCGCTCCGCCTCATCGAGCTTCGAGAGATCAATGGGCGCCAGCGGCGGCTTTGGCACGGTGACACGTTCGCTTGCAGGGGTGACCTCGCATGGCACTTGCGAGCCACGTGCATTGGCGATCGTATTCGTCTTGGTTGTCTCCTGAATACTAGGCGCGCTAGCATCGAGTTGGAAGTCTATGGTCAGTCTCTCAGTACGCACCTTCTAGCTCCAGCGGGGGCGCTTGGGTATTGTGCACAAACGGCGTCTTGGGCTCATCCACGATCATGCGTGCTGGCGTATTATCCAAATCCTGCTGGTTCTCCTGCAGGTTCTCTTCATCCCAGTGCAAGCTGCGTAAGCCGTAAAGGTGACGTACTGTGACACATTCATACCATCCTTCGGTTTGGACTGCTTCAAAATGCCGCGCGGCGTAGGGGCGCTTGCAGACGGCACAGGCTCGTGGCGCGTCGTCGTCATTGTGGGGACGGAACAGAGCTGGAGGGGGGGGGGGGCGGCCTTCCTCCTCCACCACGCCCCTCCACGGCCCTGTTGGGCTCCTCCACATTCTACCCCGCGCATCGCTCACGACGTCCTTCTCATAGTGTAGTGACTACAACGTCTATGTGTGCAAGGCCGCCTGGGCCTGTGCGGCGAGCGCCGCATCTACCTGTTTTTGCAACTCCTCCTTACGCTTCAGCAACTCGGCCACAGCCGCGTCCAAGTCCACCTGTGGCGTCTCCTTGTTGCTCTTGAGCGTACGCACGACATCACCTTGCTCTTTCACAAGGGCTTCCGCTGCCTTGACTTCGGGCGTGTTGGGCATCGCCGCCGCCTTGGCCTTCTCGGCCGCCTTGCGTGCCTTGGCTGCCGCCTTCTTGCTCACAGTCGGTTCCGGATCCTTGGAACTATCACCACCGAACTGCGCCTTCCATGCCTGCGCTTGCTTCTCGTCAATGTTCTTGAACAGGTGCGCTGCCTTGCCGACCATGTGGCCAGGCAACAGGTCCAAGGCAAATGCATTGTCCTTCGGGAGCGCACGAGGCGGTGCATTCAGCTGCACGAGCATCTGATCACTTGTCAATGGCATGAAGGGGTACACCAATGCTGTAAGCACCCAGATCAGGTTGGTACCGAGCAAAATGACCGTATCACACTGCTCGCGGTAGTTTGTAAACAGCGCATTGTCCAAACCGGCATCGGAGAGAAGCAGGTTGCCACGAGCCGACAGCTCCATCATGGTATTCAGACCCGCACGGAGCTTGCCTACCTCCATGAAGTTCACGTACTTGGCCAGGATCGCATTCACATCCGCCACAAACTTAGCAACCAGTTCGCTGAACGGCGTACCGTCGCCGGTCGTCGACAGCGGGCCTTCTGTGCCAGGACGCAGGCCTTGCGGCATCGCCGGCAGGCGCTGGTCATACTTCTTCATAAACGTCATAATGCGGTTCACAAAGTTGCCGAGGTTCTTCAGCAGCTCCGAGTTGTTGCGCGTCACAAAGTCGTGCCATACGAACTGACTGTCTGATGTTTCAGGGCGTGTGGACAAGAGGTAGTAGCGCCACACACTGGGCGACACGCCGATGTCTTTGGCCTTGTCGCCAAACACACCAATGTTACGCGACTTGGAGAACTTGCCGCCCTCGTACTGCAAGTACTCAGTGGTGTTAATATGATGCAGCATCGTCCAGTTCTCGCCCGTACCGATCAGGCACGAGGGGAAAATCACCGTGTGGAAACGCACGTTGTCTTTGCCCATAAATTGGTACAGCTGTACATTCTCCGGGTTCTTCCACCAACGCTCCCATGCCTCTGTGTAGTTCGCCGTAATACTCGGGTAGCCGATCGGCGCGTCGAACCACACATACAGCACCTTGTCTTCGTAGCCCGGCAGCGGCACAGGCACACCCCACTTCAAGTCGCGACTCACCGAGAAGGGACGCAGACCTTCCTTGAACCACGACTCTGTGATCAGCAAACCGTTCGACGACCACTTGCCCTCCTTCGACGCCTTCTCAGCCCATGCCTCCGTCTTGGGCTGCAGCGCATCAATGCGGAGGAACATGTGCTTCGATTCACGCTCTTCCGGCGTGTTGTTGCACAGCTTGCACTTTGGCTCAATGAGGTCAATCGCGTCAAGAAGCTGACCGCACTTATCGCACTGGTCACCACGTGCATCATCGTAGCCACACTTGGGGCATATACCGTTCACGTAGCGATCTGCGAGGAAACGCTGGCAGTGTGTGCAGTAAAGTTGGCGCATGGAATGCTCCTCAAAGTAGCCATTCTTGTGCAGCTTGAGGAAAATGTCCTGCGCAATCTCTGTCTGTCTCGGTGTCGTAGTGCGTCCAAAGTGATCAAACCCAATCTGGAACCACTCGTACACTTCCGCGTGCAGTGCATGGTACTTGTCACAGAGCGCTTGCGGTGTGACGTTGTCTTCTAATGCCTTGGTCTCAGTCGCCGTGCCGTACTCGTCCGTACCGCAAATGTACAGGGTGTTGCGGTTCTGCGAGCGCGAGTACCGCGCAAAGACATCTGCCGACAAGGTCGAGCCAATAATGTTACCAAGATGCGGCACATTGTTCACATAGGGCAGCGCCGATGTGACCAGTACATTCTTCTCATTCTCCATAGGCAGTACCTTCTCCGGGTGGTTTTGCACCGTGGTCTTCATGAGAACATCGGCGCTCTCATTCACATGCCGTTCATGGCCCTCCAACGGGGCCGGCACACTGGGGAAGGGCGTCGCCATCGTGTGAGGAAGAAGCGTTGCTTGCCCCCTTGCTCTTCGTCGAGTCACGTGGAGGTTCGAAAAAAAAATGGCGCGCTCTCGCTCGCTCGCAGGCCGTGCGGGGCGATAGCATGAGCACGACCCATAGTGCATACAAGCCAGGCACTGCGCCGATCAAGGCAGAGTACGTATACACGCACGTCACTTACATAGATTCCTCGTGCCGTCATGGCCCGCACGCAGTGGCTCCCTGCAGGGGGAGAACGCAGCGACAGCCTCCGCCGAGTCTTGTGACACGTCAGTCGCTCAAGGCCAAGTCGAGACCGCGTCGTACCAGATCGCGGACGGCGCCACCACAGAGATGCCGAAGCAAGATACATCCACAGGCACACTGTCAGCCGAGGCTGAGCCGAAAAGGAAACGTGCGCGTGGCCAGAACAAAGGTCGGCAGTTTGCGCGCATGGACGACGATATCGCGCTGTGTGCCAACCTGGCCAAGGGACGCGTGTGTGAGTTTGCAGATACATGCAAATTTAGCCACGATCTATGTGCCTATCTCACGCATAAGCCTCGCGATATCCCGTTCATCGCGCCACCCGCCGACAAGGATCGCGTTCAGCAGATGAACGAGAGCGAGCGCAGTGCATACCTGGATGCTCTCTATGCCCAAGCCGTCGCCTCAGAGACACCTGGGCCTACCGAGGCAGCATCAGATCCCATTCAGCACAGTCTACGTGACGATACGCAGTGCCCGTACTTCCGAGAACGTGGGGCATGCCCTATCGGTTGGAAATGCCGATTTCTTGGTGCGCACGTACGCCGTGTGTCACCCTCGAAAGCTGTGGTGGGCGACGAGGCACAAGGTATGCTTCAGACAGGACTGGAGTTGGTCGTCGACGATGCACGGTATGCAGCGTACCTCCATCGCCCCTCCTTGTTTGCGCATCGACAACATGCCGACAACGACGAAGTGAACTGGCTTCCGCCTGGCGTAGCGCGGAGTCTGCGTACGAAGAAGTACGTCTACGAAAAGGCACCTGTGATTGTCTCGACACTCCAGCAGGAATCGCAGGCGCTGCAAGCCATGCCGCCGAGTGAGGCCGCCTCCACCTCGTTGGGCAAAGGGCCTTTGCGTGTGAATTATGCGCTGGCGAAGACCGAAGCTGAACTCAGTGCGGCCCTGCCGCGTGACGCGTCTCCGGACACCCTGGAAGCGTACGAAGATGCCCTGCGGAATGCGCGAGATGGCAGCGATGCCGCAGCTGATACCGCGCGTGTGCGTCCCTCAGAAAAGCGCCGGCTGCGCTGGCATGGCGATTTGTACTTGGCACCTTTGACGACGACAGGCAACCTCCCTTTCCGTCGCCTATGTGCGTCGTTTGGCTCCGATATTCACTGTGGTGAGATGGGCATGGCTGAAGCTTTTACACAAGGCCACGCCTCGGAATGGAGCTTGGTTCGTCGATGGGAAGGCGAGCGGATTTTTGGCACGCAGATCTGCGGCGCGAAACCAGACTTTCTTGTGCCTGCCGCTGAAGTATTGGCGCGCGAAGTCGGCGCGGGTCTTGACTTTGTCGACGTGAACTGTGGCTGCCCGATCGATCTGGTCTATAACAAAGGCGCAGGCTCGGCCCTGCTGGATCATGTGAGTAAACTCGGTCGGATTGTGCGTGGCATGTCAGAAGCGCTAGGCGAGATCCCTCTTACGATTAAATTGCGTACAGGCACCACAGCCAAGCTTACTACGCACAAAATCTTTGCGCGTGCGCAGACGGAATGGGGTGTGGGCGGCATTACGCTGCATGGCCGCTCGCGGAAGCAGCGGTACAAAAACGATGCCAACTGGGACTACATTCGTACTTGTGCAGACACACTGCGTGAGTCTGTGCGGACGTGGAACGAGGAGTCTCGGCATGCTGACGAGCCGGAAATGGCCCCCATTCCGATCTACGGCAATGGCGATGTGTACGGCTGGCGCGATTACGAAGCACATATGACAGAAGCGCATGTCGACGGGACTATGATTGCTCGTGGCGCACTTATCAAGCCATGGATCTTTACCGAGATCAAGGAGCGACGTGATTGGGATATCAGCAGTCGTGAGCGTCTGGACATGGTGCGGCAGTTTGCGTCGTATGGCCTGACGCACTGGGGCGCAGATACCCAGGGCATCAATACGACGCGCCGCTTCCTTTGTGAGATGCTTTCATTTACGCATAGGTACGTCCCGCTTGGTGTGTTGGAGCATGTGCCTGTACGTATGAACGACCGTCCTCCGCCGTTCGAAGGCCGCGATCCGTTGGAAACGTTGCTCAGCAGTCCGAGCGCTCAGGACTGGACACGTATCGCCGATATGTTCCTCGGCCCTGCCCCAGACAATTGGCGGTTTACACGTACGTATACTTTCTTCTCACACGCAGCGAAACACAAATCCAACTCGTTCGACGACGCGTCCGAGTCGCAAGGGTAGATAGGTAGGACGAAGGCCACACCATAGCGCACGGTCCAACATCACGTGATAGAATGTGAGAGGACGACGCGAACAAACGCGACGCGCTCGCTGACCTACGTGCACGGCATGCCACGCGCCGCCGCTGCCTATGAGGCGCTCTCAACCTTGTCTGATCCGCTCCGGATCCCTGCGTCCGAGCGCTCGTACGCGCGTCAGTTTGCACAGATGTACGACTACCGTCTCGCCGCCCTGCGTCGGCGTGTATACCACCAAGCTGAATCGTACCTCCAGGACCGCGACGTGACGTATGTGAAACGTATTCTCGATATCCCGCCGAAACGTACATGCCTGATTATCGGCACATTTTACTGTCATATGCCGCTCAAGCCAGACGTGCTTCAAGACATTGCGCGCGATGTACGTGCTGTCGAAACTGACCACAGCTCTCGTTGCCGCCGCCTCCACCACGCTCAAGTTATGTCGACCTGGCGCAGGACCAGCGCTTCTTAGAGGACCAAAGTGGACGTGTGCGTCTAGTAGGCGCATGCATGGAGCCTACGTCATCATGGGCACGTCAGTGCTTGACCGGTGTCGTTGCGGGCGTCATCGGCACAGAAACGCCAGACGGCGACTTTGAAGTGTCGCAGGTGTTCTTCCCTGGCGTCCCACCGCCACTCGCACCGCTCGGTGATGTGCTGAAAGGCGACATTGTCCTGGCTAGTGGACTGTACGCTGGCAACGCGCAGGACCCATCGCACGACGCTTCGTTGGAACTGTTGTTGGAATGGCTGACGGGCGAACTAAGCGACGCCTCTGACCGTGAACGCACATCGCGTATCTCCAGCCTTGTCTTGGCAGGCAACCTAGTGCCTCATGAGGCATGGGCGCAAGTCGCACCGCATCGTCCAGGCGCGGGGCCGCACAATGCCGCCGCCACGACCACATCGACACCAGGCACGGCGCCGAACCCCGTAGCCGCGCTGGATCCATGGCTCGAGCAAGTGTGTGCTGTGTTGGACGCGGTCGTAGTTCTACCCGGCGTCGACGACCCTAGCGGCGCGACTCTGCCACAGCAGCCATGGCTCGCGCCGCTCCTTCCTCGTGCTTCGCAGTGGCCATCGCTGCACTGTGTGACCAACCCTGCCTGGTTTGGCCTGCATCAACGCCGCTTCCTCGCAACGTCAGGCCAGACCATCGACGATGCTCTCAAGTACTTGGCACCGGAGGCCCAGGCAGAGCACGATGCCCCTCTTCGCATGGCCACGACCTCGTTGCAGTGGTCTCACGTGGCGCCCACAGCGCCGGACACATTGTGTACGTATACATATGTACTAACTCTATGCTAGGGTGCTACCCATTCAAAGCTACGGATCCGTTTGTCCTGCGCGCCGCGCCTGACGTGTACATTGTCGGCCACCAGCCGGCGTTCGCCACAGAGACTATCCAAGGTACGCCAAAGTGGCGTGCGCCTCACTCACATCGCAGTGCCTTCCGCCGACGGACAACCTCCACATACCATACGTGTCCTGTGCATTCCGACGTTTGCGACGACGCGGCAAGTCGTGGTGCTTGATGCGGAAACGCTCGAGCCCCGCGTCGTTTCGTTCCCTACGCCGTAGTTACAGCGTACGTAGCATGGTAAGTGAGGCGCATGGGAATGGATCGTTCGCACTCAGCACGAGCATCTGGCGCTCATGCGCTACGTAGCCCTTGATACGCCCTTGCGCAATTTGCGTCGCAATCAGCCATTCGGCGCCGAGCGCATCGTCCGCCGCGCCGATCCATTGCAAGGCCTGTGCCATCGGTGCGAGACGCAAACGTGTCCCGCCGCCCTCGTGGCGCCATACGCGCCGAAGGAGGCGCGTAATGCATACAGCACGTACACGCTCCAGCGCGAGGAACACGCCAAGACGGACAAAGGGACGCTCGTACGCTGCATCGGACAGAGTTTGGTCGAGCGTACGTACGTCGCCACGTCGGCATGCTTCAAGTACATGCGCATAGAGCGCCTCTAAGCGCGGGAATGGCGCAAGAAGCTGAGCGTTCGGTCGTTGGCCATGCAATAATCGGACAGGGATGAGGTACAGCAAAATGCGTCTAAAGTTGTTAGTCATGCCCATACATACTCGCGCAATGTTGGTGCTGTGTGCGGCGTCTGCATCAGCGCCAACGTAAGGGCCTCGTCAGCCTTGGTATACTCTTCGTCCATAAACGCCAAGCGGCCTTGGTAGTACAGAAATGGGACAACGTCCACAGCAGCATACGCAGACAGCGGCGGCAAATCGCCGGCGTCCAGCGCACGTACAATATTCTTACACAGCGAGATGGATTTGAGCGCAAAGTACGTGCCAAACACCAAATTGACCATCGCATAAGTGCCCCACTTTTTGCTTTCATGCAGAACTGGGTGCCGGTCGGCCACACACGCAGAAAAGCCACGGTTCAGCGTACGTGCACACGCCTCCAAATGCGCCTGGGCTCGGCGTGTGCCTGGCGGGGCCGCCGCATTCGCTGCCTCGTCTGCTCGCTTGGCGACCCACCGCACGTCCAGCATGAGGGCACGAAGAAGCGGGAGGGCCCATCGGCCCGGCGCTAGCACGAGGAAATGACGGAGAAACACACTGGGGTCAGATACCCTGTACGTACCTAGCGGCGGCTTGCAGCGCCTCAAACGCTTGGTGCCAGGCCTCTGAAGGTGCCTGCCGCTTCGATGCATGTCCAAACAACAAGGCGCCACATCGCACATACGACACCGTCATGTCAGACCACGGTGATGGGAGGGCGACACGAGTCAGCACGGCTTTCACGACGCGTTCTGACGGATCGGCGATCGTAGCCAGCGCACGCCGCGTAGATTTCGTATGCAGAGAGAAGAGACGCGCAAGGACATCACCATCCTGTCGTTCCACGCCCAGGGCAATCGCCTGCGCCCAATCTGCTACGCTCATCGTGCGGCCCAGACGTTCGTCGTGCGCGATGCGAGGCGTTCCTCCACTGCGTCGCAGCACACTCGCACGCACGTATAGTCACCTTCGGCCGACAGCACCAGTCGCGCTGCTGCAGCCCTGCGTGCAGTCAGGGAGGCCGCGAACTGACTCCAGCGCGTAGAGCTCGGAGCTTGGCAGGAGGCATGACGCGCGACGCACGTACGATCCGTGCGCCGTTTCTGGCGGCACTCGCCCTCATAGGCACGTTGCTCGTATGGCACCTCGTGGGCCTGGTATTATTCACGAGTGGCTTCTTACTGCAGCGTGTCGAGCTCACACGCACGTCGTCTTGTACGACGCCGCCCAGCGCGACGTGGTCGATCCCTACGCCGCCACGTGGTGCCGTGGAAGGCCAGGCGGAGGCGTTGCGGGCCTGGGATGCGGCACTCACAGACGCGCAAGAGTGCACACTGCCTCCGCGATTCCGTCGTGCCGTGGTATGGATTGTCGATGCGCTCCGCTACGACTTCCTTGCGCAGGCCACGCCAGGCACGTCGCCTGCGCCGGACGCCTACATGCACAACATCCTACAGACGCCCTTCCAGGTGACGCAGCATCAGCCACGAAGTTCGTTCCTCGCGCACTTTGTCGCTCATCCGCCGACTACGACCTTGCAGCGTCTTAAAGGGCTCACGACCGGCTCGCTGCCTACCTTTATAGAGGCTGGCGCAAACTTTGGCGGAGCTGGTCGCGTGCAGGAAGATACGTGGATTGCTCAAGTCCGTGGGCACCCTGCTGCGAAGAACCTGTCGTTTGTGGGCGACGATACCTGGCAAATGGTCTTTGCCGATCTCTTTGACGAAGTCGTGCCCTACTCGTCGTTCAACGTCGAAGACCTCGATACGGTCGACGCGGGTGTGCAGGCCCACTTCCAGGAACGCTTGCAACGTGATGACTGGACGTTGCTGATCGCGCATTCTCTGGGCGTTGATCATGTCGGACACCGTTTCGGGCCTTCGCATGCTCGCATGCCGCCTAAACTCTCGCAAATGGATGACATGGTCCAAATGGTCCTGAATACATTACAAGACGATACGCTCTTTGTGCTACTAGGAGACCATGGTATGGACGCTACAGGTGATCATGGCGGCGACTCGGAGTTGGAGATTGGCAGTGCATTGTGGATGCATGCGAACAAGCCGTTTGAAGCTACGGCCTCACGATGGTCGCGGCCTGCCAAGATGAACGACCTGACACTTGATCCAGATGTGCAGACGTTGCTAAGCATCGGTACGCCGACGCCGTCGTTCCAGCCTTTCTCCACGTTGCCTCTCGCGCCTTTCGAGCATGGACATCGCTCGCTGCCACAAATCGATCTCGTGCCGACCATGTCGCTGCTCATGGGTGTCCCTATCCCCTTCAACAATCTCGGCGCGATTATCCCCGAAATATTCACGTCACAGGCGTCGCCTCTCGGCGCATCCGACTCGCGCCTCTTGCGTGCACTGCGCATCAATGCACGCCAAGTCAAGACGTACTTGGACGAATATGTGCAGCATGCCACAGATCTGCAGCCGTTCGCGCATGAATGGGCCAACGCATGGGCGACGGCTTTGCAGGCCGAGGCGGCCTTTGCCACGCACCCTTCCGCCGACACGGCGCAGGCCGCGGCCGGGGCGTACCTGCTATTCATCCGCCTGGCGCTGGACCGTGCGCAGAGCGTGTGGGCGACATTTGAGTACGCCCGCATTGCCCTAGGTCTCGCTGTGTTGTTCACCGCTTGGATCGTTACGTGGCAGTGGTGGCGCGCGAGTACTGTCGAGGCCACCGTGGCATTGGCGCGACGCGCGACGCGCGGATGCGTCCGTGGCAGTGCTGTCGGTGTGCCGCTCGGCCTCGTGGCACGTTATGTCGTAGGCGTATCATGGCTCGAGGGCGTGGCCGCGTGCACGGCGCTTGCGACGATCGTGGCTACTTGCTTCACACGCTCGGCGGTGCAAGTGCCATGCACAACGCCGCGTGTCTCGACGATTGTAGCATGCCTCGTCCTGGGTGTGCATGCCATGCTCTTTGCAAGCAACAGCTTTACCATGTGGGAAGACCGCATTACATTGGCCTTGGTCGCTGCGATCCTCCTTGTACGTGCTATTCAGGGCTTGGGCGCGCCTCTACCGCGCTGGCAGCAACGCATGCCGCTGCTAGCCCTGGGCGCCCTCATCCTGCTGCGTGTAGCCGGCATGAGCCGCGTATGTCGTGAAGAGCAAGCGCCCTATTGCCAGCCGTCGTTCTACGCACGATCAACGTCGACCATGTTTGCGGACAACCCAGCCTACGCCCTCTCAGGCCCAGCGACCAACAGCAAGTACGCAATTGGCATGGCCTACCTCGTCGCCTTTGGTACAGCCGACGCGTTGCGTCGCTTGCTTATGCCGAGCCAGGCGCACTTGGGAAGTAGCGCCACGTTGTTGCAATGGTTCATCCGACCTGCGATGCTGGGAGCGGCCGGCTACTGGCTGGCAGACTGGGTCCAAGGCTGGGAACAGTGGGACGATGCGACGCGGGACTCATTCTTTACCCTCAAGGTTTGGGTCGCACGGCTCGTGTTTTTGGTGCTTGGTGGTGGTATGGTCTACTGGGTCCTTTCGCCCCTAAGTTTATCGGTGCTGCGCGAGCCAAGTGCCAACGGTGGACAGCCGCGTGTCATGATTTTGGGCTTCGGCAATACGTTCGGCAGTGCGTTCCTCGGCGCTTTGACGATCGTTTACGCGTGGCTGTTCCTGGTATCGCAACCTATGGGCCAATTGGCTCTAACAGCCTGTCTTGTGAGTCTCGTGCTCCTCGCCGAGCTGGGCGATCATGAACGTGATGCGCAAGTGCTGCTGAATGCGAAGGTGAAAGAAGCATCTTCCCAGACCGAGGCACAACCACAAGCGGAGGCCCCATCGAACGAGTCCGCTGCGAAACCGACACGGCAAGCGCCTACCCTGCTGGAAGTCGCTTGCATTATGTTGCTGGGCTTTGTCGCCTTCTTCGCGACAGGGCATCAGGCCACGCTCAGTGCTATCCAGTGGCGTGTAGCCTTTGTCGGTATGCGCTCGGTGACGTATCCGTGGTCGCCGCTGTTTGTCACGCTCAATGCCTTTGGGCCATTGGCGTTCTTGCCCGTGCTGGGTGTCGCGCTATTGACGCTGTGGAACATGGCACCGCATCGTGTCACGGCAGATGCGCCGCATCCAATTCCGATGCGCTTGATTAAAGAGGTCCTTCATGGCCTGCTAGGAGCACTGGCGTACATGAGCACGCTCAGCCTTTCCACGGCAGTCTGGGCCCTCTTTTTCCGTCGGCATCTGATGCTCTTCAAGATCTGGGTACCACGTTTCATGACAGCGGCGTTAGGTCTTTTCTGTGCCGATCTCAGTGCCTTGCTAGCGATCGGTTGCGTATGGATCCTTGCGCGCCACGTCCACAAGGTCTTTGGCACGACATTTACATAGCGCATTTATAGAGATGGAGCAAAAAAGGGGTCCATTTGGCCCTCCACAACGATCCTAAAAATTCCTCGTCGCCTCTTCTCGTCACGTCGCGTTGTGTGACGATGAGTGAAGCTGCTACGCCGATTGTGAAGCGTTTGCACATCTCAGGCCTAACACCTACGTTCTCGAAAGAGGCCCTACAAGATCGATTATCGTCGTACGGCGAAGTGCTGGCATTGGATGGCTGTGATGACGATTTTTGTACCCAAGTGGGTGTGCGACGAACCTATGCATTCGCCACGCTACGTGCGACGCCTGCCCAGATCGCGCGGTGTATGAATACACTGAGTGGTGCGATTTGGAAAGGTGCCAAGCTCCGGGTTGGTGAGGCCAAGCCGGTATGGCATGAACGACTGGCTATGGAGCGGGCCAAGACAGCCAAAGACGATCCACAAGCGCGGGCGCTCCTGCATCGGAAAAAATGGCTTCGCAAGCGTCCATGGATCGGCATGGAGGCGTATGACATGTCTCCCATCACACCAGAACGGGTAGCCGATGGCGAATGGGGCTGGAAGCGCACGCCAACAGGTCACCTCGTCCGCCCTATGCATATGCGCCTGACACACCCTATTCCTCGGCCTATGGACAGCGAGCGGCCGCCGTCGCGATCCCATACAGTTCGACGTGCGCCGCGTGTGACCATTGATCCCACGCGGTACACACGTGAACACCTCACAGGCTCCATGCTGGATGCGTTGCCCGATGCCGTGGATCACTGGCGATGGGTCTGGGACGACGAGGCAGCACAATGGCTAGCGTACGACACTTCGGGCGCCTGTGTCGCAACGGAGGTAGGGCCGCGTGCACGCGCTGTCCCTACCGAAGTGCAAGACGAGGACAAAGATGCTTGGCCTGTGGAGATCGAGCCATGTCCTTCTGCGCCCGAGAATGTGGACGAGCTCCCAGATACCCTATTTGAGCAGCAGGACGATGTACCAGATACCCTCTTTGATGAGACGCAACCTGCTACAGGCCATGCCGCATCTACGGCAGGGCATTGGTGGGACGAGGACGAATCTATGCCCCAGGACCACCTTCCTACCTCGACACAGGCACGCAAGACGGCTGTCCTTGACGACTCTGACTTTTCCGATGGGTATGAAGAAACAGAGCACACGACGCCAGCCCCTTCGGGCCACGCGGAGCATGCACGCGCGATGCATTTGCTGCAAGGGCTCTTTGGTGCTGATGTGCAGGACACTTCGTCTGCGCCAGCGGCGCCTACGACTAGCCCTGACACAATGCATCATGAGGAAGAGGACGAAGACGATGACGAGGCCATCCGTGCCTTGGCATCGACCCAGGCCGTCTCGCCTGAATCTCCCTCCCCTATGGCCTCGGCCGCTGCCCCTGAGGTGCCTGCTGTGCCGGCGTCTGCACCTGTTCAGGAGACCGTGCAGATGGACAGCTTGAAGGACATGTTCCAGCCGACCGAAGAAGAAGGCACTTTTACTCTCTTTGGGCACTTGGACGAAGAGGACTTGGATCTCGATATGCAAATGGACGATGTCGTGACCGGTGGTGAGGCGCCCGTCTCTACGCCTGTGGCTCCTATCTCTGTGCCTATGTCTACCACGTCGCTTCCGCCTATGACAACACCATGGTCCATGTCCTCCTCGACTCTTCTACCTACTCTTTTCCAACGTGGTTCTGCGCCGTTCTGGAAAGTCGATACGGACCAAGAGATCGAGCAGCGATGGCTCGATCGTCGTGGCGAAATGACACAGACGTACCGTCGTATGCATCGCGAGGCGCTCAAGAAACGCAAGCGTCGTGTCGTGGGCTCTCGTGCCGGCGCGCAGCAAGGCGGCCATGCGCCTGCGCGTGGCGCTGTGGCTGGCTAGGCTCGCAGGCAAGCATTGGCCGACGGGGTGGAAGATCCTCCACATACTTCCATAGCTTATCATTTCCATGAGCCCACCACCGTCGCTAGACTTGGCGTGGTTTCACGCGTTGCCAGACGACCAGCTGGTCCCTATCCTGCAAGATGTGTTTGCAAGCGCACCTCTTGCCGTCCAAGTCGCGAGCGGCCGGCCGTATATCTCGATAGAGGCGCTCTGTGCCTACGCTACGAAGGCGCTGTATGCCCTCCCTCATGGCGAGATCTTCGCCTCGGTGAATGCCCATCCTGACATTGGCGCCCGTGTGGCGTCCGGGAGTCTATCAGAGAAAGAGCAGTCTACAGCCGCGACGTCAGATGCATCGACGATGCAGCAGATTCGGGCATTGTCCTCCACGTACCGTGCGCGCTTCGGCTTCACCTTTCTCATCAAAGCCGCCGGCTTATCTGGCGAGGAAATCCTTGCTGCACTGGAGCGCCGCCTCGAGAACGACCGCGCGACCGAGGAACGTCATGCGATGGAGAATCTCGCAGCCATCAATGCGCTGCGTCTGCACGGTATAGGTACGACTTCATAGTGTCTCCTCTTTCGGCCGAGACCCCGCACGCGAACGTGACCGGCCCCCGGTGCTCAGACGTCGTGCAGGGACGTTGAGCGGCGGCGGTGGGACCTGTTCCGTTTCCATCCACCACTACCACACTATGCTTGCACTTCGTGCTGGTCTTCGTGCTGTTGCTCCCCGTGCTGCTGTCCCGATGCAGGGCCGTGCGATGCTTTCGACATCGCTGCCGCGTCTCTCGCCCGTGGCCGATGCGGCGTCGTCGTACTCGTGCATTCAGGTGAGCGATCCGGCGGCGGGTGTGCGCCTGGTGACGCTGAACCGTCCCAAGGCGTTGAACGCGCTGAACTCGGAGCTGTTCCACGAGCTGAACGATGCTGCTGCGAAGGCCGATGAGGACCCGAGCATCGGTGCGATTGTCATCACTGGCAGTGAGAAGGCGTTTGCGGCGGGTGCGGATATCAAGGAGATGCGTGACATGACGTACGCCCAGGCGTACAAGACCAACTTTTTGGGCCACTGGTCGAAGCTGACGCAGGTCCGCAAGCCGATCATTGCCGCAGTGAATGGCTACGCGCTGGGCGGCGGCTGTGAGTTGGCGATGATGACCGACATTATCCTTGCGTCGCCCACAGCGGTGTTTGGCCAGCCGGAGATCAACCTCGGTGTGATCCCGGGTGCCGGTGGTACGCAGCGCCTTACGCATGCCATCGGCAAGAGCCGCACGATGGAGATCGTGCTGACAGGCAGCAACCTGACCGCCGACGAGGCGGAGAAGGCCGGCCTGATTGCGCGTGTGGTGCGCGAGGGCAGCGTCGTGGACGAGGCTGTGAAGGTCGCTGGCAAGATCGCCAAGAAGAGCCAGATTGCTATCCAGGCCGCGAAGGAGGGCGTCAATGCCGGTACGTATATGGCTATGAGTAGCTAGCTAACGACAGCGTTCGATCTCCCGCTCAACGAAGGTCTGCGTCTGGAGCGTCGTCTGTTCCAGTCGCTCTTCTCGACGCACGACCAGAAGGAGGGTATGACCGCGTTCACGGAGAAGCGCAAACCGTCGTTCAAGAACGAGTAAGGCCATGTCCTCGCTTATAGATTACCGATAGTACTCGTCGTCGTCCTCGTCGTCGTCATCGAGCGCCTCCACATCGTCAAACGCGACGCTGGTATCGTTGGGATCGTCCTTTGCCGGCGGCATGTCCTCGTCGTCGTCCGAGTCCACGGTGTACGTCGGCCGCTTACGTGCTGCTGCGCGACTGCTGGTCGTGCGGCGTGGTGGGAGCGGCTCGCTTTCTACCGCCGCGGCACTGTCCACCAGAAGCAGCTCGTCGTCCTCGTCCAGCTCGGCCTTGGCCTTGCCGCGGCTCCGAGCCGTCGTAGCTTTCGCGCGTGGCTTCGCAGGTGCCTTCGCACGCGCCTTGGGAGCGGGCTTCGCCGTCTCCGGTGCTTCGCTGGGCGCCGTAGCCCGTGCGACTTTGGGCGGCGGCAGACTCAGCTCATCGTCGCCGTCGTCTGGCCGTTCATGCTTGGTGGGCGGTAGCGGCATCGGCGTCGGCATCGGCGTCGACTCCTTCTTCGGCCCAGGCGCTTTCTTCACAGGCGACGCGCTTTCCTCCTTGGTCTTATGCTTCACAGGCGCACGACGTTTCTTCGGCTGCACAGCGACGCTCTTCGTCGTCAGCTGCGCCTTGCGCTCGTCTTCAGCGAGGATCGCTTCCCATTCCTCAAGGAACGCCGTCAAGTCCTCGTCCCACAAGTTCTGCGGCGAGCGGCCCAGCAGCACTTTTAACTGCGCCTCCGTCTCATCGCGCTCTTTCAGCAGGCGATCCACACGCTCCTTGGTCAACGAGTAAATCGACATGCTCAGCAGGTAGTCAAAGTCGGTCGTGCCACCCACATCGGCCTCCGCTTGCTCTTCCGCATCCGGCGGCGACTCTTCCACCTGGTCCGTGACACTCTTCGTCTTGGCCACCGTCTTGGGGAACGCCTGGAACTGCAGCGCACGAAGCTCGTCGACCACGGCCGCCTTCTTCTTGTTCGACACACGCAGCTCGTCGGCAATGATCATACTCACGAAACGCGCCTGATTCGATAGGCGATCGTACACTTGCTTCAGCTGATCCACCAGGTGCTCCTTCCGGCGCTGGTAGTAGCCCAGACGCAAGAAGTAAAAGTCGTCCAGAATCTCCTGCGGCGTCGCGTACTTCTTAATCTTGCCTTCCGGGTTGAAAAGGACCATATTGCCCGTGCTAAACACCGACGACAGCTTGAAGAACGCATCAGGGCCGACCCGCTCCAGCTCTTCTTGGCCATGCGCATTGAGCTCGACCACGAAGTGCACCGTCGTATCGGTATGGTACTCTTTGTACTCACGTATCGTCGATGGCGCCTTGTCGCTGCCCACGACACGTTCCTCCAGCCATTCCTTGTACGTAGACGTCCACACACGCACAGGCAGCTCCGTGATTTCCCACGTACGCTCGTCCACCTGCGTCGCACGGCCCATCACGCGGAATCGGTCCGGCGAGGTCTGCTCAATCGTACCGGTAAATCCACGGTACCACGGCTGCATCGGCACATACTCTTCCCCGACCATGCGTCGACGCAGGTTCGCCACGACATCGCGCGGGTTGTAGTTCGGGACAAACGTACTCCAGCCCGTACCAATACCCTCCGCTCCATTCAAAAGCACTTGCGGGACGACAGGCACGTACCATTCCGGCTCAATACTCTGGCCATCGTCGTCCAAGTAGTTCAGCAACGCATCATCTTTCGGATGGAAAAGCTTGCGTGTAATACGTGGCACCGCCGTGAAAATGTAACGCGCACTGGCGGCATCCTTACCGCCCATACTACGCGTACCAAACTGACCATTCGGCGAGAGAAGGTTCACGTTGTTGCTACCACAATAGTCCTGCGCCAACCCGACAATCGTCATGACCAGACTCTGGTCGCCATGGTGGTACGCCGTGTGTTCCGAGACGTAACCTTGCAGCTGCTGCACCTTGATTTCCGTCTTCAAATTGCGCTTGAAACATCCATACAGCACTTTGCGCTGACCCGGCTTGAGACCATCCACCATACTGGGAATCGAGCGAATGTTGTCCGCCATCGAGAACAGAATCAACTCCTTGTTGATAAAGTCAGAAATGGGGATCTGGCGGATCCGGTGGTCCAAGTACGTGCCAGGTACGAACTGCCGCAGCCACTCCTTTCGGTCGTCCGCCTTCTTCTTGTTAAAGGCCAAGTCGACCAAGTCGCGATCACCAGCCCGCGTCGTCTCAAACGCCAAAAGGTGCGTGTCCATATCACGGAAATACTTCTTCATGTCCTCGGCCGTGGACGTACCCAAACCCTTGTAGTACTTGATCGTCCAGCCACGCCCACCATCGCTGCTCTCCTTCCACTGTTCGTACTCAGGGATGGTAAAAAATGCTTTCACCTCGCGGCCCTTCGTCGCCTTGATAATCGGCGTGATAAACTCCACCAAGAAGTTGGGAATCTGCAGGAGCGAAGGGTAAAAGTGGTCCAGGAAATTGATAATAAGTCCCTTGATGTGCGAGCCATCGAAATCCTGGTCCGTCATAATCATCAAACTGCCATATCGCAAACCATCCACAGACGAATACACTTTGCCATGCTGCAGACCGAGAATCTCTTTGATGTTCTTGATCTCCGTGTTCTTCATAATCTGATCATGCGAGGCTTCTCGCACATTCAACAGCTTACCACGCAGTGGGAACACACCGTAGGCATCACGACCGACCTCACTCAAGCCAGAGACAGCAAGCGCCTTAGCCGAGTCACCCTCTGTAAGAATCAACGTGCATTCGCCACTGCGTTTCGTGCCGGCCCAGTTCGCATCTTCCAGCTTCATCACAGATACACGCGTGCGTTTGCGTCCATCCGTCTGCTGCAGCTGGCGGTCCTGATGGAACTGCGCAATCGACTGCACATTGTCAATCACGCCCGACCTGAGCACTTTGCGCGCAAAGTCGTCCGGCATCGTCCATTTTGAGCCGAAGGAAGAAGGTTTCAGCGTCATTGTTTCCTTGGTCTGGCTATCAAATGTCGGGTTGACAATCTGACAGTTGACAAAGATCCATAGCTGCTGACGCACCTGATTCGACTTCACCGACGCGCTCTTTTTGCCTTTCGAGACGTGCTCCAGAATGCGGTTCACGATTTGCGCCTCGACATGGTCCACATGCTTACCACCCTTCGTCGTAGCAATGTTGTTGACAAAACTCACTTGGCGTGCTGTGCCGTCCGACACGGCAAATCCGACTTCCCACACACGCCCACGATCCTCTTGCGAGTCGTACACAATCGTAGGGCGAGGCATAGCTGGTTGGCCCTCAGTGCCCTCCTCACTTTCACCTTTGGGCACACCACTGATCTCCTGGATCGCTTGCACATACATCTCGACGTACTGCTTAAAGTTGCGGATCTTTAGACGCTCGCCATTCAGGTACACTTTGATGCCACGCACCGTACCAGCCATATCATAAACACGCTTCATCAATAGCGCTTCAGTGTCGGCATCAATCGAGTCCATATGGAACAACGCCAAGTCCGGCTTGAACGTGATGCACGTATACTCTTCTTTGCGTGAGTTCTTCGTGATTTTTGGCTTGTCTTTTTTGTGCATGTGCTCACTGAACACTTGCTTGTACTTCAGCTCACGCTGCTTATCGGCCGTCTCAACAATAAACTCCGTCGAGTAAATGTTGGTCAGCTTAGCACCGAAACCATTACGACCACCCGTGATCTTGTCTTCATCATCGTCATAGTTGGACGATGTGAGCAGGTTACCGAAAATCAGCTCAGGAATGTACACTTGCTCTTTCTCGTGCACCTCAATAGGAATACCCTGGCCATTGTTCCATACAGAAATGGAGCCAGCTTCCTTATCGATCGTGACTTTGAGGCAATCCATGGTAGGATCGCGCACTTTGTTGTCAGCCGCATTCACCAAGATCTCATCAAAAACCTTGTAGAAGCCAGGCACATAGGTCGTATCACGGTACGCCATACGTTCCTTCACCGCGTCGTACACCCACATCGTCTCTGTTCGCTTCTCCACACTGCCAATATACGTATCAGGTCGCTTGAGCACATGCTCAAGCTGGCTCAGCTTCTGGTACGTCTCCGACGCCGTCTTAGGCGCCGAGCGTGCACCTGACGTTTCTGCCATGCTTCGAAACGTCGAGGGACACGTTGTACAAACTCGAAAGAAAAACGAAGAGGAAAGGAGAGGTCGTGCAGCTGCGTGCAGCACGGCCCAGCGCTGGAGCACCACGCGCATACAATAAACACTTGACGCGACATGTCGCGTGGGATGCGTCGCCGCTCCTCGCTGTCATCACGTGATCCCGAGAGGGGCTGTCCGTTCGCACGCACGCACGCACGCGCTCGCCGGCGGCGTGGCTGCATCGAGCGAGCGCTCCTCCCCAAATCTTACGGCCATGAGTGACGATGCAGCGGCTGCCGCTGCTGCTGCTAAGCGCGAGGCGCGCAAGCGAAAAATTCTAGAGCGAGGAGGTGACCGCCTTTCGCGTATTACCCATACGGGGCGTGGTAAGGATTACGAGGGCTTGGAATCGACGCCCGTCAAGACAATGCCGACTGTCGAAACCACCCACACCAGCAGCGATGTTGCTGTTTCTGAGCCACAACCAGTACGTCTTCCCAGCGAGATTATAGGCACCAAGGCTCCTGCGTCTGTGGCACCTTCGCCGGCTCTCGCTGAGGGCGATCCTGCAGACCCCATTGCACAGATGCTAGCCTCACTCCAACAAGGATCCGAGGGCGGCGGCATGCCCAACGACCCGATGGCAATGCTACAGCAGCTCATGAGTGCGACAAAGAGTCAGGCTGGTATGCCTCCGCAAGTGCCGGGCATGTCGCTGGCCGAGTCGGCGCGCATGGAACGGACGATGCGCCGAGTTCGCCTATGGCAAGCGACGCTTGTCTTCCTCTTCGCATTCTACATTGTATTTTCGTCGATCTTCTCGCATGCGACTCACCCTGGTATTACGGGCCGTACTTTGCCCACTGATGCAAGCCATGGGTTTGCGCGCGATACCTTCTTCCGCCAATGGGCCTCGTTGGCGCGCAAATATACTCCGATGAGCGAATGGCTCAGTGCTGACGACCCCAGTGTCTTCCCCTGGGGTGCTCTGCGTACGCCCATGGACTCCATGCGTCCGTACATTGGCGATGCGGTTGTGGATGGAGAGTGGCCTGCCTGGCCTGTCTTCTGGGTCTTCGCCTCGATGGAGATTGGTCTTCAGGGCATTCGTCTGGCCATGCTTCAGCGCCGTCCTGCTGCCCTACCTGGGCGTCTCAGCACGATCGCGTCTATGTATGCGCCAGCGCCGCTCCGATCTATCCTCCCGCTGGGCGCCTCCTTGCTTTCTCTTCTCAGCTCGCTCGTGGACGATCTATGCATTCTGCTCTTTGCCATTGGTTTAGGTGTCCTATTTTGTCATGTATGGGCGCCAACAGCGTAAATAGTGATCAACGTAGTTACAGACTCCATACTTTGATGCGGCTATCACGTCCACCTGTTACAGCGTAGCGGTCCATGTACCGCAGACGTTCGACGGGTGCCGTGTGTCCGTTGGTCAGGAGCTTTGCGTGCTTTTCGCTGGTGCGGTTGTACACGTCCGCTGCGCACGCGCCGACTGCCGACACAATCTTGCGTGAATCAAACTGCAGAGCTGTCACAGGGTGCTCAAAGGACAGCGTCTCGCACACGTGGCCTGTCCGCAAATCCCACAACTAGGCTGTCAGTCCCTGCTCTCGATGACGTACACGAATCGTTTTGTCCAACGAGCCCGAGATAAGGTACGTCTCGTCAAATTGCACACATGTGATCGGGGCTGTGTGGCCTAGCAAGGTGCGATGCGCCTGTCCCGTGCGTACTGCGTGTAAGTCTGTTTCCATACGTACAATCCCACAATCGCACGCCTCCATCTCCCGAGCCACTGGCCAAGGCATACCCCCAGAACTGGACGCCGCCCACAAAGTCGGTATACATTTCCCAGCTGCCATCCTCATAGGGCGGCTGTGGGTAGGAGAAGGGGCCAGAGAACTGCGCAGTAACGTGCAGTGGGTCCAAAAGGGGCGCTGTGCCTTCATTTGGTGCACGGAAATCCACACTCGTGCTGGGGTTCGTCATTGCCCACAAAATATCCATAGTGGTCACACATTGACCCGTTTCCAGATCCCACTGCCGCAATGTCTTATCAGCAGCGCCTGTCACTAGCGTTTGCTCGTCGTAAAAGAGCGCCGTAATGCCACGGCTATGTCCTTCCAATGTACGCACGCATGGGTCTTCCGCGACAACACTCTCGCCATCCATACGTGCTTGACATGCACTTTCAAACGCATCTACATGCCGCAGGTCCCACACGCGAAGCGTACTGTCCATCGAGCCCGTAACACAGAGCTCATCTTCCACCTGCAAGCATTTGACCATGTCTGGTGTTAGTTCACGATGACAACATACCTGTATGCCCACGAAGCCGTCCCACATCTTCTCCGGTAGACAAGTCCCAGACACGCACCGCGTCGTCGACGGCCGCTGACACCAAGGTGCCATAGGGTTCCGAAAAGTCCAGCGCAGTAACAGGTCCTGTCTGCAAGTCCAGTGTCATGAAAGCCACTTCGGACGGTAGCTCGTCATGTTCATTCGGCAAAAACACAGGTCCTTTCCATCGCCGACTTGAGCCTGTCGGCAGCACGGTCGACGCATCCAAGCCACGCCCGCCTGGCATGGCACGTCGACGCCGTTGTAGCTCGAGCAATTCGCTTAGTCCTTGCACTGGATGTCAGTCGCGTCGCCACGTACACTCATCTTCCAACTCCAGCTCCTCTTCACGTACACTCAATAGTTTCTGCTGCAGTTGCGCCTTGGTAGCTTCCAGGGCTGCAATTTTCGCGTCAACATTCACGATTTCGGAGTTGTACAGAGCACGTCGGATTTCTAGGTGCCGCATTTCCTCTTGCACTTCTTGGTCCTGGACCTCGAGTTCCTCGAGCGAGAGAAGGTGCTGATCCTTGTCACGCCGTTTCACTTTGGCAGTCGCACGAAGCTTGCGCCGTCGCACCTTATTTATAGAGGCCTGTGGTACCGTAGCCTCATAGCCACGCAACAGAGATACAGGTACATCGTCTTCCATGGTTTCCCCATCCAACAGATCTGTATCCAACGACATATCCAGGTCTTCATTCGCATGCTCCAAAATACGCTGGCTTTCCTCTAGGACACCGATATCCATAGACGTCATCGGTGTGCGTTCTTTGCCATTCTCACTTCGACTATTCTTACCAAGGCCTGAGAATTGAAGAATGGAGCTGCTAATTCGCGCCAACGAACGCGCAGGGTTGTCCATAGAGAAGCGAGGAGCAAGGAGCAACGTTGCGCGCTGTAGTGGAAATGGGTCTCGTGCGGTTGAAAGTTGACCTGCCTGAAGACTTACACGAGCGAGGGCATTGACCATCGCTGGTGTCATTAGATGCGGCGCCATTTCTGAGAGCAGCCGATTGGTATCCGCTTGAGCAGCCCGCGTATCCATTCCTATGGAAGACGCGGTCTTCCGCAAATAGGAAGGCGCAGATGTCGCCGGCTTGGTCGGCGACGATGTCGACGACGACGACGGCGGCGGCACTGCAGTCATGGCCAGCCCAACGCGAAGGTTTGAGAGTCTCGTGCGTGCATAACGCGGGGGCGTCACCGCTGGCCTCAGGATCAGTCACGTCACGTGACACCTCTGTCAACCGCGTGGTCGCTCCTCTTCTTGCGATTCCCTCCAGCCTTATGCCGTCTGCTCGCGAGCTAGCGACTGTGCTCGAATTCCTCCAGACGGGCGCTGCATCGCGCCGTCTGCCTGGGGTAAAGTCACTGCAGTTTCGTGTCCCCAAAAAGTTTAGCGACCGACGCGATTGGTATGTATAGTGCGACATTCTGACACCAGGACATTGATGCGCCGCGAACTCCCTCGCTTGGTGTACGCGAATCCTGCCCTGCAAGTGGATGTGGAACATCCGAACGATGAGCCACCCAGCATGCAAGTTCAATTTTGTATGTATACACGCGACCTAACCCACCTAGCGAATATGCCTGCCCGCACCATTGTGTTTGGTGAAAAAAACGCGTCGGATATCGTACGTGAGCTGATGACGATGGCCCAATTCACAGAGAAGCCTGCCTCGTCATAATACCTGTTCTCTTGGCTCTGTACCACGCATCTGACACTTTATGGATCGTTTGATAGTATGTAATAAAGAATGACTATCGGCTGGAAACGACGCCGGCCATTTAGACCAGGGTATGAGTAAGTACGGTAGGCAGCGGTGTATTACAGATCCGACGTAGCGGTACGCCCCCCGCCCAGCTCTTCACGTCGCGTGCGTGCTCGGTCCGCTTCTTCGTTGCGCCACACCGTTCTACGCGCAATGTCATTGTCTGCATGTCGCAGTAGACGACTCATCGCATCCACCACCGTCTGCGTGTGGCTGCTTTCTGAGCCGCTCTCCGCTCCACTTGTCAGAGCACGTACAATGCAAGCACGGTCAACGGTAGGCGCAATGCGCCGGTTGGTCGAGAGCATCTGCTTGGCTGCTGCACGCTTGGCACTGGGCGACAGCCGCTTGGCGGGAGGTGCAGCCGCACTGGTGCGAGAGCTTGTTTTGGTGTAGGAAGACGACATGCTTCCACCGCCCATTTCGGCATGCATACGAATGAGGCCTTGTACTTCCAAACGTTCCAGTACATCCAGCAACTCCGAATTGCCAAGTGGCGACACAAAAGCAGCGTCCTGTTGCAGCATGCCTGCGTAGGCCATTTCCAAGTCGGACAGCAACACGCCGCCATCTCCGCGCGTTGCTTCCTTGGAAAGACCTGATGCAGCCTGCTGCTGGAGAATGACCCATGCAAGGAGCAGCAGCTTGGCATGGACGCCCAGCGACCGAATTCGCGCCATTTGTGCGTTGCCTGTCATGTGCGCCAACACACGAAGAATGTGCGTGGGTGTCACACAAGGCTGCCCTCCCTTGGTAAGCTGATCGCTTTCCGCCAGCTCTAGCGCTTGACGACACGCATCCAGTGCACGCCGGATATCGCCCGAGGTGGCCGTGAGCTTGCGGGACAAGAGCTGGAGAGCTGGTTTCGATACAAGCTCAGGCGTCATATGAAGTCGCGATGTGAGCAACTCACACACTTGGTCGGCCTGTAGCGGTGCGAAATGCAGCATGGACGGAGGGATACCTTTGCTGCGCAGCAGAGGGACAAATCGTTCTGTCAAGTCCAACGAGTTGGCAATCCCAATCAGTGCGACAGGCGCATAGTTTTGCAGCTGCTTCGGCAGGCAGAACAAGCGATGCAGTAGCGCTTGGTGGGCCTGCGAGTGCAGCAGCAGATCCATCTCATCGATCACGATGACCAGTGGCTTGGGCGGTACGCTTGTCTGAGGCCATGTGGTCTCATCCGTAAGACTTTCAACACCCAGGGCGTGCGCCCACTGCGCCTCAATGTGCTGCGGGTGAGAGAGACCGACGCAGTTGATATAAACATGACTTGCATCGACGAGTTCTCGTACCACGTCGCGAACCAGCATAGTTTTGCCTGTGCCAGGCATACCGGAAATATAGAGACAATGGGAGTCATGCTGCCCGGCCCAGCATGCTTGTAAAAACGAGTGAAGTTGAGCGCGTTCTTGCTGACGACCGACGATCGCGCCATTTTCACGCAGCGCAGCTCGCGCTTGCGCATACACGCTTTTGGGTTTGGTGGGCGTCATAGGTGGGGAGATTAGCGACTCGTCCCATTCTACTTTCGCACGTTTCGTGCCAGGGGTATCAGACTGGTGGTGTAGGGACGGCGGCGGCGTAGGTAAGGAGCGTTTTTTGGGGGTAGTAGGAGGACGTGGAAGCAGTGGTACAGACGTTGCATTGGAACGTACAGCCCTGGTAGCCTCACTCGCTCGCTGACGGTGCCGTGTTCGCATAGCAATCGATTCCCAACTTCGCTGCGTCTCTGCCTCTTGGACCAGTACAGATTCGCTGACCTGGCGGATTGGCGCAATATTTTCCTTATTCTCGTCAGGCTGCGTCGCGGCAGGCGCCGACGCGCAAGAGCCTGGTGGATTCGGGGTAGGGTCGTGCGGCTCACGATCCTTGCACGCCACCTGTGACCTAGGCATCGCCGCCGACGATGTCGTGGCTTCCTCGCTACCAGCTGCCTCCACGACATGGGTCTTCGAACGAGCAGACTTGCACAGCTTAAGCGTGTCCTTGTTATGTTCTGGGAGAGGTATATGGGTATGGGACCGTAGTTGCATGGCCATGGTGGCACAAGCAGGTAAGAGGGTAACTCAACGTGGTCTAAGGCAAGCTGAACAGCACGATGAATGCACTCCTATTTACGCGCTTGTATCATTTTTCGCGTGCCTGCAATTGCCAGCGCTCGCGCATAGGGGCATTCCTGGACTGGCCTGTCGCCACGTGGCTATGCGCACCGACGCGCGCCTGGCTTCAAGGCCAATATGGGCTCGCACCTAGCGGCCAGGGCCCCCACAGGCCACTTCCTCCACACAAGTCAGGGGGGGGGCTATGTTGTCAACTATACCCACCGCGATACTGCGGCCGAAAGGCACGGTCTTGGCGTGAGCGCGAGGCGTCGCGCGAGGAAGCCGATCGTTTCAGCGATGGTCGTGATCGATGGCGACCGCGTGGTGAGTCAGCATCCGATAGAAACGTCTCGTTATGCCGTAGTTTTTCTCGTCGTACAAACCAGTCCTGCTCGTCCCCACCCTGCATATCCTCCAGCAGAGAAGGACGGCTTGGTGCCACGTCACTACTCCGCCGTTTCGAGCGTGGGACTGTCTGCGAAGCTGCGCCACGAACAGACAACGTCTTGCTACGCGGCGCAAAGGGTCCTGTGTTCGCACCGATTTCGCTAAACGGCGATGGGTCCCCGGTAGGTCGCGTGGGGTTTGTACGCCGCAAGAAGCAGTCATCACCCCAGTGGTGCGATTTCGCTGCACAGTTGTAGCAGTACCGCACCGCCGAATCCCAATCACGAGGCGGCGTGGCTTCACTATCGCTGTCGTCCGACGCATCGCTGTCACTGCTGTCACTAGGCCCTACCTCCTCGCTCGACTCAACCAGAGCCACAGCCCATCCACTCTTCCGTTTCTTCCGGCGCTGTTCCAGCGCATTTTTGCGCGCTTCTCTTCGCTGTTCATGGCGCCATAGCTTGGCACGCGCTTGGTCATAGTCCGACTGAGTGCGATAGGTATATATGCGCCAGAGCGTATGACAAGTCGTCTCAGGATGGCCAGGCTGCCCACATCGCTCACAATACCGGGCACGACTGGGACCTACGCGAGGCATTGGGCAGTCCTGCATGGGTAAGTCGATCGTCTCCTATCACGCACCTTGCTGCGATGACCTACGGCACCGCATCGGAAACAACTTGTACCGAGAGGGCAATCCCGCATCGCATGCTCATCAATGGCACCACACGCAAGACACTAACGTCAGGACAGAAGCCATACGTACCTGTTTATAAGGACACTTTTTCTTTTCATGCCCTGCTTCGCCACATACAGGACAAATTCCTTTGCGTTTCCGCTCATCATTGGCTTCCGCTTCATAATACCTTGTACCTTGTGCATCCAGTTGATCGTAATCACCGTCACGGTCTTGCACTGGCGCAGGCTCTGCGTCAGCGTCAGTGACAAACGCAACGTGACCTGGCAAATCTAGGCCAGTTTCATCCGCCGTTGTCTCGTCTACCGGCGGCGTGCTCGCGGCCATGGACAAATCGGTAGGTATATCTGCACTTTGCGTATCAAGCACGAAGCTAGCATCTACGCCTTGCGCTGATTTGCTGCCTTTGCTCTTTTTCTTCCCCATAGCGAGAGGGCGTACGACCACCACCAACGCGACGGTGGCTTTTTCGAAAGTGGAGGTGCAAAAAATTGGCCCCGAACACGTCTTCAGGCCTTTCTCTGCTCAGCGCTCGTCATCCTGCGAGCCTGATCGGTTGCGTATGCAAAGCGTAGGTTCTACACTATTATGCCATAGGGCGTGCACTGCACCTATACATCGATACGGTGCATATGTCTTACTCGTATGAAAGGGAATGCAAGCTATCTACAGCAAGTCTAGCCTGTCAGTCTTTGTGGCATGTTTGCATATGTTCTGTCGATACGCAATGGCCATAGTCGCATAAAGATGAAAGAGCGACCAACACGGCGTAGTCTACGGAGGCCATTGATGCCAACGTCGTATACTCTGTTCCAGCCACATGATGGGCTGGCTGGCTGGCTGCATGTCCCAGGCAAGGCGTATGTATCCCTGTCGCCGACTGCGAGGGCCCTTATGCGGTACGACGTCATTATTTGTAGGTGGGCCAGCGACGTCGTCGTGATGACATCGGGGCCTGCATGATTGCCTTACCTCATTTCGTTCCGTGCCACGAGGCGTTACTGGGTAGGTCTGCACGGGCCACGAGGTTTCGGAAAATGCGCCGTCGGAGGTACACAACTAGGGCTTGGAGGCACAATTTTGGCAGTTCCTTATCTCCTTCCATCATGAGGCTTAGTGAATACTTGGTTGAGCGCCTCGCCCAGCTGGGCGCAAAGCACATCTTCGGCTGCCCAGGTGACTACAACATGCAGTTCCTGGACGTCATTGATGACGACAAGCGTGTGCAGTGGATCGGCTGTGCCAACGAGCTGAATGCGGCGTACGCTTGCGATGGCTACACCCGTGCCACGGGTGAAATCAGTGTCTTGGTCACCACCTATGGTGTGGGTGAGCTTTCGGCAGCGAACGGTGTGGCTGGTATGTTTGCAGAGAGCCTCCCGGTGATTCACATCGTCGGTATGCCTACGACCGAATCGCACTCGAGCCACCGCCAAATGCACCACACGCTCGATGCCAACCTGTATGACAACTACTACAAGATGGCTCGGTACATCTCCGTGGACGCAGCCATGATCGGCTGGACACGTCAGGACTGGCAGAACGCTGCGCCGACGATCGATCGCGTGCTCACGTCGCTGGTGCAGGAGCGTCGCCCTGTGTACCTGAGTGTGCCATTGGACCTGTTTGAGCTCGAGGTGCCCTCGGAGGAGCTCAAGAACCCAATCCCGACCTCGCGTCCCCAGCCGAACCAAGAGCAGCTGGAGTACGTCGTGAAGGTCGCGACGAACCACTTTAACGAGGCCAAGCGTCCTCTGGTGTTGGTCGACTACTGCGTCGGTCGTTCGCGTGCAATGTCCGTGGTGGACGAGTTTGTGAAGCAAACAGGTCTACCTGTCGCGGTTGCGCCGATGGGCAAGAGTCTGTTCCCGGAGGACGATGATCATTTCCTGGGCGTGTACCTCGGCGGCACGTCGCACAAGAACCTCAAGGACTTTGTCGACACAGTGGATCTGTTGATCATTATCGGTGGTCTGCCTAGTGATATGAACACAGGCCGCTTCTCTTACTCGACTCCGGCGTGCAATGTGATCAACTTTCACACCAATACGACGTCGATTGGCTACTCGGAGTTCAGAAAGATCGGTATGCACGAAGTACTTCCACGTCTCGGTCCGCTCCTGGCTAAGGACAAGGCCATGCGCCTAAGCTACACACAGGAAGTGAAGAAACAAGTGCAGGACCCGCCACAACAGCTGCCATCCAGTGACTCGCCGGTGATCCACGACTACTTGTGGGACCGCATCGGCTCGTTCCTGCGTGCCGGAGACCACATGGTCGTAGAAGTCGGTTCGTCGACCTATGGCGCTGTGTTCTCACACATTCCTCGCCATGCTCGTTTCCACGAGCAGATTGCGTACGGCTCGATCGGCTGGAGTGTTGGTGCGACGCTTGGTGTCTCTATGGGTGTCGAGCAGCACGGCGGTCGCTGCATTACGTTTGTTGGTGACGGCAGTCTGATGATGTCTGTCCAGGAGATCGCGACAATGATGCGATACGGCGCCAAGCCCATTATCTTTGTCTTGAACAACGACGGCTACGAGATTGAGCGTGTGATTCACGGCCCAGACCGTGAATACAACAACATTGCATCGGTCGACTTTAGCTTGATGCTCGACTTTTTCAACCGCGACCGCAAGGTGCGCAGCAACGTCCCCGACATGTCCGAGGAGGTCACGAAGCAGCGTGAGGAGAGCCACAAGCATGACCAGGCTGTCCAGAAGCGCTACCATGCCGTGCGCACTTGTGGCGAGTTGGACCAGCTGCTGAGCAGCGACGCGTTCCGCAACGAGGATGCGATCCACGTCGTTGAGCTGTTCATGCCACGTGGCAATGCTCCCGATCTGCTCGAGACCATTATGGGCCAGAAAAAGTAACGAATCACCCTGTAGACCTCTATGAATCGTCTTCTTTGTCCGCTGGCACAGGCACCATCGGCATACTGAGAATGCCAGTGCCCATATCGTGCCGAATTTTGAAGATATCGCGAGCCGTGAGCATCGCTTCAATAGGAAGGGTATGGAACAGGAGGGCCTCCTTTTCGTCCTCAACACGCGCACTGCATCCCAGCAAAGGTGCATTGCAGCTCGAGTGTCCCAGTCCACGCGGCGAGCCTATCGAAGGACCGGCTGCATTGCACATGCATACAAAGCACTCGTTTTCCATCGCACGCGATACACACACAGCGTCTTTCGTTAGCCGTTTTGCTACGTACCCAGACACGCCGCCTCACAGTTCTTATTCCAGGCAAGGGCACGAGGTCCAGAATCGTCAGCATACCAACACGTGGGCGCAAACACCACATCCGGGCCGGCAAAGCGGTCCTTCTCATCCAGGTCGGACGAAAAACGACCTGGCGCTGACAACAGACGTCGGAACGATTCAGGGAACATGAGGTCCCACTGTGGTGAGTCTGGTAGATACGTACACACATCAACATCGAGGCACGCAGCTTGAGCCCACGCTTGGTCTTGAACAGAAATAGGGGCGGGTAGTCTTTCGCAGGATGCGACTCGTCTGTGGCATTCGAGAGAATCGCACGCTCGGCATGCCACAGATGGCGCTTGGTATACGAGCCTCGAATCCGACCGCGGTAGTCGATAAAGTACGTGATGTTGTACAGCTGCTGTGTCGGGTCGTCATCATGCAATACGACAGCCGAGCCTGTAACAATCGCAATCTCGTTGGTCCGCGCCATATCCTGAATAATAGCAAGCCAGTCTGGGTCCTCTTCCTTGCTGTTGATCGGATCGTGCCAGCGCACCTGATGCCATGCCTCGTGCGAAGAACCGGTAAGGAAGTACTCTGGAAACACAATCACGTCAGCGCCCTGCTTCGCCGCTATCTCCGTGAGCTCACGCATACGCGGCAGGATGGCGCGCACATCTCCCTTTCCCAGCTCGTTCGGGGTGACTTGCGCTAGCACTACATGCAGCTGCATACGTTTCTCTTCCGCCTTCTCGGCATGCTGGAACGAGCCCAATATACGAATGCTCATATTGTAGACCCACAATCGGAACACTAACCTGCCCACTCCGCCGAATGGCCGAAAGAGAGCCCCGATCTAGCCCCTCCACATACACGCGTCACGACGGGGCACGTCCCTCCACTACCCTTGGGATCGACAACGATGCAGGTAGTGCTGCCCAGTGAGCTGCAGACCCAGATCCTCTTGCTCGCATGCCGGGCGGACGAAGAGGATGCCAAACCCATATCTTCTTTGCACCAGATCCTTGAGTCGCTGGACCCGCCGGGGTTTGAGCCTGTGAGCAGGACCTGGGCGCTGACGTACGACCCAATGGCCTTGCAGCAGCTCATGGTGCTCAACCGCGCATTTTACGCGATTGGCGCTACTTTACTTTACCGATCCATTGCCATATACCGACCTTCCCAACTTTCTCTTCTTCTACGCACACTTGCCGAGCGGCCTATCCTCGGGAAAAGCATAAAGCACTTGTACATTGGCGCTGTGAATCTCGCGTCAGAGCGGCTCATGCACAATCTCGCAGCAGGGTTCGCCTCCTATGAGCAGGCTTTTGGAATCGAGACAGACGTACAACGCGTACGTACCTACCATGCATGCACGTCAAAAGGCTCTTTGCTGCCCCATGCCATGGAGCTGGATATGGCCGAAGTGCTGGCCATCCAAGCCGGGCCTGCTGAGGCACAGGGTATCGATATTCGGCATCCGCGCATGGATCTACACGGAGACACCATTTCGCTGCATGAATGGGTACTGCGCCTGTACGAAGCTCGCGCCTGCTTGCATTGGCTGCGTATGCTGGTACGGGACGAACGTGCGAGAGAGCTGCGCCGCTGGCACGCTTCGCCATACAATGTTGAGGCACGAACGTACACCTTACGAGCTGGATCACCACATGCTATGGCACATGTTGACTCATTTGAGCACCATGGTGTAGATACCTCGGACCCATTTAGTCCACGTCCGCTTCATTTACGTCGTGCTGGCACACGACACGATCCAATGGATTGGGCGGATGCAGGTGATATACTGTTTTCTCTTCCTGCCTCGGATGACGATGTCCATATTACCTTGGTGTGGCATGTACTTCAAGAGTTGGACACAGACATACTTCCCCGATGGCTCTCCGTGCTCGTCGCCAAGGCACTGGCATACGGCCGCTGGCTGGCGATGGACATGGTGCGTGAACACACACCAACACCAGATGTGAATGCGTCCGATCTGGCACCTTTGCCACCGGCTTGGCCTTTCTTCGCAAGAGATCGATTTGATGACATATGTTTGTACGCCCACTCTGGTGTTGTTCACTGGGTCTGCCTTACAGATGGTGAAGAGCCCGTGATAGATGAGGCGGATGCGAATGTATGGGCCTCGACCGGCCGGCATGGCGAGCAGGCTATTTGGGAGAGCTGGCCACGCTTCCCTTTTGGTATATCCATGGCTCAATGGCAAGTACCTTTGCGTGGATCCACGGCACTGCCATATGTGCCATCACCACCCCAGCACACGCTTGGCGGTCTTGTACAGTCGGTTCAGGCATTGCTTGGCATGACACCTGAGCTTGAAGTTCTGGGCCTTAGCGGTGTGCTGGAACGTGCCGTGGCTGGGCACCGTGCATCTGTAGCCCTCCCTCGACTACGTTGGCTTTCGGTGGGACCACCGCCACCGTTCTGGGCGCATGCCCTACAATGGGGAGACGCGTCGCATACCCTCTTGACGACCCTACGACACATTTCCGTGACAGGGTGCATGTTGCTCGGCGATGAAGCACGTGCATTGGGCGGTGTAGCAGGCACATTACCTCACCTCACTTCTGTGACGTGGTCCATGCACCTAGGAGCAATGGATCATGGCGGCGTTGGCGTCATTGCTGCCATGGCCATTATTCTTGGGGTCGAGATTCCTGGTGTCGTTCCTGCGCCACCAGCAAATCTCCCACGCCGAGGTGTACAGCGTCTACACATGATTCTTACACAAAGAGACTATGATCGCATCCAGGCGACGGCACCGCCGTACCTACTCGAAGATACGCGCCTGCACATGGAAATCAGCACAGCCAAAGGGCCGATACACCCTATCGTACACGAATGGGCCTGTCAGACACTTTTCACATGACCCACATCCACAAGAACAGTGTAGATACCACCATAGGACCCCACATAGGCGATGTATGCAGCGCTGCACTGACAAAGTGCGTATCATCAGGACCCACTTTGCCAGGTTGATTTGGGCCTGGAGCTGGGGCTGTGCCTGCCAAACTACCGCTTACAATGTTGGACGCAGTGGCTGTGATAGAGACGGACGTCGCTGGAATAAGTACAGTGGAACATACCGCTTGTAGCGTTCGCGCTGGACGAGGTCGAATTGCCTGACGAAGTCGCATTGGAGGCGCTGGAGCTTGGCGCTGCACTGCCAGATGACGACGAAGCACTGGTAGCTGAGCTACTACCGCTAGCACTGCCAGACGAGCTATCACCACTCGCACTGGTAGATACCATGCTGCTGCTGGTACTGGACGGCGCATTCTGCGCCGCGACCAGCACAACAGCGAGCAGAAGGCCAATCCCACCTGCAAGGCGCATGATGGCCAGAGGAGAACAACAACCCCTCCACATTGATACACATACACCGCGCGGCTGACGCTGGTGCAGCGACCGTTTCTAACCTCCACGACCCATCGACGACATTCCCTCTCCCCCGCTTCGCTCATGGCGGAGATAGCCGAACCACGCGATAGCGTCTCGACAGCCTCCGATCTTACTATCGAGGGCTGGGAACGTGATCGTACAGATCCTTTATGGGCTGCGGATGGCGATCCTGAAGCGATCCCTCTAGACGAGTTTTATAATGAACCCTTACCAGGTCTTCGACGTCTCACGCCACTCTCTGACAGGCAACGGCAATCAAGATGGATTCAAGACCCACAAGGGCTGTGCATTGTGATCAGTGTAATGCTAGGCATGGCCGTGTTTGTCTCACTCCTTCCTTGGTTGGCTGGTCCAGACCGACCTGGTTCAACTCCGCCCACTCCAACCGCGCAGCAAACCCTCACCACCATGACCATTGCAACCCTCGTTCCAATCGCATAGATGCCCAGCCCCTCGCTGTTGCTTTACTATAGTGTATTCTAGACATGACCAGCTTTGTCGTACATATGAACCTACAAGGCCATATGCATGTTGGCGGCAAGACCAACACAGACTTGCTCAAGAGTCCGCATCGGATGTCCCTTCCTTATGGCCAGCTCGTCGCACGCCGCCGCCTGGGACGAGACGGCGTATCCAGTACAAGATGGCGCACAGTATCAGGCATATGAAGGATGGCCCGCCTCGTATGACACTAATGGTGTGTACGATCCGGCGTATGGTCATGACTATGCTGCACAGCCCATGGTAGCGCACGATACATACCCACCGTACTATGACTCTTCAGCCTGGGAGGCAGCACAGTACGAGGGGTACGCCAAAGAAACAGTAGCATCAAATGAGATGGCACCGACTTACACCAGGGCGCTCCAGCCGCAAGGCTTGCCAGACGCTATGCCATCGAATTCCGAACAAGATCGGCCCGAGGCATGGGCTATTGACAGTGACGCAGATACGGATGACGACTCACTGGGCGAGGGTATGTCGTAAACCAGCAGCTTACCATTGCAGACTTTGATGCGTACAAGGACTTTAATAATGTGGAACAAGGGCCCCAACATCATCTTGATTCACACCCAGAATCCCACGACAAGAGGCATCCCTATGGAGCAGCGCCTCCCATGTCGTCACGACCTGCAGCGCACCCACTTGTTCAGCTGCCACCGAATGGTGCTGACCTATACCCTACCATCGTTGATGTGCGACATGCACATGGTTTCTTGCCAGACAAACGCGGCACAAAATCATATAACAAATTGTTGGGCGCCAGCGATTCCCAATTGGATTTGGCGGATATTGCGCCTCTGGGTGACGAGTTTACCTCCGAAGAGCGGCATCGTATGACGCGGGCCTTTCGTCGGTGGCACCGCCGTAATCAGCATCTCGGCAAAATTGACTCATGGCTGCGCGGTTATAATCCGGTTTGTGGTTGGCTAGGACCTCAAGCCGCACTGATCATTGGCTTTGTTTTGGTGGTCATGTACGTGCTGAGAATCATTTCTGACCGACAGCATTGCGGTTATGCTGTACTTTGTTATTCCTCGCGTGCCTGGTATGTGTTTATTCTGCTTACACAGAACTTGCGCCTGTGACCAAGGATCCGTTGACACCTGCCAATGGCCGTTCGGACATGGAATTGGTCGGTTTCCCCACAGGCTTTAGGTATGTCCATGCTGAGCTGACGTGCAGTATGAACGGCACATTGCACCTCCGTGTTGATAACACCGCTGGCTGGGTGCCATCTCACCTACTTTCACTGCAAACGACGGTCACTTATATACCCACCAAGATGGTGGTAGGCAAAGGCAATGCCAAGAGCCAATGGATCCCTGGGCATACCAAATCAGCTCTCAATATTCCTATTATGTTCTCGCACACGAGCCTAAATGCTACTGGTGACGATACTCAACTGGCTTTCCAGGACGCCTGTGCCCATTTCTGTACGTATAACGTTGCGAGCTAACGATCGCTAGATCAAGGTACCCAACGGTCAAGTACGTGGAACGCACAAAATCGTCGCTAACTAAACAGCACTAAGTTTGCACGTGGACATGCAAATGGACATTGGTGGCATTCTTGGCACGCACCAATCAACGTTTGATTTAAACGATATCGAGTGTCCATGGGAGTTGCCCAAGTAAGAAACTCATGTAGCTCCACCTGCATATGTTTACGGACCCTTTACTACATTCATAACGGAACGACATGCGCGGACGTTTAAGCAGCGAACAACCCCCTACTTTTTTTTCTTTTTCCTGGCATGGTGGACCGTGGTTCATCTCTGCGCAGGAGAACGACCTCTATACAACGACTAGGAAATGCCCGTGATAGATTCAAGCAGCAAGTGGCTTCGCCACAAGATCCTACTATGAAAGTGCGCATCATGACATGGAACATGCATGGAAACATACCCAACGGCGATCTTGAGATTTTGTTTGGTAATGTGGGGACGTATGACCCCCCTATGCCTGCTTGGGATGAAGATCATGTGGTCACGCAGAATACAACACACGGCTACCGCGCGAAGGGACAAGCACATATACCGCAGGCGTCTCGCTTACCACAGCTTCCAATGGACAAGGAGCACCCATATCACTTGGTCGTGATCTGCTGCCAAGAATGCCCATGGGGTCATGGCGGGCAACTCACTACAGGCCTACATACAGCGGGCGAAATTGGAAGTGTGGCTCGTTCTCGAACTCGCGTATACAAGGACATTGAGACATCCAAACTTGCTACAGCCACATCACCAACCCTAGCGGAGCACCCTGACGCGGCACATCGACGCATGCCCGGCGTGAGCTTGGATCATTTTCTTTCCAAACGGAAGAGCGTGAGCAGTTTACGGTCAGATACCCTGTCCATTGATACCTCTCTTGCCTCAACAGAGTCGATCGTCGCTAATGACGATACAAGGACCGTATCGCTGCAGGATGGAACGCAGGTGTATGTTGCTTCTCGTCCTTGGACCAAGATTTGTCAGGACTGGCTATGCAATGGCGTGAAAAACCCTGCGTCTGCTATGATGATGTCGCCTACGTCGGACACACCGCAAGTGGCGATGGACGGCACTGCGATATTGCCTCTCAACTCCGGCGATATCTCTGCGCTCTCTACAGAGATGGATGCATGGGTCACGCCACTCAGTCCCACTAGCAACAAAATATCACCGTCGTCCATGAAGGCGCCGCCTGAGCAGTTAGGTCCCTATGTACTGCTGGCCAAGGATCGGATGATGGGCTGTTACTCGGCAGTATACGTCTGGCGTGGGTGTGCCGACCGTGTTCGAGGTGCCAGCACAAATGTGGTCAAAAGTGGTCTTTTGGCTGGTCGTATGGGAAACAAAGGCGCCATTGGAATTAGCGTATGCCTAGGTGAATCGCGACTACTTTTCATTAATGCTCACTTAGCTGCGCATGCGCATAAACTTGATGCCCGCTTGGCCAACATTGCAAAAATCAAGTCAGAATTGAATGTGGATACATTTTTACCGCCTGAGGACCCGCGGAACCACTTGAAAGATGTTACAGAGAAGTTCGATCACTGCTTCTGGTGTGGTGATTTAAATTTCCGAGTGGATGTGACGCGAAAGCATGCTGACTGGCTCATAAAGAACCATTCGTACGACGATGCATTGCATTTCGATCAACTGCACAGAGTCCTAGAAGAAGGATTGGAGTTGCAGGGCTTTCACGAGGCGCCTATTAGCTTCCCACCTACGTACAAGTATGACGTGGAGAAAGCCAAGCGACACCGACGCCGGCATATGCACAACGCTCTTCGACATACCTCTTCCACGCCATCCGCAGATACACCTACCATCGTTTTTTCGGAAGACGACGAGAGCGTGGCCGACGATGATGACTCTACTTCCGTCATAGAGGAAAATGACGAAGAAAAAAAGCGGAAATCGCTTTGGCGTCGATTCCTACGCAAGGTGGATAAGTCTGAAAAAGAGATAACGCAGGAGGCCATTGCTCGACAAGACGAAAATTTAGCAACTCTCACGCGCACTTCGTCTGCCTCGACGCTGTCCGCCGAGTCGGAGAGCTCTTCGATCCTGGAAGAACAAGAGCATACTTTTCCCAAGAAGCCCTCAGACCCCACCTTTCTCACTACGCTGACCAATGGCCTCCAATCTCTGCGCACGACAGAAAATGCAAGTCATCAAAGCCCAGCAGGAAATCTCAAGGATGTGGATGTCCAGAGTATTTCGAGCACGTATGATTCCAGTGCAAAGCAGCGTGTGCCTTCCTGGTGCGATAGAGTGCTATGGCGCAGCAATGTCGGTATCGACGAGCATGAGCATACACAAAGACCGTCGATTGAAAAGATGCGTTCAAGAATTCACCACTGGCTACCTAGGTATAGGCATGGGCACCATGCAAACACGGACGAGGCCCTGCATGAAGCCAATGCTACGCGTCACATCATGCTGCATGCCCCACTAGATTGGGTGCAGAGCGTGGCTGACATGGGCAAAGACAACCTTCTCAGCGCAATATGTGACGACCATACCTTAATGCCAAGCCAGGGCCAACTACGAGTCATTGAGTATCGTACTATTGACGATGCCGGCGTCCAAGCGCTGGGGGCACGATCTGATCACCGGCCTGTCATTTTTAGTGCAGCCATAGGCATATAATGTAGCGAGAGCGCACCTCTCCACTCACCTCCCCACGTGACTTACGAACGACAGGCTCCGCCGTTTGGTGTCCTCTTGGCTCGGTGCACCATGGCGGACGTCGGCGTGACCTCGGAAGACCTGTCTGTGTTTGCAGAGGCACGGCCTTTCAAGTCGGAGGCCTACCTATCCAAGATGGGCGCCAATGGCGCACCTGTCCCTACCCGCCGAAATAAAACGCTCAAGCAAATCTTGAACCAGGAACGCGACGCGTACTTACAAAAGCGGGGTTTGTTGGATTCGAAAAAGAAAGGAACTGAAGAGTCTACGCCAAAACGACATAAAACCTCTGCTGTTGCCTCCGAGGAGGAGCCCAAACAAGAGGATTCAACCGTTGATATGCAAGTGGACAACGCAGCTTCCTCACGCTATGTGCCTACATGTACGTTTCACGTGCACTGACCAGAGATGCCAATGTACAGGCACCACCTAGCCTTCTGCCCAGCAAGAAATACTGTGACATTACAGGCTTAATTGTACGTGCCAACATCCTGCTGACGCTTCAGGCTCCCTATACCGACCCAAAGACGCGTCTGCGATACCACAGTGCCGAAGTCTACGACATCATTAAAGGCTTTGTGCCTGGCGTGGACAATACCTATTTAGCTCTGCGCGGCGATGCATCCCAGCTTTTGTAGATCTATCATACTATGCTAGTTATTAAATTAGGCGCTCACTATCAGCCTGCCGCCAATCTGATAGACCGGCTTGGACCACAGGATGGTTCCTTATCGACTCCCCATGCCGGACATGGTCTAATGTCTTTTTCAGGTCACTTGCTGTCTTGGGAGGGTGCTACTTGTGAGTGTATAATAGTACGTACGAATTCATTGGCAGGCGGCTCAAAACGATGGCGGTGCTGCAAAGTTAGTAACGCATCTACACTGGGACATACCGGCAAAACATATTTATCGTACCAGGCTGGGTCACCAAAGTATACCATGAAACCAAGCGGGAAAAGAAGGTATCTTGTCATAAGACTCATTATACATACAAGCCGAAGCGGAACAGCTCCATGTTAGGGCCAGCCATCGCGATGAAGGGGCAGTTGCGTGCACCGTGCGAACCAGGGAGCGTGTGGCGCTGTGGTTGTCCTCTTGTTGATTAGTCAGCACATCTTCCAATGCACGCACTGTCACTTACGACGCTCTCTCGAGTGTCGTCATGGGCAAAGGAGCACGCGGTAAGTCCTCTGCCTCTTCGGCCACTCGCAAAAAGCATGCTGCTGCTGCTGCTGCAAAGCGCGGAGAGCTACCTCCCAATGGTACACCAGAAGGGAACCCGAAGGCCAAAGGGCCGCAAGGGAAAAAGCTCTCCAAGAAAGAGCGCAAGATGCTTGCCAGGAAGAAGGCGTATGTCCCACCACCAAAGCCGCCACAACCACCGCCCTATCCCCTCGACTCGATGGGATTGGCAAGTTTGCTACCGGCTGATTTGGTTATTTTGCTTCGAAAGGGCCTGAAAAAAGACATTATTACACGTGTGCGCACGCTTGAATCTCTCCTTGCGTGGATTCAGGGTGAGGCATCCAGCCAGGAAGAGACGACTGCTGCGTTGCCGCCCTCTCCTGAAGAAAGAAATGAGGCCTTAGCGTTGATGTTACCGTGCTGGGCGTATCTGTTCCCCCGTCTAGCTCTGTCACCTTCGCAGCGACTGCGTCAATTGACGTTGCAGGTGCATGAAGCCTTGTTGACCTTCCCACCTCCATCGGAGGACGCTACAAATCTTCGTGAGGAGCTACTTTCCTATACTTACATGCACGAGATCCTAGGGTACTGGGCTGTCCTTACGTACGACACGAGCCGCACTGTCGCACGACAAGGTATGCAACTTTGGAAATCGTGTACCACGTGGACAACGACCGAAGGTACTCCTACACCTACCAAACTCTTGCTCGCAGACTATGTGGATACGCTATTGGAACATGTACGGCCTATCTTGCTATCGGATATGCCGATTGCAGCCCTTGCACAGATGACGCCGTCGCTACAAGTGTCGCCGGCGTCCAAAGATGGTGGCGAATGGGATGCAAAGAGCCGCGATGATACCAACGTGGATGAGAATATGGACGAAATGAACGGCCGGATCGTCGCGGGTGCGCTAGGTCTAGTCACTATGCTGGCACAAACGCCTGGTGGTGTGTCTGACGAGAGCCTTGCGTCGTTGGCAGAGTCGCATTCCATGTGGACCGCCTTCCTATCGAAGGAGGCTCAAACGGAGGGTGAGGGACCTGCTCTGGGCAATGGTACCCCTGTGGCTCGCCAACGCGCCTGGGCCTTGCTTGCTCTTTTGAACCAATCCTATCCAGCGATGGTCGATGAACATTTGGATGTCATTGTCCCACTGGCTATGCAGGGTGCCTGGGCTGAACGTGACCCGTCCGTGATTTGTGATATGCAGGGTGCTCTGCTACCACTGCTGAAGCGCAAGCCAGAGGCATGGACCATGCGGGATGAGGACGACGACGACGAAAACGAAGGCAGTGACGACGAAGCCTCATCGTCCAACACCACGTACCTGGCTGAGTTTCTGCATTGGCTTCAAGTTGTCGCGCCAGCATCGCCTAGCAAATGCTTTCCAGCTGTGCTTGTATTTGTATCGACGATGCCCGAGTCTGTCATGCCACGAACATCCACGGCGATGGCCTCGCTGATAGAGCCTATGATGGGCTTGGCGTCTATTCTCTTGCATGGTCTCACAGATCCATTGGCCTGGGACGCCTACGTGTCGATGGTAGTAGAGTGCCTCACATGGATGTCGATGCGTATTCTTCGATCACCTTCTGTGGACGCCGAGTGCGCTGCCGTGACGATACAGCTGCTTGAAGAGGAGCTGGTGTGGGTATGGCGCACTCTGCTTCTCTCGCAGGACCTGGATCTGCCATTGCGATTGCGTAAGAAGAGTGCACGAGTCTTGGCTAAAGACATTCCCAAGCTCAACCACCGAGAGCATGACATATGGCTTTTAGCAACCCTTGCGAAGGCGATGGAAGAGGACGTGCAGACAATGGACCTCGATACCATTGCACCTGTGGTGCTAGAGTTCCTTACACATGCGTGGAGCCCTTCCTTGACAGCACCATGGCGTGAGACCATAACGAACCTGGTACACACACTTACGGAGCGTCTTGTAGCCACATGGTCAGAATCGCATGTGGAATGGCTCTCACAGATGCTGCAGAGCTCCTGGGCGAGTCTTCTTTTGCAAGGACCCTGTGCAGACACACTGCTGGTCTGGGCCACGGACGTTATCCCTAGTCATGTCGCAGAATGGGACAATGTGCACACCATCAAAGCATGGTATGCCGCATACCTCTCCCATGTCGCCGATACATCCCCCGTATGGCATGCGTTGCTTCGGACCACAACGCACATGCCTGCAACGTTGCTGCCTATGGTTTTAGACCTGGCCACGCAAACGCCTCCAGATGCAGCCACGGCGGAAATGTGGCACGACTCGTTGATGGACGAAGTGACGACACATGCACCCACGTGGCGCTTGCTTCTTGACGCACCGCCCAGTTTGCACAGTGACAAGACAGTGACACGTCTTTTGCAAGCGCTTGCCTTGAATATCCAACAAGGCGATGCTGATGCACAGACAACTTCGTGGGATGTGTTGGGTGCGTGGATCGAGAAAGACCCAGCGCGTATGGATCGCCTCGTCTCAGACGAGACGCTGCATTCTCTCGTTCCAAAGCTATACACAACGGCATACTTGGATGAGACAGATATGACAGACCTGGCCGACACTTGGTGGACGCGTCTTGTGCAGAGCGCGCAAGATCCTTCACCGCTGTACGCGCAAGCCGTGGTGGCATTGCGAGAGGCACTCGCGCTTGGCACTGTACCTCCGACACAGTTGGTCCGTGCGACACAGCGATTGCCGCACACCTATGCGTCACAGGTAGCCCCCTCGCATGACATGCTTGCGGAGCTGGTGGACCATGTAGCGCAATGTGCCGTGGACCCAGCGTTGCTGATACATGACCCTCTTGTGCCGCTGGAATCCACAGCGCCGCGTGCTTCTCCAGAGGACGTGGCCAAGCTGGTTCGTATGGTCGAGACGTGCATTGCGCTTTCGTCGTCACACATCTCAACCCCCATGCTGCTGATGGCATTGGTGTTGGCAGCCATCGTGCTGGAAGATACGCTCCTGTTGAATGATGCTCAGGTCGGTGCACCACTTGCCTCTCCCTCCGAGCCTGTTTGGCAAACGACGGTGCAGGCATCGCTGGTTCGTGTCATTCAAGCAAGTACACGCATGCTCTCGACCTTTACTTCGCATCTCTCCGAGGCGTGGCATACGCACGCTGTTACCACCCTGACGGAAGGCCAAGCCCCGGACGATGCTGCGCGTGTCTTGCAGGAGTGCTGGGCGTATGCTAAAGAATCAGGTGGCCTGCAGTATGCGCGTGTATTTGCACGTCTGCTCGCTGGTATTCTTAGTCTGAGCTCCGCCTCGGCGCATGATGCAGAAGTGTGGGCCAAGACCGCGAAGAGCCAAACCAAGGCGCCCACGCCACTGCTTTGTGCTGTGCTGTATGCCACGCGTAGCTACGCATTTGATACGCCCAGTGTCGATCGATGGCGCAACGAGCTGGCTGCACAGCTGAGCAGTGTGTCGCCGGCCTGCGCCAATACAGATGGTGTACGGTATATGCAAATGCTGCAATGCGCAACGGCGCCGCTCGAGTCTGGGAAGCCGATCGTGCCGACGCAGCGTGCTGTGTTTGCGTTGCAGACATTGCAGCGATGGGTCGCGAGTGACGAAGACTTGGATGAAGGTGTATTTGTCCATCTTGCTGCGCTGTGTGCCGAGCTGGCACCTGTTGTGCAGAGTGTGCCTGGTCGACATCTAGATATGATGCTTGATGTGGTCGAAGAAAACATTCAAGCCGTTACGTTGGAACTGCCTACAGGATGGCCCACGCTGTATACCACTTTGCGCTTGCTGGAGACGATGTATGCGTTGCGTACGCAGGAGCACGTGGCAGACTTGCTACGACAACGGGCTGATGGCCTGGAAGAGGCGCTGTGTCATGCGTTCACGTCGGCCTGCAAGTTTGCTGCCGAGTCTACACACGATATCAATGAGCTGCAGCGGGAATGCTGTGAGCGACTGGTGGCCCTGGTGGAAGAGCATGTACCAGCGAAGCGTGTAGTGCAAGAAGACCTCACTACCAAGCTGGTGAAGCTAATGGCGACGCCAACGAGTTACCGCTCGCTGCAAGTGGCCGCGTGGCATACATACCGGGAGGCTACAATGGCTCGTGTCCGAGATCAAGTTGTGGAGATGTCGCTGGGCTCGCTGGGCGACAAGGCTTCGACGCCAGCCTTGGATCCTGTGCTCATGGCAGCGCTGACGCATCAAGTGCCTGTGACAGCGGACATGTGGACCGATGCGTCGCCAGCGACGCGACATGCCACGTTTTCATTCTTGCTGCTGTGGCTCGCGGTGCTGGACCACTTTGTCGAGGCCTCGTTGCCGCTACGTACACTGTATGCCTCGGCCCTGCAATCGCAAGCGCTAACAAGCACGGTACTACTGCCCAGTGTCTTTGCGCTTATGAACGGGCGTCCCCGCGCGCTCGACGGGATTCCTGCCTTGGACGCCTCCCGCTTTGCGATGGACGATGTGCGGATGGAAGACTTCAATCCAACCTCGGCGCTAGGTCTGCAAGTACTGGCATCGCACGTCTACTTCCGCACGCTCGTCCACTTGCCGACGCAGGTACGCGATTGGTGGCTGAGTATTCGTGACCGACAAATGTCGTTGCAAGTCAGCCACTTTACAAGCAAGTTCTGCACGCCATTGCTTGCGGAGCGTGAGCTGCGTCACTTGCGTGATCCCGCCGCGTTGGCCCAGCTGCAAGACGAGGCGATGACCATCAAGGTCTTGTCGTCGAATGAGGTGGTGGCTACGTACACGGTCGATGAGCACCCTATGGAGATCGGTGTGCGTCTTCCGCCAGACTACCCATTGCACGGCGTGGAAATTCGTGACATCAAGCGAGTAGGTGTCAGTGAAGCACAATGGCGTGCATGGCTCTTGGCCGTGCAGCAGCTGCTCAGTGGCAAGAATGGCCTGATACTCGATGCGCTGACGCTCTTCAAGAAGAACGCCGAAGCAAAGTTCCAGGGCTACGAAGGGGCGGAGTGTGCGATTTGCTACTCGATCATCAGCCCAACGGATCAGACTCTGCCGACCAAGCCGTGTCGGACGTGCAAACACAAATTCCACGGAAGCTGTCTATACAAGTGGGTCAGCACCAGTGGCGCGTCGACCTGTCCGTTGTGCCGCTCCATTCTATGAAGAAGGGTGGGCCAACGTGGCCACCTCCGCTTCGCTCAGTCCATCCAGACTGCTGTATGAGTAGCCGTATAGCTTGATCAACGTACCGCTCGAGAAGGTAGTCCACTTCGACTTTCTTGGTCAAAGGAATAATGAAGTCTTCGTAGAGTCGCACGATATCCCCGGCATCAATCTTGCGCTGCATCGAGGAGGGATCGGGGGAAGTCTGGTTCAGGTCTTGGCCGTACACCTCGGCCTTTTGGGCGACGCGCGCCAAGAGCACTTTCTCGACGGCCGGCTTGGTAATCAGCGCCGCCAGCGCCTCGGCATTGCGCGATTGGATGTGAGGGATGAAAGCGGCTGGGTCCGCACGGAACTTGGCTTCCGAGACAAACATCCCGAAATAGATACGGCGGGCAATGGAGCCCAGCGCATCAATATCGCACATCGCAGCGGAGCCATAGTTGCCATCGTCCGACTTGTCACCGTGCATCGACGTGACGCGCGGCACAGTGTCGTTCACGTAAAAGTCGAGAATCTCTTTCGAGACATTCACATGGTGTGGATGCAGCACTTGCGGGTAGTCCAGCGGGCGCAGAATGGGGGACGGGTGGTGCTCGCGGGACGTGAACGGGTGCTCATCGGGCCTGTCATGAGTAAGTCAGCACGCGTACATACGCCATCCATCGTCCGAGCTTGGCTGCCTGTAAGTAGCTTGACGCACGTACCATACATCGACTCGGTCTCCTGAATCAGGTACATGAGCCATGTGCCTGTCCAGTGCTCTTTCTCGCGCAGCTCAGGGAAAGCGCCCTCTTCGTACATCCGTGCATTGTGCGAGTACTGGGCACGCTCAATCACACGGAACACAATCGACTCTTCCATCCGCTGCAAGCTCGCCCGAATCTTATCGAGGGAGAGAATATCGTCTACAGATGCATTATGAAAGTTGATCGCGTTGTGCATCGTGGAGGAAGACGGACGATTAGCGTCGCTACAATGGAGGTGGAGTAAAATCAGCCCAGGCACGTCCCTACGGCGCGCCGGAGAGCCACCGCTTGGGTTTGGGTGGAGAGGCGACGCGTGCCTCTGCGGCCGTCGTGCTGCCACCACCACCGCCGCGCATGGGCTTGGCTATGCGTGGCGCGTAGCTCATCGGCTCCGATACGTCGGACCAAGCGCGCGACGTGAACGACGAGGCAGACAACGTCGGCGAGGGAGGAATGTTCTCGCGTTGATGGCGCGCATGCCAGCGTTTCTCGGCCAAGGCCACATCGCGTTTCAGGGTAGAGTTTTGGTCGATCAGACGTCGTTGGACATTCGTTAGCTGCTCCAATCGGCGTTCCATCATGCTCATCTTGCGCTGCTGGACACGCATATTGAGACTCTGTAGCAGCATGCGATAGTGGTCTTGCATTTCCTCGACTTCCATCTCCATCTCCACGATACGCTCGCTGCGTTCCCGCAGACCTTGCATGAGCTGCTCTTTCAGCCGCTCGTACTCCCGCAAACGTAGCGAAACAAGTTCACGTGTCTTCTCCATCTGCCAGGACGCATCCAAAAGGCGCTGCACAATCGCCGGATCCGGCCCACGCGCCTCGCCGCGGATCAGCGACGCACTCAGCAGCTCGAGCGCGCGTCGTTGCTCCTCGTGACTCGCACGTAGATCGTCCAGCGAGCGCGTGAGACCCGCCGTCTCTTCGCTGCGAATCGCAAGTAGCTGCTCCAGATGCGTCGCTTCCGTGCTCGTATTCAGTTGGTGGGCCGACGAATGCTCGTCAAGCACTTGACGAAGCTCCGCCAACTGCGACGCGCCATCGTCGCCTACACGCAGCCCATGCTCCAACGCGCCAATTTGGTTGGTAATGAGATCGTAGCGCTGCTGCAAGGCAGTGTTTCGATCCGACAAGGCATTCTTCTGCTGCTGCAGCACAGCGTTTTCCTGCGCCGCAATGCGCGCGGCTTGTACTTGCTGAGACAGCACAAGATGCGTTTGTACAAGCCCTTCTTCCAGCGTATGCACTTGCTCCGTAGTGAGCGGCATCGCTGCTGACGTCTCCTGGCTCGCCACAGACAGCACATGCACGAGATCCAATAGAGGCTCGAGCGGGACAGACGCACCGGTCACTTCCTTTAGCATCGCTTCGACACGTTCTTCACGCGTATGCGTCGAGGGCGCCGCGTCTTTGGCAGCAGCCGTGGCGGCCGCCGCGGTATCTTCGGCCGCCGCCGCCTTCGCCTGCCATTCGTCACACTGCTCCTTGAGATCTTTCATGTCTATCTGCAAGGCAGCATTCTTCAGCTTCTCGTTCTGCAACTCCATCTCAAGCGCCTGCACACGCTGTTGGTATCGATGCACTTCTTTGGCGTGTGCTGTCTCAGTGGCTGTTGCCGCCTCGGTAGCCGCCGTCTCTGCCGAGGGCCCAGAATGACGTGAACTCGTGGGCAGGGAGCCGCCTTGCCGAAGGAGGGGTATCCATTGCGTCGAAGGCATCGCACGACCAGCGCGCCATGCTTCCAGCTCCTTTTCCAGCTGCTCGGCATGTTGTTTGTACGCATGCGTCTGTGCCGAGGCTTTGCGGACCAAGGCACGAAGCTCCGTGGGCGAAAGCTCGACATTCACACGTGCATTGTTCTTGATGGATTTGGCCCGCATACCGAACCGCAACGTAGATATGGTCTCGTCCATATTGTACGCAACAGGAGAACAGTTGATGATCAGCGTCGTACGTGAATTGCCGCCTAACGACTCCTGCAAGATGCGTGTGAGCTTCGAGTCACGGTACGGGACGTGCATCGACTTGCCATCGGTCAGAGCATTGATGACCATGCCCAGCGCACTGAGACTCCTATTGATCTTCTTCGCCTCTTCTAACGTTTGACCACTCGCGCCTGTTTTCTGGACTTTCTCGGAGCCGGCCAAGTCGACAAGGTACAGGCGTCCACTCTTGGACGCCCCCGTCTCTGTATTTCGCTGCTGCACAGTAAAGGTGAATATGCTATGCGATCGTGACGACTCGGTGTTCATGCGCGTCGAGGAGACTGCACGCGCTGCATTGCCTGTGCGCAGCGCCTCGTACACGTCCGCTGGCGACGCAACGTAGCTGTCTGAGAGCCCTTTTACATAGACTCCGCGAACGCGATCTTCATGCACTGGCAAATTGGTGCGGTCCGCTGGGGGTAAGCCATGTCATACGTACGAGCTAGCAAATCGCGAACGCGCTCCATGTAAATGTCCATGAACGAGACCTTTACGACGTATTCGAGCGTGGGCGGACTGGTAAGAATCCGGTGGAAAATCTGATCAGTGATGCGTGGAATCAGGCCACGCGTATGAGGATCGTGAATGTCGGGGCCCTGCCGCGTCAGAAAGAGACTACGCACCATCATCGTATAGGTCTTACCGGACCCAGTCTGGCCGTACGCAAAGATCGTGCCGTTGTACCCAAGCATCACATCTTCGACCGTGTCCTTAATACCGTACTCAAACACGTCGGCCTGTGGCGTATCCATCGGGAACACATGATCAAACACAAAACTCGTCTCGGTGCCGCGTGTCATTTGCACGGTCGACGTGCCATCCAACGCGACCACGACCTCGTGATGGCTGCTTACATGCAGCGCATCGTCAGGGACATGGGCTGGTCGGAACCTGGAATGAGCACTTTCACGACGTACCGTGCCACGACCTTGATGTGGGCCGCCATACCACGCTGCGTCAAGGTCGTGTCGTACCCCTGCACGAGCAATACGCGTGCCGCGAGAGAGCCTCGTACAGTGCTTGTTACGTAAGGCACGCGGCAGGCCCTGTCGACCTCCACTAGGCCGTGGCGAGGCTTTTCCTCTTTCAGCAAGGGGCGATGGCAGCGCAGCGCACGTACGAAGAACGGGCAGAGAACCACCCGAATCCGTGCGCAAAGAGTCTCCTGGAGAGTATCGTGCGTAAGCAGTCGAATCTTTGCGTGAGTGTCGACGTTGTCTCGAAAGACGATCTCTTGGCTGTGGTCGAAGCAGTGGGTCCCTACGTCTCGTTGGTCAAGACCCACATTGATATCCTGGAAGACTTTGATCAGGACTTGGTCGACCAACTCACGGCACTTAGCGTGAAACACGACTTTTTGGTCTTCGAGGACCGCAAGTTCGCCGACATCGGAAACACAGTGAGCTTGCAGTACAGCGCTGGCGTGCATCGCATTGTGCGCTGGTCGCACATTACCAATGCGCACCTGATCCCTGGCCCGGGCATTATCAGTGGCCTCGCTTCGGTGGGCCTGCCTATGCAGCGTGGCTTGCTTCTTCTGGCCGAAATGAGCACGAAGGGCAGCCTCACCACGGGTGCGTACACGACGGCCAACGTCAAGGCGGCGATGGAGGACGAATCCAACTTTGTCATGGGCTTCATTGCGATGCACCGCGTACATGAGGACCCGGTGCATATCCCTGCCGAGGCCACCGAGGCGCAGCGTGCCAAGGACCTGCTGATTCTTACGCCTGGCGTCGGTCTCGATGTCAAAGGTGACGGCAAAGGCCAGCAGTACCGCACGCCTGACGAAGTCATTCGGGAGAGTGGCTGCGATGTGATGATTGTGGGCCGTGGTATTTACGGTGCCCTGCTGAAAGGGGGCTTGGATCGCGAGCAAGCGATGGAGGAGGTTCGTGCGCAAGCCGAGCGATACCGCGACGCTGGCTGGAAGGCTTACTTGGACCGTTTGGCGCCTCGTGCTAGTACGTAGGCGTGCGTGTAGACCTGTCTAACAATAGTAGAGATGGAGGTACGGCGCTCGACGCGCATGTCCACGCGCGGAATGCATACGACGATCAAGCGGGAAGCGACGCCTGATATCAAGGACGAGACGCTCGATGATCCCAGCCCATCGATCAGTCGGTCGCCTGCCAAGAAGATCAAAATGGAGCTGACCGAGGACGAGGCGCGTAAAATCAAAGTGCCGAAGCGGTGGGAAGAGGTGTACCGCCTCTTCTCGAAGCAGCGCAGCGAGATCATCACGCCTGTGGATACGATGGGATGTGAAGAAAATGGGCAAGAAGAGCGTCGGGCAGATCGTGGCCGACGCCGTGCAGATGGTACAGAAGAAAGTGAGGAAGAAAAGGCGCGACGCCTTCGATTCACGACGTTGGTCAGCCTGATGCTTAGCTCGCAGACCAAGGACCCTGTGACGGCCGATGCTGTGCACCAACTGCAGACAAAGCTGCCAGACGGCCTGAACTTGGAATCCTTGCAGGCTGCCCCTGACTCGCTCATTATAGAGTGCATCGGCAAAGTGGGCTTTTTCCGACGCAAGACGGAGTACTTGAAGAAGATGACGTACTTATTGCAGGAACGTTTTCATGGCGACGTGCCTCGTACCGTGGATGAGCTGTGTGAAATCGCCGGCGTCGGCCCTAAGATGGCATTCTTGCAAATGCAGAGCATGGGCTTGAATGTGGGCATTGGCGTGGATACGCATGTGCATCGCATTTCGAATCGATTGGGATGGTGCAAGACCAAGACACCAGAACAAACGCGACTAGCTCTCCAAAGCTGGCTGCCGAAAGAAGTACGTGAGGTATCACTAACTATCAGCTGCATACAAAGATCAACAAGCAGATGGTCGGGTTTGGCCAAGTAATTTGCTTGCCTGTAAGCCCACGATGCGAGTACGTACACCCCAACGCTCACAGAAAGTTTGTGTTACCTGGGCCAAAACAAACTGTGCCCCTCGCGGAGAAAAGTGGACCCCAAGACTTTACTGAAGCGTGTGCCGGTCTACTACATGGATGGAACCGTGGATCGCGGGGAAGGACGGGTGCCTGTGGACGACAAAAGCACCATTCAACAGGATTTGAAAAAGTTGGAGTGGTAATTTTGTATGTAGACCTAAATTCGGACGGAAATTTGCGCATGGGCCAACCCTCCATTTTTCTGTCTCATTTTTTTTTGCTTTTCATCTCCCGCTACGATGCCGCCGCGCGACGACGCGACGACATCGGAGACGGCTAGCAACGATACCCCTGACGTGCTGGAACGCACCTCGCTATCCTTAGCCGGTCATGCTCTTCCACAGACCAAGGCGATGGCACAAACATTAGCGCAGTTCTCGCATTTGCGTCGACTGGATTTATCGAATATGGAATCGTCGGAAGCGTGTCCCCATGGCTTGGAGCAACTCCATTGGATTGCCACGGCCGTACGACGGAGTCGCAAGCATGTCAAGGAGGGACAAACCCCTCTGGACGAACGGCTCACGTGGCTGAACATCGCGGGCAATCCTGCATTGGGAGCGTCAGACGATGCCCTGGATGGCCTCGAATTGCTCACAGCCTTGCACGGTACGTATTCATTGACTCACACCAGTTTTCAACGCATCGCACTGCCTGCTTAAATCTATTCCCTCGGGTTTATCTGCGTTACGTGGCCTCAAAGCGCTCGTACTCTCGCACAATGCACTTACTTCGCTTCCGGCCGTCTTTCCTCACTTGCCGGATCTCAATACCCTTGTGCTTTCCAACAACCAGCTTACGCATCTCCCATCAACATTGCCTACTTCGCTTCCCAGCCTGAAAAAACTGAGTATTAGCCACAACGCCTTGCAAGGACCTGAGGCATTGCCGGATTGGCGGGTATGCTCGCATCTTCGTGAAGTGCGTTTGTGTGGGAACCCCACCTTGCAGCAGCTTCCTTCGCATATCCAGTTTTGGGGGTGCGGCGTGGATGGTGGTGCGCCTGGTCTCGCGTTGCTGGATATTAGCAATTGTGGCTTGTCGTCATGGCGCGATGTTGAGGCCTTGCTGCGTCCAGCTACGTCTTCGTCCAACCGGCATGGCCTGGCGAACTTGTGTGCCAAGGGCAATGGCATTGCTGCCTTGGACGACTACCAGGACCGATGGCGTGCCTCGTACCCGCACCTACACGTTCTTGATCAGGTGCGGTTGGTCCCGAAGAAGAAGGCTGAGCTGCCACTCACTGACTCCGTGTCAGACGTGGACAAGGACGATGCCCTGCCTACGCGCGTCCAGGCGGCACCCGTCAAAACTTTGCACACACCGAAGGAACGCGCATCGGTATCGCGTGATGAACGACCACGTGCGTCCAAGCGAGAGGCTGTGTCCAAACGTGTCAGCCCCTCATCGCCATCGAAGCGTGATGACACTTCTACAGCTAAACGTGGCGAGACTTCACGACCCAAACATGGCGACACGGTGACACAGAAACGTCACGCATCTTCCACACCGAAACGACAGCGCGAAGAGGAGGTCGATGACGAGGCTGTGACGACGGAGAAGAAAGTGCGCAAACGCAGCAAGCGTGGCCCGAAGAAACGAGCTGAGGCTGCTACATTGCCTGAGGCACCGCAATCTGTACCTGCTACTACTTCTACATCCAAGCCGAAAAAGATTCGGCGGAAAAAGACCGTGAAGACCGTGGAGCTGGATATGGATAGCACGCCATTGGACGCAGCGCCACCGTCACCACCTCGTGTCTCTCAACGTACGCCCTCGCCACCGCCGACCAAGCCGGCCGTGTCGGTTACCGGGGATACGGGTATTGTGGGCGTGGTCAACGTGAAACGTGCTCGGCCGGCTGTCACATCCACACCTGCATCATTCCTGGGCCGTCGTGATGATACGCCGTTGGGCGGCTGGTAAGCTATTCTTGTAAGTACAGCATGGATAAACGGAGCCAGCCATAGACAAATCCAAGTGCACAGTACACGCTAGTGAGCATGAGAGGAAGGAATGCATAGCGATGCGCCAACGACAACGTGGAGGGCGCTAGGCCTTGCCATAGGGGGACGACGATATTCGTAAGCACGACCAGGCCTACGAGGCCGCGCAAGTACGCCGACTCGGCAAAGTGCACAATCTCGCCCAGGTTCGACGGCATAGGGCGTAGTACACGACGGCTCATTCCACGGACGACAATGACGTACCATACGGCTGCGTAGATCAGCTTGATGGGCGTCTCAAAGTGCGTGAACAGCAAGGGGAAGAGGCTCACAATGCTCACCGCCGTTAGCAGTTGATACGTCCGCCAGTACGCATACGAGCGGTGTGCGAGCAGACTGAGAGGAAGTACTGCCATCAAAATGGCCTTTTCATGGACGTGCCAGCCCACGGCAAAGGATGTCATGGCACACAGTGTGACACACCCGAGGAGCGTCGTGAAGTTCGGCGTACGCCATACGGGACCGAGGTACACGAGAATGCACGACAGTGCCAAGGCAAAACAGGTCAGTGGCGGTACGGTCGGAAGCACGCCAAACACTGTATCGCCGACCATGCCCCGCGAGGTCGAGGCCAAGACGCGGCCCTGCCAGCGCAGCAATACGCGATCGAACGCGGCGTAGAGGGCCCACACGTTCGGCGCCCAGTACGCATGCATGAGCCCACGGTCGAAAGGGAAGAGTCGTGCCCACATCGCTGTGAGGACCTGGGAAGGCGAGATGGATGTGCCCAAAGCATCCCACACAAATGGAAGAAGACTCAGAGCAAACGGAGTGAGCGTGGCTGTCCCCAGCTTGATCGTCCGATCCAACGCGGCGCTAAGCGCTGCTGGCGACGTGGGCAGTGTAGGAAAGAGGTATGCGCGCAGTAAGTAGATCGTGAAAGCTGGTGCAATGTAGATGAACAAATGCTTGTACTGGAGTAACGAGGCAAAGAGCCAGGCACACAACAAAGGACGCTGCGTCTGAGCGGCCCATAACGCCAAAAACAAGACACCAAAAAGGAAGCCATTGTACTGGAAATGAATATGATCGACCATGAGCAAGCCAGGGTGCAAGAGCACACTGTACAGCATGAGCTGTTGCCCAGGCTCTGTCGCCTGGCCCACGAGTAGGTACAGCGCCACGCCTAGCACACTTTCCGTCGCTAGCACGGTAAAGCGCATGTAGGCCTTGCAGCTCCATGCCGCATACTCTAGACCACGCTTCACATCGACTATGACTGGATCAAGCCAGGCGGCAGGCTGTGCGAGTACCCACGAGAAATAGGCAAAGAAGGGCGGATAGTCCAACGTCCATGGCGACGTCGCGTCAATGTACCATTCACGAAGCGGCAGGCTGTATGTGATCGCGAGCCAATTGCGATGCACCTCCATGTCCGTCGAATGGTACGCAGGCCATAGCAGGAGCTTGACTACGGTGCCCAGCACCAGCGCCGTACGTCCCGCTACCTCCATGATGTGGATGGTCGTCGTCGGTCCGCCAAGTGGAGAGAGTCCATACGCGCCGGCGTCACGGCCGCCGCCACGACGCCCTCCACTATACCAACTCTCACCGCGGCTGGGACACTTTGTACGCACGGCGATGAGTGCGCATCGCTACGATTTCTATCAAACTGATACGCACGTCGTGGTATCGCTATTTGTGCGTAACCAGAAAGCCGAGGATGTGCATGTCACGATCGCACCGCAGGAGCGCACAAGTGTTCTCACTGTGACGATGCCTACGACGACATGGCACGTCGAATTGAGCCACGCCGTCGAGCCTACGCCAGCGCAAGTGCGTGTGGTCGCCCCGAAAATTGAGCTGACCCTTGTCAAAGCTGAACGAGGCGTCACATGGCCGCGGCTTCTGGCTGCCGAGGCTGCGTCTGCGCCTACCGCTGTGCCGTCCACCGCCGCGCCGCGCGCTCGCTCCAAATGGGACGAGCTTGATTTGTCCGAGGCGGACGATCGTCCGCCTAGTGGATCCGGCGACGCGGAGCTCCATGCATTCTTCCAGCAACTCTACGCGAACGCTGACGACGACACGCGACGAGCGATGGTCAAGTCGTTCCAGGAATCGGGCGGCACAGCTCTGAGCACCAACTGGGCAGACGTCGGCCAGAAGACCATGGAGGTACGCGCGCCAGCGGGCATGGAAGCACGTACCTATGAACAGTGACCTACCCGCCGTAGGCATCCTTTCTATCATGACCGTAGTAGCTATCGATCTGCGAACCAGCGTTCTCGGGTCTACTCTTCATCCGCGACGTACGCTGGCCATCCTTTCAGCGGCGGCGTGATCGTCGGCGCGCGAAGTTCTCGAGGGAACAGCGTCGCTAGACGCGTGCGCGCCATCAAACGCGCACGGCGTTTGGCCATCATACGGCTGCCAGGCGCCTCGCCCTCCTTGGCAGCGTCGTTCATAGCGAGACCCATACGCTGCAATCGCGCTTGCTCTTCCGCATTGCGCTTCGTAGGCCCCGCGTACTGCAGCGCCTGCTTCCACAGCGACGCGTCCTCCGCCTTGAGATCGGCCAGGGCCTCGTCCAGGCGCGCACGCTTCGTCTTCAGCGACTGCACAAAGGCCTCCTTATGTCGGCGCTCATGCAGCTTCCACGCGCGCGAAATCGTATCGTACACAGCGCGCGACGCAGCCCCTTGACCCAGAGCGTCTGACATGGTACGGGGACCGGCATTCTTCTTGCCAGCGGGGGCAGGGAACAGCAACTGACGCAGCACCTCGTAGCGTGGGTCGTTGCCTGTGTTGACCGCCGGCGGCGCACGGCGCGAAGTCGATGTCGAGAAGGCACGTGTACCACTCACATCCGCCTTCGGCGCAGACGTCGCCGCACCCGCTTGCGCGCGAATGCAGTTCAGTGCCGAGCCGGCACGGATCCATGACAGGTGGGTCGGGCTCAGCGAATGGCGCGTCGGAATCTCAAACTGTTCCTTCACCTGGCCATCCTCAGCGAGCTTGGTCACGCGCACGCGCACCTGCGTCGAGAGATCGGCGCCTGGGCGCATGAGATCGCTCAGGTTCACCGTCTCCACAATATCACCACCGTCAATCTTCAGGTAGTCGTCCTCATTTTCAAATAGGAGGGTCATGACACCCTGCTTACGCAGATTCGTCTCTGCGATACGCGCAATGCTGCGGGCCAGCACCAGGGCACAGCCGTACAAACGCGGCTGCAGCGCCGCATGCTCACGCGCGCTGCCCTCACCGTAGTTGTGGTCCGCCACAATCATCCACGGCTGGTCACGCGCCTTCCAACGCTTGGCCATCGCAGGAATGGTCGTCGTACGCGGCGCCTCGTCGATATAGTCACGTGCCTCGTTGACCTCGCCTGTCATGTCGTTCATCGCGCCGATCAGCGTGTTCTCCGCAATGTTGGTCAGATGGCCCTTGTACTTGAGCCATGGGCCAGCGGCGGAAATGTGGTCCGTCGTGCACTTGCCGCGAATACGCAGCAGGCAGCGCATCGAAGGCAGCTCATACACGCCCTTGGCCGCGGCCTCCGGCGCAAAGTAGCTCTCAAACGGCGTAAGGGGTTCCAGACGCTCACTCCGGGGGTCAATGACCACCGAGACCTCTGGCTGCGGCGCCGGCATGGGCGTCGGAAGGTAGCTCACATCGCCCGGCACAAAGCCCTGCGTCGGCAACTCTTCCCACTTCGGCGGCGCAAAGCGGAATGACTTGCCATCCGGCGTGGGAAGCGAGTCCGTACGTGGGTCAAAGTCCAAGCGACCTGCAAATGCATACATGGTCACAATCTCCGGCGCAGCGAGGAAGTTGAGCGTCTTCGCATTCCCGTCATTGCGACCACGGAAGTTTCGGTTGAACGACGTAAGAATCACGTTCGACTCGCCCTGTTTGTCGGTGCGCTTCCACTGACCAATGCACGGACCACACGCATTGGCGAGCACACGCGCACCGGCGTCAGTGAGCGTCTGCGTGATACCATCTCGCTCCACTGTCGCACGCACCTGCTCCGAACCGGGAGTCACGTCAAACGGCACCTTGGTCTGCAGGCCTGCCTGCGTTGCTTGACGAGCCAGGTCGGCACAACGGCTCATGTCCGCATAACTGCTGTTGGTGCAGCTGCCAATCAGTGCCGAGCTCAGTTCCACAGGGTGCGGTGGGTCGTTGGACTGCGAGCGCTGCACAAACTCCGTCAGTGGCACGTTGAGATCCGGCGTGAAGGGCCCATTCAAGCTCGGCTCCAACTTCGACAGGTCAATATCGATCACCTGATCGTACTCTGCGCCTTGATCAGCCTTTAGCAGACCGGCTTCCGCCGCTTGCGCTGCACCCCGCGCCACGGCGCCACGGCCTGTGGCTTCCAAGTATCGGCCCATAGCTGCCGTGTAGGGGAACGCACTGGTCGTCGCGCCAATCTCCGCTCCCATGTTCGACATTGTAGCGAGACCTGTCGCAGGCAGCGTCGCCAAACCCTCGCCGAAGTACTCGACAATGTACCCAGTACCGCCACGCACCGTAAGCTGACCAGCCAGATGCAGAATCACATCCTTCGCCGAGCACCAGGGCGAGAGCTCGCCGTGGAGGTGCACACCCAGGGCCTTGGGTGCTAGCAGCTCCCAGGGCGTAGCCGTCATCGCATCCACGGCATCAGCGCCACCGACACCAATGGCCAGACATCCCATACCTGACGCATTGGGCGTATGAGAGTCTGTGCCGAGCATCAGCAGACCTGGTGCAGCGTAGTTCTCCAGCACAATCTGGTGAATAATACCACTGCCAGGCCGCCAGAACTCAATGCCGTACTTACGGCACGCCGACTCAAGGAACGCAAACACTTCATGGTGCGTCGACAAGGAGCGCTTCAGATCAGCCTCGGCACCTTCAAAGGCCTGAATCAAGTGGTCACAGTGCACACTCGCAGGCACAGCCGCCTGTGTTAAACCACACGTCATGAATTGCAGCAGGGCCATTTGCGCCGAGGCGTCCTGCATTGCAAGGCGATCAATTTTCAGCTTTAAGTAGCGCGAGCCACGGATCTTGCTTGCATCCGAGCCAACGCCCTCCAAATCCGCCTCAGGCTCCAGCAGATGCGAGTACAGTATCTTTTCGGCCAACGTCAGGGGCCGTCCACCGAGCAGCGGACGCACACGCTCCAGCTGTGAGAGCAGCTCCGCGTAGCGCGGCATACGCGATGGGTGGGTAGGTCGCTCTTGTTGCGGCGTAGCAAGACAGGCACGTACACTCGTGCTGAAAGCACGAGCTGTGCGCGGCAAACGCACACGGCCTACGTGGGGCAGCATAGGGGTGTGTGAAAAACGAAAGACGCACGACGGCGAACTTATCTGGACTGCGTTCTTCGAATGTGCGGCCGCCATGAGGGGATCACGTGATGTGACGTGCCTGTGGGCGAAACGTCTGTTCTGTCAGCGAGATACGCGTAAAATCTCAAACGGATAGCGTTTCTCAACGCCTTTTTATTCACCAACTCGACGTGCTCCGTGTGCCAACCCGAGTGGCATGGCTGAATTTGGAACGTGGTTCCCTGCATTTGGGACGTCGTTATGGGTGCATGATCCACCACAACTCTTTGAGGCGCTTGCACAACCAATTCACGCGACGCTGAAGCGGTCCTCCTGCTTCTGCGATGGCGTAGAAGGATGGGGTCCTATGTCGCCTCTGCGTGACTTTGACCTTACTCCTTGCTTCCAAGCGATTGTATTCTGGGCCCTGCCAGCTCTGGTGTTTTTGGGTGTGGCATTCGTGTCTCTACGTCAGTATATCCATACACCCATCAAAGAGCGCTCTGAGAACTCGATTCATCTTCTGCATGAAAAGGACGGCGTGACAATCGCCATTGCGTTGCTTTCTGTGATCGAAATAGCTGTGCTTTTCGGTCTTCGTGGGAAGGTCCATGGCTCTGTGGAAGCTCTCGTGAGTGGTACCCAACTTTTTACCGCCACACTCATCACGTTGGCCTACCTGGCCGCGCTCCTCCTGCAGCACGCCACGCATATGCGAGCACGCCATGGATCAGATGCTGTGATTATCTTCTGCATGTGGCATATCGTCAGTGTACCTGTGCGTTTGCGCAGTATCATGAAGATCGCTTCACACTCTTCGATCGAGCAGCTCCTTTTGGTAATTCCTTTGCTTATGCGCCTGATTTTCATATTTGCTGCACTCTTCCTGGAATGCTGTGATGTGGAAGTGCCGGATGGCATTATGCTGCCGGAAGACGATGACGAAAGCGCGCCGTTCCGTGACGATGTCGACGAGGCCATGGCCCAGGACGCCGACGAGCATGAACTGCATGACAAGTATGCACCGCAAGAATCGCCCGTGGAAACGGCCAACCTATTCAGTCGTCTGTTTTTCCACTGGATGCAGCCTCTCATGTCGCTGGGCTCGAAAAAGTTCTTGACGGAAGCGGACATGTGGGCACTTCCGCATGGCGAAGATGCTGAGCGACTCAGCGATGCATTCCAACGTAACTGGGCCGACCTCTCTGCGAAGGTGGTAGCGCAGGGCCGCGATCTAGAGGAGAGTGGCCGTATGCGTTTCTGGCGTACCATCCTCCGATCTTTTGGTACGCCGTTTCTTATTGCTGCTGGATACAAACTCGTGCAGGACAGCTTGGCCTTTGTGCAGCCGCAAATCTTGCGTCGTTTGTTGAGCTTTGTGGATCAATGGGAACTCTCTACTGAGAAGGACCGTGGTACACCGCTACGTGGATTTGTGCTGGTTCTTCTGCTATTCATCACATCCATGATTCAGACTATGAGTTTGCACCAATACTTCCAGCTTGTGAGCATTGCTGGTATGCGTGTGCGTGCTGGTGTCGTGGGTGCCATCTTCCGCAAGAGTCTGCGTCTCTCCACCAAGGCGCGTGGCGCACGAACGACCGGTGATGTGGTAAACTTGATGAGCGTGGATACCAATCGTTTGCCTGATTTTATTATGTACGCTCACATTTTGTGGTCGGCCGTGTTCCAAATCATGCTGGCTTTCATTTCTCTGTACAACCTCCTTGGCTGGACCGCCTTTGTGGGTGTGGGTGTTATGATGATCGGTGTGCCGTTGAACACGGCGCTGGCTACATACCTGCGCCGCATGAGCGCAATTCAAATGAAAGTGCGTGATCGACGTACGAGCCTGATGAACGAGATCATCTTGAACATCAAGTCGATCAAGCTCTTTTCCTGGGAAGAAGCGTTCACGCGTCGTCTGTTTGATGTTCGTAATGGCGAAGAGCTGCCTCTTCTCCGCAAAATTGGTATGGCCAATGCAGGCTTCAATTTCTTCTGGCAGGCTATTCCCTTCTTTGTGTCGCTGAGCACATTCATTGCATTTAGCATCTGGAGTGATCGCCCGCTTACCTCGAGCATTGTCTTCCCTGCCTTGTCGCTGTACCAACTGCTCAATTTCCCTATGTCCATGTTGGCCGGTATGGTATCCATGTTTTTGCAGACGCAAGTGTCAGCGGCTCGTCTAGCGGCTTTCTTCGACAGCGAAGAGCTTGACCAGGAGTCTCGCAAGGTGCTTCCTGCGCCGGCCAAGGGCGAGCATGAGGCTCTGCGCTTCGAAAATGCGACCTTCTCATGGGCCTCGGATCAAGTGTCGCCGACGCTTAGTGAGCTTGACTGGACGGTAGAACCCGGTGAGCTTGTGGCCGTACTGGGTCGTGTCGGTGAAGGCAAATCGTCGATTCTCTCTGCGATCCTGGGCGATATGGTGCGTGTGCAGGGACAAGTGTATGTCCACGGCGAGACAGCGTACTTCTCTCAGGGTGGCTGGTGTATGAGCGCTTCAGTCCGTGACAACATTCTGTTTGGACGCGCCTACAATGAGGCCCACTACAAGCAATGTGTCATGGCCTGCGCCTTAGAGCCGGATCTTGCTATCTTGGAGCATGGTGACATGACCGAGATTGGTGAGCGTGGTGTGAGCCTCAGTGGCGGCCAGCGTGCTCGTGTGGCGCTCGCGCGAGCCTGCTATGCCTCGGCGGACATTTACTTGCTAGACGACCCCCTGGCCGCAGTGGATGCGCATGTAGGTGCGCATATTTGGGAACATGTGATTGGACCTCGTGGTATGCTTCGCCACCGTACGAGGATCTTGACGACCAATGCCGTGTCGTACCTGCCTGACTGTGATAAGATCGTGACGGTGCGCCAAGGCAAGCTGTTGCAGGAGCGTGGCACGTTTGAAGAAGTGATGGCGATGCAGGGCGACGTGTACCGCATGATCACGTCACTCAAGAACAATGAGACAGACCATCAGGACATGATGGCTGAGCGTCAGAAGGCCAAGAAGGCCATGAAAGAGCAGGAATGCACGCTCTTGCCTCGCCCACGTCCGTTGCGTCAGGACGAAGTGAAGGTCCAGACCATTCAGCAGCTACGTGAATCGTTCATCCCGAAGGAAGTGCAAGAGACAGGTTCAGTGAAATGGGAAGTATACCGCCAATACATTCACAGTGCGTCGACGATTGGTGTGATTCTCTTCTTTACCGCCCACATTCTTACGCAGGCCTGTATGGTGGCGCGTGACTTTGTGCTGAAGCAATGGAGTACGGCGAACACTGGCCGTTCGGAGGCGGATCCGTCGGTGACGCGCTACTACCTCACGTTGTACGGCACCATGGGTATGCTGACCGCGATGGGTGTGTGCATTGCGCCGATGATCCTTTATGTGTGGCTCGTCCTGAGTAGTGCGCGCCGCTTCCATGATGGCCTGTTCAAGTCTGTGTTGCGGTATCCCTTGCAGTGGTTCGAGACGACGCCTACGGGCCGTCTGCTGAACCTGTTTAGCCGCGATGTGAGTGTTATTGATGAAGTGCTGCCTCGTGTCATCCAAGGTATGGCGCGCTCATCGTCAGTGGTGCTGGGTGTGATTTGCGTTGTGTCGTACTCGGTACCTCCCTTCCTCCTCGCCATTATTCCTCTGGCACTGGCCTACCGTGCCGTGATGCGCTACTACCTGGCCTCCAGTCGTGAGTTGAAGCGCATTGACGCCGTGTCCAAGTCGCCGATTTTCACGTGGTTCCAGGAAACGCTGGGTGGTATTTCGTCCATCCGTGCGTATGGTCGTACGGGCGCGTTCACAGACGCCTTTGAAGCGCGAGTGGATCGCAACCAGATGTGCTACTTCCCCGCATTCACGTGCAATCGCTGGCTGGCTGTGCGGATTGAGTGCCTTGGCTCGTCGGTCATCTTGCTCGCTTCCACGCTGGCTGTGACGATGGTCACAAGAGGCGGTCCTATGAGCTCAGGCCTGATGGGTCTTATGCTCTCGCAAGTCCTCAGCACGACTCAGACACTCAACTGGGCCGTGCGGTCTGCCTCCGAAGTGGAGCAGAACATTGTGAGTGTGGAGCGTGTGCTGTCCTATTCGTCGCAACCGACCGAGCGTGCGTACCGCCGAGATGAGACGGCGCCGCCAGCGGACTGGCCTTCAAGGGGTGTGGTGGAGTTCCGCAACTACTCGTCGCGCTACCGCGAAGGCTTGGACTTGGTGCTTAAGAACGTGTCGTTCACGACCAAGCCAGCCGAGCGAGTCGGTGTGGTGGGACGTACGGGTGCGGGCAAGTCGACGTTGACTATGGCACTCTTCCGCATTATCGAGGCCGTGCAAGGCAGTATCTATGTGGACGACATTGATATTTCTACCTTGGGTCTACATGAGCTGCGTCAGGCAATGGCCATCATCCCGCAAGACCCGCAACTCTGGCAGGGATCGCTGCGTCAGAACTTGGACCCGCTGAATGAGTACAGTGACGAAGAGCTAATCCATGTGCTAAAGCAGGCGCGCTTGGAATCGCTTGTGAGCAACCACGACGATGGTTTGCAGCGCGACGTCTCGGAGGGCGGCACCAACTTCTCTGCAGGCCAACGTCAGCTGATCTGCATTGCTCGCGCGATGGTGCGCCGTTCGCGGATCTTGGTGCTCGATGAAGCAACAAGCAGCATTGACCTGGATACGGATGCGCTCATTCAGCAGATTGTTCGCTCAGAGTTCCAAGGCACGACAATTACCATTGCGCATCGCCTCAATACCATTCTCGACTCGGACCGCGTGTTGGTGCTGCAGCAGGGCGAAGTGGCTGAGTTCGATACACCGAACACATTGCTGGAGAACAAGTCTAGTTTGTTCTATGCCATGGCTAAGGAGGCAGGGCTTGTCGAGGAAGCCGTCCCGGAAGGCAAGTTGGTTGACGTGCCGACGCAGGAGGCACCCAAGAGCGATGCCAAGGCTCCTGCCAGCCAGGAGGACACGGCCAAGAGCAGCACCGAATCTGCCTCGGACCACGCTGAGCCGCCAACGAGCACGGAAACGCCTCCGAAGGACCATACACCCGAGGCAGAGAGCCGTGCGGAACGTACCAAGACCACAGCCAAGGACAACGACGTGCCGGTTGCAGGCGCCACACCCCCTGCGGAGCCGCAAGATCCAGCCGAGGCGGTGCCCCCCGCCTCGACCGCGCAAAGCGAAGCTGTGCAAAGCGAGTCGGCGAACGATACACCGCAAGAAACGGCGTCCTCCGATGCTGTGACGTCGGCCCATGTGCAGCGCAAGTCGTCGGGTCGCAGGCGCAAGCGCTCGAAGAAGCGTGGCGGCAAGAAAAAATAGATACGTAGGGATGACGGATGTGAGACTATGAATTTGTGAATCTTATGCAAGTGCGTACATGCTACAATGGAAGGGAATCAAGCGAGGGTACGAAAGTTGTACAGTGGAAGGGGAATATATCATCTGGTGAGATATCAGTATATCATTCAACATAGTTCAGGGGGCCCAGCTCACAGAATCGAATCCGTGTCAGACGGCACAGGCACACCTGGCGTCAAAGCTCGATGGGGCATACCTGGCGGCCGTCGCTGCACCTCCGTCATATGGGGCGTAGAGCGTGTAGTGTCCATTGCCTCGATCAGCGTCGGAGACGGTGAGAGCGATGGTACAAGCATGGGCGAGCGTAGGTTGGTATCCCACCGGCCCACTAAATTCGCCCATTCACGGCGATCGTCTTCACTCTGATTGGACAAAGTACGTGACAAGGCCGTAGGCCCTTCGACACCGACACTGGTCAGCGACATGGTTCGTGTCGGCGGCGCAGGCCGCGTCGCAAAAGGCTGGCGTTTCATGGAGGGAAACAGCGCTTTAAGATTCTCCGACACCTGGCTTGAAGCATCGCGGACACGCTTCCATGAGCCTGCCTCCTCGTCACTCGAGGGCCTGGACGCCGTGTCGAGGAGCGCCATATCGCCATTGTCGATCGAGTTCCGTTTATGCATAGGCTCGATGAAGAAGGTAGGTAGCGACGAGCCATGTGATGTCCCTTGCGCCTGTGCCTGTGCATTCGGTGTGCCTACATCCGTAGGCGTCAAAAGGTCCAGACTCGACTGATCCGACGACATTCTTCGTAGATCATGCGCTTCCCTTGGCAACGATGAGGTTGAGGACGACGAGGGCTTGTACGAGATAGTAGGGATCTCTTGCGAAGCAGGCGTCATTTCAAACATCGGCACAGGCGGACATCGTGGCAAATCGGAGGACAAGGCCCGAGACGATACAAGCGCTTCTTTGGCTTCATCGTCCTCTGGCGTAGGACGCAGCCCAATCCACTCACTTGTAAACGCTGGCGCACGCGATGGCGGCGCGACGCGCATCCAGAAGGCCTGTCCCACCGCATACAATCCACGTGATACAGAGGCCATGGGCGCATACAACGTGCGGCGCAGGCCGATCAGGACGACCAATGCGCCTGCCAGGATAATGTAGCGTCCGTAGATACGCAAGAAGAGCATAAATCCTGCATCGTTCGCATGCCAAGACGAGCCATACAGATGCTCGAAGAACGAGTCGGGAGCCTCTTCAGGCGGCAAATTTTTGCCGTACAGCGATTTGGGCAACACACGCACGCCTTGGAACCCACGGTCAGGGAGATCCGGCGTCGATGGTTTTACACCCCGATGCTCCACAGAAAAAGTCCGGAAAAGCGCCGAGACAAACATGGGCCCGGTGGAGAACATAACGGTGGCATAGTGTGTAAAGTAATAGTGGTTGAACTTGGCCAAGGAATGAATCAGCAGCTCCATGTACGGGTGGCCCGCTACGGAGAACATCAGGTCATTGCTCACACCCACAGGGATCGTACGAGGCACAATGGCCTCGAAACGCAGGAGCGAATCGAGTCGGCGCTTGCATCCAATGTCCAAGTCCATATACACGCCACCGTACTTATGGAGGACAAAGTATCGGATGGCATCGGCACGTTGAATGTTGTACGGGTACGAATCAAACGTCTCGAGGAACCATGGATACTCGTCTTCAATGAACTTGCGCGAGCTCTCGTCCGTCCACAGCATGTACTCGTAGTCAGGCATCATCTCAGCACAGACTTTGCGCACGTCGGCCCATCGAGATGGAAGGACGTCTGTTTTCCAAGTCTGATGGATGATGCGTGGAATTTTCTCAGGCGGCACCTCGTCAGCGGACGCTGCCTGTGCACCATCCAGCACGGACGCGCGCTTGTCAGCGCGAATTTCGTCCCAAGTGCCCAGCTCCGTATTGACAATATAGAGCGACGAGTCGACATGGAAATACGACCGGACAAGCGCTAAGAAACAAACAGTGCCAATTAGCACCAAACCCAAAAGCCGCAGCAGGATAGTCACGACCCGCCGCGACGCTAATGTCATTGTTACAGCCGAATGAAGATCACAACGTGGCGACTCTTGCGTTCGCTCGCTCTTTCGCTCGCTTTGTTGGCGTAGAACAAACGGTGGGTCCTACGCGCCACGGTCCTGCACTTAGATCATCACGTGATACCGCAGGCGGCGGCGCCACGTTCGTTCTTCCAACGAGGCGGGGCACCGCAGTACAGTCAGTGCAGCCAGCCCTGCCGCGGCTCTTCTGTGTGGCTGCATTTCGGCGCACGTTGTCGTATTGGTGAGCAGCCTCCCTATCGTGGCGGCGTAGGTTGGTGTTGCGATGGCCCCCACACCCCGCACACGCGCTACACAAGCGCGTGTCGCTATTGACCCAGATCTCCGCGCTAGCATTGTCCACCTCCCAGCGTCGTTGTGTGCGACTTTGCTAGCTCGCGATGTTGTGCCGCAGACCCTCCTTGTGGAGCTCGGCACAGACACCCAAACGTACTACTGCGGATGGACAGGACTCAGTGCGAGTGCCTCTGTCTTAAGCGATCCCAATGCGGGGGAGCGCCTTGTCGTGAGCCCTGCGTTGGCCTCGCTCTTTACGCCGGCGCTCAACGACCATACCAACGTCTCCCTTCGTCTGTTTCGGTCGCCGCCTGTGCCAGTCGCGCAGGAAGTGCATGTGACGCCCCTATCGCCGGACGACTGGGAAATTCTTAGCGTACATGCAGAAGAGGTGGAAAACAATATGCTCGCGCAGGTCCGCGCGGCCAAGCAAGGGCAAGTGCTGGCCGTAGCGGTGGGCCGCAGCGCTGCGACGGTGGTCAAGTTCCTGGTCGACCGTACTGTCCCACCTACTAGGCCTCTTGACGACGACGAAGCGGCTGAAGACGGCGCGAGCATCGCCGTGCGGCTGTCAACGGACACAGAAGTGATCATTGCCCCGCGCGAACGTACGCAGCCCACGACAGAACCTGCCAAGACTCTCGATACCACGGCGCCCAGTTCGGCCTCGCAAGGCCCTCTCACAGCGCATCTGGCTCAAACGGCCCTGCAAGATGTGCTATGGCGTGTCTTGCCTACCTCGTTTACAATTCCTCACGAAGAAGAGCATGTGTGGTCCATTGTCGTGCCAGCAGCCATGGCACCGCCGTCCGTGGATCGGCCAGCGTACGAACTGGTCGCACTGGCCTTTAAGCACGGCAAGCTGTGTGCCACGCGCGTCGCCTGCCCGACGATGGCCCAAGCGGAAGGCCACGAAAGCGCGCCGGCGACGGGCACAGCGACGTTTGTCCCCGGCGCTCCGCCAGACTTGAGCGAGACGGACGATGGCGCATCGTACTGTGCATGGCCTTCGCGTCATATCTGGATGGGCGCAGCGCTTCGTGAAAAGCTGGGCGTGCAGGACGGCGATGTCGTGGCGCTCTCGCCACCGCCGCCCGGCGCCGTGCGTGAAGCGAGTGACGTGGATGAGACTGGGGTGCGTTTGCAGGCGCATGCGCCTCAGATCCGCGCCGGCTTGGACAAAGTACTTGATCCATGCTGGCAGGCGGTGCACCATGTACACCATGTGCGGCAGCTCAGTCTTGCGGAGCAGGGACGCATGGATGTCGGCGCCGACGCGCGGCTGGCCACGATCCAGCGGCCCTTTGCAGGGACCAGTGCGCTGCTTCTCACAGGCCCGACGGGCGCAGGCAAGACGAGCCTGGCGCAGGCGGTCGGATGGAAAGCGGCGAGCGATCCAAGCACGCTGTATCGCACGATGCTGATCAACTGTGCGACGTACATGGAAGAGCGTCTGCCGTTGGTTCGTGCGCGCTTCAAAGAGTGGCTGGACGATGCGGCATGGCATGCACCGACGCTCTTGATCCTGGACAATCTCGATATGCTGATCCCTGCGGAGGGCGAGAACGTCGATGCATGGCGCTCGACGCACCTCGCGCGTGCGCTGGTCCAACGTATCGAAGAAACGGTGCGTGACTATGACGTGTTTGTGATGACCACGGCGCAAGCGCCGACCAATGTCCATGCGCATATCCAGAATGCCCGCATTTGGACAGACAGTGTGCACATCAAGCCACCCGGCAAGGACGAACGCTCGGCGATTCTTCAGCAGTTGGTGAGCGAGGTGGCCCACAAGGCACAGCAGGCGCGTCCTGAGCTGGACTATGTCGCGTTGGTCAACCATACGGATGGCTACCATGTCGCCGACCTGCAAACGCTCACGGATCGAGCTGTTCACGAGGCTACCATTCGGTGCCTATTGCAAGCGCAGCCCGTGTCGTTGAGCATGGCCGACTTTGAGCGTGCGCGTGAAGGGTACACGCCACTGTCCTTACGCGACGTCAAGCTGGAGGCCTCCACTACACACTGGGCCGATATTGGCGGCCTGCACGAGACGCGGCAGACACTGCGAGAGACGTTGGAGTGGCCGACCAAGTATGCGGCGATCTTCGCCAAGTGTCCCTTGCGTCTTCGGTCTGGCCTGCTGCTGTATGGCTACCCAGGGTGTGGCAAGACACTGCTGGCGAGTGCCGTGGCGAAAGAGTGTGGCCTCAACTTTATCAGTGTCAAAGGCCCAGAGATCCTCAACAAGTATATTGGTGCGAGTGAAAAGTCGGTGCGTGACTTGTTTGAGCGTGCGCAGGCGGCCAAGCCATGTGTGTTGTTCTTTGACGAGTTTGACTCCATTGCGCCGAAGCGTGGGCACGACAGTACAGGCGTCACGGACCGTGTCGTGAACCAAATGCTCACGCAAATGGATGGCGCGGAAGGCTTGGATGGCGTGTACGTCCTAGCCGCCACCTCGCGACCTGACCTGATCGACGCGGCACTCTTGCGTCCTGGACGTCTCGACAAGTCGCTCCTGTGCGATATGCCGTCGCAGGCGGACCGCCTCGACATTCTTAAGGCCATTGCACGCAAAGTCCACGTGGCATCAGACGTCGACTTGGCCCACTGGGCGCAGCGCACAGACGGCTACTCGGGCGCGGACCTCCAAGCGCTCGTGTACAATGCGCACTTGGAAGCGATCAACGAGCGGATTCGCGACGAAGAGCAGCCTCATGCCATCACGCGGCCAGACGATACGCCGAACGTGTCGTATGTCGCGCTAGCGCCAACGAACGAGGCCCAAGCACCTACCACGCAAAGCCACGCCCAGAAAGCCGCGCTGGCCGATCGGCTGCAGCGTATGCTGCGCCCAGCATCCCACGCCACGGCGCCGCAGGTAGTCGACCAGGCCACGAACGACGTGACGACTGAGGCCATGCTCGTCCGCACGCGCCACTTGCACACCTCGTTCCAGTCGACCCGACCCAGTGTGCCCCAGGACGAAATCGCACGACTCCGCCGCATTTACCGCGAGTTCGCTGGAGATCGAGATGGCCATTTCCCCGATGGCACGCCTCAGTCGGGCGTCGGCGCACGAACGAGTCTCATGTAGTCGATATATAGTGGTGGCAGTACATACAAAAAGAAAGAATATATAGCATAAAACAGAGGACCGACGTTTAGGCCGTCTCCTCTTCGTCCTCGTCCTCCTCCATCTCCGCAGCGCCAACAGTGTACTCCGCCGCAATGTCCCAACGGCTTCCGCCAGCACTAGCGCCAAGGTACTTGACGAAGCGCATCACACCTTCGTCACGCAGCACAAGGTTCAGCGTGTTGAAGGCAGGCGTCACATTCAGCAGCACGCCGTCAAAGTCCTCGTCCTCGTCCTCGTCCTCGTCCTCGTCCATCGCTTCGTCGTCGTCGCCATTGGCTGCCTCCGCCTCCTCCGCGTCCGCATCTGCGGATTCTTCCGCCTGCATGTCGCGCTGCGCACGACGCGAAGCGGCGCTTGTGTACACGGCCGGATCCTCTTCGCCCTCATGCGGCGCCAGGTAGCACTCCCAGCCACCGATATCGCCACTCTCCCACATCGCATCCAGCTTGTCGTAATCGGCTTTGCTCAGGACACCCTTCGACACGCTGTCCATCGCCGGCGCTTTGCGCTTGCCGGCCAGGCCCTTGGGGCGCGCCGTGTGCTTCACGACCTTCTTGGCACTGCTTAACACGTCCGGCGTGAGAGTCAGCGTGAGATCCAGCACCGTCTCATCGTCTGAGCGAGCAAGTGTATAGTCCAGTCCAGGACGGAAACGACGCACAAGAATAGGACGTGCGGCCATAGGAATCAGCTGCGTAATGTTGGCGATAAAGTGACGGAACGCCGCCGAGGGGAAGAGCTGGTGCGTCAGCACTTCCAAGATCGACGACGGACTTGAGGGCATGGGCGCCAACGGCGACGCCTTCGTGGTATAGTCGATCGCCGGCGCAGTCGCGGGCGTCACTGCCGTGGTGAGCGTCGCGAAACGCTCACGGTGCGGTGGGCCGTACAGCTTCCAACGAGCATCTTCCTCGCTCACTGAGGCGCTACGTGCCGTGCCTACCGCATGCGGCTGAATACGCACAGAATCGAAGCCTACACGCTCGCTGCTTTGGTGCCACCATACCAGCCCATCTTCTTCATCCTTCGCCCGCAAGGCGCGCTCCACTTCGTCCGCCACATCCTGCCGCAAAAAGTCGGAGAGCAGGAGATGCGACTCGTCGCCGAACTTTTGGAAGAGCGTCGACTGAATCTTGCTCGTGAGGTACGCAGGATTCAAAAAGTGTGCGAGGAAACGCACATGCTCCGATGCCATGGACGAGCCAGGCAGCGGCGGAGGACCATACGTCGCTTCGTCGTAGTCGGCAAACAGGGCATTGAATTTCTTGTTGGTAATGCTGCCCACCGAGCTGAAGTTCTTCTCGGCGGCCACTTCGGTCTCTTCCTCCTCGGGGGAGAAACCCGGCTCTTCCGGCTGCAATCGGTGGAACCAGCCAGAAAGACTGAGACGCGACTTGGTCGGATGCACCACTTCCTCGACACTGTGGAACGAGTGACCCGGCTGCACAACAAAGAACGTAAACTGATTCCACTTGGGCGGCACAATAAGCGACGGCACATCGTCCGGGACATGCGCCTCCTTCACGGGGTACAGTTCCAACGCACCGCCCCATTCAGGCTGCCACGGCTCGTCAGGGTCTGGCAGGTAGAGGATGTACGAGACACGGCGTGTCGAAATCACATCATCGTGATTCAGCAGGTGGCACCCATGGCGGTAGTCATTGATGCTCATGTCCTTCTTTGTCGCACTCAGCGGACCACATCCCGTCACACGACGGACCCACGCACGGAACTCGTCAGAGTACAGGGCATTGCGCACCTGCAACAGCGCTTGAAGACGCTTGGCTTCTTCTTCCGGCAGGCCATCCAGGTTGGCCAGATCGCCCGTCTGGTTCACCTTGTAAATATCCGTTTCTTTTTCCGTAAAGTGCAGCTCGTCTACAATCTCCGTACGTGCGCGACGCAAGAGATCCTCGTCAATCAGACCCTCAATCACTGAGTGGTGGTACGGTCCACTTGCGTCGTACTCGGCATGCTTCTTCGATACATGCTCGTCGTCAAAGACGTGGGGGCCAAAGCACGCCCGCACACTCGTCATGGTGGTGAGGTCACGCCTCGGCCTTCGATCATGCAAAAAAGTGCACGGAGTGGAGGTCACGTGGAGGAAAAAAGGAGCAGGGCATCGCGCGCTCTGGCTTGGAGGTACATGGGCCTGGTGCGCCTCTGTCACACGTCCAGGGTCGGTGTGTTCCGTAGAGCGATGGCGCCGCAACCGATCTTGCTGAGCCCAAGCGCTGTGGCAAAGCATGGTATCAAAATCCGCGCGAACGAATCCGCGTTCCGTGAGAACAGCGCGACGATTGTGATGCCGTCGAAGGAGGCTGCCTTTCTCAACCCTGTCCAGGAGTTCAACCGTGACCTGAGCACGATCGCGATCATTACGTGGAGTAAGATACTGGACTGCGAGAAGCGTCAACGTTTCGACGCGCGTATGAAGGCCCGCAGCAAGCGCAGCAAAACGTCGGAACCAGACGCTAAGCGACTCAAGACAGGTACGTACGACACTGTCTCACCCCCTCGCTAGACCAAGATGAGGCACCTCGGGAGTATCAGCCGTACAAATTCAAGGCGCTAGAAGCGCTTAGTGCTACAGGCCTGCGCAGTATTCGATACGCCAAGGAAATCCCGCTGCTAGGTTCCGTCCTCGCCAACGATCTCTCCGCCACCGCTGTGCAAGCACTGCGACGGAACCTGGCGCTCAATTTCCCCCCTGATCGCCCCCTCGAGGAATGGGCGCCTCTCCAGGCACACGAGGAGAAAGAGGAAACGCCAGCGCAGGAGGAAGAGAAGCATGACGTTCACGCTATGGACGCCGAGGAACCGCCATCGATGAAGATTCATCCTGAGTGCAAGGTCCATGTGAACCAGGGCGACGCGATTACCCTCATGTATAACCACCGTGACTTGCCGCTGCGTTTCGATATGGTCGATCTGGACCCCTACGGCACAGCATCACCGTTCCTCGATGCGGCGGTGCAAAGCGTGATAGATGGCGGGCTGCTGTGTGTCACTTGCACAGACTTGGCTGTGTTGGCCGGCCACAACTACCCGGAAAAGTGCTGGTCGCTGTATGGCGGTGTGAGTATCAAGGCAGAATATAGCCACGAAGCGGCCTTGCGTCTCGTCCTGCATGCCATTGCCTCAGCGGCGGGTAAGTATGGCCGCTACATCCAGCCGATGCTCTCGTTGTCGATCGACTTTTACCTGCGTGTATTTGTGCGTGTGTGGTCACGCCCTGAGACGGTGAAGCAGAACGCGTCCAAGACAGGCCTGGTGTACACTTGCTCGAAATGCAGTGCCTTCCACGTACAGCCGATGGGTCGTGGTACTGCTTCGACCAATGCCAAGACCGGCCACGCCATGTGGAAGTTTGGCTCGGCTTCGGGTCCGCCCACTGATACCCACTGTGCTGAATGTGGCGGCTCCTTCCACGTCGGCGGACCGATGTGGTTTGGTCCCTTGCACGACAAGACATTCTGCAATGAGCTGCTAGCTACGCTGGATAGCGGCATGCACTCTGTGCATACCGAGCCGCGCATTCGCGGTATGGTTACCACGGCGCGAGACGAATTGGATGTGCCTTTCTATTTCCACCCAGCGAAGGTCGCTGGCCTGTTCCACTGCGCTAGTCCGTCCATGTCGGATGTCCTGTACGTATTTGTGCACTAACAGTAGCAACGGTCTTCTCAATGCTGGTTTCCGTGTATCTCGATCTCACTGTATTCCAGGGTCGGTCAAGACGGATGCGACGCGAGCTGATGTCTACGATTTGTACCGTACATGGATTCGCACGCATCCCGTGAATCCGGAGCGGCTGAAGGAGGGATCGTCAGCCAAGGGCCTGCTTTCGCGCGTCGATGACGATGGTATGCCTATGACGCGACGCGACTATGACTTGGCCACAGAGCACCCAGAGACCAACAAGGTGATCCAAGGCGCGCAGACAGAGAGCAAAGCGGTGCGCTACCAAATGAATCCCCAAGCCAACTGGGGCCCCGGTACTGCTGCCAAGGGCCACAGGAAACGCGTCCACCGCAGCTTGGCGCCTGAAGAAATCGCACGACGCACGCAGGAATGGCGTGAGAAGAAGAACGAGGATACTGCCTAAAACATAGCATGTGTGGCTCTACATAGAGAGGAAACGCGGTATATACATGCTATACGACCTTGGTCGCCAAGCTGAGGATCTTGCCCCAGCCTCGTTCGCGAAGCTCACTCGATACGGCACCATTCACACGGGTGCCAAGCGGCTCCTTACGGTTGTTCAGGAGAATGCATGCATTGTCGTCAAACTTGACAACACGGCCATCAGGGCGCTGCGACTCCTTCTTGGTGCGGACAATCACAGCATGCCGAACATCACCGCGGCGCACCTTCAAAGCATTGGAAGAGCTACCGGGGACCTGGTTCGTGGGAATCGGCTTGGCCTTCTGCACGACAACCACGATTTCGTCGCCTACACGACCCAAACCCTTAGAGCTCTTGTACCGAAGCACATTGATGCACTCGGCCACCAAACCGCCCGAGTTGTCGATAATCTGACGAGTGAGCCAAGCACGCAATACCTACCGACATCGTTGCCTTGAGGCCCAGCATGTTCGCCAGCAAAGAGGCACACCGACGACGTCGCACACAACGTTCGACGAGGAGCTCCTTCGTTATGATCACGTGATTTAGCCGCGCTGCGTCTACGATCTGGGCGTGCACGGATGTTTCGCTTCCCAACATCATGGCGCCGACTAGCCGCATTTACCTTACCCGACACGCTCAGGCGATGCATGTATGTGGATGATGGCGTGATAACAGTACAAAGAATGTGTCAGAAGACACGACCATTTCCGACGCCGTCCTCACGCCTCTTGGCCATCAACAGGCGGCTCGTTTGGCCACGCTCACACCAGAAATTCAGTCCGTCGCCGAGGTGATTATCTCCTCGCCACTTCGACGCACGCTCCAAACCACAGCGGCTGGATATGCACCGGCGATCGAGCGTCTAGGAGGGCATGCTAACATTGTATGTCTGCCGCAATTGCAGGGTAGGTACGCCTACGTAGCCCGCTGACCGACAGAGTGCAGCCACAACCCTTGTGATACTGGCTCCGCACGCGAGATCCTTGAGTCACATCCAGAGTTCAGCAAGTACAACCTGAGCCTCCTTACGCCTGAGTGGATCAGCAAGAAAGACTTTTATGGTGCGTACCGCTTTCGCTTATGATGTCAGCGTCGGATGCAGCAGCCCTGCAAGCCCGTGCGCAATGGGTGCGTCAGTACCTCCGGGACCGCAAAGAGGAGTACATTGTGATTATGGCGCATGGTGACTTTCTGCGTTGCCTCACGGGCCAGCCTGACTCGGTAGGTCGTTGCAAAAGAAGTAACTAACATACCAAGTACTGGGGCAACGCGGAAGTGCGCTTGTTCCAATTTGACCCAGAGCATGTTACGACTGAGCAGTGCCCACTGATGCAAGTCGACATGATTGCTACAGGTGACTGGCAGGGAGAGCCTACAGCACAGGCTGTGCAGGAAGCGCAAGCTAGGTAGGTGTATGCCACGACTCACACCACAGCCTGGAAGCTATGGAGCAACGTGTGAAGAAAATGTACGTATGCCCTTCTCTAACGAGCCCGCAGTCAAGCCTCCCTTGCATCGCAAACCAACGAGCTGGAAGAGCTTGATCGCCGTCTCGCTGAGGCGGACCGCAAACAGGTCGAAGTACGTTCCCATCCCAGCAGTCTGACGTTGGCAGCTTGAAAACCACTTGGCCTAACAATCATGCCCGATATACTCTTGGAACTACATGATGAAAAGTATACGTAGACTAAACGTCATAATGAACACGAGACAGAATTACATTAGCCCTGCGCACATTGCACCTGCGGACCACCAGCTGGGTCATCTTCATCCATATCATGAGAGCCAGATGGGCCAGTGCGTGCGCGGTGAGCCTCGTGTTCGTCAATGTTGTCCATCACCACATCCTCAACATCCACATTCTTCGGCAGCGAGGCCTGGGGCATACGGGGCGGCAGCGCCTTTTCAAGGAGACCCATCTGCTCCTCGCTCAGCGAGTCGGGGAACTTCACACTCAAGTTAACGTACAGGTCACCCATCTCATGGTGGCGGTACGACGGCATACCCTGGCCACGAAGCACTTTCATATCGCCAGGACGTACAATCTCACCCGCCGGGATCTCCACGGAAAGTGCGTGGTCATCCAGATGTTCAATATTCACACGACCACCCGCCAACGCCGTCAAGAGATCCACTTCCACACTCACGAAGAGGTCGTTCTTCTTGCGCTTGAAGCGCGGGTGGGGCTGCTCGTCCACCACAATAATCACATCACCAGGCACGGTGTTCGGCGCCTGGTCAGCCTCCTCCTTGAACGTAATCTGCTGGCCATCTTCCATACCCTTGTCGATACGGACCTCGAGGACCTTACGTTCCTGTGTCACTTTCTTGCCGTGGCATGCCGTGCAGCGATCCTTGGCATCAATCTGCTCGCCAGCACCCTGGCAGTCTGGGCAGGTCTGCTGCATCTGCTGGATCATCGGACCCACTTGACGCATTACAATCTTAATACCTTGACCATGGCAGGAATTGCAGGTCTTCACAGAGCCTTCCTTACCACCACGACCATCGCACTTCTTACAAAGAACATGCTTTTGAAGAGCCAGCTTCGTCAACTTGCCCTTGTACAGGTCTTCCAGGGTAACCTTGACACGGTGCACGAGGTCCTTGCCCTTCCGCGGGCCACGAGGACGGCCACCACCGCCAAAGAAGCCGCCACCACCGCCAAACAACTGTGAGAACAGGTCCTGGGGGTCCATACCACCACCCATACCACCTTCGCTCAGACCTTCCATGCCGAAACGGTCGTACATCTCACGCTTGTCCGGGTCAGAGAGCGCCTCATATGCAGAGGTGACCTCTTTGAAAAGCTCCGGGTCACCACCCTTGTCAGGGTGAAGCGCCAAAGCCTTCTTACGATAGGCCTTTTTCAGCTCGGAATCAGATGCGTCAGGCTTCACACCGAGCAAATCATATAGCTGTTATACGTTAGTATTCTGCGTGGATCCACGAATCGGGCACATACCTTCGTTTCCCTAGTATGTTAGTACACTCAACAACGCTTTCATACGTACTTCACCATGGTATATACTCGTAGACCAGGTCGTCCGACTTGGCACTGTCTTGCGGAAAAAGTGTGCCACACGAGTTTGTCGCGCGTATTTCAAGGCGCACCTCCTAATTGCACCACCGCCTATGGCAACGAACTTGAGCTGCAGCAACCTACATCTCGAAGATGTCGATTGTTCCAGCGGCTTCTATGCAATCACCGCCCATTTCCTCCACCCTATCTCACGTGATGATGAATAAGCCAAGTGGAGGCTATGACCGCGGAGGATATCTCGTGGTAAGGCGAGGGCAAAAGCGGGGTAATAGGCAAGCGCCGTGGGCTTATCGCACCTTTCCTTAGTTTTATGGTGCACACCGACGCCACCTTTCCAGAAACGACGTCCAATCTGCCTAGAAATTATCATGAGCCTCTTGTAAACCAGACATACAAACGCACTCTGTCATCATTGACAGATACTCCACCCTGTCCGTCGGAGCAGCTACCGTATGCATGGCAAGGCAAGAGCAAGTCACAGCCTCACTTATGGTCGCGCATCAAGTATATCGTGATTGGGAGCTTATTGATTCTGCTTGGCATGGTTGCCGGAGCCTCTCTTGTAGCATGGTGGCTCCACTCGGCTTCACGCCCGGCCTTTTCGCTAGGTAATGCCTACCCATCCTCTCATGTACAGGCGATCATCGACATGGCGAACAGTCCTGTCCATCTCTTGAAGCGTAGCGAAGAGGGATCAACTGACAACAGCAATGAATCGCTTCCAGAAGGTCAGAAAGTTGCCTTCGGCATTTTGATCCCTATTCTTGTCATTCTGTCTGGCATTTTTGCCGGTCTAACGCTAGGTTATATGTCGTTAGACGAAACACAGCTTCAAGTGCTGATGGCCCAAGGTAGCGAAAAGGAGCGTTGGTATGCGCAAAGAATTGCTCCTGTACGCAAAGATGGGCATTTGCTGCTTACCACCCTGCTCATTGCCAATATGATCACCAATGAGACACTGCCAATCATCGCGGACCCAGTCCTGGGCGGTGGTATCCAGGCAGTCATTGTGTCCATTGTCCTTGTGGTCATTTTTGCTGAATTGATTCCGCAAAGTGTCTGCTCGCGCTATGGTCTGTTTATCGGTGCTCATATGGCGATGTTTACGCGGGTGATTATGATCATCTTGTGGCCGGTAGCCTGGCCCGTTTCACGCGTGTTACACTATGCGCTGGGTCCGCACCATGGTACTATGTATCGCCGCGTGGAATTGAAAGAGCTGGTTACGATGCATGCGGCTGCTGGTGGCAGAGGTGGTGACTTGAAGCACGACACTGTCACAATTGTCGGCGGTGCTTTGGACATGCAAGTAAAGGTGGCCAAGCAGGCTATGACACCGATTGATCGTGTCCATATGCTTCCTATTACAGCTCGCTTAGATTATCCCACACTTGAACGTATCGTTCGATCAGGACACTCGCGTATACCTATATATCAAGACATTGATGGTGATATGCAGGCCTCTGGCGTGTGGACGCCACGAATCAAGTCTTCGGACACGTCTTCACACAGAACTCCATCCCAGCCGGTGGCTCTTACTGATTCGCCTACCATGATGGATGGCAGTACGCACCCACTAACGAATAATCAATCGAGTTTGTACACTGAACCTCCTCAATCCAAAGTGCATCGTAAAATTATTGGTGCGCTGCTTGTTAAGCAATGCGTTCTTCTGGATCCAGAAGATGCCGTACCTGTCAGTGAACTCATTATCAACGCTTTGCCTACTGTACCTTGGGACGAGCCGCTGCTCAACGTACTCAATGTATTCCAAGAAGGACGCTCACATATGGCGATTGTATCGCCACATTCGGCTCGATCAACGAAACCAACCATTCCCGCTACCCACAATGTATCCACATCAGCCCATGCCAAAGAAGAAGGAGCGGAGACGGAAGCCGATCGTGAAATGAAGCTTCGAAAATTATCTCGTGTTCAGCGTATCTTGCATCGCCTGCGTGATTCGAGCGACCAGAACAAGACCGATCCTGAATCTGGCTTGAGCAATAGTGGTACATGGGCTTCGAAGCCCATTCTGGAACAAAACTCGTCGCCATCAGCTCCTATGGGCATTATCACGTTGGAAGATGTGCTAGAAGAGCTGATTGGCGAGGAGATTCTAGACGAGTACGATTCCGAAAACGAGGATGATATTGCCTCGGATTGGGATTGGGAAGGCAGTACTAAATCGGACGAGCCTTCCACGACCACCAACACGAAGGAAGCCCGCTTGTCGGCAGATACGGGCTCAGACGATTTGGTTGTGCCTATCGTCCTAGCCAAATCGCCTAAAGCTGCCTTGTCTTCCATGCCGACAGGGACCACGGCCGGCCTGAGCTTACCTCCGCCTGCAGTGCCAACGACGTCCTCCGAGCAATGAACACCAAACTTACACTCAATACTTTTGATCCACATAGACAATCAATCGATTTCATGGCATAAATGACTAACATATCGATAGGCTAGTATAACTACATGGCAAGTTTCTACCGGCCTCGGGGTAAGGAGTGGGAAATGAGCTGGTTACTGCTTGAGAGCAACCTTGTAAGGAGCGTCCGTGTTCTTGCGAACCTCCTCTTCAGTTACACCAGGCTGGAGCTCAACGAGAGTAAGACCGCCCTTCTCGCGGTCCACGTCGAACACAGCCAAGTCTGTAATGATGCGGTTTACGCAGCGCACACCGGTCTTCGGCAGCTTGGTCTCCGCCACGATCTTAGGGCGGCCGTGCTTGTCCACGTGCTCGGTCAGGACAATAACACGAGTGTTGTCCGGGTTCGACACCAGATCCATGGCACCACCCATACCCGGAACAAGCTTACCAGGAATCATGTAGTTGGCCAGGTCACCGTTAGCCGTAACCTGCAGGGCACCAAGCATGGTAATGTCGAGGTGACCACCACGGATGATACCGAACGAGTCCGACGAGTCGAAGAAGGCCGAACCAGGCAGGGTCGTGATCGACTCCTTGCCGGCGTTCACAATGCTCGGGTCGACCTGCTCCTCGGTAGCGGGGTACGGACCACAGCCAAGCAGACCGTTCTCGCACTGGAGGTGAACGTTCACGCCCTCCGGCAGGAAGTTCGGCACCATGTCGGGCAGACCAATACCGAGGTTGGCGTACATGCCATCCGAGAATTCCTTGGCAGCACGAGCCGCAATCGTCTCCTTCTTGACACCCTTCGAGCTAGGGCCGTCGCCCTCCTTCTTGGCGAGCACCTTCTTCTCCAGCTCCATAGGGAGAGTAGCCTTCACGATGCGATTCACAAACACACCAGGCAGCTGGACCTCGTCAGGGTCGATTTCGCCGATCTCAACGATCTCCTCCGCCTCAACAATGGTGATACGAGCGTTACGGGCCATCACATCGTTGAAGTTGCGGGCGTTACCGTGGAACACAATGTTACCGGCCTTATCAGCCTTTTTGGCGTAAACAAGAGCAAAGTCGCCGTGAACAGCCTTCTCCAGCAGGTACTTGCGGCCATCGAATTCACGCACCTCACGCGGGGGAGCGTACTCCTTGGGCACCATGGGCGCGTTGTTCTTGATCTCCTCCTCCGTACGAGGTTCGTAGCGAACAACAATTTCTCCGGTCTCCACGGCAGTACCGTAACCAGTAGGTGTGTAGAAAGCCGGGATACCGTAACCACCAGCACGAATCTTTTCAGCCAGCGTACCCTGCGGGCAGAGGTGCATCGACACCTTACCGGCATTGTACTGGGAAGTGAACTCACGGTTGCCGCCAACGTACGAGCTCATAGCAAGACCAATCTGGCCATTGCGAGCAAGGATACCAATTCCGTGGCCTGGGGTACCCATGTTGTTCGAGATGATACGCAGGTCCTTCACATCCGGGTACTCACCCAGAGCGGTAAGGAGAGTGCGGGGAGTACCCGACAGGTCGAAACCACCAACGAGAACAGTATCACCCGACTTGATGTCCTTCACGGCCTCGGAAGCCTCGAGGATCTTGATCGACGAAACGACCTGGAAACGAACCGGGGCAGCTGAGAAGTGACGGATACCCACACGGGCCTCTTTGCGCAGAACAGAGCGGACCGATGCAAGCATAACTGGCAAGTAAAGGGAAAAAGGAATAAGGAACCTTCCTCAAGTCTTGGCAAGGATTTTTATATAGTTGGGCTTGCCGCCACAAAACGCCCTTGGGGCACAGGCACAGCTTCATTGGCTGCCTCCACCGCTCCCAGGCCAGCCATGATGTTGAAACAGCCGACGACCGCGGTGTTATCTCGGCTTCCGAAAACATGTTGGCCAAGTGATATTTTTCATCAGGCACCAGCAGCACAGACGATCCGCTTTGTTAGGACACCAAGTCTTCATCCAAGTGGTCAAGCGGTGGTGCATTTTGCGACCTCTACGGAGGCGCAAGCATGGGCCAATGTGGCGTCATCGGTCCGTATCGGAGGTGAGCCGATATCCGCAACGCTGTATGACACAGACCAGCTTGCCTCGTATGTGCGGGAGATGTATGCCAGAGTACCGCGCGATGTGGTAGCCGTTATGGATATGATTGCTGCCGAGCCGATGCACTCTGTGCTGCTGCGAAACATACCCTTTCATACCACTGCCGACAAACTCACAAAAAAACTGCAGCGAAGTTATTCTCTAGCCCCAACAAAAAATACCCAGCTTGTTTCTTGGCATCTTACCAACATGCTAGGGTACGAAATGCCTAAGGGACCATGGGATAGCATTGTAAAAATACCGCACCAGGACCCAGAGAGCACATCCGCCTGGTTTTTGGTCCGACTCCAATCCGTGTCCGAAGCCATGCGCTTGGTACGATCGTGGCACAGGACTCGATTTTTACCCCAGAAATTTACACTGGCGCATACGGGGGATCGTTATGTCGTCGAGGCCCAGCTCATGTATTAATAGACAACAAGTTTTTCTTATGGGGATGTATAGAATGTAAATATATATGATCAAATGACACGACATAATTAAAGGCGCTGCACGAGGGCCTGAATGTCAGAATCAGGCGGTACATCAGCATGGATTACCCGGCTCCGTAGGCGGTACACAAGCGCCTCCGCACGACGCAGCACGGTTGCGGCATCCATATGATTTGACAAGGACTGCACATACATTAAGACTTCGTCAAAAGTCTTCAAGTGACGTTCCATCACATCTGCATGACTCTCCAAAATTGCAAGGGAGAGGAAGAGCTCAAAGTGTGTGCATAAGGGCCAGTCCCCTGAATTTTGTGAACACCAGCTCGAGGCCCAGATCGCTTCCCAAAGTCGAAGCACGTCATCCAAAGCAAACTCACGCTTGAAACACACAAGCAGCCAGCGGAAACAGAAGAAGAAATGGAGAGCGTCAATCGATTGCAAATACATATACAGTCGCGGACAGAGTTCCGCAACTAAGCGCTGAAGAAGCACAAGTTCTTGGCGCATACCTGATTGATCTTCCACGTAAAATCCGCCCCAGCGACGCATGAGGGCCACAAAGGACCAAAACGCTTTAGCTTCATCACCATCGCAGGCCATGTAGCAGACAAGGCACAAATCACTCATGCCCTGGACGTATCCTTCAAGGGATGGAATCAATGGATCTTCTTTGGATTCGGCGTAGACAACAAATGTCAATAGGATGTCGCTCAAAGCATACAAATGCGGATTGATCTGCGATGCAGACGTGCCTTGATGCGAAGGCCGATCCCAGCTGCTCTGCTGCATACGAGAGAACGTATCTGTACGTGGTGGGGTATGGAAGAATGCATGCTTTGTATCAGCACGTAGACAATCGATCCAAATGCGGTGTTGCGAAGCTTCTGCATGGGCTGACAGTGGCCGCTGGCTCGTTGCCCAAGATTCGTATAGTTTTAAGTACGCCTTCGCATCTTCGTCAGCAATATGCTCTCGCTTCTCCACTTCCATAACCATAGGGTGAGCGCCTAGCAGATAAGGCCATAGCAGAGGACGTGCGTTCTTCTCAAGTCCGCGGCGGAAAATATGCTGAGCTAGTACATTGACCTTGGAATTATTTTGCATGAGGAGCTCGCAGTCCTGTACACTAAGAGGCTTGAGCCCTTCCTCGACACCAGGTATAGTTGGCAGCTTTGTCGCGCCAAGAAGATCTTCTGCCTCCATAGCTGGGCCTTCTTCCATCGCACGCTCTGCAAGTCGATTCAGTTCGCCTTCATGTGCGATTTGCTGGGCCCATTTTGCCAAGTACACTCGGGCAGAATCAAATTCCAACGTTTGCTTGGCTTTGTCATGGTTGTTGGTGGATGTGCTGACCATGTAGGGCCCTGCTTGTGATGTAGATACATGAGGCGTAGCGTGGCGTAAAAGTGGATGAGAAAGAAAAGCATCGCGTGATTGTCGTGCGCCACGCGTTACATAAGAAAGCTGTGATAGAACAGAGAGCCGCGTCGATTTGGCCCACTCCGCCAATGTATCTGTGTGAGTTTTCTGTGGCTTTAAGGGGGTTCGACGAGCCAAAACAGCCTCAATCGCATCATCAGCGAAACGCGGCGTGAGGTGATATTCACGTTCTTGTAACGAAGGATGCACGAGAAAAAGTCCGTGATCTTGCAGGCTTACTACCAGATCGGTGTATGACTGGATAGCGTCGATCAGTAGGCGACCACCCCATTTAGATGTGCGTGGGTGGGTATCGTAAGGGTATGTGTGGAAGAATAGGGTATATGTATCTTGATTTTTCATTTGAATTTCCACAGAGCCGATCTGGCGCAAAGCTAGGGGAGAGCGAAGCCGAAACGAGTGGATGTCGGTGAGTGGAAGGGAGAGCGTATGGGTAGCAGTAGATGTCTCCGCTGTTTCAGCTTCAAAGTGCAGCGATAATGTGCCCTCGCTCACGTTTTTTGTGCTCGAAACCCACTGCACTGTACCGTACACATTATCGCTGGTATAGGCTGTGGGATGTTGAGACGCTTTGTCGGTCCATACCACAGCCATGGGCAAGGGATGTGGAGTAGAAGAGCGAGCCTGGCCTGCAGATGTAGAGAGTCAATGTGGAGTCCTCCTGAAACTGCCAATGATTTAAAAAAAATAAGTACACTATGCACTGCGATAAAAAAAAAATATGTATGATACATGCAGTATCGTCGCTAGGATGTACGTGTGGGTGCTGTAGACGAAGGCACCTGTTCAATTAGTCGTTCAATGGCTTGCAATGGCTTGCTCCCGATATGACCACCACCTGGAATGCGGATGCTGCCAGTATAGGGAGCTCCATTCGGATTTTGGGCTGCCAACATCACCTGACGTTGACGTAGAGCGTGCAATACAGGCCGTATCGTGTGCACCAGTCGCTCTCGGTCATGACCATGAAGTACTTGCAAGAAGCGCTGTAAAACATAATTCGCATATTGATCTTGCATCATGACGGTGGCCACACACAACGGCAGAGATCCCTCAAAGAGGAGTGGTAAGCACTCGGCTTCGACCGTGTCAAGAGGCGCCAGAAGCTCCTCCAGCAAGTCAGAGAGATCCTCCGCGGGGGCCACCTGTATCACATGTTCCACCACATTAGAGGCAAACTTGTGGCGGGAAAGTTGAAGAAGATGAGACTTCGTTACGTGTACAATTGCGAGCCTGTCGCTCATATCTCCATGTTGCAAGACCCATTGCACCACATAATTGCCGTACTGGTCTTGCATTAAACGCAAAGTATTCGTATGCATTTCATCCAGCAGGGGCCGTCGTTGGACCTCACTGCAGTAGGCAAATATACGCTGTAATACGCGACAAGAGTAACAGTGCGACGCCAGCGTCGACACATGACCTTGGAACGCTGATGCAATAAAATCAAGATGCTGGTGAGGAACTTGCTCCAAGATTTTCTGGATAACGTGATTGGCATTCTGATCACGTACACAGTCGAGCACATACGGATGCAGCTCCTCGCTCAGCTTGATCTTTTCAGCTTCTGGCACACGCTCAAAGGCTTTTTGCACGACACGACAGCCGTAGGTGCCGAGAGAAAGAGTGAGTACATGGCCTTCGAGCTGACTGCCCAAGGCTTGGACCTGCGCTGGTGTGCCATATTCAAGAAGCTTTTGAATCACATAGTTGCCAAACACATCGGCCATAAGACGACGCGACTCAGGATACAGTTCGTCAAACACTATTGTTCGCTCTTCCTGCGAGCAATGGTCCAGTTTTTCCTGGATAAGACGACTGCCATGCTGATCCATGCTGATTTCCGTAAGCTGGCCACGAACTTCAGCTAGGTTGAGTCGCGTCGACTCGTCCTGAGCAGAAGTGTGCTGACGCGTTAAACCGGCATCACGACGATGGCCACGACCGCCAGAGTGCGCACCGGTATCATGCCCTATAGCATTGTGTTGATGCCCACCTCGGCCACGCCCAGACCCACGACGGCGCATGGAAGCGTCATGTTCTTCATGCGTAAGGAGATCATGGCGAAGCTGGTGAGGGTGGCTTGATCCTTCATCGTCCAGCGATACGGGCGAATGAGTCGAGAGGGCAGCATTGCCTACCTGCACAGTGTCACCGAGGCGCAAGGTGCCAGGACGCCCAAACCATTTCCCTTCGTCACGATGCTTCCCACGAGGAGAGATGCTGCGCTCCTGCATAGTGGACTTGTTGTCATTGGCACGACCCAGTACATCCGGACTCTCTGGTAAGGTGGGCGAGCTGATAGGCGACATCGAGAACGGCTGATGCTGATAGGTGGGTGTGCCTGTATAGCGCGTGTATACAGTAGGCATACCTCCGCGACCTATAGAACGCCCAGGTCCTCGAGGAGCCATAGGAGGCGAGTCGTGCATGTTGCCTTTGGGTGTGCCGGGCCGCCGATCGCGAAGGGGATTGTGCATAGGCAGTTCGACAGGCATCGTCATAGATCGCATTCGTTGTGATAGATCATGGTCCACAGACGAAGAGGGCGACACATGATCGAATCGGTCCGGTCGTACACGTGGGGCAAACGACGGAGCTTGAGCGTCGTCATCGCCCAGAGCAATCGCTACAGAAGCCTCCGCATGAAGAGAAGATGTGTCGTCAGGTGAAGAGGAAAGAATCCCACCCAACGGCCCAAAGAAAGCGCCATCCGTTGGACGTGCAGAGCCTCGCTTGGACGAGTACTGGTTGCGGACATCGATATCGGTAGGACGCCAGTCCATCGTTCCAGTCAAAGAGGGAGATAAGATTTCCTCATTCGAGCGAGGGTTCAGGTTGGGAGACGCAGAAGGGAGATCTAGGCCGCCGAAGGCCCGGTGAAGAGGAGAACGTGTGTGAACAGTGGGATCAAAACCAAACGAGTCCATAGTCAAAGAGCGGTGGATAAGAGAACGTGGAGACGGGGCTCCGTCAGGGCGGAAAGAGTTCATGACGTGAGGGGGATTGCCAGAAGGCGCAGTCCAAGTTGGGCCCGTCGCCAAAATATCATCCACAGCATGAAGAAAATCGGACGCATTTCCTGTAAGAGTACGACGGGGCGCCCGAGGCGCATTGGGAAGCGCTGAAGAAGGGTTCATAGCCCCTGTGTCCCGTGCATGGGAGCTAGGGCCTGTGGTTCCATGCGTGGACCAAGACCCCGTGCGCTGAAGAGGATGCCCGGCCCGGATGGAGCTGCCAGGAGCACGTGAGTGAAACTCGAACCCACTAGACCGTGGGGGCCCAGCTCCAGCTTTCTGTGCAGACTGTGCATCGGATATGTCAGAGCCTGGTGGACGAGACATCTCTACTCCAACAAGCTAACCTACAATGCCACAGAGCCAACAAAAAGTTTAATGAGCAATCTGAAATGACTGACGAAGAGGGGCACGGTTTCGACTGAACGTGAGGAGAAAGCTTAGTCAGCGAGCGCTACCTATCATAGGAACACCCAAATGGCCGCTCAAGCAATTCGTCAGAAAGCCTCTATCTCCGAAAGCGGCAAGCCTTTCTCTCCAGCGAAAAGAGTCACACAAAAGTAGACGCGCATAGACACTATATCATAGGAACGACCCTAATATGGCATTTTGACTCTACGACCAGGTGCATGTAATCAAATACACCCGTCATCGAGGTATACTAAATCATGCATGCTATCCACAGTCATGATTCGAGATTTACTTGAGTTGAGCAGACCAAACGTTCTTGATCACTGTATAGGTTAGCATCGGTCATCACATAAAACGCCAACACCATATCAAAAACAAAAAGAATGAAGGAAAAGACAATATTTGTAGCAGAGGTCTGACACTCGTGTAACCCATGGAAGAGAGTCGGCGAGCTCTTATTCCGCTGCCATACTTATTCTTCGCTTCATTAAAAATTGGAATCCTGCCCCTGTCGTGAAATGAGGTGTATACCTCTCGACGAGGCGCAGACTGTCAGAAGCGGGCAGGTTGTCATGGTATTCATTCATTCTTCACATCCTTGATATGGCGTGGGTCAGTCATACGTACAGCCAAGGTCCTGGGCAATGCGGTTGATCGAGTCGTCGCCCTCACCGTGGTGACGGACAGCACCCGAGATAGGGATGTTGGTGGTCGAGCCCGGGATCATCTTGCCGTTCTCGTCCACATCGGCCACAGCAATCTGGACTGAGGCGTGGTCCTTGGCCTCAATCAGGCGGCCAGTGGCAGCGCACTTGCGGGGCACGTAGAGGTCGACAAGCTCACCCTGTACTGGTTAATATCATGCTTTTAGAAGAGCAGCACAACACATACGTTGATATTCTCCATGGTGTTAGGCAGATGGTCGGTTCCGGCAGCCAGGACGAAGGCTTCGTCGAGCTGTTGGATTCTATCACGTGATTCATATAGTTGTACTCAAGTCGATGAACAATGCTGACCAAGACCCATGCAGCCGCATGCGCACGATCCACATCGCGTGGTGGCCCTCCAGACCTCACACCAACATCTGCGACATGTCGGACGTAAGTAAAGTCTCCGACGCCTAAGATATTAACATGTTATTGAATACAGGTACATGAATACCATTTTGATGTGAAGATGACTTGCTCGGCTTGCTCTGGAGCCGTGGAACGTGTTTTGGGAAAGCTGGATGGTATGTATAGGTACGATTCACACGCAACAGGTGTAAAGTCTTACAATGTGAATCTGGAACAGCAAACAGTAAATGTCCAGGCCACAGCCCCCTTTGAGACGGTACTTGAGAAGATCAAGAAGACTGGTAAGGAAGTCCTCTCAAGCAAGGTGGTCTCATAACGATGAAATAGTATGCAATATACTGCCTCTGTTCTATAGACGTTATACGCCTCAAACTATCCCTGTGCTCTATGTGGACGCAGCACCGAGAGCAGATCGTGCCAGAACCATTTCCAGCGCACCATTGACTTGGAACAACTGCGTTTGCAAGCGCATTTCTTCCGCTAGCTTGGCCCAAATACGACCAAACAGATCGTCAATGATGGGCGATTGGCCTAACACGGAGGCGTATGTATCGATGACCATATTCAGTGTATCACACACAAGGCTGGTGAATTGCGGGTTCGTTACATGACGAAGTAGGAAGCGCAGAAGCGGCTCGAGTGTGACGTCGTCACGCCCAGAGATGGCACGTCGCAAGCCATCAGCTTGTCCACTAGGGGAACGACGAATAAGCTCCATGATAAGAGCGAATGTCACACTTGCAGGAACGCCCTGTTGAAGACTCGCGTCCAAAGCATCACGGTACCTGAACGCTTTAAGCAGTTGGTCGTACCGCTTCAATCGTTTTCGTCGTGTCGATTCCACAGTCAGCTCGTCCACACGCGTAGCTGCACTGGCACGCGTGGGGCCATTCGTGCCTTCACCACCATCAACAAAATGCTGGTAGGCGCCTGTGCGGAAGGCTGCACGTCGGCGCTCTCGGCTCTCGATCTCACTAGCCTTGAGTTCTCGTTTACGAATGCACAGCGTTCCATCAGACATACCCACAGCAATATGACTTTCATCGGGGCTGACAGCTAAACTCAAAATAGGAGCTGGGTAGCGCATTGTATGTGTCACGCGATAGTCTTGTGCAGGGTCATATACCTTAACGAGATGGTCCAAACCACCACTCAACAAACGCATGCCACCTTCACTGGATTCGGACGTAAATCCAGCGCCTGAATCCACAGACAAAGCCAGCTTGGTAATCGTTTTTTGGTGATTGGAGATGGCATGAGTGCAACGGCCACCGCTCATCAAGTCCCACACACGTAGCATAGGACCTCCAGCACTAATAGCAATACTTCCACCGCCAGTAGGATATATAAGGACATCTTCCACAGGTGCGCCATGCTCCATGCACATGGCTTCGCCACCATTTTCACTCATGCGCAGGTCCCATAGGCGCACAGTGCTATCGTATGAGCCCGAGAGAATGATGTTAGGATTCTCCGGTGACACAGTACCGGCACGCACATAATCCAGATGCGACTCAAAGCGACGCAACTCTTTTTGCTCCGGCATGTCCCAAAGTCGGACGGTGCGGTCATCGGATGTCGTGAGGATTTGTGTCACTTCAGGCGAGAATTTGGATACATGTACGGGCATTTGGTGCCCTTTGAAAGATCGCAAAATTGTTCGCGAGTTGGTATCAAACACTTGAACAGCGCCAGTATCCTCGCCTGCGACAAGCAAACGAGCATCAGAGCGAAAATGAGCACTTCGTGCCACGTCTTTGAAACGCGTGATGGTTTTAACAGCACGACTAGTCCGCATACTGTAAATCTGTACGCGTGTGCCTGTCGTTACGGCAAAACGACCTCGTGATCCAGCCATGGAAGATCCACTCGTGCCGACATCATCATGACTTACAGCAGCAGGAGCAAAATGAATGGAAGTAACAGGCGCAAATTCCTTTAAGAAAACTGGGGACTGGAATTGGTTTCTCCAATACTGGGATTCAGATTGAGTGCGCAAAGATGGCGCCGCTTTCGCCGTAGGCGGTGCCCTCAGCGGCTGATACTCCATCGTGGCCACCAAGCCGTGCAGACGTATCGTTGGAAATTTTTCGCTCGCGGCACGTGATGCTGGTTGTGGCTCCTCCACCTCAACGCCGCCATCCACGCATCTGTGGGGTATCAGTGGCACCATGGCAGAAGCCGGGCGCAATGATAAGTACTTTCAGTACAGTAGCCCTGAGGAGTTACAAGCGGAGCTCGTCGGGGACAAAAAATCGGCTATATCAAAAGGTGCATTTTCGAGAAAGAAGGCAGCGATGAAACGGATTATCGCCAATGCTACGATGGGCAACGACATGAGCTCCCTGTTCCCTACGGTGGTCGAATGTATGGGTCTTCCTGATCTGGAATTAAAGAAAATGGTGTATTTGTATTTAAACAATTATGGACGGATCAAGAAGGACCTTCTTCCGTCTTGTATCAATAATTTTCTTGCGGATGCCAAAGACGCAGACCCCATGGTTCGATCATTGGCGTTGCGAACAATGTCCTCGTTACTGACAGCGGAGATGGTACAAGCGCTATTGGACCCCTTGCGTATATCCATATTTGACAAAGCATCTGTCGTGCGAAAGACAGCAGCGATGTGTATCGCCAAAGTATATGCGTACGACCCAAACCTCATTGAGCGAGCTGGCTTTATCGAAAACTTGCATGCTATGTTGATGGACAGCCACGTAGGTGTGGCTAGCAACGCAGTAATGTCCCTTTATGAAATATCAGAGCACTCCAACAAAGTGCGCTTAAGTATCAACTTCAAAATCGCCAACAAACTTGTTCATGATATGAGAATGGCATCTGAATGGGGACATGCCTATATGCTAGAATTGCTGTTATTCTATGTTCCGCAAACAAGCCAGGAAGCTGAATTACTGGCGGAAAGTGTATCCAATCACGTACGGTCGGACAGCTCTACGATTTTGCTTGCTAGCACCAAAGTTGTGATATATTTGATGAACTACATTGCCAACGTGGAGCGAAGGGAGATGTATGGTCAACGTGTTAGCAAATGGCTACTATCACAGCTAGCAGGACCCTCAGAAATTCAGTTTGTGACCCTTCGGAATATTCTCCTGCTTATCCAACGCAGACCCATGATTTTACGCAACAACATCAAGGCATTTTATTGCAAGTACAACGACCCGGCGTATATCAAGACCGCGAAATTGGATATTTTATACCGTATTGCGCATGAGGACAATGTATTGGACGTGCTACGTGAGCTACAAGACTATGCTACGGAGATTGATGTGAACTTTGCTCGCAAGGCCATCAATGCCATTGGGCGATTGGCCTTGAAATTTGAGTCTGTAAGTGATGCTTGCATGCATGCCCTGGAAGACATTATTAAAAGCAATGTTAACTATGCTTTCCAAGAAGCCATTGTTGCTGTTCGTGACATCTTTCGGAAGTACCCCCATCGTTACGATTCGATTATTACGACGTTGTGTGATAATTTAGATTTTTTGGACGACCCTCAAGCAAAAGTGGCTATGATCTGGATTCTTGGGCATTATACGGACCGTATTGAGAAAAGCCATGCACTTCTGGATACATTCCTTCAGAATTTCTTAGATGAAACGGTGGAAATTCAATTGGCACTACTGACAGCTACGGTGAAACTATTTTTGAAGCGACCTAATGTGGGAGGACCATTGATCGAGAAAGTTTTGACATGGACAACAGAACAAGTAGCAAACCCTGACTGTCGTGACCGTGGCTTCTTTTACACGCGGCTCCTCGCGCTGGACCCTGTCATTGCCAAGAAAGTGGTTTTCAGCGATAACGGGTCCATCGAAGTAACGCTGGATCGCATGGACCGAAAAGTACTAGACCAACTTTTGTTACAGACAGGGAGTCTCTCAAGTGTATACCACAAAAATCCACAAACGTTGTCGCTGGGTACGCGGCCTCGGTATCTACCAGATTCACCTGCCCTGGAAGAGACGGCGCGACAATACGCCAGCTCTCATCTACAAGAGCAGCCACCACTGCGTGTGTATCAACCCGTACGCACGACAGATATGATCCCAGAATACCCCTCTATGCTCTCTACCACGACAATGGAAGATTCGATCTCATTTTCGGATGCCAAGACCGAGATGCCCACGGTCAAGGTAGGCAAGCTGATATAGGTTTGCTACGTACATACCCAACACTGCCCTGCGTGTCATCATGTAATATGATTGGCTCAATATCCGGACTCGCAAGGCATTTGCAGAGAGGCCCGGTCGGTCTCCACTTGTGTCCAAACGCGCTCTGTTTATTTACATCAAGACAGGTTTCTGTTGTTTGCTTGCGAACATGGATCAGCGGTACGATCGTGTTCCAACAACACCTAAAGGACCTCGTGGACCACGTTCTCCTCGTCGGAAGAGGTCGAGGTCTGAACGCCATCAATACTATGGCGAGGAAAACGATATGACTGGGCCAACTACCAGGTCCCCTCCGTCCCGTAAAAAGTCGAGCCAACGCCCGAAAATCAACCCGGACGAGTCAATGGAGGCGATTCGACCTGTGCGTCGTGTAGTCTCCTCAGAGAAGACGCCACGAAAGAAGGAGCCTGGATCAATGTCGCCTACATTTTCGACGACAATTCCTCCGAGCATGCAGCGTAAACCGTCCAGTGAGTTTGGCGGCTTGCAAACCAGCACTTCGACACCTTTGTCAGTCCGCGCCTCCAGCTACTCTGCCAAGGACTTGGAAGCCAGTCCATTGTCATCAGGTCTCAATAAGCGTCAAACATTTACGCCAACCAGACTACCCGCCACGCGTGGCACAGTCGTGTTGCACCCAATGCAAGCGGAACCGGATGATTACCTTCATATTCCTGAGAAAAACGTGGACACGCACTCCATACGTCCGACCTGGCGTGGATGTTTTAATGTTACAACACTGCTTATCATTGCGTTATGTCTGATTATGCTTTTTGCTGGTTATCCCATTATTGCTAATTTTGATGATTCATACAATAAGATTGACCAACGTCTCGCCCAAGGCCAAGCTAAGCCCATTCCTGCGCGACCTCCCGTGGATCCAGATACCCCATCTCAATATCACACGCGTCAAGGAGACGATGGCACGACCTGGGAGCTTGTCTTCAGCGATGAGTTCGAGAAGGAAGGCCGAACATTTTGGCCTGGCGATGATCCCTACTGGGAAGGTGGCGACTTTTACTATCGTGCAACGTTTGACTACGAGTGGTACACACCTGAAGCGATCAACACAACGAATGGTAGGCTTCAAATTACTATGGATGAGATTCTTGAGCATAACACCTACTTTAGGTCAGGTATGCTTCAGTCGTGGAACAAGATGTGTTTCCAAGGTGGTTACATTGAAGCCTCGGTCGTTCTTCCAGGCGGTCCGCAAACCCAAGGTTACTGGCCTGGCTTTTGGATGATGGGCAACCTGGGGCGCCCAGGTTATCTGGCCACGACAGACGGCATGTGGCCCTATGTCTATGAGAACTGTGATGTGGGTATTTTACCCAACCAAACATACCTAGATGAGTCGGGCCCAGAGGCTGCGCTCAACGCCAAGGTCGATGGGAAAACAGATCAGCTCTCGATTCTTACAGGTATGCGTTTCCCCGCCTGCACATGTTCTGGTCAAGGCCACCCTGGCCCCAATCCCAACGTTGCACGGGGTGTACCTGAATTGGATATTTTCGAGATACAGGTGGATGCAAAGAAGGGAGCCTCGGTTGCTTCCCAGTCCTACCAGGTAGCGCCGTTTGATGCCAATTACAAATGGTATTCGAACCAGTCAAGCTACCAAATCTACGATACTGACGTCACCTCAAGGAACCCGTGGTCAGGCAGTCAGACCCAGGAAGCCCTTTCCTGTGTCACAGAAATACCTAATAAGGCATTTATGAAAACGACCCGAACGCCTACCGTGTTTGGTATCGAATACGACCCGGACTTAGAGGACACAGGGAACGGCTACATCACCTGGTATGTGGATGGCAAGAAGTCTTGGACTGTTTACGAAGGCGCTTTGGATGCCAATGAAGCCACCAAGATCGGAAAACGTACCTTCCCCAAGGAACCTATGTCCATTATTATTAATTTGGGTATTGCAGGCGGCTTCCAAGAAGTTCATTGGGATGAGATTGATTTCCCCGCACAAATGGAATTTGACTATATTCGCGTGTACCAAAAGCCTGGTCAAAAGCGTGTAAGCTGTGATCCCAGTGATCATCCTACAGCGAACTACATTAACAGTAACATGGAAATGTACTTCAATAACAACTTGACGTCATTTTCCAACATCTCTAGCAGTTGGCCAAAGAACAAGCTCACCGGTTGCTAAACGATGTCACATGCCATAGAGATAATAGGAAGTTTAGTCATCACTATGAAGAACAAATACCCCGCAGTGGTCTTTTTCTAAGCTTGGCCGCGAGCTATGGAGACTGGGCTCTAGGACGATACGATGCCAATTTCACGCATGCTGGATCGGCCTAATGCTTCTTCACCTGCGGACCATGCATCTAGGGCATCTCCGACCTCCTCGTCCATGCAGAAAAATGTGACACCTGCCATTATGGAGAAGTTGCAAATGCATTGGACCTCGCATATGGACCAGTATGATGTGCTTTCACATCCTCAAAGTCAATCATTGCTCCCCTATTTGATCTCTTCACAGCCACGAGATGAACTGGTCCATAAGAGTCAAGGATCAGGTCCATCTATGATGGAATCAGAGAAGCGGGCACGCATAAATGCAGAATGGACACCCAACCTGAGCCAAAGCCGGTCCCACCCTGGGCTGCACGGGACAGGGCCTTATGGCAAAGACCCTCTATGGCGCTCGCAGCAAATTTCATACCTTCATTCAAAGCAGCAACAGCAACAGCAGCAAGCCTATCCGTCTGTTCGGCACGACCCATACGGTGCTGTTCGCGTAGCACCGGATGAGCAAGGGAATCCTCGGCATTTTCACTGGTACCGTCGTGACTTCCGCAACATGGCACGTCCAAATTCAGGAAGATTCAGTCCACTTCACCACTCAGTCGACTACATCCCACCTAGACGGCCCATGGAAATGCCACATCGGATGCCGTATTTGCCTATGCAAGAGACACGGACAACGCCAGCTGAGCCAGAACTAGGATCCTCGAGTGCATATACCCAAAGATACGGGGATGTGGATGAGTCACAAAGGGGCGTCATTGATCCTGCAGCGATCACATCCGTGGACAAGGACTTGGTCACGCGATATATCCCTGGCGAACTTACCCCCTTGTTTGACTTGATACAGACAAAACAACAACCACATCTCGACAAATTGCGAGTGCGGAAACGAAAGTTGGAGGATGCTTTGGCTACCGGCAATATGAGTTTGTCGGAGGATGCGGAATTGATCATCCAGGAATCCAAAAACAAGCGCAAGGCTGGGAACCAGGGACTATTAACCGAAGCCGAAAAGAAAGCCAACCATATTGCCTCAGAGCAAAAGCGACGTGCAAATATCCGGAAAGGCTATGATATGTTAAGTGCTATGCTACCTACGCTAAGCAAATATGCTGAGTCTCAAGGAGGCAGTGGCGATGTGAAGCGGCATGGTGAGGAGGATGGGATGGATTCCCGGTCGAGTATCCACAGTGAGATCACAGTATTGGAAGAAGGTATGTATATAGTGATAGACACTGACCATACAGCTATCGAGTATGTGACACAATGCTTGCAAGAGCATCATCAGCTATTGCTCCGCAAGTCAAAAGCACAGGAAGAGCTTTTGGCCTATTACCGTAGAATGGCGGTGTAACATCCTAGAATGTAAAATACCATTTTTGTTGTCTTTATCCTTGAAGGATATCAGAAATGTCATCATCGACACGGAGTCCTCGGGCTTGCATGACATCGTCATTTTGAAACTTCGAGAGATGGCGTGTGCCTGAATCAGCGCTAATATAGGTCAGTCAAAGAGGAGAATACATACAGAATAGTTACGATGATGGGTCGGTCACGGTGGGTGCGCAGCGAGTCATCTTTCTTCAAGCGTAATGCTGTGCGCACGGCTGCAACACAGTGGACAGCAGACGATGAGCCGAGGAACAGGCCGTCATGCTTTGCAAGCCAGCGTGACATGCGAACGGCCTCATCATCCGTTACATGCTCAGCTGTGTCAATCACTGGCAAGCCAAGTTCAAGGTTGTGAGTCAATCGATTCAACCCAATACCTTCCACGACAGTATCCACTTGATAGCGGCGTCGTGTGCCTTCGGCCTCGGTCGAATTGTACATCACGCCAAATTTGATGCGATTGTAGACACCCGACCCCGGTGGATCAGCCACTACAATAAGAGGAGAGTGGCGCCGGCCCTGTACTTTCGCGGTCTCCTTGAGGAAGGTTGCCACGCCGGATAGTGTACCGCCTGTGCCCGTCCCGGACACAAAAGCATCAAGTTCTCCATTGGTTTGCTTCCAGATTTCGGGACCAGTATGCTGATAATGCGCATAAAAATTGGCTTCCGTTTCAAATTGATCAGCAAAGAAAGCCGTAGCGTAAGGTTCGTTTTCATCAGGTTTCCAGTTTTGAGCACGAGCACGAGCTTCATTTACGAAGTGACGTGGGTCGACAATACCGCGCGGTCGCACCAATTCAACAGTAGCTCCGAGACGACGAAGCAAGACAGCCTTCTCTTCTGCCACATCGTCAGGCACAACGATGCAGCAATTATAGCCTTTGGCACGCGCTAACGTGGCAAGAGAGATACCAGTGGAGCCAACAGTGCCTTCAAAGATCCAAGAGCCCATATTTGGGACAAGTTCCCCACTTTCTTCTGCTTCCTGGATAATTTGCAAAGCCACACGATCTTTAGGGCTGCCACCGGGATTCAAGAATTCGGCCTTGCCAAGAATTTCACAGCCGGTAAGATCAGAAAGACTCTTAATGCGTAACAACGGCGTATTGCCAATAAGACCATCAATTCCTGTTGCCACAGAATCATTTCGACGAAGCTGAATCGGCTCAAACTCATCGTCTTCTTCAGGTGCTTTGTGTGGCGCACGACGTAGCTTACGTCGCATGTACGCTACTGCAAGAGCTTTGTGCAAACGCGCAAAAGCAAGAGCACCTAAACCTGTTGTTAGCCCGATAAGAAACCCAAAGGACCATATCCCGAACTTTCCGCGTTGAAAAAATGACCGGACATGGTCCAATCTGTGAAGGCTTGACATGAGGCCCTTCCCGATTGTGCAAAACTAAAAACAAACGTCGTGGAGACAAAATGCACGGACCTGAGCCATTCACATTTATCGGGTCAAAAAGAAGTTCCCAATCCGGGAGTCGAACCCGGGTCTTGTCGGCGCCACACAGCAGAACTTATGAGAGCGACATATACTAACCGTTGTACTAACTAGGAGAACTAGTTGCTAGTCCTACTTATAGGGGTGTCTTAACCTAAACATAAAAAGAGAAAGCATTCTACGCTTAAAAATGGACACCGACGTCGTTTTTCACTTTAGGAAGTGGGTAAGGTCTTTAAAAAGGAAGTGTGCACGTGTATGATCATATAGCAGATAATTATGGAAATGAAGTTATATACAAAAAATAAAGATTTATTAGCCCTTCACAGTGGGGTCGTTCCCATATATGATATATTTTATGGTAGCCTTTCCCTTGTTTAAGAATTGCTAGATCCCTTGTGAAGCGAGAAAAAAATGACCATAAAGCACAGTGAAGATATAATCAAGCTTGGACGTTGTCAACGAGATGACAAAAATGTTCCCAATCCGGGAGTCGAACCCGGGTCTTGTCGGCGCCACACAGTAGAACTTATGAGAGCGACATATACTAACCGTTGTACTAACTAGGAGAACCGGTTGATGCTCTCTCAGCATTTTGTTTATTTAAAAGATTGATACCTAAATCAAGCTACCGCTTTGGTATTTTATCGTGTTGCTCTTTGCAACGTGTTCAAAAGAAGCCCCAACGTATGTGATCACATAGACTGTTTATGTTGTTCATGACAAATCCTTTTGCTTTTGATAAGGCAAGGCTGGCCAACCCTTTTCGCCCCAAGTTATGACACTCTGTTTGTCAGAAAAGCGGCCTTTTTCTCCACTTACGTGTATCCAGGTACGAGACGCCTGAGGCACCCACGGTGCGGAGACAATCTTTTTCAATTCGTTGACACATTGCATACGCATGTTGAATTTTGTATCCTGTTTGTCTACTACCATGGCACCATCCACGTTTCTCTGAGTCATTAACGAACAAGTTTCCAAAGCACGTTGTGTAGTGGTCACCAATTGAGCCCGTCGCTTATTTTCCATCCAGGATCCTGTGAGCAAAAGCAAGGCACAACCTGCCTCCAACTCATACATGGGTATTTGAATCCAAGGTATAGAATGCAAGAAGAATGCGCGAAGCCATCTGGCAAGCAACTCAGGCGTGTCAAGCACGTTGAGTCGGACAAGTTCGCCAAACCATCGTACAGCATCAATGAATTGATTGCCTTCCACGTCGGGGAGCAGTGATGACGCTGCTCGTACACATTGCCTGGGAAGTTGTGTCGTGGCCTGTTTTTGTATGGTACCTGGGACCTGAAGGTAGGATGTGGCATCTTGTTGTGTACGTGTTTGATCCTGAATGCTTTCCCATTTCGCTTTCAATGAAGTGATCATGGTCATGCGAAGTACGGCTGACATGGGATAGGCCCCTGTTTTCGTGGACAAGGCGGCTAGATGAGCCACGGCCAATGCTCTTGTGTCCTGGCTGGCTTCTTCGCATTCCCACTGCACGAATTCCTCGTGGAGATGCCGGCATAGCTCGCCCATCAGGGTCGGCCTACTAAAAGGGCGCTTCGGGTCCTGCACGACCATGTACCACATGGTCGATACAATATGCAGTGTGATTTTCTCTGCCATTTCCACACCGATAGAGGCTGAGAGGTGCTGGCTCCAGCATGCCTGCTGACTCCTTCCGCTGTGCACCAAGTTCTTGTATTGTGCCCATGCGTGAGTGATGGATGTTTGCCGGAAACTGGGAGGACTATATGCATACTCATCGGCCGTCTCAGGTTTCCATGCGCGCTTTAACAGGTGAACGATGTGTTTCGATGTACGTGTGGCCAGATGTATGAGGTTGTCTTGGTACCACGATGTGCTATGCGCATGGGAGCTTGCCAGGTGGGCCATGATGCCATCTAGTTTCCATGCGAGCTTCTCGAAGGCTGCTTGATCGCGTATGAGGAGTGTACTCACGTAGGCAAATTGCCATTCAGGTCGGCCTTGTGTGGTGTTTGCTGTTTTGGTGCATTGGTCCACGATGGCTTGGACATCTGCTTCCGGAGGCGATACAATGATCATGGGTGGGGAGGGTGGGGGCGTTGTCGGTGACTCCTCGGACCACCACATACTACCAGGTGTGCGCGGGGTCTGTTGGCCCTGCAATCGTGAGCGTACAGGCTGTATGGCGAGAAAGGGGGACGACGGTGTGCGTGGTTCCATGGGAGGTCCTTGGGTGCGATGGCACGGGATCGGCGTGACAACGGCATGCCCATCTCTTCGTGCTCGTTTCAGGGGCGGGGTCTGCAAGGCCGGTGGCGCTGCGCGTCGCGGGGGCCGCGGGGGACTTGCCTCGCTACTACTACTAGACGGTGGCGCGCGAGGTTTTCGAAAATCGGATGCGCGTGCGCTCGGTGTAGAGACGATAGGACGCGATGTAGAGGCTCGGGAATGTTCGAGAGGCGCCAGCGCGTGGCGCCAGCGAGGACGATCGGCCATGGCTGCTGTGGGATGAGGGTCAGACACGAGCCCGGCTCGAGCGGCTGTGCCAGCAGCACCCTGTTGTCGCTCTGGGGCATTATGCAGGATCGTGGCCTAGACGGCGATACCAGCGTTTGATTTGCTACGGCACGTCCACACGCACGCTGGCGGGGCTACTTTGCCATGTGCGTGTACCTTGCGGTGTCTCTATCTGCGCCTGGGCTGTCAAGGTATACGTGCCCTGCGAGAGGAAGCACATCGTTTTGGTGCATGCCAGACCGGCGGCCAGGTCGATGCCTGGCCGAGTGGCATGCCATGCCCCGTCTGCCAGGATGACATGTGTCGCGGCATGCTCCGTGGTATCGGACGTAAGCACCCATTCCAGGCGCACTTGGTCGGCCTCCCATGCGCTTTGTACACGCACCGTGGCTGGGACCAATGTGTCGACATGCGCTTGCGCAGGTACGTCCATGTGAATCTCCATAGCGGGGCGGCACAACTGCGATACTTGGGCGGCGGTAGGCCATTGGGGGTGAAGGGAGACGTCGCCTTCCGTGTGCGCTTCCGGATCGACCCAGCGCAGGCGGATGTTTTGCAGGAGCAGATCGCGTGCCCAGAACTGCGCGGTATGCTCGGCGTACTGCGTCTCGGTGAGTACCATTTTAGGGACGACAAATTGGCCAGGCGAGAGTTTCGGGATAGGCTTCTGCAGCTTGTCTTGTGTGCATATACGCTGGGCCCATGGCATGCACAGTCGGGCTGTCATGCCCGGCAAGATGTGGCGTTCCATGTGCCACGGTGAGCCAGGCCATGCCTCCATGTCCACATGGACGTGCAAGAGCGAGGGCGACGCATTGTACAAGTCCCAGCTCAGCAGCACACACGGCGGTGTCGGTGGCAATGGCTCGTCTGTCAATGTCGCTGCCATGCGTTGCGCTACGGCCGGCGTGAGGGGCTCGACCTGCATGGGCGCCACGTCTATGCTGGGCTCCACGGATTGAGGGATAGTAAGTTGCGCCGACCGAACTGGGACCATGGCCTCGTCGGCGCCTACGCTGGCCATGTGGCCGTACCATACACGCACCCGCGCCCAATCGCAATCGTACCGTGCGTGTACGGTGAGCGGCACGGTGATCGAGGTATGCGGCGCGATGTTTTGGGCTTGTGGCGCGGACAATGAGAGCACGGGCGTCTGCAGTAGCTGTCGTTCCAGTTCGTGTACGTCGCCCGGGCGCAAGCCGCCTTGCGCAATGGCATCGCGAAGTGGGCCCTGCACACTGTCTTCCAACTCGATGTGGACGACGTCAACAGGGACTGAGGACGTGTTGGTCAGCTGGACAGGCAGTGTGGTGGTCTGGCCATGCAGCAGCATCAGCGCAGTCGGCCCCAGCGTCGGAAGATGCATTTCCACGCGTGGCTGCGCCGGTAGTACGCGGAACGACAGGGTCGGGTACGAGGGCGTGAGCATTCGCTCCAGCGCCGCCATGTCCGCGGGCTTCGCGGTGGTGATCATGCGCATGAGCGATACGGTAGAGCGGGCCGCGAGGCCATGCATCGTAGGGCCTTCGTACTTCTCGAGGGGCAGCGGTGTATCGACATAGATATCGCACGGCTCCGAGCCCCACAAGTGCACGCGGCACCCAAGAATGCGCCACGCCCCGACCTCGCGGGGGGTCAGCGCCAGGCGGACAGTGTGCAGCGACTGCGATGGAATGCTCACGGGCGCAGGGCGGGCGTGCGCGCTGGTCGGCTGCGCATCGGACGGCCCCTGCGCAAGGAGCGCGAGCGAGGAGCAGACGAGCGGCACCGCGTACGTATTTTGGAGGCTCACGTCGACGTACAGATCCTCGTCGGCCATGTAATGCACCTCTTTGCTGCTGGTCCACGCTGAGCGCATCACAAACGGATTGTGCAGGCCAGGCGGCGCGTCTGCCGAGGCCGTCGTCTCCACGTTCGACTCGGCGAGGCGGAGCGAAGTACGTGACCGCAGCACAGGGACCATCGGCGCTGGCGGCGGCGCCATTTCCATGGCCTGCAACAGGCCCGGCGGCCCCCAGTACCGCAGCGCCACGTCCGGTGCGCCATGCCACCGAGCCCGTGGCAAGGCCTGCTGGAGACCTTGCAGGACAGCGACTTGCTCGGGCGCCGGCAGCGTACATTCCCGCAAGAGCAGAGCGGCAAAGAACACTTGGCCCAGGGCATCGTCCACCGCTTCGCACTGCACAATCAGGTCCTGCAACAGCTGTCGCTGCAAGCTGGCCCACCCAAACGAGGGGCGGGGCCGCTGCGCGACTTTGTCACTTGCGCTGAGTGCAGGCAGCCACGCTTGCGCCTGCTCTACCCCCATGGTCGAGGCCAGCATGTCTGTGTACGCGTACGCACAAACGCGGCGGCGTGCCCGCTCTAGCATGTGCGACGATGGGACATGCATCAGCGGCGTCGTAAGTACATCGAGGCCATACGCTTCACAGGCTGTCATGCCGAGTGTCAGGGCCGGGTTCGCACGGGCGAACAGATCCGACTCCATGCGCTCCGCGTGTGGCGGCGAGGTGATCGGAGGGCCATGCCACTTGTCCCAAGCCAAGGCCAAAGGCGGCCAGGCTTGGCGCGCTTGCAGGGTCCGTGAGAGCAGGCCACTGACCGCGGTCCCCAGCACACGCGCGACATGCGCCGCACGCCGCGGAAAGCCAAGCACAGAGAGCATCCGCCCCACCCCGCTGAGAATGGCCAACTGATCCACTGGCTGCAGGAGATGAAGTGACGACGTGAGCGCGGCACTGCAAGCCGCGCCGACTTCGTAGCGGTAAATGCCCGAGACGGCGGCCAAGTGCGCTTGCTCCGCAAACGTCAATGGCACGCCGGTATCCAAGGAGGGCGGCAGGCCGCCGTACAACAGCTGGTCAAACGCTTCGGCGTTCCAGCCGCCGGAGGCGTACAAGGCGAGCAGGAAGCGCGCGTACTGCAAGCACGCCGTCGCATGCACGAGCGGCGGCGTGTAGTCGCGCGGCGTCTCGTTGGTCATCGAGCGAAGCAGCTCGACTTGGACCTGCGGCGGCGCAAGGCACTTGGCATAGATCGACAAGGCCAACGTGTACGCTTCAGCGACGTCGCGCCATGCCATGGGCGCAGGCGTCGGCTCGCGCAGTTCCTTGTCTTTGCCGGCGGTGCATGGATACAACAGACCCGGCGCGAGCTCGGCCGCCTCGCCGCCCAGCCGCGCTAGCAGCGTACGTGTGACGGCCCAGCCTTCCAACGCCGAGGCGAACCATACAGCATCCTGCCCCCCGGCCAACGCACGTTCCTTGCCGTGCACGGAGAGTATACGGTCGTAGCCCTCCATGGCATCGTAGAGGTACCCACTCAGCAAGGCTGCATCCGCCTTGATCTTCTCCAACCGCATCGACGTGGGCGGCGGCGTAGCCGGCGTCTTGGAGCGTTTTAGGCCGAACATTTTGGACGTAGCACTGGCCGGCGCAGGCCGCGGCGGCAGCGGCGGCGCCTCGCGCTGGCCGCTCAAGGTCCGCAGTGTCGGCGGCTGATGCAGCGTCTCGCGTGGTGTCTCCAGCATCGTCTCGTCCAACTGACTGACCAGCGCATCCAGCTGGTCCAGCATACCGCCGATCATTTCAGCCAGCAGCGTACGTAGATAAAACCGCACATCCTTCGCATCGCGCCGCACAGCAGGGAACACGACCAATCCATTCTCCCGACGCCCAGCAAACCCGGAGGACGACGGCTCAAACTCTGTGTCGTCCTGCGATAGGATCGAGGCTGCGTCGGCCATATCGCCATGCGCCGTGGAGGTAGGCGGCGCCGCGGCGCCTTTGGCATGCACGTCAAACGCAAACACGCGGTGCAGTAACGCACTGGGATGCTGCGCCCGAAGCAAGCCTGGTAATCGCTCCCAATCGTGACCAGCATGGGGAGGATACGTACCGAGGCCCAGCACGCCATGCACATCACGATGCAGCTGGAACGGCGCCAAGTACGCATGCGACGGCTGGTAGGACGTCACAAACGAGATATGCACTTCGCCCTGGTGGTACAGCGACGCACTCGGCGGGGCTTTGGACGCACGCGGCACCTCTGTCAACTTCACTTGCTCGTACTGCCGCACAAAGCTGGCCCACCGCTCAAACTCTGCGTCGTCCAGCGGCGCTGCAGGCACCAGCAAGATTTTCAGTTTCGCCGGCGTACAAAACGACGGGATTCCCCCCGCAGAAAACGTCGGCGAGGTGGCGGCCATGCTGCTGCTGCTGCTGCTGCTGCTGCTGTCGTCGTCGGCTCAGCCCTCCACGTCGTTGCGCCCAGGCGTACGTGGAGAACGTGTGGGCCGCTGACTGTGCTGACCGGCCCTGCGCTAGGCCTCCACATCTCGCTCGCCGCGCTACTACCCTCGTATGGTACGTGGGTGTACATCTACGTCGCCCGGGAAGAGACGCACAGGCGTATGTACACTATGTCTATGGCACGCTCGGCATATTTACGAACGTGTCCGTCTGCTGCGTTGGCGGCGTGCCCAGCAGCTGCGCAAGGAGCAGACCTGTCGCCATATTTGGCTTGCCCGTCACGGGCTGCAGACCCGGCGGCGGCGTCATGGCCACAGGCGTCTGCGCCCGCGGCGTCCCGCTACCGCTGTCCGTTGTCGAGGGCGCATCTTGGATTCGACGAAGAAGCGCAAGGAGCGATTGCGAATCGCCGTTCTGGCCTGCTTGCGCTTGCGCCTGGGCTTGCTGCTGCCGAGCCAGCCGCGTACGCACATTCGCCATCGACTGCGCCGGCACGTTCTCGCCAGCCTCTTGCAGCTGACGCGCACGCGCCGCCAACAACGCAGCGGCCGCTGAGCGCTGCTCTTCCGGCCCGCGCGGCGCTGGGCCGACCACAGGCGAGCCTGGCGTAGTGGGCCAGCCGCCTTCGGAGGCAGGCGCCGAGTACATCGCGGCATGACGAGGCGTCGCGCTGCCATCGCTAGCGAGGCCCGGCGGTCCCGAGGCGGTGCGTGCTTTCATGGACGGCCATGCGGCGTCGGTGAGCTGCTCGTCAAAGGGGTTGAACGTGCCTTGGTACGGCGTATACGTCGATGACGCATCCCGATCGTCCCATGTCAATGGATCCAGCGCCATCGGACTCGGCTTCTCCTTCGCATGGGTCGGCAGCGATGGCCAGTAAAACGTAAAGTCGCCATCCCCAAAGCTCGCGAGCGTCCAATCAATGGACGGAAACGACGTCGTGTCCTTCCTCGGCACGGCAGGCGAGGCGGGCGTCTCGTCCTGCGCTGACGTCGTACGAGCGCCGTACGTCCCCGTATCGACTCCCTCCTCAGATGCGACAGACCCCATCGCCGCCGGCTCCTTCACGCCCGCATCGATCTCCGCCGGTAGCGCCGCATCGCTGCGAGCCAACTTGGCTTTGGCTGGCGCCGCCTTGGCCACAGCCGCCTCTTTCACAGCGGACAGGCCAGGGAAGGCTTGCGTATCATGCGGCCCCGGCGCGATGACCGTCGACGCATCCTGCGCCGTCATAGCAGGACGCCCAGCGGCGGCCCACGACGCCGTGCGCGGCAGCGCCGAGCCTTCGGTCGACTCGTTCGGCGTGGCCAGCGATGCCGTGGCCAACACAGGCGAGTCCATCGGCTTCTTCGCCGTAATCGGCATGAGATGCATGGAGGCAGGTTTGATTTTGTTCTCGGTATCTTTAGCAGCATGCCGCAACGTCGCCAAGTCTTCCTTGGTGAACGAATCGGCTTCCTCCCCAGGCTCGTGCAGATACGTACACCCAGGATTGGAGCATGGCATATTGCGTAGGTACGCTGTGCAGTATTTCGTCGTTCCGTAGCTCGCGCGAATAATACGGCCCCCAGGCTCTTTGCTGCCGTCAATCGCGACGATCGCACGAGCAGCATCTTCTTTGCTCTGGTACGTCACATACACACCGATCGACGGGTCATGCGAGCCATGGCCGTATTTGTGCGAGGAAATGCGCTTGCTGATCAAAATCTTGGCGACTTTGCCGTACTGGCCAAAGTAGTCAGGACCCTTGAGCGTAGGAATGAATTCTTCCCGCGCGAGTTTGGGACTTAGGCCGACCACATACACCAAATTCTTCTGCACCACACGCATGTTCGCGAGATGCTTCCGGTTGCTGGCCTCCATCTCCTTCTTTTCTCGCTCCTTGTTCTTTTTCGCATTGGTCAAACGCATGATTCTGGCGTTAGTCAGGAGCATACACACTCTTCTGTCGTCATAGGCTTGAATTCAATGGCCTGATCTGAGTACTTGCGTCGGCACGCTGGGCACCGTCCGTTCAAGTTCTGCTTGATATGGTGCCAGCAGAACCGACAGATTTGGTACCCACAGGGGCATGGCTTGAAGTTGACATCCGAAATGTCAATTTCCTCCAGACACAGAGGGCATTCCATCTAGCATGTAAGTTACCTACGCGATACACATACCACTTCATCGTCCATGTACGCATCTTGCCAAGAGCGGTGATCACTCTTGGCAGCACCTGACGTGTGAGCCCACACGACTGACGTCCTGCCTTATACGTACCATGATCGCTATTCGACGCGCTGTGCGGCGCGACTCCGTACGAAGATGTACTTGTCGACGCCCCACCAGATCGCCTCACCATCTCTACCACCTAGAATCACCTAGTCTTGCGAAATCGTTGCACTCTATACCGGCACGCTTGAGCGTGGCGACTTCTCAAACGTAATGCCATCGCAGGTCGTTGCCTGGGCAGAAAACATCTCATCGGCCGAGTCCACGTGGGTGCCATGTGGATGATAAGACCTCGTCCCCAGGTCGGTCTACGACCCTGACCACGGCCTTTGGACGTGCGTGCGCAGGGATCATGTCGGGGGGGATCAATAGTACGTCGCGACGATCCACTAACTTGGGCAGCTGTAATCTTCCTCTCTTTCACATTGGCCCTAGGGTTCTTGATGGTCATCCTCTCTTGTGCGCTATGGTCGAACTGGATGCCGTTTTGGTCAGGTATGTCACGCTTGTCTTACATTGCAGCGGTTTCCTTTGCTTTGGCCCCTGCACCGAATGTTCTGTTCGGCGGATTGGCTGGTGCTGATAGCTTTTCGGATTACAACAAGTGCGTTATTCCATCCTCACTGACCTATAGTGCGTACTTGGACTTTGGCTACTTCCTCACAGGACTGCTTCTCATGACTGGCGTGGCGCTGCCACTCATGCTGGCTCATACTAGTATCATCACAGGCACAGCAGCTCTCTTATCTCTGGGCGGAGGTGTCCTCATCTATGGTACAAGTACGTATGCAAAAGTCCTAACCATGCAGTGATGACCTACGGCGCCTTCTTTCATACCCCTGACGAGTTCTGAAGACTTGTAGCATTGTCATCCTTCTCCTTGCATCACCGTTGATGCTGTGTATGTGCATAGTCTAGAAATTCATCCACTGTCCATGTACGGAGCCATCCTTGTTGCTGGGCCTCGGTGCATGGGACAGGCGCATGTTGCCCCGGATACGGCGCTGGCAAGGGGCCGTGCACCACCGCAATACGTGAATGGTTTGTATGAGATCGCTGTGCTTGACCATGTGGTAAATCCACTTGGATGAAGCGGTATCGATCGTTACGTTGCCCATCGATACTCAGGGCCATGTCATCGTTCGCATCGCGCAGTACTTGAACTCGGCGGAAATCAAAGCCTAGGCCTGCGCCAATATTCTTGGTAAACGCTTCTTTGTACGTCCATAAATCCATCAGGCGGGACAACATGAGATCTTCTGAGCCACTTTCTAGAATCCATTCATACTCTGCCGACGTCATGGACTGCTTCAACGTCTCGCAGAATGTACGACTACTTTTCTCAAACGAAGGCAGACCCACCTCCATGACATCAGCGCCTACGCGTCCTTCTTTGGTATACGCCATCACGACCCAATCTCCATCATGCGAGGCGTTCCAGTCCCAATGCTGCACCGTGGCTGGCTGCTTGACATAGGGACGACCTCCAGGCGTGGTCGTGATCTCAATATCCTTCCATGCACAGGTAGGATCGTTTTCCATGAGCATGACACGTGCCATGACCGTAGCCACCAAGGCACGTATGCGATCCACACCGCGCAAGTAACGGCGTACCTTCGCTGCCGCTTTCGTGTCGTAGGCATCTAGAAAAAAAGCGATTTCCTCGTCCAACGCATCCATCCATGGCAGCCGCTGCGTGTTCTTTCCCTCAACACGGGAATACGCCACTGCATTCCACCGCGAAACGTCCACCGCCCATATATACACGTCGTGTGTCATCGTGGTGGTGGCCAATGACAGTTGACGGCGCAGGTGGAGTGAGATTACTACCTCCACGTCTTCTACCTGGAGCTATGAGAGTATGTGGGTATCCTATGAGCTGTCCTCTTCGTCGCTGCCCATGAGCTTGGCCAGCAGCGCTTCCTCCATGAGCTGACTTCGTTTCGCGCGAGATGAAACTGGGGGTGTGTCCTGCGTTTCGTTGTCCGGCTCTTTGCGTTTGCGCATGACGTTCAAGCCACGCTGCAAAAGATCACGTCGATCGACAATTTGGTGGTCATCGTTCAGTTCCACTTTCAGGCCTTGCTTGGCTGCCTGCTCGGCCTTCATCCGGTCTGTTACTTCTTCCGATACTGGCGCAGCTGCTGCATCGTCTGGCTTCAGATCAGCTAGGGCATCGACAGTCGCTTGCCTTCGCCGACTTTCCTCGTCCAAGATCTTTTGGTGGAAGGCAGCGACGCCTCGACTTCGTTGCCGTTCCCGCGCTTCACGAATACTTTCTTCTTCTTCCGCACGTTGGAGCTCTTCTTGCTGCTCCTTGTACGCAGAGGTTACAAAGGCCTCTTTGCCGGCAAACTCATCCCCTTCGGCGGCTCGTTGGCGCTGAATCATTTTGGACTCGGCACGCAGTCGATCGCGCTCACGAATTTCAGCAGCCTCCATAAAGTTTTGCATATACTTCGGCTTCCTGGATTTATCTTCTTCCTTTTTCGCCTGGCGCATATCGCGCTCAACTTGCTTCATCTTATCATAGACACCATCGTAGTCAAATGTACTGGCATCGATCGCTTCCGCCTCTGCCTGTTGCCGCCGCACAGCTTTCGATACAGGCGCTGCTGATCGCGAGCTGGGGTTAGGCACATGAGATGGTGCATCCTCTTCATCAAACTGCAGGCGCGCCTGCCCTGCGGCTGGTGCTTTGGCCGGCGCCATGGCGCCTTTGAGCGACAGGCTCCATTTGGGCGGAGCCATCGTGTCAAAGTGGAGGTGAGAGGAAACCTGCGACGAACCGTGCGAGGGCTATTTGGCTATATGGTCGCAGGGCTCGTGAGTGCGGCGTCTGTGCCCCTGAGCCAGTGCCACATCGTCAGAGGCGTAGGGATATATTCGTGGCTCACCAGCGCCATTGCCACTTCGAACGCAATCAAATAGATAATAATCAGCTCCATACGGTGACTCGACTCTTCAGTCAGCAGAGCGCGCAGGACCTCCAGCAAATTTTCGCAGTGGTTGAGTTTGGCATTCATCGACTCGATACGTGGCTTCATGTCGAGGGCGGTGCATATACTTCGGTACAATGCCTCCATATGACTGTTTTCCCAGTACAGCTCAGGATCGTCAATAAAGTTATCCCGATCCAAGTTCAGGCGTTGTCGAATGCGTAAAAGGGAGCCCAACTTGCGAATCACATCGCGACGCGATAGCGGTACTTTTCCATTCGCTTCCAGGAGCTCAGGGATGGGCGCTACGCCCGTTGCGTACTCGGACAAGACAGATTCTTGCACTGTCAAACGAGCTGAGGCCGCCAACCCTTGCGAGAAGGCCAAACGAGCTTGCAAGCTCAGCGAAGGGCCGTGGGCGTTTGATTTCGGTGTGCCTGGTGTGCTTGATGTATGGGATAGGCGGCTGGGACGATCTGGCTGTTCAGGCGGCTGGCCCAGCACGATCAAGTCGCCGACGATCCGCGTCGCTTCGTTCGGCAGACGTACAAACTCCATGGCCTCGTCGCCCGCGACTGTGTATTGATGCTGCTCCACAGGGACATGATCGTCACGTAGCACTTCATTGTAGAACGCTGCGTTCTGCTCGGGCGATAAGCCCCATGTCGTGTAGCATCCCGAGCGGAAAATAAACACGCTGCCCACAGGTTCGCCTGTCGTCGGCGCAGGCCATGCAGGAATGTAGATCACCTCTCGGTCCTCGAGCCATACCCAATTGGCCGGCAAGCGCCCGCTGCTGAGCAATACGTCGAAATTGTACGATTGGGCCGTAGCAAATGCCGCGGCTTCGGGCAGGTCGCTCGATGGAATGCGCATGGCTGTGAGGGGCAGGGTGGGCCGCGTATCATCTTCGTGCCAAGGTTGAATGGCGTTTGACGGGCCTAGCTCGGTGCGCGACGGTATCGGGGCCTGCTGTGAAGCGACTTGCTCACGCAGGGCTTTGCTTTCCAGTGCGAGCGCTTTGGCTTTGGCGCTGGGTAGGCGAGCTCGACGTAGGGCATACGGCGATGGACCGGGCGGCACAGCTTTGCGGGAGATGAAGTCAAAACGTGTATCGGCCTTGGCCAAGATCCCACGTTCTTCCAGGAACCGTCGAAGTGTATTGGCCGCCGTAGCGGTGGCTGAGGGTACCGACGCCCTTTTGCTTTTGGACGATGGTGGCGCGCGCGCACGCGACACTACAGGGGAACTATGCCATGGGCGGCAGAAAGGTAGGGCTGTCGTCGTAGGCGTCCGCCAGGGGCCAGCTGCGGTCCGCAGGCCACGCCCTACACGCCCAAACATCCTCGCGGCAGGTGGCTCGAGCGAGGACGGTGGGCCACGCACGCGCGTCCTCCCACGGAGTCACGAGACGCGCCGCCCTGCCACGCTGCTTATCCAATCGGTGGAGGCAATGCTAGCCTTTCTCGTGGGGCCCAGGACCACAGGAAGAGGGACGACCGCGAAAGAGATTGGTTCCTTGCATTTTACCATGTCGCCTCGCAACGACGCAACGACGCGAAGAGAGACGGATCGTCTGTTGGCTGACCCGGAGAATGATGCGCCTATGGTGCCTGAGGGGCGCCGTAGCTCGGCGATGATAGCCAAGATGCGTCGTTTCCGTATTGTGGAAGGCCTTCTTGTCCTGCTGCTCCTTGCACTGGCCGCGTTCGGCGTATTCCGCACGATGAAGAGCGACAACCGCCGTGTGATGTCGCGCGTGTGTACGTCGCGTGACTGTGTGATTACGGCTTTCGAGCTGCTGAGCTCCTTGAACGAGACCGCGGACCCCTGTGACGACTTTTACGAGTACTCTACGGGCGGCTGGCGCGCTACACACGAGATCCCTGACGACACGGGCCTGTTCGGTATCGGTCAGTTTGTCACGGAGAACAACAACAAGGTTCTATTGCGCATCCTTGAGTCGCCTGTGTCTGACGCTTCGCTCTCGCAGGCGGATCGTCAGAGCCTGTCGAAGTTGCGTGACTACTACGAGACGTGCCAAAACACACGTCAACAGAACAAGGAGGGCGCCGAGCCGTTGCTGCACACGCTCCAGGACCTGTACCATGTGTTGCACAAGGCGCCCAAAGGACAGTCGTTGACGGCAGGCCTCACTTGGATGCACAAGAACGGCTTCCATGTCTTGGTCCACACGGAAGTCACGGGCGATCCTGGCAAGGCACCGACCACGGCGACGCCGAACCTATCGCCTGGCCAGCTGGGCCTGCCGGATGCCTCGTACTACGAGGACAAGGACACGCTGAAGCTGTACCGCCAGCTTATGATGGAGGCCATGGACGCGCTGCGTGACGTGCATACGTCGAGCGTGGATCTTTCTTCGAAGGTGGTCGACGACGTGCTGGACTTTGAGAAGGCGCTTGCTGCGATTCAGCCAGATGCCGTGTGGATTGCGGACCCCATCAACGTGTACAACCCCATGTCGGTGAAGGATGTGCAGTCGCTTGTCTCGGCGATTGATTGGACGACATACTTGGACGCCATGAGCCCGGATGTGCACCCGCACAAGGTGATTGTCGCTAGTGAGAAGTACATGCGCAAGCTGAACAAGCTCTTGTCGTCGACGCGGGACGAGACGCTGCATGCGTACATGTACTGGAGCGTAATTCGTACGGCTGGTGTGTTCTTGGGCCCTGACGTGCCCCTGTCGCAGCCCGCTCGTCGTCTGGCGAACTACGTGACGGGTGTGGACTTGGACACGGAGGAGAACCGCGAGGCGGTGTGCTTGGAGTCGGTGACCAAGTCCCTTGGTTTCATGGCAGGTCGTTTCTACGCGAAGGAGACGTTCGGGCCGGACAGCAAGTCGCAGATTGAGGATATGATTGAGGCCATCCGCAAGTCGTTCTACCGCCGCCTGAAGAAGCTCGCGTGGCTCGATGCGAAGACGCGCGAGAATGCCAAGGCGAAGGCGGAGGCGCTCAAGATCAAGGTCGGCTACCCCACGAATCCGGACTCGACCAGTGCCACAGAGATCCACGACTGGTACAAAGACCTGCGTGTGTCGGACTCGCACTATGCCAACGAAATGGCCGCACGTCAGTTCCAAGTGCGTCGTATGTGGGAGCCGATGGGCGGCGAGCTGAACTTGGGCCTGATTGGCGATATGATGACGGCGGAGGTCAATGCCGAGTACAATGCGGACCAGAACGAGATTGTGTTCCCTGCTGGCCTGCTGCAGAAGCCGTACTTTGACCCGACGTGGCCCATGTACTTGCAGTACGGTGCGCTCGGCACGACGGCCGGCCACGAGCTTTCGCATGCCTTTGATCCGTCTGGTCGTCTGTTCGACAGCCACGGCTACTTGCGCGATTGGTGGACGAAGGAGACGTCGGCGAAGTTTGAAGAGCGTCAGCGATGCTTGGAAGAGCAGTATGGCAACTACACTTGGCCTGATGGTGACGGTGGTGTGGTGTACGTGCAAAGCAAGATGACGATCGGCGAGGATGTGGCGGATGCCGGTGGTCTTGCGCAGAGCTACGGCGCATGGAAGCACTTGCTGGAGAAGGGCGGCTCGGAGACGCTGCGTCGTAACATGCTTCTGCCTGGTCTGTCCGAGTACACCCATGAGCAACTCTTCTTCCTTGCGTACGGTGCTGCATGGGCCCGCAACATTCGTCAGGGCGAGGCGTTGAAGCGCATCAAGACGGACCCACACTCGCCGACCAAGTACCGCGTGAATGGTGCGCTTGTCAACTTCCCGCCGTTTGCCAAGGCCTTTGGATGCAAGGCCGGCCGTGATAACATGGCGCTAAAGGCAGCAGACCGTTGTGAGATTTGGTAGACTAGTAGGCATATTGGGTAGCATTGTCGTACGGGGGCCGCGCGGCGTCGCCCTGGAAAGAGCCTCCACCTCCACGCGGGGGCCGCGTCGTCTGTCCGACCGTCTGTCATGCCCGCCAGGAGGGTCTCGGAACGGACGCCGCTTCTGGCGCAGCGCACGCCACCAACGCGGCGCACAAGTCTGGCAGATTCCATCAATGAGGCACGAAAGAAATGGCAAGACAAGTACCATCCCAGCAAAGCACGGCCACGCGATTTGTTTGTCCTGTTCGCATGGCTGTGTCTCCTCGTCTTTGCCATCATCCAAGTCGCAGGGCTGGACGATCGGCGTGTGTTGGACCAAGTATGCATATCACGCGAGTGTGTGATGGCTGCTACGGGGCTTATGCGCTCCATGAATACCACCGCCGATCCTTGCGACGACTTTTACGAGTATGCGACCGGCGGCTGGCGCGCGTCGCATAGCCTCCCGGACGATAAAAGCCGGATTGGCATATTTGACGACGTGGATACGAACAATGAGGCTGTTTTGCGCTCCATCTTTACTGGGCCTGTGGACGATGCTTGGAGCAATGTCGATCGTGCGAATGTACACAAGCTACAGACGTGGTATGCGTCGTGCATGAACACCTCGGCGCTGGCGCAGCAGGGCGATGCGCCTCTTCGCGCCACAATTGAGGCCATGCCATCCGGCCACTCGAGCGCCGCCGTCGCAAAGAGCGTGGCGTACTTGCATCAGTATGACTTCCCGGCATGGTTCGACGTATCGATTGAAGGCGACGAAGGCGAGGCACCCACGATAGGCACACCCGTGGTGGCGCCAAGCGGCCTAAGCTTGCCAGATCCCACGTACTACCAGGACAATGATACAATGCATCTATTCAAGGAGGCCGTGCACATGGCCGCCCGATCGCTGCGTGCTGTGGACGTGCCCTTCACCACCGCGCAGGCCGACGATGTCGTCGCGCTGGAATCCAAGTTGGCCGCCATTACGCCCTCGGCTGTCGCCATGTCGGATCCTATGGACGTGTACAATCCGATGACATTCAAAGAACTTCAGCGTCTGTGCCCCTCTGTGGACTGGCACGCGTACTTTGCCGCAATGGGCGCACGTACGTCGCCGCACCGTGTCATCGTACGAAGCAAAGCGTACCTGCACGATCTCGATGCCGTGTGGCGCTCTACCTCGGCTGCGACGCGCCAAGCGTATGCCCAGTGGAAAATGGTGCTTCATGCCGGTGCGTGGCTGAGCCCTGACGCTCCGTTGGCCCAGCCAGGGCGCCGTCTTCGCAATGCATTGCAGGGCCTGGCGCCCGACACGGAGATGGATCGGTCGCATGTATGTGTGCAGCGTGTGAATCGCGCGCTCGGTTTCATGGCCGGCCGTTACTACGTGAAGCGAGCCTTGAAGCCAGGGGACCGTGTGCGTATGACCGAGCTGATCGAGGCACTTCGGCAAGCGTTTTACCATCGCTTGGATACGATTCCCTGGCTGGACGACGATACACGAGACGCTGCGCGTGCCAAGGCGGAGGCGATGACCATTCGTATAGGCTTCCCTGACGAGCCCAAGACAAAGAGCGCTCATGCGATGCAGGCATGGTACACGGATCTGCCTGCGACGGACGACGCGTACGCCAACGAGCTCGCTGCTCGACGATGGCAGTCGACGAAGGCATGGTCGTACCTAGGCGCGCCACTGAATCTACGTGGCCTCGGCGATATGACGACAGTCATGGTAAATGCCGAGTACATTCCACCGTTCAACCAGATTGTATTCCCAGCCGGCATTTTGCAGCCGCCGTTCTTCGACAGTGCCTGGCCGATGTACATGCAGTTCGCCGCGATCGGTATGGTGGCAGGTCACGAACTGTCGCATGCGTTTGATCCGCATGGCCGGTTGTACGATGCGAAGGGCTACTTGCGCGACTGGTGGACACCTGCGACGGCCAAGGCCTATGAGGAGCGCCAGGCGTGCATCGAAGCGCAATACGGCAACTACTCCATGGACGACGGCAAGGGCGGTCGTGCGTATATCCAAAGCCGACTCACCGTTGGCGAAGACGTGGCGGATGCCGGCGGCCTTGCACAGAGCTACCGCGCATGGCAAGCCACGATGCAGTATGGCGGCCTGAAAGTGTACGAGCAGAACCGACGCTTGCCTGGCCTTGATGACATGACGCAGGAGCAGCTGTTTTTCCTTTCGTTCGCACAGATCTGGGCTTCTCAGCAGCGGACCGAGGAGGCCGTCCGCTTGATCAAGACGGATCCGCACTCCCCCGAGCGGTTCCGTGTGAATGGCGCGCTGGCCAACTTCCCACCGTTTGCCAAGGCGTTTGGATGCCGCGCAGGGCCCACCTCGTTTGTCCACGACGAGCAAACACGTTGCGACATTTGGTAAGGTGCCTGCCCTCTTCGTAGGGCAGGCCACGCCCATAGTGTATTCTTTCCTACTTCTATACATGTTCTACGCCGATCGCTTGGCCTTGGTATACGGACACGCAGCAGTCCTCGCCTCCTGCCACGAGGCGATCGCCCTCCGGCGTCCAATCGAGGCCCAGAATCTTTTGCGCAGAGGCTGTGGGACGAGCCCGCGACACAGACACCGGCTGCGACAGTGCAAAGAGCGCCTGCTTGGGCGAACGCACATCCCATACTTTGATGCGGCCATCGTACGCCCCCGAGGCAAAAAGGTGCGACGAGGTGGGATGTGTCCGCAACGCACTAACAGGCGCCGCATGGGCATTTGCAATGGCCACAGCCGCATTCGTCACAGCATCCCGGAAATCGTAGAGCGCAATCGAGTGGTCCATATGTCCCGTCATCACTTCTGGGTGTGCCGAGGCTGGGTGAGCACCACGCACAGGGTCAAGAGCCAGCGCTACCTTGTCTGACTGCTTCTGGCTTTGCAGCACACCACCTGCTTCCACATCCCAGCACTTGACAGCGCCATCCCAGCCTGCACTCCAAATACGACGATCGCCCTGATCAAACGAGGCCAGCGTGCGGGCATTGGCGCCAGGCGTAGGCGCTGTGCCCAGGGCCTTGGCCGCCGACGCACCGAGCGTAGGTACGACATGGTGCAGCACCATGGTCGGCGCCATGGGTGGCTGTACCGTCGAGGCCTCAGCCTGGCTGGGCGCTTGGGCGCCACGTGCGCCGCGTCGCTTCTTTGTCGGGGCGCCCTCGTCGGCAGGCGCCCTGGACGTCGAGATGGGCGCGTCCGCTGGCACATCCCACAAGGCGATGGTGCCATCCCAGCCGGCACTCAGCACAGCAGCGCGGTCGCCACGCACATACGTATCGATGGTCGAAACAGGCGACGTATGGTGCCGCAGCTCCATGGCTTGCACAATGGGAATAGGCGATGAGGCGCCAGGCACAGCCGGCACACGCCATACGGCGACGGTGCCATCCATACTACCTGTCGCCAGTGTCTGCACATCACCTGCCAGCTGAAGCCATCGTGCGGAGGTCAGCGATACATCCGTCGCGTACGATGGCGTGTACGTTTGAGGCTCGCTCGTCAACGCATCCAGATCATACACACGCGTACGTCCATCGTACGATGCCGTAAGGACCACACCAGGCCGCCTCGCATCGATCGATGAGACCCAGTCGTCCTGTCGTGCGGCATCTTTAAAGGCTGGCGGGAGCGTACTCCGAATGTACTCCAGCTCCAACGCAGACTCGGCACTCTCGCCGTGCTGCGCCAGGTATTCTTCCAAGCTGCATCGAAGAAGCTCTCCATTCACAATAAAGTCAAAAGGTACCGATTTGTACTTGGCATCGCCCTCCGTCTCACTGCCCTGGGCCGCTGCCAACACTTTGTTGACCAACGTGGAAAGCTGCGAACGACGCCATGTCACAGGCACCATGTATGGCACATAGGGAATCGAGCATCCAGGCAGCGACGTACGAAGACGAATAGGCATCGTAGCCGGTGCACTCACACCACTACCACCGCCCAGCGACGCTGTCGCGCCATCGTCCTCCAGCTGCATCGTCGTCACGTCGAGCTGACCCCGGCGAAGTGGCAGGCAGAAAAAAAAAGTGCGCGCATGCCACGTGGCGAAGACGCTAGTGCCAGGCGGCCTGTGCACGTGTGCACGTGAGAGGCCGCGTGGGCGCTCCAGGCGCCGCCGGCCTCACGTCCGAACGAACCACTTGCTAGGCCATGTCGCACACACTGAGCCGCCGACTTGCGTCGGTGCCTACGAAATGGCGTGGTGCGTCAGTGTTGCATCGTAGTGGCGTGTGTATGCCTGTGCGCACGCCGCCCATGATGCTGCGTATTGGTCTCTTGTCCGCACACGATGAGCTTCGTGGCGTGTCTGGGCCGGCGCTCCTGTCTGTGCGAGCCTTGTCGACATCGCCGCCGCGTGCGATGCCGTCAAAGGGAAAGGATGTGGTCACGCCGGAAGAGCCTAAGCAGAGTCTTCCAACACGTGTATGGAACAAGGTGAAGGAAGAAGCGCTGCATTACTGGCATGGCACGAAGCTGCTCGGCAAGGAAATTAGCATTTCCTTCCGTCTGCTACGCCGCATGATTTTGGGCTACACACTCACACGTCGTGAACACCGTCAGTTGCGACGCACGATGGGTGACTTGCTTCGTCTGATTCCGTTCATTCCATTTGTGATCATTCCTGCCGCTGAGCTCTTGCTTCCTGTGGCCCTGAAAATCTTCCCGAATATGCTTCCTAGCACGTTTGAAAGCAAATTCGCTGCGGAAGAAAAGCGACGACGTCTTCTTAAGCTTCGTATTGAGATGGCCAAGTTCTTGCAGGAGTCGATCAAAGCAGGTGGCTTGCAGGTGTCGCATACCGTGCGAGACTCGGAAGCGTTCCAAGACTTTTATCACAAGGTGCGCATCGGACAGCATCCCTCCAAGCAAGAAGTCATCCAGGTGGCGAAACTGTTTGACGATGAGCTAGCGCTGGAGAACTTGACGCGGCCGCAACTAGTGTCGATTTCTCGGTACATGCAATTGTCGGCGTTTGGTACAGACAACTACCTGCGATTCCAAATCCGTCATGCGCTCTCTCGTATTCGTCAGGACGATTTGGTGATTAGCAATGAAGGCTCGGATTCCATGTCGTACCAGGAACTCCTCGCGGCGTGCCAGTCGCGTGGTGTTTGGTCGCATGACCGTACGCAGGAGCAGCTCAAGGAGGGCCTGGACGTGTGGATCAAGCTGCACATTCGCGAGCACATCAGTGGTACGCTTCTGATCCTTAGTCGTGCGTTCTACTTTCTGGGTGAGTCTGAGGATCCGAATGCGACGTACCAAGACATGCAAATCAAGGCGCTTGAACTGACCATGAGTTCGCTGCCAGAGTCGCTGCTGAACGAGGCGGAGCTCAACTTCAGCAAGGAGTCTGCTACGAACAAGCAGCGCTTGGAGGTGCTGCAAGAGCAAGAAGAATTGATTGAGGATGAGGCCGAGCAGGAAGAAGAGGAGCAAGCTGCGCGCGATGCGGCCAAGTCGCGGAAGGATTCGGAGGCTACGGAAGCGTCCAAGATTGTGCCCTCGACGCAGAAAGATGCCGACGATGCCCGCATGACGCACGAGCAGCTGACGGAACTGGGCGAGGCGCTGTCGATTTTGAGTGCCAAGTCGTCAGTGCTGCGTGAGCGCCAGGATCTGCAGCAGTTGATGAACGACTTGCCGCCGGAGGAGCGTGAAGACACGGTCGAAGGGGATGACAACATGCCGCGCAAGAAGAGTCTGTACCGCAAAATCCGCTCGATGCTCAAGCGCATTGATAAACAGCTGGAAGAGTTTGACAAGGACGTGGGCGGTCGCATGAACCTCATCGAGGCGAGCTCGACCGGCAAGATCAGTGTGAGTGATCTCGAGCAGGCGCTCCGTTTGATCAAGCACCGCCCCGATGAAGAGGTGCTCCACAAGCTTGTGGACAAGCTCGATGTGGACCTGGATGGCCTTGTGCCACTGGATGATGTGCTAGAGCTTGCAAGCCAAGAAAAGGGCTTGGAGACCACGCATGGAGGTACAGTGAAGGATATTCAGAAGGAAAGTGAGCGTCTTCAATCGAAAAAGCCTCGAATGAGCGACATTGTCGAAGATGCATAGCCGTCGTTGATAGATCGACCCACTGACAGAATGTACAGAAATTCGCTACAAAACGCCTACTTCTCTTACGTACGCTTGGCCTTGTGCTTCCCGGTGATCGCCAGTTTTGCAGCAGGCTTGCCCTTGCGCTTGCCCGCCACCGACGACAAGGGCACGTACGCATAGGGGCTCATGCCGTTCTTCTGCACATCGCCCTCGGCGCGACGTGCACGGAACTCGGAGCCAATGGCCTGCTTGCCGCGCTTCGGTCGGCGGGGCGCGTGACTGGCTGTCTCTGCCTCCTCCTCCTCGTCGTCTCGGCGCTCCTGGGCCCGTGTGCGCTTGTTGTTCTTGTTGAACTTGACCGCCCCGCCACGTCCACGGTGCGTAAAGCCGTCCACACCCAGCGACTTGTCCATGTACGCATGGCCTTCCGTCGCCATAGCCGCGGCCTCCGGCCCGTCCGCCGCGGCGGCCGCCGCCTCGTCCTGAATGTGCAGGCGGCCCATATCATCGACTTGGAACGACTTGGCTTCCTGGCCAGGCTCGCGGCGTGGCTTGGCACGTACATGCGAGCGAATCGCACTCACCGTGGAGGCATCCAGCAGATTCATCGGCGTATCGTTGTCTTCCAGCAAATAGGTATCGTCTTCGCGGTGCTTCGCGCGACGCTGGCGGCCCTGGTTCGGCAAGCGCGCCTTCGGTCGCGTCGCCTTTTCCTCCGCATCCTCGTCGCCGTCCGATTCCGATTCCGAGGCACTGCCGTACAGCGCCTCTTCGAAGGCATCGACACCTACGCTCTTCGCTGGCGCCCAGTCCGTCTCTTCCTCGCCTTCGTGCGTCGACGCCTGCGCACGACGGCGCTTCGCGCGTTCCTTGCGCTTGCGAATGTTGGCCAGCAGACGCTGGTTCTCGGCATCGACATGCACTTCAATGGCCTTCTCGCCAAAGCGACGCAGCAAGCGCTCGATCAAGTGGCGCACACGGCCCTTGAAGTGGTTCTTGTGCACATGGCGGACATGCAGCAGCGCCGGGACCAAGGTGGGCAGCGTGCTTTCCACGTCCGGCGCAGGCAATGCGACCAAAGCCACCTTGCAGAAACCCAAGGCGCCCTTCACAATTTCACGGTTCGTGCTCTCGAGGAACACGAGCATGGTCGCAAGCAGCTCACGCACCGTGTCGGCTGGCAAGGTCGTGTGGAATTCGTACAACAACCGGGCCAACGCTGTAATCGAAGCGCCAATCATACGTGGACTCGCGCCGGCCAAGCCCGCCGCGACCATCATGACCAGCTCCTGCACGGAGGCGTCCACCGACGCCGTCTCTGCGTTCGCCGCGCCGGCCTGTGCACGATGGATTGTACCACCTTGCGCCATACGATGCCCCATCTCCACAAGCAGGTCGTACGCCGCTTCTCGTGCGCCCTGGTTGGCTTCCTTGGTGCCCAGCACGGCTTCCGGCACGACACTGCCCAGCAGGCCAAGCTGATCGTTGGGCCAGTGTGGGAGCAGGGCCAGCAGCAACTGCAAGCGATCACGCACGGCACCAGGCTGCACGTCCAATGTGAGCCATTGCGAGACGAGCGCGGCTGTGCCAAAGTGGCTACGCAGGGCCTCGGCCTCGTCACCTGTCAGCAGGCGGGCCAACGCACGGTATGCTTTCTTTTGCAAGCTGCTATCGGCCACCGGCAGGACATGGGCACACATGTCGACCAGCTGGATCGCTTCCGCTTTCTTGAGATGCGGGACCAGCGCCAATAGCAGATCCATCATCGTATGCGGCACAGGCGGGACGTAGCGTGGGCTATTCGGCTCCGGCATACCCGGCGCCGGCATGCTTGGCTCGTACGTTTGCAGCGCCTGTGTGAGCATCGCGGCCACTTTGCTAAAGGTCTGCGCAATGCTGGGCGCATCAAGAATCGCCAAGTAGGTTCGAATGCATTCCATGACGTAGGCACGTTCCTGCGCAGGCAGTTCAGAGAGTAGGTTGAACAACGAAGCGAGCAGCACACCTGCCAACGAACGCAAATGCGCCAGTGTCGCTTGGCCTTGTGCCTGATCCACACCAAACTGGCGCTGCAGTTGGTCGGCCGGCGCTTGCGAAGCCACGAGCGACTCGGTACGCTGCACGAGCCATTCCAAGCCCTTGAGTACACTGGGACGCAGCGCACGTTGCGTACGCAGCACCTGGACCAACAGCTCCAGCACCCGCGGCGTAAGCGCCGTAGGCACATCGCGCGCCAGATCACAGTAGCCAGGGAAGCACGCCCAAATCTGCTCGATCAGCGCCTCCATTACTTTGGCCTCCACAGGCCGGGGCGCCGTGCCATCGGTCGGCTGCTCAGCGCGCACACGCAGCTCGAAGAGCGCCTCACTGAGCGGGACCATCGCCTCGACAAAGTGCTGTAGGTTTGTGTTGGTAATGTGCGCACGCAGCAACGGCAGCATCCACGCACGGCCCGTACCCTGCATATTAGGCCGGCCTTCGTCGTCGAGCAATTGCAGGGGCAGCACAGCCAAGATACGCGCAGGCCCACACACTTCCACGGCCGTGCCCAGGACCGCATCCGCTTCGGCCCGCGCATCAAAGTCGCGTTGGGTTCGCAGAGACGCCACATGCACGACTTGGTCCATCAGCAACGTTTCCGCCGGCGGCGCCTGACGAGGCTCAAGAGGGTAGCGCAGACGCTGCAAGCAGCTCGACAGAACAGGCAGAATGTCGGCACGTGCATGCGCGTAGCGCAGCGCATGCGTGCCCAGCGCATCCTTCACCGAGTCGAGCATCGTACGAAGAGGCGACGTCGATGCTGTAAGTGCTTCTGCCACCGCTTCTTCTGGCACACAATAGCGCACGAGCGCCTGGAGCAACGTCCGGCCTGCCACACGCACGCTGGGCGAGGACCGCGATGCATCGGATTGCGCCGAGAGTGCCAAGTGCCATGTCTGCTGCCACAACGTAGGGACCAACGCCCACGCCGCGGTGGGCGACGCGGCCGAGTAGGTCACCATGCACGATTCCAGCACGCCCATGTACGACGGCAGCGTCTGCACGTCGGTGGACGCAGGCACCGCGCTCTCGTCAAGCAAGGCTGAGACCGTCTGCGCGAGCAGTGTCACGTCGCGCGCAGGTTGGTCCAGGGCCGTGGACGCCGCCAGCATCGCTTCGGTGCTCATAGCCTCGGCTCGGGGTGAGCGGAAGAGCGCGGCAAAGACGTCGTACACAGCCACTGTCAGGAACGGATTTTGCAGGGCAGGCAGCAGTAGCAGCGCTGGGACCAGAGTCGCCGTGGTCTTGGGCGGCACCAATGCGACCAAACCTTGCAAAAGCTGGCAGACCCAGATACCGCTACTCGCTGCGCCTTCCGACGCGGCTTGTTGCCGCGCTGCCGCGGCACTCTTGGCATGCCGCGCCTGTCCACTCTTCTTGTCGTAGGTGGGCTTGCCGCCTTGGGTCGTTACAGGGCCGCCACGAGCTTCTGCCACATGTTGCAGTGTCCGTGCCGCCCACGCCATCGTACGCGACGCATAGGGATGGTCATGCGACCATGCCGGCAATCCCAGGATGTGGCGCACGAGATCGTGCGCACGTCGGCGCACTTTGGGACGGGCATCCATACAAAGAGAGAGGACCAGGTCCCATACCGTAAGCCACGTCCGCTCCCGCTCCAAGTGCGTTCGGTCCTTCACTGGGACCATCTCAAGCAACGCCTCGACGACGCCCAACGCCGATCGGATACGTGCATTCATATGCTCACTCGCACCGTGGGGCTCAGCCAAGGGCGCCGCTACAGCGCTTAGCAGGGCCAAGCTCTTTGCACGTACGACGCCAGGCGCGACGTACGGCAGGACAAGGCTGAGAAGGTACACAGACGAAGCATGCACATCCTCGCCAGGCTCCTCCGCACTCAGTAAACTTTCCAGAGCTAGGAAGTATTGCGTAGGCCCTGTTTCTTGTTGTTCCTGTGCTGCACGCTCGGCCAAGGTCGCCTCAATAGCGACAAGCAGCTGCGCAGGTGCACGTTGGTTCTCCAGCTTGGAGTCTTTCAGATGACGAATACGCGAGAGCGCATCTAGTAGACCAAGACGGCGCTCGACTGCATTGTATGTATCCGAAGACGTAGCTCCATCTTCTGCCGACATAGATGCCGACATCGCGTTGCTCTCGTCGTCCGCTGCACGAGCCGACGTTGGGCTGCGTCGAGGAGGGCCTACAAAAAAATTTGTAGGCGGCGCTTTAGTCATGCCACGTGATATGTCAAAGCACGATGCCACAGGAACACCGACGCGTAGGTTGCCCTGGGACCTATCGTCAGGGCGTACACAGGGTCCTTCCTGGCTGGCCAGGCACGACGAGTGGCAGGCGAAAAGAACGACAAAAGTCGCACGGTGGTGTGATTTGCAACGACCATGCCATCGTCGACGTCGACAGGTGCTCCGTCCCTACCTCAGGGCCATAGCCCTGAGTGGACACAGGGCATGATGTACCTCGCTGCCCACGAACTCAGTGCCCCCTCGGAGCGATATGTGTACATTCTCTGGATCCTCTTTGCATGCTTGGCTCTCCTGCTAGGTATTGAGCACATGCTGGGCCTTACGCAACGCTCCTTCTTAGGCGCCGTGTGGACCAAGTGGGCTACCATGCATTACGTGCCGAAGACGCGTGTAGGTGCCTCCGTCTGGTATAAATGGCAGCAGTCGATGTACAAGACCGCCTACGTGACCTTGCAAGCAGGCAACGTCCTCCTTCTTCTTCTGATCCTCGTGCCTGTGCTGTGCCTGACCTTCATCGGCGCCGACTATATCAACCCGCGTGCGTCCATTTTCGACGTGCACACCAACTTTCCTACGCCGGACGAAGTTCGGAAGGCGCATTCGATGCCACAGCGTCGCGGTGTGCAATGGGGTCTCGGTGACTACCCACGCGTGCTGACCAGACCACCGTCGTACACGCTGCCATACCATACGTACTGGTCGATGGGGTCGCGATTCGGCGACTTTTGCAATGCGCTTACGCCCTTGGTCGTCTTGTTCGCACTGAAGCAAGCGCCTTTTGCCTTGATGGCGCTCCCCCTTTTTGGGCGATACTCCATGGACGCCTTGTCTTTCCTCCATCGCTGGGGCGGACGTCTGCTATGGCTCTACGCACTCATCCACACAATTTTGTGGCTCGTACAAGTATCCCAGGATGCGCACGTAAAGCCGGGGCTTTGGTCTATGCTCCTAGGCATTGGCCGATTCCGTTGGGCGATCACAGCGTTCATCTTTTTGACGCTGCTCGTGGTTCTGTCCGTGGGCCCGATCCGTCGGCGGTATTATGAGTTCTTCTATGTGACACATATTGTGTGTGTGATTGGATTCATGATTGCTACGTGGCTCCATCATCCGCAGCTGGGCTGGTGGATGCTTGCTGCCTTTTTGTTATGGGGCCTCGAACGTCTTTGGCGTCTGGGCCGCGTCTGGTACATCAATGGCCGGCCCTCGTCACCCCAGACGCTCAAGCCACTCACGCTCTCAACGATGCATACGTCCCCTCTTCCTACGGATGTACCTGCCCCATTCGGCAAGGACGACGAATCCATGCGGTGGAACGAGTCGGCGGAGCATGTGCCCATGGCGACGCCGTCCTGGGAGACTCTGCCTACGCCATTCCGTCCTGTTATCTCGGCAGACTTGCGACTGCAATTGCAGCCTGGCTATGCGTTTATTCAGCCGCTCGCCGGGCAGATGATGAGGCTGGTCCTTCGTACCACGCGGCCGATGTCATGGCGCGCTGGTCAATGGGTGTACCTGATGCTCCCGACCTTGAGCTGGATTCAGTCACATCCCTTCACGATCGCCTCGTCGTATGTGCGCAAAGGCAAAGCGTTCTTGCCCGAGGATCAAGATGGCCGCGCTCCACGTGATGCGGATCAACTGATTGTACTTCTGATTCGCGCTCGAAATGGCCTCACACGTCGCTTGTGGGACAGTGTTGCGCCTTCCGGTGACAATGCTATGCCATCTCTCCACGCCTCGCACGTTCATGGAATGCATGTGCGTGCGATTGTGGATGGCCCCTTTGGCAGTGCGGCCCGTATGGACTGGGGTGCGTATTCTACGTGCGTAATTGTATGTGGTGGATCGGGTGTGACGCTGGGGTTGGCAGTGTTGGAGCACCTGTGCCGTAAGATTGCCAACTATTTGCAGGGCAAATCCGTGCATGGTGCCTATGGCCGTTCGTTCTTGACCCGGCGCGTGCATTTCGTATGGGTGATGCGCGAGTATGCACATGTGCAATGGGCTGCCAGCACGCTTCGTTTGTGTCTCGAAATGCTTCCTCCGTCGCACTTGCGGATAGAGCTGTACGTGACGCGCGTGCATGAACGGCCTGTGGCCCCTGCGCCGCCCATGCCGCCGGTAGCTCCTACATTGGCAGTCCCCGCCTCGGGTGAGAATCTGCGTGTAAGCACGCCAGATGTAGGTGCACCAGCGCAACAAACAGCAGCCATGCAAACATTGGGGCTTAATGATAACGATCTTACGCAGTTTGGGCCTGACGAAGACGGGCCCCTGACATTGGCAGATCGCTCCATGAACGAATTCATCCGGCAAGAAGGCAAACTTCGTCGTGAACGTACCCGACGCAAGCGCTCCATGCGCCGTCCAGCACGAGCTCGTGTAGCGCCTATGGAATCGTTCGCGACACAACATGCAAATGTGCAGGCGGACAAGGACTTGGCATCCATGGGTATTGTGCCTCAAGCCAACTGCATGGACGAGGCGAGCGGCGCTTCGACGCCTCAGGAGGCGCTCATGCCTTTGGACACGTCACGTCCCTTACCCCTGACGCCCATTGAGACCTCGACGGATCATGCCTGGCCACCGCCTCCCACCTCGACATCAGCAACGACCAAGCACGACTATTTCTCCCTTCCTTCTGCTATGCCATCGCACGAATCCATTCCTATGGAGCCACTTCGCCCCACGCCCCAGCAAGCAAGCACATCCACACTTCATATACCAATGACCTCAGCGACGGCCAACCTGGACCCGCAAGAATATCAAGACTATACCATTGTATCAGAACTCACACGGGCTGGCTACCCACCTCTAGACGATATCATCCGCACGGAAATGACAAATGCGCAAGGGCGCACAGCAGTTGTAGGCTGCGGACCGTCCGGCCTTATGGCCTTGCTGCGTATGGCCGTATCGCACCACATCGAGCTGCGCAAAGTTTGGCACGGTGACGCTTCAGGGCATGCCAACCTATTTACCGAATCGTACGAGTCATAGTAAGGACAGCATTCGTCGTAGAATTGTACATAGGCTTTCATCTACTCTTTTTTCGGACTATACATATCACGGAAGCGCCGCAAAAGAGTGTTGAGCAGCGTTCCAAAAAATAGAGCCACAAAGGTGGAGTAGAACAAAATAATGTTGTACGGCATCGAGAAATCCGGCGCAGCCATGTCCAGCAAACTGGGGGAGGTATAAAGCCGCGCCGCTTGCACACGCGCTACAGGCCATGGCGCATGCACTTTGGCCCGCGAAAAGGAGCCGGACAGCGGCATAAACAAGGCCGGCGGTAAGTCCATGCCGCGGTGGGGGTCGGGTACATGCTCATCGTAGTGCAGCATATGCTTCATCAGCGTATACGTCACTGTCACTGTGCTACCCGCAGGCACACGCAGCGTCAATTCCATGGCACCCATATGCTCTCGCAATCGAGGCGGCGTGTACTTGGCCGCTACGACAAACGGCAGCTCAATGTCATCCGCATACCGCACCATATCATCCGACTCATCGTACTCATCCACCTGTGCCGAGGCTTGCATGGTATGCAGCAGCGGCAAAAACATCGACGGTATATGATCATAGTACAGCACTCGCACAGTTTCGGCAGGTAGGCTGTTCCGCAGCGTCAAACGCACGGTATTGTGCTCTTGCCCGTACCCAAGCACTTGACGAGTCGCCTGTAGCGGAGGAGGATGAAGAAGAAGACTGTCACTCGGTGCTGTCCACTGCAGCGCAAGTTCCTTGTCGTAGGCATCCAACGAGGATGTTACGTATGTATAAGAAGCCAACTGAGTCATAAATGCGGCGCGTGGTCCCACACGAGTCGACGACAGGCCCATGTCTTCGTCGTCGTCCTCCTCCTCCTGTAGCAAGTCAGAGAGCAACTCATCTTCCTCCTCAGCTGCCATCGAGACAGGCGCCGGCAGCGGTTGGGGTTCCGTGTCACTGTGTACAATCACACGACTTGACGTCGCAATAGGACATACTGATTGCAAATTCGTTTGAAACATGTCCGAAAACGACCACAGATGAGCACCTAGAGTGTCGGGCCTCATCACCGCGTGCACCTTTAGGCTCATACGCCACGTTGTCGCATCCCGCTCGACATGGAGTACCACGCTGTGGAATTCTGCACTGAGAATCGAATGGGGCTTGACCAAGCTCGCTAGTCCAGCGCCACCTTTGCAAGGCAGCAATTTGAGAAGCGGTGAAATATTCTCTGTGCACACACTTTCTGACGGCAAGTAGGCATGTAGGACCGGGCTCCGATGCGTGAAATAGGCATGTGATGGCTGAATGGTTGTTTTCTCATCGATCGCATCCAGTGATGCACATGAAAGGCTCGCTAAGGCCGACGTCAAGACCCGCCAACGTGGCCACATCTCTTCCTCGTTGCTCATAGCCGCCCACACCTCAGCACCGCTAGCCACAGACTCGTCTCCCATCGTCTCAAAGGACGGAGCACCCCATACATTGTACAGCCAGCGTCCTTTTGTTAAAGCCAGTTGAAGCTCCGATACATTCTGCGCGACAACGGGCTGCCACAATGCGCGTGGCAGAAGCCCGAAATGATGCAGCGACGTTGTCTCTGATGCAATCTCAAATGCAAAGGATGCATGAACACGACCACCGACCAGAGGGTGTAGCGTTAATGTCTCATTGAAGGACTCTGATAGGGCCCATACAGGCAGCACGACCAAGAGCCATAAGGCGAATAGTCGCCGCATGGCTGCCGTAAGCAACAGATGGAGGTCAAGAAGGGTATCCAAGTTTCAGCACTATAAAAATGACAATCCAAAAAATACAAAGTACATTACATGAGACCATACATAATCATGTGAAGACCTTGAGTTGGCATCATTTGAGGCGGCTTGTACCTTAAGTACATAGGCGGTTTTAGCTGCCCATCGAACTGGTACAGTTGTAACTTGTACGTAGGCTCATTATAGTGAATGTAAGTTGTGATATCATATCCCTTCATTACTTCGGATCTAGACAGGTTAGTACAAGATCATGAATACATACTGCGAGTAGTAGTAGATTTTATTAGGATTGGTACCACAAGTATCCAGCAATTGCATTCGGCCATCTGCGGTGAAAGGGTCTAGCCGGATGGATGTGTCTGGAAAAATCGTGTAGTTTCCGTGTTGCCAGATTAGTTGGGCTGTATAGCATCCAAGAGGACGTGTGCCTAGAAAATGAGAATACATTAAACACATACCATTGCTTTGAATAATATACAAGGCTTGCTCCCAATAGCCGTGTGTTTTGTTGATCATATGGAAGCTGTAGGCTTGTCCTGGTACGGAAGGCACATTAAATGTATTGTTCACAAGATTGTAAAATTCGGGACCTGTGGTTACTGCACCAGTTCCTGAAGACCATGTGCCTTCAATAAGAGTATCAGCCACACCACTGTATGGCTTGTTCTGGGCACGCACAGTCGACACAAAAAGCAAAAGTGACAGAAGGCATGCCCATACCTGTCCCATTAGATGAGATAATCTCATGCTAAGGATGGAGTCCAAATGGGTGACGGCAATAGAAGGACTCCCTGTGAGGTCACAGGCAAGCGAAAGTAGCTAAAGAAGGCTGTGCCTTGAAGCCAAGAGACAGCGGAAAGTCTACACTTCGCTTATAAACAAGGTAGGCCCAAGCTCAGCCTCTACAGCCAATAAGCGGCAAGAACATCAGGGTTCGTCGCGGTAGCCCGATACCAACGTGTCACATTCGAACCATATGTCACGTGCTGAGACGTGTGTGGGGCTGGCGAGACCCCCTTCGAGCTTCAAGTAGACAGGCTTGGCACGTACGCGCGCCCGGCGTGGAAGAGGTGTGCGTGAGACGCGCTGTTGAGACAGTAAACGCTGTGATCGCAAGCTCATGCGCGAACGTGGTTCACTTGTATTCACTGTAGGCGCATGCGTATCATAGGCAGACGGAGGCAAGGGTGAATCGGATGGTTCTCCTTTCGATGAGGCTGTTGGAAGAGTCCAATGAGGCCTAGGCGTCCAGCCGGGTATACGTGTTGTAGATGGTGCAAGTACTAGAATGCGAGTACGTGAGATAGGTGTAGAGCCTAAAGACAGAAGGTCATGTTCCATGCAGTGACGTACGAAACGGCGTTCTAACATTGCGCTCACTTTGCGGCGCCGTTTCTCCGTGTCTTCAGACTCCTCTATCACATTTTTCCCTAAAGATATCATGTGCTCAAGCTGGATCACGAAAATTGATTGAGGGAAAAGGAGAGATTGCCCTGTTACGAATGCGATGCGCAGAGAGGATGGCATAGGGGTATCAGGTTGCGACAACAGTTTAAAGAGATTGTGTATTCGTGACTCAATGCGGTTTGATGCCTCCAATGCGCGATATACAGGCATCCATGAGCGGTCCATGCGAGCCAATCGAGGTCGATGAGACGCTTCATGCAAATCTAACGCGAAGGACATGGGTGCGATGAAATCTCCTAAACCTGTATTATCAAGGTACTGGTATAATCCATTCTCTATAGCAGAGAAGGGTCTAGAAAAATGTAAGACAGAACTTAGTACATACGCTGGCACTTGGCCCTGCGTCCAGAGCACATGCCGCAAGGCAGTCGAGGCGAGCAAGGATGCCAGCTTCACAACGTGACCACTTGGTTGGTCGCCATTCTCATTGGCTTCACGATTCCATTGCGTTTGCCACAGAGAGGATACATCCAAGCATGACTCGTTATCCTCCTCGGCACGACTTTCCATATAGGCAAACCAGTCGCGTAAAACGTACGACCAGGCGCGTGGTGGTAGTATCACGTGATCGACCACGCCAGCGCAGCCGTGTCGGGCGCCGTGCACCCATCCGATTGACGACGTGAGACGGTGTGCAGGGCCGTTTGAGACGGAATACCGCGCCGGAGTAGTCTGCCAACATGCAGATGCTCACCAAGGTATGTGGATTTGTGAAGGGCGTGTGCTTATATGCAGTTTGAGTCTAAGTCCAACAGGGTGAAAGGCATCGCCTTTCACCAAAAGCTGCCATTGTTAGCGGCTTCGCTACACAATGGTTCGATTCAGCTTTGGAATTACCAGACTGGCACGATCTATGAACGTCTCGAAGATCACGAAGGTCCTGTTCGTGGCATCAGTTTCCACCCGACACAGCCACTCTTGGTAAGTGGTGGTGATGACTACAAGGTCAAGGTGTGGAACCACAAGACAGGCAAAGTGCTCTTCACGTTGCACGTACGTATCATACGCATGGCTGACATGGTAGGGTCATTTGGATTACGTCCGTACTGTGTTCTTCCATCACGAACACCCATGGATTATTAGTGCTTCTGACGACCAAACGATCCGTATTTGGAACTGGCAGAGTCGCACTTGCATTGCTGTGCTGACAGGACACAACCACTATGTTATGTGTGCACAGTTCCACCCACACGAAGACTTGATTGTGTCTGCTTCGATGGACCAGACTGTGCGTGTGTGGGACTTTACGACACTTAAGCAAAAGTCTACCACAGCCCAGCCCATGAGTCTGGATGAGCAGATGGCGCGTGCCAACAATGCGCAGATGGATCTGTTTGCCAACATGGACGTAGTGGTCAAGTACGTCTTGGAAGGCCATGAGCGCGGTGTGAACTGGGCCTCATTCCACCCTGCGCTTCCGTTGATTGTGTCTGCGAGTGATGATCGCCAGATCAAGTTGTGGCGCATGTCGGACACGAAGGCATGGGAAGTCGACACCTGCCGTGGACATTACAACAATGTCTCGGCATCCTTATTCCACCCGCACGCGGAGTTGATTCTTTCTGTGTCCGAAGACAAAACCATCCGCGTGTGGGACATGGGTAAGCGCACGGCAGTGCAGACCTTCCGTCGCGAACATGACCGTTTCTGGGTTCTCACAGCGCACCCCCATCTCAATTTGTTTGCTGCAGGTCATGACAGTGGCTTGATTGTATTCAAGCTGGAACGTGAACGCCCACCATTTGCTATGCACAACCATACCATGTACTATGTGCGCAATAAGCAAGTGCGTGTCATGGACTACAGCAATGGCAAGGATGAGGCTGTGTTGAACATTCGTCGCCTTGGCAACCAGTATGTACAGCCCCGTTCGCTGAGTTTCAACCCGGCGGATGGTTCGGTGATTGTCACGTCGCTCAATGGCGAGACAGGTGTATATGACATTGCACCGCTACCTCATACGCCAGGTACGGAGCTTGCAGAGAGTGGAACGGTGGGCAAGCGTGGACAGGGCTCCTCTGCGCTGTTCGTGGCGCGGAACCGATTTGCCGTGCTGCAAAAGAGCACACAGAAAGTGGAAATTCGCGACTTGTCGAACAATGTGGTGAAGACACTTTCGTTACCGCAGCCGACCAATGAGATTTTCTACGCTGGCACGTCGCACTTGTTGTTGAGCACGCCGACGAGTGTGCAGCTCTTTGACACCCAGCAGCAGACAGTGATGGCCGAGCTTGCGAGTCCTGCTGTGAAATACGCTGTGTGGAATGCAGATGGCAGTATGGTGGCCCTTCTGGCCAAGCATACTATTACGCTCACAGACAAAACGCTGAGCAAGTCGCACATGATTCACGAGACGATTCGTATCAAGAGTGCTGCGTGGGATAACAATGGTATCTTGATGTACAGTACACTCAACCATATCAAGTATGCTTTGCCACAAGGTGATACGGGTATTATCAAGACATTGGAGCAGCCCGTGTACCTCACGCGGATCAAGGGATCGACCGTGTTCTGCCTGGACCGCCAGGCATGCCCCCGCACGATCATCATTGACCCGACCGAGTACAAGTTCAAGTTGGCGCTCTTGCAAGGTCGGTACGACGAGGTTTTGAGTATCATTCGTACGTCGCGTCTTGTGGGTCAGTCGATTATTGCGTACCTGCAAAAGAAGGGCTACCCCGAGATTGCATTGCACTTTGTGCAGGACAAGACGACACGCTTTGATTTGGCCGTGGAGTGTGGCAACTTGGATGTAGCCTTGGAAACGGCTGAGGCGATCAACGTCCCAGAAATCTGGAAGCGCCTGGGCGAGGCAGCTCTTCGTCTTGGTGCGCACCACATTGTGGAACGTGCCTACCAAAAGACGAAGAACTTTGACCAACTTAGCTTCTTGTACCTCATGACTGGCAACAAGGAAAAGCTGAGCAAGATGACGGCTATTGCCGAGCGCCGTGGCAATATGCAAAGCTTGTACCACAATGCCGTGTTGTGTGAAGATTCGGAGAAGCAGGCACAGGTGTTGCGTCATGCCAACCTCGGCGTCTTGGCATACCTAACAGCTCAGCGCACAGGCAATGAGGCGCTTGCGGATGAAATTGCGGCGGAGGCTGGTATTGAAGCACATGCTGCGCATGAGGCATTGGGCTCGTTGGCACCGACGGCCCCCGGTCTGCCCCCTGTGCAATTCGCTACGAGTCAGGAAGACTGGCCATTGGCGGAGGCTGGTGAGAACTACTTTGACGAGGCGCTGGTGGCCAGTGCCGAAGGCGGTGTGATCTTTGAGGACAATGCCGTGGATGCGCCTGAACATGATATTGACTCGTGGCTGGACGGCGATGTGCTTGAAGATGCGGAGGAAGGTATGCCGCCAGCGCTCGATATGAACGAGGCCGAAGAGGCTTGGGATCTGGATGAGGGTGTGATGGCACCTGCCGAAGAGGAATTGGGCCAACAAATGGCACCGCTCGCCGATGTGGCGACGTTGGAAGGCGTTGTGCCTGGCAGTGCCGAGGACGAGCACTGGCTGCGCAACTCGCCTGTGGCGGCAGATCTGGCAGCGGCCGGTGCGTTTGACACGGCTCTGCAGATCCTTCAGCGCCAGGCAGGCATTGTCGCATTTGCGCCGCTGCAGCCGTGGCTGTGGCGCGCGTATGTTGCGGCACGTGCTGTGGTACCTGGCGCGCCAGGTGCGCCTCCGCTGCTGATTCACCTGCGCCGCAACAATGAAGCAAGTGAGGGCGCTTTGAGCAAGGTCTTGCCTGCCAGTGCGCTCCGCCTGCCTCACTTGGAGGCGCACGAACTGCAGAACGCGTACCGCCTGGTGAGCGCCAACAAACTCACGGAAGCAGAGACGGCCTTCCGTGCGTTGCTGCATATGTTGGTCCTAACACCAGCGGCGGACGAGGCCGAGGCGAACAAGATTGCCGAGTTGATCGCCGAGTGCCGTGAGTACTTGATCGGTGTCTCCATTGAGCTGGAACGCCGTGCTTTGGCGCAATCGGACCCGGAGCAGGTGGCACGCATGCTCGAGTTGGCGGCGCTTTTCACGCATGTGCAGATGAAGCCGCAGCACCAGATGTTGGCTCTGCGTATTGCTATGATGGAGGCGCGTCGTGTTGGCAACTTGGCCATGGCTGGCCACTTTGCTCGTCGCTTGGTTGCATTGGAGCCGCCGGCAAAGGTGGTCCAAGTGGCTCAGCAGATCATCTCCATGTCAGATCGGCAGCCTCGTGATGCTGTGCCTGTGCCGAACTACTCGGTGCACGAGACAGCGTATGTGATTTGTGCAGGCAGCCACACACTCATCCCGGGTGGCGGCGCGACGGCAGTGGAAGACCCGTTGACGGGCGCCAAGTACCTGCCAGAGTTCCGTGGCACATTGTGCAAAGTAAGCGAAATTAGCGAGGTGGGCCGCTTGGCCACGGGGCTACGTAGTCTGGCATAGATGTGACATTCTCTAAGGACGAGTGAACGCTAGGCAGTGTAGTTAGTAACGTCGAAAAACCCACGGTACGGCTGGGGCTCTGTCAGACACGCCTTTTACATGAATGTGTTCATAGGCACCGTGAAGTGCCTCTCTCACTGCAAGCGAATGCTCGCCATGAAATTTATGATCCTCCAGCAGCCATACCCATGGATAGATGCGTACCTATACATACATGCATGCTCTCAACTACGGTATGTGTGGACATTAGGTCATCCTCGGATCATGGGGCAGGCACGCTCGAACGAGCTGCGCCCTCCTGACGATGGTTTTATAGCCCATACATTGGTCTCCCCGCAGTGCCAGCGCATGTATACACTTGCACACACACTTACGCCCTGCCTACAACGACAGCACACTGACACCGCGGGTGGGAGGAAAAAACGAACCGAGACGGCACGACGCGTGTAGGCAGGTTTCTGATCACGTGATGTATTGGAAGACAGGGCTCTCTTGGTCGTGCTGGCCGGTCGCTCTCTCGCTGGTCGCTGCTCTTCATGGCGTCGTCACAGACGTCCCTTGCCCGCCTTTTGCGGCGTACCCGCTTCAACACGTATGATCCAAAAATCAAGCAGGTGTACCAGACCCCTGTCGCACATGCTGTGCGTGGTGACTGGGGCTTGAAGCGTCCGTTGCCGTCGTCATGGCAGTCCACCGCGGAAGCGCCAGCGCCGGCGCCGTACCCAGGCTCGTTGCGTTATGCCACAGTGGACAAAGTGGACAATGCGCAGGGCATGACCGAATGGAAGGAGTCGGAACGTGAACCACTCTTCCGTACACGCTGGCATGAAGCTGGTGCGTCGCTCTCTGACAAGGCACGTCGTGATGCGATCGTTGTAGGAACGAGTGAGGACATTGTAAACTCGGACTTGGGCCCTCGTCCTCGTATTGCATACGACCCAGCAACATGCATGGACAAGGATGCTTTGCCGAACCATGTGGTATGGGGCACTTACCATGAGCGCTACACTGATAAGCCTGATGTGCTCCCAAACTACAATGCTATGGATGAGAAGACATTCCAGCGGTTCTTATCGAACATCCGCCGACGACGCAACAAGTTCCGGGAGGCTTTGCGTCAGCAGCGTACGGATGCTGTCGCACAGACGCAGATGGAGACATTGGCGCAGGCCACGACGCAACGCACGGTCAGCGACGCTGAGCGGGAGCAGACGAAGGCGCCCTCGACGCCGGCCCCGGCTGTGGATATGTGGACAGAGGCTCGTTTGCCTCATGCGCCGCAGAGTGCAGCTGAGTTCTTGCAGGCGCAAGCGGAGACACGATACGAAGCCCCTGACAGCCATACCCTTCAGTCGCCTGCATATGCAGCGACAGCGCATCCCCTGCGTGGCTTGCAGTATTCTCAGCCGGACAGTGTGTATTCGTTCTTGATGAACGAGCCCATGCACGGCCGTGCCTTGCATCGTGTGGAAGACCAGCGACGAAAGCGCTACATGGTCGGCTCCGATGCCTCGATGGCTGTGGCTATGGGTGGCCATATCGGTTTCCTGCCTTTGCAGCATCGTCATGGCCTTGATGTGGTGGATTATACGCGTGCCAAGCCTGAGCGTGGCGAGTCGTACTTCCGTGTCCTGTACGCTTCGCTGGAGACCAAGATGACCTCGCCCAACCAACGTCGCAACCCGCCGAACGTGACATGCGAGCCTGAGCTGGGCAAGGTACAGATGTATGTGATGGCCTTGCGCCGCTCTGGTGGCCGTGGTGAGTACGTGGCGCCGCCACTGCCGGGCTCACCAGCGTGGATCGACTCGGCAGAAACGCCCACGTCGGCTACGTCGTTGAACAGCTCCCTGGGCGCATCGAGCCCAGAAGCTGGCTCGCTCTTTGGCTCGTTGGCGCGGAATGGCCGTGCGAACTCAGCGCCGCGTCAAAATCAGAAGCGCCAGCGCATGCAGAAGCGCAACCGCGACATGTCGGGGTCTGTGCAGCGCGATGTCCAGATGCTGAACAATATCAAAAACCTGTTATCGCCGCAATAGATAGGAGGCAGTAATACAGTATATCGCTTGAAATGCACATCTATTGTAGAAAAGAACTGTGATGCCCAGGCATATCTACAGAGTCACTCGTTACTGCTGGCGCTTGAGAGCCATTCTGACGATGGTTAGTTCCACTTCTGAAATACGTACTCCACAGCGGCGGTACCCCACTCGAGACCATGGTTGTGGCCAGCCTTGCCGTTGCGACCAATGCCAGCACGTTCGAGCGCCTGGTCATCGTTGAGCGCAGTGAGCACACCCAGGATGACCGGCTTCCTCGCGTCAAGGCTGACACGCATCATGCCCTGCAACGCGTTCTCGCAAATGTACTCAAAGTGCATGGTCGAGCCCTTGATCACACAGCCAATACCAACAATGACATCGACGTTCTTCTGGTCGAACATCGTCTGAACACCCATGGGTAGCTCCCAACTGCCAGGCACAGACTCGATGAGGACATTCTCGCTCGGCACACCTGCCTTGCTCAGCGACTCCAGAGTGCCTTGCACTAGCGCATCGATCACTTCCTTGTTCCAGCGCGCATGCACAATACCAACGCGCAGCTTGTCAGAGCCGGGGAAAGAGGACGGCGCAGGAGCAGGACCCTTGATCGAAGCCATGAGGAATAGGTGGAGAAGTAACGACCTTCGACACCTCGGTCTTAAGCGCGGAGAGAGCGTAGTGGGTGGACACTCTCTCGGCCGGCCGGCGGCCCCTGCGCGACCACGATCGCCTTGTACCACGTGGAGTCTTCGTGGCACAGGCGCTTGGCGACAGAAAGCGGGGCGTTCGTCGCGGCGCCGTGGGGCTGGTCAGCTGCCTTTTTTCGTTGGGCACGCCCGAGCCACGATGGTGTCCACATCACGGATGGCTACCTTGCTTCGTTTAAAGGGAGGTGCTACGTCGTGGATGACACAACGCGCTAGTGCACGTACAGCTCTGATTGCACGACACATGACGACAACAGCCCCTTCGCCTTCGCCAGAGACCCTGGCCAAGCTGCGCGACGCCTCGTCGCCTGTGCAGCTGCTGAGTGATGGGACGATGCGCATTGTGCAGCTGAACCGTGAAAAAGCGCTAAATGCTATTAACATGGACATGATTGATTTGATTGAGGTGGCCCTAGCCGATGTGGTCCCTTCGCCCAATGCCGCGACAGTTCTGTTCCGCGGTGTCGGCCGCTCGATTTGCGCGGGTGGCGATATCATGTCGCTCGTGAAGGCGGCCAACAGCGACAGCCAGGAGAAACAGATGGAGTCTGTGCACTTCTTCCAGAAGGAACTCCGCCAGAACTGGTATGTCCACACGCTGCGTGACAAGTCGTCGGAGCTTGGTCACCCGAAGACGTACATCGGTCTGTGGGACGGCATCATCATGGGCGGTGGTGTCGGTATGACCGTGCATGGCTCTGTGCGTATTGCGTCAGAGCGTACATTGTTTGCGATGCCGGAAACTGGGATTGGCTACTTCCCTGATGTCGGCTTGTTGCACACATTCTCGCGCTTGGACGGTGCGATCGGTATGTACCTTGGCTTGACAGGTGCTCGTCTGAGCGGTGCCGACGTGTACCTTACAGGCCTTGCGACACACTACGTCCGCTCAAGCTCCGTTGACGAGCTTGTGCGCCGCTTGAGCTCGATGCCCATTCACTCCGCGGCCAAGGAAGAGACGATCGTGGAGGCAATCAACGAGTTCGCCTCAGATCCGTTCCAGGAGGACGAGATGCTGGCTTCCAAGTCAGTATTCTTGGGCGATCGTCGCATTGCACTGGACTTTGCGTTTAGCCGTGGATCCGTGGAGCAGATTCTGGCAGCGTTGGATGACATGGCACAGCGCCGTACGGACTCGTACACGGGTAAGGAACTGCAGCAGCGTGGCCTGAGTCTTACGGACGAGATTGTGTCGTGGGCTTCCGAGACCCACGCAACACTTCTCGCACGCTCACCCCGTGCTCTGAAGGTGACGTTCCGCGGTATCCAACTTGCGCGTGATCAGACCCTGGCAGAGAACATGCACATGAACCTGCGTGTGGCTACGGCGTTCTGTGATTTGTCGATTGGCCGCGACTTTTACACGGGTGTGATGCATGTGCTAGGCCGTGACCCGAAGACAGGCAAGCGCAACGAAGGCAACCCAGCCTGGGAGCCGTCGCGTGTGGAAGATGTGAGTGACGAGTACATCCAGACGATGTTCTTTGGTGACCATGCCAAGGCACAGAAAGCAGGCTTGCGCCTCCCTCTTCTCACGCTCGACAACGTACCTGCAGCCCCGAAGAACCGCGAAGGCCGTCAGGCACGCGATGCCGAGGTGCGTGGCGTTGGTCCGCTGCGTTGGAACCCGAAGCACAACCCTCATGCGCTGCCCAGCGAGGCCGAATTGGCAGCGCTGTACGAAGGCAGTCACCCGGCCGCTGGCAGCTACGTTCTTGAGCCGCAGGAGCTGCTGGACACCATCGCTGCGTATAGGCACAACAAGCCAACCCTGCGTCTCAAGGTGCAGGACTGGTTGGACCGCCGTGCTCGTGCGTCGCGTTCGTAGAGAAGAGTTTCGTAGAACACACGAAGGTTGGGCCTATGTGGAGGGAGTGGAGACAGCGATCCTTGTCGTCGTCCTGCATGCTCTGTCGTGGGTGGGTTCGTAGTGCGCTGCCGCTAGGGCAGGCACGAAGCATGCGTGGGTCTATGCGCGTCGCTAGAGCGTATTCGACAGGGCCGGATACCAAGCGTGTGCCGTCGATGCCGTGCACGCTGCACCAGCTGCGAATGCGGTCTGAGTCACAGTTGGCCAACTCCCAGGCCTTGGCTTCGGAGCCGATTACAGCGCACGGTTGGATCCTCTCAGCGCGACATCAAAAAACACGCACATTTTTAGAGATTGACGATGGTACGCTGGGTGGGAGTGCTACGATGCAAGTCGTCGTCCCAGGCGATGTTCGTACACTGACACCTGGGCAAGCGGTACGTTTGCAAGGCCATATGGCGCCAGGGCGTGGAAAGCGTGCAAGTCAGCGTGTCGAGTTGCATGCTGATGAAGCTACTGTGCTGGGTCCTTGTGACTTGGCGACGTATCCTCTCGCGAATGCCATGCAGAAAAAGGAGCAAGATACCAAGACCATGGACGTCGTTCGTCACGCCTCGCATTTCAAGCCACGTACCGCGCACTTTGCTGCCATTTCACGCACGCGTGCTCGTGTAGAGCTGGGCATGGCTGCCTGGTGCATGTCTAATGATTTTTGCAAAGTAGCACCGCCGGTGCTTACGTCGTCCGATTGCGAAGGCGGTGGCGAGATTTTCCAAGTCGTCGCCCATGCAGACATTGTGCCTACACAACCTACACCGCACGAGAAGCTCACATCGTTCTGGTCAGGAAATGGTGCGTACCTTACTGTATCGACACAATTGCATCTGGAAGCCTACGCGATGGGTCTCTCGCGTGTATGGACTCTCTGCCCTGTGTTTCGGGCGGAAGGCTCAGCCACCAATCGGCACCTCGCCGAGTTCTGGATGATGGAGGCGGAAATGTGCTGGCTTCCAGAGGGACCTAGCGGGATGCATGAGACCATTAACGCGCTCGAGCATATCATCAAAAGCGGTTTGCAGGCGGCATGGCAGGACGAGCGCGCGGTAGACGATATGACTTTCCTCCAGGTCGAGCGGCCCACGACCTGGATCGAGACACCATGGCCCCGTATGACATACACGGACGCTGTAAGGCTTCTGCGTACGCAAGGCCCCATGCCACCGCCAGTCTGGGGCGAGTCGTTACGGTCGGAGCATGAGCGGTGGTTGGCTGAGTATGCTCAGGGACCAATTGTGATTACAGACTACCCATCTGGCATCAAGCCATTCTACATGCGGGAGAACGATGAGCGGATTACGCTGACGGAAGACTTGCACCCGGAGCGCGTGGGCGAAGAGAAGACGACGGTGGCCTGCTTTGACCTGCTGGTGCCGCATGTCGGTGAGTTGGCTGGTGGAAGTGTCCGTGAAGAAAGGCATGACAAGTTGGTCCGCCGTATGGAAGCTATGGGCATTCAGGCAGAGCAGTTACGGTGGTATACCGACGACTTGCGGCGGTACGGCGGTGCGCCACATGGTGGGTTTGGTATCGGCATGGAGCGCTTCCTGAGTTGGATGACCAAGACGGAGCATGTGCGTGACCTAGTCGGATTCCCACGTATCAAAGGGCCGCTGCGGTACTAATCGTCCTCCGCAGCCGTAGCCTCTTTGAGCTGGGACGACCATTGCTGTGCAAACTCGGCAATGTTCTGGCCCTGGCTCATGTCCACCACATCGGAGGGGACCATGTGCGCGGAATAGGTAGGCAGCGCTTGCGATGCTTGTGCCGCAGAGGTTAGGACACGTAGAGGCACGGGTGTCTTGGGCTCCAGCGAAGCGAGTTCGTCGTACGACCATAGCAATGGATCCGTGCGTGGCAGCCATGGGTTGAGGTCCATGAGGAATCCGCGATCCAGGTTCCGCGTAAGGTATACATCAAACACAATATCACGCGGGGCTACTGCGGAGATGTGCTCGGTATAGAACTGCGCCAGCATAGCCTGGATACGGGCTTGCGTCGATGGCGCTTGCAGGTGCTCGTAAAAGGTCATATCGCGTTGGCATGCTGCCACCAAGAGACCATCGCGTACAAAGCACCGGAATTCGTGCGAGCGTGGCATTTCAAACCATTTCTTAAGCACCAGCTGAAGACGTGGCCGATCCGAGCGCTGCTGTGCTTCACATGCAGAGGCCAGCTCACGCACTTGCAGCAGATCTTTCATGGCAAAATCAGACGATTTCAAAAGTAGGTATATATCGTTCGGAGATTGACATTTGAGTGTGTTCCCAGGCATGATCCACGCTGCATCCTGCGGTGCACTCCAATTGAATTTGGGGAACACGGCGCCATATCGATCAAGCACAGCGCGAATTTTGTCATTGAGCGCCGGAAAATAGGCACCTTGATCCTCCTCGTCTTCCTCTTCGCTAGGGTTGCTGAGCACTTCAAGGTCCTCGTCACGGGGGACGGTTCGCAAGGGCCCACGGTCGTCGTTCGCGTCCGATAGGACCAAGCCATCTTCATCCAGCCATGCCACGAACTCAGGCTGGATCTCTTCTACGTCAAGAACCATAGATTTGGGCGTGTGGGCACGAAGCGCAGGGTACCATGTACCATACTGCGTCGCCAGCAAGGCCGTTGTAGCATCGGTCAACGGTGCCTGCACCGTCGTGCTGTCACGTTGCGTGGGCTGCGCGTCGTCGGCCACTGGTGTCATTAGCGAAAATACGTCGATTTCCTCCAGGTCGCCTCCACTCCTACGCCGCCGTCGACCATGTCGCATGTGGCCGAGCACTTAAATGCGCCATCGTCGTGTACGTATCACACTCAGTCGCTAATCCACGGCAGACCGCGACTCTCGCGCACGTAGTTCTGCGCATGAGCAGCAGATGGCGATTGCTCGGAGCGCCACGCTGTATATCGGAAACTTGTCTTTCTACACCACCGAAGAACAGATGTACGAGCTGTTTGCTCGTGTAGCCAATGTCTCAGGCGGGGGTGGCATTAAGCGTATCATTATGGGCCTCGACAGGAATACCAAGACCCCATGTGGATTCGCCTTTGTTGAGTACGTGGCTCGAATGGGTCTGACCTAGCAGATTTTACTCGCATGAAGAAGCGGTGGATTGCATGCGTTTTGTGTCTGGCACCAAGCTCGATGAGCGTGTGATTCGTTGCGACTTGGACCCAGGCTATCGTGACGGACGCCAATACGGCCGTGGCCGTTCAGGTGGTCAGGTCCGCGATGAGTACCGCCAAGAGTACGATGCGGGCCGTGGCGGTTGGGGTCACAACCGAATGCGTGAAGAAGAAGAGAAGAAGCGTCAGGAAGCGCTGGCTCGTGAACGTGAGCGTCATGAACGTCGTGAAGAAGTGTACCAAGAAGTGCAAGGCGTGGCAGATGCTCACAAAGCGCCTACCGGTGCCGATGCTGAATACTATGAGACGGAACATGCAGCGCGTGCGGGCACGAGCACTAGTGCTGCGACAGGTGCACCAGAGACCACATCGAAGCGCCAGCGCGATGACGACTCGCCTGAGCCATTATCGAAGAATCCACGTATGGACGAGTAAAAAGCTCTCTATATATCCCCCTGTACGTACGTAGGCTGGACAACCACATTTTTTTCTATACGGCAGCCATGCTCTCAGAGGCAAGACTGCAGATGTATCTAGTGCCATGCACTACCATGTTGGTCGAGAAAGTTAGTCGAGCTGGTCCACCTCAGTCGACGCAGGAGCCTGGCCCTCGACCTCGTCAAAGTTGCCATCCACATCCGGGACATCATCACCATCCGTGCCCTTCTGCATAGCAGCCTGCTGAGCGCTGATAGCCTGGTAGCTCTCAGCGAGCTTGCGGAGGCTAGCGAGCGACTCAGGGCCAAGCTGGCTCAGAATACCGGGCACCAGCTCCGTCAGTTCCTTGTCCTGAGCCTTGCCGTACACAGCCAGCGTGTTCGATTCAATAGCGCCGTGCACTGTATGTAAGATCTCATTATGCAAACCGACGTACCCTTCGGGTTGGCAATGTGCAGCACGTTGCCGTCCTCCTTGAACATGTTGACCTCCTCAATACCAGTAATCGGCTGCACAGCCAGTTTCTTCAAGGCACCCTGGAGCTTGGTGTCCTCACCACCAGCAACAGCACCCTTGGGCTTCTTGACAATCTTGCGGCGGGGCGCACCCTTGCCACCGGTACGGGCAGCAGCCTGCAGCTTAGCGAGCTTCTCTTGATCAACGACCATTCTCGATGGGGAAACAAGAAGGATGTGTCGGTCGGCGCCCAGGACTTCCTCCACGCAGGCCTAGCAGGCTCTGTTACCAACAAAAACCAGCTGCGGTGAACTACATCACGTGCGTGGCCCCGTGCCGGGCACAACCGATGAGCGTGATTGGGTCAATAAGGAGGGCCGTTTGGGTCGGCCGTCGACCAACGTCTCGTTGCACTCGTAGCGTAGGCTCTAGCTTGGCAGCTCTGCATCATGTCGCCTTCGCCTATTGTGAATGTAGGTATCTGCGCTCTACAATGTACTAACTTTTCAGGTCGTCCGTTACTCGGCTCTTGTAGCTGGTATCGGTTACGGTATTGTGCACCGCCGGACCCTGCAGACGCAGTACGATGAGAAGATCCAGCAGAAGGCGGTGAAGCACCAGGAGGACCTGATCAAGCAGGCCAAGGAGAAATACGCAGCCCTCCAGCAGGCTAAGAAGCCCATTCTCAAGTCGGACGGTACGTGCCTTTTTTTTGTTCTTCTAACCCCCATGCAGACGTGGTCTTCAACCCCGATGACCCTAACTTTGACATTGAGAAGGTCATTGCCTACCTTGAGAAGCTTTAGATGTCGTGTTCGAGCGGCTACCTTTTGTACTATCTGCAATGATATGCCGTTTCACGAGCTCACTTTGACATGATGCCTGTGTTTATTCGAGTGTTTACGTGTGTTTTGCAGCGGTTCCTACAGTATTTGCATGCTTTTCGCTGCGTCCTGTCAGTGAAAAAAAAGACTCTCTCCTACAGACAAATGACGGGGAAGGTATCTCTGGCCTGTTGTATGGATCTCATGATCTACCTATGTCGCGTAGTGGACCATGGCAGTGAGTCAGTCACGCCCCGTATATTTTTTTCTTGCCTTGGGTGGACTTTTGTGGGCCGTTTGTCAGCGCTTGAAATCCTGCCCTCGCCGTCTTTTCTCCAACGACAGACGACAAAGGCAGTGGCCTTGTTTCAGTTCAGTTCCACGTTTTTTGTCCGTAGCGTACGACCTACTTTTCTATGTCCTTTTTCTTAAAAAAAATGTTTTAGTGAGAGACAGCCGCTTCAAACTTCGCAATCAACTCATCCACCACCGAAGGGTCTTGCAGCGTCGAGAGGTCGCCAAGCTGGTCCGATTCCTTGCACACAATCTTGCGAAGCACGCGACGAACAATCTTACCGCTGCGTGTCTTGGGCAAATCAGCCACGCTCAAAATGCTCTTAGGGGTTGCGAAAGGTCCGATCGAGCGACGAACTTGGATGGTCAACTCCTTGATCAAAGCCTCGTTCGACTCGTAGTTGTAGTCAGGCTTGAGAGCCACAAATGCGAAAATCGACTGACCCGTCATGTCATCTGGCGCACCGACCACAGCCGCCTCGGCAATGCCAGGGTGGCCCACCAGGGCCGACTCAATTTCTGCTGTCGACATACGGTGGCCCGACACATTGATGACATCGTCCACACGGCCACGAATCCAAATGTAGCCGTCGTGGTCACGGTATGCACTGTCACCAGTGAAGAAGTAGCCAGGGTATACACGCATGTACGTGTCAAGGAAACGTGAGTGATCATTGAGGATCGTACGAGCCAGTGATGGCCATGGCTTGCTCATAGCCAGCACGCCTTCCACATCGTTGCCCTCAATCTCCTTGCCGGTCTGCGGGTCCAGCAACACTGGCGAAAGACCCCAGAAGGGCTTGGTAGCTGCACCAGGCTTGGCTTTGATGGCCGCAGGAAGCGAGGTGATCATGTGCGAGCCACCTTCTGTCATCCAGTATGTGTCCACAATGGCACAGTGACCACGGCCGACATGTTCATGGTACCAGTGCCAAGCCTCAGGGTTGATCGGCTCACCGACAGTGCCCAAGACGCGCAACGAAGAGAGATCATGCTTCTCAATATACTCTGTGCCCATGCGGCGTAACATACGGATCGACGTCGGAGCCGTGTAGAACTGCGTCAACTTGAACTTGTCCACAGCATCCCAGTAGCGCGACGCGGTAGGGTACATTGGCGTCGACTCAAAGATCAAAGTGGTCGTACCGTTCATCAGCGGTCCATATACAATGTACGTGTGACCGGTAATCCAACCAATATCAGCCATGCAGCCGAAACGATCGCCAGGGTGCACATCAAACACATGGCGCACCGAGAGCGCTGCACCAAGGAGGTAGCCTGCAGTAGCATGCACAATGCCCTTCGGCTTACCCGTGGAACCAGAGGTATATAGTACGAACAATGGGTCCTCACTGTTCACAGGCACAGGGGCAATGTACGAGCGCTGGCCTGCTGCGAGCTCGTCAAGCCACTTGTCACGGCCATCGACCCACGGCACATCGACAGCACCAGTGCGCTTCGCCACCAGCACATGCTCCACCGTAGGGCATTCCTTGAGCGCCGCATCAACAATCGACTTGGTAGCAATGGTACGACCACCACGACGACCCTCGTCAGAGGTGAGCACGACGCGGGCATTGCTGTCCTGCACACGGTCACGCAGCGAATCGGAACTGAAACCAGCGAATACCACCGAGTGAACAGCACCGAGACGGGCACAGGCCAACATACACACAGCCGTGTCAGGAATCATAGGCATGTAAATGATGACAATATCCCCTTTCTTCACGCCAAGGGACTGCAGCACACCGGCCACTTTGCACACACGCTCGAGAAGCTCTGCGAACGTAATGTACTGCTCATGACCGGGCTCGTCTGAGTCCCAAATAATAGCAATGTCATCCGGCTTCTCAAACGCCCATCGGTCGACCAGATTGTAGCAGGCATTCAGCTGACCCTCGAGGAACCAAGAAGCATCACCACGCTCAAAACCACCGTATTGCACTGTCCTGAAAGGCGTGTACCAGGAGAGAACCGTGTTGGCCTGTTCTTCCCAGAACTGGTCACCCTCATGGATCGAACGATGGTGCATAGTAGGATACACAATCTCATCGATGTGGGCCTTGGGGCGGCTAGGATCACTGCCATTCACACGCGAAGGAATATCAAAAATGTGATCTTTCATGTCGATAGAGTCGTCTCCTTTTAAGTCCGGGTTGACAGAAGAAAATGGCTAGGCTTACAAAGGGAGGGGGGACTGAAGGTCAAAACCTCGATTCGTGGAGGAATAAAATACTTTGGCGGAAGACCCTGTTTGCGCCGTGGATTACGCCACGGAAGGCCGGTCTGTGCGCACCAATTAGAAAGTATGGGGTATATATATATTCGCAGTGACTCAAATCTACCCTGATTCGTCTAAATCAAAACTCAGTCCTGCACCTAGGCGTTGTCGCTGCTTCCTCGCCTTCTTCGGCTTGTGCGAGTTCTGAGCAATCTCTGCACGTTTAGTGCGAATCAATTTCTTGGCTTGCATCATAGATGACTTATTATTGTGGGGTCCAACAATTGCTTGGGGAAGGTGGCCAGCATGACTAGCATGTACATCATCATGCTGCGTCTTATTTGATGCGTTGTCTTGCGCATCAATACCAGTGGAACTTAGTAAAGTACGTACCTTGCATAGATGTGGGGGAATGCGCTGCCGCTTGCTTAGTCTGCTGATACTGCTCTTCGGTCAGGTGTTTCCCCTCTTTTAAGACCACAATCTGTGCATAATCTAGGTCGTTGTCGCTGTCGTAGGCATCCACCGTGTTCCCACCTGACTGCGAAGCACGTGATGACGACGAAGTAGCAGCCCCCGTAGGGTCCAGCCATGACAGCACGGGGTCTGTTTCATCTGCCTTCGACGGAGGACGTGACCGCTCCGCCTCGAACCGCGTGCCATGCACCTGTGCATGCAGCTGCTGTAAGAATTTGGGCGTTTCAGACTCGTATCGGAGTCCCCGTGCCTCGCGTGCAGACATGGGCGGGCCTTCATCACGTCGTGGCGGCATGATGGCGGGAGGCAGGCAAGTCGTGACGACCTAGTCTGACTAAGCACTACTTCCCTGCTCCCCTGGTCGCAGACCATGGGAGGGTCTCAAAATACAACACACACGCATGAGTTCTATCTATCTAGTCAGCAAACAACGAAGGGTATTGAGGTGTGAACTTCACAAGGCTTTCCACGAGGCTCAAATCTAGTAGAGTTAATGAAACAGATAGACAGCTACACATACCAAGATTGTCGCCCAGAGATAGCAAGGCGTGCTGCGTAATGGCATCACCAGAGCTGGACACACGGCCAATTACCTCAACATATTGTGACGTTGGCGTTTCACCCTGCGAGGTTAGAAACTGTTCATAAATGACATCGAAGTATGGGATCCGCCTTTTCACGGAACGGCCCAATTTATGGGTACAGTACATCGATGCCAGGCCTGGTACAGCCTTGTACGTACCGGTTGCAACTTGATTTCTACTGTGCCATTGTCGGAGGCTTCTAGGAGCAGAATCTCACCCGATACCTATAGTTAGGACCGTACCAAATGCATCCCTACCTTGAGGACTTTGCCAATAATGCGGACTTCATGGCCTACACGCTGTGCAAGCTGTGACGAGTTGGTCAATGGAATCGCCTGCGACATAGTGGAAGACGACGCGTGTCGGTGGCGATGTGGCTAGTGATGGAACGAGCGCGTCGTTCGCGTTTTTCGTCACGTGGGATTACGCGACGCGATGGGGCAAGTCTCACTGTACGCAAGCAACGCCAAAAACGACGCTTGGATCAGCGCTTGTGTGTACGCAGGATATGAGCCGTGTAGCATGGACATCATCCCGACCGTTTGCATGCATAGGCTCTCAGCCTACTAGGCTAGTTACGATATCTCCCTGCCGAGGCTTTTTCACGACCCAGCCATCGCACAGCGGGCCATCGTGGCTACAGCCCTGGCGTGCACGTTGGCATGCATGGCTTGAGCGGTCTAAGCCTGTAGCAACGCACAAGCTAACGGAGCTAAGTCATAAATGGAACGATTACTCAGGCTACGCGGAAATCAATCTGCTAAAACAGCAAGTGCAAAATCATAGTATGTTGTGTCTTGCATACCTTACCTTCAGCGCATCGATTGAAAGATTTGCAGACAGCTAAGGACGAGGCCAAGTCCGTATATATCCAAGCCGTGTCGGAGCGATCTATGGCGCAGCGCAAGACGAATGATCTGTTGTCGCGCAAGTCTACATGGAATGATACAGATTTGCTCGAATATACCAAGCTTTTGCACTCGGAACACAGTTATGCCAAGGCGGAAGAGAGCAGCCAGCATCAATACGAGGCCGCCGAAGCGGAAATGCAGCGTGGATTTGATGACTTGATGCGGAGCGTTATGCGCCGATACCATGAGGAGCATCTATGGAGTGATCGTGTGCGGAGCATGAGCACGTATGCCAGTATCGGGCTTGGCGCTTTGAACGTGCTCATTTTTATCCTTGCGCTGTTTCTTGTCGAGCCTTACAAGCGCCGCAAACTTGCGCAGACGCTGGAGACGCGACTGATTGAAGGTGAGGAGCGTGCTCGTGAGCGTATGCACCAAACTGTGGTTTCGGTCGACGAACGGTTGTCGCATTTGGAGGAAGCTCTGCTCGGTTCGCCAGAGCCGCATGAAACGCGGAAGCGCGTCGTGACTCGCTCGCTCGCATTGCCTTCGTCCCTGCGTTGGGTGTCTCATATATGGCAGTACCTCCAGGCATGGCACTCGTATGCTGCATCGCTATGGGAGCACATCAATCCCATCCCTGCGAACCAAGGCACCTCCGTGGCCGCCACTGCTACGGGCGTTGTCGTAGGCAGTATGGTGTCCTACTGGCTAGCGCTTCTTTGTTTGTAGCAAGTAAAAACTGGTTCCTAAGAACGACTATCTGGGGGTGGAACAATTACACACACGTCCTACGAGAGGGGAGAGGGAGTCCATGATCCCGCCACCAGCGCAAGTCTTCGCCACGTAGCAAAGAATTTTTTACAGCTCCTCGTCAGAGAACACCTCCTCACCGCGCTTGCGGCGAGCCATGCGCTCCTTCTTGGCCTTGCGGGCCTCCGACGAGGTGAGCTTCTTCTTCTTCTTCTCCTCCACAATCTTGTTGCCGAGGGCGTCGTACTTGACCTCCTCCTCGTCCTTCTTCTTCTTGTCGATACGCTCACCCGAGCCCTGGCCTTCAACCCAGTTGTGGCCCGAGGCGTGCAGCGTACCGTTCTCCATGCGCCAGATTTCCTTGCAGGTACCCTCCGAGAACTCCTGCGAGTGGGTAATGATGGCCACACCACCCTCGAAGTTCTGGATGGCCTGGATCAGAGCCGCAAGCGACTCACGGTCCAAGAAGTTCGTCGGCTCGTCCAGCACGATAATGTGGGGCATACGCCACGTGGCGGCGCCCAGCACGACCTTGACCTTCTGACCACCCGAGAGACCACGCATGGTGTTGTGCGAGGTGAACTCACGCTCCAGACCAAAGTCCTCAAAGTGCTTCTCGATCTCGCGACGGACAAGAGGACGAAGCATACCAGCCTTCTGGGCCTCACGCGAGTCGACCTGCATGACCTTCTTCTCGAAACCGCGGCGGATAAGCTCGTCACGGCTGATCCACAGGTTCTCCGTGGAGCTCATGTTCTTGAACGACACCTCGTACTGGAACGAGTTCTTGAGCTTCTTACGGCCCACAATGTCGTCAATGATGCGCTTCACACCCTCGTGCTCGTAGACAGCACCGTGCTTCATCGCCTCCTCTTCCTCAGCGGTGAGCTGGCGAGTGGCCTTCATGTGCTCCTCCAAGTCCTCACCAGTCTGGTAACGCCAGAGCATGTACTCCAACGGGGTCTTGTCAAGGTGCTGGTCAATGTGGTGGAACGCGTGCTGCGCGACGTAACCAATGACCAAGTTGGGGTGCTTCCACAGCTCACCCTCGTTCGGCTCCGTGTCACCGACAATGAGCTTCACGAGAGTCGACTTACCCGAACCGTTCGGACCCAGCACAGCGACACGCGACGAGAGCGAGAGCTGCATCGAGATACCGCGGAGCTGCGGCGCAGGGGTGTTCGGGTACTGGAACACAACGTCACGCATCTTCACAAGCGACTTCTCCTTGGTCTTCACACCGTCCAGCAGCGGCGGGTTCGGCAGCTTGAACGAGTAGTCCTCACCCGAGTTCAGCTCAACGTAGGCACGAGCCTCAGGCACACGCTTGACAAAGGCGTCGAGGTTGCCGGGGTAACGCTTGATCTTGAAGCGGTTCAGGTGCAGAATGTCGGTACACACGTCGTTCAGGAACTTCGAGTCGTGCGACACAATGATCGAGGTGGCGTCCGTCTTCACCAGGTAGTCCGTGATCCAGGCAATGTTGAGCACATCCAAGTGGTTGGTCGGCTCATCGAGCAGCAGAATGTCGGCCTTGAACAGCACAGCACGGGCCAGGGCAAGCTTCATCTTCCAACCACCCGAAAGAGCAGTGATCGGACCAGCCTGACGCTGCTCGTCGAAGCCCATCTCCTTCAGGGTCGACGAGGCAGTCTCGCGGTCGACGTTCAGGCGAGTGTCGGCCAGGATGAACTCGAGAATCGAAATGTCACCCTCCGAACCGTCGAGGTCGTGCTCGACGTACCAGGTCTTGACCTCCTCAGGCGACGGGAAGCCCTCCACCTGACCGTTCTGGATGGCGCGCATAAGGGTCGACTTACCCGAACCATTACGACCACAGAGACCGTAGCGGTGGCCACGCTTGAGACGCAGGGTAGCGGTGTTCAGCAGAATCTTAGCACCGTAGGCGAGCGAGAACTGACAGTTACACAGGTCCTCACCCTCCTCCTCGTCGTCAAACACCTCGACCTCCTCACCAGTGCTCTTCGCGAGCTGCTTGAGCAGCTCCTGCACAATCTTGGCCGACTTCTCCTGGTCCGAGGGGCGCAGCAGACGCAGGTAGCGAGTCAGAGTACCATCCCACTCGTCCGACTCGAACAGGCGGAAGTTCGAGAGGTTGGTCACGAGCTGGGCAATGTACTTCACGAGCGAGTCAGCACCCTGCAGGTTGTTCTCCTTGAGCTGAACGTTCACCAGCTCCTCGGTCTTCGCAAGATCAACATCCTCAAGCGGCTTCACCTCCGAACCGTCACCCTCAACCTTACCAACCTGGCGCAGGGTGTTGATGGCGCGCTGCACAACGCTGCGGGCCTCAGGGTCCGACACGGTAGTCTCAATCTTGATCAGACCGGGCAGCAGCTTCGGCAGGAAGGGACGCACAGTGCGCTCGTTGTCGACGAGCTTAGCCATGTTGTCGATAATGACAGCCACCTTACGCTTGGTAGCAGTCGGGCGCTCCGTCAGACCACGCGACAGCAGCGGGGTCATCAGGGCAAGGGTCGGCGAGTCGACCTCCTGCACGAAAGTGGTGGCCGAAAGCAGCTGAATAGTCTTCGGCACCTCCTCGACAGGGTGGATGAGCGACTTAATCAGAGCCGGAATGAAACGCTCAATATCCTTGTTCGACACAAGAGCACAGAGCTTCTCCAGGCACGCACGCGACGACTTCTGGACATCGCTCTTGGTGTCCCAGATAACCTCGGCCATGACCGGGATAATGTCGGTCATCATGCGGGCCACCATGTCGGGGCACAGGCCGATCAGCTCCTCGAGGAGACGAATGCAGCCCGTCTTCACCTGCCACTTACCGGCAGTGCGCATCTGGTGAAGCATGATCTTCATCACTTGCGGCACACCCCAGGACGACATGTTGCGGATCACAAGCAGCAGAGCATCCTCAGCGCGCTGACGGACCTCCTTCTCCTTGTCACCCATGGCCTCGACAATGGTCTCGAACACGTTGCTCATCATAAGGAACGGCTCGACCTCGTGACCGACACCCTCGTCGAAGAGAGTCATCACAAGGGTGCAAGCACCCTCGCGACCAGCCACATTCTTCTTGTCGGTAAGACCCTTCTTGATCACATCCTCAATACCGAGGTTGCGCAGGGCGAACGAGCCCTCGATCTTGACAAGGTTGGTCAGCTCAAGAGCCGCCTTCTTGTCACCAGTCGACAGCAGCTGGGCCTCGTCGAACAGAGCGGCCTTCACCTCCTGCTCAGGGCCAGCGGCAGCGGCATCAGCAGCAGCCGAGTTCTTGAAATCCTTGGCATCTACATGCGCCGTACCATCGGCAGTCTTAGGCGCCATGATTATATCAAGCCCGTAACGAAAGTCAGAGAAAGAGCGCTTCGGGCTAGCGAAACGGAAGAAATTGGGTGGCTCGGCTCTTTATACCGGCCGACAACTTTTTTTCCTATTTTTTTTTTCAACGCACGTTCTGTATACATGCTGACTAATCTACATGCAGAAGCACGGCCGGGTGCATACGCCAGCAAGGCCGTTCTCTGCGACCAGCCTAGGCTGGCCAGGCAGCGTGCGCGCCTATGGCACATCCACAGCCACCAAGTCCATGCCTGTACCAAATTCTTGATCAAAGTCGTCTGCTAGTGTGTGCATAGTTTGTAAATCCATATCATGGCCCGACGCCAATTCTGTCTTGTGCTTCTCCACCCACTCGTCCGACTCCTGCTGCATGAGACGCTCAAACGCTTCGCGCTCTTTTAGTTGGCGACGCTCAATATCTTCGACATCCCACAAACTGATCCCATTCTTGCCTTCGGGATAAGGCTGTCCCATAGATCGCATGAACCTCTTGCTCTCGACAATCGCCATATCTGTCGAGAGATTGCTAAATACCGGCTCGATGTATTGTGCAATCCATTTGGGCAGCTTGGCACGCTTGTCAGATCGCGCAAAACGTTTGTCGGCAAACACCATGAGTCCATAATCAGACTTTCCACGCAGAACACGTCCTACACACTGCGCCGCATGCCTCATAGCGTCGAAGGTGAGGAAATCGTTCTCTTTGATGCGGAAATTGTCGCGTAAAAACTCCAGTCGAGCTTTCAAGATACGCGACTCGGTATATTGGTACGGCACACCAAACATGACCACAGCTCGTCCATAGTTATGGTCAAAATCAATGCCTTCCGACACTTTCCCTCGTGCTACCGAGAGCAAGATAGCACCTCGGCCATTGTCACATGCCCGTCGGTAGTTTTCCAAGGCAATACTTGTTTCCGGCGCGTCCGGCGTCTCAATGAAAATCAGCTTATGCTTCCAAACCTCATCCAAAATGCCCATATCGTGCCAGGCAGCCACAATACTCTCCATGTACAAATAGGATGGGAAGAAAGCTACGATACCATCAGGGATCGTACGCGAGAATTCAATGAGAATATTGCCGTAGTTTCGTACCACAGAGGGATCGTTTCGTACTTCAAATCGTGAGCTGATAGCCACTTGATCGCTTCCTCTCGTGATGACTAGGGGCAGGAAACACTGACGTGTCAGTGTCATGGTATAGCTCTCTTGCACCACTGTATCGAAGCGGAGCATTTTCGGGTACATATCCAAAGGGCTGATCGTACCACTTGTGATAATCACACTGCTAAAGCGCTCAAACACAGGCGCAATAGCCAAGCTGGCATCCAGGCATGTGAAATGGAAGATGGGGTTGGGTACTGTCGCATGGTCCGTCTCGAAGGGCTCTAGAATGAGCAAGAATCCCTTGTCGTACGTGGAGACCAGCGTAGCAAAGAAAGCCACAGTTTGCAGTGCCGAGTACTCATCAATACGCGTAAGCTCGAGCGTCTGTACCAGCATACGAAGACGTTCTGCACAGAAACGCAGTGGTTTCCGCTCGATAAAGGTAATTTCTTTCAAGTGCTGCAAAAAGCTAGCGGGCGTCTCCGCCACCACATGAAGGACGCGCATACGCGTTTTGAGGTACTCCACAAAGCGGCGCAGGAACGCCACAAAGTGCTCTGCACGACGAATGTTGCCTGGCACAGCTTCTTGGAGTAGGTCGTCTGGCAACACGGGGTTCGCCATGAACGTCTCTGCCTCTCGATCGTCGCTTTGCTGTTGTAGACCTTCAACAAGACGCAGGTATTCATCTTGTAGCTTGGCTGCGTCTACCTTTTTCACCTCATCCACTTTTTCCGCGAGCTGGTTGATGCAGCGATAGGCATTGTCCAAAATCGGTCTCGTTAAATCAATGCTCAAGGACTCGATGCACACGTTGTCTTTGATGAGCGACAGAGTATACGTACCAATATTGTGGGCCTCGTCAAATACAACAATAGCATCCTTACTTAGTTCCTTACTCACTTGCTCGGCCACTTTGGGGTCCAGCAAGTAGTGGAAACTGTAAATGATGATGTCACAAAACGGCATCATACGTCGCACTGCAAAATAAGGGCATATCCCTTTATCGCGTGCATACTCCTTCACTTCCTCGATGGTCCATACACCTGGTGGAATGAGATGCCCAGGCTCCAGCTTGCCTAGCTCTTCATGGAAGTCACACAGTTCCACCGACCCTGGGTTTTGACGGCCCTTTTCACAGGCCCACGAACTTGTCATATCTCGACATCGTGCATCTACGACCTTGCCTTTGCGTTCCTGGCTGATGACGGGATGGACACACATGTTTTTGCGGCTACTCAGACCCACGGCCAGGATATCTTCCATCTGTCCTTCGGCCTGGTCCACATCGACATCCATCGGCTCGCCCCCATCCGCATCCTTTGCCGCCGTATTGTACTTTGCACGATACGCCATCAATCGTTTCAACTCGGCCAGTGCCTTCTCAATCTCTGGCACGGTTCGTGAGCAATATACCAATTTTCGGCTCCCTGGATAAAACTTGTCGTGTGAGTCACTGTGCCTATACGTACACGTTGGTAGCTGACAATCAAACTTAGAAGAGATACAGTTTTCCCTGTGCCTGAGGGCATCTCTAGCACACAGTGTCCTTTGACATCCAAGGTCCGCTTCAAGTCTACCATATACGCATACTGCTCAGGATAGATCTTGGGGTATGGGAAGAGGACCGGAAGGTCATCGATATAGAACTTCATGGCCACTGTCCGATCTTCGCCTCACCTCAGCACGTACTCGTTGAGCCCAAGCCGTGTCAAAGCCTTGAGGCCAATGTGGTTCTAGGCCTGTGCGGCGTGGTGGGATGGCAAGCCACCGTGGCGCTTCCGACTCGACATGTGGAGGGCGGCGTGACGTCTGACCACTCCTCTCCCTGTATCATACCTATCATGGCCGCACCCTTGGCTACGTTATGCAAGGGTCACCGTGGCGTGCGAGATCAGGCGCGTGTATATATAGATCGTGTTAAGATATGGGAAATGCAAGGCAATGCGCGGAGTATTCAGGATATCAGTGCCAGTATCCCAGCTATCTGTGTATGGCTGGCTACAGAGGTGTACGTATTCCAACACACAGCTCACCTCCAGCGTTGAAGGACATGACATCACTATGCAGGATATCGTCCGGGCTTCTGGGCTGTCCCCATCCAAATTTGAAAAGTCTGTCGATCTTATCCGCAATGTGGTGACTTTGCCCACCTCGACATCGCGGACGCGACTCCCTACGCGAAAAGCTGCTTTGACTTCCCAGTCTACCTCACTTGCTCAAACGAAAAAGCCCAAACTGGATAAAGAGGCGCTTCTTGACAAAGCTAAGGCAATTCAGCGCGGCAAGTTCGAACCGTCCAGTCCTTTCGAGCCCGCGGCTACCTCAAGCTCCATGTCTTTTCGGGCCATACTTCCTTCGCCTATGGAGCCTATGCATCGCAAAATCGAGCCGGCAGAAAGTCTTCCGATCCTACCGCCGCCCAAGCCTGCACCACCCCCTAAGGTAATCAAGAAGACACCCGTGCCTGCACCGTTATCGAAGGAGCAAGAACAAGTGCATACGCGTCTGCTCTCTGTCGGTATCCCCAAGTTCCGAGAAGGCATTAAGTTTGACGTGCAGCCCAGGAGAAAGCGTGGAAGGCCTCCTGCTGAACGGCTTACGACGCAGCAAATTAAAGACAAAATGTTCTTGGCGACGCTCTATTCCACTCGCCCCGAGGAAACACCATCCCAAGACGCTAGCGTTCCGGCACGCTATGTACGACTTTCCCAACTGTCATCCAAAGAAGCGCATTGGATGCGCCCACTTCCGATACCATTAGTTATGTCCCATGTCGACCCGTCCGCCCACCAAGTCTCCTACCAAGAGCTCTGGGCTGCCAGGGCGCGTCAGTGGCATCTATAGCAATGTTACGTCAGCATCGACGCGACGCGTCAGTCCTCACGCAACCAACACCATGACGGTGGAAGCTGACGCCATGGAGGAAGAGGAGGTACGCTGTCCTGCTTCTTATACCAGCGTATGAAAAAACTGGACTTTTTATTGCAACGTTCCAGTATATACAGTCGAGTCATGGGCGAAAAGTTGCTTCGACGGCAACAAGAAGACCGTCCTGCCAAGCGCGCACGTACCACCGAAGCCCCAGCATCGCTGGCTGATCTCGCCCATCGAGAGCAGCCAGCCCTCGTGACAGGCGCAACGCTCAAACCTTATCAGATGGATGGTCTGGTATGGCTGACTAGCCTCTACGAGAATGGGCTGAATGGCATCCTTGCGGACGAGATGGGATTGGGGTACGTATACAACATCTCACCCAAGGAAAACCCTACAGACCATTGCCTTTCTAGCCCACCTGTATGAAAAGGGAATTCATGGACCTTTTCTTATCGTGGCACCACTCTCCACGACCTTCAATTGGCAAGACGAGTTTACAAAGTACGTCCCGTGAATTCTTACTCAGATTCGCTCCTACAATACCCACTCTTCTGTACCATGGCGCCAAAGCTGAACGCTTGTCATTACAAAAAAAGTTCCGTTCCAAATCCTCGACAACCACCCTGTCTGTTGTTATCACCAGCTACGAAATGATCCTGAAAGATCGCGCCTTTCTGGGCAAGCAGGCGTGGAAATTCGTGGTGGTCGACGAAGGCCACCGTCTGAAAAACCTCCATTCTCGCCTGCTTCGTGAGCTAAAGCAGTTTAGAACTAGCAATCGTCTTATCCTGACAGGCACGCCATTGCATAACAACTTGGCCGAGTTGTGGTCCTTGTTAAACTTCATTTTGCCCGACATTTTTGATGATTTGGCCACCTTCGAGCAATGGTTTAATCTTGGCGAGGCGAACGATGATGGAAGTAAATCTGAATCTGTTACCACATCTTTTGCTAAATGGAGCACGGACACTGCGTGCCGTGTCGTACAGCAGCTCCATGACATCCTCAAACCGTTTCTACTTCGGCGGGTCAAGTCTGAGGTTGAGCGCAACCTGCCGCCGAAACAGGAATACTTGCTGTATACGCATTTATCGACACAACAAGCACTCATGTACAACTTGGTGCTTGACGGATCGTTTCGCGCCTGGCTTACTGCGAGAAAAGCTTGTCTTCCTCTCGACTATGATACGGACTCTCTATCTCAAACAGAGAAAGATGCGCTTGCCTTGGCAACAAAGGAAGTACAAGCGATGCGACTCGACAACACTCTGATGCAACTGCGCAAGATATGCTGCCATCCCTACTTGTTCGACTGGCCTGTCGTAGCAGGTACAGATCAGCTTCAAATTGACGCTCAACTTGTCCAGCAGAGTGGGAAAATGCGCATGCTAGATTGCCTTGTCTCCGCCCTTATTACTCGAGGACATCGCGTGCTTATTTTCTCGCAGTTTTCACACATGCTTAACATTCTAGAGATTTGGGCCCAAGATCTCAAGCAATGGAACACGTTCCGTATCGATGGATCCACGCCACAAGACCGACGCGCTGAGCAAGTACGTCGTTTTAACGATCCTGATTCAGACTGTCATGTGTTTTTGCTAAGTACACGTGCCAGTGGACTCGGTATCAATCTAGTGGGAGCTGATACAGTGATCTTTTTTGACAGCGATTGGAACCCTCAAATGGATCTGCAGGCCCAAGATCGTGTACATCGTATTGGACAGACAAATCCTGTCCTAGTGTTCCGACTGGTTGCTTCTGACACCATCGAGCAAGACATACTCCAAAAAGCGCGTGCCAAGCGTCTGCTGGAAGCCGTGGTCATCCAGAAGGGCAAATTTCTACGGCCTATCACCCATGCGCGTCTTAAAGATACCTATGATACCAACGCTGATCTGACCACACTGATCCCTGCACTCATGAAGCTCGAAGCCGAAACATCTGGCGAGGACGATCAACCACCGATCTCAGACGCTGATTTGGAGAGATTGCTCGACCGATCTGAGAAAGCCTATGCTCGAACAGATGGATGGATCTCCACCGACGATGCCTCTACGAAGGATCCCCTACAGCCCGTTGCTGTGTTTGAAGTGTCAGAGACCCAAGCGGACAGTGCGCAAGGCAAGCTCGCGTCCTTCTTTCGCAATGCGGAGAATGCAGGTAGTGATGACTAAGCAGCTCCCACGATCGCTGAACGTCTCTTCGTCGTGGTAGCTTTATGGCTCGTGGTAGTAAAAACCGGCAAGCCAAGGCGGCTGCCAAATCTGCGGCGGCGGCAGTCTCTGCATCTGACAAGGTAGAAGTCCCGCCTGCAGAGGAAGCACCACCTGCTCCCACGTCTACGGAGGTGCCATCCACAGCCGCGTCCACATCTGCCCAAGATGCAGCGGGTTCCTCGCCAGAAACGAAGGAGAGCGATGTCCCTGCCTCTGATGATATGCCTACGTCCAATCCTGTGGACGAAGAAGCAGAAATAAGCGAGGCCAACGAGCCTGCGCCTACAGAGACAAGCACCTCAGAGCCCACTGTCGTTCCGGAGGCTCCGCCGGTGTCGGAAGATCCGACATTGCCGGCCGAGGACGCCGAGACCCCTCCTACGTCTAGCACAAAAGAAGAGGTGGCGCCTGCAGTCCCTGAGAAAGCGGAAACCAAGGTAGACATTCTGGATCGAATGTCACCGGAGGAGCGTGAGAAGGAGCTGCGCGACCAAGTGACGCACTTGAATGCCAAGCTCGTCGCTTCGTTCAACCGCATGTCTGATCTGGAAGACGATCTATCTGTGGCCCACAATCGGATCATGGTCCATACGACGCGTATCGCTGAGCTGAGTAAGGAACGTGATCAGTACATTTCTGCTCTGAACACAGGTCTGTTGGTGGAAAAAGCACATGTCACGGCGGAAATGCAGCGCATGATGGAGCGTGTCGTCGACGAAGCGGCACAGCGTGGTAAGGCAGAGAGCGACAAGACGCGTATTGAAGCTGAGCTGGAAGAACTGAGTGCATCACTATTCAATGAGGCTAACAAAATGGTGGCTGTTGAGCGTCTGGCGCGTGCTAAGGCGGAAGAGAAGAGTGAGAGTTTGGAGCGAAGTTTGCATCACACTGAGCAGCTCATGTCGGAACAGCAAGATCTCATCAAGTCTATGCAAAGCGACTTGGAATCGCTACGCCTTCATCCCGAGGCGGAGTCTGCGGAAGCATCGACTGTCATGGAACCCTCTTCTATGGCGGCGTCGGTGGTCGTCTCCCCGCCCACTGTCAATGTGAACATCCCTGCGTACCAAGAGTTTTTGAGCTTTTTGCATCATCTGCGTGGCCTGCATCAGCAGCTATCACCGTACTTTGAAATGGTGGAGCGGGGCACCGACTGGACCAAGACGCCGCCTGCGCCTGGTGCCATGTCGCTAGGCGGCGTCGTGTCACCTGCCATCTCTGGGTCGCCGTCCGTCGTACGACACCGTGACTATCCTCATTTACCGATCTCGGCAGAGCAGCTGGTCCAGCTCTCTGGCCAGACGACGCTACCGTTCATCAAGCGTATGCAAGAAGAAGATTCCGACCCTTGTCTTCGTCTCAGTCATGCGCCTGGTCTCAATTGGCTAGCACGTCGGCAGGCTACTACGGCTTTGCTGGATGGCAATGTGGTGATTGAGCCGCTGTTTGCAGGTGGCCGTATTGAGAACGAGGAGGCGTTACGGGCAGAATACGGCGTCCTAGCGCCTACGCCATGTGCGCTCTGCGGCACACCGCTACTCAACGTGACGGCTTTGGTACCTGGTGCTCAGACCTCGTCTGCCGATCTCGGTGGCTTGCGTGCTGCCGCCGGTGGACTGGCCTATTCGCTGCGTGACTCCACCTCGTCGCGACGCAGTCTTCCGTCCTTGTTCCATTCCCTACGACGCGGTATCGATCGCTCTCAATCATCGTCTCCTCAGCCGGATGGCAGGGCAGAGACGAAGGAATCTACCGAGATCTTTTCTCAAGACATGTCGTCGCCGCAGCTTACGGATTCCCTGCCGATCCCGACACACTACTTCCGGATCTCTGATCACGCGTCTGGCCGTCATCTGATCTGTACACATCATTGTCTGCAGCGGTTGCGCGTGGTATGTGCATTCTGGTCGTTCCTACGTACGCTGGAACGAGCGATTGTGTTGGAAGGCAAAGTCGAGCCTGAGGTTGTTGGCCAGACGCGGATCCTGCCATCCAGCCAGGAGGCACCGAAAGCATCCTCGGACGCTGCGCCGGTGCCTGACGTGAACGAGCAAGAAGGTCAGGTCGGCCCTACTGCGGAACCAGCGTCGCCGGAAAAGGCGTCCACAGACACGACTGAGGCCGCTGCCATATCCTCGAAGAAAGACTCGGACGAGTCGGATGATGAGGAGATCGATGTGTTTGACGAGGCGATGGGCGACGCTGTGCAAGGAGATACAAGTGCGTCCAAGGATGAGACTGTGACAGCGGCCGCGCCCCCGCCTCCCTTGCCAGCTCGTCGTCCCTCTACACCCAACGTACATGGACCCTTACGCACGTCGTTCCCATGGCAGTCAGATCGGACCCATTTGGCTTGGGAAGAGAGTTTGTGGGCCGAAGTATTGCGGTACAAGGAGCTCATGTGGAAGGCGCGCGTGGGCATCGATTTGACTCAGCTAGACATTGTATAGTGCTTCATTGTAACGTTTTTGCTGGACTCCACTTGGCTGGGCGCGCAAAAAAGGAGGCGTCGAGACGATGCTGTCGCCTCCACTTTTCTTCGACGATGGCGCCGAGGAAGAAGAGTGCGGCGATCAAGTCGAGCGGCGCGACATCGTCGAAGGCCGCGCCGTTGCCTGACTGGGTCAAAGGCGGCGGACCCAAACCGCCGCCTCCTACTGGCACGAACAAGGATGGGACAGCGCAGCTGTTCCCCCCGCGATTCAAGACGCCTCTGAACATCATGTACGAGCGTATCCAGAAAATGCCTGGGTGGCTCAAACCGGAGGTCGAGCCGATCAAACGCAAGGATGGATATACGTGTGTCATTACGCTTCGTAAGGAAAACAAGCAGGATCGGTCAAACCCATTCACGATCCGCATGGAGCCCAAAGAGCCTGGCGCACGCTTGGCCTGCGAATCGAGTTTGCATGCCAAGCACTGGGGCGCGACTTATGTCCTTTTTCGCCTCTTTAACCACCTAGGCCTCCATCGTGTGCTGCCGCCTGGTCCTCGTGAGTACTGGCTCGAGCTGGAATCTGTGAAGGCCCAAGCACCGGAAAGTGATGCGTGGAAATGGGCGGCCGATCCGTTTGAGGCGATCGCCAAACGCGATGCGGAGGCAGAAGCCCGGGAAAAAGAAAAGGCAGCACGCGAGGCCGCCAAGAACGATCCATCCAAGAAGCCTATGAGCAAGGCATGGCAGCGTGCACAAGAAGTGCGTATGGCGCCTGCTCTACGTGAGCTGGTCGAAAACACTATTCGTGCTCGAATGAGTGAACTGCCAATTACGACAGAGACAAATACTGTGCGTGACAAGATGGCATCTCTCTCGCTGGATAAAAAGGCCCTGGAGCGCGAACTAAGTGCCCTTGGTGTACGTCCAGGCTACATACGTCGAGTACTTGCCTGGCTGGAAGATGCGCGAACCAAGTATGCCTCATCTGCTGCACAGGAGCAGCTTCAAAAGGCACACCCGCTGCTTTCTTCCATTCTGGCGCTACCGAATCGAGAAGCAGCGCTTGAATACATTGTACTGTACACGCCCGAGCAAGATTTGCCTGTCAAGCTTCGCCCTACCGCTTCCTCTGAGTCGTTCGTTACAATGGCGGCAAGTGGTAGTGATCAGGAACAACTGGTGGATCGGTGGACTGTGGACAAGCTATCTCGTTGTGCAGGCTTCCCTCGCGAAAACATTGCTCGGGCCTTGGCGGCGGTGCGCGAGGCAGAGGTCACCGACTCGATCCCAGCACGAGAAGGATTGGTCCTCGATCTGCTACTGCATCAACTGATGGGCGCACATTATGCTCTGTCGCAAGCTCGTCTTTGCGAGCCTGACGAGGCACTGACACAAAAACGAGCCGATGAGCGTGCGTTGCTTCTCGCATGCATGAGCGACGATGATGTACGTTCTGTGCCGGACAAGGATGCCATTCACGCTGAGGACTACGATGTGCATATTGGTACGCATGAAGGGGAGGATGTTTATTTGCGTGTGACATTGCATCCCATGTCACACTACTTGGAAAATGGCGCGGCTCTGCCTACCATATACGTTACAAGCTCCAAGCTACCCACATTTCTTCGACTGGCGCTTACACGCCATGCGATGCAATGTCTATGTGGAAAACGTGCCGATATTCGAGAAACTCTCGAAGCAGAGGAAGGTGGAGTCCTGTTTTTACTGTGTGAAGAGCTTAAGGAGCAGTTGCCGACGTTCCTCAACGACCCTCCTGCCTTGGACGAAGTGATGGAACATCTCGTCGAGGCTGCTCCGACGACCGCAGCACGTGCTATTCACCAAACGGAAGCGACACGCCCGACCGCTGTGCCACGCAAAGGAGGTCCACGCGCGGCGCGGCCGCTCCAACGTGAGGCCCATGTGGATGAAACGCTGCAAGCGACGCAGCAGCGCTGCTATGCTTCTGCTTCGTACCGTGACTCGATCGGGCGTGTACGTGAATCTCTTCCAGCCTTTGCAGCGCGCGAAAAGCTGCTTGAAACACTACGTACACAGCGTGTGGTTTTGATTGCCGGTGAAACGGGTTGTGGTAAGACGACGCAAGTACCTCAGTTCTTACTGGACGATGCTATTGAACGGGGATGTGGCAGTCTTTGCAGTATTGTTGTTACTCAGCCACGCCGAGTTTCTGCGATGGGTGTTGCTGCGCGTGTAGCGGCTGAGCGAGGGGAGACATTGGACGCGTCCATGAAAGACGACCAGCAAGTCGGCTACGCTATCCGTGGTGAGCGTCGCGCTGGGCGCGGATGCCGTCTACTTTTCACAACCACTGGTGTGCTGCTTCGTCGAATGGCGACAGGTGTAGATCCTCATCTGCAATCGATTTCTCATGTGATTGTGGACGAGGTCCATGAGCGCAGTACCGATTCTGACTTTCTGCTACTGCTACTCCGTGATGTGCTGGTAAAGAACCCTCATTTGCATGTCGTGCTGATGAGTGCTACGATTCAGGCGGATACATTTACCTCGTACTTTGATGGGGCGCCGTACTTTTTCATTCCAGGACGTACGTTCCCTGTGCAGGATCACTACCTGGAAGATATTGTGCGCTACACATCGTACCGCTCTGCGTACCCGACTTCGCGTGTCGACGAGCGTATTGAGGCGTTGTACGATGCAACAGACATGGACGAAGATGCGATGCGGACGATGCGGACGCTCGTATCCTCGCCACGCATTGACTACGATCTGTTGGCTCAGACGGTTGCATATGCGTGTGAGCGAGCTACCAAGGTAGATGGCACAGGCTCTCTTCGTGGCTGTGCAGCCATCCTTGTCTTCTGCCCAGGTGTGGGCGAGATTCGGCAAGCGATGGACGCCATTGCCGCCCTGCAGCTCCGTGATATTGTGCTCTTGCCCTTGCATGCCAATCTGCCCGCCAGTGAACAGCGCCGTGTCTTCCAGCCCGTGGGTGCGCGCCAACGCAAAGTGGTGGTATCGACGAATGTGGCAGAGACGTCGATTACCATTCCTGAGGTGTGCTATGTCATTGATACCGGGCGTGTGCGTGAGGCGCAGTACGATGCTCAGGCCGGTGTCACGCGTCTTCTGGATGCATGGGCTTCTCGCGCAGCCTGCAAGCAGCGCGCAGGTCGTGCAGGTCGTACGATGCCTGGCGAGTGTTTCCGGCTGTACACACGTGTCGTGGAAGCGCAGCATCAACGTGCCCAGTCTGTCCCAGAAATACAACGTACGCCGCTGGAAGGTGTGGTCCTGCAGGTCAAGGCGTTGCAGCCAAAGGGCGATGTGAAAGCGTTCTTGCAGAAAGCCATCGATCCACCCTCCATGGACGCCCTGGAAGCGACGCATACGCGCTTAGTGATTGCCGGCGCCTTGCATGCGGAGGGCGGGTACAGTGCCACGCTCACGCCCCTGGGTCGTCACCTGGCCACGCTGCCGCTGGACGTGCGGCAAGGCAAGATGCTGGTTCTTGCGTGCCTCTTTGAGTGTGTGGAGCCGCTGCTGCATGTGGTCACATTGCTGTCCACGCGTCCTATGGTGGCAGGCTCGATGCAGCATGATACGAGTGCGACACAAGCTCGTGCACAATTCTTGATTGGCCAAAGTGATCTGCTCACGCAAGCGCATCTCCTCGCGACGTGGCTGCGTATGCGGTTTGAAAAGGCGCCTATGCGGCAGCAGCGGCAGTTCTGTGACACGCATGGTCTTTCGCTGCAAGCGCTGCAGGAGATGGAGCTTACGCGAGCGACGCTTCTTCGTCAGCTGGAAGAGGTGGGGCTGGTAGACCGAGCCTACGTACAAGGCTACCGCGAGCAAGGTCCACGCTGGCCGACGCAAGCCTCGAGCCTGTCCTACGATACCCACAGCCAGAACATCAACGTGCTACGTTCCCTGCTGCTTGCCGCGCTATGGCCCTCGGTCGTGCGTGTGGATGCGCCGTCTGCGAAGTACAATGCGTCAGCGTCGGGGGCTGTGCTGAAAGAGGCGCAGGCCAAGGAACTGCACTACTTTGACGAACAGGACGGCCGCGTGTTCCTGCACCCGAGCTCGCTGCTCTTTCATGCGACCAAGTACAAATCCAACTATGTTGTTGCCTTCCAGAAGAGTGCGAGTGGTGCCGCAGATGCGGCGCGTACCTATTTGCGCGATGTGACAGAGGTGCCGCTGTACGCTCTGCTTCTGTTTGGCGGTCCGTTGTACGTCGACCACGAAGTGGGCGGGATGACCATCTCTACCGGCATGGAGCCCAGTGCGGATGCCTGGGTACGTGTGCGTGCGAATTCGCGCATTGGTGTGCTATGCCGTCAACTACGTCAGCTCCTGGATCGCGCCTTGGAAGAGGGTGTGGAAGATCCACATGCGTGGGTATCTGCGTCGCACCAAGAGGTGGTCCGCGTTATGATGGCGCTGGTATCGCAGGATGGTCTGGAGTCCACGACGTCGGCGCCTGGACCATGACAGTATGTACGTCCATAGGCACCGTTAATCGCTGTGGCTCTTGCTGCGGCACTAGCGCCAATGCACGCACCAGCGGCAGCCGGTAGGGCCCCATACGCTGCGGCCGTAGGGCTACCGTGTACGTACGTTCTTCGCCGGGCAAGAGCATGGAGCATGTGACCTTGCGAGGCCCGGCGGCCAGGGCTGTGTCAGGCACCTCGACGTCGATCGTTGCGTCGGCCACATGGTACGCATCCTGATTAAGCACGTGCATCGTCATCCAGATCGCCTCGCCCACAACGACCGTAGGCGGCGCTGTGACGTGCACACGAACACGCGCCCACGGCGGCGGCGTGAGCGCTGGGATCGGCACATGCGTTTCGCAGGGCCATGGCTGGTCACGCTCTGGCCGACGCCATTGTACGACCAACGTAGAAGCGGTCGTGGCATCGTTGTGGATGTCGGCGGCGGTGTATGTGACTTGCAGCGGCGCGATCCACGTCGCTGTGGTTCGTGGCGACCACACCGGGAAGGCAGGCGCCTCGTTCGGCGTAGGCGCGCCCCATACAGCGCCGGCCTGGATGCCCAGCTCCGGCGCTACGGCCACGTACACGTGCTCCAGCTGTAGCGCGTCTGTGCCCAGGTACTCCACATGCAGAAGAACGCGCCCATCGCTTGCGTCGCGCCAGTGCACATGCGACTGGACGTGGAGCAAGGGCTGGACGTGTACTCCATGCGTCTCGGTGGACGTGGCATGGGTGTGCACACGGAACGTGCCGAGGATGGAGGGCGCACGTAGCCACAACGTCGACGCCGCGACACTGTCCATGGCCTCCTGCGCGCTCGTTTCGTCGAGCCATGCAGCCCCCGTCGCCCAGGCCTCAGGCGCGACACGCACCGTGGTAGGCGTCGTGGGCATGGTGATGCCGACCACTTCGCCAGGGTACATGGTCGTGGGCACGTTGATGGCCACGTGCTCTGCGACGGCATGCAACGTGCGCACGTCTGGCCGGGGGGGCAGTGGTAGGCGCTGGTGCGTCGTAGGTACGTACCATACACACGGTGCGTCGCGGTCCACATCGATCGCCAGGTCGACCGGTGCGAGCGGCGTTTGCAGTGTGAGGACCACATGCGAGAATGTCACGTCACTCGCCTGGGACACCGCCATAGCGCCTTGCACCCAGAGCGGCGCCTTGTCGGCCCATGTCCACGAGGTCGTACCTGTGCCTGGACGTTGCGCCGGCCATGCGATCGCCTCGCGCATCGTCACCTGCGTCGTGGGCGCTTGTGCATCGTACGTCACAACACACACCGGTGTATCTGACTCACGTGCATACACACGCAGCGTGCGCCAGGGCCAGGAGGGCAGCCTAGACGTAGCCCAGGGCTCGATCCGCAGCTGCCATGCCATGGAGCCAGGAAGCGTCAGCGTGCCCCGCGCAAACACGGCGCAGACATGCAGCCAGTGCGACGCGGCGCCTGGGTCGAGTGGCAAGACGGTCTCGCTCGACGTCGCCTCGTCTGATGTATCGTACGAGACATCGTACTGCTGAGCTACGGGGGCCAGTTCCAGCGCCAATCGCATCGTCGCTGCTGGATCGTGCGATGCTCGCGCACACGTCCACGCATGGTACGCCACAGCGTACCGAAGCTTCGTCCATGTCTCACGACGGTACCAACGCAGATTGCGCTCCAGGTACTGCAACGCTTGCGCAGGCTCCGTCTCCTGGTACACCCCCGCCAAACGTGTCGCGGTCATGTGCGCTAGACGCCCACGCTGCGCGTGCCGGAACGTGTCGTAGGCCAAGCTCAGTGCATGCACGACCAGCGCACGAACGTCCACCGACGTGTCGGTGGCGTAGGCCGCGCGCTGCATTGTGCACAGCGCGGCATGGTAGCGCAGCACGCCCGGCTCGAAACAACTCGTCGTGAGGCCGGCGTCCTGGAGCAGCGTCGCCATCAGGGCATACTGCTTCGCACGCCACGCCCAGAACTCGGGCGTGCTAGCGCCAATGCCCCACCCTGTACTGAGCACACTCATCTCGTGCTGATGCATAGTGAAAATACGCAAGGCGACGACCTCGTCACCCCGGTACAAGGCCCCTTTGATGCGCTTGAACGCAAGCGTATCGACCAGCACCTTGGCCTCGGCCCAGCGCCGCGTTCGTGGTGCGAGAAGCTTGGTATCGGCCAGGTACGTGCGGAGGAGCGCTTCGTACGCTTCGGTATACTGTGTATCGGCTTCGGCATACTCGCCTTGCAGTTCAGCAAGCACAGCTAATTTATAGTGCGTTCGTACATGCCAGCCCGGCGGCGAGAGGATCGGCGAGGGCGTCCGAAGCAGATGCGCTTGCGCCGCCGCCTGCATGATGGGCTGCGTGACGGATGGCGGCGGTGGATACCGCGCCCGATTCCGACGAACATGGCGCGCGTGCTGGCGGTAGTGCTCGCGCGTATGCTGCGACGCCGTCGCATACACATCTGTCAGAAAAGCAGGCAGTCGGCTCATATCGTGCGCATTGAACACAAGCATCGTACCTCGCGCTTCGAGGCCAGCAGCACGCCGAATATGATGTAGCCGCGCTTCTTGGCCAGCGAGCAGCGAGGCCGGCTCACACAGTAGTACCACCATGACTTTGATCCCACGCGGCGCTAGCGACGTACGCAGTGCTATGATCGCTTCAATCAGCGCCGTGTCAGCCTGCAACGTCGCCTCTGTGGAGGCAGGCAGGCAGAAAAAGGCCAGGTGGACGCCTGGCATGTACTCTGTATGCTTTCGAATCCACGACGGCGATACAATGCCATCTGGGAACAGCGGGCCGCCAGGAAACAGCGGCGAGAGGGGCGAGCGCGGCGGTAGCGCTTGCAACGCGTGCTTCGCGTCCACATCTGTGATCCGCGCCCCTGCCCGCATGCGCGCGGGCGGTAGGACATGCGCATAGTCGACCATCACCGTATGCAAACGAGGCGGCGAGCCTGGCGCATACCATAGACGTGGCCGCGCTTGCGGCGCGAACGCTTCAACGATGGCATGACATACGTTCGGGTACACAGACGTGGGATGCGCTAACGTGGGATAGGACGGCGTTCGCTCGGCGACCAATCCACTTACATGCACACATGGCAGCAGATGCACAATGAGCTCAGACGGGTACGAAGACGAGGACGTCGCTCTATGGCCGCCCTGCTTGCTTGGGTCCATGCACCACGTTACAACGTCGTGGAGATGGCGCCGTGGCCGTAGAGCGACGTACGTGCGTGCCTGCCGCGCGCGTCTCTCCACGCATCACGTGCGGGGCTGGCCACCCTCGAAAAAAAAGAGCCGCCGCGCACAGGCGCCGTTCTCTTCTTGAGTAGCGCTGCGCTGCGTTGTAAAGGGCATCATAATATGACGCTGCCAGCGCTCGATGTGCGTGCCTGCGCAATAGCTGCAGGCGCTAAAGCACACGAAGCGGCCCCTATTTTGAAAGCGTGTGCCGAAGGTAGCTGCCACGATGTGCATGCCGTTCTCGCCGCTGCGGCTGCGCTGTATCTCGACACTGACGTGGCTATTGCGAATGCTATTGTGATAGCGTTCCGTCCCTGTCTCTTGGAGCTCATGGCACGCGTATTTGAGCGGGCGGAAGCGGTGCATGCCATGGCCCGCTATGTAGGCGCCTTTGAAGAAGTATACCCTATGACGGAGGCGTTCCTTGCCCGCCACTTTGCTCACGGCCTACCTCACGACGAGGCTCACTTACTGGCTCGATGGCGCTTGGTCCGTGCAGCGCCTACCGTAGCCCGGCATTTGCACTGGCCTTCGTCCGATTTGTACAAGCTTTTCGTGGCGCGGGAGCATCCACCGAGTCTGCGACAGTTGGCCCTCGCGACGTACGTCTTGCAGGAACAGCTTGCTCCCGCTGCGCAAGAGGCCTTGGAGAAGGCATGGATCGAGCAGGACGCGTACGTACACGTAGATGGCGAGCACGTCCTGCTCTCTACCCTGCCATTGCACGAGCAATCGCGCATCGAATCGCTCTGGTCCGCGTGCTTGCAGCCATGGCCTGTCTCCCCCGCACCTTTGTGCTTGGACGCATCGATGCTATCGCCCTCATTATGCATGCTAGGGACCATGGTGATGCCTGCGTCACCTGTATTGCCTACCACAGTGTTTGTCGAGACAACGAGCGCGCAACGCGCGATGCGCGACGTGCTGTTGCACACGTCGCTTCGTCTGCCCGTGCTGGTATCGGGGCCGGCCTCCAGTGGCAAGACGCATTTACTTACGTACCTAGCTCATCAGCTCTCCCAGGCACCCGCAGGTATGCCGCCCTACCTTGTCATCCCGCTTGGCGATCAGTCAGGTGTGGACGCCAAAGCTCTTTTGGGCTCGTACGTGTCCAGCAGCACGCGTCCTGGCACGTTTGAGTACGTGGAAGGTGCCTTGACTCGCGCTGTACGCGCTGGTCTCTGGGTCATTCTTGAAGACATCGATAAAGCCTCGAGCGATGTATTGAGTGTGTTGGCGCCGCTTGCAGAGGCCCTGGGGCCGACCAAGTCGGTCGGCGCCCGTCCTGTGCTGGATCTAGGCGCGCGTGGGACCGTGGAAGCCGCGCCTGGATTTACCTTGCTGGCCACGCGGACCACTCGTACCGGCGCGCCCAAGCCCTCGTTCCTCTCGAGCGAGCATTGGGGCTATGTCGCGCTGGCGCCTCCGACACGTGACGATATAAGTCGGATCGTGCAAGGTCGGTATCCTCGTCTTGCTCAGTGGCCGTCTCAGGAATGGGCATGCATCTTGCAAGCGTGGGAAGCTGTGGTCCAATGCACGGCATCCACCTCCAGTGCTGTGCGTACGCCGTCCCTTCGTGAGCTCATGCAGTGGTGTGCGCGTCTCGATGCCCGTGCCGAGCCTGGTCTTCTACATTCCCCTGTGGTCCAAGATGCCGTGTTCCTGGATGGATGCGATGTGTTCCTTGCCTCTCTACCTACGATGGGCCCCGTTGGTCGTGCGATGTTGCATGCGCTTGCCGATGCATTGCAGGTGTCTGAGGAGCGTGCGACGTATGCATGGCACGAACGTGTCCCTGATTTGGCCCTCGCACACGCTGGGCAAGTCCGCGTAGGCCGCATTACCCTGGACCGCTTGGTGCCTGGCGCGCCAACATTGCAGCGCTACGCTCTTACACGCCCTGCGCTTACCTGTATGGAACGTGTGGCTGCGTGCATTGCTCATGCAGAGCCTGCCCTGCTGGTGGGTGAGACAGGTACAGGCAAGACCACGTTGGTCCAAATGCTTGCTACATTGGTGGGCCAGCCTCTCACTGTCGTCAACCTGAGCCAGCAGACGGAAAGTGGCGACTTGCTAGGGGCCTACAAGCCGCTTGATCCTAAAATGCAAGCTGCGGATCTCCACAATGCATGGTCGCGCTTGTTCGAGCAGACGTTCTCTGTGAAGCGCAATGCTGCGTACGTGGAGGCAGAGCGCAAGGCCTTCCTCCAGGGGAAGTGGGCGCGACTCGCGAAACTCTGGTCTGAATCGTGCAAAATGGCCCAGAACGAGCTGGCCCAAAGTACCTCCACCCGCAAAAAGCGGCGGACGGACGGCACCTTGGAGAGTGCGTGGGCCTCGTTGGCCGAGCGCATCCAGTCGTTTGCCGCGCTCTTTGCCACGCGCAAGCGCCACTTTGCGTTCTCATTTGTGGAGGGGCCATTGGTCCGTGCCTTACGTGAGGGCCACTGGATCTTGCTGGATGAGATCAATTTGGCCTCGCCTGAGACACTGGACTGCCTTGCGCCGCTGCTGCAGTCGCGCGAGAGCAGTCTGGTGCTTACCGAGCGCGGGGATCTCACCCCCATTCCGCGCCATCCGCAATTCCGACTCTTTGCGTGCATGAATCCAGCGACAGATGTGGGCAAACGCGACTTGGCGCCCTCCATCCGCGCGCGCTTTACGGAGCTGTATGTGCCCAGTCCTGATTCAGATAAGGAAGCGTTGATGAGTATTGTGTCTCAGTATATCGGCCAGGAAGCCGTGGGCGACAAATCAGCGATTCTCGACATGGCAGAGTGGTATACGGATCTTCGCCGACTGGCCGCCCAGCATGCCATTGCAGACGGTGCAAATCAGCGACCCCACTATTCCATTCGTACACTCGCGCGGGCGCTGACGTTTGCCGCGACGCTAGCGCCTACGTACGGCCTACGCCGCGCTCTGGCGGAAGGTGTCGAAATGGCATTCGGCATGTTACTAGATGCGTCCAGCACAGCTGTATTCCAGCAACGCTTGCAAACGCATCTACTGGCGCGCGCCAAGGACCGTCGTGTGGCACGTACGTTTGTGCCACCATCGCCGGGCCCCTCGTACGTGTCGTTGGGTGCGTTTTGGCTGGAAACGGGGCCGTTGCCCTTGGACGAGGCCCCTTCGTATGTCCTCACGCCAAGTGTGGAGGCCAAAGTGAGTGCGTTGGCCAGAGCACTGGTTACACGGCAGAGTCCCGTCCTTATTCAAGGTCCGACGTCGGCGGGTAAGACAAGTGCCGTGGAATACGTCGCACGACGTACGGGTCATCGGTTTGTACGCATCAACAATCATGAGCATACCGACGTACAAGAGTACCTGGGCTCGTACGCCTCGAATGCGGAAGGCCAATTGGTGTACACAGAAGGCCTCCTTGTTACTGCGCTCCGACGAGGCGATTGGCTCGTGCTGGATGAGCTGAACTTGGCGCCGACCGATGTACTTGAAGCGCTGAATCGGTTGCTGGACGACAATCGCGAGCTGTTGGTCCCTGAAACCGGCGAAGTCATTCGACCCCATCCTCACTTTATGCTGTTTGCGACGCAAAATCCTCCCGGCGCTTATGCGGGTCGTAAAATGCTCAGTCGCGCGTTCCGCAACCGCTTTGTGGAACTGCACTTTGACGATGTGCCGCAAAACGAGCTAGCTACGATCCTAACGCGTCGTTGTGAAATTGCGCCGTCGTATGCGGAGAAGATCGTGCAGGTCTTTACAGAGCTGCAGCGACGTCGGCAGTCCGAGCGTGTGTTTGATAAACAGGCGTTTGCGACGTTGCGTGATCTTTTCCGATGGGGTATGCGTGGCGCTGTCGGCTACCAACAGCTTGCTGAGACGGGCTACATGTTGCTGGCCGAACGCACGCGCCATCCACGCGATCGTGCTACCGTGCAAGCTGTGCTGCAGGAAGTGATGCGTGTGCGCATCGATCCCACGACGCTGTATGATGCGAGCAATGAGACACTCCAAGCGCAAGTCGGCGCAGATCTGCTGCAGCGTCTTCGTCATGCCGCGGCTACGCACAAGATTGTGTGGACCTCAGCGATGCAGCGATTGGTCTGTCTTACGGCTGTGGCGCTCCAAGGAAAGGAGCCGGTGCTGCTTGTGGGTGAGACGGGTGCAGGCAAGACCTCGGTGTGTGACATTCTGTCCACGGCGATGGGGCGTCGCCTCCACTCGTTCAACTGCCACCAAAATACCGACAGTGCCGACTTGCTGGGTGGGCAGCGGCCTTTGCGTGATCGAGCCCAGCGGGCGGCGGCTGCGCGTAGTGCAGCGCAGGAGGTGCTAGGCGAGGCACTGCCCACGACGATGACGCTGGATGACGTGGCGGCACGACTGCAAGCGGTCAAGACGACACCGCCTAGGGAGGCATGGACGTCCGCGTGGCAGCAAGTCCAGCAAGCCCAAGCGCTCTTCACCTGGTGCGATGGGCCGCTGGTCGAAGCTATGCGGCAGGGCGAGCACATGCTCCTTGACGAGATCTCGTTGGCGGACGATAGCGTCTTGGAACGACTAAACTCAGTGCTGGAGAAAGAGCGCACATTGGTTCTCGCAGAAAAGGCAGGTACCGATGTCATTGTCTCCGCCACGGACGGCTTCCAAGTCATTGCGACGATGAACCCGGGTGGCGACTACGGAAAGAAGGAGCTTAGTCCTGCGCTGCGCAATCGATTTACCGAGATCTTTGTGCCGCCTGTGGATGCACCGTCGGACCAAGCGGCGATTGTCAATGCGCTTCTGCCGTCCACCTTGCATGTGTGGACCGAGCAGATGCTGGCCTTTGTGCGCTGGTTCTCGCAGCAGCTGGGCGGGTACGAGCATACGGGTCTGGGTGTGCGTGATCTGATGGGATGGGCGCAATTTATGCACGATGTATGTGCACGGGATGTGCTGCCTGCGCCTCTGGCGTTTGCGCATGGCGCCTCGCTGACGATCATCGATAGTCTCGGTGCCCTGCCTGCGACGGCCGCGATGGTGGATAGCAGCTTGCAGGCTTTGCGTGCCAAGTGTCATGCGCATGTGGCCTCCCAAATTGCACCTACGCCCTGGGATCCGACCGATCCGTCGCTGCGGCACGTGCGCGAGACGTCTCACGCGCTGTGCATTGGTCCCTTTTCGATGCACTATGGTCCTGTGGCGCGCACGACCCCGACCTTTTCCCTGGACGCGCCGACCACGGCGGACAACGCCTTACGTGTTCTGCGTGCCTGTGAGATTCGCGCGCGAAGTGTCTTGCTGGAAGGCAGTCCCGGCGCTGGCAAGACCTCGCTGATTGCGAGCCTCGCGGCGCTCACAGGGCATGAGCTGGTGCGTATCAACTTGTCGGAGCAGACCGAACTCGTCGATCTTTTCGGCGCAGAGTTGCCTGTGGAGCATGGACGTGCTGGTGAGTTTGCGTGGCGGCCCGCTGCGTTCCTCGATGCTATGCAGCGGGGTGCATGGGTGCTGCTCGACGAAATGAACCTCGCCTCGCAAACTGTACTGGAAGGCTTGAATTCGTGCTTGGATCACCGTGGCTCCGTATACGTGGCTGAGATTGGGCGTACGTTCACGAAACATCCCGAGTTTCGATTGTTTGCTGCACAGAATCCACAGCATCAGGGCGGGGCGCGGAAAGGCTTGCCGAAATCGCTCTTGAACCGTTTTATCAAAGTGTATGTCGAGCCCCTGCAAGCCGCCGACATCCGAGTTATTTGCGGGCAGCTGTACCCGGCGATGGCGCCGCATCTCGATGCACTCGTGCGCTTCAACGATGCCCTGCACACGGCCACACAAGCCCAAGAACTCGGTCGGCATGGTGCGCCATGGGAATTTAATTTGCGTGATTTGCTGCGTTGGCTGCAGCTCATGCACGCGTCGTTGGGCACACCGACAGACGATCCTGTGGCGACGCTTTCGTGCTTGTATCTGGCGCGGTTCCGGACACCAAAGGACCGCGCTTATGCTGCGTCGCTCTTTGCCTCGTGCTTCGGCCGTGAGCCGACTCGCGCGACTCGTACTCCGAGCGTCCTGCTATCGCCCTCGACAGCCTTGGCTGGCGCTGTGCTGTTGCCACGCACGGGCTTGCGATTGCCCCGCGGGTACACACTCGTCCCCTCGCAGCAGGCATGCCTCGAAGGCATGGCAGCGAGTGTGCGATTGGGCCTGCTGACGATCTTGGTGGGTCATGCAGGGACAGGCAAATCGTCGCTGGTGCATACCATGGCGGCGATGATGAGTCGTCGGCTGGAAGAGGTACGCCTCAGTGCGGCTAGCGATACGATGGATGTGTTGGGCTCGTTTGAGCAGCGTGATCCATCGCACCAGAAGAAGGACGTGCTTCGTCAAGTGGATGCGTTCCTGGACCAGCTTCAACTCGCGGCTCTGACGCCCACATCGTCGTATGCGGCCGACGCTGCGTCTCTCTTGGACACACTGGCAGCCTGCCGCACAGCCATGCATGACCAGCCCGAGGTACTGCAGACCCTTGTACCGTACTTGGCCGATGCCGAGGCACATACCCTGTCTGCGCTTCTTGCGCAGCTTCACGACGCATCGCAAGGCGCCGCTGCCGGCCAGTTTGAGTGGGTCGACGGACCTCTGTTGCGTGCGGCCAAGCAGGGCCACTGGCTCCTATTGGACAATGCCAATCTGTGTGCCGCCTCCGTGCTAGATCGACTAAACTCCCTGTTCGAGCCCAACGGATCCTTAGTCCTGAGTGAGCGTGGTATGGTCGACGAGGGCCGCGTGCCACATATTGTGCCGCACCCTGCGTTCCGTGTGTTTATGACCGTCGACCCACGCTATGGCGAGCTGAGTCGGGCCATGCGCAATCGCGGTATGGAATTGTGGCTGGAATCCGTGGAGATCGAGCACGTTGCGCCTCTGGCACGTACCATGCCTCAGGCGGCAGGCACGTTGTTGGAGCGTGCTGTGACCTCGCACGCGTCGCGCCGTGGGTGGATGGAGCAGCCCATGTCGTCCATGATCACACCGTGTGTCCAAGCAGCGCTCGCCCAGCCTATTCTGGCAGCGCCAGCGCTACGTATCACTGCCTTGTTGGCGTCCTGCTGGACCGAGCCGTCACTGCGCGAGGCTGTAGCGATATACGCCAAGCAGGCGCTCTGGCCCTGCGAACGTGCCTTGGTCGCTGCTACTCTGTCTCTTGATACGACAGCCTCGTCCCCCCCACGCTTGCTGGCCTCAGACTCGGATGTGCAGGAGGTATGCCCGAACGATCCGCGTCGGATTGATGCGTTGGCGCACTTGCACGATACGTTGCATGCCTCGCAGTTGGCTTGGCAGGTGCGTATCGAGCAGATGCAAAAGCGGATCGCCGATGTGGGCGAGGATACACTCTATGCACGCGCCCGTACGGACCGTGCTCTGCCACCGATGCTCCGTGGCATTCCGAACCTCCTTCCCTCGGCCTTAGCCTGGCTCGCGACCTTGCCGCCCATGGACGCGACGATCTCTGTGATTGATCGGTGCTTGGATACCCTGTCCATGGTATGGGAAGCGTGCTTGTCGACGGAGGCGGACTACTCGCTTCTCCACTTCTTGCTGCGTACGCTGCGTGCACTATGGCTCGAGTTGCAGGCAACGACGTCCCTGCCCTCGGCATTGCTTTCGACGTTGCGGCCCATGTACACGCCTTCCTCACGCCAGAGTGGAGCGGCCATGGCCAGTGTGTGGCACAGAGCCCTTCCTGCTATTCCGGCCGAGGCGCAGACACTGCTGGCACAGCTTGCGCATCATTTAGATCGACTTATGCCACCTACCCATGCCCGCACAGCGCTGGAAGTGCTTACAACATTGCATGTGTGGTCCTCGTCCTGGACAGATGCGCATGCGCAGGAGCTTACGCAGGTGGTCCATGCCATGATGGCCCTGGAAGCGGCGCCAACGCAACCCGCGTGGCCGTACGTGCGCCGTGTATTGCCTGTTCTGCAATGGTACCTGCTGGCAGAAGAGCCGTCACAAGCCCCTGTGGCGCCGCTGGAGCCACGTCTCGGTGCCGTGCTACGCGCCATGACAGAGCACCAAGTCGTGCCAGTACTGTGGCTGGTCGCTGCGCAGTGGCGCGCATGGGCACCAAGGAAAGCGTGCCCAGTGTGGATGAGCTTGCAGCCGGCGCATGCACTGTGGTATATCGATGGCGCTTTCCAAGTGGAGGCGCTAGGCGCTCAGACGCTGACGCAAGCGGTCCTTGCGCCGAATGTCTTGGAGGCCGTGCAAGAAGAGCGTATTGGCCTAGCATCCTGGCCCTCCTACGAATCGCATTTGCGTGCTTTGTCGTCGTGTATCGCTACAGCTCTGGTACCGGCCCAGCCCTCGCGTGTCTCGCACCTTCGCACGCTACTTGGCGCCTTCGCTTTGGATATGACGCAGGCGCTGCATCATGCCTTGTCGCAATTGGCCTGGCCAGAAGGGCAAGGTGTGATGCAGGCCCTGGGCTCGGCGCTGCATACGTCCGAGCCTCAAATGTACGTTGATGCGCTGGCGGCCGTGCAAGCGAAGCTGGAGCAAGATACGGCCTTGCACAGTGCACTTCAAGCTTGGCTGACGTGGCTTCGCGAGGCGCATGCCTGCCTTACTAGCACAGCCACACCTGCACAACTGGCTCACGCCTGGGTACACTTGGCTCTGTACACGCTGCATGTCTATGTCCCTGATATGCCCTTGGACCCTGTAGCGGAAGTACATGCTCAGCATGCATGGTACGCACACACGCAATCGCAGCTGGATGCGCGTCTGCAAGTGGAGGGAGCTGTCGCACAGATGCGGACGGGCGGTGCATCGCATGCCGTGCTGGATGAGCTTCGGACAGCCATGGCACACGTGGCCACGCAGCAAGCAAATGCGACGGCGGCGCCTGTTCACCGTGCTTCGGATCCCGTGTTACTTGCGCGATGGCACACGGAAGTAACAGGCTTGTTAACGGACACACTGTCCACTGCCAAACTGGATAGGCTGCTTACGCGCCTTGCTTCGCCAACAGAGACGGCGCTGGCTGAAGAAACTTCTCTGCAGGCGTCAGTCTACGCGTTTGAGCAGCGTTTGCGACGACAGTATGCCAGCATGAGCGATTTGACGGCGCCTGTGCATACGGCTCTGGAGCAGCTTCGCTTGGGTCTGCGTCTTGCGGTGCCGTCTAAGCATGTATCCCCACGGATCGCTCATTGGCTCAGCTCGACCATGCAGACACCTACGTCGGCTGCCGCTCATGCCATTGCTGTCCATGCTACCGACGCACGTGCAAAGTCAACTGCGCTTGCGGAGCTGTTGGCCGCTTTGGCCAGTGCCGCCTACGATGCGCATATCACGCAAACGCCACCTTCGCCATCGACCATTGCTACGCTCTATGAACAGCTCTATGTATTATGGACCGCTCATCGTGAAGCGGAGCGTGAAAAGGTGGAGGCGGAAGCACGTGTCTTTACATTCAAAGGCGAGGATGCCAGCGAAGAACAAGCACGTTTGGCCGCAGAAATGCAAGCCATGTTCCCTGTCTATGACGACGTGCTGGAGACGACGACAACAGCGACGACAACGACACGCACATCGCCCAACAAAGCGCCTACCATCAATGCACAGGTGTTGACCAGCATTCACGATCTGCACACATGTTTATTCCCCAGTACTATGCCCTGGACAACCAAGCGAGTGATGGCAGACGCGCCTTCCATGTTCGTGCAGCACACAGACACACTCATGCGTCTGTACTCGACGTACGCTGCGCACATGCCAGCGGATCTCGACAAGGGAAGTGCATACCAGCTGGCACGGATCGCTCGCCGACTAGCGCCGCCGGCTGAGGCACGGAACTTTTATCACGATGCCCAGCCTGCGGAATTGGCAAAGATGGGCCCCCTATTGGACGCACTGCAATCACACGTTACTACGCTGCTGGGGCAGATGCCTGAGCAGGTCCAGCTGCAGCAGCTTCAGGAACGATGTGAGCGTGTCCAGCAACTCGATATGGCAAGCCCCATTGCCAAAGGTCTAGCCGCGATTGAACTCTTACTCACACACGTGGACGATTGGGAGACCTACGCTAGCAGCGCTACGTCGCTGCGTACGCATGCTACTGCTCTGACGAACCTTGTGATTGAGTGGCGTCGACTTGAGCTTCACAGCTGGGCGTCGCTGCTCGATAACGAGGCGGCCTGCGAAGAGGAAGGCGTCTCGCCGTGGTTCTTCTCATTGTACGAGGCCCTTACGCGTGCGTCAGATTCGACGACGATCTCGGACTTGGTATCGCTACTCGATACCTACGTCCGAGGTAGTACTGTCGGCCAACTAGCGGCGCGATTGCGTTTGCTGGATACGCTCAGTGTCTTTATACAGCCGCAAGGGGATATAAGCCGTGTGCTTCATCACATTGCCGCCTACTACGCCCAATTCCTACCAGCCGTGGAGGCACATCTTCAGCAGCAGCGCAGCTTGCTGGAACGCCAAATCCAGGACTACGTACGCTTGGCGTCATGGAAAGATGTGAATGTGTATGCTCTTAAGCAGAGTGCTCAGAAAACGCACCAGTATCTGCACAAGTCGCTGCGAAAGTGGCGTGAAATGCTGCGTGCGCCAGCTGACCCCTTACTCGCGCTCAAAGCGGATGCACGTCCGAATGTTCTCGTACGTGCAATGATGGGCCCTGTCTCGGCATCTTGGCGTCCTGTTACAGCCAGTCTACCTGTGCTTGTAGCACGACCCGTACGCAACGATACCGCCTTGCATTTCCAGGATGTGCGTAAAACGCTTCGTCATGTGCACACGTTGTGTGAATCGCATATTATGCCACAGATGGATACAGAGCATTGGTCCGACGTATCGGACCTGGCAACTACCATCCTGGAGACTGCCGATGAACTGGCACAACAGACGCCTGCTCTGGCGAATGAAGGCAATGCAAAGAAGCTTAAGAGCTTGGCGACACAGAAACGCCGCGCATGGTCCGATCTGCTCAAAGAACTTCGTCGGTGGGGATTGTCACCCTTCCTTAGCGCTGAAGTGCTCGCGCAGAACCGTGATCCCGTTTGGATTTATGGTGCGCCAATGATCAAGCGTGAAGAAACGCTCGGTACAGACGCTATGGATCAGTACCATGCAGCGATGCTGGCCCAAGTAGAGCGCCTTCGATTGGCGGCGCAGGCGCCGCAAGGCGATGTGCCGGACCTAGCGAGGGGTGTTGCCTTTGTGGAACATGCACTGCATTGGGCCCTTGTGACGCGCCGTCGATGGGCACCGATGTATGAAAGCGTGCAAGCGCTGGGTCAGATGGTGCAGCGACTCTGCACACTGACTGGCCCCTTGTACTGCCTCTCGTCGCACGATGTGCAGGGTGTGCAAGTTCGCATCAATCACATGGCACGTACGATAGATGCCTTGCAAGAGGCCATGGCGACCATGACCACCCAGGCACAGATGTGGTCGACGAACACACCTACTCTACAAGACTGGCCACCGCTGCTGGAGCGTCTACGTGCCTCTCGTGCAGCGCTCCAAGGTCTACTAGAGACGTGGAATGCGACGCACATGTGGCTTGCTACCGAGGCAGACCATGCCATGTTGCAAGAAAGTACTGCAGCGCTACAAGCGACATTGCAAGTACTCCGTGCTACAGCGCATGCGGCCCCGTCCATGCAGCTTATTACAATCCCCATTTGCGCATGGCTCGAACCTGGCTGTGAAGCGATGGTTTGGTCAGCAACAAGGGCCGAGGGAGATATTCAATCACACACAGACCAAGTGTGTTCGTCGGTGCTGGTCATTTTGCAGGATATGAAGGCATTGCCGCCACAGGCGCCTCGAGGAGAGGTTGTACCCGACCAATTTGTCCCTGATGAAATGTCGCGCTTACAAACCATCCACCGTATCTTGAAGCCACAAAAAGTGGTGGAGGCACTCCGCGCTTGTGTGGCCGATGCAGGCTCTGATACAACATCAACGCAATGCATGGCTACGTTAGCGCAGTTCCTCAAGCCCTACCTGGACCTTGCTGTGGCGCATACTATGTCCATGTCACGCTGGTACCGTGCTTGGATGCGACTGTGTCTGGTCTTGAGCGTGATTATGACGACATTGGCTACCAAAGGCTTCTGCCAGCCACCAGAAGAGGATGATGCAGACGATGACGCGGAAGGCGATGGGGGTGAGCAGTTAGAAGGCGGTACAGGTCTCGGCGACGGGTCTGGCGCAAAAGATGTGTCTGACACGCTACAAGACGACGAAATGATGGAGGAATTGCAGAACGAAGAGCAAGACCAAGATCAGGGCGAGAAGGAGACACAAGGCGAGGACAAAGCACGTGAGATGGATGATATGGATGGCGATGTACACAGTGTAGATGGCGAGCGTGAAGAAGAACAAGGCGACGATGACGAGGAGAAGGAAGAGCAAGAGCCCCAAGATGAAGTGGGCGATGTTGATCCGCTTGACCCAGATGCTGTGGACGAGAAGATGTGGGCGAATGAGCCAGAAACCGAACAGCAGGGCGAATCGGAGGCCGCGGGTGGTGCACAAGAGGATCGCGAGCAGGCTGGTGATCGATCTGAGCAACCTGATGAGGCTGGCAATGAGCAAGAAGGAGACGAACAGCAAGGTGATCAGGAAAGTGGCGAAACCAATGAAGAAGAGGCGGAGCCTGAATTGGAGGACGTACCTGATAAGACAGACGGTCTGGGCCGGGATCTGGATCAGGAAGCGCAAGAAGAAGACATGCAGCTTGGTGACGATCTCGATATCCAATCGGGGGACGAAAAAGAAGAGGGCGATGACGAGATGGACTTGTCGTCCGACGGCGAGCACCAAAACGAACTAGATGACGGTGCTTCTGACTCAATGGACGAGCGTGAGCACGACGATACCCCGATCACGGCTGAGCCGGATAAAACCACTACCGAGGATGCAGGTGATGCAGACGCCGACGTCGATGCTGAGGATGAAGAGCAAGATCGTGCAGAGGACACCGAGAAGGCGGAGGGTGAAGATGACCCTGTGGATGACGACAAAGAGAAGGAGAATCAAGCGGAAGCTGAGCCGGAAAACGAGGAAGCTTCTCAACCAGCGGGCACACGTCCTGAATCCATGGAGAAGAAACCACTGTCTCAGCCTAGCGAGCAGCATCGCCTCATGCCGTCGACTGATACGACGATGGAGGATGATACAACGACACATGAAGGCGGTGGTGAGGATACCGGCGGTGCAGCGGGTGAGCAAGAGCAGGCAAGTGGCGAGGCCGACAAGATGGATGGCTCGTCCACCGCGCAAGCTAGTGGTGCACCGCAAGACGGTGATGCCGCAGGGGCAGAGAACGATGCAGAGAATGCGGAAGCGCGGCCAAACCCTGTTCAAAGCCTGGGCGACTCATTAGAGCAGTTCCGCCGTGATGTGGAGCAGATTCGTGAGGCCACACAGCACGAAGGGGAGCAGCACCAAGAGGAGGACGGCGTCCCTGAAGCTGGCGACGTCGAGCATATTGCGCAGGATGAACAGGCTGAAGCACAAGCCCTTGGAGTGGCCGATGAGCAACAAGCGCAAGCGATGAAGAGTTTGTCCATGGAAGATACAGAGGCGCAAGAGACGGCCGTTCCTATGGACGAAGAATCAGACATGGCGCCACCAGAACCAAGTGCGGAGCCTACTGAGGATAAGCAGCCTCCTGAAGGAGCCGGTCAGCCATCGCACGGCGCACAAGAAGGTGCACTGAGCGCTTCGGATGTGCGACGCAATATGGCCGATCATACGGAGGAAGGTACTATGCCGGCCACCGATGAAGAGCACATGGAGCCCATGGATGACGAGGCGAGGGAAGAGGCCGAGTCGCAAACGGTCGAAGCATTGGCAGCCTTCCGAGCATCCGAGATGGATATCGACAAGGCGGCCGAATTGTGGCGATCCTATGTCGGGCTGACAACTGACTTGGCTTTTGGTCTGTGCGAACAACTGCGGTTGATCCTGGCCCCATCGCTCGCGACACGCCTAAACGGAGACTACCGTACAGGCAAGCGCCTGAACATGCGCAAAATTATTCCTTTCATTGCCTCCGACTTTGCAAAGGACAAGATCTGGCTGCGACGAACAAAGCCATCGTCGCGCGAGTACCAGGTGCTCTTGGCCATTGATGATAGTAAGAGTATGGCGGATAGCCGCAACATTCATCTGGCATACGAGACTCTGGCTTTGGTGGCAGGTGCGCTTACACGCCTTGAAGTGGGCGATATAGGCATTTGCCGCTTTGGAAGTCGAATGGATATGCTCCACGACTTCGGAACGACGTCGTTCAGCGACAGGCACGGTGGCCATATTCTCAGCCAGCTCCAGTTCCAGCAAACGAACACGGATATGTATGCGCTACTGCAACAGAGCATGTCAGTGCTACAAGAAGCACGCCAGCGTGCGTCTGCCTCGGCCGCTGATCTGTGGCAGCTGGAGATCATTATCTCTGACGGTGTATGCCAAGACCATGAGCGTCTTAAAGCCCTTTTGCGCCGTGCCACGGAAGAGCGTATCATGCTTGTATTTGTGGTCGTCGATGCTGGCGCCGGTGCAGAAAACAAGGAATTACAGCCTGGCGAAGCTCCTCGCAGCTCTATCCTCTCTATGAATCAAGTCAACTACCATACGGATGCCGCTGGTAAACTTCAATTGGAGATGAAGCGGTACATTGATACCTTCCCCTTCGACTATTATGTCATTGTACGCGATGTTCAATCGCTTCCGCATGTCCTCGCTACGACATTACGTCAGTGGGCCGAGCGAATTCGTGATGCATAAGTGTATTCATACTATGTAGAAGCATAGCTTTTTATGATGATCCGATGACACATTACACCGACGTTAGGGGCACGTGGCGGAGGAAGGACAGCGTGCCGAGGCAGTAGTCCAACGATTCCATGACACGTGCGCCTTCCTTCCGCTGCTCCGCCAGCACAGCACGAAGAGCTAATGCTAATTCAGTACCAGGTCCCTCTTCTTCACGGTCAGGATGCACGCCTTGTGCTTGCAGCGATTCCGTATGGCATACCAAGAACACCTGCAACATGGCTTGCACAGCTTCAAAGTCCAGCTTGACTCGAAGACGAAGCGCTAAGGCTTGCAAAAAGAGGGTCTGTTGCTCTGCCGTATCCAAAGCCCGAATCTCTGCATCGAGCTGGGGGGCAGATAACGTGTGCAAGTACGTGAAAAGAGGACCGACGTCTTCGGCCTCCACGGCCACACGCATGCGCCGCTCTAGATCAGATTCAAACATGAGTTCACGTCCACCCGCCACAGGCGCGCGCTTCTCCAAAGGACTAGCATTGGCAGGGGCCGATGTAGTGGGGGCTGAAGCATCCAAGAAGAATGGTGCTTTCTCCGGCTTCTTCGGTGCCTCCTTGGGCTTATTTCGCCGCTTGATGGTATCGAGGTGGAGAAGGGTCATCCACCGTGAACGCGGCATCGTACTGAGTGTCACAAGAGGGCCAGATGTATCAGAGAGCTGCGGCGGACTTGTATACGTTCGCTGAAGCTCTGGCTCGCCAATATCCGCGTTGGTTGTCTCGCTGTCCTCCAGAGACATGCCCTGCACACTGGGCAACACCGCCTCGCGCTCTTCCGCCACATCACCCATATCCAGGGCACGCAGCGCGACAGATGTAAACTGCGCACGGTTGACCCATAGATGTACACCGACACTGTCGACATGAGCAGTGGCCAAAAAGTCGCCAGCCGGCGAGAAACTCACACTGGTGGCCATGCTAGGCGTACGGAAAGCATCAATCAGCTGTGCTGTTGCCAAGTCGAAAGTACGCACGACACTGTCTGTACTGCAAGCAATAAGCCAGCGGCCATCAGCGGAGAAAGTGGCATCAAGAATACGGCCACGGAACCCGCTGAATCGACGAGCTACACGTCGAGTCTCGATATCCACGATACTCAGTACAAGGTCGTCACCTAGCACAGCAAGCAGGTTCGACTCACGGTGCAAACGCAGGCCAGAACAGCCAGTCGAAACAGAGCTTGTTGCTGTTTTGGCTGCACTAAAAAAGTCAAAGTAGTGCAGCACGCCATCTTGTGTGCTGGCAATGCACATTTGATTGAGAGCATCACAGACCACATCAGAAATAGGCGACTTGCCCTGAGTAGCAAACGTACGCCGATGCATGTGACTTTGCATATTGTACATTTCCACACGGCCATCGCTGGTGCCCACCAGCGCGAAATTGCCACAGGCACTGACACAGCTTGCTGTAGCAATAGCAGTGCTCTTCTTCGTGCGCGCAACGCTAAGCACGGCTTTGTTCATGTGCTTATCCCGAACAGTCCACGTATGCGCATAGCGGTCACCAGCATGCGTGGTAAGTACGTCGTCCCAATCACGCGAGCGAAGGGTGCTGTACGACATCGAAGAGACGGCAGGCAGTTTCAAAGAAGACGCTTCTACAGCCAGTTTGGCGGATTTGCTCGCGATCGATCCTTGGCTCAACTCAAACGAGCGGCTATCACGGACAACACTCAAGCAACGCACACTGCGGTCTCGCGAAGCAGAGAGCATCGCACGTCCATCGTCGCCGTAATAGCGGATAATGTGCGGCGGGAGAGCATGCCCAGATCGTGATTTAAGCACACGCGGCGGCAAGGTCGGCGACTCAAAGAACCACTGCTTCAAGGCATTATCAGCGCCTGACGAGATGAGCAGAGGCTGGCCAGGCACGAATTCAATGGCGCCAATCGCACCGTCATGAGCGTGCTGGACAGAGTGAAGAAGGCGGGGTGCACCCCCGGTAGGTCCTTCTTCTTGTGCCGCATCCAGGTCAAATAGAGAGATAGAGCCAGCACGTGTAGCCACCGCCATGGTGTGAGCCACATTGTCGGTGCGGAACGCTACACAGTTTGCGCCCAATGTGCCTTCGACACGTACAGAGAAGAGCATATCGCCCTGACGTATGTCAAAGATGGAGACAAGACCATCCGCAAATGCCACAGCAAGAATATCCACAGCAGGCGATTGAGTAAGAGAGACAATGCCAGCATGGGTAGTAGATATTTTACCGCCACGAATATCGTCAGAAGAAAACGTGTGGATAAGCGAGCCTGTGCGAATATTCCACAACTGCATCGTACCATCCGACGATCCAATGATCACTTTGTTGAGATACGTGGCGGGATGAAGCAATGTGGAAGCGGTAAAGTCATCGTGAAAGGACAGCGTCTGGATCAGCTCCGTAGTGCCCAGCGACCATACAAATGCCTGGCGACCGTCAGCAGCAAGAGCGCAAATGTAGTCGCCAAATACAATCATGGAGGAAAGCATTGTCCCTGCTACATTTTCCTCTGCCACCTCTGTCGCGTACCTAGCCGCTTCGTGGCCACGAACATAGCGATGAACACGCGTACCAGCAGCCACAAGAAGGCTATCAGGCGAGGTGGAATGGGCCATAGCCGTAATGGAGTCAGCACACATAGGCCCCACAAATAGGAGTGTCATGCGGTCTGCATTCCACATCGCCCACGTATCACCCAAGCATGTCACCACATTTACATCAGGCGTTTGTGCATCTTTACCACCAAAACGCACTTGCAGGACAAAAGGCACATGATTTGTGATATACCCCAGCGCACGAAAAGGAGCATACAAAGCATCTTTGCGTTCCTTCACGCTTGGCACATCCTTTTCTTTGGTATGTGCGCGTGCGCGCTTTTCCCGCGAAGCCATAGCTACGATGGTGCAAGCGGCTCGGACGAGCCATGATGCGTCGCAAAAAAAATGGACTACATGTAGCTGACTAAGCAGATTTTCTTGCGCGACCAAACTTTTTTTCCTACTCACAGGCGCCTGCAGTTGTCGACCACACACCATGGCCGGAAAGCACCACGGCATTGATGCCGAAGAGTCAAAATTGGAGCGAGAACTCCAGCAAGACACAGAAAATGCCGAACGTGAAAATGAAACTCCGAAAGAACGCAAGCCTTTCTCTGAACTAGACTTGACACCAGGTACCGCGAAAGCCCTTGAAGCTATGGGATTCAAGACGATGACAGAAGTGCAGGCACGCTGCATCCCTCCGCTGCTGGCAGGCAAGGATGTATTGGGAGCTGCTCACACGGGTAGTGGCAAGACGCTGGCGTTCCTGATTCCTGCTATCGAAATGCTGCAGCGCTTGAAGTTCAAGCCAAGGAACGGCACTGGTGCCATTGTCATCTCGCCAACGCGTGAGTTGGCACTGCAGATTTTCGGTGTTGCAAAAGAGTTGATGGCAAACCAAAGTCAGACCCTGGGCATTATTATGGGTGGTGCCAACCGCAAAGCAGAGGCGGACAAACTTCAAAAGGGAGTCAACCTGATTGTGGCGACGCCCGGCCGTCTCTTGGACCACTTACAGAACACCAAGGGGTTTGTTTTCAGTAACCTAAAGGCACTTATCATCGATGAGGCGGATCGTATTTTGGAGATTGGTTTCGAAGATGAGATGCGCCAGATCTGCCAAATTCTTCCCAATGAAAACCGACAATCGATGCTGTTCTCCGCTACGCAAACGACCAAGGTGCAAGACCTTGCTCGTATTTCATTGCGCCCAGGTCCCTTGTACATTAATGTGCATGAGCAGATGTCGGCATCGACTGTCTCCAAATTGGAACAGGGCTATGTGGTCTGTGATAGCGACAAGCGATTCTTGCTTCTGTTCACGTTCCTTAAACGCAATGCAGGAAAGAAGATTATTGTGTTTATGAGCAGCTGCAACAGTGTGAAGTACCATGGCGAACTGCTTAATTATATTGATGTGCCTGTCCTTGACTTGCATGGCAAACAAAAGCAGCAAAAGCGAAGCACGACCTTTTTCGAGTTCTGCAACGCCCCAAGTGGCATCCTTTTGTGCACAGACGTAGCTGCACGTGGCCTTGATATCCCAGCTGTGGACTGGATCATTCAGTACGACCCACCGGATGACCCTCGCGACTATATTCATCGCGTAGGCCGTACAGCGCGTGGCGGCAAGGGTGGCCGCTCGCTTCTGTTTTTGCTCCCTAGTGAGTTGGGCTTCCTTCGTTTCCTGAAAGTGGCCAAAGTACCCTTGAACGAATATACCTTCCCTCCTAATAAGATCGCCAATGTGCAAAATCAATTGGAAAAATTGATCGCCAAGAACTATTACTTGCATCAATCGGCGAAGGAAGGATACCGTTCGTATATTCAGGCCTACGGATCGTACTCGCTGAAACGCATTTACGATATCCACGCCTTGGACTTGGCCAAGGTGGCCAAGGCATTTGGCTTTGCTGTACCGCCAAAAGTCAATGTGACCATCGGAACAGGCCTGAAGGCTAAGAAGGAGCGGCCAGAAGACGACGATGAGGATAAGGACGATGACCAGCCGCAAGGTAAGCGCCAGCGTGTCGACCGTCGGTCGTATGGCCATCGCGATGAGAAGGCCAGCAAGTTCCGCAGCGGACATCGCTCCGGCAACACACAGTGGAGCCGCTAGGTTATGTAGCATAGAAGTATATTGGTATCAATGTGGCCTATATGAGATCGTCCGTGACCCGTCGGGTCGAAAAGGCATTCCAGACATAAAGAATCGACGCTGTGTTTTTATCCGTAGTCGACTTGACATTGGAACGCAATTCCAAGAGGGCCATTTGGACGGCACGCAAGACAGGTGCATAAGTGGATGTGCTATGCGTACGAATTTCCTCGCCATGTGCTTGGAACAGCGCTGTGAGCCACTTCAAGTGGAATTCAACATGCGGACTCTGGTTGGCAGGCTGCAAACGCGAAGCGACAAGACCAAGCACGCGAGACAAGTACAGCGTAGGCAGTTGCTTCGCAACCAAGGCAATTTCATGCGGTTTCGTTCGCTCGTACACTTCAGCCTCCAGAGCAGGATCGTTGAGGCGAAGTGCGCCAAGCAGAGCAAGAAGAGACTCACCTTGCAGAGACGCAGCGCGTACGCCCTGCGGCGTCAGATCCATATCTAGGTCTGTGGGGTCAAACGTAGCCTGCTCGTCAAGGCTGTAGATCAGCAAGCCACCTGTAGAGGCGGCAGCCCAACTCCTGCCAGTAGGCGAGAAACGCACACACTTCGACCGCGCCTGCAGTCGAGTCGAACGTTTACTAAGATCGCCACGCTGCACACCCGGCAGGGAGCGGTCCACGCGCTCGGCCAATGTCAACTCGTCCTCGTCGGAAAGGTCATTGATCAAAGCAATATTGCCTGCATCAGTCATCTGCCGCGAATCAAGACGATCTTGTGTGCCATCAAGGGCTAGGTTCATGCTTAGCGTCCAACGCTTAAGCAATACACGCTCACGAATATCATAGAGGCATACGTAATTGGCGTTCCCGCCAGCAAGGATACACGATCCATCGGCACTGTAGCAGACACTTGTAAAGGCTGAGCCTGCCGCATTATTGCGCTGCTGAACCTTGTCATCGAGCTTGCGCCCTCCAGCAATGTCACGGCGGCAGTCCAAGACACCAGTATGAGACCCGGTCTTGGTGTCAAAGAAGTTCAACTGGCCATCCAGTGATGCCACACACACCTCCAATCCATCAGGTCGGTAAGCTAGCGTAAGACCCTCCGATGATAGAGACATGGACTCCGTGCTCTGACTACGCCGGAAAACTTCCCATAGCCGCACAGAGCGATCCCAGCTTGTGCTAGCTAGCAGCCCGGATCCACTCGGATCAAACGATAGGCCGGTCACAGGTGCTTCATGACCAGCGAGGATCTCCAGTAGTTTGCCTGTTTGGACACTCCACATATACACCTCAAAGGTATCTGAACTACCAGCGCAAACCACTTCGCCACTGGGCTCCACAGCCAAGCTCACAAACTGCACAGGCGAGGGCGATGTGAACGTTCGGAAGTTGCGGTACCGTACAAGATCGTACGCACGCACAGTACCATCCAAACTAGCACTGAAAAGCACTTGACCTTGCTTGGCAAATTCCACACATGATACAGGGGCTGAATGATCGGAAAACGTCACTGTACAAAAGCCAGAGGCGGTATTCCAGACCTTGACTTTCCCATCATCACCACCGGTCACAGCCATCTGACCATCTTGAGCAAATGCCACCGTGTTCATATCAAAGAAATGACCTTGCTGCTTCATGATATAAGACTCACTAGCCCATTCCCACACAAGCAGTTGGCCAAGCCGTTGAGCACCAAAAGCAAGCCATTCGCCTGTACCATTGACTGCGACACTGGTGATCTTTTCTTGGCTAATGCTGAGAGCATGCACTTCAGTGAAATCAGGCATATCACGGAGAGAGAACAGCCCCGATGTGAAGCCAACAACAAGACGCGAGGTACCGGGATGGAAATCGCAGCATGTTACTTGAGCATTGGTCTGATGGAAGTAATGGCGCGAAGCCACGCCCCACCTCGTAAAAGCCACAGCATTTTGAGGGTCAGTACTAGTCTCGCTCTGTTCAATTGGCTCCATGTCTTCCTCATCCTCCTTGGCCTGCCATACTAGACACGCGCCATCGCGGGATACAGTATAAATCGTTTTTTCATCAAGCGAGAAAAAGGCACGCAGGACTGCATCACGATGACCAGAAAAAGTCTTGGGACGGAAGCCTGGCACAGGGTCAAGGCTGAACAAACGGCCGCTCATATCCTTAGAGGTTGTTAGGAAAAAGCGTCCATTACGCGACCATGTCACACTCAGAACGTCATCAAAATGCCCCACATATGTGCGGTGAAGAACAAAAGGAGCGAATTCACGAACAAGCACACTGGGCGTGCGCCAGACTTGCACTTGGTTGCCATGTGTTACAGCAAGAAATTGGCCATTTGGCGAAAAAGCAGCGTCTCGAACTGGAAGCTTGAAGTTCATATGAGCTAGTAGCGCACGTTTATTCACATTGATCAGAAGAGCGTTCCCATCTTCGTCCACAATCAGAACCAAGCTAGGGTTAGCTGGGGATATAGCTACACGCATAATAGGCTTTCGAGTTTCAAATGGCAAGGTAAAAGAGGTGTTCCGTACAAGATCAAAGACTGACAGACGGTTACCCACGGGGGAGTATAAAGAATCACCATCTCCAGCAAACTGCACATTACCTTGCTGGTACACCGTGCCGCATACGTTCGCAAAGCGGAACGACGACTTCATGGTGACAAAGAGGCGATGAACTGTGATGCAGGCTGATTTTTTTTTGCGTGCTTAGTCATCACTAGGTGGATTGCGACGAAAATGCAGGTACGTGAACATGTCAAGTCGCGACCTCATATCGGCAAATTGTATGGGGAAGTTGGTGTTCGTGTCAAGGGATAATACAAAAATGGGGGATAGTTTCAGAGTTCGATGTCTGCCCAGCAATATAAATCTTCAGTCTCTAAAGATATCATAGATGGCGGCACCTTTTTTCCCCTACATCAACTTAGTTGGCCATAACTATGAGTTCGGAACGAAGCAGTATATGTGAACCCATTTCTGACTTACACGTCTGCGCAAGGGGATGTCAATCAAATGGTTATATGAGGAACTCTGCTGAAAAATGGATGCCATTGAGTAAAAATGCTTACCATGGGTCAAACATTATGACCTCCCCCAATACGGTGACAATCGGTATTGGCAATCTCTCAGGTATACCTATTATCCGTTCCAAGTCACTTTTATTTCAAGATGGGAACGCTATGGATCGCATACAGTCAACAATTGATCGAGTTCCTTTGATCCCACCTGAAGTAAAATTAATCACACAGGGCACGTATGTCCATAAGGCTTCTTCCGAAAGAATGGCGAAGAAGCCGGCGCATTTTTTGGAAGTGCCACAGTATACACCCACGCAAAATGACGTTTCAGAGGAATTAGCAGAGCGTTGCTGGCTAGCTGATGAGACATGGATGCCTGTTGAATCTATGACTATATGGCTAGCCGGTACGGAGCCTATCCAATGCAAAACTAGAAAGTTTTTTATGGACCGTTTGGATTTAGCAAAGAAAAGCGTTTTGAAGGCATTGCGGGAGCTATCTCTGCATCTATACCTCCAAGCTGAAACAAATCAAATCGACACTTTATTACAAGCTCTAAGCGAACGGTACTGCGAATGCAATCCTGACACCCTTTTCAGTAATCAAGCCATGGTCCATAACGTGATGTTTTCCCTATTTTTGCTGAATACAGACCTTCATATTGCTGATATGCATACGAAAATGACTTTACAGCAATTTATTTCTAATACATTCTCGACATTACAGGAAGAAAATGTGTCTCTTGAAGGTTCAAATCTACATTGGCATGAAATCATGGAAACCTTGTCCAGCTTTTATCATGATCTCAAGGCGAACAGATTAGAGACGATCTTTCCCTATACCACCCAAAATGAGAAAAAGATCTCTGCCTTGAAAAGAAACTCGTCTATAAGGTATTCAACAAAATTTCTGAACCTTGCCTCGAGAGATCAAGACCCAAAAGAATTGGTTGTTCGAAGAGCATCAAAACGGTGGGTTAGAAACTCGTTACGAAAAACAGAAGAAAGTGATATGAGCGAAATCATACACAATACACCCTATACGCTTTGTTCGTCTTCCCAGACATATTTTCCTACGGCATTCACTCACAGTGTAGAATGTGATCCAAATAAAGTGTGGACCAGGCCTGATTCTCAGTGCCAGTACACGGTATATTTGACGGACAATTTCATATATCTTCAACAAGTCGACCCTATTTCGTGTGGACATGATAAGCCAATGTGTATGAACTTGGTCCATTCTTATGCAGACATTCAATGTGAAGAGGAATATGCCTCCCTTAGACTACATCTCAACGATGCAAGTATACACTCTCTTCATGGACCAATTCAAGCAGTGCTAGCCTTATATGATATTTTTAATTCAATGGCAGCAAAATGTACAAAAGTGATGCACCTACCAGAGTATTGCGACGTCGAATATGGGTGGCAACATATTCCCTCTGAAAAAATGAATGATAAGACACATTTGGGAATCTTCAACTTGGTGGGAAAATTTATTAGAAGAAACAAGAGGAGTGCATTTATACAAGATTGGGAACCGCCATATAAAGATCTTCGACCAAATGACCTCTCCGAAACCGAACAACTAGAGAATATGAATGAATACCTCAAATGTTTGGAATGTGAAATACAGATACATTTAGGGTTGCGACAATCGATGATTCACTACTGGAGAAGTAGTATTGAATTGAAAGAAAAAGCTGTATCAAATTGGGAAAGTTACTATTCCTATCTCCTCACTCAACAACACCAGTTTCGTCTTTACCAACACGCACTTCAAAGTGCGCTGGTCTGAGCGACACAAATTTAAAATCGTGCGCACAGACCTCCTGGTGACGTAAGCACATGTCTAAGTCAAGGAGGTGGCAGTGTGGATGTTCTATGTAGGGAGATGCGAAAATAGATTTGTACATGTTCATTGACGTGCCACTACGCCTAAACGGCTGCAGCCTCCGCATCATACATGGTTAAGTGGAGTCTTCTTACCCCTGGTCCCAAGAACGCGTTGGCAACGACCAGTAATAATTTCTGGCGGCCTGGGATTCAACGGTTTGCTGTCCTACTTCGACCACGCCCACGTCGTGCAAGGGTTACTCGCATATCCTCTGACAAGCAAAGGCTAATTGACGAACAGTCAGGTAAGTAATAAACATAAGCACGCTTGTCTATGGGAGTATGTCAGCGCCACCTCATCCTACTTGACGTGACGGACACTGCCCCAGCAACACCCGCATCTGAATAGATTACTGACTCCAAGCAGGTCTTGACGAGTGCCTTCTCCCTCCCATTTACCACCCTCTCCTCCTTTACTACCCCAATTGCCGCTGGCTCGCTTTTGGAAAGACCATCGCGTTGATCGCTGAATCCCTGCACCTACTCTCTACAACCCTACTCTACTATGGCCTCTACTACCGCCGTTTCAAGCAGTGCTTTGCGGCGTCATCCTGCTAGCCTTTTGCCTCGCATTGTGCACAACCCAGCCATCACGGATTTGATTCGCTATCCAGTGTCTCGTGAAATGGTGAATTACATTGCGAAAAAGGCCACGGAGGTGATCCAATGTTCAACAACTGACACGAAGAGTGATAGTGCAACCGCTGCTCGTCTACAAAACCTGCCGAGCTTGGAAGCCTTTATCATGATGCTTGTGGAGAAAAGCAATGTCCAGGTGCCAACGCTGTTGAGCACGCTTGTGTACCTGGACCGCCTCAAGCACCGCTTGCCACGCGTAGCAAAGGGAATGCCTTGCACACGTCACCGTGTATTCCTTGCTGCATTGATTGTTGCAGCCAAGTATCTTAACGATTCGTCGCCGAAGAACAAACATTGGACAAGGTATTGTGTCTTTTTTTCCCAAGCAGAGGTAAACTTGATGGAGAAACAGCTTTTGTACCTGCTGGATTATGATTTGCGCATTGAAGAGGATGAGATTATGTTCCACTTCAGTCCCTTTTTCCGCCGGTTTGAGACTAGGGCCGACGCTGGTCGTCGGGAGATGTTCTTGCGAGGCTGTGAGGCTGGACGCGAATGCGAGAGATACGCTCGTGCATCTGAGCGACGTATTGTACTCCGCAACCTTCCTACCACACAGGTACCCTCCTCGAATGGTCAACAATCCAAGAGCGCACCAAGCACTCCAAAGCGGGTTGTGCCTCCCAAATCAGAAAAGCGGCCATCTGTTTCCCTCCTTACTCCCACTGCTACTCTCAAGTCAATGACCCTTCACGTGCGTAACTCCGAAACAACTCGCTCCACGTCTTCGATCTCAGAAGCTGAACTCACAGATGACAATGGCTCAGCTACGTCATCACCAGAAGAAGCTCATGACTATGAAGACGATCGGTACTATTCTACTGTGCAGCTTGTGGAACAACTGAGAGTGGGCCCGAATATGCAACGTTCCGAATCTGTGCCCATGGTTACTTCTATGGACCAGCAACAACTTACACCAAATCGCATAATGATAACACCTGGCGCTTACCCAACGCATCCAGCTGATAAAAGCAACTCGTTCAGTGACTCTCGTACATTAGAGTCAACACCTGTTCGTCAAGGCAAGACCACCCGTGCTATTCAAGTGGCATCGGATGGTATGCAACGCTATTTATCAAATGTGATTCCCAATGGTCTTAGAAGGACGAACTCGCGTATTACATTGCGGCCATCCACAAACTATGCCCAGTAGCCGAGTAAGTGGCAGTTCGTATGTTTGAAGGCAACTTGATCCCCAACCCTATCCATCCCTTTCCCATATTTCACGTACGCCTCTCTCTTCGATTAGACTTAGATACTTTGCCTTTTGAAACGTCTTTTAAAAATTAAACAAGCGTAGTGGATGCACACTGGTAGTGCTATATAATGAAAGATCGATGTTATCACGGCGCAAAACGATGCTGGAGAAATTAAAAGCTTGGGCCACCTAGCCTCCACTTTCCGGATGACAGGTCCGGGTCTTTCCTCCGTCGTAACCGTGGAGCAACTCGGTAATGGTATTTTGTCCATAAGGAAAGGAAACGCTTTCTTCGAGACGAATCCTGATAAGATGTTTGAATACAAAATCTTTATATCAAGAGTAGGGCAACATGTACTCTGGTCAGTGCCTGTGACTATGATGCAGAACCTTGCTGTTGAAACGGGCAGATATCCCTTAGCTATCCGCCCTGTAATCACAGGCTCCCTTTTCATTTTACTTTTATTGATGGGCCTTCTAGGGTATGTAACTGACCTTACCATCTGACTTCCACAGCTTTCATCCCTCTGCACAAAATTATGTTCTCTTGAATGACAAAATTTTGCATTTTCTGTCATTCATGATGGCAACATTCCTGTGTTACTTGATATTGGACGTGGATGAGTCTGTGAAGCACTTATTTCTTTGGAGAAACGCACAATTGATATTTACGTTGGTGGTGAGCATCTTTGTTGGGTGCATTGGATCTGAATTTGTGCAAAGCTTGTTGCCGGTATGTGTGTCAGAGGATGCAGACAACTGACAAACTCTTGCAGTACAAGACATTTCAATTTGGTGATGTTATTGCAAATCTCTTAGGTGCTTCCATTGGGCTATATGCTGCAACGTTTACTGAGAAGTGTTATCAAGAACTAAGACAATTGGAGTTGGCTTACGCCCCAATCGACGTAGAGAACCCTGACAACGCTCGCGAGTTTCAGCGAAATTTCAGCGGCGAAACACAGTTTCAGATAGATGATTAGTTTGGGTTAAAAAAACTTTGTAATTTCATAGTAACGAAACCTGACACATGAATGACTTGGCATTTTCAAATTGACCTGTCTAAGTCGAGCCTGATACACGTGCGCGGAATGCTACCTATGCTATAGGGATTTATGTCAAATAAAAACCCGCTTCTACTATTTGACATTCCATAGATCTGCTAAATTTTTCGAGTCTTTGATTGGTTCAACTCCATAGATGCACCCTAGCTTTTTTTGAATGAGAGCAATTAAAGCCTTGCCCTATTGCTGATAACAGTAAGAGTACCCGGCCCAACTGCATCTTACTTTTATCCCAACACAATGAGCGCCTCTAACGCTGAGCCTGTTCCTGTGGTGAAGAGCCAAAGCTTGGACTTTATTTCATCAATCCCCTTGATTTCCGGTGCTGTGAACTATGCTATGTCATTTGTTCACTCGTACCCTATCCTGCAACGCGCTTACAACTTGGGAGAAAACACTACAGTCAAAGCACTGCACTTCTTTTCACCTGTTCTGGATGCTTTGCACACACCACTTGCTCAGGTTGACAACTTTGTTTTAAAAACCCTTACTTTCACTAAGAGCAAGATTCCTTACCCATTTGAAGTGAAGTGGGAGGAGCTATACGCTAAAAGCCAGATCCCCATCGAGAATGTTCATAAGGTTGTGGATGACTATCGCCACAAGACTATGGACATGTATGATACACATGTGAAGGGTACAGCAAAGAGTTTGTTTGAGCAGACCGGAAAGGCTATGGAACAACTTCAGCAAACAGAGAACGTGTACTTGCAGAAGGCCGGCGAGACTATCAGCAAGATGCAGGAAAGTCTGGCCAGTGTCTCTAAGGAATATGCCGATAAGTCAAAGGAGGATGTTGCTTTCGGTGAAAAGAAAGCAGAGGGTCTATACAACAGCATTTTCTCGGAGCTCGACAACCTGCAAAAGTTTGCGAAGACGCTGCCTGCTGAGGGTCAGAAGCGTATGGAACCTTTCATGGAACTGTTCAACAAGACATACAAGGATCTTTCTTCGGAGGCTACGGATGCGAAAGTACCTATTCAGGAGCGCCTGACGAAGTCTGCTGGTTACTTGCAGAACAAGACCTTGCCAGAGCTGCAGAAGCTTGTCTATGACAACCTTAAGAAGGCCGATGCCAAAAAGACAGAGTAAAGAACCTGAATTGTTTATCTTAACGTATTGATCCAGTTTGGGCTAATAGAATATTGTGTTTGATAGTTGCGGATTGAGAATCTTGTTGAAATATTCCTTTCATGTACGTAAGTTTCGTAGTGGTGCACCAATGAAATAGCCAATGATTTTGCACGTGGTACGGACATACCGGGGAACGGACTAGATGGGCTCCGACCCCGCAGCAACGCTTTGACTTCTTCGTCTACTCTCATTACCATCATGGAGAACAAGTACCACGAACAGACAGATATTATTACTCTGACTCGCCATGTCCTGCAGAGTGGTATCCGGGCGCACCGGAAGAACTCAGCTGTTACTGGTGATCTTACATTGCTTTTGGCGGCGTTGCAGACTATCTGCAAGCTAATCGAAAGCATGGTGCGCCGCGCTCGCCTGAACAACCTGGTGGGGCTTGCTGGCAACCAAAACGTGCAGGGCGAAGATCAGAAGAAGTTGGATGTCCTGTCCAACGAGGCTATGGTTAATGCCCTCGTGGCCTGTGGTCAGACCGCCGTGCTTGTGTCGGAAGAAGAGGAAGAGGTAATCATCGTGTCGCAGCGTACTGGCTCGCACAATGGTCGCTACTGTGTTGTATTCGACCCTCTCGATGGTTCGAGTAACATTGACGCTGGTGTGAATATCGGCACCATCTTTGGTATCTACCACGTCCGTGAGGGCTCGACAGGTACATTGGAAGATGTCCTCCGTCCTGGCAATGAAATGGTGGCTGCTGGCTACTGCATGTACGGTGCCTCGGCCAACATTGTGCTTTCCACTGGCCAGGGTGTAGACGGCTTTACATTGGATAATGGTATTGGTGAGTTTATTCTTACCCATCCCAACATCCAAATCCCCTCGCGTGGTAAGATTTACTCCATTAACGAGGGTAACTCTCTGTACTTCCACGAGCCTGTAAGGAAGTACCTCGAGTCTGTGAAGAACCCGAAGGAGGGTAAGCCTTACTCGGCCCGTTACATTGGCTCAATGGTTGCCGATGTGCATCGTACTCTTCTCTACGGCGGTATCTTCTGTTACCCCTCGGACAAGAAGTCGACGAGCGGCAAACTTCGTCTCCTGTACGAAGGCTTCCCGATGGCCTTCCTTGTCGAGCAGGCTGGTGGCATTGCTACGACTGGTGAGAAGCGTGTGTTGGATGTGGTGCCCAAGAGCATCCACGAGCGTGTGCCCGTTTTCTTAGGCTCCAAGGAGGATGTGCAGGACTTGCTGAAGTTCTTCCAAAACTAAGTACAGTATGATTATATAGAGAAATTATTTCTCTTACAATGCTTGAGTGATCTCGCTTAAGCCTGTACACTGTTCGATACAGGCAGGAGAGCGCTCGCCAGCTTCGTAATGCACAATGGCTTCGCAAGTGTCCATGGCATTTGCAACGCAGTCATTGACACCCACACCACCATAGCTGTATCCCAGTAAGGAAAGACGGTCTTTGAGAGTCGGTTCATTGATCATGGCTTTATATAGCTCTTGCATTCTTTGGAGATGACCGACTTGGTATTGCGGAATGGTTTGGCGCAGAATGCGGGTGCGGACAAAGCGCACATCATTGGTAATGACAGAAGATGGCAGTCCAAGCTGCGACTCTAAAGCTTCTAGTGCTTGTGCTTGGACATCCTCTTCTGTCGGTAGGGTAGTAAGAGGCTGCCAGTAAGGACCGCCAATCATGACGGTCAATTTGACAAATGCTTGAGTACCGTCCGGATGAAGGTTATTTTGATTCGGCACAGCATCACTGTCAAACACCACACCCAAAATGCCATGAGGATTGTTGGTGGCTGAACGGGGAACAAGGTATCCAAAGCCCTTCACAGGTAATGGGTATGCTTCTGACTTATCTGAAGGCGCGAGAACAACATCCACAACGCCTAAAGTCGCAGAAGGATTGTGAGCAAGATGCGGCAAAGATGGGAACAAAGGTGCGAGCTTGGCACTTGGTATCGCAGCCACAATACGATCGGCTTTCAACGGTTGGTTAGCAAAAGACGTGTGAATTTGAAAGGGATCGTCACATTGGATCTGTTCACATGTAGTATTCTTCCAGATCTCAACGTTTGGTGTGGCTAGTAACTGGCGCTCTAGAGCGGTAATGATCTCGCCTAGGCCCTCCGGGAAAGAGTATATGCTTGTTTGAGGGAGTTTCTTCACTAAAGAAGGATCCAGACGCATTTCAACTTCCCTTTGCTGCTGCGCTGTGCTTTTCTTCTTCGATAGTTGAGATTTTTGGTATTGAGAGTTGAATAAAGACGGTAGAATCGCACGGAATAACCCTCCATGCTCTTTTTCGAGTGCTACCAGGCTTGGCATGGTTCCCTTCACACTGAGTGAACGCGAGTCACCGGCATAAATACCATGGATTAGTGCTGAAGCCATATTATCAGCAACGGCAGGCCCTAAACGCCGAGAAAAAAAGTCATGGACAGACTCGTCACCGCCGTCTACGCATACGCTTTGTGATCGTGGAACACTCCATTCTTGTAGCGCCTGGGGGAAGATGCTCCGAAGCACGGGAGAGCGCTTGAATTCTGATATCGCAGAAAGCAGGGAGGACGGTAATTTATTCAACTTGCCGCCAAAAAAGAGATAACGGTTCTTCGCGGATGGAGACGTACGGGGAACTAAAATCATACGATTTGTTAACGACAATTGATCGAGCTGTGTGTTAGACTGCAGTCACGTACCATTTCAATCGTACGCCTCCCCTTGTATCCAACTGGACGTATACTACGAGGACCAGCCTCTAAGAGTGCCGCGAATCCCTCACTCTTATTCATAGGGAAAACGGGCACGCGTTCACCGCGAATCCAACCACCTAGATGCGATTGTGCTTCAATAACAACAATTCTATAAGCATCTTTTGGTAGCCCTCTTGATAGGGAGAACGCTGCAGAGAGTCCAGTGATACCACCGCCAAGAACAGCAATGGTCTTGACACCTGTCATCTCCATAACGCGTGCCTAGTCGATAATGTCAAAGTACTTACATATTCTGGCGCATGGTGCAGTGAGTGTGGAGAGTCACGTGGCTTGGTTAGAAATCACCGGCGCGGGACGGAACGGATGGGTGGTCGGTCAGTCACAGCGCTCATTTTCCATCTTCCTACAGACCATCGGTTGTTAGCGGAGAAGTCATCATGGCCTCAGTATGTATTGCGCGTAAGCGATTCGAAAAGAGCATATCCTAACAGTACTAAAGAAGTCGATCTCCCTTGTCAACTTCATTAAGTCGTCGCCGTCGCTTCATAAGCTCTTCCAGCCGGCCGCGAATGCTTACGCGCAGGCCGCTGGTTACCGTCAGATGGGCCTCCGCTACGAAGACCTGATTGAGGAAGAGAACACGCAGATGCAGCGGGTATGTATATTTTAAACTCCGCTTGGAGGCAATGTCTCTAGAGGGGAATTTGCTGAACACGAAGGATACTAACAAATATAGGCTCTGAAGCGTCTTTCGCCGAAGGAGACGTATGACCGCGTGTACCGCATGCGTCGTGCCGTGCAGTGCTCCATTCTCCAGCGTGACCTGCCTAAGGAGCAGTGGACTAAGCCGGAGGAGGTACGTGTTGACATTGATTGAAAAATGTTTTAACAGAATAGGACAAGAACTACTTGACCCCTCTGTTGAAGGAGATCCAGGCCGCCGACGAGGAGCGTGCGGCTTGGGACACGATGAAGGTTGAGGCTGTTAAGCACTAAGTGTGTACTTGACTTTGCCTTTCCACGTTACCCACTTGACGCTTTGCATATAGTGTATCGCTTTGTATGCTAGCAATTGATTCATCCTAGAGATTGAACATATGATTAAGCCAAAAGCTGTTTTCTGCACGAATAACTTAAATGGAGGGAGGAGATATCCACCGTCGGAATCTTCGTATCGAGACTTGATGTTAGTCGAGCAGCCAGCGAAACAAGTGGAGATAATTTCCCCAGTGCGCCATCAAAAACCCAACTGTCTGTGCTTCGGCCATCATGGCCGGGTCTGGCAATCTGATTATATATGATTTCCTAAAAAAGGGGGGCGTACCCGCCATTGATGATGGCTCTGGTCGCTCTCTTCCGCCAGAATTGCTACTTTTATGCACGATCGCAACCGTACTGACAACTTGGTTCTCAACCTATTCCTTGGTGCTTCAGCTCAAACATTATTACAAACCTCGGCTTCAAAGATATGTTGTTCGCATTCTAGTAATGCCTATGTTATATGCCGTTTCTTCTACGATATCATTGTTTTCCCTGCAGTTAGCGGAGATGATTGACCTCATGCGAGACTTATACGAAGCCTTCGTTATCTATTGTTTCTTTAACCTGTTAGTGGAATACCTATCGGGTGAAGCAGCCATTCTGGCTCATACACAAGAAAAAGAGCCTATTCCCCATATAATTCCCTTCAACTATTGCTTCAAACCCATGGATTTGGGGAATCCTTATACATTTTTGACATTGAAACGTGGCATCCTGCAATATGTACAAATAAAACCAGTCCTAGCTGTGGCAACAGTCTTTTTGAAAATATACGGGAAATATGAAGACGGCCACCTACACCTGCGCAACGGATATACATGGATCTCTATTATTTACAATTTCTCTGTCTTCGTTGCTCTGTACGCATTGACGATGTTCTGGCTATGTTTGCGGAAAGAGTTGTCCCCGTACCGAGTGGCCTCTAAATTCTTTTGTGTTAAAGGAGTCATTTTCTTCAGCTTTTGGCAAGACCTTACCATATCTATTCTGGTCTCAACAGGTCTAATTCAACATATCGGGCGTGTCGTCGATGATACCTATCTATCCGCTGCTATGCAAGATACTTTAATATGCATTGAGATGCCAATATTTGCATTCTTGCATATCTATGCATTTTCCTACGAAGACTATATTGAGCGGCCAAGAAAACTAGCTGGTCGTATGCCCTTACTTTATGCACTACGTGACAGCTTTGGTCTAGCAGACATCCTGGCTGACAGCATTGCAACCGTGTACGGGACAGAATACAATTACGAGTCAGATGATAGGAGAGTCCAAGTGGAAGATCAATCTTCTATCTCAAGTGATCTCCTTATACATTCCACGGGGCAGATCTTTACAGGGAAGGGGAAAGGGAGAAGTAATGATGGTGAAGAAGATCAACCAACTGAAAGGACCTCGCTAATTAAGAAAACGCGGGAACTAAACAAACGATATCAAGCTATAAATGTGGCTCATGACGATGATAAAACATTGCAATTTCCTGATCTAACGGAGGAAGAACAGCATCTCTATGACATGAGCAGGAGACTACCATATGGAGACTACAGATACCCATGCATATATGAACCATAAGTCTCAAAAAGTCATAGATCTAGTGAATTTAGTAAGTCACAGTAGGCATTAGTCTATGTCGAGAAGCACTTATACTATACTATATATTGCAAAGGGGGATAAATACTCGAAGTACTCGCATGATTGGCAGCAAAAATGAAATTAAAAAGAAAAATGTAGCTCAGGACGGTTTCGATCCGTCGACCTTGGGGTGCCACATATTGATATGAGCCCCACATGCTATCCACTGCACCACCGAGCTGCTTGTTAACTTGTCTGTCTGAGATTAACATACTTGTTGTTCAGGTACAGTTACAATAAAAAATCGAAAAATTCTCAGAACAGTTCAGCATAAAATTTCATAAGCATGAAGATGAGTAAGTATAAGGTGTATGCACTAGAGAAGAAATTTTAGCTAGGAGAAACAGCACAATTTGGGATTTCTAAAATCTCATGTTGCTCTTGTTAAGGATTAAGGTGATACAATTTAAAATGCTACCAAAAAACGTTCTGCGTAGTTTAGTGGCTATGACGGGACCTTGTCATTCGACAAGTCGGTCCAGACCCGGGTTCAATTCCCGGCGCGGAAGCTTCTTTTTTAATTTTTTCGCTTTCAAATTTTTGCCATAAGGATGATTCTTTACTTTTGTATGTGGAAAGGCCTTCTATTAAGGTCGAAGATGTTGGAACTACAATTGCTGGGCAGCGTCTATCAGTAACCGCCAGGCATTTTCGGGGTTACGTCCCAAACCCGTGGGGATATTGGAAGACAGTCGAGCCGCCACTTTCGGATGGGTAAGCAATTCTTTGGCGACATGCAACCACCCTTGCTCTACATCCAGACGGAACCGTTTAGCTTGCATAGGTGTGAACTGTTGTGAAATCCGAGCATCTGGAATAGATAGTTAGTCAGTGTGCGATACGTACTTGGCATCAATATGCGTTCAACAACAGCGTTACTGAGGGATGTGGCTATGTGCCGATAAACAGGCAACAAAAGCATAGGAGGAAGTATTTGTACAATATGATGCAAGAGCGTTGTGAGCTTAGCCAAGGCAGGCACAAGCTCCTTTGATGGGATGGAATTTTCAAAAGGTTCATTTTCTGAAGTTTCTTGGTCTTCATCCTTATCCCAGCGCCGCAGAATATAGGGTTTGAGGAGCTCCAGCACCTCTGAGACAGTGAGGCGCTCCAATGCATGGGTTGAACGAGTTACCACTGAGTCAAACTTGGACAAGTATTCGTCCCAAATGCCTGAGACATCGTCTGATGCAAGAGAGTAGCCATCTTGCGTCTCATCCTTGAACGATTTGGATAAAGGTCTGAAAGTAGCAGCAGCCTCTGCACCTCGCTGCAGACCACGCTGTAGCAAGGAAATGAGATTCGCAGAATCCATGTCCTCTTTTCCGTGCTTGGGAAACATAAGACGATATATAGGAGAGGAATGGTCCAACGATACCACCTCATGTGCCATATTCAAGAAAAGAGATGATTCAGCCCATTCTTCTAACTGCCTCTTTACATAAGAAGCCGAGAGAAGTGCTTTAGCCACTCGCGTAACCCCATTGACGCCACGAACAGCATCTGTGTTAGCGTTGGAAGATAAAGAGGCAATGTCACCAGGAAGAGCCCGCGAGAAAGCAGTACTCATTGTCTCAAATGCGTCCAAATGACGAATTAAGCGATCGAGAAATTGACGCAACAGGGGTCGTTGCACCTGGATGATAAACGCACAGCGGCGAATAAGCGAATGCAGTGGCTGGTATCGCTCCGTGATACTGGTCAGCATATGCATGAGAGTGGCTGCACATCGGGTGGTTGTGTCTGTGTCTACAACCGCATTCACGTCTGATTCTTCGGTCGTAGCTTCTTCTTCGGTATCAAGGGTATCAGCTTGAACGAGAGCCCAAGCGCCTGGTGCTTGAAGAAGTGTGTTGAAACGCTCTTCTGTGAAGGTACGTTCCCCATCTAGCCACGCTTGGAACCAGGCATCGTTCTCAAGGACTTCATCAGCAAGATAAACCGCACCCTGTCCTTGCGACGCTGTTATAGAAGGGGCATAGGTATCCCTCAGTTCAGAATCAAAGGTGATAAACTGGGAAATATTGTGTGCCAGAAGGGCATGATCATTAGCAAGACGAGGCATGGATGCTTGAATCTTGAGGCGAAGAGGGTGCAAAATAGCATGCAGAAGCTCTGATGGGGCATCTACAGCGATATGCCGCTCCCGCAAGGGTGATTCAATGGACACATCGTGGCGAACTCGAGTAAGCTGCGCCACATCACCACCATGTGACCATGGGTCGAGAGCCGGTTCAAACAGGACGCTGTTTACTTTCAATAAAGAGATCATATGCGACAAGAACCACTCGGGTTTATCTAGTCGATTTGTAGGACGTGCACCATCAAAATGGTAACGGAAGCGAAGTAGCAGAGGTTCCATAAGAACATTTACAGCCCAGAGAGGCGTATACTCATCGGTGCCAGGCTTAGCCGGTATAGCCTGAATACTTTCCACGCTTGACACGGATGCAGGAGCCCGGATACAGGTTGGTGGAGAGCAAAGTTGCAAAGAAGCTGCAACAAACTGCAATTCACACAAATCAGCCCAGGCCATAGAAAGCGAAGCGGAACCAAACAGATGAAATGGTGCGTGATCACGATGCTCTTGATTGGGATTTTCATATTCTGGCGGTGGCCAGTGGATAGAGCCCAAGGCATGTCGAAGGGCGAGCTTGTACTTCGATATTAAACCGCGAAACAGATCATCACGCGCCTGTACAATAGACGCCAACGCACGCGCGAGAAAGGGACTTCCATCAGGACCACGTTGGGGGGCTTCATCAGCAAGTCTGGCAAGACGACGTAATGCTGTGAGTTGCTTTTGTGGGTCATCGGGGGCCTGTGTAGCCATATGTTGTGCTTCTTCCATTTCCGAGAGGAGTTGGGTACAAGCCCGAGCCATGTACAACTCTGCCAGCTCCTCTGTATGCTGGGTGTGCGCGGTTGAAGGATGTTTGTCGACAGATGACACGGAGGGAAGTGAAGCCCAAGCACAGATTTGTTCCAGAGCCGTGCTGAGATCCTCGTCATCGTCCCATGTCTGCCCCCTAGCCTGAAACATAGTTGCGACATGCTCACGGAGCAATGACTCTGCCTCCTGTAGTTGTGTCATGGTATCTTCATGCTCGGCTCTGACAGCGGCATCAAGCACCTCTGTGGTCTCTGGCGTAGCATGATGAAGCAAGGAGACAAGACGGACATCAGCATCCGTGGTCGCTATTTGGTGATCGTGATGGGAGGAAGGTGGATGAATATAGTCCAGCAAAAGCGCCGGCTCCTTCCGGATCTTAGCCAAGGTATAGGCAGGATAGATGTCTTGGCTTGTCATCGTGCAAACCCACCGATCGAGGCAGCAGCACCGACCGCAACAGCAACAAGCAAGTGCACGCACAAAGCGCACACGCCATGCCACGACCCTGGAGGTCCCAGTGGCACGCCTCTCGTCACGTGATGAGGCGGCCGAGGTCTTGGTCGTCCCAACCTTGGCCCACTGAACCATAGCGATCACCATGTCGAACAAGGGTGGCTCGTATTTGTATGTATGATGTTAGGGAAGTCATACTGACTTGGATAGGTCGGCACAGCCTGGCTTTTTGAACTCGTCTGCATCGCGTCGTCCCCTCGTGCAGCCGACGTGGTACCAGCGTTTCTGGAGTGAGGAGATTATGCACCCTGCCAAGTTCTGGGGCAACATGTCGGTGGCGTGGAGCGTGAGCTTCTTTGCCCTGGGCGTTTTGTTTGTGCGCAAGGCTGGCTGGTTCCTTGCTCCCAGTTTCTAAACCAAAAGATAGCATCTACATGGTGGCTATGACTTACGATGGAGGCATAACGTCCTCGTTGGATGCCAACGCACGCTGTATAAGCCCCTGTGCCATGTCTGGGTCGTGTGCATACTCAGCACTGCGAACTCGGATGGTGTAGGCCGCTAGATATGAGTATAGTGTGGAATCACGTACCATCTTCTACTTTGCGAAGGGATGTTAGTGTGACTTGCTGTTTTTTCCGGATCTCTGTGTGATAAGGCGCGAGCGGTTCCAGCGCTGCGATGAGCCATAGAGATAAAACGTACCGTGGAAAATAGTGCGCTGCATTGTCAGTACGTGTTCCATAATTTGCAAGGGTGCTATGCTTGCAACAGCATTGATAGCGAAGCGCATGAGCTCACCCGTCAAATCGGAGAGGCCCAGCAGATAGCGCATGGGTGTCACATACACATCCATGGAGGTGTCGCTGGTTAAAGCGGCCTGCACGACGTCGTAAGGGATCAGGGCATTGTACTGTAAGAAGTAAAGGAACGATTTGGCCTCGATCTAGCTGGTTAGTCTTGCCACATACATACCCATTCTTCCAGCGACGCGCCAAGAAAACGCTCGCAGCGGAGCATGGTATCATTCGGACGGGTGGGTTCACTTGGGAGTCCTTCTTTGTCGGCGCATGCACGTAGTAATGACTCAATCTCTGCCAACTTCTTTTGTGCCTCCTCAAAGAGGCGGGTATTTGAAGACGTATCGTCCTGGTCGTCGGCCGGCCATGGTGCCTGGAACGAAAAGCGATGTAGATGAAATATGACTTTCTTAGAGAGGGCTGTCACATCGCGTGATGTCTTTATGAGCCGTTCACGACGGTCGTTGAAGGCATCGATCTCGTTACGAAACGCCTCGAACGTGGTTTGCAAGGTGGGCCCCGCGTCGATATCAATATGCATAAAGGCAAGCCGATCGCGCGTGTGGGCCTCCTTTCTAAAAAAGGCCCGATCGCGAAATCGTCCACATTTTTTTTTGACGTTCAGCTTCGATGCGTGTGGGTACGTCGAAGCGGCCTGCAGACCAGGCAGCCCCTGCCCCGAAACAGCATGTAGTCTTTGACGAAGACGATATGCACAGCCTTACATCAGAAGACGATGTGGACGACGGCAGCGACGACCACGACGAGGATGAGGATGAGGATGAGGATGAGGATGAGGATGAGGATGACGACGACGACGACGACGACGACTCTGAGGTGGAAGAGCTGACCATGTCGGCCACGCGAGAGCAAGCCAGGCAACAAGCGTCAGCAGCGCAGGCCCAGCGTAGCAGGTACGTTGCGTCCACACTAACTCCAGGGAAAAAGCATCACGAAGTGCGGCGCAGGCGCGGCGTCAGGCACAGTCGTCCAAGTCCAGTCGTCGAGCACAGAAACAGAAGCAGATGGACTGGGACGAGGACGAGGACGACATTGAGAACGATGACGATGACAATGACGAAGCGGTGTCGGATTCGCTGGACCCTGCATTGTTTGCCGCGGCGTTTGCGAAGCAGGGTGACGCGGCGGCCCGCGAAGTTCTGCGTAGTACAGCGTCGACATCTTCGCAGCGGCCAAAGCGAACTGACGGCTTGGCGCGTGGATGGGATGGGCGTCCTATGACGCGCGTGCCAGGGGAACGTGTGATTGTACGGGCTCTCGACCCCGCCGATGAGGTGGCGGATGAGGTGGACGATGCGCCGTGGCAGCATACGCCACTGGATCCACATCGCTCGCTGCCAAGTGCTCGTATGCGTGCGTACAAAAAGCAAAAACTGGGCCTACGTGCTAAGGATGTACGTACGTCCACCCTGGAAAAGTCGCCTCGGCGGAAACGACGTAGTAAGGCGCCTCTCCAAGACGAGGACGATCCGTTGGGTCTGCAAGACCCGGCCTTTTTGCCCGGTGGCGAGTTTGCGCTCACCGGCAAGAAACGACGTACGGCGTCGACCACGGCGCCGACATCCCAAGGGCGTACAGCGCTTGCTATGCGTGATCGTGGGGCTGGAGGACGTGTGCCTGTACCGACGTCGCGCACTATGGGACCGGCCGCTGTGTTTGCTCGGTCACGCCGGGGGTGATTTTGCGTAGATTTGTGCTATAGTCTCACTTACCATGCATCAGACAACGCAAAGTCGGAGTAGTCCGCGGGCAGCATAAATTGCTGCTCTGGATCGCGAGGCAGGGGCCGCGTAGGCGCATGAAGTCGTGGTGGTGCCGCCGCCGCCGCTGCGGCTGCTGCTGCTGCTGCGGCTGCCACGGCCGTGCCGCTGCCGCCGCCTGAGCTGCGGTAGTGCCAATCCGGTCGGACCTCGGCAATCGGGCCGCCAGGTCGGAACGGCGAGGCATACACATCCAAGGCCCCGCCAGGCACAGGCCGTCGAGGCAGGGTCGTGGTGCTGGGCAGGCCCTCAGCGGCCGTAGAAGGCGAGCGCCATACATCGGCCAACGTGGACGGCGCCTCCACACGATCCTGCAAGGGCGTCGTCGTGGTCGAGAGCAGAGGGAAGGCCAACGAGCTCGACGTGGGTGGCCAAGGCGCCATATCGTTTGTAGGCATGGATCGATCAAGGAGCGTGTCGTAGGACCGTGGCCGTCGGCGCCACGTTGGCGCGCTGGGCAAGTGGACACGAGGCGCTCGACGACGGCGTGGCGTACCGCTGCCGGACGCCACCGAGAATGCCACGTCGTCACTAAAGAGGGTGTGCGTGGGACTGCGATCCACATGCGCCGTCCATGCCTGCCATACGCTGTGCTCGTCGGAAGGGGCCCATGCAAGCGCCGAGGGTGGCGGTGGTGGCGGCATGGACGTCGACGTCGACGTCGATGGCAAGCGTACCACGGGCGTGTCGGCCGGGTGCAAAAATGCGACCGGCGAATCGTCCATGGCAAGTGGGCACGGCGCCGCCCACGTACACGCCAGCGTCGCAGACGTGCGCGGTAGTGTCCCCTGCTGTGCCGCGCGTGTAGGCGCACGAGGTGTATGCGGCACCGAGGGAAGGTGCACAGTGTACTTGCGCCATACCGGCGCATCGTCCTGCTCCCATATCGCGCACGACATGGGCGGCTCCGGCGGGCCCAGCAGGACAGCCGGCCGAGGCGACGTAGGCTTGGGCTTGGGCGTACGAAGACTCTTCGGCAGCGGTGTCGTACGGCGCCACGTCGCCTGCTCGTCGAGCGCACGTAGCTTGTCTGCCTCCTTTTGGCGTTGCTCCCGCTCGCGCGCCAATGCTTCCGCTTTCGCTTCGCGCTCACGTCGCTCCCGTTCTTCGCGCTCGAGACGCTGGCGCGCATGCTCTTCACGCGCTTGCCGCTCCCGTTCGCGCGCTTCAAGTCGCTCACGCTCACGGGCCTGTTCACGCTCACGCTGAGCTTGCTTCGCACGCTCCTCAGCCTCCTTCTTCGCCTGCTCAGCAGCACGCATCTGCTCTTCAATCTGCGCGGCCTTTTCACGCGCACGCTGCCGTTCTTGCTCGCGAACGCGCTCATCTTCTTCGCGGCGTTTCCTCGCACGTTCCGCGGCCGTGACCATTTCATGGTGCTGCTCTTCTGCAGTCGCCTCGCCTTGCACCACGCGCGTCTCAGAGGTGGGCGCTGGCTGAGAAGGGACTGGTTTGCCTGTCAGCGTCGAATGCCGCTGGGCCAACGGACCCCAGGACGCCACCGCTGGCGCTCGCACCGGCTCCTCGGTCGTCGTTCGGGGCGGCTCGCTCTGCCATGGCAAGCGCGAAGCAGGTCCCCATGCAGGCACGCGCGGTGGTGCAGGGGGCGGCTTGGTATGCGACACTTCTTCTTCCACCTCGGAAATTTTGTACTGTTTGCCATCGCCAAACTCCACGACATCGTCCAACGAGTCTTCCGACTCGTCGCCCATCTCGTCCCAATGATCGCCCGTCCCGAGATCAGTGCCACGGAAACGCTCCAGCTCCTTGTGAGCCGCTTGCTGCTTCGCATGCTCTTCGGCTGCATGAGCAGCCGCACGTTCCTCCGCCTTGCGTTCCGCTTCCATGACTTCTTTGGCAGTAGGAAAGTCATGCGACGATACAATAAGGCGCGAGGGCGCTGTAGTCTTGACACTCGACCATGGCATACGCGGCGCACTAGCCGTCTCGCGCGGCGTCTCTTTCCGCGCGGCGTCGTGCGACGAGGAACGCGTAGGGGCACTTGTCGCTACGCCAGGCCGGCCAGGCATCGCTGTGACAAGACGAGGACTCGAGGTCGTGCGCTCATCGACAGGCGGCGTAGGCGCTTTCACTGGATCCTGCTTCGGCGTCGTAGCTGCCTTAGCACTTTGGAAAAACTTTTGATTGATGTTCAACGAATGAATCTTCTTGGGCTGTGGCACAGAATGCGTCTCATCCCGAGCCGCCTCCGAGGACCCATGTGCCTCGGCCAGCATAGGCGCTGTGGTGTCAGACATAGCAGCCTGGCTTGACGAGGCGGGCCCTGTTGGAGCCTCAGCATCTTCGACCATCGTATAGGACGCCTGGCGTGACGAGCCAGCACCAAGCCATGTCAGCTCTCACGCGTTCGCCGACCTATTACGTAAGACGACGCCGCCTAGGTGGGGAAGGGCCAAAGGTCCAGGGCTCACGCGCCCACCGACCACAGCGCACGAACCACCACCCCACGATGAATGTGTACGTCGACCCACGCCGCTGATACACAGACACGCGCTGCCATGCTTGAGCATATCGGAGCATGCGATGCGTGCAAGACTTGAGGCAGGTCCCGCTTCTCCCACCCCCGTGCTTGGTGCGTTACTGGCCACGCCCGATTCGTCTGCCCCTGGCGTCTGTGACATACCAGCCTCCTTCGAACTGGCCATGACACCGTTGCACGAATTGGACACATCTATCTGGGAACAACGCAGAGATCAATGTACGTGCCGCTGTCTCTTACCGCAGACCACCAAGTCTGGCCTTCGTGGACGGTATGCGGCCTGTATGCGGTCGATACAGCCCCCACGCCTACGCACACAACCATGTCCCACATCCTATGTCCTACCGACGATCCATGTTATCTTCTCCTGCTCTCGCCAATCTCTAACGCACGTCAGTCCTGGCAAGCGTTTCTACGTACAGGCCCTACATGGACGCCGTGTCCCCTGCAAGTAACGCCATCCGATACAGAGCAGGTGGTGCTAGACGATGCGCATCGTGAGGGCACCTATTCCGACACGGCCAAGACCGATGCCCTTCTTACTTCTCTCCAGGCGGACCGACAAGCGGTGCATAAACTCCATGAGATTCTATCCAAAGCCTGTGCCTACGTAGCAGGCATGCAACAAGGCCATATACCCTTTGATTCAACCATGCTACGAACGCTCCACACCGCCCTGGTCAATCAGCAAGGCGCTCAGCCCGCCCCCGACAGCCATGTACGTGCCATGTCTCTCACCCAAAAGACTTCCTCACAGGCTGTATGGGCCTCCTTCCTCACTGCCATGACTGAAAACCTACGTCTCTTGCACGATGTATGTCCTCGCTGCCCACTCACCAAACCCAAAGCTCACAGAACTTCACGCATTCGCGACCCCGACCGCCCATAGAGCCCCTTTGTAGCCACGTGGAGTCCACGTGTTTTCATTTGCGTCGCGGAGCGCCCGCGCATCGCATCGCAGCGTGCGTGTACACGACGGACGTCATGACGGACGCTCTAGACTTGGAGGTACCCGTCATTGACGACGATCTGTTCAAGGATCGTGCGCGAACGTTTGTGGATTTTTTAGACGACCAAAGCGGAACGACAGACTACCGCAGTGCCATCCGCCGTATTATTGCTGCAGACGACCGACGGCTTGTCGTGAACATTGACGATCTTCGAGCTTACAATCGTGACTTTGCTACAGGGCTGCTGGATGATCCAAATGGATACCTTCCGCCATTTGAAAATGCACTCCAAGTGCTTGTGGAGCAGCTTCACGATCCCTTGAAGGACGATATAAAAGGCAAGCAGTACCATATTGGGTTCTGCGGTAGCTTCGGTGACAACCATGTGAGTACACGCATGCTACGAAGTATGCATCTAGGTAAAATGATGAGCTTGGAAGGCATTGTGACACGATGTATGTACCCTTAGCATGACTTACCCAACAGGCTCTTTGGTACGACCCAAGATTGTAAAGTCAGTGCATTATTGCGATGCGACTACGCGCTTCCATATGCGGGAATACCGTGATGCGACAATGTACGGGACAGGTCCGCCCACTTCCAGTGCCTACCCTACGACAGATGAAAGTGGAAATCGCCTTACTACCGAGTTTGGTCTGAGCACGTTCCGTGATCACCAAATGATTAGCATTCAAGAAATGCCAGAGCGTGCTCCGCCTGGTCAGCTGCCAAGGAGTATCGATGTGGTGATGGACGATGATCTCGTGGACAAAGTCAAGCCTGGTGATCGTATCCAGCTGGTGGGCATGTACAAATCGCTCGGCAATCGCGTGGGCCAGAGTTCTACGTCAACGTTCCGTACCCTCATGGTGGGCAACTATGTCAATGTCTTATCGAACAAAGCTGGTGGCGGCATTTCTCAAATTACCTTGACGGATCTGGATATTCGTAACATTAATAAAATCGCTCGACGACGAGGCGTGTTCGACTTGCTTGCTCATTCGTTAGCCCCCTCGATTTATGGCCATGATTATTTGAAGCGCGCCGTATTGTTAATGCTGTTGGGTGGTCAAGAGAAGAACTTACCAAACGGAACACACATTCGTGGTGATATCAACATTCTCATGGTGGGCGATCCATCGACGGCAAAGAGTCAAATGCTGCGATTTGTCCTGAATACGGCACCACTTGCCATTGCGACGACAGGCCGTGGCAGTAGTGGTGTGGGTCTTACGGCGGCCGTGACAACGGATCGTGAGACAGGTGAACGACGTTTAGAAGCTGGTGCCATGGTCCTGGCTGACCGTGGTGTCGTGTGCATTGATGAATTCGATAAAATGTCCGATGTGGACCGTGTCGCCATCCACGAAGTGATGGAACAGCAAACGGTGACTATTGCCAAAGCCGGCATTCACACGACGCTCAACGCTCGCTGCTCTGTGATTGCTGCTGCCAATCCTATTTATGGTCAGTACGATGTGCACAAGGAGCCAGGACGGAATATTGCGCTCCCTGACTCTCTCTTGTCACGTTTTGACCTGCTCTTTGTAATTACCGATGACATTGAAGAAAAGCGCGATCGTCATATTTCAGAGCATGTGCTACGTATGCACCGTTACATCCAGCCTGGTCAGCCTGTGGGCGCCCCAGCTATGGACAACCTGGACCAAGTGTTAGATGTAGGCGGCGGCGAGACGACCGCCGAAACCACCGAGGCGCCAGAAGATGAATCACCGTTTGAAAAATTCAACCCTATGCTGCATGTGGGATTGGATGGCGAGCAACACAACGAGGTTCTCACCATCTCCTTTGTCAAGAAGTATTTGCAATACGCCAAATCACGCATCGCACCTGTTTTGACACCTGGCGCAGCTGCATGGATTTCCAACGTGTACGCCAATCTACGAAATGATGAGCAAGGCGGCAATATGCGTCGCACAGCACCATTGACAGCACGTACGCTTGAGACGTTGATTCGTCTTGCTACAGCGTACGCCAAAGCCCGACTTAGCTCTACGGTGGAAGAGCAAGATGCTGAGGCAGCCGAGGCAATTTTGCGGTATGCCCTTTTCAAAGAAGTCATGCACCAACGCACAACGACCAAGCGTCGGAAAACGCAGCGTGGGGATGGAGAGGATGACGACGACGACGACGATGATGATGACAATGCATGGGACTCGGACGATGAAGCTGAGTTCCAGCTGGGTGGCCAACCGTCTACGTCTTCTTCGAGCCAGACCGCATATGCTACTCGCGCCGCAGCTAGGGCCCAGCAAACTCACCAGCCCTCACCGCCTGCCATTGCCCCGCCCATGGTTGCTACCACGATGCGCACGGAAGAGGTTGCTCCTACAGAAACAGTCATGCAAGACGCACGCACACCCATGCCTCCAACGAATGAGTTTGCCTCTTTCCGCCAACGTGTATCGGAAGTGCTATCAGGAACATTTATGGAAGACGATTACGTGCCCTTGGTCACACTGATGGCCACGCTAAATGAAACAGGGCCACCTATTAGTGTGGAGGACGCGAAAGCAGTCCTGGAGTCGATGAGCGATGCCAACGAAGTGATGTTGGCGGAAGGTATGTATGCCAGACGAGGACGCGACACTGACACTTTCCCCAGACGTTGTGTACAAGATTTAATGCCAATTCATAGGGCGCTTCATAGTTCGGCCGAATATGGAGACTGGCGGCAGTGATGGGCAAGAGGGCCCGAAGTGGTCTCACCTCCATTTTTCGCTGTTGCAACGACGTGATCAATATGGCGGCCGAATCGAACTACGATTATTTGTTCAAGGTCGTGCTTATCGGTGACTCTGGTACCGGTAAGTCGAACCTTCTCTCGCGTTTTACGCGTAACGAGTTTAGTCTCGACAGCCGAAGCACCATTGGTGTGGAGTTTGCGACTCGTAGCATCAACGTGGATGGCAAGACGATCAAGGCGCAGATTTGGGATACCGCCGGTCAGGAGCGTTACCGTGCTATTACGTCGGCGTACTACCGCGGTGCTGTTGGCGCGTTGCTTGTATATGACATTGCGAAGCACTCAACGTACGTGAACGTGTCACGTTGGCTCAAGGAGTTGCGTGACCACGCGGACAGCAACATCGTAGTGATGCTTGTCGGCAATAAGAGTGATTTGAAGCATCTCCGTGCTGTGCCGACGGAGGAAGCGAAGGCTTTTGCTGCTGAGAACAACCTGTCGTTCATTGAGACTTCGGCCCTAGATGCCTCGAACGTCGAGCAGGCGTTCCAAAACATTCTGACGGAAATCTACCACATTGTTTCGAACAAGGCGCTGCAGTCGTCCGACGACGTGATCAAGCCGAGCGGCGGTGAGACTATCTCAGTGCAGCCCTCAACCGATGACGGTGGCCAGGCTAAGAAGGGCGGCTGCTGCTAAACGCTTTCTCGTGTAATTTCCTATGGATAGATATAGAGTGGTATTATACTGCCGCATGCACTTTCGTATACATCGCACACAATGATCGATAGGCAACAGCGTCGCCTGTGCGGAGGAGATTGGCTGCATCCACGTTCAAGGGGCTATCGGGCTCGGGCGTGTCAAGCAGAGCAAGTACGGCTGTACAGGCGCTATGCAACGTCCATGCTGGGGACCATTGGGCTTGTAGTACATCCAAACAAATTTCCCCTGTCTATGCTGTGGTAGCCATGGCAAATACATACCTTCCAGTGAACATTTGGATGGAATATCCGGGTCCGAAACCGCATTGTTGGCGGCTTGATAGGGTATGTATCAGGCACTCGAATATCAATTTCAAAGCATCCCCCGCCGTAAACGCCAGAGGCAGGTGGACACAAAATGGCTCGCCAAGCTGTCAAGTCCCCCTCGTCTATCGGCTCAAGTATAGTAATATGTTCATCTGTAGTGCCTTGCTTCTGTAAGGCACGCCATTCATGCACCAGTCGCTTCGTAGCACCCCCGCGATCCATGATGCCGACCAACGAATGAGCCTCGAAGCGGGGCGCCTGCGTGATTTCGAACCCTGTGCGGTGCTGTCCAACGCCGCGCGGGGCACCTTGTAATATTTCCAAATTTGTCCTTATAAAGCGCTGGTCCCAATCCAAGGTAAGCAAGGGCCGACCGATCCCACGCGGTTCGAAAGAGCATTTTTCTTGACACGATCGACGCCGTTGGGAGGTCCTGGTATGCACTCACGGCAGTCGTCAGGAGCGGAGAGGCAAACTACGTCACCTCCGCTTCATGGATCACTTCCTGCGCCTCCTACGCGCATGCCGCCAGTGCCTCCTTATACGGTGACGGATGAGGTGATGGCAGCTCGGACAGCCGCGGCGGCGGCAGGGTCTGGGCCTATACCCTATATGAGTGGGGACGATAGTGGCTCGCTTAGTTGGACTCCCTCTCCCAGGCGCACATACACACAAACGCCACAATATGGTGGACGTACATACTCGCCCAACAGCCAACACAGCCGAACACCCTCGTCTCTGTCACAGGAAACGCTATCTACCGAGCGTCTAATGATACAGGCTACCTTAGACAACGAGCACTTCGCTGTTGTTAATGTAACTGGCCTATCTACTGCGCTGGAGATTCGCGATGTTATACTGCGGAAACTGCAACTTCCGTTGTTGGAGCCGAAGCAGTTCGCACTCTATCGAACCGAAATCGGTGATTCTGATTTGGCTCACTCGCCCATGATCGATGATGACACGCTGCTAGCACTGTGCTTGCAACTGGGTGATGACAAAGGCACGGTGAAGTTTCGCGTCCAGCCGTTGGCCAACATAACCGAAGAGCCAGATGTCATGCAGTATGATCGACCCAGCTTTACCAAAGCAGCCACCTCACCTACTTTCGATGCGTTGCCCAAGATTCCTACTGACATGTCGTTACAACGTTCTATGACAATGGAGCCATCGTCTGACTCGTCAGGTACCAGACTGCGGTCAGGCCAACCATTTGGATGGCAGACTAGGCGAATGCTGGCGCTAAACAGCACAACGCCACAGAAACAGACGGACTATCCTCACACGCATAGGCCCACTGAATCGTTGTCGGCCTTGTCTCCTCTGGACAACTATCAAGGTCGTGTAGGTGAGAATATGGATCGAGGCGTCTTATCGACCCATACGCCACTTTCCCTACAGCCGTCTACACCTTTACTGCGTTCAGGCACAGCTTCGAAAGGTGGTTCGATCGCGGCTCGGCCTTTAAGTGCTGTGATTGATCGACCCTACGACCATCTTTGGAACGATTCGGCAGAACCCAGTACGACCAACAGTCGCTCGGGCCTCCCTACATACAAGCCACGAGCTTCTTCGTATACCAGCGAGGTTCGTCCAGCTTGGGCCATGTCCAACACCTCATCATCGCCTGTATACCCCCCTGTGAAAGCCAATGAGCCTACTGTACAGACACGACCACTCCCTATACCCCCTTCACCGTCTTCTGTCTCTACCTCGTCGTCTCTCTCGGCGCCCTCGATGGCTCCACGGTCCGCCGAGTATGGAGGGTCTTCCACACCTACATATACCACGACCTCTCCGTCCTCCTCTTTCTTACATGGACCCATTTCCACTCACGAATCCATATCTGCTAAAGACGAGACGGAGCGTATGACTTCCATGCAGCGTCTTATGTCCCACATTCAACTAGCCCAGGAGCAAAAACCAGACCATGAACAGGCTTTCTTTAATTCCTTTTCAGACGATTCTCTCGGCGGTACATTTGCGCAGCCACTCGATGCCGCCACGGTCATGGCACCCAAACAGGATACAAATACATACAGGGCGACGGCCTCTATGGCTAACACACCATCGCGTGAGAACACAAAGCCTGTTCTTTCCGTGGCCACACAAGCCCATGCGCTCACCCGCTCGAGCTCTGTTCTCTCACAACGTGGTACAGGCAATTGGGCCTTTCGTCCACCAGCAGAAGAACTGTATGAGCAGCTTGACGACTTGTTCCCTCGGACCGATTTAGATCAGCCCCTCAGTGAGACATTTGCCCCATCGCCTTCGAGCATGTCGACAGAGCCACGCAAGTCGAATACGTCCCTACAACGCCATGAAAGCACGTCTATTCGTGATATCGCGCAAAACCGGCGCAAATTGCTAGAAAAGACGGTGCCAGGGACGACAGTAGTGCCATTCAACGACATGCAGCCAGCAAAGGACAAGGAGAAACTGAATCGCCGACGCAGTACGAAGCTCTGGGGCGGTCGGATGGTCGAGATGCAGAACAACGGCACGGAATCGGTGGGTGTTGTGCCGGCGGGCGGGGCGACGCTCATTGCTGGAGATCGGCGTACGTACTATGCAAACTAACTGGCAGCCATTTTCAAATGGGTCAAGGGTGATTTGATTGGCAAAGGCACCTACGGGCGTGTCTACTTGGCCCTCAATGCGACCACCGGTGAGATGATTGCTGTGAAGCAGGTAGAATTGCCACGCACAGCGGCAGATCGCGACTCGTCTCGTCAGCGCAATCTAGTGGCTGCACTCAAGTCGGAAATCGATGCACTTAAAGACCTGGATCATCCGAATGTGGTGACATGCTTGGGTTTCGAGGAAAGCTCTGATACACTGAGCATTTTCTTGGAGTATGTCCCTGGTGGGTCCATTGGCAGCTGTCTCCGCCGGCATGGTCGCTTGGACGAAGCGACCACGAGTTCGTTCCTGAACCAGACGCTACAAGGCCTGGCGTATCTGCACAAAAAAGGCATCCTGCATCGCGATTTGAAGGCTGACAATTTGCTGGTGGATTACTATGGCACGTGCAAAATTTCTGATTTTGGCACCGTGCGACGCAGCGAAGACATTTATGCTAATGTGGAAAACATGTCATTGCAAGGCAGTATCTTTTGGATGGCCCCCGAGGTGGTGAGCCTCTCATCCAAGGGGTACAGTGCCAAAGTAGACATTTGGAGTCTGGGCTGTGTTGTGTTGGAAATGCTGGCAGGTCGTCGTCCTTGGTCGGACGAGGAAGCCGTACAGGCGATGTTCAAGCTGGGCGCCGAACGTCGTGCACCACCTGTGCCCTCCGACGTAACCCTGTCCAAACCAGCGGCCCACTTTCTGCGCAATTGCTTCGAGATCGACCCGGATCGCCGGCCTACCGCGTCGCGCTTATTGGAGCACGTCTTTGCGTGGCCGCCTCCAGACTGGCGCTTTGAGGACAGTGCGCTCTTCCAGGCCTTGGCGCCGCCCGCTTCGTAGGTCATGTGATTATATAAGCAAGTAACACACGAGACGCCCTTCTGTCGGACTCGCCTTCGTTTGTCCCCCGCCATGAGTGAGGCGGCAGCATCCCCTGACGTAGCATCCGTGCTAGCTGCCTTGCAGTCTCTATACCATGATCCCAATTCGAATGCCAAGCAGCAAGCCAACGATGCGCTCTTGCAGTTCCAGAAAACATCTCAGGCCTGGAGTACAGCGAACACGCTTTTGCTCGCGCAGGACCTTCCGCTGGAATCGCGGCTGTTTGCCGCCCAGACATTCCGCTCCAAAGTGACATTCGACCTAGAGCAACTCCCAGACGATGCACGTGTGCAGTTGCGCGATACCTTGATGCATGCCCTGCAGCTCTATGCCACAGGTCCACGTGTAGTCCAAACGCAGCTGTGCTTAGCCCTGGCGGCTCTCGCGTTGCAGATGCCCGAATCGCTTTGGGGTGGCGTGGTGCCAGGCATGATCAAGAGTTTCGGGCAGACGCCTAGTACGGTGGGTGTGCTTCTCGAGTTTCTTACGGTGCTGCCGGAGGAAGTCTCGACCAACCACCGCATCCCGCTGGACAACGCAACATACCATGAGCGAGTGCCTCAGCTGCTCACACAGCAAGCCCCTACTGTATTGCAGGTCCTTGTGATGTATATTCAGGCGGATGGCGTGACTACGTCGATCCAAAGCACAGTGTTTGCCTGCTTGCGCAGCTGGTTGAAAGCGGGCGAAGTCGCTGCGCACCAGTTGGCCGACACGCCGCTGCTGGACTGTGCGTTCCAGGCGCTGGCATCGGACGAGCTGTTCGATGTTGCCGTGGATGTGATTTGTGACCTCATCAATGAGACACAAGAGATGGAGGAAAACAAGAGCACGATCGAACGCCTCTTGCCGCGCGTGCAGGCGCTGCGTCCTATGCTCTCGGCGGCTGGCGAAGACGAGGATAAGGTACGTGGCCTGTGCCGTATCTTTGTGCAGGCAGGCGAGACATACCACACGCTGTGTCTACAGCATGCAGAGGCTATGCAGCCTGTGGTGCAAGCAGCGCTAGACTGTGCGTCGTACCATGATCTGGACATTGTCCAAATTACGTTCCGCTTCTGGTATCTCTTGGCATCAGACGTGCATCGCGGCTTGGACCATGGTGATCCCAGCGCCCAGCCCTACCGTGCCGTGTTTGAGCAGCTGTTCTCTATCATCCTGCGCCATCTGCGTTTCCCCGACGACGAAGAGGCATTGACGGGGCAAGAACGCGATGATTTCCGCAGCTTCCGCCACTACATGGGCGATACCCTGAAAGACTGCTGCTATGTCTTAGGCGCCGAGGCCTGCATTGAGCGCTCTCTCCAGCTGATTGAGGCGGCGATCGTGCAAGAGTCGCCGCAGTTGCGTTGGCAGGACATTGAAGCGCCATTGTTTTCGATGCGCTCCATGGGTGGCCAAGTGGATCTGCGCGAGAGCGACGTGATCCCACGTGTGTTTGCCATTGTGCCGCGGCTCCCGCCCCACCCCCGCTTGCGGTACGCGGGCCTGCTTGTGGTCTCGCGCTACACGGAATGGGTCGCTGAGCACCCGGACCATGTAGCCGACGTCTTGCGCTTTATCACTGCCGGATTTGAAGGCGCTGATAAGGACATTGTGGCGGCAGCAGCCCAAGCCCTCAACTTCCTGTGCCAGGACTGTCATGAGCATATGCTGCCCTTCTTCCCCCAGCTCCTTGAGTTCTTCAGCACAATGCGCGATCGCCTCTCTGTCGACGACTTGCTAGCGCTCTCGGAAGCCATTGCGCATGTGATCACAGCGATGCCTCCCGCGGAGGCAGCCCAGTCGCTCCTGATGGTATCGCAGCCGCTGCTGGAAGGCGTGCATGAAGTGAGTGCCATGCCTTCAGCGGCAAAGCCGGACTTGATGCGTGTCGCGGATCGTATGGAGCAGCTCGCACGGATCTTGCAGGTGATCGGCGTATCGCTCGCAAGCACGCTGCCTGCGTCCTGTGCGTCCACATGCTCAGAAGCGTATGCCATTGTAGATCGTCTGCTGGAAAAGCACGGTCATGTCTACTTCATTTCCGAGCGCACATCCGCGCTTGTTCGACGTGCCCTGATCTTCTTTGCAGAGCGTGCAGAGCCTACGTTGGGTGCTCTGTTAAACCGCTTCGCTTCGTGCTTTGAGGCGACAGGCTTCTCAGGCTACGTCTGGATTATCGGCAAATCCATTGATCAATTTGGGCGCCATGCATCAGGTACACTGCACTCGCAACTCGACCAGGCTTTGCAGCGCGTGACGGCCAAGGTCATGGCAATGATGGGCAGTGGCGCGGCGCCGGATACCATGTCGGACGTGCTCGATGACTATATCCACACGTGCCTGGTCACCTGTAGCTCGGCGCCCTCCCTGCTCTTCTCTCCCACGGTGCTGCCCCAAGCATACCGAATTGCTGTCCAGGCGATGCTCGCCCTGTCGCCAGGGGTCGTGAGCATTGCGGCGGATGTGGTGCGCTGCATTGTGGAGTATGCACGTGAAACACAGTCGCCCCAACGTGCCTACGTTGATACCATTCGCGCCGTGGTTGCCGACCAAGGTGCAGAAACATGCCGAGTGATGCTGTGTGGCCTGGTATCGCATTTCCCACCGGAGAACATGCCGGTAGTGGTGTCTACCATGCAAACCCTGGCGATGGATTTCCCAGAATCTATGCCTGCATGGATTGGTGCTGCTGTACAGAGCTTGCCATCCGAGGCCGTACCTGAGATGGACTGTGCCAAGTTCCTGGAAAGTCTTCAGCGAGGTACACTCACAGAATCCATCAAACCTAGCGTGGTGATGCTCTATGGCGCGTCGCGAAAGTCGCGTGAACGAGGTATGTATGCACAACGACACTCACTCAATGTAGCTCGACTAGAGTAGGAAGACTGCACTAGGTAGATAGGCCAGTTATTCTATGCCAGACTCTTGCGTGAAAGCAATATGCTTTTGGACTGCACAGGGTGAGTAGAGAGCATACGTACTGTCGGCGGCCGACACAGACGGCCTTATCGCCTGCAAGGATTTCAAAAAGTCGTTCATGACCAACGTAGGCTGTCTGTAAGTACCACAGAGCACATACCTCCTGAAGCTGATCGGACTGGACGTCGGCCCATGTCATTTCCATCGCCTCAGGGTCGCCGGGGGAGCAGGGCGTGAAACGCGTGTGCTCCGATCCATCCTCCAGGGTACATGTCACCTTTTTGAAATGCGTGGCGTTCATCACGCGGCGCACAGGCTGCATGAGCGCTTCACGGACCAGCACAGCAATATCGGCGCCCGAATAGCCATCGGTTTTCTCTGCAAGGATCCGTATATCTTTGGGCGTCAGAGTGCAGGGAGTCGATCCAATGTTCAATTCAAACATGCGCCGACGCGCTTCGAGCTCAGGAAGAGGAATATATACACGCTTCTCGAAGCGGCGTTTGATGGCAGTATCGAGAGCCCAGGGGATATTCGTGGCACCGAGCACAAGGATATCCGTTTGGTCGCCGTTACTGACGCCATTCATCTGGACAAGAAATTCCGTCTTGATACGTCGACTGGCTTCGCTTTCGCCCTCGCTGCGTGTGCCACAGAGCGAGTCCACTTCATCGATGAATATGATTGAGGGGCGCGCTTCACGAGCCATAGCAAAGAGTTGCTTCACAAGACGCTCACTTTCACCCATCCATTTGGAGACCAAGTCGGAGCTCGACACACTAAAGAAGGTGCTGTTCGACTGCGTTGCCACCGCCTTGGCAAGAAACGATTTGCCGGTACCAGGAGGACCATACAGCAAAATACCACTCCATGGCTTTCGCTTCCCAGTAAAAAGCTGAGGAAATTTCATCGGCAAGATGACAGCCTCTTTCAGCGCATCTTTCGCCGTTTCCAGGCCAGCCACATCGTCCCAGCTCACATTGGGCCGCTCGGTCAAAATCACACCTGGCAGTTAGTACACAAGGCTATACGTACTAGATAAGCCGGAACGGAGCTTTTTCGTCTCTGCATCCACGTCGTCCGCATCACCTTTACCTTGCATTTGCGCTCCCGCAGCTCCTTTTTCACCCTCGGCGGTTTCTGCTTGCCCCACTTTGCTTAAATGCTCCTTGAGTTTCTCCGCTCGGTCCAAATATTCGACAAACTTGGCTCGGATCAGCTGCTTTAGCTTCTCATTTTTTTCATCTAATGTCAGCCACTAGGCCTATACGTACATTTGATGGCCATCATGAAATAGTCGAGACTGTTTTGGTACTGTACATAAGCCTCCTGATAGTGGTGCTTCACATCCTCATCAATCGCCCGCTGCACGATCTCAATTGCACGCTGAAATATTAGAATAGGTATGCCAGGCATCTCTTACATTTAAAAAATCGCTTTGTGCCCTGCATGGTTAGCCGTCGTCCAGTCTCATTCTCGATACGTACATGATCACGGGCGGTCTGCAAGCGACAGCACCAGCCTGGCTTGGACCATGTGGAGGAATAGGCGCGCGCCTGCACAAAGCGTGTCTCGGTCACGTCGGCGCAGTCCAAATTTTGACCTGCCACGATCGTTGAGCATCATGGAGGCCGACACAAATGTAGCGGATCTTGCTGAAAGTAGGCCACCAGAGGCGGTGGAAAAAAGAAAGGGCGCTTCTACCACCGCTGCTGAGGAACCTCAGGCCGTCAACGAGCAGCCACCGAAATCCAACTATTCTCGGTGGTTTGCATATGGCAACAATCACAATACAGGGGACAGTACGAAGCCCACTACGGGACGTACCATCATGCAATCATTGAAGAAAAACAAAAACACAAAGGCTCCCAAGGGGAAGACAGCGGCACCACTGGACATTGTAGGAGAACTGCAAGCCGGCCTTCTACCCGTGGCCATGCTGAAAATGCATATGGATCATGACGTGAAGAACCACCGCCGTATCCCTATTTTATTGCAGCATTTAAATGTCGCCATTACGGAAACTATCCATGTATCACAGACTGGGCATACTCTATACAGGATTGAGCTGGACATTGGAGCCGGACTGGCCAGATGGGCTGTGTATCGAGAGATGCGCGATTTCTTTTCTCTACATACCTTTTATCGGACACAGGATGTCAAGGATGCCGTGTCATTTCACTTTTCGAACGAAAATGAAGACCGCAATCTGCCTAGTTTCCCCAAAGGAAACTTTGGCCACTTTTTACAGTGGCAACGCAAGACAGACTCGAAAGAGCAAGAGACAGGATCGGAGCGGGAATATCGTGAGGCACTGACCACCTACCTGTTCAAACTGATCCGATTTGTTATATTCAAGCCGGAGGCAAACCGTCTTTGCCGATTTTTTGAGCTAAGTACCCTAGGCCTGCAAATGGCACCGTTGGCTAGTATTCTGGGTAAGCAGGGGTACCTCAAGATTCTTTCCAAGTCATCAAGGCCTGCATCACAGGGTCTTTTGCACATCCGAGAGAACAGTCGCCCTAAATGGTTCATTGTTCGTGAAAGTTTTATCGTGATTGTGGAAGCGATGGAGAGCATGATTGTCCATGATGTATTCCTATTTGATCAGAATTTGGAGGTCATTCAGAAGCACAAATTGAAGGGTCCAGTAGTGGAACACTCGTCCAAAGACCCTGAATCCCAGACGGGGCATTTCAATCATACGGGCAGCACTGTGCATCATTATGTCAAGAATCATAAATTCAACATCATCAATGCCGAACGGAAACTCAAGCTGTCCGCACCGAGCGAACGCGAAATGGAGCAGTTCCTTCTCAGCATTAAATTTGTCGCACAAAACAACCCATATGGAAAACCCAACCGCTTTGACAGTTTTGCCCCTATTCGACGCCACGTGTCTGCGCAATGGTTTGTGGATGGTCGTGACTATTACTGGAACCTATCGGAAGCAATTCTACGCGCTCGTGAGCGTATCTATATCCATGACTGGTGGCTTTCGCCCGAACTGTACTTGCGCCGACCTGGCACGCCTGAATGGCGCTTGGACAACCTACTTAAGCGCAAGGCAGAAGAAGGCGTGCATATCCACGTCATTTTGTACAGTGAAGTGTCAAACCAATTTACCCCCACAGATTCAAGCTATGCCAAAACACGATTGATGGCACTGCATCCGAATATTTTTGTGCAGCGCTCGCCAAGTCATTTAAAGACAGGTACATTCTACTGGGCCCATCATGAAAAGCTATGCGTCATTGACGAGATGATCGCTTTCATGGGAGGCTTTGACTTGTGCTTTGGACGCTACGATACCCCAACCCATGCTTTGATTGACGATGCCGACATGACGGGCTCTCATACAATTGATGCAGAGTTCATTGGGCCAGTTCGAGACCATGCTGAAGCGAACATTTGGCCAGGCCAAGATTATGCGAACGAGCGTGTAGCGGAATGGCATACGCTGAACAAGCCGGAACAAGACCTCATCAATAGGAAGACGACGCCACGTATGCCTTGGCATGATGTGGGTGCCCAGCTTATTGGCCAGCCTGCGCGTGATTTGTGCCGTCACTTTTGCCAACGTTGGAACATGCTACTTCGTAACAAGAATCATACGAGGCGCATGTTCTTCCTCCTCCCTCCACCCGAGCTGATCGAGACCGACCTGGACAGGTTCGGCATCCGGGGTACGTGTGAAGTGCAAATCTGTCGCTCAGCAGGCCCATGGAGCTTGAACACGCCCAAGACAGTGGAGCATTCTATTCAGAATGCGTACCTGAAAGCAATTGAGCAGAGTGAGCACTTTGTGTATGTGGAAAATCAATTCTTTGTTACGTCCACAGAGCTAGATACGACCCAGGCGGAGAACAACATTGGCCTGGCGCTCGTTGAACGAATTATTCGGGCGCACAAAGAAGGCACAAAGTGGCGGGCTATTATTGTGATTCCTCTCACACCAGGCTTCCCTATGGATTATGACCACGCAGAGAGTAGTAGCGTGCGTATTATTTCGGCGTTCCAGTACGAGTCTATTTCGCGTGGGGCAAATTCGATTTTCGGACGTCTTCTACGCGCAGGCGTCAACCCTTCAGATTACATCGGATTCTTCAGCTTGCGCTCTTGGGGCCAGCTGCAAAGTGGCGCTCTCGTCACGGAGCAGATTTATCCTCATGACAAGATCATGATTGTCGACGACCGCCTTGCCATTATTGGCAGTGCCAACATCAATGACCGAAGTCAACGTGGAGATCGTGATTCCGAGCTGGCCTGCGTAATTCGTGACGAAGATACACTCATGTCAACGATGGCTGAAAAGCCCTACCGGGTCGGCAGGTTCCCACACTCACTACGTATGCGTCTCATGCGTGAACATCTTGGCGTGGATGTCGATGCGATTGAGCGTGTCGTGTGTGGCAGCGACGATCACATTGGCTCACCAAGGCCCAAGGGAACGCATAAGAATCTATTGAAGCGCCCAGACATTGAAATGGATAGCATGGTGGATCCAGTCTCGGAGAAATTCTACGAAGAAATTTGGGACGCCTGTGCAGCTTTCAATACGGATGTGTACAGACAAGTGTTCCGATGTGTACCAGACGATGACATTACAACATGGGCTATTTACAAGATGGCCAAGCAGCATGCGGAAAAACTAGCACGCTCTACGAAAGACGCTGCTGCATCGGGTATGGATGTGTTCACAGAGGACCAGATCAACGAAATGATTGACAAGCTCAAAGCATGCTGTGGTCATTTGGTTCAGCACCCACTGCACTTTATGGAGCGCGATTCGGCGGCAGGCAACTACCTCTTCCCGTTGGATCATATCAATCCTCTATTTGTATTTGACTAAGTAGGCATAAAGTCGGGACTATAGGATGCTTTGTCAATACGTTTCAAGGAGTCAATGGCACCACATTGGTGCTCCAAGCTACATCCAGGCTGCTTACTTCTTGAGCGAGGCCATGAGAGCGTCCATCGAGAGCGACTTGGGGCGCTCAATCGGAAGACCAAGGATACGGTCGAACACGAGCTGCGGCAGAGCACCCAGAGCACGCGAGACACCGAAGATCACAGTGTAGAACTTGAACTCGTCAAGACCGTAGGTGTAGAGCACACAGCCCGAAGCGGCGTCGACGTTCGGGTACGGGTTCTTGGTCTTACCGTGCTCCTTAAGGACACTCGGCGCAATCTTCGAGAGACGCTGGACAAGCTGCACAATCGGCGACTCCTGGAGCTCAGGGCGCGAGTCAGTGAAGTGCGACAGAGCAGTGAAGCGTGGGTCGGGCTTGCGCAGAACAGCGTGGCCGTAACCAGGGACAACACGGCCGCTCTTCAGGGTCGACCACAGGTAGTCAACAATCTGCTGGTCACTCGGGTTCGAGCCGACAGCCTTCTCGAACTCAAGGGCCCAGTTGAGCACCTCCTGGTTGGCAAGACCGTGCAGGGGACCAGCCAGACCGTTGAGGGCAGCAGCGTACGACAGGTACGGGTCCGAGAGGGCGCTACCGACAAGGTGGGCAGTGTGGGCCGACACGTTACCACCCTCGTGGTCGCCGTGGACAGCAATGTAGAGACGGAGGTAGTCAACAAGACCCTCGCTCTTGCCGTAGCCCATCATGTGCGACATGTTCTCGATCAGATCCATGTCAGGGTTGATGGTCTGCTTGCCGTCACCCTTACCGAACACGTTGTAGTAGATACGGGCAGCAATGGCCGGGAGCTTGGCAATGAGGTCAAGCGAATCCTCGAGAGTGGTGTGCCAGTACTCAGTCTTCTTGACACCGGCGTTGTAGGCAGCAGCGAACTTGCTATCGTGGTTGAGAGCTGAAACAGCAGCCGAGAACTGAGTCATAGGGTGAAGCGTCTTCGGGAACGAGTCAATGATCTTTTCAATGTAGTTCGGGAGCTTACCACGGCTGCTCAGGTCCTGCGAGAGACCCTTGACCTCCTCAGCCGAGGGGACCTTGCCGGTCAACAGGAGCCAGAGCATCGACTCAGGGAGCATCTCCTTACCCGGGCGGCCAATGTCGGCAGCCGACGGGAGGGAAGCCTGGCACTCAGGAATGCTCTTGCCGTGGAAGGTGATACCTTCCTCAGCGTCAAGGACAGAACCCTCCCAGAGCATGCACTTCAGTCCACGCATACCACCGATAAGGTGGCTGACCTTGCTGTCACCGAGCGAGCAGTCAGCGTACTCCGACTTGAGCTTGGCGAACTGCTCACGCTTGGCAGGAACGATCTCCGAAACAGCCTCAGTAAGGGTCTTAGTCGAGGCGTAGCGGGCCGAGGTAGCAGCCACAGCAAACTGGCGGGGGGCCGCAGCTGAACGCAAAGCGGTGCGGGAGATAGAAAGAGAAAGCATCGCGATAGTTGGTTGGGTTAGAAGACAAGATGCTAAGGCCCTTTACTACGGTTAAAAGCCGGGCCGCCGCTTGCCTACATGAAGTGCCAATCACGGCCGAATGTCCCCCACTTCCAACCTGCCAGGTGATTATCGATTTGCTTACGTGGCTACTTACCGACATTACCCGGATACCACGTGCTTTTGACCCCGCACCCTTCCAACAAGCGAGTGGCACGGACCGCCAGCCTAACAGCATGACTTCCTTGGGCTGTCCAACAAGTGTGCTATTGCTAAGGCACCCAGTCTCCATCGAACAAGGAACAGACGCTTACCATGATATATTTGGGTCATTTTGTCTTCCCTCTTTTGCTCTTTCCGCACTTGATTCTCGCAGCTCAACGCCTGGTACTCCAAAAGAACTAGGTTTGACAAGTATGACGACGGAAGAAATCATGAAAAAGGTGGATCATAGCCTTTATCAACACAATCTGTCTCAGAAGAGGCTAGAAATGCCTGCATTCAGCTCGATCAGTAATTCCAAGTATCTCATGACCCATCACATGTGTACAGAGGATATGAATACCGAATTTTGCATTGTTAGCATACCCATTCTTTCTCACGTCTCAGTGGGCATAGACAAAATTGTCGATAAGATTGAAGCTGTTCTCGAGCAAAAAGAAGAGTTCAACGGCGTTGTTTTTACAAGCCAACGGGCCGTACAGGCTTGGGAAGAGGCTTGTTCACTTGTTGCCACGAGAGCACAGAAGAAAGGCATCGTGCCAATGAATAGCATTTGGAACGATTTGCTCTACTTTGTGGTTGGTCCTTCTACGGCAAGGAAACTGGAGGCTATCGATGTACTACCCGCCTTTAAGCCGTTGCATATTTTTGGGGAAGATTCCGGTACAGGTGAAGCGTTAGGGCACCATATCGTTTCCATGGCCAAAAGGGAGAAAAAACCTTTACGGTTCCTGTATCTTGTGGGAAACAAACGAACCCAATCCTTGATCAATGTTGTTAGCTCTTCAGGACTCCCCATTGAACTAGTTGAGCATGTTGTGTATGAAGTAAGAAAGGATGCACAATTCTCCGAGAACTGTGGCCTTTTGGCAAACGAACTTCCTCGACATGTATCTTCAGCACCCACAAGCAGAGGACCAAGTGTATCGCCAACACGACGAGCAGGGTTACGGAAAATCGAATCGCAATCTGCGACGCAACCGGAAAAAGCGCAAACAAGAGGGAGACGCCGCGAACAAACACACCTAGATTGGATTGTCTTCTTTTCCCCCAGTGGTGGTAATTATGCTATGCCGGATTTGCAACAACAAGGGTGGGTCTCCCAAGGCGAATACAAACCAGGCACTGCCAAGATTGCATGCATTGGAACAACAACGGCCAGCTGGGTGGATAAAACATTGGGATACAGACCTCATGCAGTGGCTGCACATCCAACACCGACCTCTCTTCGCGATGCCATCTTGGAAGCCATCAGTAAATCAACACACGTATAAATATTCACAACCAAAAGCATCACATGTATATATGTATATGTATATATATGTTATGAAAGCCCTATAATACATGAATCTATACTGGGTCGGGGGTGGTAACTGGACGATCATGCCACATCCAGAACTGGATAATGATGACCATATCGAAAATAAGTGTCCCGCCGCTGCCTAGCAGGAAAGGTAGACTTTCTGAAAGATATTCCGCTTGATCAGGCCCTGCTGCTTTGGGATTAGCAAGCACGCTAATGGAATAAAGTAAGTTGGCAAGGAACGCCAAAACAAACAAAAGCACAGAGAGACCTTGTACAGAACGATGCTTAAAGTTGGTCCAAATTTGGGGTATGCGCGACGTCATATACAAAACCGTACAAATCCATGCAAAAACACGACCAATAAGGACACTTCCTTTAAATGGAGAGCCTCTGCCATGCCGGAAGCGATGTCGGTGTCTGAATAGCATGGTCTGTGTAGAATCAAACAATAGGACGGGATGACGAAGACTGAATGGATCAATCGATATCTTCTTCAAAGAAGGTTCGCTGGTATCTGCCGGTGCCAAATGTTGTGTTCCAAGCGGTACAGGAGAACTGGTAGGTACCAAGTCTGTAGCTGGTTGTAGTGGATCAGGTCCAGGTCCAAGAGATACGAAAAACCATAGGCTGAGCAAAACCATGGCAGTGCCGCGACGAGTTAAGCTTGGCCTCACATTTACTCGCTTATGTCTCGAGGGAATAAACGTTTGAGAAGAGTCCAACGAATAGTTGCGGTTATTAGAAGGGAGTGAGGAGACGCTGTCTGCAAGAGCAAGGACGCGCCGATCGCGGCGACGGCCACGAGAATGCGTCTCATTCATAGGACTAAGCTCCCGCGAAACATCCTCATTAGAAACAGTTAACCGATGATGAGAGCGATCAAGAGTGTGAGATCGATTTCCATGACGGCGAGCTGGGTTGATTCGGTATACGGACCAGGGATCAACAGACTGGGCACGATTCAGTATGCGCGGGTCCTGGTGCACAAACGTGGGAGGATGCGGCTTGGACAAGGAACGATAAGACTTGAGTGCAGGTCGTTTGCGGGGTGTAATAAATAAGGGACTTGATTGTGTTGGGATTTCCGGCCTGGGTCTGCGTTCAGGTGGTTTATAGAACACTAGAGGTGAGTGTCAAGGATACGTACTCCAGTACTGTATACAAAGTGTTAGATCCACGGTCAGCATATAAGCAGCAATCACAATTTGGATGGGTAATTGGTGTGTCAGGTATGCGCCTAAAATATTGGTAAGGTCACCACAAGTCCATTGTAAGAGAAATACGAATGATAAGCCTTCAACACTGCGTGATCGGTAATTCTTGATGATCTGACTAGAAAGGGTTAGAAAAGATAAAATACATACGGTGATTGTGCGAAAATCCATACTAATAAACTGCCTGTTCCCGCTATGCTAGATAAAGTAGCGCGGGAAATGCTATCCAGCATAGTAGAATGGAGCTCAAGGCGCTTGCCCAAGGCCGGACGTGTCAGATCCCAAAAATTACGCACGGAGTGCATCTTTAATCACGTGCTGCGTCATGAGTCCAAGTATGCATCTCACTGAGTGAAACAGCTCCACGGTGAAGCAGCATGAACCGCCGCAATGCTGCTGTAGCTGACCGGCATGCTTTGCTTTCTAGCCATGCCTATCCTGGATCAGCACCGACTTTCCGCTCTTCAGCGATTCCGAATTATGATTCGCATCGACGGACGGATTCACCGTTTGAGAATCCCTATGGACATAACCAAGCACCTTTCCATGCCTACGGGGAAGCAGGCGCTCCAAAGAAAGGGCCTTCTTCGAATGGAGCAAACTATATGAACTTGTTCTCAGGTACAATTGGACAACAGAACACGGCGGCAGATCTGGAGGAACAGAATGATGCACGCCTCAACAGTCTCAGCGAGCGCATTAAAATGCTGAAAGACGTATGTAACGCATGCATGAGCAAGCGCATTAACACTTCTAGATTTCTACTAATATTGGTACAGAAGTTCGAGAATCTACATTGGAAATGAACTCCCTGGTATGTTTTGTGCAGCGTTGAAAGGCAGTCCCACTGACAAGATAGAACGAGCTATTTGCCAGTACTGGTGCCCTTTTGGGCACTACGTTTACAAAGATGAACGCTATGGCGCGTAGACAGCGTGGCTGGTTCTGTAACATGATGCTTTTTATTCTTCTGGTGATCTGGATCTTCGCTTTCTTGTGGTGGTGGCGCAAGTGATTAAATGTTATATATAACATAGATACCCAACCTAAATACTATTCACAATTCATTCTTATGTGGCAGTTGTTCCATCAGATGTAGTTGTAGAGATTCCGACCCCTTTACATGCATCGAACATAGGCAGACAGGAGAGGTACCTACACCATTGGCATGCATCAGCGGGATTGTCACTCCGGTAGAAATTGAGGGCCAGCGCTAAGAAATAAGCGACCAAAAGCCCAACGCCAATAATACGGTACACCCAGTTGACCATAAGATGGCGTTTCGAATGGTGAATCGAGGGTGCAAATACCATGCCTCCCAGTATACCAACACAGAAACCTCCAATGTGCGATAAGTTGTCCAAACCCGGTAATAAACCTAATGCAAGGCCAATAATAGCGAAGATAATAGACATAGTGACACGAGTTTTGACGTTCATTTCCTGTTGGTTAGTAGATGCCTGGAAGAGTTACATACATATCGCCAATTGTATATCAAATCCACGATTTCAAAACTGATGCATGTATACACAGACCCAGATGCACCTAGAGCAGGTTGTCCAATAAGTCCAAAGTTCCCACCTAAAAGATTGCCACCAATGCCACCAGCCACAAAGACGATGGCATATGGAATAGAACCAATTAGCTTTTCAATTTGAGAGCATAGTGTCAGCATGACGACCAAGTTGAAAAGAACATGGACAATGCCTGCGTGAACGAAAATAGCAGACACGAAGCGATAACTCTGGTCTGGCGATTGCGGGTTGCTTAAACCACAAATGTCGGATAGAGTACATAGCTCATCTTTGGTAAACGTTGTTTGAGAGGTTGTGGTATACTTCAAGCATGGAATCATATTGGTCGTGGGCAAGCCAGGCATAGAACGCATGCATGGTACAAAGCGCGCACCGAAAGATATCATAAATTCAGGAGCAGGTCCAATCATTGGTTGTACGTTGGGTTTAGTTTGGATTGCTTGCCCTGTCCGTTCTTTGGCCAAGATTAACTCGGCGATAAAGACGGCTACCATGCCGAAACTGGGTTAGCATATCGAGTACGTACGATAAAAACCATGTCAAATAAGGGTATGACTGGCGGCCAATGCCCAGGGCACGGTTGTTGATTTTTTGTTCCAGGAGCTCGGCATTGGACCAAGTATGCTTGCCTTGTGGTTTGGAATCGGTCAAGGTATCAGTAAGACTTGCTGCAGAACCATTTGAAGATTCAGGGTATATATATTGGTTGTGCAATTGTCGAAATTCGTCTTCTTCATTTTCTGCAAACCCCATAGTTCCATCCTTTAGGGGGAGATCTGTATCACTAATACCCCAAGCGTGTCCATAGACGGGTTGTTGTGGGTGATAGTCCTCAGCGATTGTATATGTAGGTACATGTGTTTCCAAATCAGAACCAATACCATGTGTTTCACTATTCTGGTCAGCATATTTCGCTTCTTCCTCGTATAAAGGCAATAAGGGCTTGGGATTATGAGGCACCAGAGTCACAGCATCGGAACCGGGTAGGATTGCAGGCGGCTGTGTTGGGTGGGGCAATGAGCCACCATGGCCCTTTTCCAAATGCTCACGCATTGTTGAGAAAACATCAGTTTTAGAGCTCATTCTAGATCATATGATGCACCGAAAATCAATATTACTTCGAGAGAGTAGGCTATGTTTCACAGCTTAGTCGCCCTTTAAGGGGTAAAATGTACCTAGGTATGTGTTGATTCACGTAAATATCAAGTGTTGTATTACGTAAGTTGACATGGGGCGAAGCAACAACGCGTAGCATATCTTCGCTGACCATCGCGGCAGCTATGGAGACGATAGCGTCATCGACGAAGGATACCGCCATTCTGCGCGTGAAAAGGAAAAGGGAAGATGACCCTGTTGATGTGTTTTTATTCCAGGTAAACAATGTGCATAATTCGAAAAAACGTGGCCTTCTAAGCCCCAAGGCAGAGCAAGGACATGGTACGTACGGAAGTCTCTTACCTGGCAGGTGTATTTCGTCGAAAAGAAACAATCGATAAAGTATCTTCAATCGCTTTCCCCAAAGATAACAAACTTATTGAGGCAGAATGGGATGCAAATTCGCACAAAATGAAATTGAAACGTAAATATGAAGGAGAGGAAGAGGAATCTTCAAAGCAACGAATCCGGCTACATGATGATAAAACGCAAGAGATGGAAAAGTTCACCGATCTATTATCCGAATACCTAAAGAGTATGTTATGAAATCTCTAACATAATGAAGTCAATGCTGTCGACCTGGCGCACAACGATGATGCAAAAGAAAATAAGACAAGCGATTATGTCTATGACATATATTACCAAGAAAATATGCCTGAGGGGCTGGTTATCGAGAAGAAGAAACCTACCGAGAAAGCCAGCAAAAACCTTCCTCCAGTAGTGAAACGGGCTACTGGACGCACTAGCACAAATATTAACCATTCACCTGTACCTCTTTCTCAAGGGCGATATGCTATGGGACATGAAACATCGGCGCCTGGATTTGAGCATCTGGATGATGCTGATGAACATGAATTGGACAGAGATTGGGCAAAAGAAGCATCATTTTATCCGGTTCATCTTCGCACCATCGTGGATGAGAATGGACGCGCATCTATGGTTGCTATCCCGATTGGAACACAAGCTCTAGATGATGATGATCTCCTACATGATGAGCTGGAGCCCACCTTAGATCTGGAAGAGGATGAAGACAGTAACGAGGAAGATTTTTATCGCAATGACTATCCAGACAGGGATGAATGGGATGCCTCCAGCGAGGAAGACTCAGACTTTTGATCAAAATGGCAATGTTACAGTATACCACTATTTAACAAACAAGGGCATCTCCAGAGTAGGCTTGGAGTTGAGTTTTGTCTTATATACAACTATCTTTTGACTCAGTTAGCGATGGTGCTTGTATTTGGCACATTAGAGAGAGACGTAGAGATTGTAGAGTGTTGCGCCTTTCGTGGTGTTCCCGAAGACGAAGATTTCCGTGCCCGTAAGTGCACGCCCAGATAATGACGATTCATATCATGCTTGCGAGAGAATTGTTTGCCACATTCTTTCAATGGGCACTTGAAAGGCTTGAAGCGTTTTTCAATGGCTTCATGAGTGGCCATATGCATCTTACGGTTATATGCTCGGTCAAACACCTTGAAGCAAGTTGGGCACTCATACAAGCGTTGAGCTGTATTTTTTTTGGGAGCTAGAATGCCTAGCTCTGACAATGTTGCTGCTGATGGACGCTTTGATGAAATCGTATGTTGATTCACAGACGAATTCCCTGTTGCTGCAGCGAGAGAAACCGAAGCGAGGCTCGTTTGCTCTGCTGTCTCCTTGGTAATGACGGGCTCTACTACTGCCATCAAAGGCTCGACAGGATGCATCTTTTGCGCAGTGCTGAATAAAGGTTGGATACTTGACTGCACCTCAACAGTCTGATTCACAGGACCCATATTCGTGGTAAAGTTTGACGAGATAGGTAAGAGGCATGGCATAGTTGAGAGGGGCTGGATATACGACTGTGCATGCGCCTCTGTGTCCGTCGAAGCCATCTGTGTTAATGGACCAGCTTTTGAGAGAAAGCCGTACAGGTCATGCTCTGGACTGGTCATGGATGCAAAGGTATCTGCCGTATAATTTCCACTAAGGGGTTTGGCGGAGGGCATTTTATTGTAAGGCTGGCTTTCCATAACTTGGTCTGTACCTGTTCGGCCAGGGACGCAAGCAAGCGTCTCATAAGAGGGTCGCGTCATGGATATAGAATCCAGTACATAATTTGAATCCCTTCCCAACCCATTCATATAGCTACTAGGCTCGGCAGATGGAAGTGGCGGAAGACCTAATAGTGACATGTCTGAAATACTAGATGTGGGAGCAGTGCCCAAATCTAGAGGATGCGAGAGACCATACATGGCCATATTGAGCCCTTGGTCGGACTCGATTAACGGATTCACCATATCTTCAGTGGTAACGATTTTGGAGGCTAACAAATCGTCGAAGTCAAAGAGAGGCTCAATTTCGCTGGCCCCAAGAGGCTCATTAGGCATAAATTCGGGAGCGCTCGTAGCCAGGGAAGATTGATTAGGGTATGTAGGGGTATTCTCAGGTGGATTCCATATATTCCATGCACCCCCCATCGAGAACGGGGCTTGCATGTCATTCATAGCCTCGCTCACCAAACCAAATCCATGACAAGGTTTAAGAAATGTGCTCTTCATTATCGGGACGAGACTCGAGTCTCGGCCGAATGTTACATTTACAATCGGCCCTTTTGGCCTGCAAAAAAGAAGATTTAGGGTCTCCGGCGGACCAGGAGGCGCGTTAAAGTGGATTAAAAGTGGTCGAATCATGTTTTTGCTCCGTGGGGTAACTACATAAATAAATGCAAGACTGATGAATTTAACCCCGAGGGGTTGCATGAGTTTAAGCGGTCATCATGGCGACCAACTTACAAACTAGAGCGTGTTCTAGTAGCCAGTTAGTCCAATCCATAGGGAAAATGTGAACTAGGTTTCCTATCAGCCTACCTATTGAAAAGAACGTTGCAAGTCTCACAGAAAATTAGCGCAATACAGGCATATTAAATGTCAAACACGAACGGGGTCGTCATAACAATTTTGCGAGCTATTTAAGAAAGATATAGAAGCTCAAATGATAGTAATTTAATAAATGTATGCTTTGAATATTACACATGTAGATTCAAGTAATCATCAATGACATCATAAGTTGTGTCATCGGCGTCAAGAGCGCTATTATGATTAAGCACATCAGTGTTTTTTAAAGCCGACTCTTGATCATCATTTACAAGGGTGGTCGGCAAAGATGGTATCAAATGAGAAGATTTTGGCTCATGATGAGCTGAATGACCTGTGTTGATTGACTTGTCTTCATCACCCTCATCATCGCTATAAAGTCCTTGGCTGTGCCAAAATGCTAGATCCAAAGCATCCAGACCAGACTGGCGATAAGTAGGCATTGTTGGTCGATCTTCCTGAGGTGTAGGCCATACACTTGTTTCACCTTTGGCTTCCTCATCAGCATTTGATGATGGAAAGTTTGAGAGGCTTGTAGAACTCTTAGCAAATGACGCGTACGTTACATCAGCTCGGCTCAAATTCGGTGAAGACAAGTAGGAGCGATCAGCGTCATACTTCAAACTCTCCTGTGGGCTGCGTGGAAAATGATCATCTGGATTGGCCATGCTGTGTAATGACAAAGAGCCACTACTATCCTTCCTTAACGGGGTCATAGAATAAGGATATAAGTCAGGGGAAAGATTGGGAGTCTTCGTGGAGATAGGAGAACGCAGTAAAGTCCCAGAATTTGTGAGCGGGCTGGTAACATTGTCCATGCTCGAGTTGTTTCGTGGAAGAGATTGAAGAGAAACGGGTGAGGAGCTTGAGAAGCCACGTCGGGGATCAGATGGTGACGGAGAAGTAGCCAACGCACGTTGTTGAGGCGAATGTACACGCTTCCTAACTTTTTGTATAGTGGTCTGAGTTGGGCTAGTCTTTATAACGATGGGTGTAGGCGTGAACACAGCATTCCGCCGAGGAGCCTCAGTTTCTCGTATAAATCTCGGGAATGGACCGGAGCTAAGTCGTGCATGGTTGACTAGACTAGGACCATCATTCGGCATTAAAAAACGAGGAAAAGGTTGTCCCCCGCCAGGTCCAAAGTCTGACGTGATACCTAGCATGCCAATATGAGGTGAATTGCGCCCCGAACCAGGAATTCGCGTTGTGCCAACACCAGCAAGGTTAGGCGTGTCAAGCTCAGGCTCTTCATGCCATACCATATCGGACAACAAACTGTTCTTTTGGTGATCTCCAATATATACAAGAAGTTGGTTTGCTGACGACAGATGATGAGGACGTACAAAGCTGGTTGCTTCTTAGGCCGAGAGATGTGAAGCTCGCCAAAATTCCAATTTCCTAGGCAATCTTGCAGGATGACACAGATTGAAAGAGTAAAAATGGTAGATACTGCCAATAGAATTGTAAGAATCGCAAGATTACCAAATTTCCGCTTCACCGGGCGAACAGTGGATTTATATTTTACTACGACTGGCGTGCCAAGCCTAGCTGGTCTCTTTACAAATATTTCCCGTGCATGCAGAGCCCTTTAGGTCCCTCCGAAAAAATAATGCATGATCATAGCGTAAAATGATTCAAGTACTCCAATTACTATTCTCAACATATAACACAGTCAATTTATAATAGAGACGAATGACATGATACATTTTTTTTTTGCAAATAGGATAGCTAGAAATCACGAGGATGAAGCTGTTTTTTCTTCAGAGTCAGATCCTAGCTTTGCTTGACCATCAGCATACAACTCCGATTGCTTTGCTGAAGATGTTTCGTCTTCATCCTTTGGCTTTTCACTAGAAGAATAACTTTCAGTAGGCAAAGATGTCGCCGCATAAGTTTCAGTCTGTACATCCCCCTCTTCCTGGGTCCCTCCCGCCCTCTCAGAAGCAGATTGAATTGTGCTACTACCAGCCTCTTCCTTGTGCACAAGCTCGCTCCCTGAGTCAGTCTGCTCCGTTTGATGGTGCTTTGTGCTAGGGCTTGCAGTAGTGGTTGTGCCGGTTGGAGAGGTCACACCTTCGGCGGATGCAATAGGGTCCTGTGTGGAATGGGGCATTTGAGATGATTGTTGGGATGAAATTTGCGCTTGTTGAGCAAGAGACTGAGAAGAAACTTGCGCCTCAGCGGGTTGATCAAAACGGCGCTCCATACCCAAGTTCGCTGCCGGAATAGAGCGTACAGGTGCCTGCACCGATTGTGTTTGATAGTGTGCGCTGGGCGAGTTGAACATTGCGTTGGGGGTAGCTGAGTTCGTGTTCTGGACAGGCATAGCGGGTCCAGGAGTCTGATAATGGGGATGATGCTGATACTGATAGTGCAAAGCGGCATCCGCACCATTATTAGTATTTGATCCGTCATGCGACGACTGGTGGGGACTGCCCCACTGACTGCTCGACATGTTTGATTGTAGAGGCATATTAGAATTCATGTCAGCTCCAGACACATCCTTCACAGGGGTAGTAGCAGTGTTAGGGAGAGCATAATGCCTGTGACGTTCTTGAGCTGCTGCCATGACAGCCGCCGTCCGTGGATAATTGTCAGGATGATACAAGAAAGACTGAATATTAGGTTCAAATAGTGGGTACAAAGCGTCTGCAATGCCGTGTTGTTCAGCCAGTTGCTTTGCACGATTGAATGCAATCCAAACACCCTTCAAATGCATAGCTCCCACTTTTACGACAATACGCTCCTTTTCGTTCTTCAAAATACCATCACGCTTTCCACGAGACATGCCACAGACATTCAAAAGCTTGGTTCCGTTGATCATATTGTTATCATGGCGACGAGCCACACACACTCCCTTTACATCCACTTGGAAACAAAGTGTACCTTCATCCTCCCAGAGCGTGGTAGTAACACGATGACGGCCAGCAACAGGCATCGAAGTATTATACTGTGGCGCAGATTGATATGGTGTAGCCGTCACCATAGCACCAGAAGCCATTGCTGTACTAGGTGCACCAGCACTTGCAGCTGAGTTTGACATTGCAATTGGCATTCCAGTTTGAGGATGATGTGAAGTAAGATGGCCCGCAGCATGCGAGCCATAAGCACCGTGAGCCATCATTCCTCCCATCATAGGTGCATGATAAGCGGGGCTAGATGAGGCGCCCGGATAGTGAGGAGGATGACCATAGTGAGAAATGTGACCAATGTAGTTAGGATACGGTGCATATGCGTGTCCTGAATAGGATGCACCGTACATGGGATGTTGGGCAGTACCATATGCACCATAAGGGCTAGCCATTGGCGAGATCTGCGCACCAGGGAAAGACCCCGCTAAATGATGGGGAGCCTGCGCAACATTCTCTTGATAAAGCCCAGCATTGGAAGCATGGCCTACATGAGCATCAGATCCAGTGATACCGGAGCCTGTGTGACCGTGCATAGAAGAGCCATTGTTGTGGTTAGATGGATTCTGGCCTGCATGCACAGAAGACGCATTATACTGCGACGTCGTTGTCGAGGGAATTGAAGGGCTAGCAGTAGACATAGTTTGTCCGCCAGTCCTTATCAAGAGTTGAAGTGAAACGAATGGAGATGGACAGTTACGTGCTGTGCCTGGAGGGATCTGCTTGATGCGGGGTACCTGATCCAATTCAATATGCGTCTACACGCACTAGAGTGACGTAGAGACTAATGTACGTAGGGAGGATGAGATGCGGGCAACTTGCCGGTGCAGGCAGACGCTTGCATTTGCATTTGACTGTTCGCTCGCTCATCTGCCGGTATCAAACCGGTCAAACAAATCAAAAACAATTCCGGGACCAAGCAATGCATTGGTCTAAACGAGAAAACACGTGACATAAACTCAACAGACTCCTTGTGTTTGACTAACAATGACTAAGCGTCATGGCCCACATGCGAGATGGCCGCGCGCATACGCTGTGAGACAATATCACTGCATCTCAACGGAAAGTATGCTGCAATGATAGAGGATCAAGGGAAACAACCTATCCTTGAAACTAACATGCAAGTGACTGAGAATGAGAAATTGGGAGTTCACGAAGATATGGAGACAGTACAAGATACTAGTGGTCCCATGACCGTGGAAATTGATAATTCAAACCAACCCCACAACGTATCTGAAGATGTGACCTTAGACTGTGATCCAGCAAAGATGGAAAATGGGAAATTAGAGAAAGATGATGGGACGAATACAAATGATAAGGCTGATGGAACTGAAGACAAAGGTCCTAATGATGATTCAATGGCCCAATTGGAAGAGCAGACCCGCCAACAAGAACTTGACCGCTTACTTTGGCTCTCGCTCCCTGAAAATGACCAGATGGCATATTATTCCGATCCTGATGAAGCAAGTGACTGTTCCGATATAGATCAACCTGGACCCTCAGAATATTCCAACCGAGGCCAAAAGCTAAAGGCCTTTGGTGAGATGCGTTGGGTACACCGTGGAAAGTTAGGATCTTGGACAGAGGCACGCAAAGAGAGAGAGTGGCAAGAAAGGGAAGAGCGTAGAGTTGATGCATTTCAACATGCAAGCGTTGATGCTCTGTTACAGGCAGAGTCAATGGGACCTGGTGGCATGGGAGGGATTTGGCGTGAAACTGTTCCGGTCAAACGACGAGGAAATTCTCATGGTGCTATGCGTAAACGTACTCGCACACAGGCCTGGAAGCCTCATTTTGAAGATGATCAATATGAAAATGATCTAAACAGTGATGAACATACTTCATTAAGGGCATCAACCTTAGCACTTTCTCTTCTCGTGCCGGTGCTCAGTGCACGTGGATTATTGGAAAGCAAATCTCTTAAACAGACTTTCCGAAACCCACATCTGACTGCACTCAACAGAACAGCACTGAATCTAATCGAAAGCGAACATGTTATGAGCTGTGCATTGGGTCGCTGCTTTGGTGTGATGGAACGAACATTCCAAGCTGATGAAAGGTATTCTGACGCTTTTGCACCTTTAACAGGTTCACAAGAAACCGAAAGTGCTGCACAGAGAAAGCCACTGGATCCGATGGACTTAACTCCTCCTCTTGGGCGTATTCATGATCTCTTTATCACAAAGGCAGGATTGACTGTTCCAGTTGCCTCGAACCCGCAAGATCAGCAAGAACCAGAAACAGTGACTATTTCCCCTGAAGAACAAAGTGATATCGTGTACACCAGCCTTGAATATTTGAATGATCTCTATGCAGACAGTCGAGAGTATATGGAGCGCTTGGAGGAAATTCGATCAATGCTTGCAGAAGTGAAACGGAATAGGAGCTTTATGTGGGATATTATCCGACGATGGGCTCTAAAACGTGAACAACAAGACTATCAGTCAAGCCGCCAGTATCACCTAAGCCGGGCCAAGCGAGCAGATGAAATTACTAGCTTGGAGGGTGGGCGAGACGAAAATGGTGCGAATGATTCAAATGGCACTTCGCCTAAAGCAGGTGAATGGTCAAGTACCAGTCGAAGCCGGAGTAAGCGGAGAGCCGGTCGAACATAAGCTCGATTAATAGAGATAATGCAGTAGCAAACAACAAAATGCTAAACCTATAGGCATTTTCGGAAAGGCATTAAGGCAAAAGAGTGTATGTTGGCTATCACATGAAAAAGGAAGCTTCCGCGCCGGGAATTGAACCCGGGTCTGGACCGACTTGTCGAATGACAAGGTCCCGTCATAGCCACTAAACTACGCAGAACTTTTTGAACCTGCACGCTTAAATTACAATTTTAACGCATAATAGCAAACAATGATAAATTTAAAAAGAAGCTTCCGCGCCGGGAATTGAACCCGGGTCTGGACCGACTTGCCGAATGACAAGGTCCCGTCATAGCCACTAAACTACGCAGAACTAGTTGTTATTTCAGTGTAAATAATTCTATATCAATACCTGATGGATATAAATCGTTTTCACGCGCATTACTTAACATCCGGTGACCGGCTCTGTAGCTTACCAACACCATGTCCACTGTGAGTCCGGCCGTAAAGCATGCAGTGGAAAAGGCTAAGCCTGCGAAAGTAACGTACTTTCTTTTCATCTTAAAATCACTTCTATTTCATGGATACTTCGTTCCTACAACACTCCTTCTTCTTCCGTTTGTGATCCTCCGCTGTATGATCCCGTATGGTCCAGGACGTTACAAGAAATGGACTGTTATGGAGACTGTGGGCGTTTATTTGACACGTCGAGCCATCCGAAACATGTGCCGATTTGGTATGCAGCCAATTCCTCCGCGTGAACATGGCTGGCGTGAGTCAAACAACATGCTTGGCGCATTCCTGTCCTTGTTGAACAACTCTGGCCCTGGTGGAATTGTAGCTATGCCATCGGCAGAGATCCACCAGGTGGAAGAAATGGTGAAGAGGGGTCGACATGACCGTGATTGGTTCAACCCACCGCCGCTGGAGGCTTTTAAAGGTATTCTGTCGATCAAGACCAGTCCAGAAGATATGGTGACAGACTCGGCTATGTATAATGGCCCAGCATTGGTGGAACCCAAGTGGGCTAAGACTCGTATTCGTGGTTTGTGGTTCATGAAAGATGCCAAGAGTCATGCACCCAAGCCAGGTCCTGCTGGTAGCCAAAAGCAACCTGTGCTTCTTTATTTCCATGGCGGCGCTGGTGTTACTTTCTCAGCAGGTGATCCTTTCATGGGCCAGACCCTGGCGAAGTCGATTTCGCAAATTGGCAAGATGGATATGTTCTCAGTGGATTACAACTTGGCGCCGTTTGCTCCGTACCCTGTGACCATTGTCCAGGCTCTCGCTGGTTACTTGCATTTGATCAACCACTACGGCTACCACCCTTCGCAAATCTTTATTGGCGGTGATAGCTACGGAGCCTGGCTCACCATGCAGCTAGAGCACTACCTACGCACGGATGGCAAGCATATCACAGAAGCATTGAGCCACAAGAGTTCCTATCCGTCTGGCGTGGCCGGCCTGTATCTTTTGTCGCCATGGCTCTACGTTTACGATACCAAAAAGCCGTCTCGGTCTTATGGCGGCAATGGTATGAAGTACGACATTGTTGTGCTTGAGTTCCCGGCCTGGGGTGTTAGTGCTATGAAGGTGGGTCCTAAGTACCATAAGCGATGCCCGCTTCCCCTGGATAGTCCATGGCTGAGCCCTGGCTGCATGCCTAAGGAGGGTCTTTCCCAGCTTCCACCAGTCTTTATGATGCTGGGTGGTATTGAGGCCCTGTATGATGAGGACATGGAGTTTGCTCATCATTTGGAAGAGGCTGGTACAGAGCTTGAGCTTATTGTGGATCCGGATGCTACACATGACATTGGTACTATGGCCACATTCTCGCGTCGTTTCCGCACCATCTGTGAAGAAAGTGAGAAATGGTTTGCTCGCAAATCTCTGTAGGTGGTTTAATAAGGCTTATAGTGTGGATAAAGGCAAAAGATGCATAAATAAATTGAATTTCAATGGCAAAAAAGAGGGCCGCCTGGGGCTCGAACCCAGGACCTCATCTTGTATCCATCTATATCCCGAGACATAGGAGAGACGCATTCTACCAACTGAACTAACGGCCCGATCACCGGATTACAGGGGGAATGTGCTTATATCAATAGATGGACGGGCAAATATGTGCACGCAATAATTCAGGCGTGCTTAATCTATTGGAGAATTAAATTGATGCGCACATATGGGCGGCTTACAGGCACCGCCTCAAACATTTTGGCCCTTCACGCCTGAGCACAGCGTTCCTTCCAGCGAGAGGTATGGAACAGCGGGCGCTGCATACATACGCGCTGCCCTCCTCAAGGAGGAGTAGCATTAGCTCAGACACACATACCTCTCTCAGTATAGCCTCCGAACCGCCATCTCCTGGTCGGTTTGCTTCGCCCGTAACAAGAGGTAGGGGTATCCTATTACCTCCGATGCAGTATGGACCACCCACGCCGATTGAGCAAAACAAGCCTTTGGAAGATTCAACGACACCATTCCGTCAGAAAGAAACCCCAGTGGATCTCTGGCGCCACATGAACTCGGACCACCTGGGGTATCGAGCCTCCGAGTGGGCCCTTCTTGGTGTGGAACGTCGAGACGTTCGCAGCAAGTATATTTTTACGCTCCTGCACTGGCCTACACTTACCATGTTCGCATGGCCGTTGGACGCCAAAGATCCGAAGATGCAAGGTGCCTGTTTTTTGACACAGATCGATAAAGATGCCTCGGGTACTGACGTTTCGGGTTTAGTTCGTGTGAGTCTACGCGTGCTGGAGGAAGTGGTTCGAGCCTGGCTGCGGTATGTGCGATCCAATCCGTCTTTGCGACATGGCCGTATCTTCGCTGAGGACGCTGATATTCTAGCCATTTGCCAGGCCCTCTTTTTGTCGCCAGCATCTGCTGCGCATCGCCATGAATGGCTTCAGCAACAACGCATCCCCGATGTGCCTAGTTCTCTGCCGCCATCACGACCTTCGTCCCCCGACCGAAGCAGTGCACGGCGCACAGCCTCACCCAAGTCCACGGCATTGTCCGGCATGCCTTCCCACCTGCACTCTTAGTGACGTTTGTGACATGTTTCTATATCCTCCTGGCTATGTGAACCTATATTCCACAATGATGACAATGACCTCCTTTACGAATTTTTCTTGGTGCACTGCACCCACGCCCTCCTACGATAAGGACGCTGGCCATCATTTTAGCCATTCCCTCAAAAAAAAAAAAAAAAAAAACTCGCCCCTTCTATGTGACCAAGGAAAGGATTAGAGAGTCCCATCTACCTCGCCATGTAAATCTGGAAGCAGACGAAGAACCCTTGCGCTGCTTCATCATAGAACGGACTCCATGGATAGTGCATATTAGGCAATATCCAATCTATTCATATGCATACGCTCTCAATGAGACGAGAAAACCCCTAAAATGGATTCTAAGAGATAGACTATAGTTTCGTAATATAGGTGATAGACACTTACAACAGCCATTGTGTTGAAAAAAGAAGAAGGGAAGGGAGAGAGGACGAATGAACCAGTAGGCTCAGGCAGGGAAATAGATAGCATAGTGTCTGAGGTAAAGTAGGGCGAAGGGGGAAAGACAAGCTCATAAAGGAGAAACATGACGAAGATGCTCTAGATCATAGCAGACGATATCTTCATGTCCCTCTCAAAACCCACTGATTCGGCATTTACAAGGTCTGGCAGAAGCTGCACAATGAGTTCTTCTTGTCACCTGCGTAGATGGTGGCCTGGATGATCACAGGCACAAGAATGAGCGCCAGGAAGACAATCCATGCAAAGAAGAACACAATCGAGTAGCGCAAGACAATCGAACGACGTTGCGCACGCTGGCGCAGCGAGTAAATCGGAGCATGGATTTGCTTCGATGGACGAAGCCAGAACAGGGCCGTCGAGTGTAACTGGTCGACGAACGGCACCACCAGAGGAATCGAGAGGGCGTACATGAGCAAGTGCGCAGTGATAAAGTCCGCCGAGAAGTGGCTCATCTCGATGATCTTCACAATGTACTCACGCGCCGGCTGGCTAAAGGCATGGCCACCGAGACCACGGCCGTACCAGCGACCCGTCCACCATGCACGGTTGGTCTCGTCATGCTTAAACTCGCGCGAGATCACTAGCGCGGTGAGAATCTTGAAAATGGCACGCTGCACTGCAATCATAGCAATCAGACCCAGCACAGTGTTGGCCGTGTTCCAGTATTCAATGTACCAGAAGAACTCAAACACGGCCAGCAGACCCAAGACACCCAAACCGTGCGCAATGGCTGCCATGACACTACCAAACTTGGCACAGCACGAACCAAGAACAGGACCGAAGAAGAGCGAAATGAAGAAAATGACAAGAAGCACCACAGCATTCCAAGCAATCGGCACCAGCGAAATGATGGCAAGACGAGCAATACCACCCTGGTAAATGCCTTGCTCAAACGTGAGGCCAGGCGCTGGGAAACTCTTCACATACGCGTACACCACAGCGAAAATAACGGCCAAGGCAATCGGAGCCAGGACCTCGTTCACCAGGATCGTCTTGAAGCCAGCCCGAGGCAGATCAGCAACCAGCTTTTCGCTAGGGTGGCCCAGACGCTTCTTCTTGTAGCCGGTAATACGGGTACGGCTCAGACGCGAGTAGCCAATCCACGAGTTGGCATGGCTACGACTGTTACCACGGCCCATCCAGCGCAGGAATTCACGGTAGTCGATGATAAAGTCGGAGAAGGAGAACTGGTGTGGGTTGAACAGGAACGGCGCCACACACAGTGCTACAATACTGATCCAGAAGTACAGCAAGTGGGGCATCCATGCCGTGAGCGTAGCGTAGAAGAGCATCAGCAAGTACCGCATACCCGCATAGATCGATGGTCCAGCGAAACGAGAGTAGAGCAACGCAAAGCTCAGACGTGTGGTAGCAAAACCACGACCCGTAGCAATGTAGCGCGCACCACCGAACGTCAAGTTGTGGATGATCGAGTGCGAGTAGATTTGTGTCGTGAAAATCTCGAACAGGGGCGAGAGCGACACAAACTGCTTCATCAGACGGAACAAGGCCGAGACAGCACCTCGCTCCGAAAGCTCCTGCAGGAACAGCGGCAAGAACGCAATCATGAACACAAGCAGAATACTAATCACCGTACGCTGCACCCAGTACACCACAGGGTTCAGGTAGTAGCACGAACCCGAACCAAGCACGAACGGAATACCGTCTGTGTCAGGGCACGTCTCCAGCGTCGATACCAGCGAACCAATAAACATCAGTGCAAACATGAACAGGTGCACAGCCAAAATGACCATGATGTTGTTAATGTGGAAACCAGGGTGGCCGTAGTAGAATGTCAGGAAACGGTCGACAGGCAGCTGCGTGCCGAGGTAGTAGTACTCACGCGAAAGAATCTGCTCACCCATACCGTTACCCAGCTTGGTAATGAAATTCAAAATGGTACCGAAACCAAGATCACGACCCTTACCGCACTGGTAGTACTCACAGTGCTTGATACGACCACCACGCTGGAACACCATCATACCGGCATAAATATCCTCGTTCAAGTGCAGACCTTTTTGCGCCTTCGATACACCGCCACGCGTCAACATGTACACCGAGTTCAAAAAGTCGGGGTGACCGTAGTGGAACTTACCACCGATCTGGGCCATACCACGCGCTGCCAAGGTACCGAACGTCTGCTCCTTACCGGCCGCGACGTCACCAAGAATACCAATGTTCTCCGAGAAAATGTACTCCTTCGAACCGACAATCGCCACAGGCGCCTTGTCAAATACATGGTAGCTAGGACCATACGGGTTCTCTGTCGGCATCTCGATGGTCTCAAACTCAGCCAGTACATTGCGGATCTTCAAGCATTCTTCCAGGTAGTTGTCTTGGTTGGCATCGATCAGCTGAACGAATTCACCACGGTGGAAGATGATCGCATGGTTCTGATTGTCCGACTTACCGTCACCGAGAATCGGGTTGCCCGGCAGCTCGATACGGAACTTGGGGCGACGGCGACCGTTTGGCAACATCTCCGAATGTCCATCGACCAACGCCGAGAACCATCGCGACTCCGCACCCTCCTTCACTGGTGGCTCCTCGTCCAAGTACGCAATCAGCAGATCAGGGTAGGCACGCAGCAAGAACTCTGTGTTCTCAATCTCCTCCTTGTTGAAACGCGAGTAGCGCTGCATCGAAATCACAAACTTGAACTTACGACGACTCATGCGCTCCAGCTCACGCTCCAGACGCTCCGTGTTGCCGCCAAACAGCTGCACAATCTCCGGGTTCTCCACACGGTACAGAAGCTTGATCGCCTTGTTGTAGTTCATGAAACCACTAACAGTGCGGTACAGCGTCTGCGCACGCAACGACGACCAAATACGGGTACGAAGCGTGTACTCAGGCGCAGCAGACTTGAAACCAATGCAGTAGAAAGGCAAATCGTCAGTCTTGCCCTTCTTGCCCGTCGTCTTCTCCTCCTCAAAGCCAAACGGCGCACCAGTAAAGTTGCCCGACTCTTCCGCGAGAATCTTGGTGTCCTTCACAAAGTTGTCCCATTCGACAGGGTGGAGCTGCTTGAGATATTCAAGAAGAGTCACACGCGTGTTCTGGTCCTCTTCACGGATAATCTCACGCAGAGAGAGCAGGATCTTTTCGCTGTAGTGCGGTGTAAGCACCGAGAACGTAGGCATCGCATCCACAGGCAGCGGCTCTGGAATCGACGTCGTGAGCGACTGCGCAAAGAAGCTAATACGACGCTCAGCCTCGGAACCATGCGGGAAGAACTCCGGCTTAGAGCCCGACTCCATCTGGTTCAGGAAGAACGGTGGCGCACGTAGCGTACGCTTGTACGGCGTGTTCTCCGCAGGCGCCTGGTGGTACAAAAGACGCTGCACATGGTCGATCGAAAGCAAGTGCTCACGGTACATGGAAATGATAATGGCATTCCAAACCTGCGATACAAGTACCTTGGGCTTGTATTTCACTTCCATGTCGGCCGTAGCCAGCAGCTTCGAGTAGATACGCTTGGGAAGACGCTGGAAAATGTCCGACCACGGCGTCCAAACAGACAGACCCAGAGAAAAGGCCCAGCCCAAACTGAACACGGTGCTCCAAACGACATACCACAAGAACGTGTCAAGGAAGAACAGTACCAAGTCCATGATCATCATAGACGCCAGCGTAAATGGTGGTTGAAGCGAGCAAAGATGCGTGCCAAAGTAACGATCATGGCACTGCCCCACACGCATCGTGACCAACACCGCAAAGGGATCCTTGAATGAAAGCGTCAAGAAGAAGTAACTTTCGGTCAGCTTGCAGCCGAAAACAAGGAACCACAGCAGGAAGGAGAAGAAACGATGCGAAAACGGAATTGGGGCAAAGGACGCCGTGAAAGTCTGGTTTGCCAGATACTTACGCTTATGCAGTGCCACACGGTCACCAAAGAGGCGACCTGATGGCTGGATCGAGAACAGCGCTGTAATCAACACCGAAACGACCATCTGCACAACAGCAATGACAAAGCCAATGTGGCCATCTTTGTTAAAGCCAAACACGTAGACAGGCGCAGCAATCATCAATGCCATACAAATACCCATAAAGATCAAGCGGCCAAGCAAATGGTTGGTGTTGTTCCACGTCGTCGGAATGTAGGTCACCTCCACCAGCGTCGCACAAATCATCAGGAACGTAGCCACACCACCACCTAGCGCGGATGCACTAAGCTGTTCAGCGTACGAGGGGTTACGATTCGGCTCGTAGGCCTTAGGGGCATTGTAAGCCATGAAGTACCAATACAAAGAAATGTGGAAAATCCAGATACGGTTGAAGTTCACGAGCAAATGCAGGAACGAACGAGTTTCCTTGTACGTCTTGAAGAAAACTTTGTTCCATTCGATTTTGTCGAACTTCATGAAACGCTGCTGCGGTGGAACATCGACCAAGCGCATGCCGTTGTTCAATACAATGCGATTAATACCTTCAGGGTACCAAAACAGCTGGTTCACATCATCGTAACCAATCGTGCGGTCGTGGTCGCGCTCCTTCTTCACAAACTTGCCATCGACAATCTCAAACACTTGGTCACGAAGGAAACGATACAGGGGCTTCACAACTGAGTGCAGGTACAAACCCTCTGGTACAGGGTCCAGACGGTTCTGGCACTCGGGCGAACGGTAGTAGTCGTCCGCACACTTGAAGATGAAGCAGAGGCACTCTGGCACGAAACGAACCTGACTACCTTCACCCCAGCACATGAGGTACAAAGCAATCTGACGGATACGGTCATAGTCGCTCATGCGGAACATGGCATCACGCCACCGTGTGCGAGCATTCTCCAAAGACTTGGATCCAAGCACTGTGGATGCGCGCTTGGCCTTACCAGAGCGCTGGGCCATACTAGCAGCCCGCGCAAGGCCAGGATTTTGCACTTTACCAATAGCATCGTCCAAGTCGAGCTGAGCGGCAAAGTACCATTTGCGGTAATTCGCATGCTCACCACCGATATAGTCTGCGTGAAGAGTCAGAAGCGCCTGTTGCGGGCTCATACGACTCGCACGAGAGTCTAGAAGAATCATCAAGTGGTCGTACATGTTGCGCATATTGTCCCGTTGGAAACCAAACTTGTTAGCCAAGTCGATAAAAATATCCTCGATCTCTTCCTTGGAGAGAGGAATTTGTTTGTCGACAGTCCAGGCCGGGTATGGCTCACGCTGGCGGACGCCAGCGGCGGCAGCCTCATGGTAGGCGCTGCCGCCATGAGGCAGCGACGTTTGGCTCATGGGAGCAGCTTGATGGTAAAAGTCGTGTTTGCCATCGTCCACGCCGCCATGGCTGAAATGGTCCTGTGTCATGTCAGCTTGCATGTACTGCTGCTGCCCTTCAGCCATATAGAAAGGGTTGGAATTGGGGGATAGCGGAACGCCATCATTCATTTGTGTTGCCATAGTGGCTATGGCGTAACCCCTTCACCAGGAAGAAAAGAAACGCCCAACCAAAGAAATCAAAATCAACGAGAAGTCTAGTGGGTCGAAAGACGTCACAGATATGTATTGAGCTTTGTCCTCAATGCCTTACCGTGATGCTACCGCCTCCGATGTGCCTTCGTACGCGCTGACTGTTGGGTGAAAGAAAGAGAAAGATGTCGGTACGTGTGATTTCTCCTGCCGTGGAACCTGGCCCACGTAAGACTGCGAATGCAGGCATTGAACCAGCCTGTGAACTTCCACTTGGCAGCGAAAGTACTGCAAGGCTGAAAAATAATTTCCTACAACACACGCCAAAATGCACAGCCGCGCCTGCCAATGGCTGACAAAGCGTGATCAGAGAACATAGAGTTTAGAGGACCTGCAGCACCAACCGTGCAGGAGAGGCACGGACTCGCCCAAGCTTACGTGACAGACGACCAACCCAGGCTCGTGGTAGGGCAAAGCAACGGCAAGGCAACAGATAGGTGCCAAGACCAACGGTATTTGCACAATGGATTCGTGAATACAGGAAGAGTAGGGTCTATAGGATCCAGTGCTCGAGAAAACACCGCTAAGGTTGGACTATGAAGCAGAACTGGGCTAGCTAGAGAAAAATACGACAAAGAACATATAAAAAAAAAGGGGGGGGGAGGGAAGAAGAATAGCCCAACCCTGGCAGCATCAGGGAAAAGAAAGCAGGCAAGGACCCCACGCCATTGTCTCTCAGGGAATACGTAGCCAAATAAAAACCATGGACCTCTTTACGCAGCAGCCGCCTCCGCAGGAGACGCGTCCACACGAGGCGCTGGGCGCTGGTGGAACTTGAGAATCGCACCGTCCTTGGGGTAAATCGTAGCAATAACCTGGACCTTGTCACTCAATTCCGTGCGCTTGTGGTCCCAGTTCAGCATGACAGAGGCAGTACCCATCACTGTCACAAGGTGCTGCATAGCATATTCCTTACCAATACAGTTGTGCGGACCACTGCCGAATACCAAGTAGTTCTTCGGGTTCTTCGCTGCGGGGGACTCGGAGCCCTCGAGCCAGCGCTCCGGCAAGAACTCATCTGGCTTCGGGTATGCGTCAGGGTCATGCAAGCTATTCCAGAAACTTGGAATAATCATGCTGCCCTTTGGCACAGTGTAGTCCTCGCTGATCGGGAAGGCCTTGTGGGTCATGTAAGGCACCATAATCACCGGAGGCTTCAGACGCAGACTCTCCTTTACCATCGCACGAGTGTACGTCATCTTCTCGACCATGTTCATCGTCACAGGCGCCTCAATGTCGTTGTTACGAAGAGTATACTGCTCCTCACGCACCTTGCGCTGCACCTCCGGGTGATCCGCTAGGTGCTGGAAGAGGTAAGTAAGACCACTCGACATGGCATCCTGTGAGGCGAACAGGAAGCTGAGGAGCACCATAGCAATTTCGCGATCCGAGAAGTCTCGCAGCAAGACACGACGCTGCTCCACCGTAAGATCAGGGTTTTGGCGGTCCTCACGCGCATCAACCATAGCCTTAACCCATGCATCTGTCAAGCACTGCACCTCCTCACCCGCAGCCATACGCTTCTTGCTCTCGCGTGCAGCGTGTTCAAACCACTTCATCGCGTTCTTGCGCGACTGAATAGCGCGGTACACCTTAGTACCAGGGATGGCAAAGGGGAAGTTGACCAACTCCAAAGCACGAGTAATCAGCCAGTATTCATCCGAAATCTGCTGTGCCGTATCCGAAGAAATGTAGTTACCACAGAACACACGCAGAGAGGTCTCCATGTTAAGCTGACGCAGCTGACGCATAAACTCCTGCGGCTCAGGGTTGGGATCCGCAAGCCACATGGCAAAGTGTTTCTTGTAAATGGATTCTTGGATAGGGAGGTAAATGCTCAGGGCACGGCTCGTAAACAGTGTGTTGAGACCCTTGCGGTAGTCCACATGAGTCTTACCGTTCAAGAAAACCCAGTTGTCATGGCACAGCACCTTCTTTGCTGAGGCGACCAGGCAAGGCTCTGTGTAGGTTGGGCTGTTCAGAATTTTTCGAGTGTACTCGTTCGACGAAGCCACGACGATGAAAATGTTAAAGACACTCGCAGCACTCAGCGCACCACTGTTCCAGCCCTCCATATACTTCTCCAGACTGGGGTGAAGCGAGTCAGCAAACTTTCCGATAATGGGGATCGTCCACTTGGGACCAGGGAGACGACCCTTTTTCATGCGATACACGACTTGTTCCAGCACCAGAAGGCTGGCAATAAGAGCCAGTACCGAGAAAGTTACCTGTGCATTGGTCAGACCATAGAAGCCACCGCTAGCCGCACGGGTCGCCTCCGTATGCAGCGTCGCATTGACGTTCATAGCAGCGTCCCACGCCTGCTCTGTTCCTGCTACAGCCATAATCAGTGTAAAAGAAGAGGTCGAAAAAGGCGCGCGCACCCTACGAGTGGAGCGGCTCCAAGCTTGTCTTAGAAATGACCTATAAGGTCATGTTCATACTCGCCCTTGCATGGGACGAACCCAAATCAGGCGATATCGGCCTATCGCACAATGAATTTCTACCCAAACAATCACGCGCTTCGAACCAGGCTGACAAAAACCGACGCCGCGGCTCCATTTTTGTACATAATTATATACGGTACATGTATGTACATATATTCCCATTCGAAGCGAGCGAGACACCTGCCTTGAGCAGCGACACCCTTAAAACTCCATAACAATGGCTAATAAATCATAGACATTATACGTATACAGTAGAGGACGTTACGCTTGTCGCTCCAGAGACGTAGACTGCGACATAATACTGTCTGACATGGACGCACGCATGCTGCCCATTCTGGACAAACTCACTGGCGTTGTAGCATACGACAATGGGCCCCGTCCGCTTAACGGCTTGGTACGGCCAAGCATAGCAGGCAGATTATGGGCCCATTGAGCAAATTCGTGCGGCGTCACACGACGCTTACGATTGTTTGTCACATCACAGAATACATGGTCACAAAGGAAACGCGACACGTCCTCCGTAAGCCCATCAAAGGCTTGCATCAAAAAAAGTACAGGGTTCAATGTAAATGCGGCGAACGAGGGGCATCGATTCACGCTCGGCTCACGGAAAGGACTGCGGTGAAAGATAAGGTTGAGAAGCACAATGCCCAAAGACCATGTATCTGCCTGTTTGGGATCATAGTGCGACGATAAATCGTGTCGGCATTCAAAGGCCATGTACGGCTTAGATCCGCAATTGAAGTCGCTGGACTCGGACTGCGTCGTAGCCAAACCAAAGTCGGTCAGCTTGACAACCACCGCCTCTCCTGTGGAGGCAGGAAGCCGTTGGCCGCTACGTCGGTCTTCCACAATAAAGTTCTCCGGCTTGATATCGCGATGACTTACGCCGTGGTCGTGGCAGAATTGCACGGCCTCACACATGTGAGAAAACATACTGCTCACAAGCTGCAAGCGACGTTGTGATAGAAGTATATGAGGCGATTTGGTAGAGAGCAGCCATGGCGAGACGGGAATAGCATCAACATCGTCCCAGTTCTCAGCCGCCGCACCAAGGCTGTCCTCTCCTTCAGACCATTGGGACATGCTGGAAGAAAGGTCCGTCTGCGTGGACGACCTAGAAAGCCCATAAGAATCCTGTGCCTCTTCCAGCCAAAAGTACAAATCTTGCCCCGGGCAATACTCCAACACGAGAAAGAGCCAGTCATTCGTTTCATACGCATTGTACAGCGTCACAATATTGGGATGGGGTGGGATCGATTGGTGAATCGTCACTTCGAGTCGCTGAATGCGTAAATGCTCCGGCGATAAGTTCCGTTTAGACAGGCATTTGAGGGCATAGAGGGGACTTTCATCAGGGCTAGCTATACCATTCGCTTCCTCCATCGCCTTCCATCCCAAATGACTCGCTCGAGGTGTGCGACCCGCTTCCGGTGGTGGTGCAGCACGGGGCGTCGATGACAAACCAATGTCCATGCCTTGTGGCTGCGCCTGCGCAGAAGGCGTTCTCACCGGATTGGTCACTTCCCTAGCCAGGTAGACAACCGCATAGCTACCTCGCCCCAGTAGTTGTACCACTTCCAGCTGCTTGGTAAAGTAATTTACATCCTGTTCCGCAAAACCATCGCTCGTCTCTGCTGCGCGAATCATATCACCATCATGGTATAAACCTGGGCCAATGCGATCGCCAACAGCAAAAATATCCGCTGGCGTTTCACGTCCAGATGTGTACGAGCTTGAATTTCGCCAGCTGTTATAGCTGGCATCTGAGACAGAGTCCATCATCTCAGCAGGTTCGAGCTCAATATCGTCTTCCTCAGCACGCTTGGTACCTTCTCCCTGTGCCCGCACAGGGGATGCGGTGAATTGAGACATAGGACGTGTGTCAGAAGTATCTCCCTCCATGGCTGGCGAACGTGAGATCCTGGGTGGCAATGCCATCTTGTCCTTTGTTTGGCCAAGCATAAACTGGTTGGTATCAGGTGGTGTTTCTGGGATACGCATGGGCTGGGACGAGCCAGAATCGGTAGAAGCCTGTTCATGCGAACTATTCAACGTCATCTTTTGTACCAAATTGGCCGTAGCCAGGTACGAGAAATAGGTGCTAATAGGCGTCGTAGGTTGGGATGGATCAATCGCGGTTCTTGCCCGACCAGGTAACTCATATTCGCGCGCCGATGGCCCAGGCCCTTGCCATGTTGAGGCGCGATGAGGACCGAAATACGAGGAGCTTTGTTGTGTCTCTACCGGCGATTGGGTGAGAATAGGCGCAGGCGGCTGCAGCGATTCCACCTGCATTTCAGCCCGACTCCATCCTGGTGACGCTGGCAAGCTGGGCAAGCCGTCGGACGAGCAAGACGCCCAATCTTCACCAAGTACCGAAGGCAGGGAGCTTAAGCGTGATATCGTAGGCTTATGATCGCGGCTGTTCGTGCGACAGGTGCGCCCATATGGGTGGGGATGACGCAGCGGTAGATCTGATCGCAGAGAATTGGTTCGCTCGGAGCTAACAGATGTGCCGCCGTTGGGGGTCTTAGGAAATGCATTCGATTGTGCACAGCTGGACATACGGGAGCGGAAAGATGCGTGGCGACCACTCGTAAGACAGCCAGCACTCGCAGCTTTGACCAAATCTGGCCGAAGCGGAAATAGATTCCCGTGAGCCTCTCGTGCATCAGACGGAGATTTGTCTGATACTAGTGTTGCCACGGATGGAAGAGATACATCGCGCGGGGCAGAGAGAGAGGAGCACGGACGTGACTCACGTAACGCCGCTTCAACTGATCCTTCTCTGCCCTTAACTGACATGGTGAAGGTAGTGGTGGCGTGTAGATGTCAAAATGCGCGACACTACACCAGCCGCAATACGAACGAAGAGCTTTCTTTCTCAATCAGATTACTCTGTAGGAAGACGGTGTACAAAGTAGCCGTTGTAAGAGCCAGCAAAAGTACGTTTGGAGCGCGCAATCTCTCGGTAAGTCGCACTGTGAATGAATCCTTCGTCGTGGCCTCTAAAAATAGAACTCTTTTACAGCGACCAGGCGCACTACAATTGCTACTTGACGACTTTCCCTACTCACACTGTGTGGAGAAATTATGTCATTAACCCGACCCCCAGCAGAAAAAAGGCACCGTCGGATCACTCGTATCCAGGCGCTTTCGCTTTGTAGGCCAATGAAATTGGCTCGGTGGAGAAAAGGCAACCTAGCGCAAATGTCAAAATGTCAGCAAACAAGTTGATACCTCATACCATAGCATAGCAGGCGATTCTATCTAGTAGGATGGAATCCAGTGGCCCCGCTGTTGCCTAAGTCAGTAACACAGGCAGCGTTCCAGAATTGGTGCAAAACGACGCAAAACATGTTACTTTCCTATCTTATTATGAAATAGACGGATAAAGGCACTATGGAGAAACTGATCTACGAATACATGTGATAGGACATAGTGTGTGATGCCTAAACTGCGCAATAGTAGCTACGAAGCAAGCGCGGTCGAAGCGATAGAAACGCTGGCGAGGTCGTTTCGTAAAAACAGGGATTTGGCAACGAGTGCAGCACATGACGCTTTTGTGGAGGACCTGAATCCGTAGCCTTGTAACACCTGCGACGTATACCCATGGCAGCAGAAACATCCCCGCCGCAGGTGCCAGCACCAGCCACACCTGCCCCGTTGCAGGAGATACATTCTGGAGAGCGCCTATCACCTGACTTTCTCGTAGTCGTCTTGGATTTGGATGCAACCGCATGGCAGCACATTGCCAGCGACGCAACAACACCCGAAGCTAGGGCGGATGCTGCATTTGAGGCACTTAAGGCTGTGATATCGGCAGTCCTTGTATTTATCAATGCGCATTCCGCGATGCAACATGGGAATGGGATCGCATTGTACGGTGCTGCGGCCGGCACAGCAAAGCTTTTGTACTCGACCAGCATTCATGCGCAGCCCTTCGTGCGTCAGGCACAAGATACCCAGAAAGGCGCATGTTTGCCGTTCAAAATCCTTGACGATGCTGTGTTTGAAGGTATGAAGTCATTGTTCGATGCTTCAAAAGGCAGTGACCATGGTCCGGTGGGAATTACACGCGCATTGACATTGGCGTTGTGCCATATGAACCGCATGACTGTGGCCATCAATGAAGCCTCCTCTGGTGGTAACCCTGGGACATTAGCTACGAGCTCTGGACCTGCTGTCTCTTTCCGGCACAGAATCCTAGTGCTAAGCGCTACACCTGACGTGAGTGCACAATATGTTCCTATGATGAACTGCATTTTCAGTGCTCAAAAACAGGGTATTCATATTGACGTGTGCAAGCTGCTAGGGGACGAGACAGTGTTCTTACGCCAGGCATGCCATTTGACTGGTGGTCACTATTACCGAATGACAAGCTTGGATAGGTTACTTCAGGTACTCATGACAGCGTTTTTGCCGTCGCGATCGATCCAGCCGCTGCTTATGTTTCCTGCTTTGGATGACGTAGATTTCCGTGCCGCTTGCTTTTGCCATCGAAGGAACGTGGATATTGGATACGTTTGTTCTGTTTGCCTAAGCAGTACGTGTCTTCTGCCTTGCTGACCTTGCCAGTTTTCTGTGAGCCTAGAGCGGAATGTCTCATTTGTCATACTCCGTTTATGAAAGATGCACTGCGGCATTTGGAAGAGGATCGTATAGTTTTATCCATGCTTAAGAAGCAGCAACAGGTGCAATCGTAGTCGATAGTACAGAGATGTGTGTAAAGGGTATATCTATACGTCAAGTTCCTTCGAGCCAGGTGCGAAGACCAGCACGATTCCCTAACTTTACCAACCCGCCCTGCATTTCACGCACACGGGCAGCGAATCCTGCCGCAGGACCACTTGGCTCTGCATCATGCGCATCGTAGAGGCGCAAAATATGGCTAGCGATAGCGCGAAGCTCGTCTCGTGTCGCGTCGAAAAGCTCCCACCAAGGACGCGGCTCGAGAGGGAGGGCCATGGGCTTGTGAAGTGGGTTAGGATGCACCGTAAGTAGGTATATAGCAGCACAGGCGATCGTATGTGGTGGGAAAAGACAGTACACGCGCGTTTGGAGAGCATCCGTGAGGTAATTCCAAGCCACTTGCGCTGCCACGAAATGAAATGAGGAGTCATGAAGGCTCTCTAGGCGCACCTTGGCTACACCCATGACTTGCAAGTAGTTTATAACCCTGGCATAGGGAAGTTCAACATCCATATGGAATCCAAGACGCTTGAGGATTTGCATCTCGGCGACGACAAGCGCGTCCTTTGCGTCGTAAAAGGACTGAGAGTAGTAGTTGGATGGCTTATACTGGAATAGGGGGATATCATCATGCAGTGATGGGGCAGCATGCTCGTGCAGGGCCTTCATTCTCCGCGCAGGATTGTGGCGAGCGAAATGAATGGCGCGTTGAAGAAGATAGTCAAAGACAAGCAGCATGTCACGTAGCCGCACGGGCTTTTCCTCTAGCTTGGATGCGAGAAGTAGCGCCCCCATCTCGATGTCATGCACATTGAACTGTGTTAGGGAAGAGACGAACCAGAACCGGCGAAATAAGACTTGTGCTGTACCCATGACAACCTGTGGAAGGTCTAAAAGGATACCAGCTTGCTGGATTTGCTGACAGGCATATACACAGAGCTCTTCCTCTATGTCTTCGGGAATGCCATCCCTTCTTGAGGGTGTTTGCTGGATTTGCTCGTCACTTGCGAGCGGGTTGAGCGCTGGCATCTCGCGTGGATCAGAGCGGTCCCTTTCCACAAAAAAGGCCCAATCTTGGATCTCCACATGTTCTCCACACGCGACATAAAGTCACGTTGACACAGAAAGGCGTCAGGCACCAACCAAACTACGATGTAGGCATTACGTCAGGAAGTCTACCATGCACGTCTTCACCATTCCCCAGCGAGGCCCCCGTTAGTCTAGCCAAGGGTTGCACATCACCCATTCTGCATACATCTGTGTCATTTGCAGCTCAATATCTAACCGTCTCGCTTGCATGCTATGCTGTGGGGGCCAAACAGCGGCGGACGGGGAAGGAGGGGCAGTAAGAAACGGATTAGTACTAGGAGGTGCATGAGTCGCGAGCGGCAGCGTAGGTGCTGTATTCTGAAGCATGGAAGCATGTTCATCCACTGGCTCTCTGCCACAAATCTGGTCCATGATGTATGACATATCCACGGCAGGGCCCACAGCATCAGAGCGAGCGGGCATAACTGCAGGCGGCGGCGATGGCACGAGTGTCGCAGTCGATGGAAGCCCAGTAGAGGAACCTAGCAGCGACGCAGAGACCAGTTCTGGTGTGTTTCCCAGACCAAGGGCACTGAACAGGTCGGCAGACTGCGTCGGGGTGGCCTGTGGCAGTGGCAGACTAGACTGATGACCATGCTGGACGGCCATGGATACAGGCCTTGCTATGTCGACAGACATACCGGTGGTATTATCATTGTTCGGCCAGGTTGGCAAGCTTGGCCACTCAGAACCAAAGGATGCCATGGTCAAACTGTCTGGCGTCGTAGATGATTGGTGTATGCTTGTATGGCCTGACATAGGCCGCGCTGCACTGAGCTGACATGGACCCGTGCTCGGAGCAGGACCCAGACCAATGCTGGTATTTTGTAACTCACTGCCGAGCTTGATGGGCGCAGACGCGACGCAGCGGACACTGGCCTCGGGCGAGAGGCCAAGGTCCAAACGCAAAGGCTTCGTGGCCTTGGCTCGCTTGATGAGCTCGGTGGACTGTCGACGACGAGCCTGCCGCAAGGACCGAGCGGGCCTGGCTGGCGAGGTGTGCGAGGGTGGTGTGGATCTCGGTCCAGAGGAACGTGGGCCGTGGGTATGGCTTTTGCCCAGCGATGCGAGCCTCGATGGAGCTACTCTCTCATCTACCGCGGGGGAGAGACTCCTCGCCATCTCTACATCCCCAAAGGGCGGAATCAGTGTAGAATTGGTGACAGGACTGGGCAATATGGGGACATTTGATCCTGCCAAGCCTTCGAGGGGCAGTGCTTCTGGGCAGAAAGGACTCGTATACATGAGGCGAGGGAAGAGAGCCACATTTGCATGACGTAGCCTTTTATACAGATGCAATACACATGACAGAGTCCTATCTATGCGCTTTACACCGAAAAAAAGAGCGATTGCCTCTCACATTGGCACGGCCGTGGACGCGGCCTGAGCGTCTGGCATGCTGAGAAATTAGAGACACTTGGGCCGTGCGCCGACAAGCCCAAGACGCCCTTCCCTCCCTGCGGCCCTTTTGCGTGTACGTCCCACGATGACTAATCATGGGCACCACGCCTGGGTTACTACGCACAGCGGTCTTGGAGACGCATAGCACGCTACGTTGCGCAGCTTGGCTGGCCAAGCTCCATAATGCAGTCTATAAAACGGCTCGTATATGGTCCGACGAAGGAGGAACGTGTACGAGAAGTACAACGCCGCCTTCGTCAAGAGCAGCGTGGCCTAGACAGAGAGATCCGACAAATTGATCAGGCCATCGTGAAAGTCAAAGGTGATATCAAGCGACTAGCGCGCAAAGGAGACGTGAAAAATGCGACAGTGCTTGCCAAGGAGGTAGTTCGATCCAAGAAGCACAGGACCCGCTTGATTACAAGCAAGGCACAACTCAACAGCATATCCCTCCAGCTGCAGCAGCAATTATGTACGTGGTCACTGTTTGTCTAACGCGATCAGCGATGCTTAAGGTAACGGGGCATCTCCAAAAGTCCACAGAAATCATGAAACTATCGAACAACCTTATCAAGATACCCCAGATGTCGCAGTCTATGCGGGAAATGAGCGCAGAGCTCATGAAGGTATGTGCCTGCTGCACTTACAACCAGGCAGGGATCCTCGAAGAGATGATGCAGGACACATTGGATGCCAGTATATTGGGCGAAGACCAGGACGAAATCGAGGAAGCCGCGCAGGGCGAGGTCGAACAGGTGCTCTACGAACTGACAGATGGTAGGTACACCCACATACCCTTACGCGACAGGTCAATTGGGAGAGGCTACGTCGGCCTCAGCTTTGCCACAGCTAGACACAGGGGCCACGTCGCATGCCGATGCCGAGAACATAGAAGAGATGCAGGCCGCTCTGCAGGGCTTGTTGCAAGGGCAGTAGCATCGCTAAGATACCATACTCTATGTATGGCGCACGCAGAAACACAGTGTCTAGGGGAATCTGGATTACCAGCTAGTAAAGTACATGAAAACACAACGACCTAGTATACGGGTGTCTTGTGATCACGCCGATGGCCGATCGGACAAGATCATGTCGCTTACGTCGACGAGAACTTGGTGACCGAGCGAGTAGCCTCGGCAATGGCATGCTTGGACAGCTCACCGGGGAGAATCAGACGAACAGCAGTCTGGATCTCACGCGACGAAATGGTGCTCTTCTTGTTGTAGCTGGCGAGCTTCGAGGCCTCGGTGGCGATGCGCTCGAAAATGTCCTGCACGAACGAGTTGAGGATAGCCATGGCCTTGTTCGAGATACCAGTGTCCGGGTGCACCTGCTTGAGCACACGGTAAATGTAGGTCGAGTAGGTCTCCTTGCGGACCTTGCTCGACTTCTTCTTGTCCGACGACTTCGAAGGGGCCTTCGAGGTCTTCTTGGCACCCTCAGTCGGGGCCTTACCAGCCGAGGCCGGGGCCTTGCCGGCAGTCGACGGGGGCTTCTTCTCAGCAGGCTTGGGAGGCATTGTGATAAACTAGATGTGGGTGACTAACACAACAGGGCAGGCCGAAATTCACGTATGGCCTATATACGTTTCTGTGGACGCGGAACCGTGACGCGCCAACAACGCGAGCCCCGCGATTCGGGCGTGGAATCACCTGCCAGCACCAAAAAGCAGGCAAAAGGCTTGCAAGATCAATTGTTTTCCACTGAAATTACGTATTAATGTCCACATATGTGGATAAAAACACGTCTATAAGAAACACTTTGTAATACATAACTTTGTGGAGGTGGTGTAAAAATGGCACATACCCAATAACATGGCTGGATTTCCATTTAGCTAAGTGGACAAAAAAGCGAACAGTGTGATTTCATGGACCAAAATGGGCGCGCGTTGCAAGATCGGGCGCGCTCTGCTGGGGGGGCATAGGATCATGCCGCGTCGTGTCGCCGGACAGCGTGGCCAAGGGTTTGTCAATAAAAAGGACGGCTTAAACACGGTCGGCTCTTGGTCCCTACTTTAAGACACTAGTCTTTTTTCATATTTCCTATTTCAAGTAACAATGTCTGGTGGCAAGTCTGGTGGTAAGGCTGGTGACGCTTCGTCGGCGAAGACCCAGTCGCGTTCGGCCAAGGCCGGTCTGCAGTTCCCTGTCGGTCGTATTCACCGTCTCCTCCGCAAGGGTAACTACGCTCAGCGTATCGGTGCGGGTGCCCCGGTCTACCTGGCCGCTGTGTTGGAGTACCTCACTGCTGAGATTCTCGAGCTGGCTGGTAACGCCGCTCGTGACAACAAGAAGTCGCGTATCATCCCCCGTCATCTGCAGCTCGCTATCCGCAACGATGAGGAGCTGAACAAGCTGCTCGGTGGTGTCACTATCAGCCAGGGTGGTGTGCTTCCGTTCATCCAGAGCGAGCTTCTTCCGGCCAAGAGCGGCAAGTCGAAGAAGGCCATGGGCTCGCAGGAGATCTAAGTGCCCCATACCATGTATACGATTCGGCAACGCCGGTCTGCTAGTCTAGGCGTGTAGACACATCCGCTGTACTTCTATCTATTCCCTATTTGATTCGTACTTTATTGTGTGTGTTGAGTGTGTTTGAATTGTTGGTAGTTAGTTTAAAGGTGGAAATGGGCCTTTTTCTCCTCCACATGTACTCCGCCACACAGCTGTCCTGGCATGCGTTGGTGTCTGCAATTGTGGCATGGGTTTGCAGCGAGGACTCGGAGACGCATCCGTTGGATGCCGTACTAAAGCAAGCAGCGCTAGCCTGCGACGACGCGTTGGATGAAGAGTTGACAGATGTGTCTAGGATGCAGCATATCATGGACGTCTGTACCCATGTCCGATTGCAGTGTGAAGAACGATTCCTTGTATACCCCTATCAAGCCCTTCCCACACATTGGCGCCAGCGGCATACGGATGCCATTCTTCTCGCATGTGTTACATCCCTTCTTGTGCCTCAGGGTACCCCGACAACATACCTAGAGCGTATACATGATCTGGACTTAGCCCTCTTTGTGTCAGCCACGCCTGCTCCCGAGCAGCGAACACTGGTCCATGCCGCCCTCCCAGTCTTGCAAGCGAGATATCGAGATGCTACGATGGCAGATTCCCATGGTACCATGCCGCCAATCAAGCGCGCAAGGCAGAAACGCTTCGACTATATGCCCTCTCCTGTCACTCGAGCGCCTCTTTGCAGCGCAGCGAGCCCTATCGAAAGTTTCACGACACCTCTCACCTTTACGCAATTCCTGGCGCACTGTCCATCGCCTACACTACCGCATGGCCGACCCTTTATTGTGCGTGGGCTGGCTTCGTCATGGCCGGCTATCACCAAGTGGAATGACCGCACCTACCTACTTGACCAGGCTGGTCCTGGTCGCGCGGTGCCTGTGGAAACAGGCGGCGCATATACGAGCAACGAATGGGGCCAATCGATCATGCCATGGGCCACCTTTCTAGCCGACATTGGATGGGGCGAAGAGCCCAGGGCCACGGCACCGCCTACGTCGAAACGATTATACCTTGCGCAGCACATGCTATGGACCCAATTCCCATGGCTAGCCGACGATATTGTCACGCCAGACTATGTCCATATGGCACCAGATACACTTGACGAGCCACTACAGCATGCATGGATAGGGCCTGCGGGGACTGTATCACCTGCTCACACTGATCCTTACAAGAATTGCTACGTCCAAGTAGTGGGATCGAAGCGGGTGTGGATTGCCCCGCCGGATGCTAACCAAAATGGTGCTATGGATGTATTTGAGGCGGACGACGAGGATGTATTTACCCATCTCATGGACAACACATCGCGTGTCGATGTTTTTGATGTCCATCTCCCTGCGCCCTTTCGAGACCAGGTCGTGCCGCGTGCGCAATGGGCCGACTTGGGGCCAGGCGACATGCTCTTCCTTCCACCGAAGTGGTGGCATGCGCTGCAGAGCACGACACAGGTACGTTGCTATCTACTGACACTTCCAGAGCTTCTCGGTATCGTTCTGGTTCTAATCGTCCTGATTCAAGTGCATAGCGTCTGCCATAGATCCCTATAGTCTATGGACAGTTGACAGAATACCCCCCCTTACAGGTTCTTCAGCACGGCCTCCGTGAACTGCTGCGTCGTCGAGTGGCCACCCATGTCAGCCGTACGGACCTTGCCGTCGGCAATGACGCGGTACACACTCGTGGCGATCTGGTTGGCCTGGTAGTCCAGACCAAAGTGACGGAGCATCATCGTGGCGCTAAGAATCATCGCAGCCGGGTTGGCCTTGTTTGTGCCCTCAATATCCTTCGCGACGTGACGGCAACCAGGCTCGTACAGAGCAAACTCACGGCCAATGTTGGCACCCGGGACCGTACCAGGGCCACCGACCAGGGCAGCGCCGATGTTCGACACAATGTTACCATACAGGTTGGGCATGACCATGACGTCGAACTGCTGTGGGCGGCCGACAAGCTGCATCGACGTGTTGTCGACAATCATATCACTGGCTGTGATGCCGGCATTCTTGTACTCCTCAGCGACGCGGCGGAAAGTGTTGAGGAACAGACCGTCACCGAGCTTCATAATATTGGCCTTGTGCACACAGGTGACATGCTTGCGACCGTTCTTCAGGGCAAAGTCGAAAGCAAAGCGCGAGATACGCTCGGCCTTGAAGCGCGTCGAGACCTTCAGCGACTCGACAATGCCGGGCGAGGGGCTGTGTTCCAGACCCGAGTACTCGCCCTCTGTGTTCTCACGAATGATGGTAAAGTCGACGTTCTTGTGACGAGTCGGGTAGCCTTCCAGGGTCTTGCAGTGCGTCATTGACGCGTAGATATCAAGCTGCTGACGCATAGCGACGTTCCAACTGTTGTGCGTACCAGCACCAGTGGGAGTGTAAAGAGTACCCTTCAGACCAACCTTGTTACGGCGCAAGCTGTCCATGGCCTGCAGGAAAAGCGAGTCGTTGCCGTCGTGCTCACCTGAAAGCTCATACTCCTCCCACTCGATGGGCACGTTGAGGCTGTCAAAGATCTCCTTGACCGAGCCGGTGATTTCCTTACCGATACCGTCACCGGGGATAAGCGTAGCCGTGTAGACACCGCCGTACTTGGTAAGACCCTACGTGTTGGTTAGCCTTGGCCGGGAAGATGATCACGTACCTTGTTCGGGTGCGACGTCTGCGCCGTCATGGTCGAGACAGAGCGCAGCAACTGTGCTGTGTGAGTGGTATGTACACCATCTATACATACCTGCTTCGAGGCACCCGAGCGGGCCGAGCGAGGGAGCATCTCTCTCACTCATGCTTCCAACGTATAGGTAAGGAGGCAAACCAAAATTTTGCAGCGGCCAGCCGTAGGAGCCGCGCCTGGTTTGTTTGATTATTTCCACCCGATGGGCCCTCAGCCGCGCGCGCCCCTCGCGGGTTTGCTTGGCTGGCTGACAATCAGTGCGCACGCATCTTTGTGTCGCTCGTTGTTGGCCCCATCCATATATCGGCCGAACATACCCGTTCACTGGCTGGCCAGGTGTATTTTTTTGTTGATGGAGGCAAGTGATTTGCCTGCCTGGCCGATTGGGTCGCAAACGAGTGCAACCAGCGCGTGGTCTCTCCCTGCTTGCAACGACGACCATGTTCTTTGCTGCTGCTTCGCGCACTCTTCGTCCTGCTGCTGTGACGCGCCAGGTTGGCGGTGCTAGCCTGCTGCGCCGTAGTATATCCGGAGAATCGGTGGCTCCTACGTCGCGCTACAACAAGGAGAAGGATGCGGATGGCAAGTACACCGTGACTCTCTTCCCTGGTGATGGTATCGGTCCGGAAGTCTCGGGTGCCGTGCAGGAGATTTACAAGGCTGCCAACGTCCCGATCAAGTGGGAGGAGGCTGATGTGACGCCGACCATCAACAGTTTTGGCAAGCAGGTGATCCCTGAGGAGACAATCAAGTCGGTGCGCAAGAATACTGTGGCTCTGAAGGGCCCCCTGGCTACGCCGATCGGCAAGGGCCACGTCTCGCTAAACCTGACGCTGCGTCGTACCTTCAACCTATTCGCCAACGTGCGTCCCTGTGTGTCTGTGGAGGGCTTCAAGACCCCGTACGACAACGTGAACACCGTGTTGATCCGTGAGAACACCGAGGGTGAGTACTCGGGTATCGAGCACGAGGTCGTCGACGGTGTTGTTCAGAGTATCAAGCTGATCACCTACGAAGCGTCGGAGCGTGTGGCCCGCTACGCCTTCTACCACGCCCAGCAGAATGGCCGCTCGCGTGTGACCGCCGTGCACAAGGCGCCTATCATGAAGATGTCGGACGGTATGTTCCTGACCGCGTGCCGCAATGTCGCGAAGGACTTCCCTGACATTGAATACGACGAGGACCTGCTTGATCGCGCTTGCCTGCGCATTGTGCAGGACCCAACGCCGTACTCGGACCGCGTCATGGTCATGCCCAACCTGTACGGTGACATTCTCTCGGACATGTGCGCCGGTCTCATTGGTGGTCTCGGTCTGACGCCCTCGGGTAACATTGGCCGTGATGCCTCGATCTTCGAGGCTGTCCACGGCTCCGCGCCAGACATTGCTGGCCAGGACAAAGCCAACCCCACCGCGCTGCTTCTCTCGTCGCTGATGATGCTTCGTCACATGAACTTGTTCGAGTACGCGGACAAGATCGAGAAGGCTATCTTTGCCACGATTGCCGCCGGCGAGCGGACGGGTGACCTGGGTGGTAAGCTTGGTACCAAGGCCTTCACGGAGCGCATCATTTCGCGTCTGTAAGCAAGAATGCCATCGTAGCTACGGCAGGAAAGCATGTCACGAGAACCATTGGTGATCTATAGGGTATCGTTTTTTTGGTTGGTCATATCTCTGCGTCCCTGCCGCGCCATGACCGGCTAGGCCGTTGTCAAGGGACGCATCGCCATTGGCTTGGCGGGAGAGGGTGTGGCCTGTCTAGTACGTTGCTACGTTGCTGCTTCGTGTTCACGTAACTCTTTTGGTTCTGTTCTGCCTTGGGTATGACATTGTCCTAACTTGGCGTCTGCCAGGGCGGCACACTTTAGTCCATACGATCGGGATCGTCCATCGACATATCGCCACGATGACGATCGTCGTCGCGGTCATCATACCTACGGGGCGACGGTGAGCGTGGCGGCGGCGGAGGACGACGGTCATAGTCGTCATCATACCGTGAGCGAGGCGGCGGGCTGCGGGAGCGCATACGAGGCGGCGGACTACCTCGTCGGCGCCAGTCGTCCGAGTCGGGTCCGCGACGGTACCGCGGAGGAGGCGGGGGCCGATCACGGTCATCGCGCCGCGAGACCCAGCTGCCACTGGGACGGTCATAGTCATCATAGCGACTCCGTGGAGGACGGTCACGGTAGTCGCGGCCATAATCACGATCACGGTAGTCACGATCACGATCGCGGCCATAGCCGTACCCACGACCATCGCGACCGCCGCCGCGACGCGGTGGGTAGCGGTCATCAGCGGGGCGTGGGTTGCCGCGGTACTCACCAGGCGTCGGATCGTGTGCGCGTGTCGTGCTGGAGTAGTCTACACGGATCCGACGGCCCTGCAGCTCCGCATTGTTCAGCTGCTTGATCGCCTCGGTCGCCGCTTCCACATCCTTCATCGTAATAAACCCGAAACCACGCGAGCGTCCCGTGCGTGCATCGTAGACAATGACGACCTTTTCCACTTCGCCGACCCGGCCAAACTCGTCTTCCAAGTCACGCTCTGTCGTACGAATACTCAGACCAAACGCACCCAAAATGTTGGAGGGCGCAGGTGAGGGACGCGAGCTGGGGTCCGATCGCGGCTCCGAGGGCGGAGGACGGTCGTCACGGCGGCGGTCATAGTCATCGTATCGACGCGGAGGGCGGTCGTAGCCATCACGAGGGCCACGGCGGTCGCGGTCGCGGTCCCGCATACGGTCGCGTGGGGGAGGACGCCGACGGTCCGAGCCGCGGTCACGCTCACGCTCACGGTCCTGCTCATGATCATCAGCGCGCTGTTCATGGTCACGCGCATCGCGGCGGTCAAAGTCATCGTTCTCCGCATTTTGCCACGCCCGCTCGGCGGGCACATCGTCCTCCATGGGCGGCTTGGGGCCTGTAGAGTTCGTACATGTCATCCATGTATGCGTACGTACCGTCGTCCTCAATCATCTCTCTGCCAGTCTCGATGGGACTGGCCATCGTGTCTTCGATATCTGTCTAGATGCAGTGTAAGACCCTGTCTCCCCGCTGACGCGGCCTTCGCATAGTACGTACCATCGATCGCAGTCCACTCACAGACCGAGGTGGTGGAGCAGATCCGAGTTGGTTGGCCGGTTTGTGGCTCGCTCGCGTGGGCGCGCAGCTGTGGGCCGTGCCTTGCTGAGTCTTGCGCGCGTGGTCGACCGTTCTCTCACGTGGCGTACCTTTTACAATGGAAGCGTGTACAGTACGTGGACCCCCACTGCATCACGTGAGGAACTATAGTTTTTGGTGTGCAACATGGCCTAGTAGGCCTGGGAAAAACAGGGATTCGGAGCGTGGGCTTCCTAGCGAGGGCTAGGGGCCGCGCACGCAGCGACACTTTCTTCAATCCATCCCACGAGCTATCTACGATGGTATGTATGAAGCAATGCCCATCGGGGCTGGACAGGATACTAACGGTGCCGCCAGGGTGTTGACATCAAGAAGCACCACGTCAAAAATGGTCGCCGCACGGCGCCCAAGAGCGAGGACCCGTACCTGCTCCTGCTGGTGAAGCTCTACCGCTTTTTGGCGCGCCGTACGGACTCGCGCTTCAACAAGGTGATCCTTCGTCGCCTGTTCATGTCGAAGATCAACCGCCCGCCGGTGTCGGTCTCGCGCGTGATGTACCTGTCGCGCAACCAGGGTGGTGTGGCCAAGGACGATGCCGCTACCCCGAAGACCGTGGTCGTCGTCGGCACCATCACCGACGACAACCGTGTGCTTGACCTCCCCAAGCTCAGCATTGCTGCGCTCCGCTTCACTAACACTGCTCGTGCTCGCATTGAGGCTGCTGGTGGTGAGTGCCTGACGCTTGACCAGCTCGCCATGCGTGCCCCGACCGGCAGCAACACGATCCTCCTCCGTGGCCCGAAGAACAGCCGCGAGGCCGTGAAGCACTTTGGCTTTGGTCCTCACAGGCACAAGAAGCCGTTCGTCCGCTCGAAGGGCCGCAAGTTCGAGAGGGCTCGTGGTCGCAGAAAGTCGCGTGCTTTCCGCGTGTAAAACGCATGATGACACAGTGGTGGCCCTCGTGGCTACGACTTACATAGCTGTAGATGCTGGCTTGGCGCATGCCACGGTTGTGATGGTCTAAGCCCATCTGCCCAAAATGAGCGTTTACATCGAGTAGGAATATACGCTTTGAACGCGATTTGTTGGAGAGGCCTTGTTTCGTGCCCCGCCTCGGGGCTTGGTACGAACGAGGCCCGCGCCGCGATCTACATGGGATAAAGCAGGTATGGCTAGCTAGCTAGCTAACTAGAGAAGGTAGAGGCATACGCTATCGCCGTACGCCTGCATGCACGTAAATCTACGAGACGGAGAAGCACGGCGAGGAAATAAAGGTCGTGGGTATGTAGGATGTTTTTAATCGTCCGCTGCCAGCACAGCATGTTCATGCGCCTTCTTCTCCCCACCGACTCTTCCCTGCTCGGACGCAGGGGGTGGCTTATGAATCCGTCTTCGACTCTGCCTTGACATCAGACGAAACCTTGGCCGACTCATTGGTGTCTGACGCACCACCCATGCCCCCTGTCGACGCGCCAAACAAGCCCGTGGAACTCGAGTTGGTCGCTTGACCACCATCAAAGTCAAAGTCAAAAATGTCTGACACACCAAACATGGCAGAAAAGTCGTCTGTGCCACTCATACCTGTACCGCTGGTCGGCAATGTATTTCCATCCGACGGCATGGCCAGGCCTGAGGTAACATCATCCATCATGGATGGCATATCCATCATAGACTGCGACTGCTTGTTATGCGACCCTTGCACAACACTATCGCTCTTGGAGCTCGTGTCCCACTCCATGTTGTCGTCCCGCAGAGATGTATCATCCTGTGCATCTCCCTCGGCCGGCGTCCGATGCTGCATGAGGGGCGTCTTAGTCGAGCTTGATCGTCCCTTTTTGGGACGTTCCTTTTTCCCTTGCGTACCTGATGGCGAGTCCACCGTGGACGATTGCCAGGGACTCATGGTACCGGGGGCCTGATTGGTCCCTGAGCGCGCTAAGCTCATACGCTTGGCATTCGATGCCGATTGTGGTGTTGCATGGGATGTGACAGGCGTCGTAGGCGCCGTCATACTACCGCGGCCCAGCGCTGGGTTCATCATCATTGTATGGGGTCCCTGTGATGACATTCCCGCAGGCGTTTGCGGTATGCCCGTCGTACCTTGCGTCTGCATACGCCGTTGTTGTTGTTGCTGTTGCTGTTGCTGTTGTTGCTGCTGCTGCTGCAACGACAGCGACGACGTAGCGGTCAGGCCCTGCGAAAAGTACGGTGGCAGACCGTTAGACCCTCCAGCTGAAGCCATGTCCATAGTCGTACCGGCTTGGCCAGGCTGCGATGACAAGCCAAACATGCCATTGACTTTTTGCTGCAGCTGGTGCTGGCCCATCATGGTAGCCGCATTCAGTGCGTTTTGATCGTTTTGTGTTTGGGCCTGGGCCTGGGCCTGTTGCATCTGCTGCAAGGCGGCCGCATTCGCTTGGCCATCACCGCTGAAGGGTTGGCTCCCTTGCGATGGATCACTTTGCAGAAGGGATACAATCGATTGAGCTTTGGCCTGTAGCTGCTGTGCCGTTGCGAGGAACTGCTGTGCCATCGCAGGTACCGGCGCATTCTGTGCCTTCACCCATTCATTCTTTACTGCTGTTTGCAGCGATTGGTACTGCATCAACAGCATTTGCCGCTGCTGCGGCGTAAGCCGCGTCGGCGTCCCTACGCCACCAAATGCACCGCCTGCATTGTTCGTGGGCATAGTGGACCCTGGCTGCCCATCTGCACGTCCAAAGCGCTGCGCAAGGGATGGATCATTGGTACCTTTGGCCTGCTCTGTACCTACACCTGGCATTTTTCCCGCTGGGAGTTGCGGGGTAGGCGTCATACGCTGAGGCTGTCGATTGAACATCGCTTGGAAGGTTGCGGGTGATGGCGGCGCCTTGCCTTGGGCGGCCGCCTGCTGCTGCATTTGCAAGAGCTGCTGCTGCTGTTGCTGCTGCTGCTGTTGTGTCGTGCCCTGTTGTCCCATACCAGGGGTAGCTGAAGGCATACCTTGCAGTCCGGGGTTGGTCGCGTTCGACGGCTGCTGCTGTTGCTGCTGCATCAACATTCGCGCTTGCATCTGCGGGTCATTGGGTCGATTGACTTGCTGGCCCAAGGCTCCCATCGTCGGCACAATCGTGTTCAGCAGCGCCAAACGTGCGGCAGGCGACATATTCTTCAGTTCCTCCATAGGAATGCCCTGCCGCAATGCGGCTGTCATGAGCACCTGCTGTTGCTGCTGTGGCGAGAGCGCAGCAAAATTGAAGCCCTGGCCCATCTGCGCACGTGCCAAGGCCTGTTGCATCTGCATCTGCATTTGCATCTGCTGCATTTGCAACTGTTGTTGCTGTTGCTGCTGCGCTGTCATATTGATCGGGGAACCAGCCATGTCTGCTTGCGCATTACCACCCTGTTTAGACTGCATCTGCATTTGCAGCTGCTGCATCTGTGTCAGTGGAGCGGTGGTTATACCACCATTGCCTTGCAATGGCAGTGACTGGGCTCGCATTTGAGGCGTGCTCTGCATTGCCGAGGCACCGAGCATCATGCTATTCGGCGCTGATGACATGGAGGTCTGTGCTTGTGACGTCGCTTGCGATACAGAGGGAGCAGTCGCGCCAACTGTGGCATTTCCGCTATTCGAAGGATTCGCTCCTAGCGTGCCTGCCGTCGGCGCAGCCAACGTCAGTGATGGCGATGCAGGAGGCTCCGAATGCGAAATTCGCGACTGTGCGGCGCCCGACTTGGACGCAACCGCAGGGGAAATCGGTGCTGCGGGTGCCAATCCGGCCTTGGTGGAGGGCGATCCCGCTAGGAGCAGAGCAGAGGTGGTGCCCCCCCCGGCCAGTGGCAAGTCCAATAAAGCGCCAGGGCCACCTGCTGTGGCTGCACCAGGCATGGTCACAGAGGCGGTTGGATCCGAAAACAGCTGCTCAGTAAACGGCTTTGTCTTTGCCTCGACCACCGCCTGTTGGCGCTTGTGCTCCAAGAATTGCTGGTACAGAGTCGCTTCTTTCGTACTTCGCCCTGCACGCGCACTAAACATATCCCAAAACACATTCCAATACTCGTACAACAGGCCACGAGGCAGATGGATGGGTACCGTTGGGTTCTCTGGTAGTTTGGCTTCTTCAATCAGCATTGCTGCTGTCTTGTCCATATTCCGCATTTGCAGATACTCCCATACATAGAGGTCCAAATTGCCTGCATTCTCGTTCTTCTCAATCTCCATGTAGATCTTGCCATCGGACGGCGGATGGGCCGTGCTAGCCTCGCTTGATGTCACAGTCTTTTCGGCCTGGCTCGACTTGTCCTCCGCCCGTGCACGCTTATCACGGTTGGATGACTCGTCCATGGGGGACGTAGGTCGCTTGCGCGACTCTGTCGAGGTGCTGTCGCCCGGCTGGGAGGCTGGCTGCTCTGTGTCAGTCCTGGGTATGGAAGTATCTGGGGCTCCGGTCATAGACGTATCTGCCACGGCTTCCTCATTTTTGGCATGCACACCCATCGTTTCCGATTTCGATGCAGAGCTGGTAGTGACCTCTACCTCTGGCATAGATGCACCTGCTGTGCGGCTTGTTTCTTCAACCTGAGGGTCCTTTGACGATCCTAACGCAGCCGTCTGATCAGTTTCTGCTCCACTCATACGAATTCAAGACCTGATCTAGGCAGCGAAGAGTATCTAGGGAACGTACGCACAACTCGTGAGTGTAGCTCGGCGAGAACGACTTGACCCAAGAGATAAAGTTTCTCTAGACAATAATAGAAATACACAAGGGTCACAAACCTTAGGTGGAAGGCCCGTACTTGCTTTTACGGCCTGCTCGGTGATACAGCCACGTAGGTAAGGCAGAGCACAAACGTGCTTTGCTGGACTCTGACAGGTAAAACGTGCACGCAAAAATACGTGTGAGTGTGGTAAAGCCTCTCCCGTGGAGCACTCGACGCGTTCGACTTCACAGATAGGCTATTTTGGTAATTAATATGAATAGACTCGCATCTCGCCCCAACACCCTGCCTTTCCTGACCTAGGGAGGCGGAAAGGCGGGCCTATGTGTGTCCTTCCGTCTATGGCCCTATCTATAGTCACCGTGCTACTATATCGTACCTCCAAGTTACTGAGAAGCCCCTTCCATACATAGCCTTCCTTCCTTCTGCCGATCCTGTTTGATGAGATGAAGCCATCGTGATCCATTCGACACGTGATGTATACACGTGGCGTTTGTGACATGAACACCGCCAGCCAGGTCGTTGTTCGCTAGATTGCTAGGTCCGTCCACGCGTTTACCATGGCGAGCGTCGTTGCGATTCTGGATGTCAAGGGCAAGCCTCTCATTCAGAGATCGTACCGCGATGATGTAGACATTTCGGCGCTGGAAAGGTTTTTCCCCCTCCTCACAGAAATTGAAGAAGAACAAGGTGCTGGAGCTATCCGCCCGTGTTTAAGCTCTCAGGGTGTGAATTATATGCATGTCCGGCATAACAACTTGTATTGTACGTATTTGATGCACTCATTGTGTCTCAGTATTAGCTCTCTCGCGTCGCAACAGCAATGCTGCCGAGATTCTTCTTTTCTTGCACAAGCTGGCGGCTGTGCTTGAGGAATACTTCAAGCAACTCGAGGAAGAGTCCATTCGGGACAACTTCGTGATCATTTATGAACTTCTGGATGAAATGATGGACTTTGGATACCCCCAGACCACAGAGAGTAAAATTTTGCAAGAGTATATTACCCAAGAGTCATACAAACTGGAAGTGCAAGTGCGTCCCCCTATGGCTGTGACCAATGCCGTATCGTGGCGCTCTGAGGGTATCCGATACCGAAAGAATGAAGTATTTTTGGATGTGATTGAGAGTGTGAACCTGCTTGTCAATGCTAATGGTCACGTTGTACGCAGCGAAATTGTCGGTACGATCAAAATGAAGTGCTACCTGTCCGGCATGCCCGAACTCCGCCTGGGTCTCAACGACAAGGTAATGTTTGAGAATATGGGCCGTTCGTCCCGGGGGAAGGCTATTGAGATGGAGGATGTCAAGTTCCACCAGTGTGTACGCCTCTCGCGTTTTGAGAACGACCGCACCATCTCGTTTATTCCCCCGGATGGTGAATTTGAGCTGATGAGCTATCGTCTTAATACGCAGATCAAGCCTCTTATTTGGGCAGAGGCAGTGGTAGAGCGTCATGAAGGCAGTCGTATTGAGTTCATGGTGAAAGTGAAGGCACAATTTAAGCGCCGTTCGACTGCAAACAACGTGGAGATTTTGATCAATGTACCTGAAGATGCTGACTCGCCCAAATTCCGTGCTGCCATTGGTTCTGTGACCTATGCGCCTGAACTCTCAGCAATGGTGTGGAAGATTAAGCAGCTGGGTGGTGGTAAAGAGTATCTGATGCGGGCTCATTTCGGTTTGCCAAGTGTCCGTGATGAGGAAAGCATCGTTCGCCGTACGCCTATTAACGTCAAGTTCGAAATACCCTACTTTACCGTTTCGGGCATTCAAGTACGATATCTAAAGATCGTGGAGAAATCTGGGTATCAAGCACTACGTACGTATACGGAAAGCATACTAACATCTTAGCGTGGGTCCGCTATATTACACAGAATGGAGAGTACGATCTCCGTACGCAGAGCGAAAAGAGCTCGTCCCACTTAGCTCACTTTACATCATAGTCATGTACTCATGCTATGCTTGCACATTACCTTCTTGGCACTGGCTGATATTCAAACACCAAACCATAATGGTACAAAGATACACTCTCGCTTGAGATGTGCACGAAACCACACGCCTGGACTACCTTGATGGTCTCCTCGGCGGACATGCGAAGGTCCGGATGTGGCCCACGCGGTTTCCCTAGTACTTGGCATTCTTCACGAGGGCGTACGTGCCATCCTACAATGGCCAAGTAGCCCCCTGTTTTGAGCAAAGCGGCGCAACTTTGGACTAGCGCAGCCCGGTCTGGTGCGCCATGCAAGGTATTGGCTAGCAGGATATAATCCAACGGTTCAGGTACATAGTGTGACGCGTCCATGGCATCGCCCACGATGCATTGCACATGGCCAATAGAGGCAACCCGCTGTTCCGTAGCTTGGACAAGCGCAGGCACGGCGTCCAGGGCGTATACACGTTGTGCTATTTGGGCTATGGGCTTGGTAAACCAGCCATCGCCGCAGCCCAAGTCGAGCGCCACCATCCCTGGCTTCAAGCCCAATTTCGCTACGACACCTGCTGGATCTGACCATAACGTTTGCCACCAATCTGGGTCGGGCATACTCGTGCCATGGTACACCACTGGCGCTTTTTCCGACATGGCGGAGAACAGCTGCTTGGTATCTTCCAATGAACTGCCAACTACCCCACGAAAGCTTGGCAGTCTCACCACGTTTTGGCGCGCCCATGTGTACCGTGCGCAAACTTGGCTTCCATTAGGCTTCTTTCTCCGAGGGCACGTGGAGGTATTGCAAACTTGTCCGATTCCGTCAAAGGAAATTCCTGCTGATTGGTTTGGAAAGGCTAATTCAGCCAAACATAGACTATGTTGTGAGACAAGACTTGGTAGCCAAATATTGAAGTTTCGTTGGGTTTATTCGCGGCTGCGGAGAGTAATTCATGGCTTGGAGCGTTTAACCGCCGACCAGGGCCGGTTTTTATCGTTCCTACGTCTTGGTCTTCGCGAAGCACTCCCTTTCTTGCTTCGTTCAGCCTTTCTTATATCACGTAGTGCGACAAGAGGCTTCGTGCCCGTGTTCCTCTACGTGAAATCTCCTTGATCGTGTCTTCGTCGGAGGCGCCACGCTAGGTTGAAGCTAGCTACTGGCAGACGATCTATTGCATCCGTTCTCCCCTCCCAGCTGTATTCATGTCTCACCACCACCCACCCTTTCTCTCTCACCATGGTGAGGCACCTTCTGCGTTGGCGCCGGCTGTGCCTGCCGACTTAAAACCGGCGGCGCCCATCCAGTTTGCGCCCATCCCCCGGTCCGGCTTAGCCGGCCCCACATCGATCTTAGCCTTACCACTGGTGTCTGACTTGGCGGCCAGCGCGGAGTCTGATGAGACAGATTCTACATGGGGCGTTGACTCCGTATCACACCGGCCCTCGTCCCCGGAGCTCGATACCGACATCAGCCGGACCTCCTCGACCTCTACCAAGGTCTCAGCGGTGGATGTAGGCGCCAAACCGCCCATGCTAGCAGCCGAAGTGGCACCGCCCCTTGCTACCAAGTCTCTAGAGCACTATGAGACGGATAGCGATAAGGATCTCACACCTACGCAGACCCACCCTACCACATTGGGCCAGCTTGACGAGCCCAAGGCGCCTTCTTCTGATCTCGCCCAAGTGGCGCTGAAGCGATTGCATTCCCTGCTAGAATTTGCTGACACGGAGCAGAACTATGTGTCCGATCTCGACATACTTATCCGGGTGTATTTCCGGCAGTTGCGAACTGTCCCCTACTTTGCCGAGATGCCTTCTCGCTACGCCACAGTGGCGCGCAATGCCCCTGAGCTGCTCTCACTACATACCGAATTGTCGCATCGGCTCACTCTGGTCATCGAGCGATACGAGCTCCGTGGCGAGGCGGGCGAGCCTGCTGAGGCCGAAGTGGAACGTGCGCTGCGGCTGGATGTGCCGCAGGCTGTCGTGGCCATGGCGCAGGCGTTTATTGACCTTGCTTCCCATTTCGAAGTGTACTATGAATTCTGTGCGAAGCACAAAGAGGCACTGGCCTTGATCAGTGCTGCGGAGACGCGCTCTGAATGGGAAGCGTTCCAAGCTGCCGCGGCTGGGATGGCGCGTCGCTCTCGCCAGACGAGTGAGGCTCGTACGTCGCCGGTGGACACGTCGGTGACTTCGACGAGGCAGCGGCTGCTTTTCCGCGACTTTTTCATCAAGCCGATTCAGCGTGTGTGTCTGTACCCTATATTACTTCAAAACCTGCTCAAGTATGCGCCGCCCGCTGGCGTGCCTGTAATGAACGAAGCGATTCTGTGCATGCGTCGTGTGCTTGTGGAGGTCGACGATGCGAGTGCGAAGCGTGCCTCTGCGCAGCTCACGGAGACGATTGTATCTCGTGTTGAACCGAGTTTGGACCTCCCTTCGTCGCTCCTGCCTTCGCTAGGCGAATGTAAAATGGCTGGCAATCTGGATGTGCTATACCACCACGCCACAAAGGCGCCCCTCACTATCCCGCTGGCGTTCAAGTACTATGGCTGCTTTTTGTACAAGGACTTTTTCATCATGGTCAAGGTGCGCAAGAACCACATGTATTCGCCCCGCTTTTGGTTCCCCCTCGCAGAGGTAACGATTGCGCGGGGTGATGATGGGCGTGTGTGTCTTCCTCAGTCGTTCCGGCTCAGTGTGCGTGGCCACCACTTTGAGATGGTCGCGTCTACAGAAAAGGAACGTGTGATTTGGCTGCATGCGCTTGATACCGTCATGGCCGCAGGACCCGCTCGTACGCGTCGCTTGAACGGCATGGAGCTGCCTTTCCCATGCAATATGACGGCTGATACGACACCGTCGGCTGCGCAAGCGAAGGAGCAGGCGGAGCGCGTTGATCCGCTGGCACTCTACCTCAATGCGTTGTCCTTCTCGGAAGCGGATCCCGCCCGCGCGGGGATGCCTACGACCGTGGGGTCGCCCACGGAAGTCTTACTGCGTCACAAGACACCATTACGCCGCGCGGCCAAGGACCGCGGTATGGTGTTTTCTGACGCGTGCATTTCTGCCCGTTCGTCGCTGGATGGCGACTGGGCACGTTCGCATGGCACAATGGTGGGGTCTGTCACGTCGCGGGTGGGTTTGCATCGTCTGAGCGGTAGTGAAACGTTTTCGCTGAAGCTGTCGACCGGCGATGTGACGCCTGCCGAGACGGGGCCGGCCTCCTCGTCCTCCACACATACAGAGAGCGACGAGCCGCAGGGCTTGCGTACCTCAGCGAGCACCCAGGCCCTTTTGCCGACGCACGATGCCTCGACGACGCCGTCCTACCGTCCTTCCAAGACGGCTCTCACGCCGAAGCGGTCCTTTGATACGGACCTGCGACAGTCTGGTAGTGCCACGGCACGATCGACGTCCACGGAGCCTTCTCTTTCCTCGTCGCGATCTTCCCTGAGTCTTGCACGACCACGAGCCTTGGTCTCCCGCAAGCTGGGCTGGCTCTCTCCTACGACTACACGCCCACCTGTCTCGCCTGAAGAGCTCTCCTCTGCCCTTTCTGATGTAATGGCCCAAACACCGAAACCGTCGTTGCTACGGCACAGCGCTTCCATGACGTGGAGCCCTATTTCGTCCCTGTCTACACGCGTGCGTCGCTCATCGATGGATGCCATCGTGTACCCACTCCGCTCCGGTTCAGTGACGCCTTCCGAGTTCTCGTTATCCACGTCTTCCTCCTCTCACCCTACCCCTACTATGTCGATGTCTGCATCAGACACAGTGTCTTCGCCTACCGAATCACGACCTTCTAGTCCTCGCCGTCGTTCGGCTCTTCGCTTCTTGCAACGAAACAGACTATCGACTATGGATCATGCGCCCTGATTGTATTGTAGCCCTATTACATAATGAAATGTTTGTTATGATGATCCTTCGTGCGGCGCTGTGTGCCACGCTGCCAACGCGGCGACACAAGCATCTGGGACAGCTTGTATGCTAGCAAAGGCGTAGCCTAGGCGCGTCAGATGGTCTACCACACATCGCTGAAACGTCGCGTCTTGCAGCAAGGCACCGCCGAGCCGCACATTTATGTCTTCGGCACGCGCGTACGTCGTTGCGTCAGCGATTTGTTTCGCTAGCTGATACGCTTGCGCGTCGACCAAGGCCCATGCCAATGGATCCCCCTCGCGGGCGAGACCTGTGACACAAGGCGCGACGGACGCCACGCGTGTTTTGGCTTCCGGCCCCGTGTAGACCCAACTTAGTATATCGTCCATCGTCGACAGGGTGACGAGGTCCGCCACGCGTTCTTGCAGACGGGACGTCTCCGCCGCAGGACGTTGAAGAATGGCACGCAGCGCGGCGCGTCCAAGACAGTAGGCACTTCCTTCATCGCCCAAAATCCATCCAAGGCCACCGATACGTCCATGTAGCTGACCATTCTTGTCAAACGCAAGCACAATACTCCCTGTGCCAGCAATGGCTACCACGCTAGGACGTCCTTCATGAGGGCACAATAGCGCGGCATCATTGGTGATACGCAAACATGGCGGATCAAAGAGATGCATACGTACAAGGTGCCGTGCTTTTTCTTTATTCTCCGGGGTATCTAGACCAGCCGAACCGACCCATACGCGGCCCCACGTCCCCACCGCGAAGGGTATCTGCTGTTTGGCTTTGTGCACAGCCTCTTGCACGACAGTCACCCATTGCTCGGCGGACATCGCATGGAAATTCCCAGGACCAGCTTGGCCATAGGCACAAAGCTCGCCATTCTCATTACCGATCACTGCGCGCGTTCTCGTGCCCCCTGCATCGACAATCAACGTCCATGCCATTCCTCTTCTGGAGTGGAGGTCGGACAACGACGTCCGTGCCCATTCTTTTCATTTTTCTACTTACGTAGCATACAAAAAAACAGGGGGCCCCATGGCGATGGATCTGCCGCACCTGGTGCCTTATGATCAGGAAGGGCCAAGTATCCATACTCCGTGGCATCACAAAACTTATGCAGCGACTCGGAACGCAAAATACGCGGCTGGTTCTCCGAGTCTACCGTGTCAAGAAACGAGCGGACAACCTGGTCGTTTTCCACCTGACTGAGCGAACATGTCGCATAGATCAGTCGACCACCTGGTTTCAAGGCTGACCACGCCGTACGCAGCAACGCCAACTGCGTTTTGGCCAGGGACCGCGTCATGGTGGGTTTCCATGCAAGCATTTCAGGGGCCAATGTCCCAGACTGCTGGCTTTTTAGGTAGGCATGCAAGATATGGCGTTCCGATGAGCATGGCGCATCCAGCAAAACACGATCGTATCCTTCTTCACCAAGAGGGAAGAGGTGGACAGCACGAGGCGACGTGCCATCGATACGGAGCACTTCGACACACCCCTGGTCCATGAGCTGGGGCGGCAGATAGCTCTGCAAATTGGACGCCAGACGTCGATTCCGTGCTGGATCAACTTCATTGGAATGCAGCATGGATCGTGGTGACGACGTGGCGCTGGGCTTATCCGCATACATATCTGGCCAGAGGCGTTGCGCTAACGTAATGCTTTTCCCACCCGGCGCAGCACACAGGTCCAGCACCGCATGTCCTGGCTGTACATCTAGGCATTGCGCGGCTACCACTGAGGCTGCATCCAAATTCCAGTGGGTATGTAGCCGCCGCGATGCGTCCGGCGAGGCAGCTGGTCGTGGAGGAGGGAAAGGACGCTCGCCAGGGGCTGTGTTTGTGCGTGTAAGACACAAGACACGCGTGGGTATGAGGCTCGGCGTCGGTTCAGGCGCCTGGGGCAGTCGAAACAGCGCGTAGGAGCCGCTCGAGGCCTCCGCCAGCAGAGCTTGGTCTACCTCCGCGGACGGCGCATAATTGTTAATGAGAGCGGCATACTCGGTCGGCTGCGCCAGACACGCTCGAAGCTTCTGCCACCTCTCTGCCCCATACTCTCCAGCAAAGTGTGAGTCAAATGCATCCGCAGCTGCCTGTTGTTGCTTTCGCTTCGCTTTGGAAATGGGCGCCATCGTGAAGCAACGTCCGAAAAGGCTACGCAGACGCGTCGCCTCCACGTGCGTGGAAGACACGCAGGCGGCCTCCACGAGTCATACATGCATGCATTCATTGTCTTTCGATCGAACCACTGCGACCATGACCCCTACAGCGAACGGCAATGAACGCCCGGAAGTCCTGCTCTTAGGCTTCGGTGGCGTGGGCGTCATTTACTCATACATTCTTCAGAAGGGCGGTGCCAACGTCACGGCTGTATGCCGCAGTAATTACGAGACCGTGCGCGAGAATGGTATCGATATCTTCTCTGATAAGTTTGGTGAGCACCGTGGCTGGCGGCCTACACGCGTCGCCCGGTCTCCTGAGGAGGTGGCTTCGATTTCCTTTGACTGTTCGTACCGAGTATACCTACTACTAACGCGCTAGATATTGTGTGCTGCTTCAAATGCGTTCCTGATGTGAAGCCGAACAGTGAGGTGATGCGTCCCTTCCTGGAGATGAACAAGCGCAACAACCCAGCGCGTCTCCCCATGGTTGTTCTTATTCAAAATGGCGTGGACATCGAAGAGGAAGCGCACCAAGCGTTGGTGCAGGCTAGTGATCCTCTCGCTAGCTGCATTGTCAGTGCCGTCTCGTGGATTGCCGTCACGCTGCTCGGGCAAGGTACTCGCATCGAGCACGGTCTGATGGAATCTCTCACGGTGGGTCTGTATCCCAGCCCACTAGACAACCCTGTGCCCGCGCCGCTGGCCGAGAGTCTTCGTACATTTGTCACTCTCGCCGAAAATGGTGGGGGTGACATCCTGGCCACCAATGACATCGAATCCAAGCGATGGCACAAGATCATGTGGAATATCAGCTGGGGCGGCGTATGTCTCATGTCTCGTCGTCCTGTGCAGGAGCTGCTCCAGGCAGAGACGATGCCGTATACACTGGGTGTCGTGCGTGGTATCATGCTGGAGATGATCGGCATTGTGCGTGCCTCTGGGATTGGCGAGGAACGCGTATCGGTGTCCTTGATTGACCAAGTCGTGGGTATGACGATGAGTGCTACACGTGCCAAGATTCGTGTGCGACGCTCGCCAGATGTGTTCCTTGAGCGCCATACGAAGTCTTATGCCCGACCAGACTTTAAGCCGAGTATCCTCGTCGATCTGGAAAATGGGCGGCCTATGGAGCTGGAGCCCATTTTTCTCAACATGATTCGCCGCGCTCGGCGTCTTGGGGTGGATACACCGCGCTTGGATCTGATTGCTGCGGCCGCGAAGCCGATTCAGCTGGAGTTGGTACGGAAGCAACGTGGCGAAGATCATGCTGCCTTGATTTTAGATGAAGAGGCCATTTATGATGCGAATCCGAACGAAAATTTCACGGGCTGCGCACCTACATTGTCTTCATAGGCTCCATACATGGCATACAGGAGGGTTGGTTTGTTCTGCTTTTGTGCGTGCGTTGTTCAAGTGGAGGTTTGTCCTACCGACCGCTGCGACGTTCGACGTGCGTTGCCACTGCCAACGACGATGGCGCGCCGCTCTCTAGTTGACTACTTCCATCGCTTCACTGTCCTAGGCCTCGTTGGGCTTGCTGTATGTACAGAAGCATACTGACAATACAGGGATGGGGTCTCTGGCTTACAGGTGCTGTCTATGTGAGCCGTATCGGTACCACGGAACGCGTACGTATGCTCTTCTTTACTTATCGCTAGATTCCGTACGGCAACCCTGAGCGTGAGACAATGACACAGGCGGTATGTACCTCTGCACTTGCTTACCATATAGACCGAGCGCATCATTTCCACATGGAAGGAGTTTACCAAGCGCCAGCAGGAGAAGAAGGCCGACGAGGCGAAGCAGGTGTAAGGCAGGCCGCTCTGGCCTGTGGGCTGAACGGTAGTCAAGCAAGTGCTTTTTGATCTCGATTCTTCGATTCAACGCAGCTCCTCTACTATCAGTGGACGTGCGTTTTTCTACTCGTATGCGATGATATATATCATTAGGTTCATAGTCTCTATCTTTACATTATATACGATCGCGTTCGTCAGATGAATTCTTACAAAGAACCGGGCATTCGCCCTGCAATGCATCAGCACTGTACAGCTGATCCGTATGATAAATGTGAGGTCGTCGTTCTGCCGTGACACTTTGCAATGGTGGCAAAGCATTCGCATAAGAAGCAGGTATGTAAGGCCGTGAAAATGTTTTGTGTCGTGATCTGAGGGTATCATTCGAAGAGACACCGACTGGGAGAATAGGGGTTGTCAGTAAGTGCTGCTCCATTTCTGCTTGGAGCTCCAATTGCAGACGATCCAACTTCTCACGTAGTTCGTTGCTCTTTACATGAGGCGAAGGCGTATCTTGCAATTCAGAGCCTGTGGTGCTCACACTGGATAGAAGCGACGGGGGGCTCATGGAGACATCCGCGGCCGTGTTGCTGGGGGGTGGTACAGGGTTAGGACGTACATCGGGTATCAAGGCGGGCATGAGCGTCGTGGGCGGTGAGCGGTGGAGATCCATACGCTGAGGACGAGTAGGTGCACCTTGGATCCATGGGCGACAGTGAGGCGCAGGCGACATCTGTCGACGTTGCACAGCCTTCGTCCCTTGTTGCAAGACAGTGGTTAGCTCTTGTTCAGAGCCAAGGGTCTCTCCATGCAGTGGCTGGCTTGACGGTACGGCAGGTAGTGGTGAATATGCGTGTTTCTCCGATCCAGGTGCGGAGGCTGTGCGGCGATGCCTAGGGGAGAGAAAGTACGATTTGAAGCTCCGGCTGCGCGATAGAGATTGTGAGCCTTCCGTCTTTTTCTCCTCTTCCCACCCTGGTGTAGGTGGTGATGCAGGACCTCCTGCATGTCGAATACGACGCGTTTCCATCCATGGAGATGATGGGAGCCTCGTCGAGGATTGTGGTGTGACCCAAGCCGCCTTTTGCAGCAGCGATTTGCTGCTACTCTGATCCGTCCCAGGCGTCTTGGAATAAAATGGGGACATATTTGGCGATTTATGGGCTGGGCGTCGTGATACGCTAAATGCACGACGGTGCAATGAATCTGCATGGTAAGGAGACAACGTCGATAGATACATACTCTCAATTTCTGACACTTGTAGTGTATCAGAGTTCGATGCGGGGATAAACGTATCATAGTACGAGGGTGAATCTGTCATCAACGTATCAATATTCGTCCGTTGCGATGGCGCTAAGGGCCTGGTACCCCCGCCAGTGCCAGTCCGTTTCCCAGAGGTCGGTGTTGTCGGAAATGGCTTGCTCGTCTTCTTTGGCGAGTTCGCATCACGCGGATACCCAAATACGGGGCTCATTTGTGCACTGAAACTCTTCTTTTGTCTGTCATCTCCCTGCAGACTGTGCGTATGACCAGACATAGCCCGTGATGGTCAACGGAGAGTGGCGGCGTTAGTATCGGGCTGAGCCTCCCATGCGCAACAGGCCTCCACACTTTAAACTGGTGTTGAGCGTCGCGCAACGAGTCTCCTTCAGCCAGTCAAACCCTCATCACGCTAAATTGTGGAGGCGTACCTCTTCACCGTGCACTATGCCTCCCACGGCGGGGGTGTATGTATCATTGGTGCGTCATGCCCCTATCCCGAGCCTACATGGTGGCGCACAGTGGACTCTAGACAAAGAAGTGGCGCAAGATCAGAATACCGCCACTGCTGTCCAAGTACGTATGACCTTTGTACTCATAGTAGTCTACCTATGCTGCCTTGGGCTCCCTCTTATCGCGCAACCAGATTTCCGCTGTGTACACAGCACCAGATCCAGAGTCCGTGCATACAGGCACATTGATTTTACATGTACGTAAACGATGTATTGACTTCAGGATCCACCGACATATGGCCGTGTCACGCCCGTGAGCTCCCCCCTACTTCTCCATACCCCACTCTCGTCGTCATCCATGCAGGATTTGCATGAGTACCAAGATTTGTTTCAACAAATTTGGCAACGGTTGAAGGCAGCACCAGAGACACAGCCAGATGATCTCGATGTCCGCGCGATGGCGGCCTTGGCTGTGCTGATTTTACCATGGCTTCACACTCCCTCCTCGCAACCATTGCACGTGGTCTTGGTAACGGCAGGCGTCTTGGCCGATCGACTTCTCCACTGCCTCTTTCATTTGCATGGGTCTAATCCGTCTGTACTGCGCCCCATGTCAGAACGACCTGTGTCTATGCCTGCGGCACCTCTACAACCAGGTGCCTTTCATCAAGTCCATTTGACTTTGTCTCATCCGGAGGCAGGAGGGGACCGGCTGCATGTACACGTCTGTGCCCTGAGCGAATCATCTCACCTATTGTCTACACCACACATTGTACCAATGGAAATCGCTACTCCTGCTGCCTCGCGGCCCACTGCAAGTGTCTTTGCCCCCTATGCTGCGGATACTACCAATAGTCCGACGGCGCTTCCCCCCATCTCGATGAATTCATTTACAGGGTCATCACCGTCCAAGGAAGTGCTACAGACCCGTCCAGAATCTGTCAGGCCCTCTTCTCTGTCTTCCAGTCCTTTGCGTATGCGCCCAGTAGAGGGCATCATGTCTTTTCCTGGGCTGCATTCCAATCGTGACAGCCTTTCTCGCTCTTCTAGCGCAACAATCTCTTCAAAAAACGTACAGAATTACGATATGTCCACCATGTTTCGGTCTATCGAAAAATGGGACCCTGAAGCGGAGTTGCCGAATGCTGCAGACCTGCAAGAAAGTATCTCTTCGCCTCTGGCTCTGTCATCTCGGTTCCAAGACCTTCCCACGACACTAAACTCGGGCAAGTCACCGTCAATCCTTGGATTTTCCGCCCCCTCTCCTTATCTCAGAAATGAGACTGTATTTTCAGCAACAAGTTCCGTGGCAAACTCTATAAAGAACACGTACAACAACACTTCAGGGTCTGTGTCGACGCTGACATTGAGTAACTCGCCAAGCACATTCAGCAATGTAAGCGCATTCGCTCACAGTTTGCTTAATCATCTGCCTACCAATATACCTCTCAACAACAATCCATCCACGTCCATGGTAGCTCCAGATCCGAGCTCCTTATGGCAGGCTTTGTGCGTACGAATTCTCCCTATATTTTATCAAGATGGAAGACATGCACCTATCGAGACGCTGAGCGACTACATGGATATCTATATCCGGCTCATGTATGAAAAAGACCCTTACCATGCCTATGATACCATTAGTACCAAAGCACGTCAACTTCTATCCACTGGCCTCTCTGGCCTTGGGCTTCAGCTTCAACAGAAAGAAGGCGTCTATTTGGTACTGGAACTGGTTCAAGTATGGAAGCATTATTACGGTACTGTGGTGCCTTATTTACATGCCGCTATGCTTCCTTTAGAGACTAAGCTCCCTGTGCTGGATGAGGTCTACACGAGAGCATTCGAGCGCATGAATTCTCGCGAATCCACAAGTGCGGCCTCTTTATTCACTGCCTCTGAAAGCGAGCCTTACTGTGAGCGTACCTCTCAAAGCTCTACGCCTGTTTTCGAGCCACCTACAGAAGCCACTCATCCTCCATCAAAGCACCCTTCTGCCCATCCCCCGTGGGCATTACGAAGGACTCTGCTACTGGCTTTCCGAGACCAAATTGTATTGCCTATATGCGACTGGCTTCATCTCGTCTCCATGCGTATCGATCATGTGCACATGGAAACAGAGATATCGCAAGAGACCCTACGCTTGTATATCACTCAGCTCTTCAATATATTGGGATCATTGAATACAGATGACTATGCACAAGAACGCATCGAACGATGCCGACGCGGCCTGCTGTCTCCCTCTTCTATGGCCAGGACTCGATCCTCCAGCCGTAATGAATCGATGCAAGGGGCCTCTGCCAATTTATCCCCCGTATCACCATTCCCCAGTTACCTTACGCATAGCACGCCGGGGTCTCCCATGCTCGGGATACATATATAGCCACGATGTACAATATCAATACAGATCTTTAAATTTGGATACGCTGGTAGCGCTGGTTCACACCCAACTGGCATACGCAGAAGAAAATGAATAGAAGGTATACAAATGCGGCACCATAGCATGTCATACCAGCGGCCCAGCCATCCTCAGGGTCTTCCGTTGAACCCATAAACGATTCCCAGTTGTGCGAGAAGCCCCAACCGAAGACTGTCAGGACAAGTACACCTGCAATGGATACAATGGTGCAACATGAGGCTAAAGTATGAGCTAGATCTAGACCACGTCACATACCAAGTCCATTGCCTACCACGGGCCGGGTGGTCATCGACGACATGTTGAGTGTCTCCATAGAGTGTGCACGAGGCGGATAGGGAGCCCGCCAGAGTCACGTGCAACCAGACGGTGGACAGACCCTTCTCTGACAAAGGTCCGAGCGGCATGAAAGGGTCGTCATAGTCGAATCTCTATCTCTTGATTACCACCAAAGCCTATGGGTAGGACAGTGGTATCCACTGGGATTTAAATCTAGATATTCCTGGTGGTAGTCTTCAGCCAGCACACTAATGTAAGCTTCGATACAATACGTACAAGTCCTCTGGCTTGGCCATTTGAATCTGTGTCACGATCCTGGTGCCATGCGGGTTGAAATGCTTCGCTTGAACTTCAGAAGTAACTTTTTGGGCGATATCCGTTTGTTCCTGTGTATGTGGAAACAGGGCGCTGCGATATTGATCACCCATGTCAGGACCTTGGCCACCCACTTGAGTGGGATCATGAGTACGATAAAAGAACTCGACTAGTTCAGCATAGGAGACGCTCGACGGATCAAATTCAATCTGTGCGGCTTCAGCATACCCTGTCGTCCCCGTGCACACCTGTTTGTAGGTGGGCTTGGGAATACTTTTGTTGCCACCGATATAACCAACCTTGGCATTGATCAAGCCCTTACCGCCAAAATGCTTCCTAAACATATGCTCTGTTCCCCAAAAGCATCCATTCGCAAATGTAGCAATTTCTGTCTTCTTCACTGAACTCATGGCTCGGAAAAAGCAGTTAGGTGGAAGCAACATGTAGCGGGGCACAGATGCGTCATCCAACGCTCTCTTCCTCCACATTCGGTCATTAGAATGGACACACAACAGGCACTGTACGTTCGGTCGTTTTCCTGCTAATGTATAGTCCTCTCGGCTTTGCTGCCTGTGTCATTGTGGCTGTTGTAACATGGGTATTCTGGCCTAGGTCTTCCCCGAAGTCAAAGGCTACCGGCGCATATGATCCGAAAACAGGCATTGGCCGCGGTGCTCCAGGCTTTCGTATGTACTCTGCCCCAGCTTATTTTCAGAAACAAACGTAACGCGCGTGGCACTTCCTGCTGAACTGGTTGCTCGTATCAGGGCTGGCGAAGAGGTGAGTGCAGAGGAAATCACCGCAGCCCAAGAGCGCGTTGCCAAGGGCTTGTTGCAACAACCGAAAGAAAATGACTGGCTACCCGCTACGTCATCTGCGCCAAAAAAGAAGAGTAACAAGGCGCGTCGTTCTAAAAAATAAATACAGTTTATAGGTTTTTCAAAATGATAAGGAACAACAACCCAGATACAAGCCCCATGAGCGAATCGATGCATGTTATTACTCGACGATACGTCTTTATTTTAGACTCGTAAACATCGACGAGGCTAAGTCGATGGCCACTCATAGGGGCTGATTGCGTTGTCGTTCGCGTGGTTTGATAGTCTTGCCTAGAATTCAGTTGGTTTTCTGATCCCTCTGTGAAATGAATGGGTATGTTTCCTGGTGTAGATATGCATTCTTCTTTAGCCTGTTCTTGTGAAGCAGGTGTCTTGTTGGCAAGAGGGAAGAATTCGTCTAATTCTTTACGAAGATCTTCGTCACTTTGGGGCTCTGTGCTGAGTTTCTTATCGGATGAAGGTCCCATTGTACTCGGAAGACCTGGCAGTCGGGATTCCAAATCAGGTAGTTCTGCGCGCGTGTTTAATGATACTGACAATAAGTCACTGTTTTTCTTTTGACAATTCGGACAGGCCCATGTTGTAGATCTCATCATTAGTTGTTGATTGGAACTTACTGCATAGCCAATTTTTCACGCTCTTCATCGGTGGTGCTTACAGCTCCATACCCAGACTCATCTGCTTTGGACGACATAAGAGCCTGGACGCCAAGAAGAGCCGTACGTATGCCCCATGCGGGCTGCCAGGATTCCTCGTGAAAACCAGTAAATGTAATGCAAACCTAGGACTGTAAACAGATGTAACAAGCTTACCTTCATATTAGTCTGCCACCGCCCATTTGGTGTTAGGAATACGACATGAGGGGGCTTGAATGGGTATTCACTTGGAAGTAGGATTTTTCCATGGTATAGTCCATATTCGAATGGCGTATTTTGGGGTCCTCGTAGCGTGAAGTGCCATTCGAATAGATTGTCCTGGTGGTTAGATCCCAGACAGACATACCTCAAGGGGGGCTGCTGTATATTCGTCACTGTCATCTCCATGCATTTCTTTTGCTTCTGACAGGATTCTTTTTATAGCCGAGGCATTCTTTTTGTACATAGAGCCCATCCTGATCGATGGCGTTCTTTCAAACACGTCTCGGCGATGGATGCCAGACGCACGTATATTCTCCACTTTTGGGCTAAATATACACATTTCATAAGTATTATTTTGCGCTCTGGCTGAAGCCAGATTTTTAGCTATTACTATCCTCATATCGAGTTTGCCGCATCACTACTTAGGAAGTGTTTCGAGGTCCCAAGGATCTGCATTTTCTACTAGACTCTACCGAGCGCTCTGGGAGTCCATATTAGAGACATCCGGATCACCTCAGCTATTGAGTTTCAATATTCAGAATGGTCCAATTAAGGCCTGCATATTCAGGTACCAAAGTCTTTAAACGCAAGGGGTGTGGATATCCACATTCCAATGGCTTTGTGTTGACACCTCCACATTTACGGATCCATCTCATTCTTTCTCGCTCCCTTCATCCCACCACAGCCACAATGCACCGCGTCGTAGTTGCCGGTGTAATGCTCTCGAGCATCATGTCTGTGGTAGCACAATACTCTGCTACGTATGTGCCTGGTGCTAATTCGCTACCCAAAATATCGGAGCAGGGACAGCAAGGTACCAACGCTTGCGGGACTCAGTCAAGTGATTCGTCCATGTGCCAAAACTTGTACATAAATTCGGCCACAGACTTTTGCTTATGGGCACCACCAGGACCGTTATCTCAAGGCGTTGGTGAAGCTGAAAGATATGTCGTTAGCTACTGCACGAAGGCTGGCCGTGGCACACGCCTCATTCCTCCTGGCACATTGAAAAGCGTGCACTTTGTTCAGACGCCTCATTATGTTCAAGTAAGTGGCACTGGCGAATTTTCGAGTATGCACATCAACAACAATGGTGGTGGCGGCGAGCTTGATCCTCATGGTCAAGATGGAATGGGCAACCCTATTGGTGGTCTGGTCTTTTCAAATGCGTTTGGAAATGGGTTAGTGCAGGTTCATGAGTGGGTACGTATAAATGTCCAAACTTACATTGTCAGAACAGTTTTATGGATGCGAAAACATATTGCCTACGAGCTTGTGTGGACGGCGATATGGCAAAGGCTTATTGCAAGAATATCTATGATGAGCTTGGTTGCAACTTTAACATGCCCACTGGGCCGGACAACCTGGGCGTTTTTGAATCATGTGAGGGACAAGATGCTGATATCGTGGGTGTTTATACCAACAATGGTGTTGTTTCGACATTTTTCCAGACTCAAACCTCGCAAGGCGTCTCCGTTCCTCCGCCGAAGAAGCCTCCGGCAGTTAGCAAATGCTCGAATTTCCCGTCAGCTGCCTTGGAGGATACTGTGAAGAACCCCTTTGCTGGAGCCAAGAAAGGCAAGCCTTCGAGCACGACTTCACAAGGCGAGCCTAGCTCATCAAGCGTCCTGTACAACACGCAAAGGAATACGACTTCCTCCACGTCTTCAAGGTCGACATCTTCCTCAACATCGTCGATGCTATCTAGCATTTCATCAACATCAATGCCTATGGCTATCTCTTCAACGTCGAGCTCATCTGCTATTGCAACGTCGCGCGCTGTTGTGACTACTACGACAACGCCATCTGCCACCAGTATTCCAGGTCTTCAATTCGGATCTAGTGCCTCTCCTTCCTTCTACGTACATATCTTCACCCTTCTGGTATCGGCTACCACAGTACTTGTACTGCTGTGTTTGTAGCGTTTGTAGTAATGTAGCCCCGCCTTCGTTCACGGTTCAACGTTTTTCACAAGTTTTGCTTACCGGTCGCCAATCTCGGTCTTATAATTTTCAACCGTCCAATGATTTATAATTTTTACCGCATTTAATTGGTTCGCTCGATTCTCACATGGGTGGGGTAGCCGTTTTGCCCTCGCTCCTGTGTTAAAAAGGCGGAGATTGTCAAATTATCTTGCCACTTCAGCTCCATCCAACATGTATCCCAAGCCTCATTCTGATGACTGGGTCAACCAAAAGGGTCTCCCCCTTGCTCATCGTATGATCAAGCTTTTCCACGTCTTGCCTCCGGCGGCCGATGAAGTCAAGCAGACAAAGTTGACTGATCGTATGATCGTGTTCAAGGAATGGAACCAGGCCCTTTTCCTGTATCCATTTGCTCTTTTGCCATTCGCTGTCCGCTACTTCTACTATCACTATGTGTCAACGGAGATGCCGTCTTATATGACCATGTGGATCATTATGACTGTTTACACCCTAAACTTTGGTCTCTACTGGGTGCACTTCTTGAAGCATCTGTCTCGCAAGTACGGCTACTTCAACGGTGCACACGGTCGAGACACGATTCCTTTCTCGGAGGCCCACAAGGTGCTCTTCGAGGTTCTTTCGGGTCTGACCATTCGCCCTGGTCTTGTTGTGATGTGTGCGTACGACCCGAAGACTCCTCCGTCGCTGTCTCTATGGTTCCCTCTTCAACTGTTCGTATTCACATTGGTGGAAGACTTTTTCTACTACTGGGCTCACCGTATTTGCCATGAGAGTGAATTTTCGTGGAAGCTCCATCGCCAACACCACACTACCAAATACCCGACTATGTTGCTGCTTGGCTACGCTGGTGAACTTCAGGAAGTGTTTGACATCTTTGGTGCTCCTTTCCTGACCTATCTTACTTTCCCCATCTCCTTTGATGTCTTTATCATCTGGATGCTCATTCATGTCTCTATCCAAATCCACGGTCACAGTGGTGTGCGTCTGCATCACGGTACTGTCTTGACTGGCCCCTTCTTGGTCCCCCTGGGTCTGGAACTCGTGTCGGAGGACCATGACCTACACCACCGTCATGGCTGGCGTGAGTCGTACAACTATGGCAAGCAGAGTGGTGTCTGGGACACACTGTTTGGAACGAAAGGTGACCGTATTGAGGGGTACTCTGAAAACCTCGACTGGAACCAATTTGTGTACTAATGGTACCTTGTCTTTTTTGCCCATTTCTCTCTATTTCACGTTTAGCATAGATCGCGGAAGAGAATCGATGATCATAGGAAAGATATCTACTGTATAGCAAATCGAACGCAGTGACTTGAATCGCTCAGTCTTTGCCGTTGGCGTGAAGGAGATCGATATGTCCACTTTGAATCACATCATTCTGCTATTTTATACATATGGGAGCGAAGGAGTTATCGACTTTAGGTAGCTTGAATTAAAATACAACCATGTCGCGCCGAGCCACCTCAAATCGACGTCGCATATCACCCACGATTCGCTGACGGACCGTACCGCTTGCCTCGCGGTCTACGGGGAACTCACTCACCACGTATTTCTGGCCCTTGATAATCGGGTCGAACTCCCTTGGCACATTGATATTGATGCCTCGTCCGATTGATACGCGGTGTCCCGATCCACCAGCCCCGTCTTGGTCGATTGTGTTTAAGGATGTAATGGACATCCAGTCATCAAGGTCATCATGATCATCTTCGGCCACCAGCGGCACATTGTGTCCACGCTTGTTGCCTTGCAATAAATGCCGAGCCAGAGCGCGGCGGACCAGCGTGCTGCGCCGCATCGATTTGGGATCGATTCCTTGCTGTTTCGTAAAGTCGACTTCTTCACGGTATGCCTGGCGCCATGCTTCAGGTGCATTTCGCCAGAGGACATAGGCCGCGTCGGTGACCAGTTTGCGTGCGCGTGCAGTGGTATCTGAGCTCCTGAGGACACGCGATGGCTGGGCGCTCTTTTTCGCCAGAGCATGCTCTTCAAGTTCATCGGCACTATCGAGGAGACGCGTAGCCGTATCGATCGCAGCCAGACGAGCCTCTTCACGAGCCTTGGCTTCGGCTTTGAGTTTGCGCATACGACGGCGAAGACCTCGAACGCTCTTGTACGCCCAAATTAAGTGCATTGGCAGTGCCAACACGCCGAAGACAAAGGGGCCCCAGCTAGCGGAGGTTTGGTTGACGTAGCGTCCTGTCGGGATGAACAGGGAGTACACAAATACAAAGTGGAATACAATCCGTGTTGCCAAGAATGTCAGCGTGAACGCCCAATACGAGCGGAATCGAGGATGCAAGACGCCCAGTCCCATGACCCATGTCGGCATTTCCATGAGCAAAGCTGTTGCAAATGCATGACTCCAGCCTTGTCCTAGCCAGAATACTGTAAATACGGAGTACAATGTATGGTGGACCCAGCCGCTAGAGAGGTTCACATGCTTTCGATAGCAAAAGAAACCAGTGACAAGATCGGAGATGAGGTACGCCAAGAAAAACATGCTTAGCGGATTCGCAATCAACTCCCTATGTGGTGTTACTTTGGTCCAATCTAGACCACACCATATCAGATCGAACACAAAAGGGGTGGCTGTGGTAGAAGCACAGAAAGCGGCAAAGGTAGTGATGATCCATGAGCGTTTGTGGGCCAACTCCGGTCCCGCGTAGATTGTACGGGCAAAGATTTGGTATACCAGTTGAATGACGAGAAGGAAAGAAAAAAAGTCCAGCGCCTCTGTGCTGAAAAGCACCTGCTTGGCCTTCTCAAGCACTGCGTCCCGCTCTATCATGCTCTCGAGGCGCTGCACGAAGGCAAGCGGCACGGCGAGACTGGCGCCTTGTTGACGTGCAACACACGTGTGGCATCCACGTGGAGACTGACGTACTTGCCCTGCGTGCGCCCCACGCAGGGTGCTGCTGCTTCTACAGCCTTTGTGCTCCACATGTCTGACGACCAGGGGCTGGATGCGAGAGCCTTGGCACGGTACAGCCGGCAGCTCATTCTGCCAGGGTTTGGTGCACCGGCACAGCGGGCGCTGCAGAATGCTCGCGTTTTGGTCGTAGGTGCCGGCGGTCTAGGTTGTCCTGCCGTGCAATATCTTGCAGCGGCAGGTGTTGGTATGTTCGTGGGCCTTTCTCATGTCAGGCACTATTACGGTGGTCGATGCGGATCATGTGGAAGCGAGCAATTTGTCGCGACAAATTCTGCACAGTGATGCAAGGGTAGGTATGAACAAGGCGCAATCGATAGCGCAAGCTATCTCGACGTACGTATCCGTCCTTCCTTCCTTACTCCCAGACTCAATCCTTTTGTGACTGTGCGTGCGGTGGAAGCCCAGTTTGGCCCTGAGAACGCCGTATCTCTCGTTGAAGCGCATGATCTTGTCTTGGACTGTACGGACAATGTCCTTACACGGTATTTGATTTCTGACGCTGGTGTCCTAGCTGACAAGCCCATCCTTAGCGGCGCGGCGCAAGGGTACGAAGGCCAGCTCATTACTCTGCATCAGTCACTGGGTGGTGAGCAGCGAGGTCCCTGCTACCGCTGCCTATTCCCACAGTCGCCCCGGCCCGAGCATACACAAAGCTGTGATGATGGCGGCATCCTGGGCTGTGTCACCGGCCTGGTAGGGACCTGGCAAGCGATGGAGGCTATCAAAGTTCTCACCGGCCTGGGCGACAAGACGCCCAACATGCTTTTTTTCACACCGATGTCGATACCCCAAGTGCGTTCTGTGCGTGTGCGACCACGCCAAGTGCGTACATGCCGTGCCTGCGGTGGGCCGGACGTCCCTGAGAAGATCACCGATCTTACGCGTGAAAACTACATCACATTCTGTGGTATCACTGAGGTGGTGGATGATGTGCCCAGCGTCGAGGCCCAAGCTTTGCAGCGGCCTGATGTTCTTGTAGTCGACGTGCGTCCCTGGCAAGAGTATGAGCTGACGCACCTCCCGATGAGTATGCGTACGTTGCCCATTGTTACTCACCTCAGATTTGCCATGGGATACAATACGTCGCGATTCTACCGCTGCCAAGGCCACGATTATGGACGCGGCAGACGGCCGCGATATCCTCATGCTATGCCGCCGCGGCAACGATTCACGTGAGGCGACTAGGCTGTTGCAGCTCCCTCATTGCTTTAATGTCCGTGGTGGGCTACGGAGCTATGCTACCGTTGATACATCATTCCCGATGTACTAGAGGCGGGTCGTTGGCGCAGATCCGCATGCAGTGTCTCTAGGATGAGCGGGTCGGCATGCTGTACATGACTCCGAACGATTTCCCCGGCCTGGGTGCCTTCTGTGTTGGCCAACGCCGTATTCAACGCTTCGGCAATAAACGCACGTAACGGCACCGTCTCGATAGGGTCCCGACGGCGCATGGCTTCGACTCGCATGTTCCGCGAGGTGTCAATCGCGAACTCCACAGCGAGATTGTTCGCGAGGACAATTTCATCGGCATCGCCCATTTCGTACTCACGATCCGGTGAGTCTTCTCGTTCATACACTGCCGAGTTGCCTTGCTCGTCTTCCACGACTTCGCCTAGGACATCCATCCAGTAGCTCATCACCTCGTGGATCGTCCCTGCGACGCCCAGATCCTCTGGGGTCATGTATCGAATCGACTGGGCCAACGCCAAGGCCACCAGTTTTTGTACACGCAGCAAGGGCGACATTCGCGCCCACTTGAGCATGGTCAGGACCAATTCGCCTTGGATGGGCGCATTCGCTTTGACACTCGCTACTTTGACCATATCCAGGTACCGATGCGGTGGAAGGGCAAACGCCATACGTGCTGCTACGAGGGCGTAGTGCGAGCCCAGCGCAAAGTCTTCTTCACGGCGTAGACCCTGGACGATGGCTACGCCGAGCTCCGTGGACGTAAGTAGATCCGCTAGTACTTGCAAGCCTTCCTCATCAAGGCACCGCAAGTGCGTAGCAATCGCACGCAGTGGCGACATCATGATCGGCGACTCCGGGTCTGCTACAATTTGCGTGAGCGCCTGGTAGAAAGGCCCACTGACGTGCAGCAAGTCCTTGGACGCCAGCAACGCACAATCTTCCCAAATCTGGCACACCACCGGTGCAAAGTCAGGCTGTGTGACCAGCGATGGCGCTAGCTCAGCCAGCGCAAAGAGTGGTGCAGTGAGCTGCGGCGTGTATTGCAGGGCATGAGCCCACAACAAGAGACCATCGTACCCGATCAACGGCGACAACTCAGGCTCCAAGCAGGAGCGAACAAGGCGCGCCACCAGTGTGTGGACATGCTCTAGAAGCGGATTGTCTCGCAATCGCTCTGAGCTTGCGCATACCAGTTTGTCGAGGCATTCCAGGACACTCGGCTTGGATCGCGTTTCGGGGTCAGGCAGGGCCCACAAACGGGCAATCATGTCCAAAAGACCCGCCGTATAAGGATCAATCAAGGCGCCTACACGCTCAATCAAAATGGCCAAGGTCGTAGCTGTCGTCCGAATGTTGTCCATTTCCGTCAACTGATCCGCAAGCATGTGGACCAGTGCCATAAGAGCCTCACCCAAGTATGGCTCGAACAATTTCTCGCTGAAATCCACCGAGTCCATGATCGCCGCAAGCGTTTTCGCCGCTGCCAGCTGCACAGCTGCATCCGTCCGGCCAGGCGCCTCACGCAGGAGATCGACAAGCAAGGCGTATGCCATCGTACGAGTATCAGTCTGCACATACTCACTCCACTCCCATAAGAGTCGCGCAATACGCCTTCGTACAATAAGCCAGATGGGGTCTGCCTCCATCTTCGCCTCGGGAATCAGTCGATCGCGAATCGTAGCGGCCATGCGATCCGAGGGATGCCCACCTTCCTCGGCAATTTCTCCATCGAGCTGATCACGACAAATACCCAGCGCTGTATATACGGCTTCACGTGCAAGGACAGCCTCCAGCGTGGCAGGCCACTGTGCGGTTTCCTCGTACTTGGCCCATACGTACTCAGCGACACTGGGAATGGTATGCGCGCCATCAAAGCCCGACCGACGCGATGTCTGCGTGAGCACCAGAAGCAAGCGTTCAGCAGTAGGCCGAATATCGACATCGGTATCGTTCTGAGCCTCTTCCATGGCAAACGTCTCAGGCACCTCTTGCCATTGCTCCAAATCCGCCTGCGTAAGACGCATGTAGGTACCCAAAAGAACATCGACCGCCTGCAGCTCAAACTGGGCGCCAGGGAGGCCTGCGAACATCGTGCCTGCGGGACGATTTCGCTTCCAGATTCCCAGTGTCAGACGAACCAACGATAGCGCAAGCACGAGCCAGCGATAGGGGTACACGGCTTCGTTCTCATCATCGTCGCGCGTAAACGCACCGCCTTCCTGCGCAGCCGCACATAGCATCGTCCAGTACCACTGCGTCACTTCCGGCCACACGGCCCATGACGCGACGTGGCTGTGCATCTTCGCGACCATGTCTAGATGCAGCTTCACGTAGCCGACCATGTGTTTCGTCAGCGCGGGGATCACGCTGGGCGCCGAAGTAAGAAGGTCAGTGCGGCGTTGCAGGATACATGTCACTTGGGACGGCGTGCATTCGAAAAAGGCGTAGGCCAAGTTGGGCCGATCGACACTGGACACTTTGGAGGCCAGGATCCCATTGTCGCATCGCACGAGACGATGCAGGACCTTGAGCATGAGGTGGCTCGCGCGGATCCTTTCCCATACACCTGGCTGATTGGCCCATGACACAGGGTCTTGCGTCTCAAACGTGTCCTGGAACAGCGTCAGGAACGCCGGCTGCAAACTCGGCAGGAGCGTTCGCGCAAGGTTGGTCATGCGCATGCGGCCGGCCAGTAGACGCACCGACTCAAATTCCTTGAGGCATTGCCGGAGAACATTGCACGCATGCAATAGAATCGTGGTCTCCCGCGCCGTATGCGCTAGTGTGCTTTGCGCTGCAGCCTGGTGGATCGCTTCGATGGACGCCATGATGGCCTCCTGCAACTTGGTGACGAGATCTGGCCATTCGTCAGGGTAGTCTAAGCGTGCAATGCGTGCAATGATCAGCGCGCCATGCACAGCGATCGAGTGCTCCGGCTCACTCAGTATATCCATCAGCCGCGTACGAATTCGGTCCTTCGCCTCTGGCGGGATCACGACTTTTTTCTGCTTGATAATACGTGCTCGCCAGAACTTGCCGATCCCATTCTTAAATCGGATAATAGCGAGCTGTCGTACTGTCTGGTGCAGCGCCGGTAGGATCGTCGTTGAGGCGACCACGGAGGGATCCAGCGCAATCTGCAGAAGCGCCTCCCACAGTGTGTACTCTTCCTCCCAGTCGGCCAACTGTGCATCGGCCATTTGCAGCGTGGAGGCATTGCTGGCCTGCGCCGTCGTAGCTAGGACGTCGAGCAGGGCGCTCGGCGAAAACGCTAGACGACTCATCGACACAACGTGTTAAGAAGCCAAGTGGTTCACTCACCGCTTTCGCTCGACGCCGCACGCACGCACGCCAACAAACACTCCACATCGGGTTTCCTACTAAGACTACATGGTCAAATCCTTGTTCGCAAGCCAGCGGTTGAGCATGTGCAGCGCTAGCGCTGGTTGATCATGCGGCACCATATGACCAGCACGGCTGATCCACGCAAAGGCCAGGTTGCCGGCACCTTGACCCGCCTTGATCACGTAACCACCCTTGCGTGGCTTGGCTCCGTTCTCACTCCGCGTGAAGAAAGGCACCTCTGTTGCATTGTTGATCGCTTCATGGTACACGTTCGGGAAGTCCAGGACCCACTGGTGAATGCCGATCGCATTGCACATAAAGTCCGTCTCACCAGCGTAGAGCAAGACACGGATGCCGTCTTCTAGCAGGGGCTCCAGCAAGGTGGCACTGTTCTTGATCGAGTCGCCTTGCATCATGAAACGGCCGTTGACGTCCATGTTGCAGCTCTGGAACTGTACCTGCTCAGGCACACCGAGCATGCTCTTGACCTTGGGCTTGTTCATCAGTGCTTCGATGTAGCCCATCTCGCGGAAGCACAACTGGCCGTCCTTCTCACGATCGCACGAGCGACGCACATCGTACAAGTTGCGACCCGAGTCCTGTGCTGGGCCGTAGAGACTACCCCAGCAGTACAGTGCCGCAGGGACACATGAGATACGCGAGTCCAACTGCTCACAGGCGTCAATCAATGTCGAGCAGATCTGCGACTTGCTCTCCAGCGACTGACACACTTCGCTGTCAGGCTCGAACAAGTGGTACTTGTTGTCGGGTGAGCACGCAAAGTCTACGACGCTCGGGAACTGGATCTTCGGATCTGTTAGGCCATTACCAATCATAAGCGATTCCAAACGGATGGGCACCGCTGCCGTGACGTTGGCGCCTGGCGGGGTCTGCGCCAGCTCCTTGTTGCGCTTTTGGATTTCTGCGCCGATATGCGGAGCATAGTGGCCACCGTACGATTCCGCAGCGACGGAAAAGGGCAGTGCCGCGTACTTCGGGAAGCGTGTGAAGAACAGCTGCAGGAAGGCGTACACATCCTCTGCCGACTTGTCCGAATTGTCGACCATCTCCCCACTGTCCGAGTACGAGTAACCTACCTGGAGCGGCTGGTCCAGGAACAGTAGGTTGGCCTTTGAATTCCATGCGTACTCATTGTACGACGTCTTCTCGCCCTCGTCAGACACCCAGCATGGACCAAGCTCCATGAGCATTCCGGTACTCGACGAGCAGCCAGGGCCACCATTGAGCCACATGACGAGAGGATCCGTCTCTGGGTTGGAACGACTTTCGTACAGAATAAACCACAGGTGCGCATCATCGCGAATGTCCAGGTAGCCCTTGATTTGCTTGACGTCCGGATCGCAGAACTGAGCCTTTTGCTCCGATGACTCGACCGCCAAACGCAGCTGATAGTCGGGGAAAGCAGGGTGCAGGAGCTTCTGGTAGGTCATACCGCCGACCGTCTCCATACCTGCCTCCATCCAAGCCACAGCATCTTGTTCCATCTTGTGCCATGCGTCCGACGCCGCTTCTTGGTAGTGTGGCGTCGTCCAGTGCGAAGCTGATTCACCCAGGGCATGGAAGACATGCTGGGTGCTGGCCAACATGCGGTCCATCACGGACTCAAGCATAGTAAATTGGGCATGGGCCAATGTGCCCATCAACAGCGCTGCCAAGAGTGTCTTGACACGCAACATCGTAGTGATACAGCGTGCCCCAGACGCCCCACGGGCGCCATGGCTCTCACGTCCTGGCTTCCGCCACGTGATGTGGCCCATGCGGCGGGCGTCACGAGACGCAGTGGAGGAGAGGGGGAGGGGCGTTGTGTCGTCGTGTGGAAGCGTGCGGTGCGGCGCTGGCATCGTGTCACTGTATGGGGGCGGTAACGCCCCGGACCTCCTCTGTGCTCCCGCTCCTGGGTGTGGATTCCACACATATAACGGTACCAGGACCGAGCGGGACACGACATACTGTGGCGGATCCTCAACGCTCTATGACGATTGACCTTACGGCAGACGACGAGTCGGATGACGAGCCTATTCTTCTCGAGACGCGTACAACTACCGTCGCAAACGGACAACCTTCCTCCCCCACACCCAAAAAGCGATCCTTCTCAGATACAGAGGACGATTGGGCTACCTATACCCCGCAAGCCACACCGCCTGCTCCCTGGGTCTGTATCGGAATGTTGACACCCGGCGTGCTGTGCATGTACGGATTGCCACCGGAGCTGCAGTTGGACTCAAAGGACCAGCCACCCCCTATCGATCCATCTTGGTCGCACCTGGAATTCTGGGGCGAGCCAGGCGTGCGTCCTGTCGCGATCCAGGAAAGCACAACTGACGCGTCGCCGTCCAAGTCCTTGTCGCAGTTTCTCCAAACGACACAGCGCCCCGACCTCGCCGTGGCTACGCTTCAACCGAATCGATCGAATCTGTCTGCGTCTCCTCTGATCCTCAATGAGTTCGGAAAGCTTACAGACAAATTTAGCAAAGTCTTAGCACCTCTCCTGCGTGCGCAGCAAATCCAATGTGTTTCGCGCGCGCGATTGGTCTCCAAGTTAAAAGCTCGTGTGTTTTCCCAAGAGATTGAGTCGCTGATCTTTGTACGTGGTGCGGATGTGGACCATGTTTTGCAGGTCATTGCGCAAGCTGGATTGCTCCTCGAGATGCCTACTGCCTATCGCCCTAGTGACTACCCTATGAATCCGCCGCTGTACTTGCCACCACAGGCACAAACGCGATCATCGCGCAGTCACAGCGTCGCAGATATGCCATCACGGCCTCTACGTACTCTTCTCCCCGCGCAGCATGAACGCGTGGTTGAAGAGGATTCGCGTGCGCAAATCAATGCTGTGTATGCTGCGCTCGCCTCGCACGATGATCTGAGCGAGACGGAGCCAGGTCCCTTGATCCGTACACCTCTTTTTCCTCACCAAAAACAGGCATTGACCTTCCTTTTAGAGCGGGAGCGTGCGCGGCAGTGGGACGAGCTGCTCGGCCCTGATCCACCAGCTCACATTTCACTCTGGACGGTCGCTGAACGACGCGATGATACCATTCAGCGATACCGTCACATCGTTACCAATATGACCAAACGCACGCGACCGACGATCTGCTGCGGTGCGATCTTGGCCGACGATATGGGGTTGGGCAAGACACTAACGACCATTTCGCTGATTGCCTCGACGTACGAGGATGCAGTGGCATTTGGACAAACCTCGCTGAAGACGGACGACGATGACGACGAGCCTATGCTGGTCGGTGACTCACGAAATCGGCGCACGGCAGAGCAGGCGCGCAAAGAAGAGCTTCGATGCCGCAGCCGAGCAACATTGTTGGTCTGCCCACTCACGGTGATTTCCAACTGGGAGACGCAGATTCGAGAGCACTGGACACCACGTCGCCCCCCACGTGTGTATGTGTATCATGGTGGTGGCCGTGCCAGGGAGCCTAGAATGCTGACCGACTACGATATCGTGCTTACGACGTATTCGACGCTGGGCAACGAGTTTGCCAACCAGACGACGTGGACGGCTGCAGCAGGTCGGGCAGACACTGATCCCACGCCTGACTCGAAGCGGTTGAAAGTTGAGGCGCCCAACACGTGCCAGCGTATCGAATGGTACCGTGTTGTGCTAGACGAGGCGCATATCGTGAAAGAGGCGCGAACATGGCAGTCTAAGGCCGTGTGCAACTTATCGTCGCCACGTCGATTGTGCCTGACTGGCACACCGATCCAGAACCGGATGGACGATCTGTATGCACTTCTTCTGTTTCTGCAGCTGGATCCCTTCCATGACCGGGCCATATGGAGTCGCTACTGTGGTGATCACCGCTCGTTGGGTCTGAAAAATGCACGGACCAATGTCCAAGTCGATCCGAACTCGCTTTCACGTGTGCAAGCGATCATGAAGTTTTTGACGTTGCGGCGTATGAAGACGGACCAGAAGCCGGATGGCACGCCCCTCTTATCTCTGCCGGCGAAGACGACGCGGATCATGACACTGCAGCTCAATACCGACGAGCGGGCGAAGTACGAGCAGCTGCACTCCCAGTTTAAAGAAGAGTTTTCTGAGTACGTGGCGGAAGGTACTGTGGGACGGCACTACGCTACGATTCTTCATGAAATTCTCATTCTGCGTATGATGTGCGATCACTCGGCGCTTGTCGACGATAGCTTAAGTGGGAAAGAGATCCAGGCGTCACTGCAGGATGTGTCTGCGTCGATTCGCGAGCAGGGTCTCACGCGGGCCATGGCCCAGCAGCTGTTTCGTATCATGGCCGACAGTGCCATGACGCTCTGTGCGGCCTGTGGTTGGGACTTGGCGCAGGACCAAGACGATGCAGCGCATATACCTGTCGTGACCAAGTGCCAACACACGTTTTGTTCGGGCTGTTTCCAGGCGCATGTGGGCCCTGCCTTGTGGCCAGATCCCCTGGATTGGCATCAGGGCACATGTCCTTGCTGCTACGAGTCGCTTCAACTAGCGCGGGACGCCGTGCTTCTTCGAACAAGCGACGATGGGAAGCGGTCTACCGACAAAGCCCGTCGGCCTCCACCCGCGCTGGAGGCGCCGAGTCCCTTTATGCCAGCCAACCCCGATACATGGCCCACCTCTTGGAGTACGAAGATCCGTGCACTGATCGCAGACCTGCTCCCATTTTCGCAGTGTAATCCGGCATCGGATCTCTACGATCCCACCGCGCCTATTATGGAGCAAGTCACAGTGGCTGGCGACGATCAAGGCGCAACGCCGCGTGTGGAGGTTCGTGCGGTGTCTCCGCACGTTACGCCACGCCCTGCGCCCATCAAGTCGGTGATTTTTTCGCAGTGGACCAAGATGCTCGACAAGGTCGGCCAAGCGCTCTGCACGGCTGGCATCCGTTACCGTCAGCTCGATGGTACCATGAGCCGTGGGGAGCGCGAGATGGCGATGTCGTCGTTCCACAGCGATGCACGCATTGAAGTGTTCCTTGTGAGTCTGCGGGCAGGTGGCTTTGGTCTGAATTTGGTATCGGCGTGCCGTGCGTACCTCCTGGATCCCTACTGGAATCCGGCCGTGGAGCAGCAAGGCCTTGATCGTATTTATCGGCTGGGCCAGGGCCGTCCTGTGATTATGACCAAGCTCATCGTCCAAAAAAGCATTGAAGAAAAGCTCCTTGAACTGCAGCGGCGCAAGTTGGAACTGGCCAACCGCGTAGGCCGCCAAACGGATGCCGAACGCCAGCAACAACGCACCGAAGATCTGCAGCTTCTTTTCTCGTAATGCACTATGCTGTGCCTCCCCTCTCTTTCTTTTTCTTAGTGTATATTGTATAGATAGGCCGTCTCCTCGCGTGTCCTCCTCACGGTCGTAGCATCAAACCTTTGTGAACACGGGCTACATCACGAAACGTCAAGCTCACACGTCGCTCGCGTGTCCATGTCGCTTGCGGATCCGCGTACACGCCCGACAAATGAGATGCGTTGAGGACATGTACGCGATCTTCGGGTGTATCGTGAACCCGCTCGGCAATTCCGTGCTTGAAGCGTGTGTACGCTTCCCCGTACGTAATCAACAAACTTCGTGGCTCTTGCACGATCACGAACGAGGGCTGCGCTGGTGTCGGCTTGTCAGGCGTATGCTCGTAGATGTCAAGGACGGTATGGCCACCGAGACTGATCGTTGCGACAACAGGATCATACGCAGGCCCATCCGTGTGCGGTAAGATCCCTTGGCCAGGGAAGTAGTCGTTGACAAGCTTCGGCGTGAGTATGATCGTACATACGCAGTGGTTTGGTGCTTGGTGCGAGCTTTCTCGAAAGGCACCACTTGCAGCCAATCTTTCGACAAGGGCAGGGTACGCCGTCATCCACGGTGGCAGTGGTTCTGGGATGAGCGTACCAGTGCGCTCTGTGAGTGTACCGCCCCACATTTGCAATCGACGGTGTGCTAGCTGCTTCCACCGTGTTTTAGGCGCAGTGTCTATCTTGGCCAGCAATTGCGTTTCTTCGGCCTCGCTGATAAATGCAGGCATATACACAAAGCCGCCGTGGGACATGGCCTGCCCTGGCATACTCAGCGGCGGCGGCAACGACATGGTCAATGGTCGGCGCGTGTGGAGGCTACTGGAAAAGCAAATCTCATCAACGTTAAGCTATAAATCTATACAGGGAGGACTTTGTCAATATCCATACCCGAGGGCATCACATCGTCCAAATATTTAGGCGGCGCCAACAAAGTCGGTGAGCAGCCAGAGAGGACAGGCGACATGGGCGGGCAGGCGTCGTTGCCCGGTAAGGCATCTTCGGTCATCAACGACGTGGAGGTATCAGGGGACGACTCGTCGTGGCTATCGGCCACGTGCAAGACGTGTGCGAGGAAGACCATATTGTCTTCCTGGATCATCGCACCACGGATCTTCACGACCTGGCGCTCAGGATCCAAAACACCTGCGTGAGGCGGTTCATAGTACTTGGACGGCGGAAGTGGGTACGGCGCCGGCGGCGCTGGCTCCGTGCTCGCACCGAGATTCGGGAGCTGGTCGAGTTCATTGGCTTTGAGGCCCTGCCGCATCAGGCGACGCACCATGACCAGCGCAGGCATATCGACCAAATCCGATGCGGTGGGTCGCACACTCGGCTCAGCCGCGAGCATCGAGGTAATGATCGATTGCATGGCAGGGCTTACACTCTCGAAACTCACGTCCGAAAAGTCATTCGTGCGCAGCTTGTGCCAAGGCTCGCCATTGTCTGGGATCTCAACACTGCACGCCGCCTCCAGCATGATCGTGCCTAGACTGAACACGTCAGCCGGCTTGCCATACTTGGACTCAAAGATCACCTCAGGCGCAATGTACTCACGATCGCCTTCGCGCTCTAACGACATGACAGGGCTGGTGCGGCGTACTGGACGGGCCAACCGACGTCGGCTGCCCAGCACCGTGGATGTATCTGGCTCGCCACTGCCACCCGACGACGTACCCCCAAATGCGAATGGCTCAACCGTGCTGGCTGTACCCCATTCTGGCATCAAGGACGTCGACCATGTCGGAAGAGACGTGTCGCCTACAGCCGATGGCCGATGCGTCGCGAATTTGTTCGTCTCCAAGTGCGCACCCGCGAGAATCTCTTGCGCTGTGCAACGTGGCCACCGTGTGGCCATGCCAAAGTCTGAAATCTTCAGCGTGCCCACTTCGGTAATGAGAATGTTCGCAGGCTTCAAGTCCAAGTGCAGCACGCCGCACCGGTGGATAAAGTCCAGGCCCGACGACAACTCCGCCAAGACTTTCCACAGACGCGACTCATCCAAGGCACCCACTTGGCGGCCATATTCACGCAGGACAAACGCCAGCGAGCCCAGCGGGCAGAGCTCTGTCTGCAAGTACAAGAAGCCATCTTCTTCCCATGCATCCAGCAAATCTACCACGCCCTCGGCGCCAAACCATGGGTCATGCCATGTCGATCGTCGCTGCTTCAATAGGCACAGCACATCCACCTCTTCCAGGCGGCGAATACGGTCCTTGGGTCCCACAAAGGGCCGCTTCATTCGCTTCACAGCGGAAATGTATCCTGTCGCCTTTTCACGTACCTTGACCACTTCACTAAACTCACCCGTGCCCAGCATGCCTTCCACCACGAAATGCTCTTCAAACTGGCTTACACGTGACGAGCGATGGCGCGCCGCAGGGGCACTGGCCGCGAGCATATGCCCACCTGCTTTGGCAGGTGGCGTATTCAGGTAGGCAGGCTGAGAATGGCGTGGCCGCGTCTTTGGTTTGTGCGCTGTTTTGGCGACAGGGGAGTGTGTGGCCTCGAACCACTTCATATTCTTACGAGTAGGCGTATTGGGCTCCATCATATCATCAAGTTCAGGTATCGGTGGGTGGATAGAAGTGGTATCATGCCTCGGCACGCGTCCTTGACGCACAGCGGTAGGCGTACTCTCCAGCCACGCCTGCAATCGTCCGTGCGAGGCGCTGGGAGTGTCAAGCACGTCCAAACCACCTGTGCCAGACACATCGGCATCCCATCCTTGTGCGAAAGAGGAGCCCTTTCTCTCAGATAAGGGTATTTGTTTATGCAAAAACAGGTTGTTGGGCGAGTCCATGCAGGACTGCACAGGGTGATCCACGCTTCGCTCGTCACTCCATGGCGACGTAGGGTATGGCATCGAGGTCGACGAGTCAGCCCGATCAGTTTGTGCAGGAATGGGGCATACTGGTGCCACACCTGACACACGACCATGGGAACGTGTACCTGATGTGTCCGCATCGCGGCGCAAGCTAGGTAGCGCTGTAGTCGAGGACGTTAGAGCCCCTAGAGGCCGGATGGGCGATTCACTCGGCGATTCAAACACATCATCCGGATCCGCCTGCAGCGGTCGGCTAGGAATCTCGTTGGCAAACAAACTCCGTGGCACAGAGATACGCTCACTCACGGAGCGCGTATGCCGTCCGCGTGGGTTGGGCCGGTTTTGCATGGCAGGCCGTACATCCGTATTGGGCAGGGCACCGCCCACATTTGCAAACGGATCTTTTGGCGTTGCAGGGAACAGGGGAGACCGGGCAGGGAAAGGAGCACCCATGGACCGCCCACGACGGTGCATACGCACAGAGGTAGCAGCCGTTGTCATACCAAACGACGGCTTCATCGGTGTATCTGGCATCACATGAATAGCTGGCTGCCGGGACACGTTGAAAGACCGATCCGCCATCGCTGCTTCCACTACTTCCCGCAACGGGCGTGCTTGCTGCGTACTGCTCTCGCCGCCCAGCGACGGGAAGGGTGCTGGCATGAGGGCATCTACGCCTGATTCACCAGCTCCAACGTCGGGTGAAGGTCCACGCCGCTTTTTTGAGACAAGCCCGTTGGACTGGAATGCCGTCTGCAACGGGCGGACATTTTTGTATGTAACAGAGGTATTCGGCGTAGCTGCTGTATGGTGATCCACAGCAGCGCCACTTTTGTGCCCACCATCAGGAGATGAGCTAGCCATGTCTATCATGGTAGACGAACACTACGTTCGTTCCCAGAAAGAGCGAGGCCTGCACACAACAGCCGTCGGTATTGGTGGCGGAGGGACTGCCTGGGACGCGCTCCGCGTTGCGCGTGTGTACGGACTTACGTGGCACGTGATTGCATACCTGCCTAGCCATGGTTTGGCGCGAACAGGACCACTTGGAAATGAGACCGACCGGCTTTGTGGAGGAAAATTGAGCGCGCGTAGCTAGCAGTTCGTGCCAACCAGGGCCCCTTTCTATGCAAGCAGGAAATTGATGCAGATTGCCTAACGCATCGCCCTCTTTTCTCAACACTTCATTATGACTGAACTGGCTAGTGAGCTAGAAAACACGCTGCCTACAACACAGGAGGACACTGTCGCTTCCACGAAAGAAGAGCCTGCGCCTCGCAAAGGGGCGTGGCTTCCCTTCAACATTGATTGCACGTCCCCCTTTTCGGAAACATGGGGACAGTACCAACTCAAACCTGACATGGTAAAATGGCACCTAGCCAAAGAGGGCCGAATTCAAGGAAAATGGGTCCGTGCTTTGTGGGGAGGTGAATTGTACCAAGAACGCCGCTCGTCTGGTACAGGTCGGTACGTACGGACCATACCACTGACTTCTTCAGCGCTGATGATATGATTACAGCTGCCACACTGAATCTTCCATCCACTCTTCCTGTATCCAAGTTTATTGAGCATTTCAAGATCACATGCATGTCGTTGCGATTCCGTCACCCAGTGCTTGCTCTCACCATTGAAACCAACATTTTCAACATTCCTCTTCTGCCATGCTATTTGTACGACCCCGTCGCATCGTTCACCGACGTAGAACAATGGGCCAGCCGTGCGATCTTTGTGCATTCGCCAAAGACGGAGGATGAAAAGGCGCAGTCCATCGGTGAACGCGTTGAGTGCATGCGCAACAATATCGGCAAAAAACCTTTGGATGTTACCCAATGTGCGCGTGAATGGCACCTAGTGCTCTCCGATCGCCCCGAGGATGTGCATAAGATCGGTGTTCTCACATACTGTTCGCACTCTATTGCAGATGCGCATGGCGAAATGATTCTTTTGCGTCAACAAGTTGACTTGATTGGACAGTTGGAACAAGCTCCCTTCCCGCTCCCAACATCCCATGCTCTTCATCCCTCGCACGTGGAGTGGGGTAAAGAAGTAGAGAGGCTACCTGTGACACTCATTGAGATGCTGGGCGTGTCTGTGGAGGCCTTCAATTTGGACGATGCGATCACGCGTCTCATTTCAGTCTACAAAGGCAACTTCCTTCGCCTGGAACAAGGTCGGTCCAAAGCTGATCCCATCCTCGTGGATACTATGCACACCCACATTGATTTCAGTGAAGAAGAAAGCGAGGCTATTCACAAAGTGGCTAAAGTGCATGGCTGGTCTGTTACACAATTGGTGGACGCAGCACGTCATATGGCGTACATGGAAATGCGTCGTGACTACATTGAAGCCTGGCGCTTGCTCCCCATGAAAGAGACTATTCATGCTGATTTCCTTTTACCTGTGAATACACGTGCTGATATGGTTAAGCCCTACAGCGAGTTGGAGTATGGCTTTGTCGGGAACGCTACCGGTGGTTTCACGACATCACTTCCTTTGATGGACCCATACTTTATCTCTGCAGACAAGGAGATGTCACTTACTGAAGAGAAACCTTTGCATGAGTTAAGTCAAGTACGTGTACTTGCGTATGTGACAGAACAACTGGCTATGCAATACCGTCAGCAAGTCAAGGAAAATGTACTGCGTGCTACTTCTGTGACCCCCATTGTTGTCATGGGCGGTGGATTTAGCCCTCTATACCCATGGCAGAAAGAAGCACCAGAAGGGTTTAGCTCTGTGGGTGTTGTGGATCGCATTCTGCCCGCTGACATGTCGCTACCAGGCCACAAAGAACCGGTGCATGTGGATGACTGGTTTGTAGGTCTGACAATGTCCCAACACTTGGCCAGTCTGCAGTTCTCCTTCCACGTTTGGACCCTGCATAACAAACTGCAGCTCTCTGTCATTCATACCAACCGCATGACAGCCGAGCGTACACTGAAATTCCTTGAGATCATTCGCTCCACACTGAAGCTGTTTGTGATGGCATACGAACTCAAAGGTAGTCCCATTGACACGCCTACGACACCTCCTACACCACCACCGCGTGGACCGCTCTTATTCAACATGCTTTCCTGGTGGAATAGCTGGTTCAAGTGACCTAGGTCTATTATTATGACCCAAGCATTTCATCCAAAAAGTCTTGCATGTTATTGTTCGATGTAGCAGGGGCACCTGTAGAGTCTGTAGTGGTAGATACTTGGAATTCATTCGAGTCCGCCGCATCAATAGACTCCAAGAAATCGTCTATGTCCAAGGCGGCCGATCCTGTAGCTGTAGGCGTGGCGCGAGGAACAAATCGAACAGTTTGTGATGTACCATTGGAGCCATGCACTTTATCTGCCATACGAACTGAAGGTTTCTCCGTATTGGCCATTGTCTGTTTGGGTGCACGTTGTCGCATAGAAACTTGTGTGCCTTGCACTCGTCGCCACGTCGCTGCATTGGGAGGGCCCTTTAGTTGTCGTTCAAACCGCTCTTTTAAAGCTCGCGCTGCATCGGCTGACTCCTTTTCTTGCTTCATCTCGTCCCAATCCACCGAATCCAGTACCTTGAGCTGCTTTTTGGTAGTGGGTTGTCCTGCCCAAGCAAGCTCATCTCCATCTTCGTCGTCTTCATTGTCGGAAGTATGCCCAGGTAGGTTGGTATTCACATCCAGAGCAGCGACTTTGGCACGGAGATTGGTGAGATCAACTTCAGGTTCAGGTTCTGCATCTTCGTCCGTCTCTGGCTCCTCATACCGCCAGCTGTTGGAGGACATGAATTTTCGCCGCGAAAAAGACGGCATGTCATCCTCAGCGTCGTCGATGGTGTCCACAGCTGCATCCTCCTCGGAATGGGTATCGGTCACTGTGTCTTCTGCAGCAACAGGAGGCTGATGCTTGGATGTTGTTTTCCCATCAGGCTTAGGTACTAGTCCCTTTTCTATTTTGTAGCGTCGGGACGCTCTCGCTTTGTATTTATTCTGTAACACCATGATCAGATGGTGATGGTGGATGTGCAAGGTGCTGCACTACCATTCCACACTAGTCTACTCCATCACATACACATGTACTGCCTTGGATGAACTATACATGATTACAGTCTGCCTATTCCTTAGCTACCAACCAGGGAACACAATCCATCATGGAAGCAGTCCGATGCATGCTACTGCATCATAGTGTAACATGGCATCTCGTCACAGATATGGCACTAGACATCCTTCGCCCTGCATGGCAAGGAGCTATAAGACAGACCTCCACCCCTATGTCAAGCTCGGCCGAATATGGACTCGTCTAGACGACGGCCCGCTCGTCTCTCATCGAGACGCCGCTTCTTGCACGCGCATCCCTATTCACAATATGGTTACTGCGGCCCTAAGTGCTCTCGGATACGCCGGTTTCGGTTTCCTGGCTCGGTGCTATGCCCTTGGCATTCAAAAGCGCAACATGTTCGAAAGTATGTAGACCGCTATGGATGAATGGTCATGACTAACACGGAACAGACTTTGCTGGCCATGTCGCTTTTGCTGGCGGCTTCGGCGCTATTGGATACTGGCTTCACGGCGTGAAGCAATCCCAGGCTGCTCTTCTTGAGAAGAAGCAAGAGGAGCTTCGTCAGCGCCGCCAGGCATGATTACCAATTTCCATTCGTCCATCGGCTTGTAATGACGACCCCCTTTCCTACGTAGTTGGGTGATGTTTTTCAAGGATCTAGACTCATGTTCAGGGCATTGTATTGTTTGAGCAGTGCTGTGCTAAAGAGCCAAAGATTTTGTATATGTATACGTACGTCCGCTCAATCCATGAAACTCTCGAGTTCCATGGGAACAGCTTTGCACCAATATCTGTGACCATAGGCCTATCTCTAGCTTCTTACGAAAACACCACTGCCACAACCACGAAAGCACAAAAATAGGCACACAAACAAAATGTGACGAGACATGCGTTGCATTCAGGCATCGCAGAAATAGTCTACAGGAAGAACTTGTGTAAGATACACCACAAGAGTGATATCGTCCCTAGACCGATTGGCATTCCTACCAACCACCATGAAACAGCAGCGCTATGGCAGCTGCAGCAATATTTTTGACAAAATAGTGGACCTTTACAGAAAAGGAAAGGACACTTAGGCCTGCAGGCGCTGCTTGCGCTCACCCAGGCGCTTGGCCACCAGAGCATCGTACTCAGCGCGAGCAGCCTTCTGCTTAACAACGCGCTCCTTCTTCACACGCCTAGCATCACGCTTGCGCTGCAGGCGCTGGGGGGTAATGAGGCGCTGGATCTTGGGGGCCTTGGTGTACGGCTTGGCACCCTCCTTCTTCGGCTGGACCTCGCGGCGGATAACGTACTGACGCACATCATCCTCCTTCGAGAGGTTGAAGAACTTGCGGATGTCTATAATGTTAGCGTTCATTCAAATGCAGAAAATACATACGGTTAGCACGCTTAGGACCAAGACGCTTCGGCACAGCGCTCTCGGCGTCGGTCAGACCAGGGATCTCCTGCTCACCCTGCTTGACAATGATACAGTGGAGAGCCTGAATATCGGGGCCGACAATGCAGCCGCGGACCGACTTCCGGCGGCGCTGACCAGCGCGACGGACACGGAAGCACGAGTCACCCTCACCGAGGAGAAGGCGAACACGCGACGGCAGGAGAACACCCTGCTTCATGGGGAAACCCTGCTTGTCGTTACCACCACCGATGCGGAGGACGTAGCCCTTCCACTCGTCACCGAGGCTGTCGACCTCAACATCCTGAGACATGCGCTTGTCGTAGAAGCAGCGCACAAGACGCTCATCCATAAACTCGAAGGACTTCTGCGCGCCCGTGGCAGGGTTGGCAACGTTGAGCTTCATCTGTGAAGAAGTGTTAGCGCTTAGTTCTTATGGTGCACTCGTTCGAGCTGGGTACCAACCTTGCGAAGGATGCACTCGAAGTGTGATGTACAAAGAGTCTCGTAGCGCGGCCACCGAAAACCTCGAGCTCCAGTCGTGATATGATCACGTGCACTATAGTTCTGTGTACAAGAAGTCACGTGCAAATTTATTTCACACGTGAGGATTCTGCCCTTAGAAACGAAGCCGTCCACCAAAGGTGTGCTCCTCACCAAGCTCAGGTCTTCAAGCACACTAAGAATCTGGTATGTTGAGTATGGTTGCGCGCGTTAGCATGTGCGATTGTCTCTTGTTGTTGGTACATGGATGTATCAACATAAAGACCTTTGTTATGTTGCTATGTCGTGCTGAACCATTATTGTAACAGACGTACTAACACTGGCTAGACACCATGGGTCGCATGCACTCGAAGGGTAAGGGTATTTCCTCGTCGGCTCTGCCGTACAGCCGCAATCCCCCGTCGTGGCTGAAGACCACTCCGGAGGAGGTTGTGCAGCAGATTGTGAAGCTCGCCCGTAAGGGTGTTACGCCTTCGCAGATTGGCGCTCAGCTCCGTGACAGCCACGGTATCGCCCAGGTCCGTTACGTGACTGGTAACAAGATTCTGCGTATCCTCAAGAGCGAGGGCCTTGCCCCGGAGATCCCGGAGGACCTTTACCACCTCATTGTACGTATACTTATTCACTGTAACATTGTCTAACACTGAACAGAAGCGTGCCGTCACCGTGCGCAAGCACTTGGAGCGCAGCCGCAAGGATGTGGACGCCAAGTTCCGTCTCATTCTGATCGAGTCGCGTATCCACCGTCTGACCCGCTACTACAAGACTACTGGTGCGGTTCCCCCGACCTTCAAGTACGAGTCGTCGACGGCCTCGACCCTCGTGGCTTAATTTGATGATTCCCTACCAAAAGCACTGCGCTTGCTTCCTAAGCGGCATTGTATCCTATGCGACTTGGCTAAGCTTATGGAAGTAGCCGAGGCTCATCGTTTGTTTCTAGTGGATATGCTCTTGAAACAACGGTGGTCACACGTAGAATTGTATCCGGTGTGGCAATGAAAAATCATTCTGGCAACTGTTTATATGTGTGGTTATATATAGTCTACCGAACTATTGACGTGGCCTGGTTACACGATGAGGCACAGCTTGGACTTATGATCTGTGTATTGCAAGACAGCAGCTGGATGAAGGTCCTACACTGGAAAAGCGGTCCAGAGAGAGGAATAGGGGTATTTGCGGTTTTTTATTCGCAAGCCGATCGAAGGAAATCGGAATTTTAGCGTGTGCTGCAAAGATATGCAGTCTAGACGAATTCTATTTTTGCCCCAGGTTGTCAAAAGTAGCATGTTGGCGTAGGAGAAGGCGTATATGGAAAGATAGTCTGTAAGAATGGGAAGTCCAACGAATCATTATTCGGACGATGTATCTCCTACCAGTACACCTGTCGGACATGCAGCCTCTCCAGCAACAACAGCAAAGGTGGATGAAAGTTCCTTAACCGGTTCTTCACGCCACAGCCACACACGCCTACAACTCCAAACAGCACTTCATGAGGATACCATATCATCTGATACTAATGATGTTGAGCCACTCTCACTACCCACCGTCATAAGCCCAGTTTTACCCGAGACGCTGGAAAGCAAGTTGTTGCAACGGTCACCACCCATCCTATCACCTGTAAGGTTTTCCGTGAATACATCACCTGAATTTGCGTCCGCTACGAAGCCGGAAAGGCCTACACAAATTCGACTTCCATCACAAAAGTTCATACCACCTACTGGTGCACTGACAGTGTCTGCTGTACTTTCGCGCTCTGGTCAATTTCATCCTTTGCCTACTACGCGGGCTACGTTCGAAGATGACAAGCATAAACGGCGAAGTTATTTCGATTTATCGCGTAGGAATTCAACCGACCGACCAGAAAATGTACAACAATATGATAAAGAGGATGAACAAGCGGACGAATTTGCCTGGAAGACATTGCTCTCTACATTGCCGGAGTCCATACAAGAACTGTGGCGTGAGAGTACAACGTCTGCATCAGGAAAGCAAGGCAAGAAAAAGGCCGGTCAACATCATACGGGTAGTGCTCTGGAAGCTATTGGTGCGCTGTTTCTCCAACAAGATACAGGCGGTCGTTTGGATGAGCTGAGTTTGAACCGGAGTTGGACTGGAGCTGCTTCATCTCCATGGGATTGGCAAACATGGTTAGGCCGACTTCCTTTGAAGTATATACTCTCTCTCCTCTCCTATATCTATGCTGCCATTGTGTCATTTGTCATATATCTGATGACCTTTGCCTCATCACTCTCCGGCATGAACTCGCCTTCTCTGTCTCAGTCCGATGAGCTGCCCGAGACACCAGTGATGATGCCTGGTGGCTACTTTCATGATCCAAATCAGTTCCCTATGCTACCCCCTCCCTTGATTGATGATGAAGGCAGTGACCCCAGAAGCTTTGAAGGCCTGCTAGGTGTCCGGCGAATGCGAGAACAGCAACAGCGTCGGCAACAGTATGAAGCTCTCGTGAAACGGAATCGCCCAGCCCACCGTGTAGACGCGTTTACTGCGTTTATTAATTTTGTTCGGTCAGCCAAAGCGACACAGGTACGCCATAAGGCCTACCGTATACCCAGACGTCGTTTTACAGCTTCGCGTGATCCTAATACACAAGTGTGGACATGGGGGAAATCGAGAGAGAAACCTAGTGGTACCCCTGCAAAGCAGGAGCAAGCGCCGTCTTATGAGCTGCCTAAGCAACCAGCGCAAGATGACATGGACTCTGCCGTGGAAAGTTCGCCATTGGGCTATGTGTCTGACAGCGAAGTCCCTTCATCTCGAGTTCAATCCTACAATGTCCCCTCATCACCAATGGAGGAGTTGGATTTGGCGATGTCTGTACCGAACTTGGAGCTGCCCAGACCTTCAAGTGCACAGGCTTTTGCCGCTGGGGATTCCCAGCCATTGTTGCATCGTCGCATTACGCCGCAGGAAATATTAAGCCGCTCTACGTCAGCACACACGTCGCCTGACAAACCTCCGTCTTCGTCGGCTGTGTCGCCTGCATCAAATCTGTCTTCAAATGAGGCCACATTAAGCTATGTTTGGGTCGGTGTGTCCGTCGTGTTTGCCTGTGTCACATTCCTCCCTGACTTTTGTGTATTTTTGATGGCTCACTTGCTAGATCTTGTGATGGATACGTTTGAAGTGTTGTCTTATACAGTGTGGTTCCTTCTTTGGATTTGGCAGAATATTACCGGTCAAACGATCCTTGGCCAAATTGTCTATGAGGCTTATCACTTGGTTCAAAAGGAATGGGAACATGTCATTCGTGAAGACCATGAAGAAGCGTCGGAACATATGGTTCGCTTTCTGGGCATTCCCCTGTTCCGCCAACCGCGTGGCTTAAGTACGTGGCAGGTATTGCGTGGTCTCATCGAGATCATCTGTATACAAACGGTTACGCGCGAGCAATATCAAAAAGAAGGAGCTGGTTTAGTCCGACTGCAGAACTGGCGTCGGCATGAAACCAGTACATCTTCTCAGAAGGAGGAAGGACAGAGCGAATCGAAGGACCCGAAGGCAGGCGTCGCTTCTGAGTCGTATGGCAGCAATGAAGAAGAAAGCGATGACGATGACGATGATGACCTTGTTGTAACGGATCAAACGGTTGATGTTTTGGAACTATCTCGGAACACGAAGCCACAGACCGAAGAACAAGTGCCATCCAAACCTCATCGGAATTATCCGTACGAGATGTGGCATGAGACCAACGGAGCAATGGTCCGCAACATTAAATGGGCTTCGCAGTTGTCCATGTCAGCCTATGGTTTGCGTGTATTGATTGTGGACTTGCCTCCTATATTCACGCCTTCCGGGCAGGAATTGCCAAAGCAGACCTTTGCTCATCTAACACGACTCCAGGCTGACGATGTCCTGCATGCTGATATTCAGAATTTGGATATGGAAGCAACGTACCTCCCTACGTTCTATATTGTCCGCGATATGCGGCGCAAAGTAGTCTGCGTCGCAGTACGTGGCACGCAAAGTTTCGCTGATATTGTGGTGGACCTGGATATGAAAACAGAAGATGTGACATCTTCGCTTGCCGAATGGCGTGACACTGAAGTCGACGAGAAGACAGAGCGCTTCGCGTATCACGCCGGTATTTGGCGCGCAGCCAAGACGCTTGTGGAGCCAGGCTCCGTGTTGTTCAAGAAAGTGTGTGATGCACTGAACGAGAACGAAGATTTTGGTCTGGTCTTTGTGGGGCACTCACTCGGTGCTGCCATTGCAAGTGCTGCTGTTATCCAACTATCTGAGTACCATATTGAGGATACGGGCCCGAATGCCGATCCCCGCAAAGGTGTATGGCGCACATCAGGGCAGACTGGGTACCCGGCAGGGCGTCTTATTCGTGCTATTACTTTTGCCCATCCCTCCACACTCTCACATACCCTGTCTAAGCGTGTATCCTATGGCCGAGTGCCGCTGGTCATCAACGTAACGTATGCCACCGACTTGATTCCGCGGTTCGGTCATGGTCAAGTACGAGAAATTCGCCGAGTGTTGGGTGCGCTTACACGTGTGCGCCGCCGGCGCAAAATGGTATCAACGACCATCAGCAGTCATCCCACGTATGCCAACGAAGACGATGAGATCCGTTTGCATGTTATCCGCCGGTTCTGGGATTGGTGGTCCATTCAACGAAACAAGTCGCCGGACCAGGTGATGTTGGCTCGCAAAAAGCTGCTTGAGAAGCAATTCTGGCGGCTACGTTTGGAGGTGGAAAGTGATCTATACACGAATGCTCGACGTCGATTCGAGGAGGCCGCTGCGGAAAAAATGCACGAGACTCAGACGCCCATGTCACCGTGGGTTCCAGAGGACCATTACAAGGCGATGCCTCTGCACACCATGTCGGGGCGGCGTCAGCGCCTTGATTATGCCACGGTGCAGAGTGAGTCTAGGCAAGGCGGTGTTCTCGTGCCTGGCGGCCGCTCTTTGTGGCTCAATGACGGCGAGTTTTACGACATTACAAACCCACTGGCCTTTTTCTCTCTGCCAGATCTACACTTTGCCATGTTCACTGATCACTTTCCGGCTGCGTACGAGGAAGCAGTCTTGGCATTGGACTCGACCTCCACATAATTAGGACATAGACTCTGTAAAAAAATGTTCGCTACTTTTGTAAACCGGGAGGGTACTCACCTCGCAATTGCCTCAGCTGGAGGGCGTGTCTGCGACATTCGCACGCCCTTCATGCTCGATTTTGCGATGGAAACTCCAGCGTGTTCATCGCACAGTATGGATCACGGCGTAGTAATGCCCGAGCCATGCAAGGATATGTTTTGCTCTGGGCACTGCGATGATGCTGTAGACGTGTGTCATGAATGTGACCCGCCCTTGGGATGCTCCTCAGATACCACAATTTGTTATGATCCACACTGTGCGATGCCACCGTGTGACCATGATCATATCACATCTTCGCTGACTTTTGGTGTACTGCCATGTACCTATCCAGCGACAGTATGTTGCACCCTACCGCATGATAATGATGCCATGATGTACCAGGGCCATGACCCGCTGGCGGCCTCCATGAATGGCATGTCGATGCCATGCACCTATGATTCGTGTGAGACAGGAATGGATACATCTTGTCTACACCATGTGCCTCATTCGACGCACTGGCCTGCGTGTGATCAGTCTTCGAGATGTGTTAGCGTGTGTGACGGGTTTGTGACGCCCACACCACCACCATACCCATCCTCTGGAACTGGCTCCATTGATATGAATTATGCTTGTCAGCTTTTGGAATCGACCTGCCAGGCTTGTACATCTACAGATCCCTTGGCATGCCACGCGGTGAGCACAAATGTAGCGCCCAGCCTTGTATCAATGACACCCAACTCTATGACGCCTACCTCGTCTCTCCTCCATGGCTCAGATGGCCCCGGATCAAGTGATACATCTTGTTCGACACCCTCGTCAAACACATACCCGATATCACCTCAGATGCCGGACACGTCCATGATCCAATTTCCTTGCCGCTGGGCAGGCTGCCAAGTGCAGATGCCCACGTTGGAAGAGCTAGCTTTGCACGTCCAGAAATTCCACTTACATCCGTCGGCGACGACACAGGATCCAGCAGCTTGGCACGATACCCAAAATATGGCTGCGTCGATGTCATCTCTGCTACCAGGTCCGACTACCTCCTCCAGTGCATTGACGCCCTCTACACCTATGCCGATCTCCACAGCACCCAATAATCCACTTCCCTCCGAGATCAAATTGGATCTCACCGAACATTTTCGTGAGGCAGAGGCGCTATTGCAAGAGTCGCATACGGCGTGTCTATGCCCTCCCGCCCAGGAAGGTCGCAAGCGGCACCCATGTGGCTGGATTCATTGTACAGAGAGTTTCGACACACACGCTGAACTTACAGCACATATAACAGCTCTGCATGTGGGATCTGGCAAGACCGAATACGAGTGCGGTTGGGTGGGCTGTCCCCGAGCACAGGAAGGGCGCAAGTTCTCCCAGAAACAAAAAGTACTGCGTCATATCCAAACGCATACAGGCGATCGTCCCTATGTATGCCCAGAGTGCCACAAACGCTTTAGTGAGGCCAATACGCTGACACAGCATATGCGCACACATACCAATGAACGTCCATACAAATGCGACTTTCCAGGCTGTAACAAGTCCTTCAGCGTCGTTGGCAGCTTGACCATTCACAAGCGGACGCACACGGGCGATCGTCCTTTCAAATGCCCCTATCCTGGATGCGGAAAGCAGTTTTCGGAGAGCAGCAATCTGAACAAGCATATTCGTGTCCACCGCGGTGACAAGCCTTTCAAGTGTCCAGAATGCGATCGTCGCTTTACCCGACCGGATCAGATGGCGCGTCACCGGAAAGTGCATGCCAAAGCAGCTGTTAGTGCCGCTGCGGCTCATGCTACAGCGACGTCTACATCGAATTCACCAGCTCCATCTTCTCACCCTGTACCCCCATTGGCGTAATGTGACTCAAGCGCCACGATCTTTAGTTCACACCTTGTAGTTAGCTTTGTTACGTAACGTTGCTGCGCGGTAGCGACAGTTCTCCACATTCAGAGAAGGGGACCCAGTGTCGGTTGACGACGCCCCTTTCGTATGCTTGTCCAAGTCGGCGGACATCCAGGCACCGTACACGATCATGGCGCATGGGTGATCAAGTCGTGTTTAGAGACAGAAGCGATGTTTTATCATGCCACGTACCATACTGATCCTGACGAGGAGGCGGCATTGATACGTGCGAAAAATGCACTCCAGGACTACTTGCCTGCCTGTGTCGGCATCGCAGATCCCCAGGGAGTATGGCTTCCTGGGTGGCCCACACATGCTTCCACCCCTCCCCCCATTCCTGGAGCCTACTCCATTGCCCTAGAGAACTTGACAGCGCCGTTTCGTCATGCGAATGTATGTGATATCAAACTCGGGACCATTCTGTACAATGAAACAAACCCTATGATTTCAGACGAAAAGCGCGAGCGTATGCAGCGAAAGGCTCAAGAGACAACAAGTGCGAAATTTGGTTTGCGTATTACCGGCTGGTGTACGTACGATGCTGCAACAGATACCATGCACCGAACCGATAAGCAGCCAGGCCGAGCCGCACGGACCAAGTCGGACGTGGCGCGGTTGCTCATAGACGCCTTGCAGTTGAAGGACGCACGGTATGCACGTATTGTGCGAGAGGCGATGCTGCCCCGCCTCGACGCTCTACGCACCTCACTACAATCGATTCCTGTACAGCTACGGAGTACGAGTGTTCTTCTGGTGATGGAAGGCGACCCTGTCTCGCTCAACAGGGGCCGTACTTCGCCGCCCGTGGATGTACGGCTCATTGACTTGGCACACTCACACTGGTCGAATACGCCAGACGAGGGTGTACAGCGTGGACTGAACTTGCTGTACGAACTATGCCGTGATCTATGTACGCAACTGCTCGGCTAATTGACGCCACGCTGCGGCTTCGGTCGTGAGGGTATCGTTGGTATGCGCCTGTAGAGTAAGGAAAGAGAAAATACGTACCGCCAACGCATCATGGATTTGCATGCACAGCGCATCAGGTGGCGTCCCATCTTTGTGTGAAGGATAGGTGTTCGTGGCATATTCACGTAGCAACCGCGCCATTTCTGCGTGAATGCGAGTCAGGCTAAGAGTCAGTGCCTAGGTTCAAAGAAACCTACCCTGCCATGAGCATGCCCTCATGCTCTGAGCTGCTTAGTTGGGCAATAGCACGGTACATATGCGCATAGGCTGTCACAATCTGATGCGTAAGTGAATTTCGACGTACATGCAATAATGCCTGAGACGTATGGCCGCTCCGCGTGAGGTCCGTAGATGAGGCGGTGACAGCCCCCCACAATTCCAGCAGACCCGTGCGTGGCGGTGGAGGGCCTTGGCGTGGGCCGACCGACAAATGCTTCATGGCGTCGACTTCCGTATCGAGGGCCTTGGCCACGAGAGGCCAAGTTTCCAAGACGTGCTGCATCAGAGCCGACTCCAACTCAGGCACAAGGCAGTGTCGCGCTTGGGCAACGCGCATAAGCTCCTGCGTGAGGGTGACCATTGTCAAGTGCGAAAGCAATGGTACATGAGGCAGAGCCAACATACTCTTACGGAAGTCTGCAAAGGCTTGCATGGCAGGCTCCATGACCTGTCGCCACGTCTCGCGCGTGACAATAGCCTTGTGTTCCTGAGCCTCGTCTTCGGACAAGCTCAGCATACTTTCGGTCGGCATCGCAGCATCCGGTGCCCATGTCTTTTTCATACCGACCCCGGCAAAGAACCGCGCTAAGAAGGCGTATTCGGAACACGCCGTATCGAAGAACACCCAGGCCAGGGTGTGGAAGACATGCTCGGGACTGGCATGGAAGTGCGTGTCTTCGCCCTGATACGCCATCAGTGCTGTAGCAGAGGCTGTAGGCTGAGCATACTGCAACCGGTCGAGCGCAAACAGCCCCTCTGGATGCCGCGGTGCATCGGCTACCAGTACTGAGGGCTCCGTCCAGCGCTGCAGAATACGCTGTAGCTCACGGGTGTACCTCCGGAACGCCGTTTCATAGTACAGACGCGCAGCATTGATATAGGCCAGTTGCACTTCTGCAGCAATACGTGGCGCATGCATCGCGAGGAATTCGTACAAAGGCTGGTTGTGAGGCAAGAGGACAGAGAACTGCAGAATCGGCAACGTTGTCGTGACAGACGTGCGAATCGGCTCAAAGAGGGAGAGAAGGTAAGGATAAATCTTGGTAATGGCCTTGGTGTGAGTGAACAGGGACGTACCAGGTATTTGCTTTGCTCGGCGACCGCGTTCGCTTGGGCGCGTGCTGTGCCGCCTTTCGCGACATCGTTCTGTTTGGCCTCGTACTCATTGAGCGACTGCAAGCACGTTTCAATTGTGTGAGCAGCATGAACCCATCCATGCAGATCCTTCTCTACAGGCGTGTCTCGCAACAAACGAACGACGGAGGGCGGGACGACACACGTCTCGAGCCATTGTGCCAATTCGGAGGCCTCCGCTTGCTGCTGCGCCAGTTGGTCACTGAGAGAGTGCGAACGATCTTGCAACTTTTGGATGTTGGTCGAGGCGGTAGTGAGCTGCGCTGAAAACTGCTCGAGCTGCTGCCGAATGGTAGCGAGGCTGGTACGGGACGTGCGAACCTGTTCAGCAAGGGCCTTCAACGCTGGCTGCTGCACAGCGGCCTGCTCGTCCAACGCATGATCCGCCTGCGTTATCATTCGGTCACAGTATGTGCCGATATCCACACGCTCCTTCTGTGTGATTTCGGCCAAGGCCGCGGCGATGTCCACCGCGCCGCCGTTCATGTCGTAGTGGAGTGACGATGACAAGGGAGCGTCGTCCCAAATGGAGGTGCGTCGCTACCCAAGGTGGAGACAACGAACAAGAACGAAAGACGAGGGTATACATACATACAGCTACCAATACACGGACGCCAGGCGCAATTACCAGCGAGGCAACGCAGGCGTATGCGCTCGAGATAGCGAAGAGGCTACTAACGAGCTGGGTGTACGTGTGTGCGACGACGTTGATGAGGCCAGCGATGCCGCACTACTCGTATGAGACGGGGGGGTCAAAAGAGCGTCCGGCAGTGTCGAGGCGGAGGACGTCACACCGACCTTGGCACTGGGCGTTGAGGCAACGTGGTACGGCGCCGTGCGCGATTGTGAAGCGGTACGTCCACGTGTCGCGCCCGGTCCTGACGCGGAGGCTGACGTGGGCGCTCGACGATGCGTCGCAGCGACCGATACAGGCCGCGTCGTAGGGGGGCGTTTGAGCGGGGCGTCCGAGGCTGCGGCGCTAGGCACATGGTTCGCCGTACGTGAGGCGCCTAAGCGATCTGTCGACGGAGCGCCAGGCCGACGTGCGCTGCGTGGATTCTCTTTCGCACCGCCAAGCTGATCACGCAAATAGTCAATAAACCGCACGCCATCCATCAAGAAGGGCATGTTGTGCTCCGCTTCCCAATTCGGCAGGACCTTGAGAAGCTCCTGCTCGAGTTTCGGCTTCTGGACCTTGACACGTTTCCGCATCTTCTCCTCACGGAGCAATCGGCCTGGATCGCCACGGTTGCCACGGCCCAGCAAACGGGTCCCGTCCTGCGCGCTTTCTTCCAGCGCTCGCGCTTCGTCGCAGATCGCACGGTACCGCCCAATGAGCTGCAGAATGGGTGCACGTTGTTCAAGCATCTCTGTCAGCTTGGTATACACAGCTTCATGCTGCGCAAGCAACTCGTCCCAATCAAAGGAGGCAGAGACCAAGTCGTCATCGCTCGGCAGCGTAAGGAAGTACGCAGGGAACGATGATTCACGCTCTGCTTCGCTCATATACAACGCATCCCATTGCTCCCAAATCTGCTCGCGCGTCTTGGCAATGAACAATGCCATGTGCTGCGTCTTGAGCACGCGCATTTTCTCCAGCTCCGTTCGGTAGGCCTCCACGACGTCCAACGTACTTCCGCGGTGATCAAGGACAAACGCGTCCATTTCCGTCTCGGGGACATCGAAGCGCATCCACAACTCGCATAGCTCGTCATAATACGACTGGATATTGGACTCGCGCTCGGATTTTTCGCGCTCCAAGGAGGTGCGTAGTTCGACACTCTGTTCAAGGATGGCGTTGGTAGGCTGGAGCAAATCCGGTGTCGCATCGCCTTGGGATGACGCTGGGAGTGGCATAGGATCAAACTGGCCATGGAAGGCCTTGTCGGCGTCTAGCACAGGCACCTGCTGTGTATACTCCAGAATAGCCAAATGGAAACGAGTCTGTGTATCCTGCTCTGTGAGAGCCACAGCACGACCTGCGTGCACCGTCACCTTAGGCATGATATGTAGTTCCGACCAGAGCTGCAAGATTTCTGTGATTTGCGCCTCCATCTGTAGTTTTCGTTCTTTGTACACGTCCTGGACACGGTGTAAGTATGCTTCCAGTTGGCGTAGCGTATCCGGTGTGACGTTGCGCATGCCATCGACATCGGGCGGAAGCGTGGGTTCCCCACCCGCTTGCGACATGCATTCATTCAATGCCTTGGCCTGACTAAGGACGAGGTCGCATTGGTCACGATGCGACTCATACAGCGACTCCAGCCGTGTCTGCTCCGCTGCGAGCTGCGCTTGCTGTGCCAGGAGCGCCTCTGACGAGGGGGGCGGTGTATGGGTAGCCCCTGTGACTTTGCACAGAAGCTGGATACGTTCTTCATGCTTACGGCACGTCTCTTCGACTTTCTCGACACGCGTCTGTACGTCGTGGACCTGCGCATGAATAGCGTCTCGAATGCACGCTTTAAGATCGGCCATGGCCTTTTCCAGTTCCTCTGGTGGACATCCTAGACGTTTGTGAAGTTGTGCCAGTTCTTCACTGGACGCATCAATAAGAGCACTGAGGGTGGATGCATCCATCACGGCCCCACAATCCTAGTGCCTGGGCCACGCTGACCGATGGGGGTGGTGTTGGTGGAGACGTACGTACGTAGGACAGCTGCCTACCCTCACAAGCACGTGGCCTACGCGACGCGTACGGCACGTGACTTGACGTGCGTCGGGGGAGTGTTGGTGTGGACGACGCAGGGCGAGGGGCAGCTGCGTGAGCCGCAGCGAGAGCCGCGACGCCAGGAGCAGCGCGAGAGGGCCCCGTCCTTTGTCCTTTTTCGCCTGTCGAGCCGTACCACGAAGTGGATTTCTTTCGTGGCAGACAATGTCCGACGTCGGCTCTGAAAACGGGACGGTCGTGCATCGCTCCGATGTATCGACCTTGCCGCCCATGTTTCTCCCGGCATGGAAAGCGACGCCGGCGCGTGGTCGTGATCGCTTCAATGCATTGGGCGGTGACATGTTCTCACCTATGAAGTTACAGCAGATCTTTCATGAGCCGAGCCCTTCGTCTATGAAAGAAAATGTACAGCTCTCATCGTCCACTACGTCGTCGCCGCGTGGCCCCGCCTCGAAAGCGGCGCATGCTGCGCTGGAGGCCGTGCCAACGCAGTCGGAATTTACGTTTCGGACGAAGCATGTGCCGACATCGACGCCCATGCCAACACGCCGAGTCTCTGTGAAAGGCGCCACGTTGAACGCAGCTCTCCAGGCGGAGAAAGCTCGTGCGGAAGCTGCTGCTGCCGCCGCCACAGAGACCGCCACGGGAACGACAGGATCTACCTCGGTCTCGGCAACACGGACATCGACGACGAGCGCGAGTACCAGCGCGAAACCTGTGCCGTCCACGCCAGGGGGGCCTCATGTCCCGCTGCGTCTGATCAATCTGCAGATGGACGCACACGTTCGCACAGGCCTGGAGCAGCTTGCGGAAGAGCGAAGTCGCGAAGCCTCGCGGGATGAATCATCAAGCATACATGATCTTCACACACACAAGCGCATGCGGGTCGCCTCGCATGAGACCAGTCAGACGCGACCAGTGTCGCGTCGCATGCCGCTATCGTACCGTTCGACCAACATGGATACCCAAACATCGCCGCCACACATGTCGCCCTTTGGCTCGTACCCACGCTCCATCCTTAAATCGACCGCGCAAGATACGCCGCGCGGTACCAATGCGCGCTCCATCAGCTTTGTGGATCCGTCGGTGCCACGTGAATCGCGTCTGGAGCGCGTCTTGGACGAGTTGGAGCACATGAACCTGACGCAGTCTATGCGTGGCGACATGACCACAGGCGATCGATCCCTCGGCACACAAGCGTCGTTCCGCGTGACGCGGGACAAGCTGATTGAGCTGCTCACAGACGTAGCGCCATGGGAGCCGGATTGGCATTCGATGCGTACGTTGGATTTGCGTGCGCGCCGCCTAGAGTCGTGCATTGGGCTGGCCGAGCATATGCCCGCGCTGGACGAAGTGTGGCTTGATCACAATGATGTGGCGTTTGCCATGGGGCTACCGGCCAGTCTGCGTATATTGCGAGCGTCGCACAACCACTTTTCGGAGCTCACGTCGTTCGAGCATTTGCAGCGGCTCGAGGTGATTGACGTGAGCCACAATGACTTGACGTCGCTCATGCCGTTTGCCCAGCTACCACATCTGCGGGAGTTACGGGCGGACCACAACCAAATCGTCGACCTGCATGGCCTCGAGCAGTGCCGAACGCTGCGTCGCGTGAGTGTGACGCACAATGCGCTGCATGGCACCCTCGACTTGGCCAGCATGGCATGGCATGCGATCGAGCGGATCGCACTCTCGCACAACCGGCTTCAGCGTCTCGATGGCATGGAGCATCTCTCCACCCTCCAAGCGCTGCATGTGGAAGCCAACGAGCTAAGCGTCGTGCGCAGTCTACAGATCTTGCCGCAGCTGCGTGTGCTGCGTGTGAGCGACAATGCCACCTTGACCACCCTCGACGTTGCCTGGGCGCCGCGGATCAAGACCCTGTACGCGGATCGGTGTGCCTTGCCACGCATTGAGGGACTGGCCCAGGCCGTCGAGCTTCAGCGCCTATCGCTGCGGCAGCAGCACACACGCCTGCAATGGCCCCTTCCTCTCCCGCCGTCCGTGGAGCGCCTCTTCCTGGCCGGCAATGCCATCCGGTCGCATGCGTGGCTGGGTACAACGCTGCCTGACTTGGTCTACTTGGAGTTGGCAGGGTGCCAGCTGACGCATATGGCTGCACAGTGGCAGCAGCGTACGCCGGCGCTGCGCTCTCTGAATCTGGACCACAATATGCTAACCAGCGTGCCGTCCTTGCATGCATGGCACCGATTGAAGCGGCTCAGTGTGGTGGGCAATCGCCTGGTGGCGCTCGAAGACGTGGTACAAAGTGTGCGTGGCCTGACGGAGCTGTGTGTGTTGGACGTACGCATGAATCCATGCACGTTGGGCCTGTACCCACCGATGGTTTGGCCCTGCGATGCTGGCGTCGGGCCGCGGGACGATGCTGTGAAAGCACCGCCTACCACCACACAGGCCTGGTGTCCTCCGCTGCCCAACCCGGCCATCGTACAACCGGATGCGGCGGCGGCATTAGCACGTGCTGCGCAGGCGCAGTACCAAGCCGCGCAAGCGCTCGCGGAGCGCTCGCAATTCCATAAACGCACGATGCTCTTGCCGCCGGAGCCCTCGGACACGACGCCCGGCTCGGATCATGCGGCCGATGGCGCTCGCGCCACGGTGCTGTTCCAAGCAGCCGATCAGCGGTTTGTTGCTACGTTGACGCGGCACACGCTTCAAAAGCGGCGTGTGTACCGCGGCCTATGTGGTATGGCGTGTGCATCGCTCACATGGCTCGATGGACTGGAGCTGGAAGAGCGCGACGTACAAGAGGCCGAGCAGCAGCTTCGATCCACGCTGTAGTTGTATGTAGAATGCGTAGTTAGGCAGAACGCCGCTGTTGAATCGTATCCACAGCGCGCTCCACGACACGCTCCAGCATCGTCGAAGAGAGGTGGCCACCCGACGAGGCGCTCTCATCCATACGCTGAAACTCGCCTAGCAAGGAGCGATATACGTACTTGCCGACCATGTCGAACTCCACGTTCACACGCGAGCCCACCGCCTTGGACGGCAGTGCAATGTGGTCCTGTGTGTGGGGGATCAGCATCACAGTAAACTCGACCGTCTCACTGGTAGGCACGGACGTGTCCTGCGTGCCAGAGAGTGGGCCACCGTTCGGCGGAGAGACGTCAATCAATGTGAGCGACGTGCCGTCCAGCGTCACAAAGCCCTTGGGGATCAGGTACGGCGCTAAGGTGGACGGCAGGGGGAGCGTAGCACGGTCCGCCTCAGGCTTCTCGTACACGAGACGCAGAGTTAGTGTCAACGCAGACTCGTTCGGGACAATCGATTGGAGTGTCGCCATGGTATCGACGTGGCCTTGCACAATATGCCCGCCAAATCGCGTCGTAGGCGACATCGCCCGCTCACAGTTCACCTTATCGCCGACACGCAGCGCGCCGAGATTGGATCGGAAGAGCGTTTCCGGCGCCAGATCCACTTTGAAAAAGCCCTGGTGCTCCTTCTCATCAAACTTGGTCACAGTCAAGCATACGCCATTCACAGCAATGCTATCGCCCAAATGGCAATCGTGCAGGATGGCAGCACAGTCGCCAATCACCAGTGCGTACGAGCCGCTCTCTGGATCGACATGGATCACGTCCACAACGGTAGCTACACGTTCCACTGCCTGTTAGTCGATCCAAGGCATACCTAGACCGGTGAACATCAAGCTGTGTGTCTGTCTGTGCGGAGAAGAAGCGTACAGGCGGGCGTGGTGGCGTCACGGCGTCTCGTCACGTGGAGGCGAAACGACCACACGACGCACGCCTCGTCGTTGACGACCGACCATGCCACGTATCCGCACGAGCCGCACACGGCCTCCGCCGGAGGGCTTCGAGGACATTGAAGGCATCCTGGAAGAGTATGAGACCAAGATGCGCGATGCTGAGAACGAGTCGCAGGAAGGCAAACGCAAGGCGGAAGGTGTATGGGGCATCATGCGCATTACGCACATGCGCTCGCGCTACATTTACGACTTGTACTACAAACGCGAGGCCATTTCACGCGAGTTGTACGACTGGCTCTTGGAACAGGGCTACGCGGACGCTGCGTACGTATGCATGGGACTTATACCAGATTGATTGCGAAGTGGAAACGTACTGGCTACGAAAAACTGTGTTGTGTACGATGCATCCAGTCCAGAGTACGTGTCGCAGGAGGAACACACTGACATCCTTAGGATATGAACTACGAGGGATCTACCTGCATTTGCCGTGTGCCCAAAGCGCAGCTGCGTCCGGGCACGTTTGTGGAATGTGTGCATTGTGGTACGTCGGTCCACGTCTCTCACCCACCCAGGATGTCGCGGCTGCAGCTCGGCTGATTAATATTGGCCCTTTTTTTGTACTTGTGTCCATAGGGCGAACGCCTCTCCACCTCCACCCAAACACACGAACGCGTGTTTTGATCTCTCCCTCGATGGCATCAACGACACCAGGGTTGGGCTCGTCGTCGGACAGCATACCGCAGCCTAGCACAGAGGCCGATACGACAGCGGGCACGACACCCGCACCTGAGGCCACCACAGCCGATCCATCTGGGTCGGCGCGGCCGGCCAGCTCGATGGACGGTATGCCGAAACCGATTGCGCTGCAGTCCAACGAGCAATGGACGATGCGTGTGAATCGCGAAGGCTTGCCGATATGCCGTGATTTGCATGGTCTATTTACCACTGTGCTCATTTCCTTGTGCGACCGCTGGCCAGACTGGCGGTACCCCTTGGCCTTTGTTTTACCTGCGGTCGTACAGCGTATGCAGGCCTTGCAGTTTGTGCAAATTGTACGCGACTCGGCGAATGGAATGCAGAATATGCTGTCGCTCAGTCAGACGATGACCTCGTTCACGATGGACCAGGAAACGGCGCACCGGATTTGTATGGCCTTCATTGACGCTTGCTTGCTAGAGCGGGTCGTGAACCAAGAAGGCGAAGTGTATGCCCCTTCTCCGAAAGGATTGCATCTCATCGACCGATTTGTCACGCGGCATGGTATTGCAACACGCAGTGTGAGCAATCTGTTGAACTTACATACACTCTGTGACAAACTACTGTTCCTCGAGCGTGACGAGCAGGACGACGTTTTGCTAAGTGATGCTGTCGTGCGCATTGTTTTCCACCGCATGGTCGGTCTATCACCACGCCGCACCGAGTCGAGTGCCATGGGTATGGCGATGCAAGCGACGTATGCCAAAGACGCGTTGGGTCAAATGTACGAGACAGCGCACTTTTCCTCGATCGAGGCACTCGCGTGGCTCGTGAATTTCACTACTTTGGTCTCGGTGGATGAAGCCATTGTACTGGCCGCGCATATGGTCCGTCTTGGATGGCTCGAGCCGGAGACGGATTTGCCACCGAGCCGCTCGAACCGTGTAGCGACCGTCCGTGTGGACGAGTCGATGACTGTGGATGGCGCTGCGTGCGAAGGCACGTTTGTGGAAGGAGAAGTGTACCATATTACTGAGCTTGGCGCTACGATTGCATGGAAAGTCGATTTCGTGGAGCAGCCCTCCACCAATGCCGCGACGGAGCGTCCTCCTACCTCGTTCTTCCAGGGCGAGCGGAACACGGATATGCGCTCTGTGTCGCCTACGATGGATGCCTTTGAATTGTATGGCACGTACGTTAACGAGAACCCTTCCAACACTGCATCGCCTGACTTGGCCACAGGCGGTCCGGCCGTGTCGCGCAAAGCCTCTGGCGTCTCGAGCATCCGCCGCACTCACAGTGTGAAGAGCCCTACACAGGCACCCAGCACCACCACACGCTCGCCCACAATGCCGTCAAGCACTGTTGTACGTCGCCCTATCCGGGAAGTGCTTCGCACAGTCTCTCTGCGTCGCGCGTTTTCGGCGTACCTTGCCTCTACGCCATCGGCCCTCGCGTTGCCGTTCTGGTGCCAAATTGAATGGTTCCGATCGGATTGTCGTCAGGCGACAGCTGGTACACTCGAGCAAGTATATGTGGCGGATCCTGTCTTGCATTTGCCCTCGGAATCATCGCTGCCTACGCATGTGCAGCGCCCAGCTGGTATTGATGGGCCGCGGATGCGCACAGCGATGCGCGCTCTCCTAACAGAGAGTGCCCGTGTTCGACTGCTGCCGTTCCTTTGGTCGATGGAAGGCATGCAAATCCAAGCTTTGTCGCTTGAAAAGCTTCAAGCGGCTCTCGATACCTACATGGCCGTGCCTTCCATGGCGGTGGACGAGGCCGGTTGGCCGACTTCGGCGGCCGCGCAATCCAGTGAAGGCCAGCTCGCGAAAGTGTTGTTGACAAGTGCTGCTGTGCAGAAGGAGGTCCTCGCGTACTTGGCCAGCACCGCATTGACGCAGTACTATGATGCTATAGACCGTGGCGAGATTGCAGCGCCCTAAGTAGATATACCAACATCGCGTTCGTTCGTACCTTGCGGTGGAAGCGTCGCTGCCTGCCTAGGGCACAAGGAAAAAATCGCAAATATGCCCTGCTAGCAGGGGTGCACACCAGGGCCCCTGTCACAACCTGTTCGTAAGTGCGCCCGCCAGCCCCTTACTTGCGAGGAGTGGGGCGGACATCATGGCTGGGATACCACCTCCGGGGCCTCCTTCCTTGCAGGGCCTTCCTGTGCCTTTATCCTACCAGAACCCGGGGCCTCATGCACCACATCCAGCACCGCACCATGGCTACTCGCCGCTGCCTGGCCACGTCGAATCCAGTGCCGCGCCAAGTCCCATCCCTAGCTCGGGGCCTGTAGCCAGCGCTTTGTCTTCCGTTTCAGCTGTTCAGCAACCAGAAGGAACGTATGCGCATGCGTCGCCTGGCCACGTCGAGCCCACTGTGACTGCGCCTCTGATTCCCAGCGCGCCGAGGCGCTTGACGGGTGTTATGTACGATGAACGTATGCTTCTGCACGAGACGCCTGCGGACGAAACGCATCCGGAGTGTCCTGCCCGCATTAACCACATCTACGAGCGTTTGCACCAGTCTGGCTGCCTCGCACGTATGGTGCGACTGCCTTCGCGCGAAGCTACGCGTAACGAAGTCTTGCTGGTTCACGAGCCGGACGTATGGGACTCGTTCGAGGCGTTGATGTTACGATCTCATGAGGAACTCAAGGCGTACAGCGTGGACCTTGAAAACCGTGCCTCTTTATACCTCAACCGAAACTCGACTCTCTCTGCGCGTGTGTCTTGTGGTAGTGTCGTGGATCTGTGTGTGGCTGTGGCTACAGGGCAGGTTCAGAATGGGTTTGCTATTGTACGCCCGCCAGGGCATCATGCTGAACCGACGTGCGGCACAGGCTTCTGTCTGTACAACAATGTGGCAGTAGCTACCAAGCACTTGATGCAGATGTCGCCCACGTCGCCTGCGCATGTCAATCGTGTGCTGATTCTCGATTGGGATGTGCACCATGGCAATGGCACACAGCGTGCCTTTTGGGACGATCCCAATGTGCTGTATATCTCACTTCATCGGTACGAAAACGGGACTTTTTACCCGGGCACGACCTATGGCCACTATGATCAAGTCGGTGGGCCGTCTGCGCGTGGTAGGACCGTCAACGTTCCTTGGCCCTGTGCAGGCATGACCGATGCGGACTATTTGCATGCGTTCCAGCACTGTATTATGCCAATCGCCTACGAATTTGCCCCCGACCTCGTCATTATTAGTGCCGGGTTTGACGCAGCCCACGGCGATATCCTAGGCGAATGCCATGTGTCGCCGGAAGGCTATGCCCACATGACACACCAGCTCTTGGCGCTCGCCGGTGGGAAACTTGTCGTGGCGTTGGAGGGCGGGTATACGCTGGAAGCCATTGCCGACTCTGCCTTGGCCGTCTCGCACGTGTTGCTGGGCGATCCGCTGCCTGCGCTTCCTCCGGGTCTCGTATGCAGCACGGCTGGCGCAGACACTGTGGCGCGTGTCGTGCGTACGCAAGCGCCGTACTGGCGCTGCATGGCCACGTCGCTTACCTACCCGCCTCTGTCGACCAGCGATGTGGAGACAGGGCCAGCGAGCATGGCGGCGGACAAGATCGTCTCGGTTCCTACACAGCCATTGCGTGAACTGGTTTTGCAGGGCCGCACTGCTCACTTGTGGTCGACGCACGAGCTGATTCCACTGCCCTGCCACGAATCGACGTCGCCGCTGAGCCCTGGGCAAGCTCTTTGCTCCTCGTCGCTTTTGATACCTACGACACAGACGCTCGTGGTCTTTGTCCATGACATGGGCCCTGTACACATAAGCCATCCAGACGATACAGAGCATGGCGCTGTGTACGTGTCTGATGCGGCAGACGATGTCGTGGCATGGGCTGCAAGGCACAAGTATGCGATTATGGATGTGAATACCAAGGTGCCTTTACCTGTACGAGCCATCCGCAACCACGATCACGACAAAGTCACCCTCCCAGCCACGGATGCGCAGGACGCCTCCACCGTGCTTGCGACGCAGTTGGAGTATATTTGGGACAACTTTGTATCGATCTCGCCAGCGTCCGACATTGTGCTGATCGGTCTTGGTACAGGCTGCCAAGGGCTCATGCACCTCATTACACAGCGGGCTGTGCAAAACCGCGTTCGTGCCATCCTCCAGGTCCTTGGTATGAACCCGATCCCTCTACTTCCCAAGATGCAGCCCGAGCTCAAGTCCTGGTACAAGAAGCATGCGTATGTCTTGTGCCCACACGATCACCCACGCTTTATGTGGAACGAGCAAAAGTCGTCCGGCAAGCGGCTCGGTAAGGTCGAGCAAATGCAGAGCGATTCGCCTATGCACATCCTCTTAGAGGCCCTGCCGCGTTTGGACGCGATGCTAGCCTAGTTGGCTTATAGTTCCGTCCACAGTCTGTGTCACACTCTCTTCCTGCTTCTCACGTGCCGGCGGCGTGGCACTGCCTTGATCGTCTTCGGCCTTGCGATGCGGTTGTTTCTCTTCCGTAAGCGCAGGCGGCCGACGCAGCGCAAGGATGGTATCGAGAGAGAGTGTCGCACGCTTGCCCCACTCGCCATGCGTCTCTGGGCGAAAGTCCGCGTACAGACCATAGGCGGCCGTTTGCAAGGCCGTTGTCGATCCATCTCGATCCACGTACGAATTGGCGAGCAGCGTTAGGGCCCCCATCACTTGTGGCAAGGTCTGGAACATGGAGCGACGCAGATACTCAAACGCTCGCGAGGGCGGTACAATATCCCCTGCATGCAGACCTCGATACTGGCCATTGCGTAGGCAGATCACTGGGATCTTTGTGTGCAAGAACTCGATATGTGGCTGGTTTTCACTCACTGTCAGTGGCGTCCGTCCACTGTGCATCGCTTCTGGACGCTGCAGCGTGCGTGCCCGTGCTTCCGCGGCGAGGCTTACATAGCACTGTGCCAGGCTCAAGGCCTCGTTGATACCAAACCCCAGCTGCTGCAATACGACCACGGCCCATGCTGTCATTACAGGCGCCCGGTTCACCACCACATGGCGGCCACGAAGCGTACTCTCGTCCAAAACGGGGTGGAAATCAAAGGTATCTTCGCTTTCATGGTCCACCCCCACGCGAGATGGCGTAGCTACATTGCCCCATTCACGGCGTACTTGGGCTTCTGTACGTAGACGCTGTTGTTTTTCCATTCGTTCCGCTTCACTTAGACTCGTGCTGTCGTTCGTCAGCGCTACGCTCTGCAGGACCTGTACTATGCGATCACGCGTGGCTCCTTTGCACGGCGCGCCAATTTCTTCCAATTCAGGCGCAGAGATACGGCGCAGGTGTGCTCTTGTGCATCTCTTGCTTTGTGCCAAGGCATGAACGGTTGTCATAGCTTCTGTAACGGACACATGGGCCGTGCTATGTAGCGCATGAATCAGGCGAGGCAGGGGGATGGCGTCGTCCTTGTCAGCCTCTTTCAATGTCTCTGTGCCTCTTGTTGTGGGCGGCGGCGTCGATGCAGCGGATGTTGCCTGCGCACGCATCCGCTTCAACAGCGACGCGGCTCGGTCGGATGTGGATGCTGACCGTTTGGGTGGCATCGATGCGCAACCGCAGGGATGACGTCTTGCAAGCAGGGTGTGTGCGCGGACCTCCACTTCTTTCTACGACGGTAGCGGCGTAGACAGCTGTGTCGCGGCCTCGAGGATGGCTGTCACTGGGTATGTACACACGGATACTTACCAAAGAACTGCCCGCATACCTGCCCTACCGCCCAATGCGCTTGGTGCCATTGCAGCACACTTGCAAAATCAACATGGGGCGCAGCCAGCAGGGCCATGGCGCGTACGATTCCGCCCTTTTCGTCCTGTTCGCAACACATACGGCGAAAGCACCTCATCGCATCCTACTGAGGCGCAGGCGGACCGACGAAAACGACGTGTGATGTGGGATGTGACGGATGCTGCACACCCGCAACATGTCTTCCTCGTGATGGAAGATGCTACGCAGCCAACGCGTGCTGAGCTTCGCGCGTCTGCTTCGTCCACCGATGCGGTGTCCCACCCTGTACCTACACGATGGCATGCTCATGTCGTAAGTGCTGAGTTCCATACGCTCTTGCGGCAATCTGGCTTGCCCGGGCCGCTCGGATCAGCGGCGGGCACGCCGGGCCCTGGCGCATGGGTCCAGCGCGGTGCGCATATCACGCTGGACGGTCTTTCTTTTCGGGTGCGCGTACGAGGCTCCCATTCACGCAATGGTGCGTTGGATTATGCGGCCGAGCATGACGAGTGTATTCTGAGCATCGGTAATGTTGTTGTGGGTACAGATCGTGTGAGTGGTGGCATGGTCGAGATCCAGTATCTTCCGCTCTCCCACCTATCGCCCGACTCCACGCTGCTTGGCTCGATCTTGGTATCGCTCTTACCTCCTGATATTGTGCCCCTCCTTTCCCCCCTCACGCCGTCCTTATCTATGGCCGTGCCCACGGTGGCCCCACGTACTATGCTCCCAGCTGAGCAGTTGGAAGAAATTGTACCTGCCAGTACCGCTGCATGGCGGATGCCTCCTCCGGCGCCGACCCATGCGCCAGGGTTCGAGGCGTGGGACGATTCTCCTTCCACAGAGACGACAACCCCGCCGTCTTCCATGGACGACGCGGTGGGATGGACAGGTATCGAGGCTCGAAGACGTATGGCCTACGTCCATCTATCCATGCTACGAACGGAAGGTTTAGCATGACATACCCAGCTAGCTTGTATAGGATCTACGACACGACCATGGCCACTCCCTCCACCGACGGACGCAGCGGCCTGCTTCCCTGGCAGCTGAGCTGCCCATTGGGCTAGCCTACGGCCTCCACTTGCGCGCTGGCTGGCTGGCTGGCTGCACGCGCCAAAGGGGGCGCGACGCGCTTTCGCAACGGCCGAACGAGCGTGTGGCCTTCCTTTCTCTGGTCATCGATCTCACTTGCCTTGCCCAGCAGCATGAGCGCGCCGAGTACGCCGAGGGCCGTCCTTCTGAAGGGGCCTACGCTAAACTCGAAAGTGTTTATGACCGCGCTCCCGGAGCGACATGAGGACTTGGTCGCCAAGGCATGCGATCTCTTCCGCGTGCCTGCTGACCATACGCCGCAGCTGTACGTGTCGTGTCAAGCTTCCGTCGGCCCAGCGTCGAGTGAGCAGCGTGGGGCCTTGCTTCTGGCTGATGCGATGCCCTTCCTTCGTGATCGCGAAATGATCACTGTGCGGTGGGCACCGACGGATGTGCCTCGACGTGATAAGGACGGTCGTGTCCAGTGGGATCCCAAGCTGGACGACGTGCGTGCCGGCCTCACCCCTGTGCCACGCGTCCCCGGCCCACCGCTTTGGCGCGGTCCACAGGCGCGAGCTATGCATGTTGCTCGCGTGCTGGAGCGCGAACGTGCCAACTACAGCGACGATACAGTTCGGAAACCTGTGCTGGCCAGCCCTTCGTCGCCGATGCCATCAGTGGCATCCTCCGACCCCACGACGGCCGCATCGACTCCAACCCCCCCGACGACCGACGACGTGTCGTCTGTGTATACCAAGCCTGCTGCTATGCCGCCATCCGAGTCGCCCTTCCACGAGCCGCTTCTCTCGCCGCCGCCCAGCTCACCGACCGAGTCGCCCAGCTCTGCAGCACGACCTACGCCGACGGAAGCTCTAGATATGCCCATGTCGCCAACACCCCAACGTAAAATGGCGCCTTTGGAGTGGCCTGGTGATAGTGACGACGACGCCTCTCCGCGTCTGCGCCTGGCTCGTGATACCAAACCGACGACGTCAGACGAAGTTCCTCCGTCGACTGTCACAGATCCGGACGACGAGGGCGCGATGGACGACACTGCCACATCTTCACGCAAGGGCGGCTTTGGTGCATGGTGTGCACGTTTGAATCCGTTTGCGCGTGGTGAGGAAGAGATGGCGCAGCGCACAGCCTCACCGCCTCGTAGCACTTCCCCACGAACGCGGAAAGCCACTGAGGACGACAACGATGCGGCCAAGACGCCTGCGACGGACACACCTACCTCCTCACCCTGGACCGCACAGGGCGCTGTGGCGTACGATATCATGACCCAGGTTCTTGTCGCTGTTCGTGAGCATCCAAAGAATGTCCACTTTACCAAGCCCCATGAATTCCGCTGGCCACAGCAGGATGGATCGACGTTGGGCGTGTGTGTGTCCAAGCGCACGTTTGACTCTGAGGCGCCCCTGGCCGTGTTTGCCGAGGCGCTGCATGCCTTTTTCGATACGAAACCTGTGTCCGTGACCGGTACGATGCGTGCGCACGAACGGGAAGCCGCCATGCTTCTCAAGTTTGCCGAGACGTTGATGGGCGAGCTGCAGCGTACAAGTGCGCCGCCGCCACCGCCTGCGCCGGAACCCAAGGTGGCCGCGCCTGCTACCTCGACGCGTGGCAAGCGTGGTGCCGCGGCGGTTCAGCGGGCTGAGACGGAGGCACCTGTCGCCAAACGCACGCGTCGGTCCTCGCGGCGTGCCACTGGCCGTCGCTCCTAGCTAGCTAGTCTTTCTTTGTACATTAGAATCATGTCACTACCACATACTATGAGGCTTGTTTTTTCATGCTCGATACGATGGGGCAGCGAGGAGGTATCTATCATATTACAGCTCAGCCAGAATCATAGTACCGAGACTCTGCACGATCTGATCGCCCATCGCCGCTTCTACGGTGTCTTCAAGGTGACGCTTGGGATCCTGCTTGCCCACATAGTGCGTCTTGATCTGCTCAGGCGTGAGCTTCGCTTCTTCCTTCACAGAGTTTTGGTAGTCCTCGGCCAGCGTCAGCATGCGCTTGACAGCGGCCTGGTTCATATGTTGGTGCTCCTGGAAATCCTTAAGTTGCAGACCTTCCGTCCATGTGCGTTTGTGCAAGTTGCCGAGCATTTGCTGCTCCAGTTGCGTCTTGCGGTAGCCAATGGCAATGGAGTAGTAGTGTCGGTTCAAACCGTGAATCAACGACTGAATCGATGGCTTGTTCAGGTGGCCAATGTTGGATGTCGTCTGGCGTGGCTCCTGGCCCAGCATCACGGTCGATGGGTTGATCAGGCGGAACGCATCAATCACGACCTTGCCTTTGACAGATTCAATGGGGTCGACGACAATCGCCACAGCACGTGGATTCAGCTGCTCAAACGACTGCTGTGTATTGATATCGACACTGGACAGCCAGCACCCAAAGCCAGGGTGCGAATGGTACCAGCCTACGACCACTTCCGAGCGGCCCGTCTGCTTAAGCATATCCAGCATCTTGGTCTGGAAGACAGGGTCAACCGCCTCGACACTCACACCGGTACCCGACTGAGGCATAGCAAACACATCGACAACCGATACGGTATAATCATCGACAATGGTGCCCAGCAAGAGACCCATCACTTCCATAGGCACACCAGCACGGCCATGCTTGAGCATTTTCAAGAGCGCCAGGCTGCTGATGTACACTGTCTCGGCGTTGTCCTGCTGCGGCACATCTCCAGAGGCGGGCGTCGACGACGCCCCCACCCGCGCTTGGTTCATAAGGGCTTGCAAGTCCATCCTGAGCAAACTGGCACTTGGTCGCCGTCGTCGTGGAAGCAGCCACCACCAGCGAGGCAAGAGCGACGACGCGCGTCCCATGTTTAGTCATGCTGATTCAGACTATCCAGCAACTACCTAGATGTGCTGCCTATACTACGCACGCCGCGTCTGCGACCGCGCACGCAGCGCCTCCATCCGCTTCGCGAGGCGAGCCTGCAAGGCCTCTCGGGCCTGTTCAAGATGCGGCTGCGATTCTGCGGCGTACAGAAGGCTGTCCATCAGCGAGTATGGCAACGCTAGGCCCTGCGTGGAGGACGAGGTGCGTGCTTCGTCTGTGGCTCGTTGCACACACGAGGCACTGTACTCGAGTGCCTGCTCTAGCTTCCCTGCGCGCATCATGACACGGAGCAACACATCTGGCGCCTGTGTATCGAAGAAGGTGGTGAGCCAGCTCGGCGCCATACTCCATGCATCCATGGCGAGGAGTCGTTCTGCGATCACACGGGCATACGTCGTGTGCGCCTGGCCTGTGGTCATGGTCCAGTGCATATGCACATACTTCCATGCGCGTTCATGCGCAGGTCCGGCCCAATGCGCAGCACGCGGGGAGCGACGTAGGAAGGCCGCATGTGGATCTGCTGCTTCTTCGTCATCGAGGCGAAGGGTCTGCAAGCTTGGATCACTCTCTTTCTTCTGTACACGCTCAACGCGGCGAAGGTATGATCGTTGAAGCTGGACACTGGTCTGAGTCAGAGCATCAAACAGGCTGTCCATCGGTAGAGAGAGCTGGCGAGCTGTTGTGAATGCATGGTCCACATCATCGTTGGCCAGCATCAAATGCATGGCATCGTCAGCACGCAGCGGCGTATGTGGCAGCGCCAGCTCTGGGTACGTCCGCATCAAGGACAGGCGGGTCAGTAGGGCTTGGTATGCATGACGAACGTCGTCCAGCTGCACAATGGCCAGCGGCGCACTTTGCTCTGTGAGTGGGATAAACTTCGTCACGGTGCCACGCAGTGCGCGATGAGGGCCTTGTGCATGTACTTCTTCGCCCGCCTGGTCCGTAGCATGCGCGAACCAGGCTTGGGAGGGAGGCAAGAGCGTCAGAGCATTGATCGTAGCCAAGTAACTTTGGGCCTGTGTAACGAGCCAGTGCTGGGCACTGTCCGCTTCATTGGGCGCGTCGTGCATGTGTTCGCCGATGCGATGCGCGTGCTGGTACATGGACGCCGCTGCGCTTTTATAGTCGCCTCGTGAGACGTGGTAGGCGTACAGGATATGGAAATACGAGGGCTCGGCCCAGGGTGTCGCATGGCGCGCCTGGAAGCTCAGCGTTCGCTCCACATGCGGCTGCCATTCCAATAGGTCGAGGCGCAGGAGCGTGCGAACTTCGTGGGACTGGCACAGGGTCGTGACCAGGGACGAGAGGCAGGTCGTACGCAAATCGTCCCACGGCAACGCCAGGATCGTCGAGCTCGCTTCATCGTACAAATGCAGGGCGAGCTGGGCACGGAAAAGCATCGTCCATACTTCGCGTGCTTCCGCCTCTGGGACGTCCGCCCCGCGCTCCAAGGCATGCATCGCTTGTTGATAGCATTGATACGAGACGTATACATCCGACTCGAGCCACGTCGCAGCGAATCGCCAGAGCGAGAACTGGGCTGTGGGCGTTGCACTCGCACGACACGCCGGCGGCACCACGACGTCCCACGCATGTTCTTGCACGCCGGCCTGCATACGAGCGGACAAACGCACGCATTCTTGGTACGCCGCCTTGGCACGTCCCGTATGTGCGTTCGCCCGCATGCGCAGGTAGGTCGATGTAGCGTCGTCCCAGGTGGCCAGGCAGGCGCGCACCGCATGCGGAGCCACGTCCAGCACACTATGCGCCAGCACAGGCACACTTGCATCGTGTGCCACACCACGGCCTAGCGCCGCATGCAAGACACTCAGCGTCCCGACGTGGTCCTCCCACGTCGACGCCAGCACGTAACGCGCACGTGCCTCTTTCCACGACGCGTACGCTTGGGCTTGCACACTCGCGAGCGCTGGCACGGGAGTCACGTGTGCTAAGAGCACCAAGAGGCCACGCAGCCCCTGCAAACGGACGTGCAGCGAGGCAAGGAGCGTGTAGGCCTGAGTCGCGGCAAGCCAGGCGGTAGGGGTGGTGGCTTGCGTGTACACAGCCACGGCCTGGGCGACATGAGAGACCCATACATCGGCGCCCTCGCGCTCGACCATGGCCGCCAAACGCGCGAGCAGGTCCGAGGGGAGACGCAGCGCCGCTAGTGCGCTCAACGACGACGACGGCTGCAGCGCGGCATCGATTTTGCGTGCGGCACGTGTGCCAAGTGTATACACGGCCTCGGCCGCCCATGTGGCCACGTCCAGCAGTGCCATGGGATGGCTCTGGCCCCGCGTCTGCAGCAGGGCGTACGCCTCGTCGTCAGGCGCTTGCGTCGCACACAAGCGCTGCACCTGTACATATTCCGCCTGCGCCGCTTCTACGGCCCACTGTGCGCTAGGTCGGTCCGTGAAGGGCGCAGCAGCGGCCCATCGCTGCGCCACTTGCGCGAGCCACGCACCCGCGCCTGTCGGCTCGGCCACGCCCAAAGCGTGTCGTGTCACGATCCATGGCACACCGCCACGGACGTACAAATGCAGCGGCCATCGTGCCGCACGATCTAGCTGTTCCACACGGCGTGTGAAGCGCAGCCATGCATCGACATGCGAGCCCAACGTCGAGGCCATCGCTGCAGCGAGGCGCGGGTGCGTCGGTGTGGATTCCACTTCGACACCCTCCGCCCGCAACGCAGCGGCCAGGGTCGTTGCACTGAATCGCATCGGCTCACAGAGCCGAGCGAGGAAAAATGGCGCAGGGGCGTCTGTATGTTCAGCCAAGGCGGCATCCAACGCGGGGCCATGCAGTGGGGCATAGGGCGACCATGGCTGAATGCTACGCCATGGCTCTTCGGTATCACCTAGCACGAGCGGCGCTGCGCCAGCTTCCAACGTCGGCGAGCCACTCACGATGGTTGTCTGGAGCAAGGGCGCGCCAGCTGCATGCCATAACAGCCATACACGCCATGTCTCACGGTGGCGGACCAACGCCATATCACGCAATTCTACGTCCGGCGCTTGGGTCATGGGATCGCAGGGCCGCGTCCATACCAGCGCCATCTCACCCAGACCACCGGACCAGCTCCGACTCTCTTCCAATTCGACACCATAGGCTGCCAAGCACGCCTGGGTGTCAGGCACATAGAGCACCACATAGAAAGAGTAGATGCTGTCATCTGGATACAAGAGTTGGACAAGCGGCGTACTTCCATGCTCAAAGAATGTGGATTCTGCTTGCGACGTACTTGGGAGATCCAACGTACGGACCAAGGTATCTGTCGCCAAGTTCCACACACGAACCTTGCGATCACGACACACGCAGAATACCAACGCGGTGTCCGTATCACGAATGTGGCATGCCACGGACAGCGTCTGTGTAGGCGCCACACCATCAGGCGTAGCTCCCCCACGGAAGAGACGCGACAAGAGGAACGACGAAGGACGCATCACACTTTCGTGCCACGCTCCATGAGGACCATGCTCAGCGCCGTGCCATAGCTGTAAACGGATCAGCGCACCATCCGCACACGAAATGAGCAGCAGGCCAGCATCAATCACATGTACACTCGTAGCGGTAGGCGCCACACTCTCGCTCATATGCTCCACTGCATGTTCGAGCGCCCAGGTGGATGGGAGGGCCGTCCCACGCAGCACACACGCCACAGGGATACGTAGGCGGTACACAAATCCCGTGACAGTGACAACGAGTAGGTACAAGTCACTTGAAAGCGCATCTTCCCACAAGCCTACATGGGCGACAATCGGCGCAGGGAACGTGAACCGAACAGGCGAGGGCTCTTGTTTCGGCGTCCCCAGCAAGCGCAGCTCTACGTCCAATGTCGATGTGAGAACACGCGCCATTGCCAGAGCGTGATCACCCAGCACACTTACATGGCATGTCGCTGCGTCCCATGCATGCGAGGCGACAGCCAACGCGCCATCGACAGGCGTCGGCGCAGGTGCTTGCGCTGTCTCAGACATGGTCGGCACAACATAGACACGCTCATGCCGTGCCTCGTATGGATGCAGTGCATCCAGCGGCACTGACGCGATGCTGTGTGGCAGCATCCGTCACGAGACTCTGGCAAGGAGGAAAAGCTTCACGCTACCCACCACGAAAGAGCAGGTCGGTGCGACGAAGCGACCGAGAGTGTTTCGTTGACACTTTTTAATTTCACATATACCCACACGATGGCGGGCCACGCGAACGCGTTCCAAAATGGCTAGCTAGGTCGGCCGTTTTTATCCAACGCATCTAGACATGCCAACCCTCCACATAGAAACGGCCAATTTCGCAGCGAAACTTTCATCTTATCAGACGGTCCCCCCTGAGATCGAATCGGAGGTGCATGCCGCGTTGAAGGTTTGCAGGCGTTTTTTTTTTGTCGGACGAACATCTTGCCGATTCCCCTGGGCCTCTCCCTTCCTAGCCTCTCTCCTTATATATGCGTTGGCTACAGAAGCGCGGGTGTGCTTCGGGTGCTGAGCGACGGCCACGTCGCCTGACATTTCTAGCTCGGGGATTTCTTCTGTTAGCTGCCTTATTCTTAGTCAATGTTATTCTCTGGGTAGCGACGACCATCACGTTCACTATCAAGCACGACAACGGTGTTGCGCCGCCATCGAATGCATCTCATGAGGCCTCGGGTATTCTGAGCGGCGAAGACGATGGGCCTGGTCAAACGAGCTCACTTATGAGTATTGCTTTGATTGCTTGGACAACGGGTCTTCGCCATGCCGTGGATGCTGATCACATCTCGGCTATTGACAATGCCACACGTCGCATTATGGCCGTCCCACGCAGAGATGGCCGTGGTTTCCGGCGGCCTGTAACGGTCGGCCTCTTTTTCAGTCTGGGTCACTCATGTGTGGTGATTGCCGTGGTGATTGCCGTCGCCGTATCCTTTATTACCTATACACGTATGGACACCGTATCCGAAGTGGGTGGCATTATCGGCGCCTCTGTCTCCGGCTCGTTCCTTTTCTTAATTGGTGTCATCAACTCCATCATTTTAGTGCACAGCTTTCTTCAGATGCGCCGTGTTCGTCGCCAAGAACGACTAGACGAGGCGCGCGTCGAAGCCGCTATTGCCCAGGCGGAGGCACAAGCTCAATCCAACGCCGAGGTTGACGCACCTGCGGGGATCCCTCACCTGGCTCCCCCGCCGCAAGCGCACGTAAAAGAGGACGTGCCTGCTACCACAGAATCCGCTACGCCAACCATGCATCACGGCATTCACCTTGTCGATCCTTTCGAGACAAGGCCTGCGATGGATGAAAAAGAAGTACACAAAGTCATGGACGAGCTTAATGATCCCTCTCTTCCCGACAAAGTCGACGAGGCCCACTCGCCTACCGGTGAGAAACGTCCCACGGCCGAATTCCGCGGTCTATTTACACGATTGGCTATGCCGTTGCTCAAAGTCATTGACCGTCCATGGAAGATGCTGCCTATTGGTATTTTGTTTGGTCTTGGCTTTGATACGGCCAGTACCATCTCGCTCCTGGGCATTGCGCTCATTGCCGGCGGTGGTCTGAACGGGGGGAACTCAAACGGAAGCATAGTGCTACTAGCGCTCCTATTTACGGCGGGTATGAGCTTCATTGACTCTTGTGATTCTGTGCTGATGATTTGTGCTTATTCCTGGGAAGAATTGGATGCGATGCCGAAATGGTACTCGCCATGGGAGCCTGTGCCTGACAAGATTGATACGCATCAGGAAGTGACGACGTCGCGGGAGTCAGACATTGCGCATGAATTGGTCCTTTCCACGACACCCTTTGCCCTTTTACTTACGCTCTTGTCTGTCCTCATGGCCTTCATCGTGGCTGTGATCGAGATTCTAGGATTGATTGGCGAACATTGTTCGCAATGTTCTGCAGCGGCTGATCGTCAGGCGGCGACGCATGATGGTGGTCTGGCGGGCAGCTGGTGGTTATGGTGGCGTTGGTGCAATGACTACTTTGGTTACATTGGTATTGGCATTACAGGCATTTTCGTGGTCTGTGTTGTTGTAGCCCTCCTTTTCACGATCCGACATGCACGTCAACGGCATGCGCATCGTGCTGCTTTGCGTGACAGGGCCGGCAAGTGGGGCGTGCAATACTAATCATAGCATCGTCACAACTTAGGTAGATAATGTATGAGTAGGTGGCGTTGAAGGCATGGGTGCAGATGGGCTCATGTCTTCTGAAAAATCTCCTAATCCATCATTCAAATCATGACGAAGCGCCGACAAGTCTGCGAGCGAGCTCGTGTCTTGCAACAGAGAGTCGTCATCATGGCTCTCATCCTGCTCAGGCCGCGTGAGGAACTGACGTTGAAATAGACCCCGTTTGGGCGCCGTCAATTCCGCCGGCGGAGGCACCGCTTCGCTGGGTATGGGCGACGACGACGAAGCGGACGTAGGCGGCTCCGTCACCTCGGCCGTAGGCCGTCGCGCCGTCGTTTCTTTGAGGGCTTGCGTGGCCCCCGCGGTCGTTTCGGTGATGGGCTTGGGATCGATTTTTCCACGTGCAGGGCCGCGTGCCTGCGTAGGACGCATCCCTGCCTGCGCCACGGATGCACGTGGTCCAGAGGTGGTCGAAACTGAGGGGCGTGGCATACGTGACGGAGCGCTCTCCGAGTCCTGGGATGCGCCTCGTCCAGGACGGCTCGGGCCCGTCAGCTCGCTCGGCCGCGGCTTCATCCTGGCCATTGTCTCTGACCGACCTGGCCATTGGCTCGGTGCTCGCGTTACCGGCACTGGTGCTACGACGCTGGGCCGTGGAGCGACGCTAGGGCGCGGTGCTATACTGGCACGAGGCGCCATGCTGGATCTGGGCGCCACGCTGGGCCGCGGCGCATCATTGACGGGTATTGTGGACGCCATATCACTGGCGCGCCGTGCTGTGGATGGTGGTGGCGCAGATGGGTGCGACACACTAGGCCGCAGTACACGACGACGTGGACTTTTGCGCGTCAGCCGAGCAAGAGGCGCATGCAAACTGGGTCGCGAGACTCGACGTGGCGATGCCGTGGCATGTGTACGTGCACGCGTAGGGGTATGGGGTCCTTTCCGTTCTTTGCTAGGCGATACAGAGCCACCACTGAGTTGCGTAAGCATGCGCTGGCCCTGCGCGGCCATGTCTTGCAAGGCCGCTGCTATATTGTCTGGCTCGCACGTCTCCGCCTGTACATCCTTGGAGGCAGTCTGTAGCGTGTGGACCGCTTGCATGGCCCATTCCATGCACATGAGCATACGTGGCGCCCACGTTTCATGCACAGCGTTGTACAGCGCCGCTTTCGCTTGCTGCGCCTGAGTAGCTTGCAGCATCGCTGTTTGCTTGGCATGCGTAGCTTCGTACAGTGATGCGCATACATCGTCTGTGCTTGCTAGCGGCGGCGCCTCCGATACCAGGGCCGGTACTTCCAATGTCGGTACCGGCAGCAGCGCTTGGCATCGTTCTGCCATACTGGTGAACAGCGCTGCTTCACGATCACTGCTCGCGCGGGGTAACGCTGCCTGTGCCGCATCCCATGTTGCTTGGGCTATGCACGACGCACCGTAGGTGGCAGGCACCAATGCTGCGGCCTGGGACGCCTCTACCTGCGTGAGCAATCGCTGCTCGGCAGCTTGTACTTCGACTTGGCGTTTGACCATCGACACGGACGACGAAGATGACGACGATTGTGAGAGCTTCTCTTTCAGTTCTGCCACCTCAGCACGTAGCGAGGCGATCGCCTGGACGTACTGAGCCACATGACGATCAATGTGCAGCAAGTTTCTCGAGACTTTGGTCTGAATGTTTTTGGCTTGGTTGGCATATTTTAGTGTGTTGTGAGTCTCGTCGTAATGCACACTGGACGGGCTCACACAAGCAATCATGACCGTCTTGCAGTTACCACCCAGAGAGAATTTTAAAAGACGGGTCAGCTTGCTGTTCCGGTACGGAATATGACGTCCACGCGCACCGCGTGCACCTCCTGACTGACATAGGGCATTGATACAGCTGCCGAGTGCGAGAAGCGAGCGATTAATATTCGCACCTTCCTTCATACGCAGGCCATGGTTGTTCGTGGCAGAGGCACGTTCCGAGCCGGCCAAGTCGATGATGTTGAGGGAGGCACTGCACATTTCCTCGACGGTATCTGCTGTACGTGGCCGACGTGAGACGTTCACTTGGAGGACAGCGTGACTACGACTGCTCACTGCATTGGCTTCCGTGGGGCTCTGTGTACGGCGTTTGTTGCCTTCCGTGATCATCGCAAGAACCTGCTCGGGCGACTCGGGCACATGCTCTGTAATGCCGACTACTGAGATCTTGCTTGCTGCATCTTCCCGCAAGGCCAAGCCTGGGCCGGGCGGCGTCGGTGTCTCGGAGAGCAAATCCCGGATCGTTTCATTGTAGATTTCCAAGTATGACAGTCGTACATCGGTCTCGTACTCACTCTTATCGGCATTAATGCGCTCATACAGTCCTTGCATGGTCAAGAAAATCAAGCCAGGGTCCTCGGCTGTGCCGCTAATAGTATGGGTCTTACCACATCCTGTTGCCTGCTTGTCAGTTTGTCGTTGCGAATACGTACGCCGTAGGCAAATACACTTGCATTGAACCCATTGAGCACTCCCGGCAGCATGGGCTCAACGGTCCCACGATATACTTCGCGCTGGGTCGTGGGCGGAGGAAATACGCGATCAAAGGCGTAGCGTACATCGCGTGGTCGTCGTCCATTGCCATGGAACTGCAGCGTGGAAGGCACGCGTGGCCGCGATGTATCGGCGCTATTGACACCGCGCGACATATCTGGATCACAGGGATCAAACACTAGTACACGGTCATCCACAGGCGCAATAATGTTACGGATGTAGTTGGTGCGCATAGCCGCAATGGCTGTCTGTGTTTTGCTGGGCGAGGCCGCGAGGCCGCCATCGCCTTGGAATGCCTTGGTTGTGTCCACTGGCGCCAGCAGGGACACTTCCTTGGCATTCATAGGGCGGACACGCACGACCACCTGGATCGACGAATCCGTCATACTAATGTAATGCGCACCACACACCCACGTCGTCTGCGGTGTAAAGGCACAGGCCGTGACGGCGCGCAGGCTGAGACCAACACCTGAGGTCGTGTTTGATCACGTGATACAATAGCCTACCAAAGGAACGCCGCTGGGCACGCGCGCTGCGTACGCGGTATAAGCGCTACCAAAAAATGCGCGAAGGGTTTGTTCTTCCACTGGGACGTCAGACGTAGAGAGGATACGTACCACGAATGCGTCGAGTAAAAAAGCGAGTCAATGCGTAGGCGAAAAGAAGGAGGCCTAAGGGATTGGCTAGCAGCACTTGCGTGCCGATAGCCCACCAGAAAAAGCCTGCATACGAAGGATGCCGCGCATACCTAGCGAGTGAGCAAAAAGTGGTACATACGCGTAGACACCTGTAGTTACCAGCACATGATCTTCTCGTTTTGTCAATGCCAGGGCATGGCTAAAGTTGGTCGATGCATGAATCATGGCTAGCGATCGTAGTGCTTGGCCCACCAGAAGGAGGGCGAGGCCTATGATATACAGGGAGGTATGCTGCTTCCACGATGGAACCATGTACCATTCAACAATGTATTCCAGTACGCCAAATGCATGTGCTGCCATGTACTCGACACCATTTTGCAAGAGGAACGCTGAGGTGAGATGAAGAGAGACGTACAATCTGATTGAAGATGCGTTTCGTTCCAGTATGCTGTCACGACAAATTCCAGCAGATGAAAAAGGGACCATGCGAGCAGGTAGGTATACAAAGCCGGCGCGACAGGCAGGGATGGCATGGAAGGGATCCCATGGCCGATCTGCCCTACGCAGAAGCCAGCCAGGGTGCCTAGCGCGAATGCCGTCAGCGCGATACCGCCTACCGCTGGCGAAACCTCTCGTGGAATCCGAGCAGGACTCGCGGCAAAGAACCACCGCTGTACCTGTACCACCATGGTAGTCCACGTTACAGATCGGTCTTGTCTCGCTGCTGCACGCAAGGCACGATGTTCTTTGTGCCTGTCAGTCTACCTACCTGCGCACGTGGCACCAGACAAAGAAGCGCATGTTTCGTACGCGCGAACAAAGAAAGGCACGACCGGCACTATAGACGCTATGCATCGATGACCCACCCGAGGCGTTGACCGGCCATGAAAGGCATTACCTGTAGCTTGGACGCATCGCCATCCGCCTTGCTTTGCGATGCTGGGTGTACGTAGGCCGCTGGCACATGGGCATCGGCCTCAGTACTGCGGCGCAGCTTTACCGTACGGCCGGGCGTAGCCGATTCCTTGTAGAAACGACGGCCATTTTCGCTCACGTAGCCGGCCAACTTGTCTAGGGCACCGAACGACTCCAGGAGCGTGGCGCAGAGGGGTAGCAGGACAGGTTGTGTGTAGACGCCAGCCGCACAGCCACAGTTCTTTACGAGGTCCTCTGTGGAGTTATTCCGACTGGAAGGCGACGGGTACTTGGATGCGAGTGGATGGGGCGCCGAATCCGAGCCCAGGAAGAAGCGTGGATGTCCCTCGCGGATGACCTCGCGCAAAGCTGCACGATCGTCTGGCGTTTTAGCGACAGGCTTGCAAAAGTGCAAGGGCTTGCCTGCCCAGTCGTCGACAATGAGCTGGAGATGGTGCGGCGTGATGGAGCATGCCACGGTATCGCCGCAACGCTTAACACACTCGACAGCTGCGCGCGTGGTAGCGTGCTCCAGCACGATGCGCAGCTGGGGGAACTGACGATGAATTTTTTCCAGGTGCGCGAGGAAGAGCGGTTCCGCGTTGAGGACACAGATCCCTTTCTCTGCGTCACTCGGCAGCTCACCGTGCAGGTTCAGCACCATATCCATCTCCTGCATCGCCGCAAAGACGGGGTAGTACATTTCGTAGTCTTCAATACCGCCATCGCTGTTGGTCGTCACGCCGCGTGGGTAGCTCTTCACGCCACGCACACCTGCCTTGGCAGCCTTGCGAATTTCGTCGGGGGTGAGTTCAGGGGAAAGGTACATTGTCACAAGGAAGCGCGTGGATGGCGCGAGTTTCTCCAGCGAGGCCTGGTACGCCATCGCTTCGTCTGCCGACTTGATGGGGGGGACCAAGTTCGGCATGACATACGCCAAGTCCATACCGCCTAGTGCGACATGCGGCGTGACCAGCTCGCTCATCTCGCCCTGGCGCAGGTGGACATGGAAGTCAGCTGGGGATGGCACCTCCAGCACGTCAGCCTTCGTCATGATGGCGGTCTGCTAAGCGTCGAAGGCATGAAGGCACACGACGTCTCCACATCGGCCGAAGAGACCATTGGGCCTCGGCGGGCGTCGTGGAGGCGCGGCTGGGACGTGGCTCCCCTCACCGAATGCACGAGCCTCCTCCGGCGGACGACGTGCCGCCGTCGTACGAGTCCGTTCTTGCCGATACGTTTGGCGATGACTCCGTGCACCATGCTGCGCCTATGCCCTCTACGAGTGCGCCGTTGCATACGCCTCCGCTGCCGCCCCGTGTCTCATCGCATCGTGAGCCTTTAGGGCCGTTGCCTACGCACGAGCCACGGCCTGGCCACCCCCTTTTGCATCACAATAAAATGCTTGTATACCCCCGATACTGGACGCGATGTGAGCGGTGCTTGAATACCGGCTACAAGCACCAACATCCGTCGTCGCCCTGCTCACGATGTTGGCGCAAGTATGGCCGTGAATATGCCGGCGTCCTACGCCAAGCGTACGAACAAACTGGATCGTACTCACTGTTGCAAGGCGTGACATTGCAGGCACCGCTGCCTTCGGCCACATCGGCTGTGCCGTACACCGTCGCGACCTCCGCTTCAGCGCCGTACCAACAGCCCCACGTGCCCAACCGCCTCACGGACGAAGCGGTCTGCGACGAGGATCGGTACAGCGCAGCGCCGCCACGGTACGATTGGGCATCGCATGCGGAAAGTGACCAAGCTCTCCCGCAGCAAGACTATCCCACGTACACGCCTCCTGCGCCTCATCCCATGTACCCTCCGATGCCTATGCCTATGCCTGCGCCTATGCCTGCGCCTATGCCTATGCCAATGCCGCCTCGCATGGGGCCTACCATCGACTGGACTGGCTACGGCGCGCCACCCGGCGCGGTGATTGTCCAGCCGGGCGATCCACGGATTGGCGGCGTGCTATGCCCTACCTGTGGCGGCTCCGGCGAGCATGTCGACCTGTTCTCGCTGTTTGATGGCAACGATGAATGCGATACGTGTGGCGGAGCTGGGCGTGTGCCGGGCTAAGCGCCTACTACTAGAACTACAACACTACTTGCGGTACTTGAGCCGCTTGAAATTGACTGTGTGAGTGGTGTGCATACGTACAATACAGTTGAAGCACGCCGCGATCAAAACTACATCGAAAGCCGCGCTTGTACGAATAGTCCCACGGCCGCTCCACGATCCGAAACGCCACGTCCTCGTACGGCGGACCTGCACTAAAGCGCAGGAGCTGCGTACCACCGGGTCCCTCCGGATCGGCCAGCACGCGGTACGTCGGCGCGTGCGATGGATCTATGAGGTCCGGGTAAAAGATGTTGAACTTGTAGCCTTGCACGATTTTGGGCGGCGGATGCTCCGCATCGTAATGCGTTTGGTTGTACTTGTTCCATTCGTAGCCAGTATGCACACGGTTAAAGTAGCGTGGCTTGCGTGGCCGATACTTGTCTTGCCATCGGTATGCTTGCTGAGTGAGGTGCACATCCTCGTTGAACACTTCCTCTTGCACGCCCATCGCACGCGCTGCCTCTCGACGGACCATGGCGTCCGCAGCCGTGTCGCTGGGCACTAGCATGTGGGCCGTGGTGGCGCGTGGGACAAACGGCTGTTGCAGTACACGCCGACGTGCGTCGCAGAGCCGCGCTTGCATCGCGGGCCAGGTGGTATAAGGCAACGCTTTTTCGTCCGCTGTCAGCTCCGAAGGCGGTCGGCCCGGCGGCTCCATCGATGACATCCATGCATCGCGTGCACTCGCAGGTGCTTCGATCTGTGGCACGTGCTCGGCCATCGCCAGAGCTTCTTGCTGGGCCGCCTGACGCTGACGTCGGTGCATGGAGGCCACTCGCATCGTCATCATCGTATCGTACATCGTACGGAGCTTTGCATGGCTACGCACCACGACCAGACGACGCAGCATCGATTCCCAGTACTCCACATCGAGCGGCTCGCCCGATCGTAGTTTCTCGCGGATCGACGTTTGCAACGTGAGTAGTTCCTCCGGCGTCTTGTCGGCAAGCATCGCATCAATGTCCGCGCGAATGCTGGGGTCCAGTCGAGCTGTGGTATCATCATGCTGAGGACCTTGCAGCATGTCATTACATAGGAGCAGCACATCACGCCAGTACGCAGCGCGACTCGGCTCCTTTTCCCAGCGTGCCAGCAGAATTACATCGTCGTGCAAGGCTTGCAAGTCGGCAGGCGCTAAGGCTGACATCATACGCCCAGGCTCCTCTAGCGCCACATCCACGTCCATATCCATCTCCTCGTCGTCAGCACGAGACAAGACTTGGCCAGGCGGCTGTTCATCGTCCTGGTCGTCCTCTTCTTCGTCTTCCTCATGTTCAGAATGGGACCATAGCAGCAAGAGAACGAGCAAATCAATAGGTTTAGCACGATGCTCACGCGCACGAATGATCGCGCGTGTTTTTGCCTGGGCCAGCATAAACTCATCTTCTTTCGCTTGCCAATCAGCCATCGCCTCCGCTTCCGCCTGGCGTGCACGTCGTTCTTCGTCTTCGCGCCGCTGCTGCTGCCTACGCTCTCGTTCTGCCCGGCGCGCTTGCAGCCGCTCTACTTCACGCTCCGCTTCCTTACGCCGGTCCGCCTCGAGACGTGCCATGTCCTCCTGCGACATACCAGCGCGATGCGCAGCAGCATCGCGCTTCTTCCAGTGGAACTTCTCTTCCTCAACAGGGGCCGAGGACGAGTCTGCGGCATACTGCAGCCACACGGACCTTGCCCCCTGGTCGTCCGCATCGAGCTTCGCACGCTTCGCATGGTTTCGCCCAGGCGAACTGCGCATCTCTCTCTCACCCCACACGAGGAGGCGGCGTGCGCACGGTGGCCACCAAGGTGGCTTCGCGCGTGATCACGTGGCACATGGGGTACGGGGGCGTGCCACATCGCAGTAGGAGTAACGCTGTCACAATCAGGGACCGTTACACCTTTCACACACGTCTCCCTCTGGGCTGTGGTGTGATTTTGGGTGCGCAGATTTCCTCGGAAGGCATGTTGCGCGGCACACAGAGCAATTCTGTCCCGTCCAAATGGAACGACTTGCTACAGTCGAGCCAGGGCAAGCCACTGAAGTTGGAGGTGGCCTACCCCTCCTTCCATGTGCCTGACTACACAAAACATGTTCACAGCCTGGTAGGGCGGCTATGGGCGTATGATAACGTATCGGGTATGTTGGTCCTGGAGACGGGCCAGGCTCCGCCTCTGCCCACGGCGCTCCGCAATTCGCCCGTGTCCGCCGTGTACGAGGCAGGCACAGGCCGTGCACCCACGTCTGGCTCGCTGTCCGGCTTCAAGATGATTTGCGTATCTGAAATCTCCCAGGCCGATGTCTTGTCGGAAGAGGCCTTTGCCAAGGCGCTGCCAGACGCGCCGGCGCAGCTCACCGTGGTGCCCTCTATCCCGCCCGCCGTCCTTGCGGCGCGAGAAGCAAACGCTATCAAGAAGTGCGAAGAACGTACGCACCAACTTGGCCCCCGTGAAGCTGGCGTGCTAGGCCAGGCTGTATTCGATGCGCTCAACAAAACGTACGTGCCACACTCGTATTTCTTTGCTCACTCTCCAGCCTTCCTTGTCGATGGCACGAGGCTCATATTATTGTTTTGGACGAGGTCATTATTGTACGTGGGTGATGCATATGTCTAACTCTGCTAGTCAGGACCAGCCTATGACAAGTCGTCTACTTATGTGCCCAACCTCTCAGGTGAACAGATTGAGCGTCTGTTGAACGAAGGCGGCGAGTCGGATATTGCTCCTACAGTGGATCGCGCTGCTGCCAAGGCGGTCACATGGCAGCGCGTTGTAAAAGTGGTATGTCTCCTTCCTTTTCTCTTACTTTGTAAGCTTGAAGGCGTTCGCAGCAAGTTGCTTGTCAGCGATATGTAGATTGAATGAGAGGTACACTAGCCATGTGGCGCCACGTGGCCCAGTGCAACCACGGCGGGCGCCCGTCGCCTCGTCCTTGTTTCTTAGCTAGCTCGCTGTCTTACGTCATGGCGTCTGTATTCACCAAGGCGTTCCCTGCGGCCGTGAAGGAAATCCGTCTGCATCTGTCGCCCAGTGGCGCTCCTAGCGCTGGTGCTCGGTACGTAGTTTGGCAGGTGGAGTTATGGTACTAACACAAGGGCAGTCAGTTCTTGTCGTCGCACTACAAGTCGATCAAGTCGAGCAACCCCTCGCTGCCATTCCTGATTCGCGAAGCACAGAACACGCCTGCCCGTGTGTTCGTTCGTTTCGGTATGTATTAGTGGATTGTCTTGCGAGCCGCGTACTAACACCACGGCGCTTGATGCACTATACCTACGTGCTATGCCGGTAATGTAACAGAGCGTGGTGTTGAGAAGAATGCCGAGATTGATGGTCTCGAGGCATCGGCGGTGGAGAAGAAGATCTCGGATCTACTTGCCTAAAGCATACCATGTATCATCTATGTCCAAAGGCTCTCGTATCTGTATCCTATGACGCTTTTATGATATAGACACATAGTTTTTTTCGACATTACGCTGGGCTTCTACGCCTCCTGCCTATCCTCTCTTGACTTGCCCACCAGGCTCGATAGCTACCAGAGCTTGGTGTCACCTCCCCTCTTCTGCCGACGTGAGCTTCGACCGCTGCCTCCCGACGTTCTCTCTCCCTCGCTGACAAATCGCAACGGAGTGACGCTTCGTCCCCTCCACAACCACCTGAGACACCTTGTCATCCGCCATGAAGATCCTGTCGCGTCATCTCGAACGTGATGGTAGTGGCACGATCACCCTCATGCCAGAGTGCGAGTACGTTGATCTGCGTCTGCTCATACCACAGTGAGGATCTATACCATCTTTATAACCTGATTCAGCCAGAGGACCTCGTACGCGCCTCCACGGTGCGTCGTATTCAGAGCGAATCCAGTACAGGCTCGATTGAATCTCATCGAATGCGGCTGCAATTGACGCTGTCTGTGACAAAGATTGACTTTGAAATGAGCGCTGGGAATTCCATGTCCAATACCGCAGGCAGCGGGACGGACTCGGGCAGTGAGCCGCCGTCGGAGACATCGACACCGATGAGCTCGTTGGTTCTTGGCGAAGCAGGCCAGGCAGCGCCATTAAGCGGTGCGAGTCAAGGCCAGCCTATGCTGCACATCTCTGGACGTGTGGCTGAAGAAAATGATCATGTGCGTACAGGCTCGTTCCATACGCTTGACATTGAGTTGCAACGCAAGTTGTCGATCACAAAAGACCATTGGGATCAGCATCATTTAGACATTCTGGATGAAAGTGGCGAAGCAGGAAACACGGCTGAGGTTGGCGCTGTAATCCTGGGTGAAGGACGTGCTATTGTTTGTCTACTGACCAGCCACATGACCATTGTACGGCAACGCATCCAAGTCGCATTACCGCGGAAGCGAGCTGGTGCAGGCTATGGCAGTGCGAGTGCCTCAAGCGGCACAGCGAAGCTCACCGAGCGCTTTAATACACAAGTGTACAATGCCGTCATCAAACTCTTATCGCTCCCGGAAATGCGTGTTGTCCTTCTTGCTTCGCCAGGCTTCTGGCGTGAATCCATGTATGATTACTTACTGGCCGAGGCGACAAGGCGCAACGACAAAATCCTTATGGGCAGTGAGGGGAAGCGAAAGTTGCTGAAAGTGCACTGTGCTACGCCGCATGTGCATTCGCTTATGGAGGTGCTAAAGAGCCCTGAAGTTTCTGCGCAACTCCAAAATACCAAGTTTGCCCGGGAGAACCAGCTGATGGATCAATTTCTTCGCACGCTCGCATCGGACGAGCTTCGAGCATGGTACGGTGAAAAAGCCGTGTTCCTTGCAGCGAACCGTGGTGCGATCGGAACGTTGTTGTTATCAGATGCCCTCATGCGCAATACGCACCCTACGATGCGCAAACGTTGGCTTGATTTATGTGAGCAAGTGAAGAGTTATGGCGGTACCTCCGTATTCTTTAGCTCTCTTCATGAAAGTGGACGTCAATTGAATGGCCTGGGTGGTGTCGCTGCCTTGCTCACCTATCCATTGGATCTTGAGATGGTCGAAGAAGAAGAGGCCGAAGCTGCTGCCGAAGAGCAGGCGAAGAAACAGGTGCAGTGATACGCTACTCCGGCTCTTCCGTCATACCACGAAACAGTGGTGTATCAGCACGTCGAGACGATGCGGGTGGTGGACGATGCGACGCACGGCCAAACTGCGCATGGGCCACGCCTGTCTCAAAGGGTCGTCGAGCTGCACTGAACAGTTGTCGTTGCTCTTTCTTCGACGAATCATCATCTTCCACCTCAAACAGGTCCGGCATCGCGGCTAGTACCTCGGCGCTAGGCTCCACGACTACCACAAGCTCTTTGATGAAACTGGCGAAGTTAGACATGACATACATACACCTTGAAACTCGAGTACTGCGTGTCAGCGCGTCCATAGACATACGTACAGATGCTATTACATATGGTTTTCTTGTATCTTCCGGCTCTTCATCTAGGGTATAGGGCTGCGATGACGTGGGTATATCTTCATTATCACTTTCGGGGATGACATGCTCTTCTACGTCGTCTGATTCCTGTTTGACTGTGGTGCGCGATTGTGATGGCTTGGGTGGTAGCGGCGCATTGGCATCGATTTTGTCAGAGGTCGTCAGTGGAATATCCACCGAGGTCGGGCCGCGTGGAAAGTGAAGTGTGCGTGACTGTGGTGAGCAGGGGTCGAGCGTACTTTGCGCAGCACGGTCGGCGACCGTTCCAATGGCTGGAAGTAGTAAAGTACCTTGTACGAGTCTGCTGTCAGAGGTCCATCCACGTACCATGCGTTTGCACATGGATCTGTCCTTTCGTATGAGCCTGTTCTTTGTAGAGAAGGCTTGGCAGACTGGTGTCAGGGCGTATGTCGACGTACTGTGGCTTCAAGTCATGCTCTACGACCTGCTGGAGGAGCTCAGGATGTCGATTGATCCACTTGACATGCCTTTGATCGAGGTACAATACCATGGAGATGATGGTCGTGGCGGATACGCGCAAGTAGTACACGTTGCGCACGCCAAAGCGGTCCATCGTGGGAGAGGGTGGAGGACTGTGTCCGTGCGGCAGTCCATCATGTGGATGAGGGTACGACATACCTTCGCTCGGGCGCTGTCTACGACGGCGCCACGACGATCGCTTCCACGGATCTATCGGTATTGGATTGATGTACATGGCCAGCTCTTTCTGTATGATACGGTACCTAAAAACCTGACGTCGTGTAGGTACTGTGGCAACTCACTAGCAGGCTTCAAATCTATTCCGTTCCTCAACTTCTTCTATGCACGCGTCGTGCCGAATCCTATGGCTGCCTCCCTTAGCGCAGGCGAGCCGCTTCCAGAACATGGCCCTGTGCACTGGACAGAGGACGAGGACCGCCTCGCTGCGTTATGGCCCGACGGCGACGTGTCTGCCCAGGCAGGGTGGGACATGCTGTGGCGGCGGATGCAAGAAGAAGGCATGAGCTGGGTAAGTCCATGTCAAGGCGAATGGAATATGATCCATGCGGTCGATACACCCATTGTCTACCGCCATTTGTCTCCCGACGGTAGGTCTTCAGCCCACTCACGCCAGGCATCTTGACGTGGGCCGGCAATTATACCATGCCCCTCGATCCAGCACAGCTGCGCGTGCATCCGTATGTATTTATGTCTATGTTCTCACACTATCAGTGAGACGGGGTACCTGTACCACCCCTCGCCTGTGCCGCCACGGCGGCAGCGGCGTGCCACGTCATCCACACCGTCACCGTATGGTGCCTACAGCCTTGTGGCATCGCATGTGGTGCTTCAGCACTTTGCCGAGACGCTCGAGATCGATATCGATCAGGGTGGCGGCTCTGTCGTCTGGCAGGGGCAGGCACACCGCTTAGCGCTCCTCGATCCCCACGAGGATCTCGGTGTGCCTCGACGCGTCGAGGTGGCGCACGCATAGGGCGGCCCCCACGCTTGGCCTCGTGGCTGCGCCTTCCTGCAGGGTGCCCCTTGATGCAGCTTGGCTCTGGGATGCACGCCGTACATAGCCCTATCACCTGCATTATGTAACATCCCTCTGCAGCCTTGTGCAGAATTTCAGTGGCCTCGCTATGGGCTCTGGGCGTGTGGTTCTGGGAGCCCTCTTAGTGCCACCTTGGTCCTAGGTGCTAGTTGTGTCGGGACTCCCGCCATACGCGCTAGGCGAGGCCATTGAGATTGAACGTGCACGCGGACGTCCACGGGTGCTACGTTCCACCATGGATGGCGTCGCTCCACGAGGTCGTCAAGACCAAATTCGCTCCGCGAAACGAGCGTTGCGCCAGTTCCAACGGCGTCGCGCTCAAGAACAAAGCAAGCGTGCTTCCCGTACGCTCCGGGCCTCTGTGCTTGTGCAAGGCACAGAGAAGCCTACCATTGTACGCCAGAGTCTCACTGCGACCAATGTGCTGGGCACAGTAGCGCGTGAGTCGGCTGTGCGGGCCACAGACAAGTCACGGCGTCGTCTTTCTCGTCCCTCATCGATTCGGTTCGAGGACATGTCCGACCCACCAAGCCGGCGGTCGTCACGCACACTCACACCGGGCCAGTTGGAGTCTCTTTTCCCCTCTTCACGCGACGAGCGGCGCATGTCGACGGTCTTCCCTGCGCTTCGCGGCCCGTCTGATTCACGCCGCTCGTCGATGATCATACCTACGCCGGCGCCTGAGAATCGACGACGTGTAAGCCGTCATTCGCGTCAGTTTAGTATAGCCACACGGGGCGAAGGCTTCGAGCTAATGAGTGGGCAGCCTTTGAGCACAGGCGGTCCTCGGTCCTCGCGGTACTCTGTTCGTATGTCGTCGCTCGAGCCGGCAAGTCAGTTGTTTGGGCACCGCGCTTCGCAAAAACCGCTACCGCCGATCCCATCCGACTGGCGAGCGGCCTTGCAGCATCTGGGAGAGTTGGACTCTGACTCGGACGCGGACGCAGACCGTACCACAGCGCTGGAGAAGCTCGAGGGTCGATACCAGCCTGGCGCCTCGCCTGCGACGTCCGACAAGACGTCACGCCGACGTGCGCCTGTGCCCAGCTGGCTGGGCTTGGACAATGCAACGCCACGCTCGGCCACGCCCACATCGCCTACAGAGGCCTCGCCTGTGCCGGAATTGTCGACCGTGCAAGAAGTCGATGAAGTATCGACGTCGCTGATCTCCAAAGCGCCTGAGGCCGATGAGTCTTCCAGCCAAACGAAGCTGCGTCCTCTGCGCCTGGGGGCCTTGTCGTCGACGCCTTCGCGGCCGTCGGCCCCAGCCTCCGCTAGCGTGAAAGCAGCACATCGTGTATCGAGTCTTCCTTATCGTGCGTCTGTATCCCTGGACGAGGCGCCTGCCTCGCATCAGCACCAGGCAAAGAGCTCGCGCAGTGCACAGTCCACGACCATTTCCTGGCCGCCGTCCGAGCAGGCTGGCAGTTTATTCAGTCCCGAGTCTAATATATCCGATTCGCCCGGCGCGACCAGCATTGACTCGGCGGAGCACACGCCACGCAAGCGTATGGCTCATTCGGACGACTACATGCTGGAGGCATGGCAGCATCGGTTCACTGAGATGCAGAACGAGCTGAGTGAGCAGCGTGAGCGACACCTACATGAGGTGACGGCGCTCCAGCGTGAGCTTGATGATATGCGTCAGATGATGGGCTCGCAAATCGTCACACTTACGCAGGCACGCGACAAGGCCGAGGCGCGTATTGCTGAGCTGGAGAGGCAGATGGAAGCGACGCAAGTCGAGTTGCAGGACACGTCTGGCGAGCGCGATATGTATCGCGAAGACATTGGCGATTGGCGTACACGCTGCAGCGACTTGGAGCAGACGATTCAAGCCCAGCAGCTGCGTCTGGAGAAGGAAAAGATGTGGCGCCAGATGGCGCAGGCACGAATGCAGACCTTGCGTCAGCGTCTGCAGACGTCGGACAAGGCAGGTTTGGACATGAGCCCATCTTCGAGTTTCTCCACCACGTCTTCGCTCCTGGACGTGCCAGAGCTGCCGGAGCTGCCGGAACAAGACGATCCCAAGGTATGGGCGCAGAACATTGCACGCCAGCTGTCGAAGCACACGCCGTCGCACTCGGAATCGCTGCCGGATCTGACCCCAGAAGCGGTGCAGCTCGTATCGGATATGCGCGAGCAGATTCTTGCGCTGTACGCGTCCCTACAGCTTGAGCAGTCACAGCATGCTCTCACACGCGAGCAGCTACGTATGGCGCAGGCTCCGGTCGCGAAAGACGCCGACGAGCCAGTATCTTCCAAGGATACTACGACACCTACGGTGGTCTCCGCGCCCTGGGTCTTCACACCCGCGGACAAAGTGGCTGCCACGGCCTTGGAGAGCAGCGATGCAGTCGCCACCGTGGACGAAGAAGAAGTGCCTACGCCTACTGTGCTGCCTACAGAGGCCAGTGAGCCTGTGGCGACAGAGTCGACGCCGGCCGGCTCACCAGATACGTCCACGGCCGATATTCTGTTTGCAGGCGCCTCGGATGTCGTTGATCCCTTGGTCGGTTTGGGCCTCGGCGATGACGCGCCGGCTACAGACGACAAGGGCACTGGCACTGTGCCTGAGCACATGGTGCCATCGCTGCTTGGCGCGTCGGCTGAGATCACGGCATCTCACGCTCACTCCTGGTCGCAAGAGAGCCTCGGTCTGTCCACTCGTCCGCGCCGTCCGCCTAGCGAGCCGGCGACGCCGCGGGATACGACGGATCTCTTCACGACGTCGCCATCGGCGGACACTATGACGCCCATTGTGAGCGAGCCTGCATGGCCCGATATTGAGGCAAGTTACTCCATGGAGGAGCCGCCTGTGCCTGCGCTCTTGGCCTCGCCGGCCGACTTGGAAGGTGGTCTCTCGACTGAGGACAGTGTGTGGGTGAGCGACGAGGACGAGGCCGATGCTTCTGCGTGGGTCGATGACGACGCCAACCCACCTACGCCACGCCCTGAATTTATTCCTGAATGGAGCTTTGAGCAGGCGACGTACGAGGCGGCGCGGGATGTGCAGGTGTTTGAGTTGTCAGGCAACCATACGTCGTCGCGGTATGCGCGACGTGGTGCACGGCGTGTGCGTCGTACGCCTGTCGAGGACTTTTTCGGTATTTTGCATGTCGAGAAGGAAGCGCTTCCGCCGCTGCCTACGCCGACGTATGCCCTGGACATGCCGCCCGTGGATATGGACGCTCTCTCTACTTCTTCGGCGCCTGGCTTTACGCCCAAGGTGCGTGCCGCGTCGCTCGCGACGCCGACGGCGTCGCGTCTTTCGGCTGTCCAGCGCGGCTCTGCGCTGAATGACGATTCGTGGACAAGTTTGGAGGATTGGCAGCCTGCTGCGAAGACATTGGCATCAGAAGCCGCGTCGTTTGTCTCGCACATGTTCTCCGGCATCACTGTATCGTCTCCTCCTACTTCGTACGAGTACGCGGACAACACGGCGCTCCCTTCGATCCTGCCTTGCGATGTCGACGAGGAGCCGCCGCAAACGCCCACCATGCCCATGTCCAACAACCATTTGGCGCCCTCGATCCCGCCACCCAGCTCGCCGATTCCGCGCAGCCCCAGTGACGATTCCCCTGCCCCTCGTGAACCTGGCCGTCTTCGGTACGTCAAGTGCAATCCCCAGACCCGCATTCCTGTCCCCTCGCCTATCTGGGAGCTAGACTTTACCTACACCACGAGTACGCCTGGCGCGGCTCGTGTATTCACGATTTAATAGTTTATACATATCTCATACATGGCTCTGCCGCTACGAATACGATCATGTACATGTCTTGCCCTTCTTAGCTGACCCAAAAAAAAACACGGCTAAACCTAGTGGAGGTCTGCTTGATAGGCGCTGTGCCCTGCATAGACCTTGTCAAATGGTCGCCGTCGTACCCCATGACGTCGGGCGAGCTTCCGACCACGACGAAGGACGCTCCCATCAGGCACCCGCCACCTAGGTCCTCCCCACCGTGGAAGACCCTGCTTGTGAATGTGGCTCTAGGCGTGATACTTACCTTGTACACGACCTGGAGTCTATGTCCAGATCGATTGGACCTGGACACCCTCTTGCCCGATGACGAGCAGGGCGTCTGTCTGCCCACAAAGTACCCCGCTGAATCTTACAGAGATGGTCTGAGGCGCTTCGATTCCGTACCCAGGCCTCCGCGAGACCGTGGAACGTCATAGTCAGGCCGTGCAAATCGACACCACCGTCGGCGATGCATGGCCCGATCCAGACGAGGACGATACGCTGTGGAGTCAAGGGTCCCCCGCATTTGCGACCTGGCTTCGCCAGGCGTTCCTCCACATCCATCAGGGCGACCGTGTAATGCGCGAAGTGATTCATCAACATGGCCTGCTGTACACTTGGCAAGGCTCGGCCCCCTCTCTTGAGCCATTGCTCTTACTGGCGCACCAGGATGTTGTGCTGTGGAGGCTACGACGCGCGACGCATGGACGTGGCCACAATGACATTGAACGGCAAACGATTTGGGGGCGTAGCGCCGTGGACTGCAAGCAGTTTGTGATCGGTATCATGTCGTCTGTCGATACGCTGATAGCGAGCGGGTTCCAGCCCAAGAGTACTGTGCTCCTGAGTTTCGGCTTTGACGAAGAATCGGGGGGTAATCAGGGCGCTGCCCACATTTCAAAGGTCATCTTGAACAGATATGGCAAGTATGGAGTCGCTTTCATCGGTACGTATATACCATCTAACGACGCAGTGGACGAAGGCACACCGATTCTGCCCGCCGACGATCCCAGCTCGTATGGCCAGCCCCTGGCGACCGTTGCTGTGACAGAAAAAGGCTCGCTGAACGTGCATATGGCTATTTCAAGCCGCGGCGGTCACTCATCGCGCATCATTGCCACGTTGGAAGATCATCCGTTCCCCGACGTACTGGGCGACGCCTCGCATGCCTCGCTTCAGCACTTGCAATGCCTTCGCGATGCGCCGCACATGCCTAAGCATCTGCGTCGTGCCTTGCAAGAGCTAGAGCGGGCTGAAAAGGGCCTCGATGCGACGTGGGTATCGACGGGGGGCCGCCATGCGTCTTTGCCCCGCTTGCGTCGCTGGTACGAGAAGTTCTGTCGTGCCGACGACGGACTCGACGTATGCCCACGTCGGCCTCACTGACTCAAGTTTCACGATCGATACGAAGCCCGCGTCGCCGATTGAAGGAGAACATGCTGATGCATACGACCTGCTTTCTGACGTGATTCGTGGCACGTTCTTCCTGAGCGAGCCGCGGCATGAACTTCGGTCGACGGAGCCAAGCATCACGATACGGCGCCTCGGCACTACCAGCACTCTGTGCGTGTGGCGCCTACAACGCTGTTTGCCAACACGGATACCGCATGGTATACAGTATGTATACGGCAAAGCACGACTGACGCTCTCAGAAAGTGACTCGAAACATTTTCCGCTTTGGACCGCAATCACTCTATCCGGACCTGACCGGCATGTTTGTATCCAAGCAACTGCGTACGTACAAATGTGCCTACTTACTCTAGACACTGTCAATAAACATACCAACATTGATGGTCTGATCGAGAGCGCACACTTTTTCACAAACTTGATCGTAGCCGCGAGCCATTCTCCGATCGAGTCGCTCGCTTCCCCGGGGGCCTGAGGAAGCGTCTCCACACGCGCGCACGGTCGTCGTAGGGGTAGTAGATTTGCAATTTTGATGAGGCGATTGCGGGGGAGGCGCCTGGCCATGTGATAAGACGCCGCGCGGCTCGGGTGCGAGTGTGAGCCCGCGACGCCGTCCGTGAGCGAGCGAAAGAGAGCAAGACATCTCCATGTCGAGCAAGTACCAGACTTTGCCGTTGTCTACGTCGCGCCCGCACGCGGCCAAGGCACGAACATCACGACCACGAGCACTTCTTTTCGTCGCACTTGTGACAGTGAGTGTATGTGCCTGGCTAGGCGTTTGGCAACCTCGCGTGGATGAGCACGTATGGCTTGCTGGTGTGAGCGATGTGTGCCCTCAGGAACCCGCATACGATGTGGACAAGGCTTTTCATGGGCTCGATCTTCGTAGGCCCAGTATCAAGAAGTCCACCGAGCTACTGAGCGAGGCTGTGCAGATCGATACCACGGTCGGTGACCACTGGCCTGATCCTGATGACCAGGACGAAGTATGGCACGCGTTCCCTCCGTTCGCCAAGTGGCTAACGAAGGCGTACCCGTACATCCACGCCAAGTCGAGCCCGTTGACACGGGAGTTTGTGCACAAGCATGGCATTGTGTACACATGGGAAGGCACGGATCCGTCCCTGAAGCCACTTATGCTCACGGCGCATCAGGATGTAGTGCCTGTGAATGAAGAGACGGCTGATCAATGGATGTTCCCGCCCTTCTCGGGCCATATTGATCTGGAGAACCAAACTGTATGGGGCCGTGGCGCTGTGGACTGCAAATTGTGGCTGATCGGTATCATGTCCAGTGTCGAATCGTTGCTCGAGAGCGGTTTCCAGCCGAAGCGCACCATTCTTCTTGCGTTTGGGTTCGACGAGGAATCCAATGGGCAGCAGGGTGCCCAGCACATTGCCAAGTTCCTTGAGAAGAAGTATGGTACCTTCAGTGTCGGTATGATTGTCGATGAAGGCCAGCCTGTGGTGTCGCCAGCCGACCCTGGCAGCTACGGTATGCCATTTGCCGCGCCGTCCGTATCGGAGCGTGGTGCTACAGACATCCGGCTGACGTTCCATGGCGTGGGCGGCCACTCTTCTATGCCGCCCGAGCATACCACGATTGGCTTCATGTCGCTTGTCGTAGCCTACTTGGAAGCGCATCCGTTCCCTGATTTGCTCCAGGATGCCTCGCGTGCATCGGTTCAGCAATTGCAGTGTATGCGTGATGCTCCCGGTATGCCATCGCAGCTCCGCAAGGCGCTGGTCCGTCTCGAGCTCGCCGAGGCGGCGTTGCTGAGCGATACGTCGCGCCTCACAGCGCAGATGCCACGCTGGCAGCGTCTTCTGGAGTCGTTCACCTCGAAGCCATCCAAACTGGAGCGTCTCGAGCAGGCACGATCGGATGTCCTCGACGCCCTGGACTACACGTCCAAGGTCCTTATGAAGACCACGCAGGCGATGGATGTGATTCGTGGCGGCGTGAAAGTCAATGCCCTCCCGGAGCAAACGGAAGTGATGATCAACCACCGCATTGCCGTGTACTCGTCGGTCGCAGAAGTCGTGGACCGCTACCGACGTTTGCTCGTTCCGTTAGCGAAAGAGCATGGCTTTGGTTTTCAGATCGAGGGCGAAGAGTTGGTCCCTACGCCGCCAGGCTCGCAAAATGTGCTCGTTGTCGAGCGTATCAATGTATCGACCGATACGCATGCGCCATCGCCCTTTGAAAAAGAGGACGAGGACGCAGCTGCGTACCGTCTTTTATCCAGTGTGATTCGCGCGACTTGGAAGGCCGACCAGCCACGCAATGTGCTCAAGTCGCTGGACGATGACTCGCTGCCGGTGCAGGGCACGTTTACAGACTCGATCCGTGTCGGTCCCTCAGTCATGTTTGGCAATACGGATACACGCTGGTACTTGAACTTGACGCAGAATATTTTCCGCTTCGGTGCCATGTCGATTCACCCTGATATGACAGGCCTTTCGCCTTTGCGCCACGTTCACACTGTCAATGAGCACGCATCGATTGACAGCATTGTGAAGTCGACCGAGTTTTACTCCAACCTCATTGTGGCTATGGATACAGAAACGATTGAAAGGGTATAACGCACTACGTAGGTAGGTACCGATTATGACGACTTGGTTTGATCTTCGTTGGGGCCTAACGATACCATCACGGCAGGAGCATCAGCGGTAGGCGCGTCCAATGCATCTAGCTGCTCCTTCGTAAACAGCCAAGGCACAATAAACGTCCGGCATGGGATCATGAGAGTGATTATGATAGGAAAGCCGATCGCTGCGATGGTTTGCGAGATGGCGATGGTCAGGCCAAAAAACAGCCACTGAATGCCAACAAACTTACTCAGTGTCCAGCGCGAGAGTCGTATGCGTACGCGTGGATCCAGGGCAGATCGGTCTTGCAGAAGCGACAATGTGCGTGTCACGATGGGATTCGACTCGACCGAGGCCCACCCGACAAGCAAGAACACGCCTGCAAAGACCGCACGTGGCATCGTACCGAGCGACACGAGAATCGGTCGTGTCATGGCCCCTAGCGTCAAGAGGCCAATGACCAGGTGACTGAGACGCTGCTCAACCACACGCACGTTGTGCACGCGCGGGAAATGCGAGATGTGCAAGATGGACGCGTTGCCTGACGTGTGATGAAGGGGCTCCGTCGACGCCTGGCCCTCGGCTGCCTTAGCCTCTTCGTGCACGGGAATCTGGCGATAGACAGACAAAGAGTCTGTATGATCCGGTGCTTGAGGAACGAGGCCGTTCGGGACAGGCAGGCCCAGAAATCCAGAGAGCAGGGTCGTAATGCCCAGTAAAAAAAAGTCCCAATGAAATCCGGCCGGCTTGGAAATAGGGAACTTGCGCGCCTGCGCCATCACACTCGACACGTTGTGGTCAAAGTAAAAGAGAAGCATGATCATCAGCCCTAAAGGCGCCGCAATAAAGACCCAGCGTACTTCGATTTCCCAAAAGTCCACAAACCAGCCACGGTCAAGAGTAGGAAAAAAGCTGCGTGTAATAGGCAAACGTGAAATAGGCACTTCTTTCAAGGAGTGCTGGGGAAAGTGGGAGAAGCCCGTCCAAAACAGGCACCCTGCCACGAACGCAAGGGAGCCAATGAGGCGGCGAGCGTGGAATGGCAGATAGGTCGAGGACCCCACCAGGGTAGCAAAGTAGACGGTAACGCAGAAGAGAATGGCGATCGTCACAGACAGCCATCCAGTCGCATTATCGTGGCCAGGCAGTGAAAACTCAGCGATCAGTTGCTCGATGCCCTTTTCGATATAAATCACACCGACGTACAAGCCAAAAGTATCGGAGATCATCTCTGTGATGAATCGCGTAAAGTCGCAGATATTGAAAATCGCGACCAGAAAATGGAAGCCAGCGGCCCAGATCAGGACCCAAGCTTGCAAGCGCAAGTAGTGCATTTGGTCAAATCCGTAGTGCTTGTGGAAGATGTCATAGATCGTATAGTTCATTAAATCAGTGAGACCTGTGACGCCCACAAAGGTAAGTGGCTGCACGCTAAACACAGCAAACACAATGGCGGCTAAAGCCGAAGCCAGGATCACTTCATTCACGCCGTAGCTGTGGTCTGTCCGTTCTGTCATATCGAGCACATAGGCCAGCGCAGGCATCAAGTTGATGAAAAAGATACGAACGACACTTGTCCCCACAGTCATCCAATTGCATGGCCAAAGAGCGTCTACCCAGTCAGACTTATAGTATGGAAGTCGACGACGCACGTCCGACCACATGCCACGAAACGGTCGAAGCTCGTACAGCCATGAGCGCTGCGACCAAGGCACCTCCTTTGGAGCACCATCCAAGCCTGATTCCGATGTATCGTATGGGATGGGCGGTTCGACCAAGTGGATAGGTACACCGCCATTGCGTGCGTCCATCCCGTGTTGGTCGATGACCTGCCGAAGGACGCGTGGGAGTTGGTTGGTCTCGCACGCGTCGCCTTTTTTTTTACCACGTGGGACCTCCCTCTTTCGTCCACCGACCATGCGTGTAGTCAAAGCCAGAGCCGCGCTGCTCTCCGACTTGGAGGTCTTGCAGCTCCTGCGTGAGACAGAAGAGCAGCAAAAGACGCAGGCACGGCACAGGAAAGAGGAGACGGATGACGTATCCGAGAACGACGTGCCGCCCAATCTTCGCACGATTCAATTCGAAGTACGTATGCTCTCTTCTCACACAGACCATCAATGCTCTCTCGCAGGGCTTCCGTCCATGCTCCTTGCAAAAACCAGAGCATGTTCGCTCTTTTCTACAGGCCCTTGACCAGAAAGGCCACGTCAAGCCAGATGCACGTATCCTGGAAGGCGAGCCTGGTCTGACCAAGGGCGAACGCTTGCAGTTGGTCAACCATGCGCCAGCCAGTATCGTGGAACTGCACACGTTGATTGAAGAGCTGGGGCAGCGCATGTCCGATGATCAAATTGCGGATATTCTCGATTGCGTGGTGACGCACTTGCCGATTCCAGATACCAGTGCCACTGCCATGTCGGTGCCAGCCACGACGGCACCCATGCCTGAAAACACTGAAGGCGTCCAAGACATTGTCATGGACGAAGCTGAAATCGAGGCGGCGCAGGATGCCTTCCCTGAAGACGAATTCGAGCATGAAGATCCTAATGCGGGTGCCTCGGCCCAAGACGATGACGACGACTAGCGTATCTTTTTTTCACTTTATATATACCATGTATACATAGTTTCTACTGCAGTTAAGACCATCCCGTGCTACCACGGCCCTTTCCGCGACTAAGAACAGGGAGAATGCCCATAGCACGAGCACGGCGAATGGCTTTACCCACATAGCGCTGGCTCTTTCGTGTCAGGCCTGTGATATTGCGAGGGAGAATCTTGCCCATCTCGGAAATGTACTGGGACAGAATCGCGCCGTTCTTGTACGAGTCGTCAGCAAGTGATGGCTTCGATGGGTTCAGCGAGAGGATATGGAAAGGGTCCGTTTTCATGGCCTCATGCTTCGAAGGGCCCAGGAGCGGCAAACGCGTCCGCCGCGGCCTGTATCGCATATATTGGGGGCTCAAGGTGATCGGATCGTAGTACTTTCCGGTAAGTCGTCATCATATACGTACATCGCCACTTTGGAAGATTTTAGTAGGTCCTCGGAACGAGTTAGATCCACTCTGCTCTTGATGCCGGCGTGAGGAACGCGAAGGCCCTGTGTTTTCTTTGCGCTGGTTCTCCAAGAAGTCGGCCAGCTCATCGAGCTTCTCTTGAGCTGTGGACTCCTCCTTCTCTCCCTCGTCCACACTCTTCCCGCTCTTCAATCGTATCGACCCAAGCGCATTCTGTCTGTATACAGCAGGAGCACGTAAGCTCGAAAAGAGCGAGAAAGCACGTCGCGATAGCAACATGGTATACGCGCTGATCGAAAAGAGCAGGGCATGAAGCCAGGATGTCTCGTCTTCTTATCACGTGATGATGAAGTGGCTTGTTCGCCGCGACCCCGCGTCAGCCTGCGTCCAAGCGTCATGACCGCAGCGATGAAGTACGGTGTCTACTTGGTGACAGGCCGCGACCTGTTGCCACTGGGCAAAGACTACTTGGAAAGCCTGGAGGAGTCAGTACGCGATGGCTATGTCTCAATAGTACAGGTCAGGTATGTGGCGCTACACTAACGAAAGAGAGAAGCATGCGTCGTACGATGAATTCCTGGCTATTGCCAAGGCATCGCTGGCGATTTGCGACAAGGTACGTCCCTGCCCGCTTACCAAAGTACCGTGTCCAAATGGTGATCAATGACAATGTGGATGTGGCAGCGGCACTTCCTGACCATGTCGGCCTGCATGTGGGTCAGGACGATGCAAAGCTCTCCGAAGCGCGGCAACGTCTCGGCCCCCGTCGTCTGATTGGCATTTCTGTCCACTCGCCTGCCCAGGCCAGAGAGGCGCTGGATAGCGAGGCAGATTATGCAGGTGTGGGTCCAGTATGGCCTACGAAGTCCAAGGCTGGCATTACTGAGGAGGATGTGCTCTCGATGTCGGGCGCTCGCGAGGTGGTGGCGCACTTAGCGCGCGATCCAGCAACGCTACGGAGCGGTCAACGTGCACGTATGCCATGTGTCCTCATTGGTGGTATCAATGTTCGCACGGCGCACCGCTCGCTCCATGGTGCCACGTCGTCCCAAAATCACCCGGATGGCATCGCTGTGATCTCCGCGATTGTATCTCGTCGAGACGCCGATGTGGCTGCAAAGGAATTGCATGACATTGTGTCACAGTATTTTGAAGAGCAGAAACGGGCCCATGGAACTCTACCTGCTCTCTTGCAAGCGCCGCGTTTGGCCACAGAAGTGGCAGCGTTGCTTACAGCGCATCATACACGCTATGATCCAGTGCAGCATGCGGACGATGCATCGAGCGTCACGTTACCTCGCCCGCTTCTCCAGGTTATAACGTCGCATGTGTCATCGAACATCAGTGCTAATATGGCACTGGCATTCTCTGCGAGTCCGATCATGAGTCATGAAGCGACGGAAGCCCGTGATCTCAGTGCAGTGATCTCTGCCTTGGTCCTGAATATCGGTACACTTTCACCCGCATCGCGGGAAGGAATGGCCGTAGCAGGCCCCTGTGCGAATGATCGAGGCGTGCCTATCGTGTTGGACCCTGTCGGTGCAGGAGCTACGGCCCACCGTGCGGCCCAAGTGCAGTCGATATTAAACGAGACGCAAGTTACGTTGATCAAGGGCAATGCGGCGGAAATCGGCGCGCTATTGCACTCCAACGAAGCGAAGGCGCAAGGTGTGGACAGTGTAGGCGAGATGCAGGCACCGAGCGAGGCCGTGCGGCGGTTGGCTCGCCAGGAAGGGGCGCTTGTGCTCATGACAGGTAAAGTCGATTATTTGAGCGATGGTGACGTATGTGCGGAAGTACATGGTGGTTCTGCCCTGCTTGGACGTATTACAGCCACGGGATGCTCGCTGGGTGTAGTTGTAGCAGCAGGCATGGCGGCCGCCAAAGAACAGTACCAAGTCACGTTGCCGTCGGGGCCTGCTCAACGTATGGACCCACCTCGTCGCCGCACGCCTTTGCTCGTCGGCGCCCTGATGTCGCTTTTAGCCTTTGCACTTGCGGCTGAGCAAGCGGAAGCGCAGCCCCATGTGCATGGCCCAGGCACGTTCCTGCCAGCGTTCCTCGACGCGTTGGCTTCGCTTTCTCCCACCGACGTCGCTTCGAAGGTGGAGGCGCGTGTGCGCTTTGTCTAGTCACGTGTTGTACCATAGACCGACACGCTCACGCGTTCCGATCCTTGCGGAGAACGCGCGTGTCGTCGTAGCTTTTCTAGGAATGGAGCAGGACTACTGGGACGTCGACGATATTTTAGCAGAGAGCCAGGTGGGTGGTTTCGTGTCTGACTGTAGCGTCTCCCCTGTGTGTTTGCCATTGATGTGCCTGGCCTTGGGTACTTGGAAGGCGCTGGCCAGTCCGATGTACGTTCGTAAGACCTACTGACCGCAGATTCAAAAGCATACACGTGTCGAGCTGCCGTATTGGATGGCCCATATGCTTGCTGTCTAGTATGTACTTTGGTCCTGACCGCAGCGATATCGTTACGATTCAGCAACCACGTGCTTTTGGGTCGCGCGTTCGTAGCGCGTTGGATGCGAGTGCCGCCGCGGTGCGTTTGCGCGACTTGCTGCCGTACTGGTACGCCCTTGCACTACGGCTCGCCAGCTTGTACGTACTTTTAACGCTGACGTCAGACTTGACTCGGATTCCATGCGCGACTGGCTGTCGAAAGTGCGTGCAAAGACGAGACTCACATCAGACGTACATGGGACGCCTACCCCGCATTTACGAGCTCAGCGTCTTGCTAGGCCGTACAACGTCGGTGACAGAGTCTGCAACCACAGGACGAATTCAAGATACCAGCCATCTTTCTTCCGAAATGCAAGAGTTTATGCAAGGCCTGGAAGAAGGCGAGACGACGTGTACGTTTATGCTTACTGAAACGTAGTATTACATGCGGGCCAAACGGCCAGCCGGACGATGCAAGACTATTTGGCGTACTAAGAGAGATCCAGGTTGTGCATGGATTGCTGCAAAGACGATGGACGATCACCAGCGCGTCGCGAAGGCTTGACGGGCGACGGCGTGCGCGAGATGGCACCCCCGCCTGGGGAGCCGTGGGCGCTGTGCAAATGCGACTGTGGCGTGGTGCTGCGTGTCGGTGTACTACGCCCGGAGCCTGGGCCCTCCGTGGGGGGATGCACCAGGTGCTCCACAAGGCCTGGCAAATCGGGCATGTCCGTGACAAACATACGCAAGTCGCGCGAAAACGGCTCCTTCTTGTTGTCAGTCCACGCACTGCCAAGAACAGTGTGCTGAGAGAGCGAGGCGAGGAGCGATGTCCCTTGTCTACTGGTATCTTCCGCACCTGTCTGCGTTTCGTCGTCTAGCACACGCACGTCACTCGCATAGTCCTGTCGGCGCTGCAGGTAGGGACGCAGCAAGGCCTCGTCAATCGTGCTCAAATGACCCTCACGCATGTAGGACTTTAGCACACCTGGTTGTACAATAAACAGCGTGCCAAGTTGGCGCAGCATTTCGAACCGATCTTGGACGACAGCAATGTGGAAGCGGTTGCAGGCATCCTGGTACATGGCCAAGTCCTTGGTGAGCATCAGTCCTCCTGTCGCACTGACGGTAAACTTTTTCAAGTGCTCACACAGCAAGGCATGGAAGCCAATGCCGACGTCGGTACAGAGTGACTCGCGTGTGCGTTCACTCAGCTTGGCACGCACTTCCGCCTCGAATGCTTCAAGGGCGTCGACGATAGCAAGGCATGGCTCCGTATTGAGCTGCGTAAATGTCATTTCGTCGTTCTTGGGGTTGTAGTCGTTGCGTTTCTGCGTCGCAAGACGTCCCTGCAGGTACGCCAGCAGGTTGTCGGTGTACTTTTGCAAAAGCGCTTCACACTTGCCTTCCACACGAAGCATATTGTGGTGGTTGTAAATGGCCGTTTCACGACGGATCGTCACACTGGCGGCGGTCAAGGGCAGGACCGCCGTTTGGATATAGTGCTGCCACAACTCAATCAGCTGCTCCACACGCTGGACCAACGTCATGACCATGAGCTCAGGTGCAGTAGAGGCACGGCCATCGTAGGCAAACATCTGCACGGTGGCCGTTTCCAAGGCGGCCTCCACGTACGCTTTCAAGTACGCATCTGTCAGTACACGCAACAGCAAAAAGGTGCTTTTCGGTACGTCTGACGATGCACACAGATCGACACAGCGGCCTAGCGCTTCAGCGTGCCATTGCAGCATACGTTGCACCAGCGACAAGGCCAATTCACCACGCTCGTCCGCTTCGTCGCCCATGGCCACTGCGTCCTCGTCCGTGTCGTCTGGCATGGACACACCCCGAGCTCGGTCGACCAAGCGCTTGAACGACGATACTTGCGGCGCTGCGCCGTATCCGCCGCTATCGGCCAGCGTAGCAAAGGCTACAGAGCTGCCCAGCGAGCCACTCCCGCCGGTAAACTGCTCGCGCACACGACTGAAAATCGTCGCATTCGCTCGGGAGGCTTTAATGGTATTGCGGTGCCAGGCAAAGAACCGCTGCAGAGCGCCCGCATACAAACTGCTGAGCACGCGGCATTCGCGATCAATGTAGCGCACATGGTCCAAGTAGGGCGAGAACATCTCTTCCACACTCTGGTCAAGCATTGCGCCAAGCACCGAGCCACCAGCAGCGGCGAGCTGCGCAGCAGAGTAGCCTTCGTTGCCCATCAATGCATCGGCCTCGGCACCACTCAGCGAGAAGAGACCGTCCAAGCCATGCGCCGTGGGTGTCGGCGCTGAGGTTGTGATGCCAGCGCTGCGTAGATCAATGGCCTTCAAGTCGCTCACCAGCTGCAATGTAGCGCTGCGCGTCACATGCAGCATACGCAGGAACGCCAAGCCAGCCGAATCCACAGTCGGGTCATGACGAGCAAGCCCTGCAGCCTCGGTGTCGAGCGCCAGCGCCTTGTCCATAATTGTCTCGACATAGGACTGGACGCTCTGTGCAAACACACGCTGGAGGAACATCTGCATGACCAGCAGGGGCGTGGGGAATACGGCCGCAATGATTTGCGCTTCCAGCTCCACGGTACGTCGAATCTCCGTATATAGTGCCTCTAGCGATGGCTCAGAGCGAGGCGGCGCAGCCATGGGGTCCGCCACATGGGCCCACACTGGGGAGACACCGATACGCCCTGCCTCGTCTACGCGGTCTTTGGAAATGAAAAAGTCGTGTTGATTCACGTAAATATTAATGCATGACATGCCGCCGTTGAAACGTTGTAACACATGCGCAATGTGGCTCATCATTTTCGGATCGGAGCGACGATAGTACTTGTCAAAGAGCTTGAGCATGTCACGTTCGAACTGTTCACAGTACCGCTCGATCTTCTCGCGTGTATCTGTACTTCCATCAATGTCCACTTCACGGCTGATCACCGCAAGACGCCGGAGAATGGTAGCGGCTTTGAGGCGGCCTTCGCGGCCATGCTCTTTACGCAGCTTGTCAAGTCTCGATGTATCGCCACGCGCAAACATATAGTAGTACTCGATCAAGTCATGTGTCTCACTTGCACGCTTACGCTGCCGATCCAACGATTCCAGCTGTTCACCGATCCGAATCGCTGTTCGACCGACTTCTGAGATCCGCGATTGAAGCGCATCAAACGACGATTGTGTCATATCAAAGTTGTTCGTAAGTTGCCGAATCTTTTTGGTATATACGGACTGAGAGACTTGGACGGCCGAGTTCAGAGCGGCTGTGCGGTCATCCATGTCGCCCTTGATGCGCTGCAAATGGCTAAGCGCATGGGCAAACGTATCCATAAACGGCTGCACGTCCAGCACAGGCTGTGTACGTGCATGAGCCATGTGGTCCTGGCACAACGCCGTAAGAAAGTCAGCTGCGTGGAACGACCCATGAAACGACGATAGGGTACATAGCCGCTCTACCGGTGTCTTACTCTTATCCGTATGGGAAGGCGCGCGCTGCGGAAGACGCGGCGGCTGCGACGGGACTTGCGGCACAGGTCGGTGCCTCTGTACCCGTGGCGGCTCCGAGGGGTGTGCAGGCGTGGCCGACATGGTGCGACAGCCAACAAATAGGTCCACCCGTCGTCCACAACAAGACGGGTCTGGAAACCACGACTGGCACGGCGGCGCACGCTGGAGGTGTCTGCGCGCCTCCACAGGCCCACCGCCGAGGACGTGCCTGTCATGCTGACTCAGCCGTGGAGACGGCCTGGGGATTTTTTTGCGGCACGACACGACGCCGCTCTTGCCTGGCTTCTTGCACGCGGACGGAGCATGGCATCGACGTCTGGCTCTGTGCCCGCCTCAGCCGCGGCTGCTGCTGCGCTGGTACATGCCTTGGATACAGAGTCTTCGTTTGCCGATATCGCATGGTACGCTGATGTGCAATTGGCGATGCAGCAAGCGGCGCTAGCCAACGACAGCGGCGTCCTGCAAGCGCTGGAAAAGCGCATGACGACGCTGCTCACCACGTCAGTCGCACACAATGAGACGCATGCTGCCTGGTCTCATGCAGCAACACTGATGCAGATGTACATGGATCAATGTGGCTGGAGCATTGTGGAAGCACATGGCAGTGTGTGGGTCGCACGCGTGCATGCGCATTTGGAGCATACCGCCACAGCGCCTGCTTCGTCGGCTGTCCTCGCGTCGCTCGCACCGCTTGTGCGTGTGGTAACCCACGGAATGATGGGCATAGAGAGTATGGCGCATCCTGAGTACCACCGCACCGTGGTCAGCCCCTTTATTAGCAAGATGGGGCATGCGATGCTCAGTGTCGTCGAGGCTGCATGGGCAGCATGGGGTGTGCATATGCCTGAGACGGCTGCGAGCGCTCTTGCCGAACTTCTCTCGTGCGTGCGAGAGCAGCTGGCATGCACACCTACGACGTACCGCCCTCACGTGGGGAAAATACATACACTGTGTATGCATATGCTATTTGGCTCGTATGCGGCGAGCGAGGCGGCGCCGCGTGACGTCCCGGCGGCTCTTCGAGCCAGTGCGACGCGTCTCCTGGCGCAGCTTCCGATCACAGGTAGTGCAAGCAGCTCGATGGAGCCAACGGCGAGCAGCGGCAAAGTCTCGCAGGCGCAACTGTGGGCCGCCACGATGACGGAGCTGCTGGAGGCGCTGACCCTCTCGATTATGGGCTGTGCACCGTCTCTAGATTGGCGTGCCATGGGCATCGAAGCTGTCCAGGGACGTACGCCGCCCTTGGCGTGGGAGGTGGCATCGAACGATTACACGGTCGGCATTCCGCTCAGCTGGGCGCGTAGTCGGCTGCTGCTGGCCCCTGGCTGCATTGTGCAGATGTACATGACGCAGCCGACGAAGCGCTCTGTGCCTGTGCCGCTAGCGCGGTGTGTGCATTTAGCACGTGTGCTGTGCTCTGTGCGTACATCAGCGACGACTGTGCCTAGGGAGCAGCAGCGCTTAGAGGCTCAGAGTATCGTTCAGCTCCGTCGATGGGGTCTACACTGGCTCACCTGCCTTGTTGAGACGTTTCAGCAGGCGACGTGGCGATACGTGTACGATATGGATCTTGTCTCGGTCCTATGTGAGCAGGCCGAGCAGGCGTGCCCCGACGAACGGTACGAGGTTCTGCAAACGCTACATTCACTCTGTGCATCGCGGACCACTGTACCTTTGCCCCTGGATCCGGCCAGTACGTACGTGCAGCGTATGGCGAGTCTGTGCACCCAGGAACTACGTGCGTTTCTCGTGCAAACGCCTATGGCGTGGCGTGTGCACGTCCCTCTGAAACGCGCTCGCGTATTTGAAAGCGATGCAGTGCTCCATGCGGAGCGAGTGCCTCAAGATGCGATTCTGGTGAAGAGCGATACAGAGCGCCTCTGTGTAGCGATGGCCGCATCTCTGCTAGCGGCGCTGCTCCCGATGCTGGTATCGAATGCGGCGCCAGGCCATCGTGATGCTGCGCGCCTGGGATTGCTGGCATTGGTCGGCGTGACTGAGGCATGGATAGCCGCGCGGTTGGTCGATGGGCAATCAGCGTCGTCCATGCAGGCGCTGCAGACGTGTATCGCATCCCTGACACAGTGCATGGTCGAGGCACATGGCGCGTTGATCCCGCATACGCTCCCGCGTGTGTACGCCATGATGCAACGTGGCCGAGCGCTCTCGCTCCCATGGATCCAAGCGGCGTGTGATGAGAGTCTGACACGTCTTCGTCTTCTTCTTCGGCCACGTGTGCCCCCGCTGGTCGACGTGGTCGACTCCAGTGCGCTGGAAGAACGTGTGGATGTCTTGGATGCCCAGGACACGGTCCCCCTGCGTCTGGCCGGATGGCGTGGCACGCAGACAGCGCGGGAGGAGTATGCACAGCTACGACTGCCCTCGCCCTCGCCACCGCCGTTGGGCGTAGCAGCAGAGCCTGCGTCAGAGCCTGCCAGCGTGCAAGCCTCAAGGGAGGAAGGGGCTACGCCCGACGTGGCGCCGCCTCGGCCTGCGCAGGCTGTCGCCCCACCACGGCCTGTTGTGATGCCGCCGTCGCTGCCGCCGCCGCCTGCCAGCGTGCCTGCGCCCCGCGCAATGTCCAGCGAGCGTGTGGACGCTGAGGTGGAGAGGGCGGTGCCTGCGTTGGACATGGAGGCTTCGGACGAGGAAGCGTTGCCTACGTTGCATATGGAGGCCTCGGACGAGGAGGAGGATCCTATGTAATCGATACCCATAGCAACCTGTGCCATATCTTAGGCTGTAGCACTTTCCACGACACGCTCTGCCCCCCAAATTGGCTCGCCACATCGCAGGCAGGGCCAGCCACCGGTATCTTGCAATTCGTCGGCCATGGCGTCGTCGAGAAGTTTGTCGGCAATGCAGTAGTAGCAGTAGCGACACGTATGGCCCTGTGATGCGCATGGCAGGGCTTGGTACGGCGTGACCAGCAACGCGTCCATGTACGCAATGCCGTTCGGCGATGTGCCATACAAGCTCGGCTTTTCTGTCACGGCCGCTGGACGGGCCGACGCGGCTTGCCGCGCCGCACGGCGCTCGGCTAGTTTCAGCGCTCGCTCTGCCGCGCGATCCACGACGAGTTTGTTGTCCACTAGAGTATCGTCGCCCTCGCGTTCTCGCCCTTGCCGTCGTGCTACGAGCCCACGGCGTGGATGCAAGGGATCGGCGGTGGGAATCGCGACGGTGGACGTCATATGCCGCGGCATCGGCGGCGGGACCACCGCGTCCACTTCCACGCCCGCCGCACGTTCTAAGCGCTGGAAGCACAATGCACAGCATTCGTCCGGCAGGTACCAGTACTTGCCTATTGTGGGCGTGCGTGGGGATCGTCGTGCGAGACGCACGGCGTGTGTATGCTCATCCAGCTGCAAGCCGAGACGGCGTGAGAGCGGCGTGGGGAGTGTATCGTACAGGGTCCGCAAGACCCAGGGGTGCGTCGGCCACCGAGCGATGCGACGCCAGATACGTTGCGGTCGGATTAGGGGCAAAAGGAACAGAAGGAACTCGGTAAACGCGTTCCACACCAGCTGACGATTCAAGAACTCGAACGAGACGTTGCGATGCAGCGCACGATTGGCGTAGGTCAGGCGCATGCCCAGCAATCGATCGGTGATGGTCCGGTACTTGCCGTTCCAGAGGAACAGGCCAAAGTTCAGGAGCGATGCCATGTGCCATACCCGCTGGAGCTGCTCGGAGAGACTGAACAGCGCAAACGCGGGGCTCTCGGTCGGAGCGCGATCAAAGTGGTGCTCGGTCATGTGTGCTTGCGCCTTGGAGAAGGCATACGGCGCAATGATCGTGATCAGCGGGTACAGCGCCAGCTGAATCCGTGAGAGAGGCGCATCCACGGCGGTCGATTGTACTGCGTAAGTACAGTGCATACGTACAGTGTGCCCGATGAGCCCATTCGTTGCGGTACTTGAGATTCTGTAGCATCGCACCATACGACGCGCTCCGATCGAAGATGCTGAACTTGTACAGAATCAAACGCAGGAAGAGATATATCTCGTCATGCCGTCGCTTATCGAGAGTCGGAGAGACGTTGCGCAAGGCCGCCTTGACAGGCTCCGCTAGCAGATCGGCCAGCTCCTGGTCCAGCAAGTCGGCATCCAGCTGCCCGACACGCTGCACACGCAGTGGCGGCGATGGGAACGACGGCAGACGCGCCCGGATGCTCTGAATATCAGGCTCGGCACGGTGAAACGCCGCCTCGAAAAACGCCGGCACCGGCTCGCTCTCGCCACGCATCGTGGTGGTGGCAGACGGTCCCTGCGACCGGACGACAGGTGGAGGGAGGTCAGGCCATGCGCGGCCGCGCGACACACAGACGTGGACGATGATGACCACCTTGGCAGGCCCTCTGCCGAAGTTGGTCGTCTTTGATTTGGATTATACACTATGGCCGGTACGTAGAGATCGACTTACGCAGCTCTGGGTCGATACGCACATTGATCCGCCGCTCAAGCGACGTGGCACGACGCTGAATGAAATGGTCGATCGGTACGTGAGCGCCTACTGACATGGAGCTCTGGGCAGCGCCTCTCGTTCTACGCCGACGTGCCGTACGTATGCGGATGACTGACTCAGATCCATTCTGTTTGATTTGCGACGTGCTGGCGTGCCGATCGCCGCGGCATCGCGGACGAGCGCGCCGCGCATTGCTCGACAGGCATTGCAAGGACTCTGGATTGTCGATAGCGCCGTGGGCGAGGCCGCCCAGCCGGTACCGGCTCATGGTACGCTCGGTCTGCTCTGACATCAGATCTCTTTGTCCACCAGGAGATCTACCCAGGCTCCAAAGTCTCGCACTTCCGCCGCATTGCCGACGCCACCGGCGTCGAGTTTGCGGATATGCGTACGTGTCAGTGCTACTAACCCTAGTCTTCTTCGATGATGAGCACAGAAATGGTGCGTCCGCTCCGTCCTTACACCCAGCGGAAGTACAGTCCAAATTGGGCGTCCACTTTGTCGAGGTGGGCACGCAAGGCTTGGATCGCGCGACCTTCCAACGTGGCCTCGAAGCCTGGCAAAAAAAGCGAAGGACCAACGCAAAAAGTACGTAGTAGCAATACACAGTCTATGCACGAGGGAATGGCAGCATAGAAGGACCATGCGCATTCATGGGTGGTGGTGGTGGTGGCGGCGCCATCGGCGGCATCGACATGGACATCGGCGGCGGCGGCGGCGGCGGGCCACGGGCCCCACGCCAATCATGAACATAGCTCATACCGGGCGGCGGCGGCGGCGGCGGCGCTGCCCGCATGGCCGCAATGTCGGCCTCGTACGCTGCCACGACGCTTGGATCGTCCTCGTCGTCGCTGAGCTCGTCGCCAAACGCCTGCGTATGTCGATCCCGCATGCGCTGCGTAATGCGTTCGTCCAAGTCGGAGTCCTCGTCGTCTGACAAGTCCATCCCTACCGCCGCCTGGAGCGACGTACGTGGCGTCTCCTGCATTTGCACACTGGGCGCAAACGGCATCGAGCGTAGGTTATCGATGATGCGTGTACGCAGGCCGTCCAGGTACTGCGGTGTGTTGTAGTTCTCCATGTTCATCGGTGGAACGTCCAACTTGTACTCCGGCCCAAAGTACTGGATATAATCGTTGAAAGGCATGTTGGGCGACAGCTCCTGGCCCAGCAGGAGACCCGTTTCGTAGGTCCACGTCCGCGCCACATTGCGAACCGTATAGCCGCCGCCGCCCACGCAAATCAGCGGCACACCGAACGAGCGCACAAACTCGACGCAGTTCGCATGGCCCCGCATGCTCAGGTTGAAGCAGCCTAGCTTGTCGCCGGCAAGGGAATCCGCCCCACATTGCAGGACCACAGCCCCCGGACGGTACCAGTCCATAATGTGCTGAATGACAGGGCGGAAAATCGCGCCAAAGGTATCAGCGTCAATGCCATCGCGAAGAGGCACATTGACCGCATACGCCTTGCCCTTTTTCATGCCGATATCACGCACATCGCCTGTCCCTGGGAAAAAGTCGCCGAACTTGTGGAACGAGCATGTCATGACACGGTCCGTGGTATAAAAGGCTTCTTCCACACCATCGCCATGGTGCACGTCAATGTCAATGTACAGCACACGCATGTGGGTGCGCAGCAACTCGAGGATCGCTAGCACAATGTCGTTCGTGTAGCAAAAGCCACTGGCCTCGCGCTTCTTGGCATGGTGCAGGCCACCGGACCAGTTGATCACGACATCGGCTAGGCCTTCATTCAGGCGGTTCGCCGCGGCTACTGTCAGTACCACAGCCACGTACCAATGGAGCCACCACACGAAATGGTACAGAACTCAAATAGTCCATCAAACGCAGGGCAGTCCTCACCGATCAAGTCTGTGGTCAGCCACGCACATACATACACCGCGTGCCATCGCCCGTCAGTTCCTGCGCATTGTCAGGCGTGACGCGCGAAAGGAAATCAATGTATTCGTCCGTGTGAAACTTGCTCATATCGCTGCGTGTCGCTCGTGGGGGACGCTGCATGTCAGTGGCGCACCACGTACCAGAATCTGCATATGCTTATCCAGGCCATAGTTCACAATCAAATTGTGTGCCATGCGCATGCGGTGTGGTTTCATGGGATGCCCAAACCCGTACGAGAAGTTGCCCACGTCGTCTTTCGTAAGTATGCACCGTACGCACTATCATAATAGTAGGCCACAGTCCCACGCGGCACCTTGAGCACCGGCGCTGGCTCCACCATCGTCTCGCAGCGTAGAAGGAACGAACGTGCGCAGGAGAGAAGCGGAGACGAACGAGGCTCGCGGCTCGCACTCGGCCGACATGTGGAGGTCTGTTCACGCTGCGCGTCCTCCACCAGGCGCCGTGTCCGCAGCCGCCATGGGCCCTCGTGTTGGACGGCGGACGCAGGAGAGTGTGCCCACGAAACGCGGCTGGGAGCCGGACGAGGAGGAGGAGGAGGTCTATGAGAGTGAGTACGAAAGTGAGGCAAGCGATTCCCTCGATGAATACGAGCCGGACGACGAGGCTCCGCCGCCCGCGCCGGTCGTGCCCACCGACGAGGACGACGCGATGGATATCGAGCAGGAAGACTTTACGCGCCTGATTCATGCTTTTACAGACGACCCCACCCACACGAAGAAAGGGCCCTCGACGGCCGCCAAGTCAAGCGCGTGGAAGCAGTCCATGGAGGCAGAAATGGAGTCGTTTCATCATGAGCTGCGCGATGTGAATGGCTATGCGCGCAAGCACAAAGCGACGCGAATTCGCGAGCAGGCACTGTCGTCCGAAGTCAAAGCACTACTTGCACAGGCGAACATTGCGTACGTCGAGGCGGATCTGCCTAGCGCCATTCGCCAGCTGGAGGAGGTGATTCGTATTGAGCCTACCGTCAAGAGCGCTTGGTACACCCTGGGTATGTGCTTTGAGGAGATGGGCGAGGAAGAGAAATCCATTCAGTGCCGTATTGTCGGTGCCCACCTGACGTCGAATGCAGCGGACGAATGGAAGTCCCTTGCCCGCCGAAGTCGTGAGCGTGGCTTGTTCCAGCAGTCCATTTACTGCTTGCAGCAGGCAATCAAGAAGAATCGGTACGACGTAGATGCCATTTGGGATCGAGCTGTCATGCTGAAGGAGTCAGGACGACTTCGTGCGGCAGCCGATGCATTCCAGGCGATCTTGAAGTTGCAGCCGTACGATGCAGAGGTGTTGCGTGAGCTGATTCCGCTCCTTGTATCGCTGGGCGAGTACGACACAGGTGTGCAAATCTTGGAGGGCATGCGCAAAGCCAGCATGGAAGGCGTGCAGGACCCCACGATTGATCCCTCCCTGGCCGACGAGGCGCCGTCACACGCACACGTTCAGTTCACGCTCAATGAGTTGGTGACGCTGGCCGACTTGCTGCTTCTACTGCGACGACCGCTCCAAGTGATCCTGGTCGTAAAGCAGACCATTCGGTGGCTGCGTGGCGAGACGCGCGCCGACTCTGTGGACGACGCGCAAAACGACTTGGAGCTCGATGAGGAAGTACAGGGCCATGTCCCTGAACTGGATCGCGAAGTGCGTTTGCGTCTTGGCAAAGCGCGGTTCATGCTAAAAGACATGGACGAGGGACGTCGGCATTTTAGTATCTTGGCGGACGAGACCGACCCGGCGGACTATCCTGTGCTGTTCCTTGAAATGTCCGAGTGTTACTTTGAGCACCAGCTCTACGCGGAGGCGCTGGACGGCTACCGCGCGCTGATTGACGAAGGCTTGGTGGACGATGTGTCTGTATGGATGCATTTGGGCATGTGCTACCAGACCCTGGAGATGCCGAAAGAGGCGGCACACGTGTACGAATCCATTCTGGACGAGTGCCCCGACAACTTTGATGTCAAGCTGGGCCTCGCGGAAGTGTACGAAGAGCTCGGCGAGCGTGACAAGGCCCTGGACCTGGTCAATCAAGTGATGCTAGCGCGCCACCAAATGCGGGAGGCCCCGCCTGAGGAGGCCGCACGTACCGACACGGACACGGTCGATGGCGCGAGTGCCTCCCTGTCGTTCTTCAACGAGGCGAATGCGGCCGGCTCGGCCACATCGCAATCGCGCACAACGCGGGCCGGCATGAGTTTCGCAGATCGGCAGCGGTTGGAGCAGCAGTGTGAAGAAGAGACGCGCCTCGCCTGGGTCCAGCTAAGTGCGTTGGAGCCGCAAGTGTTTGTCGATGGGTTCTGGCGGCACGACTTTGTGTTCCTGGACGGCCCATCCACACACACCGCCTGGGATGCCGCGACGCAGAAACGATTCGCTGCTACGCGTCAATGGATGCAAGTAGCTGGACGCTTGATTGAGTCGTTCCGCAGTATGTCGCTGCTCTTCCCGAAAGAACGCAATACCAAGTATCGAGGCGTCGTCCGGCCACGCAAGACACGGCGATCCAAGCCATCCGACCTCGATAGCCAAGCGGAAGAGCTCATGTCGCGCTTGCGCGATCACATGGTCGACGAGGCGACACAGCAAACGACCGAGCACGACGTCGCGCCGGAGCAAACGACGTTCCGCACGGTGCATTTCGACGACTGGGTCGCGCTCTTTATGAAGTATGGCATCGGCCTCGCGAAGATCGGTGGAGACGATGAAGCCATTCACGATCTGTTTCGTCACGTTATGGTATCCAATACAGTATGGCCATCGGAAGAACGGAAGACGGCCTTGCATCTATGTTGGCTCGGTACGTCCAAACACACTAACCCGACAAGCCTGTGCGATGTACTTACGTGATGCGCCGCGTGTCTTTGATATCGCTCGTTGGTTCCCTACCACGTTTCAGTTCCACAACGAGCCGCTGCGGCTCATTGCTTCCCTGGCCAACAGCCTCGGCTTTTACGGCGTCGACGCCTTTGTAAGCTCGACCAATACCAAGCAGTACCAACGTCGCATGCGAACGCATGAAGCCATTGTTGCCGGGCAGCCTGCCAAAGTCAATCCACGCACGGGCCGCTGGACGATTGCCGGGGTGGACGACGAGGACGACGTGGGAGACGAATCGACGCTCACCCTCGCCCGAGCCCCCGCGCAGGTCCCGCCTACCAAATCGTCGCCCATCGGCGAGATGTTTTACGGCTACCTCATGCTTTGTGCAAATAGCTACCAGCCGGCGATGGGGTACTTGCTTCGTGCGTTGGCGTTGCAGCCCACCGATCCACTGCTGTGCCTCCTGTGCAGTGTCGCCACCCTGAGCCGAGCGACCAACCGCCAAGTGGACAACCGGAATCATACCGTCGTACAGGGCCTCGCCCTACTTACACAGTACGCCGATCTACGTGGCGCAGGGCCAGAAGTCGACTACAACTTTGCACGGGCCTTTCATCAGCTGGGCCTATTGCACTTGGCCGTACCTCGGTACCAGCGCGTGCTGTCGCAGGCCGACACGCCGTGCCAGACCGGCTTCGCCATGGTCCGTGAGGCGGCTTACAATCTATCGCTCATCTATGTCCAAGCAGGCTCGCCCCACCAGGCGCAGCATTTGTACCGTACCTATCTAGCCGTGTAAATGGACCGAATTTCCCCCTAGCGCTGTAGCACGTGATAAAACGCCTGGCGCTCGCCGCCGCCGCCGCATGGGGCGCGCGGCGCCTTTCTCTCGCTATCATCACCATGGTATCGTGGACCACGGTTCTGAGTGCTGTGGCAGCGCTTAGCGTGATGGTACGTGCTACCGAGAGTAGCACCACCGAAACATACACCATATTCCACCGTGTGATTGACGCGCTTGATAGCAAGGATGCTACGCCTTGGTACCCACGTGCCCTGATTCATGTGCCCAAGAGCCTGGCACAGGCAGACGACGTCCAGTACGAAGGCATCACGTCCAATCTGGAGTTCCCTGCTGACCCGAAAAACAAGCTGTACCAAATCAAAGCGGTCCCCCGTACGAAGACGGCAGAGGACGAAGAGGCCTCCTTTATGTCCTACACCAAGCTGGTACGTACACACTCACTTACGCCCAGTGTCAACTTCGTATCCCGAACGATGGCGAGGCGCTGCCAGACGCCATCAAAGTCTACCTGTCGCACCTGCCTACGGCATCGTCGCCCGCTCCATGGGTCACGAACCTGGCGTACGTCGTTGAGCAGGATGTGCCGATGGACAAGGATGCGTGCCCGATCCTTGCGAAGGACGCGTCGTACTATCCGACATCGTTTGCTACCGAGCTGCGTCTACTTGTGCCTGAGGTGGCCCCAAGGTAGGTCCATGCATCGCTACTTACTCGACCCAGCCCTGTCATCACCGAAGACACCGTCACGTCCAACACGCAAGACGCGCCGAAGGACGGCAAGAAGAAACCTGAGAAGCCCAAGAACCTTGTCGAGTTCCTTCGACAGTACTGGATGTATTTCCTGCCGCTGATCGTCTTATTCATGATGCCAGCGTCGGAAGACATTCCGGATCGTCCTGCCGGCGCTCCTGCCGGTAGCGCTGGCGTCGCGAAACGCGTCACGCCCGGCCCTGCGGCGGCAGGCTCTGCTGCAAAGAAGAACTAACCCTGATGCGTAGACACACTCTCTATAGCCAGCCCTTATGCCCGTTCTCCCTGCATGATGTCTGGTGGATCGCTGAGTCAGCGTTTTTTGGCCCTCCACCTGCGCGCGCCATGGCTTTGCCTACCACTATGAGTCGTCCAGAGCATCAGGCGCCGCCGGAGATCTATTATGGCGACAATGAAGCTCGGAAGTATACAGCCAAGTACGTGCATGAGCAATTTAACATCCAGTACACGTAACCAGGAGATCCAGGCTGAAATGACCATGCGTGCGATTGAGCTGTTGGCCCTGCCGCCGCACCGCCAACCTGCTTTGATTCTCGACATTGGCTGTGGCTCTGGCTTGTCTGGTGAAATTCTTACAGAGATGGGACATGAGTGGATTGGCTTTGACATCAGTCCCAGCATGCTTAGTGTCGGCTTGGAGCGGGATGTCGAAGGCGATATGATCTTGGCCGATGCCGGTCATGGATGCATGTTCCGTGCAGGCAGCTTCGATGGTGCGATTAGTATATCTGTGCTACAGTGGCTTTGCAATGCCGATACCAGTTACAATTCCCCCGCAGGCCGATTGAGCACATTCTTCTCGACACTGTATGCGTCCCTCACGCGCGGTGCTCGTTGTGTCTTCCAGTTCTATCCAGAAAGCGACGACCAAGTCACTTTTATCATGTCACAGGCGACCAAGGCTGGGTTCGGTGGTGGTCTTGTGGTGGACTACCCGAACTCTGTCAAAGCCAAGAAGATTTATTTGGTTCTATGGGTCGGTGGTGAAATGCTTGTGGGGCCCAATGGCGAGGGCCAAGGCGTGAAGCAAAAACTCCCTGAAGCTCTGGACTTTGACGAGCAGGGCCCTACTGCACGCCATGAGACACGCAAAGTGGCGGATCAGCGTCGTGAGCGTCACCGCAAGAACAAGAAAGTCGAGTCGTCCAAGGAATATATACAGCGGAAGAAGGAACTCAACCGCCTACGTGGCAAGACGGTATGTATCATTGTACTCACTCGTTAGAATGTGCCGCATGACTCCAAGTACTCTGGCCGCCGGCGTAAGCGAAAGTAATAGGAAGCAAGCCATGTAGGTAGACAGACGCCATTGGGTCCGTAATGTGGAGGCCGTGTCGCCCCCCCCACTGCCTCCATCACTATGAAGCACCGGCCACCTATCGTGGACGAGACGGAGGCGTTCCACACGCTACTGTCTACGTATGCGTCTGACATACCGCCAGTATCCAAGAAATCAGCCGAGATTATCCCGTCCAAGCAACGCGAAGCGACGCAGGCGTGGATGAAGGAGGCCTATGCGGTTGTACGTCCCTGTGTCTCACTGACCACAGAAACGGCATATTGCGTCTTTGTACGCCTTCCTCGCCATGATCCGACGGCCATACCTGGATGTAGCCTCCAAAGGACGGCGTGCACCAGAGTCACATGAGGCGGCGAACGAGGCTGGATCGAGTCAGGATGCTTTTGCGCGATGGCAGCGCACGACGTCACTGAGCGAAGCCGAGCGGGATGAAGTGGATTTCCAAGTGAAGCTGGTGATCAAGCAATGCTTATCGCGGGTAAATGAGCTAGAACGTGGCGAGAAACGTACGTATGAGCTTTCTAATGCATCACAGTTCGGTCCGAAGCAGTAGCACGAGCGCTGCAGAAAGCCGGCGTGTCGGGCCTGTCCCCCTTTTCGCTCTTCCAAGGCTCATCGCTCCAGAAACAGAAAGAGGCGTCCGCCATGCTGGGCCGGCATCATACCTCTGTAACGCAGTACCTATCAGAGCAGCTTGCGAGAGTGTCTTCGATCCAGGCGATGCTGCAGCAACGACGTGTGGACGCCCAGCGCCAGCGGTATGAAAAACTAGCTGACACCGCGCGCCAAAGTACGTCGTCCGAGAGCCGGATAGCCGTGTCCGAGGAGAGTTTGCGTGGGACAGTAGGAGCTATCGGTGAGCACGGTGTGGATGTGGTTGAGCAGCTGAGCAAAGACCAAGTCCAGGCGTTTGAGGAAGAGGCCTCTGCGCTGGTCGAGTCGCTCGAAGCGGACTTGGCGGCTGTGCAGCATGCGGAGCAGCAACTTCAGGATATTTCCTCCCTGCAGACCAAGATTGTACAGCACTTGCAAGAGCAGAATGAACATGTGGATACGCTGCTCACAGAAGCGGGTCTTCACGGAGAGCAAGTGACACGCGGCAATCAGCAGCTGCGGAAGGCGAAGGAACGCAACCGCCAAGCGAATCGACTACTTTCGCTCTTTTTCATCGTCAGTGGGCTCATTCTGCTATTCATGCACTGTATGTATGGGCGAAGTGTACTAACATCAGGGATCGACTAGGTGCCATTTTATTCATGAAGTTCTTTCGAAGTACCCAGCTTAGGCAAACGTAGATATATGTCGGTGCCGTAGCCGTTGAGCGAGCGGAAGTCCAAGCCACCGCCAAACAGCTCAGCGTACAACTTCACGATCGGCAGTCCATTCTTGGAGTCCATATTGAGCACTGAGAGACGCATGAGGCCATCACCGCCAGGATACGACGCTGTTGGATCAGGCGTCACAGCGCCGTCAATGCCAGTCTTGCCTAACGTAGCAGACGATGTCGCGTCTAGCTTGATGTTCATCATATCGAGCTGCTTTCCAATGTTCAGGAACGACCATACCAAGTCCTGCTCAGGATCGGTATCATGAGGATGACGGGCTATGCCTGGGAGGAGCAAAGGACCACGGGCGCGAATGGCATTGTTGCTGGAGGATTCAAAGGCCATAGACGAGGCTGTGCTGTCGAGAAGCAGACCGCCACCGACATCCGAGATGCGAATAATCATGTCGCCTTTCTCGATGCCCGATACGAGGCGCACATGCACAGGCGGCACTTTTTGGCGCACTTGGCCGTGCTTTTGCGTAGTTGACTGCATCGATACTTTGAACAGCTCAAGGAGGATAAACTCCAAGTGCGCGGGCAAATACGCCATTTGCACATCGAGATCGCCTTCAAGCACCACTTCCGGCAGCCGTGGATCATCCATGCTCAGATCGTACGTGTTTGACAAGCTCTTTCGTGCGAAATCCGTGCACCGGCGAATCACATCTGCCACATGAATGGAAGTGTTAATCATGCCAATCACATTGGGTGTCGTGGACTTGACGCCTGACGACTGCATCACGGATAAGGCAATGTGCTGCTTTGCCAGCACCTCACGGGACACCTGCGAGCGAAGCATGCGGGCCAGGAAATAGTTCACTGCGGCCGGCTCCATAAAATTAATGCACTCACGCGAAATGCCGGCAATCAAATCCAGCTTGCTTTTCCGCTCCGAGAGCAGTTGCGTGACAACGTGAATCAGCTCTTCATTCTGCTCGTCCGTCTCAATCTTGCTCATCCGACGCATCGTCTCGAACGTGCGCCAATAGAATTGATAAATCGAATCCAACTGTTCATTCGACATCGCGACAAACGGCAACGTCTGCATATCACGTAGACGGTGCGCGATACGTGTCGTCATCTCTGTACGTAAGTAGTTGGCACTCTCCATCAGGAGGGCCTGGTTGCGCTGCGTAGATCGGCCAAACATGATCAGCTGTTGCAGCGTGGTTCGTCGTGCGGGAATGCCGCCCCATTTGTTCACCATTCGATTGCGATAGAAGAAACGGCCAAGCGCAGCAGCATCCTGATCACTTGCAGCGGCAGTCGACGGGGCCGAAATGGTCGGTCCTGTCTGCCAGCAGGACGCTGACGTGGACAGGCCACGGATGCATCGCGGGGGTCGCATGGAGGGAAGAGAGGACGTGGGGGAGGGAGGGATTGGATCTGCCTCCACATGCCGTCAGCGCAGACCAATCGATGGGCAACGGCTGGCTATGGTATCACTAGGTATCTATGCGAACAAACATTATGGGCCCTCTTTCTTCGTCTGTGACGGAGAAGTTGTACTGGCCATACGTTGCGAGCGGATCTTGGCCATGAGACGTTCTTCCCGCTTCCGTTTCGTGGCTTGGTCCAAAGCGACTCGCGCCGGGGAGAGCGAGGACGCAGAAGGCGAGGCAGCTTGCAGACGCGCATACCTAGCACTCAGCAACGGCCCCGAACGTGCTGGTGATGCACTGCGCATATGAGGCGATGCCGTGGAGCGCGCGAGGCGAAGGCGGCCTGACGCACTCTTCCCATCGCCTTGCAATGAGGTGAGCGAGGAGGCGCTATCGTCGGCACTCCATTCGCTCATAGACATGTTCGATACAGAATCATCGCCGATCACTGACGATGCACGAGATCGCGAAAGCACACCACTGTGCGCCACATCGCTGAAGAGCAGATCGCGCGAGTGCCGTGAGTGATGATCGCCACGATGGCGTCGTGCTCTCAGGCTAGCGAGGCTGTCTTCAATGGTATCATCGCTCTGAAAACTCACAGGCGATCCAGGCACTTGCTTCGACTCATGCTGCCAGCGCAGCTGGTTCTTTCGCTTGGCGTCTTCGTACTCGTCATGCGACAAGAACTTTTCCACATAGGTCGGCACGCGTACACGCGCATCCGGGTGCTGTGTATCGCGAGGCATATGGTACTTCGGCTTCATTTCGACCACCATAACAGCACGGCGCGGCACACCATCCTCCCCGATGCGCCAACGCAAGCCATTGGCGTCTTGCCACTCATCACCAGGCACATGATCCTCCGACGTGTCAGCAGGGCGCTTCTTGGCCGCACTAGCCGGCTCATCTACACTCACATCGTCCTCCTCCATCGACTCTGCATCATCGGTAGAGAGCTCATCTTCGTCCATCGACACATCGTCCTCCTGCTGCGTACGTGACACGTCTTCCACAGATACTTTTCGACGTACACGGCGTGCACGAGACGACGCAGTACCTGCGTGGGTATCCGCCTCCGAGATCTCATCCGCCTCACGCTTTCGTGTGGGGGCAGCAGAGCGCGGTGGCACCATACGCTTGGAGGATGCAGGGCCATAAAACGTTTCTAGCTCCTTCACAGGCTCACGTCGTACAGGCTGTGCCACCATGGGCACAGGGCGCGGTCGAAACACAGACTGTGCAGCCTTAGGTGCTTGTGCAGACTTTCTCGTCTTCACCTGCGCCGTACCGAATACATCGTCCGTTTCCTGCAGCTGCTTTTCAAAGTCCTTCTTACGACGTGCTGCCGCGTCAGCAGCTGCAATGGCCATAGGGCGATGATCCGTGTCAGGAATACCGGCCTTACGGCGCTGTTCCAGCACAAACTGCTTTGTCCGACGATGAATAGACCATCGTTGGTAAAATATATAGGCCCAGTAAAGTGCCAGCACGTACAACAGGCCTTCAAACACGGATGGCATATCGCACTACGCTGGATCGCTTGAGCTGCATGAGCCGGTGTGCATGCGTGAGGGCCTCGTGGCACCGCATCAGAGGCACGTGAGCATAGGTGCGTTTTTTTTTTGGCGCAGTGCCCGCGGTCCAAGCGGGCTGCCCCATTCGGTAACTTGATGAAAGAAAAAACGAGCAAGCGATTGAATCTCCGCGTGGCAGGGTCAGCCAACAGGCATCTAGCGCTAAACCTTGAATTCAGGGTCTCTCTTTGCTCCCTCCCTTCCGTCCTCCTTCTTTTGTATATCCCCACATATACAAGAGATGGACGGGGACGCGCCGACGGCCGCCTCCATCTCCATTCAACGGAGCGTGCCTGCTACCGTCGCCACAGCGACTGCGAAGCCGACCATTGTGTCTGGCCACGACGATTCACATCGCAGCGTGGACTCGTCTACCATGACAGCCTCGCAACTTCTTGCTCAAGCACAAGCCGATCACTTAGCGGCTGAAGAAGAACGATTGCGGCCGGTAGCAGAGTACGAGGGGCTACCTGACCGCTATGTGCTGACCGAAAAGCTGGGTGACGGCACGTTTTCTGTGGTATTTAAGGCATTTGACCGCAAGACAGGCGCGACGGTCGCTGTCAAGGTGGTCCGCAAGAGCAACGAACACGGCGACACAGCGCTGGACCCTTCCATTCGGGAACAGAACCGTGCGACAGATCGCAAGACCATCCTGCAGGAAGTGCAAATTATGCGCCGTTTGCGACACGACTCGATTGTGCAATTGGTGGACTTTATCGAGTGGGACGAATATTGTTTCCTTGTTTTAGAGCTCTTGGATGGTGGCGAACTCTTCGACCAAATTGTAAAGCTAACATACATGAGTGAGCCATTGTCCCGGCACATCATCTATCAGGTGGCAAAGGGCATTCAATATATGCATGAAGAGTGTGGCATTGTTCATCGCGATATCAAGCCTGAAAATTTGTTGTTCGAGAAGATTGACTTTATTCCGTCAGCGAATGAAGTGAAGCGGCCTTACGACGAGGATAAAGAGGACGAGGGTGAATTCATCCCTGGTGTGGGTGGTGGTGGTATCGGTCGAGTGAAGATTGCGGATTTCGGCTTGAGCAAGATTGTGTGGACAGAAAGCACAAAAACTCCTTGCGGTACGGTAGGGTACGCTGCGCCGGAAATCGTGCGCGACGAACATTACTCGCACAGTGTGGACATGTGGGCCCTGGGATGCGTTCTTTATACACTTCTTTGTGGATTCCCGCCCTTTTATGATGAATCAATCAAGACACTCTCTGACAAAGTCTCGCGTGGCCAGTATTCGTTTTTGAGCCCATGGTGGGATGACATTAGTGATATGGCCAAGGACCTCGTCTCCAAGCTGCTTTGTGTGGATGTGACCAAGCGACTTACCATTCGCGATTTCTTTGAGCATCCATGGATCAAGGCAGGTGCTGTACCGGACTCGGAGGCAGGCCGTGCGCCCTTCCAGGCGGCGTTTACGCCTGGCGCCTCGACCACCAAGAAGGAGTGGCTTGGCGACTTTAACTCCATTGCTGACTCACCCCTCCTTGCCTCTTTGCAGGTGGGTGAGTATGCAGATGAAGGGCGGCGGCATGTCAACAAAAACTACCTTCGCGAAGCTTTCGATGTCTCGTTTGCTGTGCACCGCATTGAAGAAGAGTCGCGTCAAGCACAGCGATACCAGGGTCAACAGAAACAGCAGCAAGGCTGGCATACACTAGGATACAATCATTTGGACGCGACTGGCTACGATATCTCTGCAGCACAACGACGGCATGGTCATGTGGCTGCCAAGATCATTTCCGATAAGCGTGCGGCGCAACAGAAGACCAATACCATACCCAAGGGCCTCGGGGCCAATGTTGGCGCCTTTTCTCTCTCTTTGGACGGTGCCTCAATTCTGGAGCGACGAAAACGCATGGATAAGACCAAAAACGATGTAAAGAAGGATTCGAAGCTGCATAACTCTTCGTTGCATGTTGCCACATAGTACTATACACATGGGTCTATGGCATGGAACCATTCATTCTTTTACTGCATGCAGATCGCCGCGGTAGTACTAGCAGCTTTGTTCAATCGGTTCATTACGGCGAGACCTACACCCTCTTCAGGAATGGCCTCTGCCAGAATCAAATCACACGCGCCGGGGGCGCCATCCCATGGCACAAGGGCATCTAAGGAGCGAAGTCCGTCAAATAGGCGCTGCGCGGCGATAGCAGGTGAAGACTTTTCTCCCATAGAATAGACACACAGTTGTATTCCATCAATATGAAGGACAGGAGAAAGACGTGAAGAACTTGGTTGGCTGGCCCAAGTCCGGAGGTCATCGTCCGGCAGGGCCGAAAGAATAGGGGAGTCTGTAGCGCAAAGTAGGCCCACACGCAAATCATGTGGTAGTGCCATGGTCGCCTTGGCGTCCTGCAGTAACTGCATCAAGGTAGGGGCGGTATCATTACTGTGGCACTGAAGAAGGATCACACGTGCCTCGGGCGAGTAGTGCCGATATTTCATGCCGGGCGTCGTAGGCGCAGCTTCTTGCGCGGCATTTCGTGCCATGTCTTTGCCGTACACCCGCAATTGAAGGCCTTGCGTTGTGAGGCCGCTCTGAGACAGCACCGCAGCGATTTGCTCCGTGGATACGCCGCCAGGACGTAAGACACGGACCTCACCTGGCGCAGTAGTGGCATCTACCACAGTACTCTCCAAGCCGATGCTGCACTCTCCGCCATCAACAATGTACGAAAGGACGTGTCGTGGACTTAGATCGGTGTAGACATGGTCTGCCGCCGTAGGCGATGGACGACCGGACGCATTGGCCGATGGCGCTGCGACTGGTACACCAGCCAAAGCAATTAGAGCGCGGGCAACAGGGTGCGAGGGCATCCGGACGCCCACTGTAGGCTGCCCGCAAGTAACAGTGGATGGCACTCGAGGGCTACCGTCCAGAGTCGTTCCCACAGGGAAGAGCAAGGTAAGAGGTCCAGGCCAAAATGCATTCATAAGTGCTTCACACGCAGGACTGAATTCATAATTGTCCGGTACGAGCTGCCGTAGCATTTGTCGGTCACTGATATGCACAATGAGAGGGTTGTCCGCTGGTCGATTTTTCGCGGCATAAATGCGCTGAGCGGATGTGGGCCACAATGCGCAGGCGCCGAGGCCGTACACGGTTTCTGTAGGGAAAGCCACTAGTTCTCCCTTGCGAAGATGAGATGCCGCTGTAGTTAGTGTGTTTTGAGCGACGGGGTTCGTAAAATCGACGCGCAGCGATTCGCAGGGTTCACGCCAGGGCGAGTTAGGTGAGGCAGCTTGATCGCGAAACGTCAGCCCAAAATCGGCGGGCGTACTTGCCACAGGCGTATGTGGTACGGACAATATCTTCGTATGGATCTGCGACATGGTGCTCAACGTCCGACGTGAGAGTCTGCCACGAAGAAGCATACGCCGAGGACCTTCGCAGTCCTGCTTTTTATGGTGGAGGGCAGAAAAAATGCATCATCGCAGAACGAGCGCTGAAAAAATTGGTAGCGACGTATCTTATACGAGGGCGTCTCCTACGTACATGGTACCGATAGAACTATGCCATAGCTTCATCATCTACATGCACTGGAACCTGTATCATCGATCGACACATGCTGTGGCTGCATGCTACCGCAAGTTATGTGGAGATGGGCATCGGCCGACATGCCCCAGCGTATCGCTTCGTCACTTTACGCTTTGACCATGTCGAACGTCGCACCGACTCGATCAAATCGTCAGCGCTGCTGGGACAACCGCGACTTGTACTATGCGTGCCTAGCCAAGAACTCGATTCTTGTGCCCCCTGGAACAGATATGTCAGATACGAAGGGCCCTTTGGGGCAGGGCAAGTTTGCGGAACCATCACGCAGCGCTGCTGAACGTGCCAAGATCGCGGAAGAGGAGCGTCGTACCGATCCATGTGTGACGGAAAGGAATGCCTACGAGGGAAGCTGTGCGCATAGCTGGGTACGTTGCTGGCCTACTAACCGACTGATTGACTACTTCAACAAACGTCGTGTGCTGGAAGAGCGCCAAAAAACCTTCTATGCCGATGCAGAGGCCCGTGTAGCTGCACGCAAGTAAAGCTGCTCGCTATGAACGCTATTGGATAGCTTCATGTCCATGCATGAGATGGTGCCGAACATCACGTAGGGCGCCGGTCGTAGCGCCAGCGACTGTACCTAAAAGGACCATACGCGGTACAGTGGGAGCTGATACGCGGTCTGTGGTTAGTAGTGGAGTTTCGTACGTACAGGATACCGCGCCAATAAGCCCTGTAGCAAAACCAGCGACACTTCCGTCGAACCAGTGCCCCAAGCGGTATGCGTCAAGCGCCTCATGAGATGGCATGATGGGCCTGTTTCGCTGCTCAGCCCAGTACTTGCGCCCGCTCTCTGTCAACACGTCTAGCAAACACCATCCGCCAACCCATCCGGCGAGACGCAGACCTGTACCTGCGCCGCGTTGGAATCCACCGAGGAGCATGCGGTAGTATTTGGTCTTGTTATAGAAGTACCAGCCCTGCACTGTTTCTGGGCGACGGTGTGCATTTTCAGCGAGAAATACTAGGGCTGTATGACGAGCGCCTTGCAAGAATCCTGAGAAGAAGCCCATGCCAAAGGCGGATGTCACAAGAAGGGTACTGAAGGGCATGACAATGGGTTCAGGCTTATCGTCGAAATCGGGTATATCAGATTCATAGGGCGGCGGTGCTTGGGAAGGTAGGGTCTGTGCTGGTGTTTCCACGGACGCGGTAGGCGTACTGATGCTCACAACTGCGGAGGCCTGAGGCGCCGCTGGCTCCTTCTGCTTCCATGGCCACCACATAGGGTCGAGCGCCAGCGACAAGTGGAGGAAGGAGGCCAGTGTGAAACTCGTCGCCCATCGTGCGGAGTGCCACGTGATGATGCAGGCCAAGCCAGTGACACACCTTCGTGGGAGAGCCACGCTTCTTCGGAACGACCACAATGCCCAACGAGACTGGGTCAGAACGACCTGACGCTAGTCTGCAGTACTGGTCGCAAAATCTTCGCAGTCTTCCACGACTGGCACTACCACTAGACTACCCACGCCCCGCCACCAACCGTGTTGTGCATGCGGTGAAGTCGAAAGTCCTTTCGCCAGCGCTGTGTGACACATTGTACCGCCTCGCTCAGTACGACGATGGTGAAGCCCACGATGATAATGGAGGCAGCCCAAGTGCCGTGCATCTCCTTCTTGCTGCGCTTGTGGTGCTGATTCACCGGTACACATGTGATACCGACATTGTCGTAGCGTCGAACCATCCGCATACGGGTGAGCCCATCGTGCTCCGTGTCCAGCTTGAGCCGGACCATACTTTCTGGCAGGTGGTCAAGCATCTGCAGGTGGTTGAGGCGGAAGCGATTCGTCACTATGTTCCTTATGAAGACCTACTTAGGCGTCTCGAGGCTGATCGCGCTGCTGACGATGGTGGCGCTACGAACGAGGTCATGTTCCGTGTGCGTTTCTTTGATGAGACCAAGTCACTACACCACTTTTTGCAGCGGACCAATGTCACTACCGATCTGTCTCTGTTTGTGACGCCGCCCGATGCCACAGTCGATGCGGAGGCAGGTCCTACGCAGGCGACGGACAACGTGTCGCTGCGCAGCACAAGCGGCGCGCCCTTGGCACTGCACTTGGCGTACAATGCGCTGCTTTTCTCGGGTCAGCGCATGGAGGGCATTCTTGCGCAGTTTGAGCAGCTGATTCGCGCGGCAGCGAAAATGCCCATGACGCCAGTGGGCCACATTGTAATTCGTACCGAGGCGGAAGCGAACTCATTGCCTGACCCACGCAAGGACCTGGACTGGTGCGGTTTCCGTGGTAGTATTACCAGCATTTTTGAGCGCAACGCGGCGCAGTTCCCTGACCGCCGCTGCCTGGTAGAGAGTGTGCCCAGCAGTCCTACGGAGGGCGCTCTTCCGCCTCCGGCCCAGGCTCTTCGCACAGTGACGTATGGTGAATTGGATCGTGCGAGTAATGTGGTTGCGCATCGCCTCTTGCAAGCGGGTGTGCAGCGCCAGGAGGTGGTGACGGTGTACGCGTATCGAGGTGTGGACCTTGTGGTGGCTGTGCTGGGTGTGCTGAAAGCCGGCGCGACGTTCAGTGTGATTGATCCGACGTACCCACCTAGTCGCCAGAACATTTACTTGCAAGTGGCTCGGCCACGTGCTCTGGTCGTGCTAGCGAAGGCCGGTGCGATTCACGAGCAAGTGCGTGCGTGCATTGAGACCGAGCTGGAGCTGCGCTTGGAGATTCCGGCGCTTGAATTGAAGGCGGATGGTACCTTGGTGGGCGGGACTGTGCAAGGCGAGGACGTCTTGGCGTCGACACAGTCGCTGGCCAGCACGTCGTCAGGTGTGTTGCTGGGCCCGGATAGTGTAGCGACGCTCTCGTTCACGTCAGGCTCGACGGGTATTCCGAAGGGCGTGCAGGGCCGTCATTACAGTCTTACGCACTTTTTCCCGTGGATGGGCGAGCGGTTTGGTTTGAGCGACAAGGACCGCTTCACTATGCTCAGTGGTATTGCGCACGACCCGATCCAGCGTGATATGTTCACGCCGCTGTTCTTCGGTGCTGAGCTGCACATTCCCACGGCCGACGATATCGGGACGCCAGGCCGCTTGGCCGAGTGGATGGCGGCGTCAGGCGCGACTGTGACGCACCTGACGCCAGCTATGGGTCAGCTGCTTGCCGCGCAGGCCACAGCTGAGATTCCTGCGCTGCGCAATGCGTTCTTTGTGGGCGACATTCTCACGAAGCGTGACTGCACACGCCTGCAATCATTCGCTGCGAATGTGCGTATTATCAACATGTACGGCACCACCGAGACGCAGCGGGCCGTGTCGTACTTTGCCATTCCCCCGGCGAGCGAGGCGCCTGCGTTCCTGGAGACGCAAAAAGATACGATGCCCGCAGGTCAGGGCATGATTGACGTGCAGCTGCTTGTCGTCAACCGGAACGCACGTCATGAGACGTGTGCTGTGGGCGAGATGGGCGAGATCTATGTGCGCTCGGGCGGCTTGTCGGAAGGCTACCTGGGTCCCCCGGAGGTCACTGCAGAGAAGTTCATGACCAACTGGCTCGCGCCGGACCTTGTCATCCCGGATACGCTGCAAGGCACGCCTGAAGGCGCGTACTGGAAAGGACCACGTGATCGTTTGTACCGCACAGGCGACTTGGGTCGCTACTTGCCGGATGGCACAGTAGAGTGCACGGGCCGTGCTGACGACCAGATCAAGATCCGTGGGTTCCGTATTGAGCTGGGAGAGATTGATACGCACCTATCGCGCCACCCGCGCGTGCGTGAGAATGTCACATTGGTGCGCCGTGACAAGGACGAAGAAAAGGTCCTTGTGTCGTACTTTGTGCCGCACGACGACGAGGCGTCGGAGGCGTCGGAGGAAACGGCCGTGGACGACGTGGATCTGCCGGCGGGCGCGGCGGGCGAGACGCTGCGTCGTATTCGTCGATACAACCGTCTGATCAAGGACATTCGTGAGTACCTGAAGCAGAAGCTGCCGACGTACTCGGTGCCGACGCTGTATGTGCCGCTGGCCAAGATGCCTCTGAACCCGAACGGCAAGATCGACAAGCCTGTCTTGCCGTTCCCTGATACAGTCCTGGCGCAGCGCATGGCGCAAGTCGCTCATGCCTCATCGACGTCGCAGGCGCAGCGCACAGCGACCGAGTCAGCGATTGCGGACGTGTGGAAGGAACTGCTGCCGGGTGTGAGCGACCCTGTGCCGCTGGACGAGTCGTTCTTTGACCTCGGTGGCCACTCCATTCTCGCGACACGGCTCGTGTTTGCACTGCGCCAGAAATTCGCGACGCATGTCCCGCTCGGCCTGGTCTTTGATGCGCCGACCCTTTCGCAATTGGCCGCCGCCTTGGACGCGCAGCAAAGTGGGCATATCGACCTGGCCTCGGCACACGTGGCCGAGACTCCCACAGCGCACGACACGCACGAGCTTGTGTACACGCAAGACGAGGCGACATTGCTTGCGCAGCTGCCCACGTCGTTCCAGCGCGTGTCGCAGCCCCGTGGCCCACGCACCGTGTTCCTCACGGGCGGCACCGGGTTTTTGGGCGCGTACGTGCTGTATGACCTACTGGAGAAGCGCACGGCCGACGTGAGCAAGGTGTACGTACACACGCGGGCCAAGGATGCAGCCGCCGCGCAAGCGCGTCTGCAGGAGGCGTTGGCCAGCCGCGGTCTCTGGCGCGACGCATGGGCGGCCGAAGGTCGTGTGGAGGCGATTCTCGGTGACTTGGCGTCGCCTCGCTTGGGTCTGAGCGAGGCGGATTGGCAGCGTATGGCGGACGAGGTGGATGTGATTGTGCACAATGGTGCGTTGGTGCACTGGGTGTACCCGTACTCCAAGCTTCGTGCGGCGAATGTGCTCTCGACGATCGCAGCGATGGAGCTCACGACACAGGGACGGCCCAAGACACTGGCGTTTGTATCGTCGACGTCGGCCCTCGATACGGACCACTATATTCGCCTCTCTGACTCGCTGCCGGCCGATGGCCCGTTGCGCGGTGTGTCGGAAGACGACGACTTGAGCGGTAGTGCGCACGGCCTGCAAAGTGGCTATGGCCAGTCGAAGTGGGTCGCTGAGCGTCTGATTATGGCCGCGGCCAAGCAGGGTCTGTCGGCGGTCATTGTACGTCCCGGCTACGTGGTGGGCGATAGCACGACGGCTGTGACCAACACCGACGACTTCCTCTTCCGTCTTGTCAAGGGCAGTGCGCAGCTGGGCTTGATCCCCGATATGGACAACACGATCAATATGGTGCCTGTGGACCACGTCGCTCGGGTCACGTCGCTCGCGGCGCTCGCGGCAGCGCGTCTGCCGACGCACGCGACGACGTACGCGACCGTGTTCCATGTCACTTCGCACCCGACGATTCGGTACAACGACTTCCTCGGCGCACTAGCGACGCATGGCTGGGCGGTGGAACGCATTGACTACTTGGCATGGCGTGCCGCGCTGGAGAACCATGTGCTGGCCTCCTCCGAGCAGAGCGAAGCCAATGCGCTCTTCCCCCTCTTGCACTTTGTGCTGGACGACTTGCCGACGTCGACCAAGTCGGCGGAGCTCGACGATGCACACACAACGTCGCTGCTCGACGAGGCTGGGGAGCGCCATGTCGTGCGCGGTGTGGACGCCAAGCTCGTGGGTCTCTACCTCGCCTGGCTCGTAGCAGTGGGTTTCCTCCCTGCGCCGACCAAGGCAGGTACAGCCCTGCCGCCGCTGCCGGAAGGCTCAGTACGTCAAGCAGTGGGCCGTGGCTCGGCGAATTGATATACGTAGTGCTTGTTGTCGTAGTAGCTATGGAGGATGATGAGACGGAGGCGAGGTGGTATGATCATCCAAGCTGCTCTCGCTCGTTTGCGTGTGCAAAGGACGAGACACAGGTACGACCACAGGCGAGGCGGTAGTGGCCGGCAAGGCAGGCACAGGCGGTAAGGGCGACGTGGTACTGCCGCCACTGCCACCAGGCGTAGCAGGAACCGACGTCACAGCAGTGACATCTAGCACAAACGGATCGCTGCCGCGCGTAGCTGGCGCAGGCACACCCTCGTACATTTTGCCGAAAAAGCGGGAGGCGTCACCTGCTGTCGTATTGTACGACATGTCGCTCATCGTCGTCGTATCAGGCTCAGACCATGGCATTATGGATTCACGCCGCTGGTACGTTGACCGTGCCAAGATCTTCGCCACATGATCGTGCGATGGTTTGGGCGAGGGTGTGTCCCTGGAACTGTCCTGCGCGAAAAACAGGGCCAAGTCGTCCAGCTGACTCGCCAAGCATCCCAGTTCGGCCGTGGACGGCGGCGGCACAGAAGCGTGGGCGTCAGACACAAACGACACCGTCGAAGTGAGCTGGGCAGGCGGCGTCCACGCCTGCGATACAGCTTTCATATTCGCCGCTGTGCGCCCAGCATGCAGCGACACTTCTGTGCCTGCCCACGTCGACGGAGCATTGGAGACCAAGTCCGCGTCGCTCAGCATGGGCTGATGAAGGACACTCAGAGCCAGCGAGGCAATCGGCGACTTAGCCCATCTGTACAGCGCATCAAGAGGTACAGGCGACGTAAAGGCATGAATCTGCAGCGCGGGCAGCGCTTGCCAAAGCAGAGGCAAGACGGCTAGAGTATGCTTAGCCACCCACTCTCGCTGGTTGTGCAGGAGAAGAAGGAGCATCGTCGAAAGGTACGTTGCTTGAGGCGCTGAGGCACCCTGCATAAGACAAGAGGCAGCTTGGCGCGCTAGATCATCAGCACGTCGGAATCGGGACCGCGCTAATGACGTCGCAATTCGCTCCAAGTCAGGTCGATGTGCTTGTTGCGCCCAGTACGCAAGAGCATCGCCTAGCCGTGTGATCCACGCCGCATCAACATGCGGCGACGAGGCAGATTCACACGTTTCCATACACCATGGCAATGCCACTGTAAGCAAGACCAATGCACGGTCTTCTGCTGTGGATTCCACGTGCGCGGACAAAGGCATCTCGGCCCATCGCAAGAGCAATGGCAACGTAGCCTCGTCCATGCGCGCCGACCGAAGACCACGCAACAACGAAAGCTGCAAACTGGGCGTATCGGTCGCCCATGTGGCCGGCTGTGAGGTGGCTAGCTGTACGTCCGTATCAAGCGTCGATACACGTTCGAGCCACACAGACCAGAACGATAGCGAGGCTACAAACACGGGCTCTTGCGGCGTATCAGTACATGCCAGCGCCGACCAATACAGCGCGACAAGGGTATCAGCATCCGCCTCGGCTGCCATTGCCTGCATCGTCGCAAGGGCTTCTAGCGTGTACGCCATGCTATCTCGCGACGCCACAGTCTCTTGCAAACGCGCTAGTAGCATAGGGAGCATCGAGGGTGTGTAGGTAGGTCGCAACGCTCGTACAATCTGCAAGGATCGGCATGCTAAGCGCAACACCGAAGTGTGCGTGGCCACATGCGACGCATTGTCACGCCATGTTGACCGAAACGACGACGAGCGCGTTTGCGTTTCCGCAAGGGAGACCAAGACATCGATCCACTGCTGCCATACAGGAGGCACATGCACGTCGTTTTTCCGTGCCCATACATCGCGCGATCCACGAATCACAGCGTAGAAGGCATCCCATACGGCGCCATCAGCTCGCGCATGAGGGACGAGGACACTGAGAATCTGCTCCATCGCACGGACCACATGGGACTGGAGCAACGCAGGGGTATTGTCCATGTACAAACACAAAGCCTGGAGAAGTTGGACCAACGACGACGCGTGCTGGACCAGTGATGCAGTAACACACTCGCCCAGGAGCACGAGGGACACCAGCACGGGTGGAAGCGCAGGCAGTTCTGTGCCAGGCGGAGGCAAATGCGCGTCCATCGGTAGCATGAGCTCATGCTCCGGCGCCCATGGGACCAGGCCGTCGTCTGTCAAGTGCGAGAGAAGCAAGCGATGCACGGTAGGCACAGCAGGGGGCGGCAAGCATCCTAGAACCAGACGTGCCACGTCGAAGAACTCGACACTGCGATAGTGCAAAGCACGTCGATGCAAAAAGGCGATGACATGAGGTAGCGCAGAGACGGCGTGTCCGATCGGCTGCCATAAGGCATGGACCGCCTGCGGATGGACAGTCGCGTACATGAGTGACAGAAGAAGCAGGGTAGAAAGGGTAGGCAGCACCACCTCTGGATCGTCCAACGCCGGGATCCATGGCGGCAGGAGGCTGAGAATCGAGGCGTGAACGGAGGGCGGCGCATGCTCCATCTGACGAGCCCATTCCTCGAGCATTTTTGAGCATAGGGCGGGAGTCATGGCATCATCCCGCAATTCCACGGTGTGACTCAGATGAACTTGCGCGTCAAGGTACGTGGTCAGCTGCATCGATCGCACAGCAGGCGCGAACCGAGCTAACGATAGCTGATCATCGTCATGGTGCCGCTGCAATGTCACTTCAAGCATGCCCAACGCACCGGCACGGACTTCCACGTCGCTATGCGCCAGCATCGCGAGTGATAGGCATACGGCTTCGCGGAGGGGCAGCGAGACAGGCGCATTGTCGCGCGTATACATCGGTACCAGCACCATGAACGCGGTGCGCGATGCTTTGGCCTGCCCCAAGTCGCGATAACACTGTGACACAAGCGCCTGCAAAAGTGGCTCGTGCCGCGCATTGTGTTCCAGCAGCGCATGCAAAGCGCGTCGACCTGCGTCACGCGACGACGCGAGCGGCGCAATGAGCATCTCGCACAGCCACGCCAGAATCGTCGGCACGTGCACCGAAGGACTGGTATCCATCGGCGCAGCGCACAGGACGGCCATAGCCTGCTCAGCGCGTGTAGCAAGCCAGTGTAGCTCTTGCCGCAGCGAAACGAGGAGTTTGTCCTTGGGCATGTTGTTCGAAAGACTCGATCGTTCCATCGCAGCGGAGAGCTGGGCCGCCAGTCGCGAGGCGTCCTGCAGCGAGTGCCATTCATGGAGCAGCGACAGGAGGTGATGCCGCTTCGCAATGGGGAAGGCCTGCTCGGCCAAGGTCGTGTCCAAAGCAGGGTATACATGGGCCAGCAACACACAAAAACAGCGGCGTAGCTGGAAAAGCTCCATGGACGGCTGTGCATCCGCTTGTAGGAGCGGCAGAGTACGCTGCAAGTACGCGACCAACGCCTCGTGCACGTCTGGACAAGGCAGATAGTGCGACGTCTGTGCGAGAATCAGGCCAGTAGCTACGCGCTGCGATGTCATAGTATCGTCCAGCGCGTCCATCAGCGCATGGACCAACGCTGGGTAGGCATGCGCATGAATATGACTGAGGGCATCTGTCGCATCGTCTTGCCATTCGCGATCCGCACAAGCTAAGTACGGGATCAGCATTCCGATGGGCGGCGGAGGCGGATCAGTCGATGCGACGGTGCACAAGGCCGTAGTATACGAGCGCCATGCCGTACGAATCAGCGGCGTCACGTTGGGCGCAGGCGCACTGGAGCGCCGGACCTGGGCGATCGCCGCTACCGTCGGCTCTAAGCGATGAGCAGCGCCATGAAGCATATTGGAGAGGCGCGCGGCGGTGCCAGGTGCCTGCTGTACGACATCGGCAAGGAACAGGGGCAGTGCATGCATCCACAGCGAAGCATATTCAGCCGTGCACGCCAGGCGAGCTAGCGTACACGCCTCGCCTGAATCCTGCCACTTGGAGATGCGCGCACGTTCCGATAGAGACAAACATGAGTGGTCTGTGTGCAGGTACTGCGTACAGGGTGTATCAAGCCGCATAGCAGCGTATACGCACGGCTGCTGGAGACGCTCTGCCATGGTCTGTGCGTACCGCAGCAAGGAGAGGCCATGCTGCCGCAACGTTGCGCTGGGGATACATAATAGCATAAGCGCACCCGCCTCGATGGATTCCAAGGTAAGATGCTCGCCCTCTGGCGCCGGTTCCGGCTGCTCGCACCACAATGCCATCAGCTCAACCATCAAATCGGCGGCCTGCGCAATTGCGCCTAGCAGGAGATCGGCGTGAGGATGCAGTTCCCATACCAGGCCATCGTGCCGGAATGACCACTGCACAAACGCCGTGAGGATGGGGTAGGCGCCAGATTGCGCCTGTGCCCATCGCCGTACAGTCGCTGCGCTGGCCTGGCGTACGAGTGGATCGACGCTGTACAGGGCCCGAAACAGCAGGGCATGACAGGTAGCCATGCTCACTTGGGTGGACAAGCAGCGTGGCCACGTCTGAATGCATGTCCGAAGCAGGTCCAACGCCGGCTGGTGATCGCGTAGGTACGCTACCGTGAACGTGCCGTGCGTATGTGCATGCGTGCGCACTTGGTAATGTTCCAAGTCCAGCGAGGCACGTTCGCCATGGATGACAGGGGCCAAGGAGCCTCGCGCAACGGGTGTACGTTCGTCCATAAGTGTGACGTCCTTGAGAATGTAGTCGCATACCAACGTAATGCGCGCGATGAGTGTGTGAAAGTAGGCCTGCGTCTCGCCGACCTCAGCGTTAGGGTACGCAAAGTCGCTAGGCTCGGTGGCCAACGCATCGGGCGATAGCACCTCGCCGCCCGGCAACAGCGGCGCCTCGCCTTGGACGTAGCATGCGAGGGTCTGTGTAATCGCGCGAATGGCAATGCACATCCGTGTAGGCTGCAGCAAGTTTGGCTGGTGGACAGCGGCTTTGTCATCGAGCTGCTTGTGCCGTAGCATCTCCAACACAAGAGGACGTGTATACTCAAACTGACGGAAGAGCGCGTGAGAAAGCATATCTACGCATGCATCCACGCACGCGTCGCTCGGTTGAAGGGACGAGCGTGGGGAGGGAAGGCAGAGCGCGAAGAACGCGTCGAGGCGGCGCTTCGTGGGGTTGGTGCCTTCGTGGCAACGGAACAGGTACGCCCAAAGTAGCTGTGCAGCCACAGGCAGCATCGAAGCGCGTACCTCGGTATCTTTGCGCTCCTTGTGCCGTGTCATGCCCATTTCGACCAAGCTGTACCATTTTTCAAGAATGATCCCGGGCGGCGAAGCACATACAATCACCGCACAAAGGGGGTACGCAACAGCCCAGTACCGTGAGCGGTGCAGCATGCCCTGCGCTTTTGGCAGCATGGTGTGCATTGCCGAGACCCATACAGGATGAAGGAGCTCCGCGGACGCATACCGCGCAACGGGCTCAATGATGGTATGTAGGACGCGAGCAAACGCACGTTTGATACGGTAGCCATGCGCATGTGAGAAAAACTGCGCGAGGGTAGTAAGGAACGTAGCGCCTGCTTCGAACGCTTCCATGGGGTATACAGTAATGCGGAGGTACCGCATTCCGAGAATAGCGGCTTCCGTGAGCAGCTCATTGTCGCGCGAGACAGCCACGGCATTGGCCTGCCGCAAGATCGCGATAAACTGCTCGCCCAGCGCCGGGAGGCAGTGGCGGGACAAGGCGCCAAGCACACGGGCCACGATATCGAAACAGTGCTGCTGCAGTGTCGTGTGCAGACGCGCAAACGAGCCACGCTCACTTTCGCGCTCGACCGAGCAGAGATGCAAGCATTGAAACATGACACCGAGAAACTCGTCCCATTCGTGCAGATCCTCTTCATGCAATCCCATTTTGTCGTTGGTGCCTGGCGGAATGGTAGGCAGCAAGGCGGAGCATGCAAGGTACGTCGCAGTAAGCGCACATCGTCGACGCAGCATCTCGCCTGAGACGCCCGGCGTCGCTAGGATGTTGGGATCGCTTGTTCGACGACGTCCAAGCCGTGAAGAGGATGGCGCATCCAGCGCATCCGTACGCCATTCAAGCAACGCGTTTTGCAGCGTCGAGCGATCGTACTGCGCAACGGAGGCCATGGACTCTAGAAGATCGTCCCAGGCCACGCGGTGCGCAGCCGTAGGGAAGAGGGACGTAAGTACATCATGGTCCTGCTGGGCGCTTAGCACGGTATACAATGCATCGTCAGCGATGCTGGTAAAGCGGTAGAGAACATGTTGTGCTGCATAGGTATCCGGCCGCGTCGAGGCAAAGCTGATATCCCCCTGTAGCATCCAGGACTCCACATCGTCCGGCGCACGCAGCGCGACAGGGGACGAAAGGCCATCGGCGGTAGGCGCGACGCTCACACTGGATGGCGAGACAGGCGCTCCATCCAGGGAGTACTCGGACAAGTGCGAGCCCTTGTGCGCATGGCGCGAGCGGTGCGTACGTAGCGGACTAGAAGACGACGTATCATGGGGCGGCAGAGACGCCTGACTCGCCGATTTGTCATGGCGCCGCGCCGCGCGTGTCATGCCTGTCGCGTGCGCAAGGCCCGACGACATGGCCGTAATGTCACTGAGGGTAAGCGTCCGAGTGATTTTCTTGGAGGAGGCACCTGCTTCAAACTCGGCAAAGAAGGGCGACGTCGCTTCGAGGCCGTCGCGTGCGCTGGGCGTCGTGGGCTGAGGTGCATGGAATTGAGTGGACGACGGGAGAGACGGCTGGCCTTTGATGGCAGCACGCAGACTCGCAAACGACGACTTTTTCTTTACAGGGAACGAGAACGACGAGGAAAGAGCATGACCACTCACAGCGCGCGATGGCGAGGGGTGGTAGTCTGTGCCCGGCAAGGTCGCTGAAGAGAACGAGGATCCAAATCGCATCGACGAGCTCTTCGTCGTGATGGACGCACTTTCGTCCGCGTTCAACGAGCCGGACCGAATATGCCGTAGGCGACCAGCTCGACTCTTGGTACCAGAAGGCCCTGACCCCTCGTCCAACGGCGAGTGTGGCGCTGGCGGAAGCGTCGCTGTCGTCGACGCAGCCCACGGCTCCGTGGACGACGACCCGTTGGACATGCCATACAGGAGGCGTGGCGGCGCAATCTCTATATCAGGAAACAGTGAATCATCGTCCAAGTCAGGAATCACAAACTGTGCGTCGTCGTCCATCCCATGCAAGCTCGCAAGGCTTCGTTCGCTCGCTGCAACGAAGGCGTCGTCGCACACGCCGCGCAGCGCCCCTGTGGGGTGTGTCGTTGCGCACGGTCAACGCAACGATTAGTCAGCGTATGAGAGGCCGACAAAAAAAAGGTCAAGCCGCCGTTGCGGTGGTTCACCGTCGCTGGCGCCTCGAACGTGCCCTTGTTCTCCTGCGGCGCAACATACCATGCCGAAGCGAACGCAGCGGCAGCCACTAGCGGCCAGTGCGCTGCGTAGCGCAGGTTTGATGGACGATGTACGTACGCTGGCTTACTCACATGCCTAGACCGCTATGCGGATGGACGAAGATGGCACGGGTCCTAACGCAGGCTTATCGCGTGCACAGCGCCGTAAACTTGCACGCCAAGCGGCCGATCCCGTGGGTCGGCGGCAAGCGCAGCGTGTCGGTAAAGGGGCCGTGAATATCAATGCCGGCACACGCCCTGCTAATATGCGCAAGGGCAAGACGCTCGGCGCGCACTCGCTGACCAAGACGCCCGACGTGGCGCCGCAGACGAATGTCGTAGCGACGCTGCGTCGATTCCTAGAGTCACGTTGGAACGCGGAGGCGCACCTCCTTAACCTGGATCAGATGCAGCAGGATCCCATCCTCGCCGAGGCGAATATTCGGCCGCCTGGCGCACCTGGCGCGCATCGTGATCTCGGCACGGCGCTGTGGAAGCTCAGTGGCGAAATGTTCCCGTCGCTGACGACGCTGTCACTGGCAGGAAACACACTAAGCTCGCTGCAGCCATTAGCGACACTAGGGCAGTACGTCCCTAAACTCGCGAACCTCTCATTGGAACGCAATGAGCTACGATGGGTGCGTGATTTGGACCTGCTTGCTTCGAAAAAACAAGGCTTACCTGCCTTGCAAGAGTTGGTCCTGCTGGGCAACCCAATGCAGCAGCATGCTATGGAGAGCGGGAATGAAGACGGCTACCGACGCGACGTGCTCGCGAAGTTTTCCGACTTGCGCATCCTGGATATGAAGCCGGTTACGGACATTGAGCATGGGTTCTCGCAGCTCTTCAAAGGCCGCAACGCCAAAAAAGCTGGGCCTGAAGCGGCTAAGGTGCCGCTTCGTCGTTTCCCGCTGCAAATCAAGGCAGGGTTCATTGACGGCGATGCCTCTCAAGTCGTGCCAGAGTTCCTGTCAACGTTCTTTGCGACGTACGATCAGGACCGCTCGCAGTTGGCGCCGGTCTACAGTGCCAATGCACGTTTCTCGTACAGCATCAATTCCAGCCCACCACCGCGTGCTCGTGCTGAACGACTGGTGCATACGCTACCGAACCAGAAATCGCTGACGTTGGATAAGTACATGGAGCTGGGCTCCCGCAATATCTTGCGTACGCACAATACCAAGGCGCTGCTGCGTAGCTTGCACCATGGCAGTGACGCCATTGTTGCATTCCTCCAGCGCTTACCAAAAACGACGCATCCACTGCATGATGCGTCGAAGTTTGTCGTTGATGCGTGGCTTCTGCCGAACGTCGACGTGAAAGCACAGACGAGTGCCTCGGAGCGTCCGGACGCCTTGCTGTTCATCAATGTGCATGGCGAGTTTACCGAGGCACCGTCACAGGGTGTGCGCTCGTTTGATCGCGCATTTGTCGTAGCTCCGGCGGCACCTACGTCGGAAGCCGTGCAGCGTGGGTGGCCCTGCGTGATTGTGAGTGATATGCTGACACTCCGACATTACTCGTTGGCCTCTGCGTTTGCGCCTGACTCACTGCCGACGGGCCAAGAAGGACCTACGATGGCAGCACAGAGCGTGCCAGGCGCTGTACCGCCGGCAATCGCTCCCGCGACGACCACAGCAGCGGAGCCGATGCCCATGCCGGGTCTGACGCCCGAGCAGCATGCCCTCTCGCTCCAGCTCGCTGCACAGACCAAGCTTACGTACCCCTTTGCTGTGCAGTGCCTGAGCGAAAATGGGTGGGATATGTCTCGCGCCATGGCCGTATTTACGTCGCTGCAGGCGGTGGGAAGCATCCCTCGTGAAGCTTTTGTATCAACATAGAAAACTACGTACGACATGCTAGTCATGAACGCTCTTTCGCAAGTCGCGATACACCTGTGCGATACACAAGCCCAGAGCCAATGCATGGCCAATCACGACGCCGACTGCAGCGCCATACACGCACGGTACGGGCCATGCTTGCCATGCGCGGCCCCAGTCAAGAGCGAGAACGGCGGCACTTAGACCTGCGCCGAGCCACGCACACAGGCATGGCACGATGACCAGGATCTCACGCGGCAGCGCTGTGGACGGCGCCGCAAGCCATCGCGTCCATACCGGTGAAGGCGGCGCGCCAAAGATGTGCGCCATAGGCCACAAGCCCAGCAGCGCCAGGTAGCCCGCCAACGTGGCCGTGCCCAAGTAGCCACTATAGGTAAGCCAAGCGTAGATACGTACGTATGCAGCGGCGCGCCCACCAACACAAGCGCTACAGAGGCCAAGAGCCAGAGCAGCGGCAGGGAAAATGAGGAAAAGACGACACCCTCGATCTGCGTATGCACAGCCAGCGAGCGCTTCTTGAGCTCAGACGGCGGCTCACGACGTTCGTGCCCCTCCGCGCGATGACACCAGCTATGCATGCGCATGCAGTACCATGCTTGCGTGAGCGCTGTGCCTTGTACAGCCAGGACCATGTCCCATGCTAGACGCTCCGCCGATCGATCCGCCAGACGATCGCCAGGCCGCAGAATAAGCGAAATCTTGTGCAAGAGCCCGCCTAGGAACGAGGATGCGTCTACGTAGCGCGCCAAGTCAATGAGGGTCAGTGTGAGCAGAGCCGGCTGCAAGAACATCGTGAAAAACACTAGCTGGAGAATGTGCCAGATGGGCCAGCGGCCTGCATCGCGGGGCTGCAATACCTGCTCGGAGGGAGGCACTTTGGGTGCGGAGGCAGGCGCCGATCGTCCCTTCGCACGTCGCACCATCGCCAACGACGAACGTTTGGATTTCGTTCAAATTGGGCGAAATACGCGCGGGGCCTTCGTGCGAGAGGCCGCAGGAACGCGTTGCGCGGCACGTGGAATTATGCGCGCGCGGACCCTGGTCGTCGTCCTGTCCCCTTCTCATCAACGACGACACCACGCGTGCTACGCCTGGTCGGTCGGCATGTCGTCTCATCGTGCCGACGACTCTGCATCTTCCATCGATGTGGCGTCTTCGTACTTGGAATCGACTGATACAGCGGATGCGCCGTACCTGACACAGCTCGGATCACGTCCACACAAAAGTCAGAGTCGGGCGGACAGTCTCGCCTCGACGTCGACGCCTGCCAGTCCCACGCCAGCTGCTGCTGTCGCACCGGCGGCCTCGACGTCCATGGTAGACTCGCCGTCGTCGTCCGTGGATGGAAGTGTGTTTAGCGTGCGGAGTGGTAGTGGAAGTCGATTGCAACGTCAACCTGCCATCCATCGATCACGCACCTCGTCGAACGTCTCGGACTCTTCGCAGACCTCGCAGTCAAGCCGTCGCGTTCTATCGCAGCGACCACGCGATGCGTCCGGATCCAACAGCCCTGTGCCGCTCCTTGGCACACCGCCGCCGCCGGCCTGGCGTGCCTCGTCTCGAAGTGAGCTGACCAGTCCTTTGCAACGTCACTCCAGCTTACGGAGTACTCTTTCTGGCCACAGCGAGTCCCTTCGTCCCTCGAAGGCTGGCTCACTGGACCATGACAATGAGGAAGACGACGACGAAGGCAAAGACGAGCACTCCGATGAATCCGTGTACTCCAACGAGGGTGATAAAGAGGAGGCGACGCATTCCACAGACGCGGACCCGACGACGGTCTCGCGTGCTTCATCGGTGCGTAGCGCTGCGTCGATGCCCCTGCCATTGCGTGTACACTCTTCCCTCAGTGATACAGAGGAGCGCCGCGTCCCTGCTGTGCCTACGACGCCTGCACGATCGCAGCATCGACCGCGATCCAGCTCGTTGGCGTCGCCCAACGAGCGCCACACGGCCTCACCTGTACTGCCGCCTCGACGTGCGCTGGCCGCCGACGTATCAGACAGCTCGCAGTCAGTCAGGCGGACATCGCTCCCGCCGTCCGCCGGCACAACGTCTACTGCGCCGTCCGAAGCGGCGTCCACGCCTCGGGTCGAGCCTGCGGTTCTCTCGCCCCTGTCCATGCCGCCTTTGTTGCCGGAGGAATATAAACCGGCCCTGCCACCACGGCCTCGTTCGCAGGCGGAGACGCCGGCCTTGGCACCGCTGCCCCCCGATGCAACTGCACAGATGCTCTCGCCGCCGGATCTGCCCGTATCGGCGTCGCAGCAATCACTTTCGTCGGCGTACTCCAACGAGTCGATGGCCTCATCGAAGGAAGAGTCTACGTCAGAGGCCAAGGCGCCTGCTGCGCCTGCTGAAGGTGCAAGTACAACGACGTCGCCGACCATGACCTCCACGCCTCTGACGACGGCCACCTCGCACTTTGCCCGAATGCCTACAGAAGAGCCTATCCGATCCAGCGATACGAGTTTGGTGTCTTGGCCTGCATCGCGCCACGTATCTACCGATACCACACGAGCGTCGCAGCGAGTCGTCTCCGGAGCCTCAGAGGCGTCCAGTACTTTCACGACATCCATGCAAGAGCTCATGGATACCTTTGCATCTGCGATGGCCGATTTAGGCCTCGATGAATCTGCGCCGCCTGTGCCGGGTGTCGACGATATGGCGGTCGGTTACCGCGCTACTGCGTACCCACACGGCTCCCATGGCCTGCCGCGATCGACATCGACGTTGGCTTCGATGCTGCCGCCGCCGGAGCCTGTAAAGGCCCCGATCTCCTCGCCGTTGCCCGCCGCAGCGCCGGCCTTGCAGCAAGCTGTTGCGCCTGGCAGCACACGCACCACGTCGATGGCGTCCACTATGACGTCGTCCACGTCGTCTGCGACCTCGCCGGCCCTGTCCAACAAGGCGCTACCTCAAAGTCCTACCGACAAGCGCTTCCATGTCTACGGTATGCATGTTTGGTGGCCAGGCTCGTTTGACGTGACGTCCAACCTGAACTACGACTCCGTCTCGCCTGTGCAGCGCGCTGCGCTCTTTACCAATGCCGCGAACGATTTGCTGCAACGACCGACGAATCTCAGCGACTGGATCGAGCAGATTCGCGCGTTGCAGCCATCAGCGCCTGATGCGCTCACACGCTCTGTCATGCAAACGCAAATGCAGGAACTCGAGGCGTCTATGACACCTCACCTTGGCGCGCCGTCTGAGCCGTCTGATCTGCCACTGCCGTCGAATATTCCTTTCCCCTTGCTGGCCAAGGCGCAAAGTGTGGCCCATGGCGATCCCGGTATCTCACTGGTCAACTCACCTGCGTCGCATGACAGTACATCGCCGCCGCCTTCCGCCTTGCCGGCGGCGGCGGCGGTGGCAGCGGCAACGCCAGCAACGACTACGACGCCTTCGATGCTGGCCTCCCCTGCCCCGCGCCCTCTTAGCACCACAGCGGCCCCTGCACTACCGACGCCCACACCTGCGCAGGCCATGGCCATGGCCTCGGCGCCGTCACGATACGCAGCCGCCACGTCGACGCCAGCGCCTCCGACGCCGGCGTCGACACAGACGAAAGAGCCCAGCACGTCGATGCCCGCCTCGTTCTTTACCAATCCGCTGGGCCGCCGAAAAGCTACCCACGCCGCTACATACTCATCGTACACGCCCCTACGTGCCTTCCCCTCGCCGCGGGTACCGGGCGCCAGCAGTGAATGGGACGCCATGCCGGTGGGCCTTGGTCTGTACCGCGCGCCCAGCCAGGCCATGTCGGACGTCTCGTCGCTGCCGGATACGGCTATGAATGCGGCTGTCACGCGTTTGCGCGATGCATTGCCGGAGATCGACGAGGCGACCGCCCGTTTGTACGTCCAGCGCCATCATGGCGACGATGTTCGTGCCTTGGTACGTGTCTCTTCTGCGTCTACTTACACACAGTCTGACTACTTGGCCGATCACGCACGTGAAGAGCCACATGCGCCTCGTCGTGGCCTCTTTGCGCACACGCCACGCACACGCTAAGGCCAAGAGTCTTGCTTTACGGGGTATCTAGTCATGGCATTTCGTTCGTTACCAATACACTGTGTAAAAGTGTGGATAGACCAACTCGTCTTCCAGTAGCTGGCGGACTGTATCGCCCAAAAACCGCTCGACTTTGCCGACGTTCTCAAGCACATGCTTGCTGGGTTCGCCGACCTGACTTTCCAGCGCAAAGTACGGCAGGATCCGCTGGCCCTGGTGCCGTGAGCGAATGCGCGCATCATGCACGGCGCGCAGCCCATCGGCGGCACAGGGCGCGTCGGATTCCTCCGAGAGGCTGATATGCACACACTGCTGCTCGCCATCAATAACGACAATGACTTGCGCTAGCAGTTCGAGGCCTGTGATCATGAGGCTCACAGGGAGTGACATGACCGTATCGTCGCTATGTCGGATTCGTAGCGACGTCGTGAGAGCTAGACGGAACGACGAGGTCGGCCATTGTACACTGATATGCATTTGCCAACTTGGCACACTGCTTTCTGTCTCGGGCTCGTCACCAAGGGCATGCGACTCCATGGTCCCGACTGAATCGGTATCGCTCCACAGATGACTCGTTTCGTCCCATCCCGGCTCCGAATTGCCAGCGACCGACGTCGGCATCTCGTCGTCGTACTGTCGAAACGTGCGAAGCCGCATCGGTACGCGTGCGGAAAAAGACGCTTCTTCACTCGCCGTCGTATCCGCTCGCATGGACGCCGCACGGAATGCGCGCCATGGCTCGCCAATATGCACAATTTGCACGTCGGGCACATCCGTCCCGAACTCCATTTGCTCAACATGCACAGGCCCCAGGAACGAAGGCAAAGTCATCTTCGCTAGCAGTGTATTCAGACGCCCACACAGCCCTTCCGCAAAGGGCTGCGATAACGTCGTCCAGTCTAGATCGACGGACATGGTCGTGGACGTCACAGCCTCTCGCGATGCGCTGCTCCGCTCTCGCGCGTCCCCACGATGTGGAGGCGGTCGTCCTACACTACACATCTATGATACAGGCCGTGTATCCTGCAAGAGGGTATCTAGCGTTGCACGCAAGGCTTTCTCGTCTTCAGGCGCTTGCATGGATATGGCATGAAGTAGCTAGATGTAAGTGTCCACCTGCACGCACCTCGTCCAACAACGTAAACGAACGGCTGACTTGGTCCTGCGCCGCTTGGGTCTCTGCTTCCATGGACGCAATGCGTGCTTCAGAGGCGGCATTCGCAGCCTGGAGCTCGGCGAGCTCCGCTTCCAGCGCTGCGATACGCGGCGCTTGCTCTGCGGATACGCGTGCGCGAATGGCTGTCGCAATATCTATCGTAGGGCGCCATACATCTTTCAGCTCCGCCGACGTGGGTGCATGTGCATGCCGCTGCCGTTCGTCAGCTTCTTGTGTGAGCGCCTCCAATTCAGCAAGACGCGGTCCTAGTTCGTATTTTACAATCAGTCCTTCCAGGTCGTCTTGGATCGCCGTTTTGAGGTCTTGGATGAATTGCAGGCGAGCCTTTTCCGCCGCCACGGCCTCCAAATGCGGCAGGGCATGGGCGAAATTTTTCGCTCTGAGGTAAGCCACTGTACCACACGTACGTTGCCTTGTGATCTATCAGCCCAAGAAACTTGTCCAGCGCCGCACGCATGCGGTCCAGCCGCTCTTGGTTCCCAGGCGTGGACGCCATACCAACACACCCACGCGATGCACCGACAACGCGCTGCCTTAGGGACGCGCCGCTTGCACGCGAGGCCACGCGGGGTATATCACGTGATGAACTTGCTGCGGCAAATTCCCAGGCTTTTCCTTCGGCGGCGGACGCTTCGTGGTTTCCACACCCAACCAGTCACTATGTACGTCGTGAGGACGATGGATGAATAGGCGCTAACCATGCAGGGCGAAGTCGAAGAACCACACCAACCACAACCAGTCGCGTAAGGCTCACCGCAACGGTATCAAGAAGCCCAAGACCAACCGTTACCCTAGCTTGCGTGGTGTACGTATACTCACTGGCCGTGGCATGCCGACGGTCTAGCAAGACCATGACGAGCGACGGCCTGCCTGCCTACTTGTACGAGCGGTGCTTTCCTGATCCATGCGCGGGAAGTATGCTGTTTGTTCCGCGTTGGATGCATGCTCTACGATCGTGCTAGCGGGCCTTGCCTATGTCTGGTCTTGTGTGAAAGAACGAATACTAACCTCGTCAGGTCGACCCCAAGTTCCTGCGCAACCAGCGCTATGCCAAGCACGGTACGGAGAAGGCTGTTCGTGAGGCCCGTGCTGCCGCCTCGGCCTAATCGTCTTTCTCTCCATGAACTTGCTTCGTTGGTAGCCCCTATACATGTGCGCTAAGTACATCATCTGAATGATTCCGTACTTGGCTTTGCACACCATGAAAATGTACTACGGTTTTGCCCGTTTGGATAACTACTGTGTCCATAGTGTGTGATGGGCGGCTTGCTCAGCTTTTTTTCGCCTGGCTGGCCTCGCGAAGGGTCCTTCCTGGCGGCTGTGTGTGGAGGCGCCGGGCGATAAGTCGTGCCTGTGTCGTACGGTGTGCGTTTTGTCTTGTGCAAGCCGAGCGAGCTACCCTACTGGCCCCTGTGCCTTGGTGGCAAATGGCCTCTTTGCGTCGCAGTGCATCTGTATCGCCGCTGCGAGACGAGACGGTGTCGAGTCCATCCACGTCCGAGGCTGCCGTGCCCAACGAGCCAGGTACACGTCCTTCGAGTGTCCAGGTCCGTGTGACGCCCGGTCCCTTGGCCGAGTATGTCATGCGACGTAGCCGGCCTTTGCACGTCTCCAATCCGAACAAGTGGGAGCCTGACGAAGATGCGAAAGAGTGCCGACAGTGTGGACGCTCTTTCACGCTCTTCTACCGACGGCATCATTGTCGGCTGTGCGGGAAGATCTATTGCGATGCATGCACGTCGAACCGTGTCCAGCTCACAGAGGGCGAAATGGTGATTGATCCCATGATGCCGGACATGCGCGAGGAGGAGAGTCAGTACCCTACGCGAGTGTGTGATGGCTGCTACGACAGCCTTGGTCTGCTACCTCGCGAGCGTGCTGCGCCTGCTGCGTCCACTACACCGACTGGCCCCCGTCTCTCACGCTTGTATTCCATGCTCCGCCTCTCCTCGTCCGCGACGTCGCCCACAGAAGATTGGTCCGACGAGGATGAGGATACGATACCCAGCACCACTTCGCCGTCCCTAAGCGCAAGCATTATGGAGCGCTGCCCAGTGTGCGATGCCCACCTCTCTACGTTTGCATCCACGGAGGCGTTTGAGCAGCACGTCGCGCACTGCCTGGAGCAGGGCGTCGTGCCTGCGCGTCCACAGCGCATCCACTTTGTGACGTCCACGGTGCCTTCCATGTCGCCGCTGGTCGGCAAGGAATGCATTATCTGTATGGAAGAATTTGACGTGGGCGACAGGATCGCGCGTCTTACGTGTTTTTGCTGTTTTCATGTCGCTTGGTATGTGTATTGTATTCTTTAACCCTACAGCATTAAGCAATGGCTTGAGAAGGCCTCGGCATGCCCCATCCACTCGGACGAACCCGATGCTTAGGCCTTGTGTGCTTGCAGGGCCTGCTGCAGCCGCTGCACTTTGACGCGGGCCTGCGCCAGTAGTTGTGCTCTAGGTCGTGTAAATATACTCGGATACGTACTCTTTGGCGAGCGTGCTCTCGATACGCGCCTGCTGCTTGGTCCCCAGCTGCTGTCCACGCGCCACGGCATGCTGTTCGGCGTAGCTGCGTAGATGCGGTCGAAGGACGTCCAATTGGTGGGACAACTGTAGGTCAGCTTGGGCTTGCTCATACATACCTTGAGCAAGTGCTCTTTGGCGCTGGTCCGGCCGTCCTGCGTAAACTCACGCGACATGCGCTGCAGTTCATCAAACCACCGCTTTTCGTACACAGAGAGCTGCGGCGTATGCTCGTCCATGAGATGCTGCAGCAGTGTATCCAAGCGGCGCACACTCGCCTGCTGCGCCGCCTCCATGCGATCCAGGCGCGCGGCCACAGTCTCTGTGCGTAGGGCCGCCGCTCGTTGCGCGAGATCCGCGAGCTGCGTCACTTGGCGCTGCATCTCCGCCAGCTGCTGTGCGACGCGCGTTTGCACGGCCTGGCCAGCTTGAGCTACGTCGCGTGTTTGCTGCCGGAGGGCCTCGGCAGCCTGGCCTAGCGCACGAAGGGTGGCGGGCGTCACTGTCAGAGGCGCCGACGTCGCAGCCACCGCCTTGCCTGCGTGCGTCAAGGCGGTGGGCGTCACGAAGGGTTCCGTCAGCACGCTTTGGTAGCCACGGGCATTTATCTCACGCGCCTGCTCGTCCTCGGGCCACGCCATCGTGGATCGCAGCCGCAGCTCCAGCGCGGCCAGCTGCGCGTCGGACGTACACACAAACAACGTATACGAAACATACACATCGTTGAGCACACACATCCCTGCCATCGGCGCACGGTCGTCAGCCTCTAAGCGGACCAATGCACTGACGTCGCTGCGTGTATGCGCCTGCACGGCAGCATGCGTCTGCGCTTTGTCCTGCGTCTGCATCGCGTCGGCCAAGGCAGAGGCCCATGGCTGGATACTCACCACATGCGCGCCGTAGCCATGCGAGACAAACACAGTGTCGGGGTATAACGGATCAGGGACAAGGCGTAGATAGTTCGTCGTGAGGAGCGTTGAGCGCGGCACTGGCAGACCTAGGTCCAGGCATTCATACACGGCCAGCGTCGGTGTAGGCGTACTCGAGGTACCGCTCTCAGCGATGCTCGATACCCACTGTGGCCGCATCGTCGTGGCCAGGACCATGTTGTGCATACGTCCATCTCGCTCGGCGAGGCACAGCACGGGAAGCGATGTCTGGCCCTGGTCGGCGCGCACGCATGTAAGCCAAAGATCACAGGCGCTTGGGCCCAGCTCATCGTCGCCTTCCAACGGCGACGGACGCTGGAGAAATGGACCTTGCGGCGCTATGCGATGCGGGACCGAGGCAGGGGCCGTAACAGGCAGCCATGCAGGCATCGTCGTGGAGGCATCGTCTTGTGCTGCGTCCTCGTCGTGGTTTACGGCCGTCGTCGCTTGCTGGACCAAGTCGCTCAGGTAGCGCACGGCCAAGGTCCGGCCTTCCTGCTCACGTGCCTCCGACGCTGCCAAGGCCAACAAGGCACGGCGTGGGAGCATGGCGTGTCTCGGCATATAGGGACACAGCGCAACGATATCGCCGCTGCGTGTAAGCACAAACACCGTGAACAAGAGCCAGCTGGGCCATGAAGCATCGCGGTCCTCGTCAGTGTGATCGGCCGGTTCGTCGTACGGCAGCGCTAGGCCCAGGCCTTGCGGCCCAAAGGCCATGGCGACTGCACACTGCTCGTCGTCATCGTCTGCAGACCAGGCCGCCTTGCTGCGTGGCGTCGTGGCCTGCGACAGTACCGAGACGGTCTGTGCCGGCTCTTCCACGTCCTGTGCGACGTCGTATTCACGCAATAGACCATCGTCTGTGAGCACCATCAAACTAGTGCCATTCATGCCGAGCGGGTGCCACGCACACTGCGCGATGCGTGGACATCCATGCAAGCCATGGTAGTACGAGCCAATACGCACCGCTTTTACAAGGATATGTGTGCCGACCTGCTTCATGTAGCCACGCCGCGGTAGGATGATCAGGACCATGGTATAGGCGCCAACCACCGCCAAAAGTTTCCCCGTGGGGTTCACGGCCAAGGCCTGGATTGGGAAGTCCAGCAGCGAGGAGGATAGGATCTTGTACGAAGGCGCGATCTCGCTCTCTTCCTCGAATTGGCGCTTGGCCTGTGCCACATTCGTCATACGCACTTGGTTTTGCACGACCGCGAGCATATCCGCGCCACGCATCGCCAGCAAAGAGGTACGCTGTGCCGTATCAGCCTCGGAGGCCGTCACATCGGAGCGGTGTTCCCAGAGCGCATGTCGTTGCAACGCTTCACGCCACGTCCGCATCCTGTCGTACGTAGACGAGGCTCTGTGTCTTGCCCCTCTTCGCGCTTCGTGCGTGCGACGCAGCAACGTGCGAGGACGAGGCACGTCGTCGCGTAGGCATCACGTGATTTCACCGCGACGAGGTAGGTCCGAGCGAGCGTGGGTGGGCTGCGTACATGCACGATGATGGACGCCGCGACGTTGCGGTCGTTGCTTCGTCGCATTGTCGGCCAGCGTGAAGAAAAGGCGCGTGTTGTACAGGAAGGCGTGCTGTTCGATGTCGTTGCATGCGTAGGACGTACTGAGCATCCAGCGTATGAGCAGGCGAGCCTCCTGGCAGCGCAGGTCTTAGCGTCTGTGGCTCAGCATGCGACGCCGCCCATGGTCCTAGGTCTCGTACGTGCTCGCGCTGTAGATGCGTTGGTGCATGCTGCGACGGCGCTCGCATCGGATACATCGTCGTCTGCCGCCCTAATCGAGGCGACGCTCCGTGCGCTAGCTACGGTGCTTACAGCCGTGTGTGACCAGATTGTGTATATGCCATGGCACGGCCTTGGCTCGGGGCCAGGGAGTGCTATGATGAGTGGCCTCGAGCATGTACAGGCCCTGCCGCTCATGCATTTATCGCATCGTCCTGCCCCTACGTGGGCCGCTGCGGGGCCCTCCGTGGCTACAAAGGAGGCTTTGACGCCTGAACGTGAATTGCATGCACAGTGTTGGGCCGCTGTCCAGCTCACTTGGTCGCACCTACCCACCTTTGCCATACTTGCGCAGCACCCTGCGTGGACCGCACGTGTGCTAGAGCCTGTGCTGGCGATGCTGCGTGTGAGCCTCGCAGCCTTGGCGCGTGCACAGCCTGGGCCGATCGACGACCAGGCTGTTTCGCCCATAGCCATTCCCCCCGCTCTCTTGGATGCGCTGTATCAGGCGGCCTCAATACCTGCCATGCAAGAGGCAAGTGTATGGGCCTGCCAAGCTGTACTCGCATGCTCCAGCGTGGTGGGGAGCACAGACACCCTTGCTGAGATCCTTCGCAAGGCGAGTCAACATACGTCCACGGCTGTACGTCAGGCTGCGTACTGTGCGCTGGCGTACTGGCCCCTAGCATGGGGGCCTATGCCTGTCTCGCCACACACCGTGCTGGTCCAGCTGCTCAATGCCATGACCGAGCGTGAGCCTAGAGCGTTCTCGACCGTATTTGCCCTCCGAGCGCTTTTGCAGGCACGCAGTGCCTTGCAAAAGCTCGCTGTGTATGAACACGATGTGCTTGCTGCCACGATCTCGCTTTTGGACGCTACGTTCTCTGCGATTCCGTCAGCAGACGCGCCGCCCCTCGATCGTACGCAGCCCTGTCCTTTGCGTGCACGAGAGCGCGAGATTCGTATGCAGGAAGGCGGCTTGTACGTCCTTGCGACGCTCGCGACGGAAGGCGATGCCATGCGCCGTCACATTATCGAGGCGCGCCCGTCGCTGCTGCGCGATCGTATCGTGCCCCTACTGGCATGCGCTGTGCCTGGCGTGCAGCTGGCCGCCTGCCATGTATGCCGCGTGCTTTCACGGACCATTGGCCTGCTACGTACGACACTATGGGATGCGCACCTGGCCGAGTATGTTTTGCAGCTGTTGCAGCATGGCTCGGCGATGCTACAGACCGAAGCGCTGGCGCTTCTGGCCAACTTGCTCGTGAAGTACAGTCCCATGCAGACGTGGCTGCTGGACCATGGCGGGATCGACGTGGTCGTCGCGTGCTTGCGCCCTGCTACGCCGACGGCCCTGCAGCATCGCGCGTTGTGGGTGCTAAAGAATGCGCTCTGGGAGTGCGAGCCTGCCATCCGTACGCGTCTCCTTACGGCTGTGCCGTGCGATACCTTGCTTGCCTACACGCACGTGCCCGAGATTTCACTACGTGCGGAAGCGCTGCATGTGCTGCGCAATGCTACGGCGGCGTCAACAGACGACGAGATAGCCGCCGTCCTCGCGAGGCTCAATGCCTCGGCATGGCAGGACGTCCTCGTCCGGTCCTTGCATCCGACCAGCGCTGAGTCAGTGCTTGTGCAGGCCGCGTACCTGCTTATGAATATCACCGCGAGTGGCGCACCATGGTGCGACGTCATTCTCTCGGAGCCCACGCTGGTGCAGAGTCTCTGCTGGCTTGTGCAAAGTGCGCATCCCTCGCTCCAAGAGGCCGGCTTGCGATGTGGCCTGAACATGCTCCCCATGCCATCCGCACGCGACCAATTGAAGGCGCTTGGCTACGACGTGGCCGTCCAGGCATGCTCGCGCGAGGCGCCGACAACTGTATACCCATACCTTGAAGCTACCATGGCGTATTTCTACAAGACATCACCTAAAGCCTCGCCTACATGCACCTGATCGCCGGCATGGCACGTGAACTGGAACGTCTCCGGGGCCTCAAACACAAGGACAATGGTGCTGCCCAGCAAGAAGCGGCCCATCTCGTCGCCCTTCGCGAGCGGTTGGCCGCCCAGCACACGGCTCGCCGCATTGTATGTGGCCTCCACAAACGTGCCGGCCAAATGGCGTTCCGCGCGGAGGTTGGTGCGCAAATTGCGGTCAAAGTGGATCAGAATGGATCCAACATTGGTCGCCCCCACAGGCGTCATACTAAAGAAGCCGTACCGCCAACGGCCCAGCAAGGCCACACGCTCATTGATCACAAACAGGTTCGGAAGACGCGCCGCGACGTACGGCGACACCGAATACAGCTCGCCACGGAAATGACGGCGGAGCTCCACGACCCACGGCACAGGACTGTGGAAGCGGTGGTAATCGCCTGGCGATAGGTAAATAACACAAAAGTAGAGGCGGTGGCCAGGCGCGACGTGCCGCGACGCTTCGAGCTGCGGCAGTGCCTCGGCTCGTAGATCCATGGCCACCGACGCATAGTGACCCAGCGTCTCAGCAGAGTCGCTCGTCGGAATACCCACATCATGCTCCTCGTCGGCGCCTTCTTCCTGCGCATCAAGTTCGTCCGCCGCCACTTCTGCGTCCGTCGCCTGGCGCGTCGGGACATGGTCGTACGCATGACGCTTCCAGAGCACCAACTGCTTGAGAGATCGGTACGACCCACGGGCCAGGCCTGCGACATAGTCGCGTACGCGACGTACACGACTCGTGCGTTCACCAAGAAGTTGGGGGACAGAGTACGCAATCCCGTTGACCTCGGCAAACGCATGCTCGCTCTCTACATTCTCGTCGCCCGCCTCTCGTGGAATGATCTGCATCGACTCGGCCTTGGCATTGTTGCCCAGCAGCGAGTCAAGCGAATAGGTAAGGCCCTTGACCTGCTCGACGCGATCGCCCTCGACCGTGCCGAAGTGCAGCACTTTGCCATCCGCCGGCGACACAAGCAGCGCATCGGACACGGGTCGCGCACCCGGCGCGAGCTCACGCGTGAAAAACTCACCGAGGCTGGGGTACTTGGTCAAATCCTTCTCCCGCATCTCCTCCAAATTGCAGCCAAAGAGCCACGCATAAAACTTGAAGCCGTACGGACGGAACCACACAGGCAACGTTAAGCCGTTCGCCCAGCCCCATGCGCGGCTCATCGCATTGAGAGGGAGCGCACCTAGCACGTACAAGGCCCAAGGCCCTGACTCACGGACAGGCCGGCCATGCTCGTCTACCAGCGCAGCGTCACGACGATGCCGATTGTATTCACGGTGGGCCTGCACGCCGACCAGCACCACAGCACCTAGCGCAATCGGAATGGGCGACCACTTCAATGGCGTCTCTCGCCACGCCCTCCTTGCTCTCGCCCATGGCCCTCCTGCCTCGGCCGTCGTACGAGGAAGCTTTTGCAAGCGCGCTCGTTCGGCACGCTGCCCGCGGACCGTGGACGCCTCCTTCTCGGCCTCCAAGGGACTACGTACATAGGCACGCACAGCGCCGAGGCCCAGCCGTGCTGTAGGTGGCGCACGCCCTGCCAACGGCCTCGTAACCAACCACATGGCGTACAGTACGCGAGGCGTCGCCCATCCACCGGCCATGGGCCTACCTCCCGTCACCCCCCGCGGCGTGGCGCGCACAGCACGTGATGCGCGAATCCACGCGAAGGTTCCTCCACCTTCGGTGTGGAAAGCGGTCTGTGCGCTAGAAGGCGCCAGATCGACGACGACACGCGTCCCTGGGCTTGGGCATGGTATAAGTACACTGTAGCAGTCATGCTGTCCATCCCACACTCACTTTAATATGGATTTCTTCTTCCCTACCTCCTATGCACCTACCCACCCCACCTACTCTGCGTGGGGCTGTGGGCCTAGTGTGTTTTCCTCGCCTGTCGCTTATGACATGTTTGATCTGGGCCAGGCTATGATGGAAGCTGAATGGCTCGAGCATCGTCGTGCCGCAGTACGCATGCAGCAATTCGTACGAAGACGGCAGCAGCAACATGCGCTTGAGTCGATGATGCAGCAACTCGCAATGGAAAACGCACGTCAGGCTGCCATCCATGAAGCGCATGAACGCCGCATGGCGAAGGCACGCGCTCAGCGCGCTGCGGAAGCCCTGCGAAAGCGTGCTGTAAAGGCAGCGGAAGCCGAGGACACGGATAACAGCGATGTGGTCCTCCAACTGGGTCCTTGGCTCGTCCGCCTTCCCCTGTCTAATCTTCCATCGTCGTCCGACTCGAAGGACGTGGAAGATACCGAGCCGGCTGAGAAGGACCTTGCGCCTCTCACCGGGGATACCAATGAAACTATCCATGATGAAACACCTACACCTGCGCCAGAAGAGCCGGTATCGGCACCAACATCGGCTTCGTCGCCAGTGCCCGTGCCTGCACCCACCGCCTCGGAACCTGTGAAGGAACGCGTCTCTCCCTCTGACCCTGTGAACGAGGCTCTTCCAACCTCTGACGACCTGTCTCAGGACGCTGATACGGAAGAGGAAGAGGAGCCTGCTACGGACAAGGCGGCCAACCCGACTACCTCACATGATACCAAGTCTCAACTGCTGTTCTCGTACGATTTCCCTTCAGCTGACACGCCCTATGGCCTCGAAGTCCGCAAGCTGGCGCAGGCTGACCGCATTAGCGTCGAAGCCAGCCCTCTGAATGGCGGTAGCATCAAAATCAGTGGTCTTTGGAGTCCTACAGCGCCTACTTCGCAGCGCGTAAGCTCTCCACGCTCTCCGCATGTACGTGACTGTGATGAAGATGGCAACGAAGTGCTTCTGCCGGAAGATTCCGAGTCGGAGTCAGAGTCAGTGTCGGAGCGCGACCTGTTCACGGAATCCGCCATTTTGCCGCTCCCACGTATGAACCTTGTGCAGGGTGTGCGCGCGGAACTCAACGACGACGGGTTCCGACTGTACATCGACTAAGTAGACAGATATGCCATTTGTTTGATAGACAATGATATCCGCATTTAATACGAAGAGGCTATGCTACAGTGATGGTCCGACTAGGTTAATCCTCCTCCTTCTTGGGCTGGTCTTTTTCATGCTCGACCCAGTCGATCCATGAACCCTGGTAGTTGCGAACGCTAAAGAGTCAGTTGGATGAATTACGTACTTCCACCAGCCACGCTGCTGTGCTGTCTCGAGGGCCTGCTGACTGCGGCGGCCACTGCGGCAATAGAACACAATGGAGTCATCAAACGCAGGGCGTCGGAATGAGTAGCGACGCTCAAAGTCCGAGGCAGGGGACGCTTGGCTGTTCGGGTCAAAAGCGTCAGAAAACTCTGACAGCGGCACATTCACAGCTGCAGGGATCATGCCCTGCGCGACCTCGTTCGGCTCACGCACGTCGATAATGGTAATCTTACCTGACGGCGCCTCAGTGTACGGCTTCAGCTCGTCGTACAACACAGTGCCACGCTTGACCCACGAGTCATCCCTGCGGAGCGACGCCGTCATCGAAAGCGCACGGACAGGCATGGCAGACGGCCCAGAGATGCGCGCAGAGGCCAGCGAAGGCGTCATCATGCCTACCATCGGCACAGGGAGCTTAGCCGCTTGACGCAGCGCCATAGAGGCAATCGGCTGAATCGAACGCATGGTGTGCATCGTCGTGCTTTGACAAGGTATAGCGACGCCCTTCGCTGCCAGCCACCCACCCGTGCGTGCGGGGCACGCCATACTCTACACACCTACATCACATAGCAGCCGTCGTCTGGACCAAATCACGTGATATCCGGCCGAATTTGCGCGGGCTTCGAACAAAATTTCGTCTCTCGAGCATCGCTTTGCGTCTGCTTTTTGCACGGCGACAGGCGGCCATTGACGTACGATGGTGCTGGTCCTTTTTGAGACAGCCGTAGGCTTCTGCCTGTTTTCTCTGTCAGATGAGGCCAAGCTCAGCTCGCCTGATCTGTACAAGCACTTTGAGAGCGAGGCGAAGGCCAGCCGACTCCTTCAGCTTCAAGCGATTCACCGGTTCCAAAGCACGGTCGAAGCTGTGGAAGGTGCTACCGCTGTGAATGAGGGCAAAATCAGCAAGGGTCTGAAGCGATTTCTTACAGAAGAAGTTGTTGAGAAAGGCGGGAAGAAGGGCGCTTCGGTGGAGCGCCTCGTCGTCTCGGAGCCGAAGCTTGCGTCGGCCATCAACAAGAAGCTCGGCATCCAGGTTACGTCGGAGTCGAGTCTTATGGATCTGTACCGCGGTATCCGTGAGAATCTTGCAGCGCTGCTGTCTGCTGGGTCACCCGAGGCTGGCGCTCTGGACCCGCGTGACCTCAACACCATGAGCCTCGGTCTCTCTCACAGTCTGAGCCGTTACAAGCTCAAGTTTAGCCCTGATAAGGTGGATACCATGGTTGTCCAGGCCATTGCCCTGCTTGACGATCTCGACAAGGAACTTAATATCTATGCTATGCGTGTCAAGGAATGGTATGGATGGCACTTCCCGGAGATGGGCAAGATCCTTACTGATAACATTGCCTATGCGAAGGTGGTGCGTGCTGTCGGCTTCCGTACCAATGCGTCGGCATGCGATCTCTCGGAGATCCTCCCGGAAGAGATTGAGCAGACGCTCAAGGCCGCGGCCGAGATCTCGATGGGTACTGAAATTAGTGAGTCGGATATGGAGCACATCTGGAGTCTGTGTGACCAAGTAATCTCCATTAGCGAGTACCGCGCGCAGCTTTACTCGTACCTGTGCAACCGTATGAGCGCGATTGCGCCGAACCTTACTGCGCTCGTTGGCGAGCTGGTAGGCGCGCGTTTGATCTCGCATGCTGGCTCGCTCATGAACCTGGCCAAGCAGCCTGCTAGCACCATCCAGATTCTCGGTGCGGAGAAGGCTTTGTTCCGTGCATTGAAGACCAAGCACGACACGCCCAAGTATGGTCTGCTGTACCATTCGAGTCTGGTGGGTATGGCGCCGCCGAAGATGAAGGGTAAGATGGCGCGTATGGTGGCGACCAAGACGGCGCTGTCGGTGCGTCTGGATGCGCTGGCAGATGCCGATTCCAAGTCTGACTTGTCTGCTCCGACGATTGGCTCGGAAGCACGTACCAAGCTGGAGGCTCGCGCGCGTGGATTGGAGCAGCGTGCGACACTGTCGGGTCTGCGTGCCAGCCGCGGTGCTGATAGCGGCTACAAGCAGCAGAGCTTCACGATGGAGGCCGCTGGCCGTAGCTACAATGCTGGTGCGGACGCGCCCCCTGTGGTAACGGGTGTGGCTGACGAGGAAGACGAGGAGGAAGAAGACGAGGACGAGTCCGACGTGGAGGACAAGAAGAAGGCGAAGAAGGCGAAGAAGGAAAAGAAGGAGAAGAAGGAGAAGAAAGACAAGAAAGAGAAGAAAGAGAAGAAGGACAAGAAGCGGTCTGCGTCCGACGAGGGCGACGATGGCGAGTCCAAGAAGAAGAAGAAGAAAAAGTCCAGCGAGTAGAAGCTAGATTTTTGTCCTATATCTTACGTATTGTATTCCGTACTCCCACCATCCTACTGTTTCTCTGTGTGCACCAAATCTATGCGCGCACGCTGGTAGACCTCATGTGATATCATTTCTTGGCTTTCTCCCGGAGCACGAACCAACGTCGACCGCGGGAGTGGGTCGATTTGCATGCGCACAAACGACGGCCCAGGTGCATCCATACCACTCCGTGCTAGCGTGCCTGGGTTGATCACTACTGTAGAATCAACCACACGCAAGAAAGGCTTGGTCCGTGGCGACGGAAGCAGCACGATATCCGGCGTAATTTGGTCTAGCGTGCATAGACGTGAGTGCGACAAGTCCAAGGGCAGTTGTGACGCCGAGGATGAAGGGAAGAGCGGATAGAAATGGCGCTGGCTTAGTACGTGGCGGGCCCAGCGCATCATGGGATCTGTGCCCTTGGTCGATGGCGTCGCTGGCTTTCCTTCCGCACTCGGCCCTGGCTGGACACGCTGCACCAATTCCTCTCGACGCAAATCGCCCAGCACATCGGCGGTGCTTACACCAATGGCAATTTCGTTTATGTAGAATACACTCGGGTTTGGTAGGCACCGAACACGCTGGAATTTGTCAGGAACACGTCAACGTACCTTCGGCAAGCCTAACGCTGGATCCGCCTTGTCAATGAACGGCTGAGGATACGCAAAATGAGGATGGAAAATATCATCTGTACTAGGTACCAAAATGACCATAGTAGACGGCGAACGTTCCATCAAACGCGCTAGTCGTTGGGATATGTGCCGCTTGAACATATCAGTAGGTAGCTCCTCAATGGCACCTGAGGCTACCAAAGGATGCTTAGCACTCACAAATGGGCCCATCTACCAGTCAGTGCATACTGTACGTACCACGACAACCACATCAGGCTGGGCCGCTTCCATGTGCGACATGAACGCATGCCAAGGCGCAAACGACAAGTCCTTAGGCTCAGTATAGGGACCACTGACCGCGGCCACACGCAAGGCCGTGCCATGCAATTTGGCCTCATCATACTGATGCAAAAGCATTTCCTCTCGACTTGTAGCAGGGTGCGGCAAAGCCGGCGGCTACCAAGTCAGCCTCCTCGCGCACGTACCATCAATAGTTCCTCTGCAACAAATTTGTTGCCAGAGCCATTTCGTCCTTTAAGACCGACTATCATACCTGGGAACAGACCCACGATACTGGACGCCTGTGTCGCTTCGTCCGACCATGCATACCGCACCATGCATTTCGGGTCTAAGGCAAGCGAGACACGCTGGCCGTTGCCGACCATTCGACTCGTTTCCAAGACCAGGTTCGTCGCTGTCAGTTTCTGCGAGGGCACATCCTGTGGTGCGGCTTCCGTCGCCTTGGCAGCCGATGGAACGGGATCCAAGCGTGTGCATATACGCCCTACTGTGAAAATACTGGCCTGGTTCGGTATGGACGGATCTTCCCATTCCTGCGAAAGTCCAAACGCTTGCTGGAGTACGTCCGCCATCTCGTTGAGACGGCTATCGAGCTCCAAACTACGCTCGCCTTTCTTTTCAAACATGTAGCGGTAATTCCACTGCTTTAAGTCTGTGCTAACCGCCAGCGATACACGCGGAGCTGCCTTGGCTGGCATCGAGGCCAAGTATGTGTCGTCCCAGGCTGAAGGCTTTGCGCCATTGTACGACTCACCTACATGCAGCCCTGCAGCCCATACACTGGTATCTGTGGTCACTTCATGATTCAGCTGTTCTGTCTCAGCCGCAGCACCAGGCCGCTGGCCCAACAGCTGCGACAAATGATCCATGCGGTCGTCCAACAAAAAGGCACCGCGTCGCGCGGCGCGGCGCGTCTTCCAGGTCCTCCTTCCTCCACGCACGACACACGCGGCCACAGTGGGGCCAATCCCACGCGCGCATCGCAGGCAGGTCCCTCCACCACCATGACCGAAGCGGCGTCGACGCCTGGTCGTGCGGACAAGGACGACCCTACTGCTCCTGTATGGACGATACCCTCGCGATCCGTGGTGACAATCGAGTACCCAGGGTATATTCAAAGCTCCGTGGACTCGTTGCATCGTGCGCTCGCCTCGCTATCTCCTATGGATGGGCCAATGCCAGGGATCGCGAGTGCGTCGTATGCACTGGCGCACATATCATCACTGTTGCAACGAGGCAGCCGCATTGTGGAATGCCGTCTACCTTCGTGGGGCAAAGAGGATCCGCTCGATGTGTACAGACACCCGCTGCTGGGTGATGTGGTCGATGCATCATCGCTGGTCGTCCGTATGCACCGCCAAGTATGGAAACGCACTGTGAAGGGCGTGACTGAGTACCATCGTCAGTACGCACTTGAACTGATCGGTGCATCAACGTGCACTATACGTTTCCGTCGAATGGCCGACTTTGCTTTTCGTCCTACGGCCCCTGCGGGACAGACGGAGCATCCCACTATGGCTCTGCATCAAGCCTTGGTACGCATGGATGTGGATGCCATACGCGCTTATCGCTTCCCTACCGAATCGGAGACATATCAAGTGCCGGATGTCCAGGGGACACTCACCAGCAACCTGGCCATGCTTCCGCCCCCTTTCTTCAGCCGTCAAGAGCTACCTTTCCATTATGCTTATCGCCAAAACCCCACTTCTAGCTTACAAACTGTGTCCTTGGCAGAGACATCGAAACGTGCACGTCGTACCGCTCGTAAAGGCTCGTATGAGTCGCAAGATACCCCACTGCCACCAGTCACGACGACACGCTACATCAACAGAGCGCGATGGCGTAATTTGGCTCCCATTGCCATCAAATTTGGCGACACAGGTCCTGTACCAGCACATGCGGAAGATTCGTTGCTACAAATGGCGCTGTCCGATCGTCAAAAGACGCTCCTCAAGACATTGCACAAGGTAGGTCCATCCTTTACTGACCTGGTAGCACATGGATACTCGTCCTATTTGGTCGCGACTCAGCTTGCTGAATCAATTCACTGTGGAAGAGGGCAAAATGCTCATGCAGTATGTACTATTGTCTCTTAACACACAGAAACAAGGAACTGTTTGCTATGGCGGCTTACACTTTTGGCGATGGGCCTTGGCGCGATGCATTGGTACGCTTCGGATACGATCCACGCACGGATCCGGATAGTCGGTGGTACCAACGCATTCACCTGCGTGGAAAGACACCCCGTGCACCTTCTACACGCGGCACATTTAAAGCTGAGTATGGCCACGGCACTACACCAGCGGAAACGGGACCGGTACCCTTGCCACGCGCCGAGAAAGAATTGCGGACGCCATCGCATGTATTTGATGGAAAGACACCGACATTCTCCACTAGTACCTTCCAGCTATGTGATATTACCGATATCAATATTGTCCCGCTCATTCGAGCGGAAGGGCCGCATCATCTATGTCCTCAGCCCAATGTACGTACAAAGGCACTTACCCAAGATTTCTACAGGCTGGTACACAGCATCGACATGGGAAGCCCTGCGATCCGCTGTCTCTACAAGTTTCCACACACTGTTGGCTTCCTCATCGAGCGTAGCCGCTCCACGTTACGGGCCCAAAACTACGGAGAAACCCACAGGAGCTGACGAGCCGCCTAGTCAATCGAGCGATGACGACGACGAGGAGAGCAACTCGTCTGCCGAGAGCGATGAGGGTGTGAGATAACTTGCTATATAGGTCCATTTATTCACAACAATCTACCCTTGGGGCAAAATACGTGAACGTACGACAAGGGGTATGAAAGACAGAGGCAGGTCCGAGAGCATTCACTCCTTCTTCTCGTCCTCCTTGTCCTCTTTGTCCTCCTTTTTGTCCTCCTTCTCGCCCTCCTTCTTGTCCTCCGTCTCCGCCGATGGCTTGTCGCCAGAGACTTCCTTGTTCGTAGCCTGCGCCTGCTCGAACGCCTTCTTGAACAGCTCGGCGTCTAGGTGTCAGCACATGGATCGAGATACGTACTCTCCGAGTTGGCAAAGCGGATGGCCAAGGTCTCCGCCACAGGCTCACCGTCCGACACATCGGCCGTCACGTTGTACACCCACGAGCGGTCCGAGCCGACGTTCGGCTGCAGCTTGATATCAGGCGACACTAGCATGTCAGAAACCCACACTGATACATACCAAAGTGGTTCGCGCACACCTTCAAAGTCTTGTCGCGACGCATAACGAGACGAACCTTCTTCGTCTCCTTATGCTTCAGCAGACGAACGTCGCCAGTGCCACGCTCCTTCCATTCCTTGCCCTCCTTGTCAAAACGGAAGAGCTTCGCACGGATCTTGAACTCGACGTCCTCATCCTCCTCGTGCGTCTTCACCTCAACCTGGTTCTCCAGCTTGATCACAGGCTCAAACTGGGGGTCGTGCTCAGCCTCAGCGCCCTTCACAGTCAGCTACCAGTCACACGCCGCCCACATACCGTCTCCACAGGTTCCTTTTTCTCGTGCTCCTCCGACATGTTAGACTACGGCGAAAGTTGCGTGCGGTGCCACGAAGCAAAAGCCCTTCATGTCACGTGATACGCCACGTGAGGACGTGGCCCAAGAAGCTCACAGCTCCCAGCCCACACAGATCCTCCGCGCGACATGTGGATGCGAGTGTTGGTATGGCTGGCACTAGTGTGGCAGCTTGCTGCCGCGCACACAATTGACCTCATGCCTAGCTCAGAGCAATGCTTTTTCGAAGATATGCATGTGGGCGACGAAATGACTCTTACATACCAAGTGACAGGAGGTGGTCACCTTGACATCGACACCCGAATCCGTGACCCATCGGGCCGTCTGCTGTTTGAGCAGCTTCATAAAGATACAGGCACATATGACTTCATCGCTGAAATGGATGGCAGATACAAATACTGCTTCAGCAACGAGTTCTCTGCGCTTACAGACAAGTCTCTCAGCTTCAACGTGCATGGCGTCCTGTACCTAACAGACGAAGAAGGCCTGATTCCTGCAGAGCGTGAACTGCGCGAGCTCGCTACCAATGTGCAAATGTTCAAAGATGAGCAGCAATATTTTGTCATGCGTGAGCGCATCCACCGAAACAGTACGTACTTACCCTTCTTACCATGCAGCATCGGAGAGCACCAACGCACGTATCAAGTGGTGGTCCATTGTGCAAACAGGCGTGGTGGTACTCATTTGTGCCTTCCAAGTTCTCTTCCTGAAACGGTATGCCAGCTGCATATATACTTACGCCTAGGCAATTCGAAGTGCGACGAAGTGTTTAAACTATAGACCTAAACAACTACAATGTGTTAGTGTACAATGAATGGTATATGTGCCGATATGCTGCAACATGGATCAGAATCCATAGCGCTTCTTGTTCTCACGCATCTTGGACTTGCCCTGCGCCCATCGCTCTTCCAAGGCTGCTTTGTTCTCGTGCGCCATGGCCAGCAACGACGTGAGCTGGCCGCGCGAGCGAGCGCGCGTATTGGTGAATTTGTCAGTACGAAGCTTTTCAGAAACTAGGCTTTCCTGCACAGGCTTCGATGCTGTTGAAACATCCCCTGGACGAGACGACTGAGCACGCTGCATCTCCTCCGCGGCATTAAAAGATGCTAGAGATGCATGACGAGGTACCTGGGCTAGAGAACGTGCCTCTTCCACGGATTGGTGTTCTCGAACCCACGCAGCATAGGCGGCGTGGGCTTCGGGCGTCACAGGGTACCAAGTACCATCTGGGTCACATTTCCAGCCGCGGTACGGATCATCTGCCACATCAGGAGTAGGTTCGCGTTCTTTCTTGCTCTCACGCACTTCAGGCGCTGCATTGAACGTTGTTCTCGTGGGTGGCGGTAATGAGGAAGTTGGCATATCAGGCCCAGGTGCAGACGCTTCAAGCTTGGTCTCTTTCACAATCACAGGCGCTTTCTTTGGCTTGCTGTCGGTAGGGCCCTTAGGTGCGAGGCCTAGCATGGCGCGAAAGTCCTCATTTCCCTTGTTTTTACTCACTGCTTTTTCGTCCCGAATCACCAAACGAGCATCGTCGTCCAGCACACTTTCTTGTGGCTCAATGGGGGCAGGTTTGGGCTTAGCCCCATAGTTTTGCGGGGCAGGCAGCATGCCTAACAGGGAGTGAGAGGCATCTTTGGCTGCTGGGTCTAATTTGGGTTTTTTGGCCACCGGCAATGTCTGAGAAGGCGCAATGGTAGGCGCCGTCTCCACGAGAATTTGACGTTTTTCCGCCGTCTTTGCCGCCTTTTTCGGGGCTGGTAGACCCATACGATCGACAAAAGAACGCGAAGAATTTTCTGCCTTGGTTGGAGGTAGCGAAATCTCTTTCTCATGTGTCTCCTCCTCCTCAGAGTCGGACGTATACGCCGCAACAAGTCCTGGCATGGACATAATGGCAGCTGCTACAATGCTGCGAAGTGGAGAAAAGAAATGCGAATGCGTACGCACTGCTGACCAATCGCCGAGGGAGTCACTCAAAAGTTACGTGCACACGTAAGTCATAAAGGATTTGGATTCTTCCGAGGCACCGATCTCGTTTGCGGTGGCGATCCCATTTGTTGTGCCGCTTCCTGTTGACTGAGCTAGCATGACAAGCACGCAAGGCCCCAGTTCAAACAAGAAGGTCCTCCTGGTAGGCTCGCTTGAAGCAGCCAAGGATGGCATGTATCAAAAAGCCGTGCAAGATTTCCAGGTGGAAGGACTTGCGCTGGAAACGGAGATGGTCGATCGTATTACGGACACAAACTATGCCCCTCAGGCACAATATTTTGACCGTGCGTACGTAATGACACCGTTTGAGGGAGTGGTATGGACGGCTCTTTTGCCGAAACTTTTAGGCGCTTTAGTGCCCGGCGCGACGTTGGACATTACGCTGCTCAGTGAGTCGCACGCCGCGGAAGAACTTGCTCAAGTGCAAGCAGAGTTATCCATTGCTGGCTTCTCTGATGTGGCCACACCTACCACTACGTCGCTGAAGGCCAGTGTGCCACTGTCTTCACCCGTCGTCTCGCAAGATGCACCGTCTGTTGGGGCGACAGCCTTGCCCTTGCGCAAAAAGCTGGGCGCATCGACTGACCGCCAAAAGAAAGCATCATTGTGGGCTACGCAACCGGACTCGTCTATTGATCCTGACTCGTTGATGGCCGGCACAGAGAATATGGGCCCTCGTGCTCCCAAGCGCTCCGACTGCACTGTGGACTTCACGCAGCCACGTTCGCGCCGTAAGCGTGCATGCCCAGGGTGCACTTGTGGTCTACGTGAGCTTGAAGAAGAAGAGGCGCGCACAGGCTCAATTGTGCAGCTGGACCCGAATGATATCAACGTCACAGGCGATCGCCAGGAAATTACTACGACAGTGGTGGGCGACGATGGTATCGAGCGAACTGTTAAGCGTATTCAGGTTGATACACGCGGTGCTACAAGCAGCTGTGGCAGTTGCTTCCTGGGTGATGCATTCAGGTGTAGCACATGCCCGTATTTGGGACTGCCTGCGTTCGAGCCAGGTCAAAAGGTGGAAATTCCTGTATCGATGGACGATGTCATCTAAGATAGAGAAGAGTGTACTTGCTATTGTACGATACAAAATATATGTGAGAAGAGTGAACTGTAGCGATCAATCGAAGGGTACCTATCTGGTAGCGAAGCTTGTCCTGAAGGCGCAAGAGGGTATAGGCGGCGGCCACACGTACGTATTCGGTGGTTGGCTGCGTTTATTTGGCTCTTGGCCGAATGTGCGTGCATTTGCATCGGGCAATCAGCGATCTAGCCAGTCGAGCCTCGGGTGTGAAATTGTGTGATTGGGTCCTGCGCATGCCCGTGACATTGAGCAGGTCTTGGTCCAAGATTTATGTACCCGCGTCAAAAAAAAAAAAACGACCTGACACGCCCTACGAGCTGTTCTTTATCCCTCGATCTTTGCCATCATGACGGCTTCGACAGAGAGGACGCCTTTGCTGTCGTCGCAAAACCAGCAGACTAACACGGCTGAAGATGAGGCTGCTCTTGCTCATGAGAGCGCCTTTAGCATGTTCCGCGATGTCGCGCACGGTGTGGACCCCAACTCGTCGGCCTTCATGCCTCCGCCGGATCATTCCCAGGTGGCCGTGCCTGTGGCGGAGGAAACGCCCGGTGGCCGCTCGCTCGCGGAGCTTCTTTTGATTATGGGTGCCATGTGGATTGGTACTTTCCTCGCTGCGCTGGACAGCACGATTGTGGCTACGATTCTGTCCAAGGTCGGTTCCGAGTTCCAGGTGTCCAAGACGGTGGGCTGGCTCGGTACGTCGTACTTGCTTACGCAGACGGCTTTCCAGCCTCTGTACGGTCGTCTTTCGGATATCTTTGGTCGTAAGGCCGCTACGCTCTTCGCCTCGGCGGTGTTCTTGATCGGCTCGCTGCTCTGTGGTCTCTCTCGCACGTTCTTGCAGCTCTGCATTGCTCGTGCGATTGCTGGTATCGGTGGTGGTGGTCTTACCTCGATGGCTACCATCGTGACCTCGGATCTCGTTAGTCTCAAGGCCCGTGGTACCTGGCAGGGTCTCGGTAACCTTGTGTACGCTGCCGGTGCCGCTCTCGGTGGTCCGCTGGGTGGTGCCCTGGCCGATGGTGGAATTGGTTGGCGCTGGGCGTTCCTGATCCAGGTGCCGATCTGTATGGTGCACTTCACCGTGGTCGGCTTCAAGGTGAACATTCCTGCCGGCCCTGGTAGCATGGTCGAGAAGCTGCGCCGCATTGACGTGTGGGGTGCCTTGACGCTCGTGCTTGCCATTACTGCTATGCTGGTGGGTCTCAACATGGGTGGCAACGAGCTCCCATGGACTCACCCTATCGTCATTGTCTCGTTGCTCGTGAGTGTTGTGCTCCTGGGCGCCTTTGTGTACGTGGAGCGCAGTGTGGCCCGTGAGCCGTTGATGCCGATGTACCTGTTGTTCCACCGCACGCCTGGCTTTGTGTCGTTGGCATGCTGGTTCATCAGCATCAGTCAGTTTGGTATTCTCTTCAACGTGCCGCTGTACTTTATCGCTGTCAAGGGCTCGGCTGCCTCGGCGGCTGGTATGAAGCTCATGCCGAACGCCATCACCGCGTCGGCCTGCTCGCTGGGTAGTGGTCTGATCATGGGCCGCACCGGCAAGTACCGCAACATTATGCTGTTGGGTGGTCTCTGCGCGATCCTCGGCCCTCTGATGATGTGCTTCTGGAACGGCCGCACTACCTCGGAGTTTGTCTACTGGCTTACGATGCCATGGGGTGGTGCCGGTTTCGGCAGCACGCTGACCATCACGCTGGTCGCATTGATTGCCTCGGTCGACCCGAAGGACATGGCCCCGGCTACGGGTGTCACCTACCTGTTCCGTGCCGTGGGTTCCGTGCTGGGTATTTCGCTCTCGAACACCCTGCTACAGAACTCGCTGAGCTACTACCTCCGCGAGCAGAAGATCCCGAAGGAGATTGCCGAGGCTATCCGCGAGGATGTCGGTACACTGCCCAAGCTGACCGGCAAGCTTGCCAAGCACGCCGTGCGCGCTTACGAGAAGTCGATGCACGTCGTGTTCCTTTGGATCCTCTTCACGGGTGCTTGTGCTTTCTTGTGCCTCTACTTCATTGAGGAGAAGCCGCTGCCTGGCCACGCCCCGCAGCCGCAACGCCGCGAGGAGTCGGAAGAGTAAGTTCGTACGTAATGATGCATTTCTATGCACGCCGTTCGTAGTCGTGAAGTCCGTGGTGTAGTTAATCGACGTGGATGGCATGTCGACTGACCAAGTGGAGGTCGCCCGATCGATTTGAGCGGAGGCGGCGTTCGGGGTCCACGTCGCCGAGCCGCGCGCTACGATACGCCTGCCTCGTGAGACACGGACGACTAGCTTTGCATGGAGCAGCGTGGTCACGGCCGGGGGTATACCCCTGTTGCTGGACGCGGTGTACATGAGTCACTAGCTTCCACACGTAGAGAACGTGATATACGCCCACCAATCTCGCCCAGCATGACATCAGATTGGACGGCCTCCTCGCCACGGTCCAAAGGCAAGGCCTCACCACCCCTGTCCCGTACACAGCGTGCGCTTCGCTCCTCTGATGTATTTGGGTCAACAGAAAGCAAGTATGAGGCGCTAATGCGTGACGATGCCTCGTCTACCGCAGGTATTTTTGAGCTTGATACCGATGGCACATCCGGTTCGGAGACGGACGACCCTGGTGGCTCGGCGCACAGCGCGCTCCCGCAGCGTATTTCAGCAGGCCGTCATCAACGCACAGCATCACATCATGCTCGTACAGGCCGCGGCTCGCCTATGCCGCCACCTTATCGGCTGCCGTGGAGTCGTACGTCCGATGGCAGCACGAGTACGTCTGCCAGTACGGGTGGCATAAGTGGGCCCGCCCAGCCTATGCTACCTACGTCACGCTCTTTCCGCAATACGCCCTCGTTTAGCAGCCCACTTGCATCGGCACCGACGCTCCCTAACGACGACGAGGCACCAGGACCTCGGATCCGACCCTCGTCCAGTATGCCTCGCGCTTCTACGATGCCATGGCATTCACGCCGCACGTCCTCTAATCATCGTGTGACGCCACCTAGTAGTATGGGCTACCCGGAATCGTCCGCTCATGGCGGACCGGCACACTACCTTAGCCCACGCCATGCCATGCATCGTCGTTCTCGCTCGTCTGCCAGTATGCCGGGGGACGTGGTAGCCTGCAATTCGCCTATTGGCGGGCCAGATGGCGTGGACCCTGGCTTAATTGCGGCGATTGGGCAAGGACCACCGCCTACGCGACGTAGTGTGTCAGCGCTACCGATGCACAGCATACCCCTTTCGCCCCCTGGCGAAGCCAGATCGCTGTGGACAGACTCGCCGATGTCCAGTCCTGGCCTGCGGCGCGATACTATTCGGCTCCAGCGAGTGCCACGCAACGTTGCACGTGCAAATGACTTGGTCGTGCCAACACACACAGCGCGGGAGACGGTGCGTCTTGTGTCGCCGCAGCCGTCGCCGACCGAGGCAGATATGCAAGGCCCTATGAAGCCTACGACACTGCTTGGCCTTGCGCTTGCATGGCCCAGTGAGAATCCTAGTATGCCCCATGCGCCCCAAATCAAGCCGGAGCTCGATGCGAACATTCTTAGTATTTCGCGGGCCATCAAAGCCAAGCGTTGGCAGCGTGAGGCGACACAGCCCTGGGACGACGCTTGGTATGAGCATGCGGATGTCCATGCACCCTGTGCAATGCATGCCTGCGCCCATATGGACAGCGTACGAACAAAGTTGCAGCATCTGGAGACCAGTTCACCCTTGTATACCCGCCTGGCCGATGGCATTCACGTCACGGCCTCTACGCCTTGTCTAGCATCCCTACGGCGCCGTACACGTCGATCTATGCCACGGGCTCCGTCCCCCGGCCGACCACGCAAACCCGACACGCCAGGCGAGAAAGCGCGTGTCGTCTCGGAAAAGTGGACGTCCAAGACCCTGCGTCGCCCAAGCTCTGCATCGATTGACGACTCAGACGCCGCCCAAAAGCAGCAGCTGTGGAACGAGTTGGTGGAGGCCAAAGCGTCGTGCGACCAGGAATTGGATAAGATCTTGACAGGCATTATCACGCTCTCCGACGAATTGTTGGACCAGTGCGACATGAGCATCGATCCTGACACGACCAGTGTCGAAGTGAAGTGGGATGGTCCTATGCCGCTTGCGCTGCTGGAGCGATTGGCCTCGATTGCTGTGGACGTACGTACGACGTCCTTGCATACGCTTCTTCATGCGCCTTCGCGGTGCAGTGCGGCCATTGCCGGCGTGCAAGCGCTAGGCACCTTATGGGATGAACACCCAGACTGGCAAGGCCGGGGCTGGTACGTCGAGTCCCTCTTAACGCTCGCGGCACTGAGCCGTGTGCTGGAATGGTGGGATGCCGAGCACCAGTTCTGGAGCGACGACCAAGTGGCTGCGGCTACGGCGGCCATGTCGATGACGACGTCAGCGTCGTCGTCGCGACGTGTGTCTCGGGGAGCAGAGCCGTCCTCGCACGACACAACGCCCGCCCCTTCGAAGCAGGACCCTCCCGCGGAGAAGCCTGTGCCCGGCCCACCGAAGCGGATACAGACCTCGTCTATGCTGCTGGAACTGACGCTCGATCTTCATATCCAATTCCTCAGCTCGGCCTGGCAGCGTGTCGTCGGTATGGACCCCGCCGAGCTGATGGATGAGCCTGTATCCAAGATTCTCATTCACGGCGGCACAAGTCTGCTGGAACGAGCGATGCGGCAGCTACGCGAGAGTGGGGGACATACGGTCGAAGTGACGTTGGACATTGCGGTGCTCGGCACAGAAAGCGCTCATACGCCGTATGCGATGACCGCTCAGGGTATGTTGGTTCACCATCATGCGACCCACTTGCCGTCGCATACCATGTGGGTCCTCTCGCCCCGGGACGAAGACGCGCCGGACACCGACGACGTGCGTGTGAGTGGGACGATTGGCGGCTTGCCGAACGACACACACGACGTGTCTACCGAGCTAGTGTTGTGCCGTATATGTGAGCGCGATATCCCCTCCTGGTTCTTTGCCAAGCATTCGGAAATCTGCCACGAAATGCACAGACTGGAAATGGAGCTGGGGACCTGCAATGAAGCGCTGCTGGAACTGCATGAAGCGGCCAGTGCGTTGTACGAGGCACTTCGCTCGCCAGAGCCTCTCGCGTCGGCCCCTCACTTCCGCAATATGCCCCTGGCCTCGGTATCGTCGCTGGAAGCGCGGCGCATTTTGTCGCGTGTTCTTCGTGCCTTGGATGAAGCGATGAATATCTCGGTGCCCAGCTTGCCGGCCTCGGGCGAGCTAGATCGCGAGGCGATGCTCTCGCCGACCAGTCGACAGCATATGCGCAGTTTGCACGCCCTCACACTGCCGCAGCCGCGTGATGAGGCACTGGCCTTGCTGTGCCACGACGCCAACACGACCATCCAGAACAAGATTCATGCGGTGAACCGGATGCGCAATACGATTGTGTATGTGGAAACAGTGCGTCTCGAGAGCGAGATGTACCTTGATTCTCAGCGCGATGCCGAGGCCGACACGGAGGAGGGCAGAGAGCAGCGTGAATTGGCATCTTCGACAGCGGCTGCCGCCTTGCCCACGGCCACTACGACCGCTGTCACTGCGCCCGCGCTGGTCGTGGGCAGTGCCAGTGTCGAAGAGTCGATGTCTCATGCATTGCAGGACATGGCCCAACTCCAGCTTGCGTCGTCGCCCACCAAGTCACGTCCGACGGACGAAAGCCGCTCCGCCATGCCGATCCCGATATCGCGCCGGCCCTTGCTGTCCACGCCGCCGCTCTCGCCGTTCCTGGCGCCCAACGAGCCGCCTGTAGCGCGGAGTCTGGGCCGGAGTCCTCGCATGGGCACGACGCCCCATTCGCCGCATATCCTGCCGCCAGCGCAGTCGCGGTCGACTGCCGCATCGATTCGTGATTTTGCGCTGCTCAAACCCATCAGCAAGGGTGCGTATGGCTCTGTGTTCCTTGCTCGGAAACGTGCGACGGGGGACCTGTTTGCCATTAAAGTGCTAAAAAAGGCCGATATGATTGCGAAGAACCAGGTCACCAACGTACGCGCAGAACGCATGATCCTCATGAACCGAACACAGTCGCCCTTTGTGGTGAAGTTGTTCTTCACCTTCCAAAGCCCAGAGTTTCTGTATCTCGTGATGGAATTCTTGCCGGGCGGCGACTGCGCCTCGTTGCTGAAGGTGTTTGGCACACTGCCGGAAGAGTGGGCGAAGCAGTACACCGCGGAGATCGTGCAAGGTGTCGATTACCTGCACAGCACAGGCGTGGTGCATCGCGATATGAAGCCAGACAATCTGCTCATCGATCACCATGGCCATCTCAAACTCACCGACTTTGGTCTGTCGAAATTCGGCTTGCTGGGCCGTCATCGCCCGAAATGGGTACCCACCCACGACGAACGAGCGCATGCAACGTGGGCCCAGCTCGGCGCACAGGCAGCACCGGAGCCTGTAGCTAGCGTGAACGACTCGCCTACGGCGAGTATGACGATGCCCAGCAGCAGTTCGCCCAGCCATACGGAAGCGTTCCTGCGTAGCATGTCGTCCTCGGCAAGCACCGACACAAAAATTGTCGGGACACCCGACTACCTTGCGCCGGAAAGTATTCTCGGTATTGGCATGGATGATTTCGGTGTAGACTGGTGGGCGGTAGGCGCGATCCTGTTCGAATTCCTGCATGGCTACCCGCCGTTCCATGCGCCGACGCCCGACGAAGTATTCAACCGAATTCTCTCGCATGACATTGCATGGGACGACGAAGAGAATCCACTCGCCCCAGAAGCGCACGACTTGATCAGTCGTTGGCTGTGTATGGATCGAACGCAGCGTCTGGGCGCGCATGGCATTGACGAAATCAAGCGTCATGCGTACTTTCACGACGTGGACTGGGATCATCTCACGGACCACGATGGGCCGTTTGTGCCGCAATTGCAGGACGAAGCGGCGACAGACTACTTTGATCCGCGTGGCGCTGTGCCGCAGTTGTGGCATGACGACGATGAGGCGCCTGAAGCTGCCGCCGAGGCCCAAGCCCGCCCACCGATGGCCAAGCGCTCGTCAGCGTCCAGCGTCGGTGCGAACGAGTTTGGCGCCTTTAGCTACAAAAATCTGCCTGTGCTTAAACAGGCCAACGATGAAGTGCTGCGTCGCATGCGTATGGAGCATGGCATAGCGCCCAGCTCATCACCGGCAGCGAGCGCCACTTCGTCGACCGACTCCCCTGCAGGGCCTGGTACACCTTCGTCGCAGTACATGATCCCACGCACGTTCTCCTCGCCGGTCCGCCGACCTAGCCGTCAGGCTTCGGCCGTATCGATGCCTGTGGCCGTGCCAGAAACGGAACGCCATGTGCTCCTAGCCGACTCCAATCCGGTGTCTCGGAAGATCTTACAGGTGATGCTCACCAGCATCAGCGCGACTGTGACGACGGTGCATGACGGCGCAGACCTCGTCCAAACGGCTATGAGTGACACCAAGTTTGACGCGATCTTGATCAAGCTGGGGATGCGGGTGATCGACGTGCAGGATGGCGTGCGTATGATCAAGTCCACACGCAATCCCAACGTATGTACGCCGATCCTGGCCCTCGTCACGGGCGATACGCATGTGGACGTGACAGGCAGCGTCTTTGACGGTGTGTTGTCGCTCCCAGCCACGCCCGCCTCGATAGCCCACGTGTTATCGGGGCTGTATGATACCTCCGAGGCTGCTTGGGGGGAGGAGGACAAGCCATAGTGTGCCGCAGTTCGTCGATAGCCCCTCGGCTGGCTGGCCAGTCGAGGACGTCGTCACCTCACGTACCGTAAGGCCGTGCGCGACGCAAATTTTTCAGCCAATCAGTATGGGGAAATTATCAAACCCAGGAAGACGAGCTCGTGATCCCCTCCCTCTTACCATGGTCAGTGGCGAGCGGCGTCCCTTGCTGTGGCCCACCCCACCGCGGGGAGCCACAGAGGTACGACCATCGGCCCTGAAAAAATGCATGCGGGCCGCTCGTACGTTTGTATCTAGCTATGGCGCCACGCTGTCCCTCCTGCTCTTGCCTCACCTAACTGGCCTCATGCAAGCGGTGCAAGTGCCTGCTGAAGTCGACGCCATCCGGTCCATCAGCTGTGCACATTACTACTGGCTGCATCCGAGGCTGATCCAAGGCAAGCACAAGCCAACCTGGGACGACACAAGCTGTGTACGCCCGGAAGTCGAGCAGCACTTTAGTTGGATCTCAACGCATGTCACTTTCTCCGTGGTCCTCGCCAACTTTGTCGGTATGCTAGTGTATGGCCGCTTGTTCCAGCATGGCGCTCGTCGCTGGATGTCGATTCTCGGCTTTCTGGGCTGTGCGTTAGCTCGCATTCCGTTCCTCGTGCTGCCCCTGTATCAATTTCCTATCTTGGCCCCGGACCATGTACGACGGATCTCGCCCCAAACCATGCTCCTCATCTATTGGGGGTGCTCCGTTCTAAGTGGGCTATCGGGTTCCATGGAACTCATTACGCTCATGGTGGAATCCCTCATGACTGACGTCACGAGCCCGGAAAAGCGCAGCAACTCGTTCCGCCAACTGCAGATCGCAAACCTGCTTGGCGCTAGCACTGGGCCCATGCTAGGCTCGTTTTCTACATGGCTCTTGCCGAATGTGATGAACCGCTGCATTGGCTACCGCACATGCCAGCACGATCGCATTCTGCCCACCGATCCGCCCCACCATGTGCTCTTCAACAATACACCCTACTGGTTCTCCTTCTTTATTTCGGTCTTTGGGTTGCTGTGGTGCATCCTAGTCGTGGACTTTTCGTCTCGCCGCCAAGAGGACCCCTCCAGCTGCACACGGTGTGATGGACAGCAAAGTGAACAGCAACGTATTGAAGCCTTGCACCCACCGCGCTTCGCCTGGCTCGGCGCTTTCCAGCGCTTGATTCCTGTGCGACTGGGCCCTTGGTCGTACGATGCTCGTATTGCACAGTTCACAGTGGCAGAGATCTTCCTGGCCATGACACTGGAAGGGCCCATTGTGTTGATCCTGGTTATGGGCTACGTATTCCAATGGGGTCGCGAGTTGCTCTCCATTGGTCTCACGGTGTCCAACACATTGCGCCTGCTTACGATGGCTGTGCTACTGCCATGGTGTCTGCCAAAAATTGCCAAGTGCGTATCCAAGCCTGATAGCATTGCTATTTTGACGCAGGAGCAGCTCGATATGTGCATTAGCCTCAGTCGCGAGGACATAGGGAAGGCACCCAAATGCTGCCCCACCTACTCGGCTAGTCGAGAGTCCCAAGTGCTGCAGCATGTGTCGCAAGAGCAGCGCAGTATGGCCCGGCTTTGGCGAGCCCAAGTGGACTTGGAGGTGTCGCGAGTAAGCATTGCCATCAATGCACTCTCCTGGCTTGCCATTGCCGCGGGCGTCACGATTGCCAATGTATGGGTCACGATTACAGGTGCCATCCTCTTGACACTAGGCAATTGTGCGCAGCCACTACTCCGAAGCTCGGCGTGTACGATCTCTGATAATATCGTCGATGGGCAACGACGTGTTCGTTTACCTGTGGCGGCCAGCCAAACATCACGCACGCTTCCTGATGGCGCGGATAGCTACTTGGTTGTGGTATCCACAGTTCTTCTACCATGCCTGCTTCTAGGCTTGGCCATTCGAAACTATGTGTACACAGCTACAGTGGCTAGATACCCTGGCAATTTTTTCCTCGTTGTGGCCTGCATGAATGCCATCGCCCTGGGCCTGCTCTGTGCCATGCGCCCCGCCACGCGTCCCTATAGATCCACCTAGCGAATGTACCAGAGTCGTCTGTGCGCCAGGCATCACGTGATAAATAGAGGCATGGCCCCGCGCCCTTCACGCTCGCTGCACCTCTCACCTATCTTTATTGCACGCTATGCCAGCTCGTGCAGGCGCGAAAGGCGCAAAAAAGCAGAATGCTGAGGGCGTTCCTAGCAATAGATTCGCCTCTAGAACTGCCTTTGAGGCATTGAGCGTGGATCAGATGGACTCTGAAGAGGAAGATCTGGTGCCAGAAGAAGCGGAACCCACGCCACCTGCACCAGTACCTGCACGCTCGAAAAGCCGCAAGAGCAAGGCGACCAAGAAGAAAGAGACGCCAGCCCTGGCGAGTAGTGTAAAGAAGGAAGATACTCTGCTGAATACTGACAATCTGAAAACGTCTGAGCCGTCGTCTACGACAGGATCGTCGTCCCAGCCGGCTGTGGATGGGTCATCAGCGTCACCCACGACGGCCCCTGTGGCCGAGGCGGCGAAGCCCAATGCCGTGCCGCTCTCCGTACCTAAGCCGGACGTAGATGCGGCCAAGCCCCCCTCCGCCCCTGTGCCGCAGCCTACACCGGCTGCCGCGACGCCTGCCCAGAAGCCTGCGGTCGCCAAGAGCCCAGTCACAATGAAGGAGCAGCCTTCTGTCGTCACCACAAAGACTACGGACCCCAAGGAGGAAAGTCGCGCTTTCTGGAAAAAGGTATACCAACGTGTCATTTTCTCCTTGCTTATGATTGCGGGCTTTAGCTTTACATTGGCGATGGGCCCCTCGTATTTGATTCTTATGGTTTTACTGCTCGAAACGATGGTCTATCGCGAAATCTCCGCTCTCTTTAACATTCCCGGCAACACAATTCTAGGTTCGCGTGTCTCGCAAAGTGAGGCCGAGGAAGAAGATGAAGATGTGACGCAGCGCGAGAAAGAGCGCGAAGAGCTGTGGAGCAAGACGATGAGCTGGTACTTCTTTGCTGTGTGCAACTTTTTCCTGTACGGCGAGTCTCTTGTGTACTACTTCAAGCACATTGTTATGACTGACTCGATCTTTCTGCACTTTGCACGCCACCATCGCTTCATTTCGTTCATGCTGTACATGTTTGGCTTCATGGCATTCGTCTCGAACTTGAAGCGCCGCAACTTGAAGCACCAGTTTGCGCTGTTCTGCTGGGTGCACATGTCGCTGATGCTCATTGTGCTCTCAAGCCACTTTATTGTGTCGAACATTTTGGAGGGCATCATCTGGTTCTGGGTGCCTGCCAGCTTGGTGATTTGCAATGACGTCTTTGCGTACGTGTGTGGTATGCTCTTCGGACGTACACCGCTTATCAGTCTGAGCCCGAAGAAGACGATGGAAGGCTTTGTGGGCGCGCTGCTCATTACGCTCGTGTTTTCGTGGTTCTGGGCTGGCTTTTTCCAGCAGTTCAGCTACTTGACGTGCCCTGCTGTGGACCTTGGCATGAATGTATTCAACCCCCCCGATTGTGCGGCAAACCCTGTGTTTGCCACGCACTATGCGCCTCTCCCATCACAAGTGGCCGAGGTACTTACGACGTTGTTGGGCCGGCCCATCACACAAATCTCTTGGACGCCCTTCCAGTTCCATGCTGTGGTGATGGCTGCGTTTGCGAGTCTGGTTGCTCCGTTCGGTGGCTTCTTTGCCAGCGGCTTCAAGCGTGCATTCAAAATCAAAGACTTTGGGGACAGCATCCCCGGACACGGTGGCCTAACAGATCGCTTCGACTGTCAGTTTGTCATGGGCCTGTTTAGCTACGTGTACTACACGTCGCTAATCCGTGACACGCGCTTCACCGTGGAAATGGCGCTGCAGATGGTCACGACACACTTGAGCGTGGAGGATCAAAAGCGCTTTGTGAGTGAACTTTCGGCACTCGTGGCCAAGCTTTGATAGCTGTGCTATAGATTGCTACGTATATATTATACACTCTGTCCACTAGAGGGTGGAGTCCTACACGCCTGCATGGTTATGCAGGGCAGGCTACTTCGTAAATTATTTTCCCATTAGATCCAATCGAGGGATCGAGGGACGCAACGCCAGTGTAACGCCAGCACGCGTTGACGCCCGTCACTGATCTTGTCAATGACCAGCCCCGAAGTAAGTGTCCCTGTGCGGGCACCGGGGTATGAGCATGATCGAGCGGCGCGAAGGTATGCCGCTGGCCGGGCGTCTGTTGACGAGCGCATCGGCTTAGCGCCAGCAATAGCTACGCCGCTGCCCTACCTGCAGTCCTCGCCTAGCATTGTAGGCGATTTGGCCACGGCACCTTCCATGTCCACCTTACCATCGACATCCACGATCGCATCACTGAATCTAGGTACAAGCACAGCCGATGGGTCGACGTTGGACAATACTTCGGCTACCGAGCACGCTTGGACTTTGGACGACGTGCCTGAATCTGGTTCGCATGTGACACACACCGTCGCTCTCAATGCACGCAGTATACCATACCACATGCGCATGACACACGAGGACACAACGACTAGTGAGGTGTCGACACCGCAAGCTCATGAGTCGCCCATTCAACGCCCCGAGGCACCTGACGTGGATACGCCAGAGACCCAACCGCGATGGGAGGCCCCGGCGAGGGCTACGCGCTCCCACTTTCGGCCTCCCATCCACCATTCGGCTTCCACCTCGTCCTTATCGTCGGCAGCTGATCTATCGAGCAATGAGCCATCAAGATCAGCGCCCAAACCGTTCTCCGCTGCGGCGAATCGTGTGGCAGGGACATTTTCGCGACTGACGCGCCTGCGGCCCCGACAGCCACGCCATCTTACCGAGACCGATCCCTTGACGCGAACCACAACAATGGACGATCAAACATTGGACCGCGTAGATTCAGACGAGGCAGCGCAACGACGGCATGCGCGCGGCGCAAGTGAGCGTTCTCAGGCCAGCAGCAATAGTTCTCACTATGGTGCGGCCATGCCTAAGACGCAAGGGTCCCTCGACTCGCAGTTCCGTCGGTACGAGATCATTGGACGTGGCTCATTTGGTGCTGTGTACCGTGGTGTGCATACGCCCTCTGGTACCGTTGTGGCTCTCAAGGTCATTGACTTGGATACGCCAGACTTTGACGTATCGGAGATTTGGCACGAAGTGGCCCTGCTAAGTCAAATGCGACAGGCACATATGAAAAACATTGTGCGGTACTGGGGATGCTGGCTGAATGGCCCCACGCTGTGTATTGCTATGGAGTACTCGGAAGGCGGCAGTGTACGCACATTGATGAAGGCAGGTCCCATTGGCGAGCATTATGCCGCGGTAATTGTGCGGGAACTGCTTGTAGCATTGAGTTACATCCACTCTATTGGCATCATCCATCGTGATTTGAAAGCTGCGAATATTCTGGTTACTCGCACAGGCCATGTTCTCCTGTGTGACTTTGGCGTAGCTGCGTCGTATGTACAGGGAAGCTCGCGTGGGAAACGATCTACATTCATCGGGACACCGTACTGGATGGCGCCTGAAGTGATTTTGGACGGCAAGACGTATGACTACAAGGCTGATATTTGGAGCCTGGGCATCACCGTATACGAGATGGTGACGGGCAACCCGCCCTATGCAGGCAAGGATCAGCACTTGGCCATATCCATGATCCCCAAAGCCAAGCCTCCACGACTCCCAGACTCGAGCGATTACTCGCCAAGCGTGCAGGAATTTGTCGCCGCCTGCTTGGACGAAGAACCACGAGATCGCCCTCCTGCGGACGAACTTGCGCGAATGCGATGGATCAAAAATACTGCGCGCGTGCCTGTGTCTGTGCTCACAGAGCTACTAGCTCTCTATACCAAATGGAAGCAGGCAGGCGGTACGCGTATGAGCTTGCTGCCACCGTCGCATCCCCCATCAACGCCTGATGAACCACCACAGCCAGAATGGTTCTTTGATACCCCACCCTCGTCAACGGAGCCTGATGCTGTCGAGCCGACAGAGCAGAGAGAGGAAGAGAACGACGTGCCTGCAGACCATCCTCTCCGCCGCCTCTTTGACCTATCCGATACGAAGCCTGAGTCGACAACACCGGCACGACCACAGCCGACGAAGTCCACAAGTACGACCACGGTGGCGTACACAGCGCCGACGACTACGACCCGATCGACCGTCCCCAAGTCCAGCAGTGCAGGGTTTTCTGGGTCAGGCAGTACTCCCTTTCGATTTGGGCTGGGCAGTCGCACCACGGAGACTGTCAAGCCGGCGCCCTCAACGCCCGCGCTGATACAAGTCCATGAAGCAAACGACGAGGCTAAAGCAGCGTCCTCTCTCAATACGAGCCCATTACCTGCACCTATCACCTCGTCGTCCGTGTCATCACTAAGCATTTCGCCGAACAACGAAGTCAAAGCCAATGTATCGCAGCCTACGTCGCCGCAATGGGATGAGAAGAAAGAGGCGCCTACAATGTCCCCTGTCCTCCGGCGTGTTGGCCGTATTCCCAGTCAGCCCTTACGAGCGACGCCGCAAAGAACGTTACGTCAAGTTTCGTCGACGTCCTCGTTGGCTCATGACACACCAACGACTCGATCGCCGAACGATGACGATCGCACGTCTGAGGTGCAATCGTCGCCGTCGATGGCGTCTGATAAGCACACAGGCCTGCGTACACCCTCAGCATTGCAGCGTATGCGAAGTCGGAGTGGGAGCATGGCAGACCTACGCTCGCGCGGGGCAACAACCAAAGGCCTATCACGCTGTGCACCGAAATACAAAGAGGCAGAGATGGAGTCATCCACAAGTCCGCCAAGTGCAGGCACGCTCACAAGCTCTACTTCTATGTCGGTGTTGCTGCCCTCCGTCGAAGAAGGAACGCATGCGCCTTCGACGCATCAGCGTCAACACCATGGCGGCTCCGATCCCACGATGCTGACATCAGCTACGGACACGAATCCGCCCAAAACCATTTTGCATGGCCCACGCGATATGCCGTTATCTCGCTCACGCGCTCTTCCGGACGAAAATGGCATGACGAGTGGGAAAGGTATAAGTCCCCCCATGTCGCCTGGAATGCCCGACACGACGACCATGTCAGCTCAGGACTTGTTCGGCCTAAGTATCGAGGGAGATCCATGCATGCCATTTGAAGGACCTCCTCTACGTACGCTAGATTACGCTACTCTCATGCACCGGCATGATCTACACACAGAGATGACCAACACGGTGCACGATCTATGCGCCTGGCTCGATGCCCTCGCGCTGGGCTTGGAGCAGGTACTTCGACCGTCGCTGCTGTCAACACACCCACGTGGCCTATAGTGAATAAATCCCGTGTGACCAATCAGGCTGACGTTATTAGACCGGCCCTCTCTCGCCCCCTCGAACGTTTTCATCGACCGTGACCTTGGCTGCTATGATGATGCTTGCGGGTCCTGCCAAGTCCATGCTGTCGGTCTCGTCCGGTATGTGCTGTGCTTTACTTTGAATAAAAACTTACATCTATAGGTGCGCCGTCGTTCGTGCGTGCTGTGGCGAGCCGCGCACTCCATCAGTCGGCGTCGCTGCAGCGCGAGCCGGCCCCTTCGCGTCAGGTGGCCCAGGTCGGCAGCAACCAGCTGAGCCTGGAGACGCCTCGTAACACAGTTGAATATGCTCTCTCGACCCTTGATAAGGTAGTGAATTGGGCCCGTCAGGGTTCCGCATACCCGATGACGTTCGGTCTGGCCTGCTGTGCCGTCGAGATGATGCACGCCTCGGGTCCACGATACGACCAGGACCGTCTGGGTATTGTGTTCCGTGCTACGCCCCGTCAGAGTGATATTATGATTGTCGCTGGTACTCTCACTAACAAGATGGCGCCTGCCCTGCGCAAGGTATACGACCAAATGCCCGAGCCGCGCTGGGTGATTTCGATGGGCTCGTGTGCGAACGGTGGTGGCTACTACCACTACAGTTACAGCGTTGTCCGTGGCTGTGACCGCATTGTCCCTGTGGACTTGTATGGTATGTACTCGATGATGGACAAACTAACTCGACCCAGTGCCGGGCTGCCCGCCGAGTGCTGAGGCTTTGCTCTACGGTATCTTCCAGCTTCAACGTAAAATCCGCCGGCAGCGCCAGATGGTGCAATGGTACCGCAAGTAAACAACAGTGTTTGCTTTGCTTCTAGGTAGTTTCTACCTATAGGAGACACTATTTACATGACTCCATACAAATGCGCTCAGCTCAGTACCTACCAGCCGCCACGAAGCGGTTGTCAATTAGGACCTGTTGTTAATATCCAGCGCCAAATACGTACATCTTATACTCCAATTTGCCCTCCGCAGGGTTGGCACCATCCAGCTTGTAGGCAATCGTGATGTCCAAATCGCGGTTGTTGCGAGCATTGGGCGCGCAGGTAAGAACGCCTTCAATCGCCTCGCCCTTGGTCACTGTCAACGTCTCAGGCGTGTAGAACACAGTCTGCTTCCAGTGTGTGTAGCGCGAGTGCGGACCAGTCGAGAATCGCACAGGCTTGTGGCACGCCTCAAAGCCAATGTCGAACCAGCCGAGGAACGCATGCACGTAGTCATTGCGCGTCACGTTCATCTTGAACGAGCTCGTGAAAGACAGGTCTTCCTTTTTCACGGTCTTCAGGTCCAAGTGTACAAGCGGCGCAGGATCGCACACCACACTACGCAACTCCACTGTGTCGACCAAAGGTTCGCGCAACGCAATCTCCTTGATGCAGGAGTAGTCGAAGCCATACACGTCATTCCAAAAGTCAATTTTCTCTTCCTTGTACTCCTGATCCTCAATAGCCGACAAGTACAAAGTCGCACTGTCAGGCATCATGATGCCATCCGGCGCAAGATACTTGTCGCGAGCGAGCAGCACTGTGTCGAGCATACTTTCGTACAGTAAAAAGTATCCCATCCACTCACTCACGATCACATCGACTTTTCCGTTCGGACCGAGACCAAGGTCCACTTCCTCCAGCTTGCCCTTGACAAGAGTGATCACTATCGTTAGTCGCTCGCAAAACACGTACCATCGTCCAAGCCATTGGCTTTGACAATCACCTTTGCCTGGTCAATAATGTTGCTCATATCAACACCAATGACCTTCTTGGCACCGGCCTTCGCAGCAAACATGCACAGAATGCCGGTACCACAGCCCACATCCAGCACAATCTTGTCCTTGAACAAGTGTGGGTTGTTCTGGATGGCCTGCCGGTAGGACAGCGTACGAACTTCATCCTTAAGCATCTCCTCATGAATGCCAAAATGCGCATACGAGTCCGCGTAGCTTTATGTAAGTATCATTGTGTACATACTAGTCTTTGGACGTCATATTGCCCGGCAGAGGCTCAGACACATTGCTCATGTTGCCTGGCTTAGCATGCTTCTCGTTCGCGATGGCTCCAAAATTTGGCTACGTGTCACGTGGGCCGTCAAGCTAGGGCCATCGGGGCGCTTGGACCTTTGTTGCACTCGTGTCAAAACCCGCCCGACTGCCCACGCAGGAACTTGGCGATGAACTCGCTATTCAACCTGGCTAGCCGCCAAAGTGCGGCCATCCATGCTGACTTGGACAAGTACAAGGCGGATCCAAGTGCCGGGTCGTCGATGCGCGCACAGATTATGGCCGCCCTCTCGGCACTCGTAAAGACCATTGAGGATTATGAGGCCATGGCCAAGCGTGAGCTGGTCATTGCGAAGCGCGAAAAGGCGCTGGCGCGCGCTAGCAACTTCCACAGCGAGGTGAAACAGCTGCGGGAAGAGCTCGCGTGCATCGATGCTCAGACGCGGTCACAGCCAACGGCGGTAGCTCACAACATGGCTCCCATGAGCACCACAGCGCGTGCTCGCACCATCGATACCAGCCAAGGCGGGTCAGAGCCCATGCCCCGAATGGCTATGCAGCCGACATACACGGCGCCTACCATGCCTACGTCGTTTGCACCGCCCTCTATGATGCCAAACTCATTCCAATTCGCCCCGCCCTCACACGATCCGCTAGCGGCGTACCGTATGCATCAAACGAATGGGGAGATGTATACAGGTGAAGACAGGCCTTACAGTATGAGGGAAACGCATGCACTGCGGGAACACTCTTTTATTCAAAACACAGAAGCTCAGCTTGACGCGTTTATTGCCCAAGGTCGGTCGGTGTTGGGGAACTTGGTCGAGCAACGCAGCATTCTCAAGGGCACACGTAAGCGTTTGCTGGATGCTGCTAACACTGTCGGTCTGAGTCGTGAACTGATTGGATTTATCGATCGCATGAGTACGCAAGACACGATTATCTTCTTTGTGGGAGCCGCCTTCACCTTGTTCGCATTTTGTATGTATCACCAAGACACTGACAGTAAGACATGATATACCGATGGTTCGGTTAGACATGATGTTTGTTACGTTAATATACCCTATTTTACAATAGCTTTCAGAAATGGACTACTTTCTTAGTAGGACGAGGTTCTTTTTGGCTAGCCGCCTTGGCCTCGTGTCGGCGCTGCGTCAAAAGATGGAATTCGTCCTCATCAGCCCCGGCACCATCCACACTCTCGAGAATGCCTACACCGCCAGCTTCCACCTGAGAGGCATGCGTCACCCGGCGAGGATCCATAGGGCAATCTTTGGCCAAGTGCTCCACAGACCCACATACTTTACATTGACCGCCATCAGGGTACACGCCACGGCCCTGGTTTTGCGGGCACTTTGATGCAAGATGTCCCTATTCATTAGTCTGTCACACGACATACCTTCTGTGTGCAAATATAGCAAGTGGCAAAAGGCAGGTCATCATGATCCTTTGTCCTGGGTTTCTTGCACTGCGATAGCGTATGTTCGGTGCTACCACACCGGAAACACAGGCCAACCGTGTCTTTGCCCTGTGCGCCAGCGCCGATATTGTGTGGACAGTCCTTCGCGGAATGCGATAGCTCGCGGCACACGTAGCAGCGCATGCCTGCCTGCCTTTCTTCAGCACGTTTGGCACGGCGGAAGGCAGTTCGCTGATCAGGTTCTGTTGTCAGCTGTCTACTGTGGCATACCTAAACGAGGACGCGAGGAGCGTGTCGACTCAAGGCCTTGTCCTTTGCGTTTGCCGAGAGCGCCACGTGCTCCATTAGCATGAGTCGCCATACTTTCTAGTTTTTTGGCTTCTTTCAGATGCTTCTGTCGAACCTCATCAGACTTGGCTTTTTTGGCTTTCAGGCGTAGCAGCTTGGCACGCTTGAAAAGAGCTTTGGGCTCTGCTACATTGGATTCAGAGTCATGGCGCGTATCCTGATGAGTGCTAGGCTCGTCGACATAATCATCAGGGTCTACCCCAAAATCTTCTGGCCGTGTCCCTGTACCTACTGACCGGCGACCATCGAGTTTCGTGTACCTCGTCATGTCGGTTGAGGAAAGCAAGAAAGATTGATTGCATTTTTAAAAAAATAAAAAATGGACAGACTATGTATAGACCTCCACATCACAAAAAATCTGTACAGGCACGAGGGGTGACCAGCCATGCCATCAAAGAGGCGCCATGAGAGTCAGAGCGTATAGAGTTGGCGGCGGGGGTATCGAGTGTGCCATTGGATCCATTGGCACTATTATTTTGAAGAAACTGGAAAACAGCATGCTCGTCAGGCACCCCACGTAGGGCTTGTTTTTGCTGTTGATAAGTGAGTAGCTTTTCATCCCAAAGTGTCCAAGGCATGTCACTTCGCACGCATGAAGGGTGCTTCTTCTCATAGTAGGTGAATGAAGTATATCCAGGCAGACCAGAGAGAACATTCTCTGCTTCCTGTACTTTTGCATCCCATGCTCTCTGACTCACAATGGACCTGTGGTAAGAGAATCACAAACGCACCAGGACGACTTCGGCAGCGGTGCATCGCCTTTTCGCTTGGTAGATGATCCCATTCTGGCGCCGTTGACAATATTTTCCATCCGGAGACCTCGACTCCAGATGATAGCTGGGATTAGGACACCGATGAATACGTACATGCCGCACAAGGGACAGGCTCGACATCTTCCCAGCGAGGTGAATCACGCGTGACTTCATGCGTATCCAAAACCTGTCTCTCAATTACTTCCCTGGAATAGGGAAAGGAAACCGAAGAGGCATGTACCTCACCATGAGACGCTTTGCCTGATGGAATACGCTCATAAATGGCCCATTGGCAAAGACGAGTGCATTCGGACATTGGCAATCCATACAGGGAATCCGGCTCTACGCCTATGCACCAGGAAGTGGCATAGACAGGTTCTATCCACTTCGACAGAAGGGCACCCTGGACGCCTACCTGATTCCACAACATGATTTTGTCGGTGCAAGACATGCTGATGCTGGGAGGTGCATCTGGTCGGCCTTGTTGTAAGTCTTTTATAGCATACCTGGCTTGGTGCGCAGAATACAATGGTCCAGAGACATATAGAAATGGTTTCTCCCACGTACAAGAGGCTGCGCCTTGGAAGTTGGAAGAGTGGAAGGTGCATGACCATCTTGGGAAGTATTGCGTGCAAACAAAAGCGCTGTAGAAGCTTCACCACCTGGAGTAAGTACGTCGGGTACATACATGGCCATGTTGATATATACCAATGAACAAACATATGAGAACGTAATCGCCACCGAATAGGCTTCTGTTGCGCCCATGCAATGGGTTCATAAATGCGGGGTAAACCATCTAGAATGGGGGCATCGGACGACACTTCTTTGATGAGCCTTTCTAAAAGCCATATCCTAAAACAACGTCGCGCTAGCACTTCGGCATGACAGTCATGTACAATATCACCATACTTGGACAATTTGTTGTAGGGAGTACACTTGACGCCTGTGGCCAAGGCGACAGGTACGAGCTCATACGTGTCCAGTTGCAAAACCACACCGGACAATATGGTCCATTCAAGCCTGATATTAGTGTATAGAAGGCATACCTTCCATTTGACCTTGGGTGTGGCTTCCCACCACCTTGCGGCAGGGACATAAACACATCTATACAAGCTTGAGCTACCGCATCTGCAATGTTCATATTACTGTGCGAGGTGGAGAACGTCACGAAAAAATGCCCCTATTTGTGTTGCTCTACAATTTTTCCTTGGATGACTCCACATCATTTATACTGGCCACAGCTAGTTTTTCCACGAGCGCGTCCGTGTCATCTTTGGAATGCGTAGTATCATCTTCATCTTCCTTCTCTTCTGCATGTAGCTTGTCCATACCAGTATTCATTTCTTCAAACAAGGTCTCTAGTTCGTCCTGAATATTTAGCTTTGCATGCGTCCAACTTACCTTCCAGCCGCAAAGCTCAGCCAATGCCCGAATCGTATCATCCACTTTGCCTTGGCAAAATATATCTCTAGTACCAGGTGTAGAGAAGTCAAATCCTTCCTCTCCCAGGTTGTTCCATTTTGAGAATAGACCGGGCCCTATACCTTCACCAACCTTTTCCAGGTTGAAGAGAGCTCGAGGACAATAGGCAGGCACCTCATCAATTAAGGATGCAAATGGCTGTACCACAAGCGATGTTCCCATTACCAGAAGTAAATCTGCTCGATGGAAGTCTGAAATCCGTCGAAAGAACCGCTCAGGCAGGTTCTCTCCAAAAACTCAAGTAAGTCTCTTAGTCATGCACATACATGTAATGTCTGGTTTGATAGCAGGAACAGAGCTTTTCTTTTGACAGGTAGGCATTTCACACCGTGCAACTTCTCCTGATCGCACCTTAGCTTCAAGCCAATTTTTGGACACTTTTGTCTTGCATTCCATACATCGCGCTTTGGCAAAGGAACCATGCGCTTCAACAATCCGTTCCTCATCCAAGCCAGATAAGTGCTCTAGAGTATCGACTAATACAAGTAAGTACCATAATCATACCTACTGTTTTGTGTAAAGACCCTCAGTAATTTGCCCTTTTTATCCAGCAACTTAAAGAAGCAATGCGTGATAGTTGGCCGATATTTTTTGCCATCTGGATAGAGTTCTTCAAACAAAGTATAGAACGGCTTGGGATTCTTCCGAAAATAGTTAATGTCGAATAATGCCTCTGGATACGGCAGATCATACTTCTCCAGAGAGGCATATAAACCTGTCACAGGTGAGCGAAAGTCAGGGATGCCGGCACTTGTAGAAATACCAGCTCCTGCCATAACTACCACTCGAGATACTACAGTGAGCTGAATAACACAACACACCTTTTTCACTCAAAAGCATCTCTGCCACTTTTTTTAACCCTTTACTCTTCATGAGAGATTCTTTCGGATCTGTCATGATGGCTTATGGGTCGTGAGACTCCAAAGTGGGCTCGTGCGCAGTGTATTCATCACGTGCGAGGGATCGCGTAAGTCTCGCCGTAAAGACCAGTCGCCATCACTAGCGAAATTGCGTTCCAAGCGCACTCTCTCTCCATGGAAGAGGAAAAGACCAATAATGACAACAAAGAGAAGAAAAACGAGTCGAATTCTATACAGCCTGTTGCACTGAAGGCTGCATTAGCTCGGGTAAGACAGGTATTAGCATTGATTGATATGCCCCTTGCGCAAGAGCAGCCCTTACCGCCGCGGCCTACTTTACAAGCCGGATTACTGTATGGACTCCAGGACCTTTTAACTCATCTAAATGGAGTGTTACATATACCAAATTCTGGTGCCCAGGGTATTGCAGCGGCTATTGGGGCGGAGACCGGTGGACCTACACCTGCTGAAGGCCTTGCACCCTTTGTTCAGATCGCGACGAACATGATTCATATGTCAAACCAAGTATCATCGCTATTAAAAGAACATGTACAGACATCACCCAACGATATGGGCGCTATAGGTATCCTGGAAAAAGCCTTGGAAGCGTCTCCTCTTACGAAAGCCAGTGAAGATGATATTATCCTTCGCATGAGGAAAAAACGCCGTCTTGTGGACCAGACTAGGGCTCCATGTAAGGTGCATGAAGTCACTGAATCTTTCGTGAAATCTACATCGCGAAGCCCTATTTATCCTCTTCCTAAAACGCTAAATTTCATTGCCACCACGTCTTGGTTGGATGACGTATTAACAAACATGAAAGGACATCCCCTTCCGGAATCACTTACAATGCTAGTGGAAGCTTTTAACGAGGATATGAAAAAGAAATGCGAGAATGAGTCTTTGATCCTTGTCAATCACCAGGGTCATGTTATCTTACCGGCTCACAGAGTTCGTGCCCGTGTTGCCTTTTGTCAACCTCACGGAGGGGAGATCCATGTGGAAATTCGTGGCGTGGGTCTTGTCATCTTAAAATTGGAAGACAAGAACCAAAAATTGCAAATCATTAACCTTGGAATCTGTGCACCGAGTGAATACCCTAATGTATGTTGTACTCCTGCTCTGACTCACAATTTAGTTGCGTAACAGATCGTCTTCCTCGTTACTGCCCTCATCATACGCTTATTATAACGAAATCAGCAGTCACCTCCTTGTGTATGCACTGAAGTATCATGAAGAATGCTCCGATGATTTTAAGGCGATTGCACAATCTCTGATGCATATTTCAGCATTACGAACTCTATATGACCCATTACCTACACCTGCCACTTTTGTCCAGCCCATGATCTCTCGCGTCACTTTCACCGAGCTGGACTGGGACCGAACGCTGGATCGAACACAGAGCATTGTGTGGAAATGGTGTCGTGTTTTAAAACAAGACCAATCTGACCAAGGCGAATGGTGTGCCTATTTTCCTAGCATGATGTAGCAACACGCATAGTGTGTAAAGTGTGAAGTCTCACGTGGTCACGCAAGTCACGCCACTTTGCTTGGCCACTCTTGTTCGATATAAGGCAAAAATATTTTGTGCCTCGATTTATCAGTCCTTCTTTACCTTTCCACACCATGGATCTGGTATTGAACTTGGCTGACGAGTGGGTCCTGGATGCAGCCTGGGCCAAACTTCTTCCAGCCTCTCGGTTCTCCTCTGCCTGCACAAGCTCCACGTTAGGTTTTGCTAACCAGACCATCTCGAACGTGGAGAAGTTAGCCCTATGTGGCGCCCCTGGCAAGGAGGTGTCTTGGCTTCCTCGCGATAACATCATTCGCCAGATCGTATCTCTGTATATTTTGACCTATATCGGTATTTTGCTTCTCTACTTCTCTTGCGCCTCTTTCTCTTACTACTTTCTTTTCAACAAAGACCTTAAGAAGCACCCTTTGTACCTTAAAAACCAGGTGAAGCTCGAGATCCAGTCGTCCCTTCGTGCCTTCCCGTGGTTGGACCTACTTACGCTTCCCTGGTTCGTACTTGAAGTTCGTGGCTACACTAGGGTTTATGACCGATGGGACGAATATGGTCTTTGGTACTTGATTTTCAGTGTGCCACTTTTCCTCGTCTTTACTGATATGTGCATCTACTGGGTCCACCGTATCGAACACCACCCAAGCCTCTATAAGCATGTGCATAAGCCCCATCACAAGTGGATTGTACCGACTCCTTTCGCATCCCATGCCTTCCACCCGTTGGACGGTTATGCCCAGAGCTTGCCATATCACATTTTCCCTTGTATCTTCCCGCTTAACAAGCTCATGTTTTTGGCTCTGTTTGGATTTGTTAACCTATGGAGTATCATGATCCATGACTCTGACATGATTAACAATACTGGTTGGGAATTGTATATCAATGGTCCTGCTCACCATACCTTGCATCACTTACACTTTACATGCAACTACGGGCAATATTTCACTACCTTCGACCGACTCTTTAGTAGTTTCCGTGAGCCCCAGGCCAAAGATGATCCTCTCTTGGAAGCGCGGAACCGGATGAGCGCGAAGGTAATTAAGCCGACTAAGGCAGAATGAATAATAATCCCTTGTATAAGCCCCCTTTCTCGACTTGAAGTCGGACTCACCATCTCTCCTTTTGGCTTTTCCTTGGTATATTTAGGGTTTTCTTTCCTATATTCCATCTGCGGCTTCATTCTACAGAGCTACATGACTACGATAGCCCTTGTAGATTACCACTATACCTGTAATATCCCTAAAGTATCTGTTAGCTTCGTTTCCAATGGCTATCTTGCAGGAAAGCCGCCAAATGCCTGCTGCCAGTCTAGTAGAATGTTAGATCAAATCATGTATCAGCATACGTACTTGTAATAGCGGGTGGCCTGCCACAATCTGCAGGAAACGTTCAAGGCCTTCGCGCCTGGTCTCAATGACTTCATCGGAGAATCGATTGGTGAATACTTTTCCAGGCAGCGGGGGAATGTTCACACGTGAGGACTCACGCTCCAGCAGTTCGCGAAAGTAATCAAAATCGGAATAACGACGCCAGACAGAGGAATATTTCAATTTGAAGGCAGGAATATTTGTGCGCGTGACAACTTCGTACTCCGTATACATCTTGCGCCCTTGTCCTTGCGTTCGAGGGTTTCGAACTTCCACTTCCAGAAAATTTTCTGGTATGCCGTAGATGTCATCAGGAGCGTCCGCACGAGGAGCCGTACTTTCTACTCGAGCAAAAGGAGAGTAGCCTGAAGGGTATATGGATTTGGGTTTGGGGGCTGCGTTTGCTTTCAGAGCAGATTGCTGGATGTGTCCTTCCGCGGAGAATTGTGACGGAGGCGCATGTATTTGGTCGTGAGAAGCTGCACTTTCAAATCCATTCCGCGGGATGGTGTCATACTGGTTATTGTAACGGTAACCATCTGTCGAGGGGTCGTTGCCAAACTTGCTTTCTGTTTGCAAGTTTGTCTGGTCAGTGTCCCAAGCATTGTATATTGAGTGCTCAGCCCTAGAATCTTGGATTATTTCTTTCTCCGCAGGACGGCCCCATGGATGTTCTTCATCAATCTCATCCTCAATCAACTTAGTGGATTCAAGCCCTTTCGCCCCGGAGTTGGCAGGCGGCAAAGAGGTACCGCCCCAAACTTCCGCATTAGATGTAGTCAGAGGATTATCACCTAGTCCTGTGTTATCTGAAAAGAATAGCGACATCTTTTCTACCAATTATCGGCAAAGCGATGAGATACTGGAGCCAAGCGATCTGGAGTGTTGCGACAACCTGTCGACCTGTGCGCAAGCGCGTGCGCGTGCCGACACATGTTTAGGTCAGATGGGGGTTTAAAATATTTTAAGATTCCCCACAAGCAACACTGGTTTTCATAGTCAGCAGCATATTTTCCTGCAAGGTCAATAGAGTTGGGTACTCCGCTATAGGAGTGGGACGTGTAGCCATCAATCCTAGAACTACGGCATAGTTTCATGACATCTGTCCGATAATTAGACGGCACAAGACCATGGTGAAATTTACATTGAGACCAGTAAACTCCCTATCATACTTAAAGGAGGAATTTGTGTATTCGTCCTTTTCACCATAGACTGCTTTTACAAGTAGTTGACCCGTTCTGACGCTGTTAAGAAACCATACAAGATTCAACTAGATCTCTCACGTTTAAACAATCGTGCAAATGGTCATCCTCTGCCGAAGTATGCATTATTGCTACGCAGAGTGACGAATGTTCTTGGTTTGAAACCGAAAAAAAAATTCTATAACTTATTAACATATTATTATGGCCTATACGTTTTGTTACATTTAACAAAAAAACTGATGACTACCAAGAAGTCCTCTAATTGTTCACGAGCACTGCTAATCTTGCATTATGTCAGTGTCAACATTGACGCTCACCATGTGTCATAATGCGCTCGAGCCATGTCTGTCCATGGCATATTCACGTGACTCTTTAAAACTACATCAAACCACGTGATGAGTTAGGTGTGAATGGAGGGCAGGCTCGGCTCCCTAAGGTCGTTGAGCCACGCAGGCTTTTCTACTCTAACCTTCCACCGGTTGCATCGACGCCTTTATTTTCGTCAAGATGTCTGCTGCCGCTACGGTCAAGACGTGAGTACTAATCTAGTCGGAGTATCTTGTATGATTTGTGTGCGTAACATGCTTCTCGCGCATCGGTGATGGTGTTATGGCTCTTTAGCCAACTATAACCAAGCAAAGAAAATGATTCTTTCATTCCGGAGAGATGAATGTTTGCCACGCAAATCTAACAGATATCCGACACACTCGTCATGTGAACGGTATACTGACATTATACAGCTCTGTGCCCAGCGCCAAGGATGTGCTCGTCCCTGAGACGCTTCTGAAGAAGCGCAAGGCTGATGCCAAGCTCCGTGAGGAGAAGCAGGCCAAGGCCCTTGAGCTCCGCAAGGTATGTTTTTACGCTCCTACATATGTATGGCATGCGTTTTGGCCCTCCGTCGATATGATGTACAACAACCACTGTGGACTAGACATGGAAATCTTTGTCGATGATGTCGCAAATATACCATCTTTCGGGGCTGATCCTAAAGACGGAGGTGTCTGTCTATCCACGTGAGGGTAAACAATTGTGCCATATGATGTGGGATTTCAGTTTGTGACAGTGCTAACTCTCTAGGCCCGCAAGCAGAAGCGCCAGGTTATCTTCAAGCGTGCCGAGCAGTACGTGAAGGAGTACAAGGCTGCCGAGCGTGAGCAGGTTCGCCTCCGTCGCCTTGCGAAGTCGCAGGGTGACTTCTACGTGCCGGCTCAGCCGCGTGTTGCCTTTGTTGTTCGTCTTCGTGGTATCAACAACATCGCCCCGAAGCCGCGCAAGATCATGCAGCTGCTCCGTCTTCTGCAGGTCAACAACGGTGTGTTTGTCAAGCTCACCGCCGCTACCCAGCAGATGCTCCAGCTCATTGAGCCGTACGTGGCCTACGGTGAGCCGAACCTGAAGACCATCCGCGAGCTTATCTACAAGCGCGGTTACGCCAAGATCAACAAGCAGCGCATCCCCATCTCGGACAACAGCCTGATTGAGGAGCACCTTGGCAAGTACGGTATTATCTCGGTTGAGGACCTTGTCCACGAGATCGCCACTGCTGGCCCGAACTTCAAGGCTGCCAACCAGTTCCTGTGGCCGTTCCAGCTCTCGAGCCCGACTGGTGGCTTCAGGGCCCGCAAGTTCAATCACTTTATCGAGGGTGGTGATGCCGGCAACCGTGAGTCGGACATTAACCGTCTTGTGCGCCGCATGAACTAAGCGTCACTCGATGTATGTGTTTTAGCTCTCTCCCTGCGATTGGGATGGAGCTGGGAAGGGCTCTATCTCATGTCACTGTATTTATCTGCATATGGTGCAGATGGTAACTTCTCTACCCTCTAGTCATAGGGGTCTGCTACGTTTGTATCCCGTAGAGTCGATACCACCAAAAAACTTGCTTCCGTCTATTGACAGTCACTAAACGGGCTTATTCATCTACTTTGTTTCAGTGTCAGTATGCGGCTCTGCGCGCAACTAAGGCTTTTGGGTCCGTTAGTCAGCGAGGCTGTACTGTTGCCCGTGGCAAGTTTTTACAGAACTGTACCGAAGAAAGAAGAAATTTGTAGAATGTATTATTTTACCTACTAGGCCGTTCTTTTTGTTGTTACAACATGTTGGGTGCTGCCAAGGGCAGAGAGGGCTGACACTGGCCACTGGACGCAGCCACCTAGGAAGGGAATAAAGTAGACGACTTCTGCGAAGCCTTCACGTTTGTCACAAACCCATCAGTATGAGTGTTGTGGGTCTTGATATCGGTAATAGCAGTAGCAAGTACGTGTCATTTACATGCGGGAGAACTAACATGAATTAGGATCGGTGTCGCGCGTGCGCGTGGTGTCGATATTGTTTCCAATGAAGTGAGCAACCGCAGCACACCGTCCCTGGTGTCGTTCGGTATGAAGGCGCGTGCTCTTGGTGAGCCCGCGGCCACTGCGCAGACTTCGAACTTCAAGAATACTGTGGGGTCGCTGAAGCGCCTCATTGGTCGCACTTTCCAGGATGAATCTGTGCAGCAGTTTGAAAAGCCTTTCGTGAACGCTGAGCTTGTCGATGCCAAGGGTGAAGTGGGTGTCAAGGTTCGCTTCCAGGGTGAGGAGCAGGTGTTCTCTGCTACACAGCTTCTTGGTATGTACCTCGGTAAGCTGCGCGACACGACACAGGCTGAGCTTAACGGCGCTGGCGTTAGTGACGTCGTGCTCTCGGTGCCGATTTGGTTCACGGACGCGCAGCGTCGTGCAATGCTGAACGCTGCAGAGATCGCCAACCTGAACCCTCTGCGTGTGATGAATGAGCCGACTGCTACTGCGTTGGGCTATGGTATTACCAAGACGGACCTGCCTGAGCCGGACAGCCCACGCAATGTCGTGTTTGTGGATATTGGCCACTCGAGCTACCAGGTATCGGTGGTGGCCTTCTGCAAGGGCCAGCTGACTGTGCTCGGTGCGTCAGCTGATCCCAACTTTGGTGGTCGCAACTTTGACCGTGCGCTGATGGAGCATTTTGCTGAGGAGTTCAAGGGCAAGTACAAGATTGATGTGTTCTCGAACCCGAAGGCCACCTTCCGTCTTGCGGCGGGCTGTGAGCGTCTGAAGAAGGTTCTTTCGGCCAACACATTGGCTCAGCTCAACGTTGAAAGCTTGATGAATGACATCGACGCTGCTTCGCAGCTCAAACGTGAGGAGTTCGAAGCCTTGATTGCCCCGTACCTCCAGCGTATCCACACTCCTCTGGACGCTGCGCTCGAGCAGTCGGGTCTTACCAAGGATGAGATCCACAGCGTGGAGCTTGTTGGTGGTAGCTCGCGTATCCCTGCGCTCAAGGAGAGCATCGCGCAGTGGTACGGTAAGCAGCTCTCGTTCACGCTGAACCAGGATGAGGCTATTGTTCGTGGTTGCACACTTGCATGTGCTACTCTCTCGCCTGTGTTCCGTGTGCGTGAGTTCTCGGTGCACGACATCTCGTCGTACCCGATCAAGGTCTCGTGGGAGCCTGCGCCTGATGTGCCAGACGAAGAGAACGAGCTGGTGGTGTTCAACACGAACAACCCGGTGCCGTCGACCAAGATTCTGACCTTCTACCGCAAGGAGCCATTCACGCTTGATGCTTCGTACGCTGAGCCGGGTACCTTGCCGAAGGGTATCAACCCATGGCTCGGCCGTGTGACTATTAAGAATGTGGCCCCGAACGAGCAGGGTGAGCACTCGATTGTTAAGGTCAAGGCTCGTCTCAACCTGCACGGTGTGCTTAACGTGGAGAGTGCCTATACTGTGGATGAAATTGAGAAGGAGGAAGAAGTCCCTGTTGTCGACCCGAATGCACCGGAGGGTCAGGAGCCGAAGACGGAGAAGCGCGTGGTGAAGAAGCTTCAACGCAAGGATGACCTCCCTATCGTGTCGGGCATCGGTCTGCTTGATGAGAGCCTGATTGCCGAGATGAAGGAGCGGGAGGGTCAAATGTACGCTGCCGACAAGCTCGTGGCCGACACGGAGGACCGCAAGAACGCTTTGGAAGAGTACATCTACGACACCCGCAGCAAGCTCGACGAGCGCTACTCTGCCTTTGTGCAGCCGCAGGAGAAGGAGAAGCTTCTTAGCATGCTGGCCGAGTCGGAGGACTGGCTGTACTCGGACGAGGGCGATGATGCGGCCAAGTCGGCGTATGTGGAGCGTCTCGACTCGTTGCAGAAGGTTGGTGCCCCCATCGTCTTCCGCTGGAAGGAGTTTGACGAGCGTCCCCGTGCTGCTGCGCAACTGCGTGAGGTGGTCAACAAGTACATGAGCGTGTTCGAGAACGAGCCAGAGAAGTACGACCACCTTTCGGATGATGACAAGACCAAGGTCATTGAGAAGGCAGCGAATGCCAGCAAGTGGCTCGAGGACTTCATGTTCAAGCAGAGCGAGCTGCCCAAGAATGTCGACCCGAAGTTGACTTCAGCTGAGATTCTCAAGAAGAAGGACGACGTGATCTACGTTTGCACGCCTATCCTTAGCAAGCCCAAGCCGCGTGTTCAGCCGGAGCAGCCGAAGGAGGAACCTTCCAACGAGGACACTAAGCAGGGCGACATGGATGTCGACTAATGGCCACTACTACATATCATAGGAAGGAATATACGTGATGTGCTGAAACATACTTGGATCGATGCCAGTTTGTTTAATTGTAGGGTCACTGTCTATGAAAGTCTTGAGCAAGCTATTTCTTTAGAATTCAATCCGCTAGATATCGTCCCAACATCATGGTGGGATGAATTTACATCAGGAGGGCCGAAAGTAGCGCACTCACACCTATCGTGAGTACGCTCATCCATGCTGTATACACGGTCGGATCTAGGCGGAAAGCCCCACTGGTAGAGGTGGGTACGGGTGTCACACCTTTCTTTTCGTATGCCACATTGTTCATGCCAGACGTCGCAGCAAACACAGAGCCATTGCCCACATTATAAAAGTCGACCAGCACAAATGTGGGGTATGAGTTGTACTGCTTTGCACATGAGTTAGCGTCCCGCATGATCGAGTCCACCGAGTTTGTGACATTCAATTTGTCGCGTGCTGGGAGTTTGATTTCTTGACCCGCTATCGAATCAACATTGTCGCGGTAGTGGTTAATTAGATACATCATCTGAGACGTATCTCCATCGTAGCGATCAGGCGTGCAGTTGAATGTACCCGAAGTTTGGTCGTATGGGTTTTCCCAAACGTTCTTGAACTCTGGGATAATATAGTTCACGCGGCTCAAGTCCGATTTGTAGTCCATGAAAACAACAAGGCGTTGTTTCGAGTCAATCATCTCCTGCAACGTCGGCCATTGGTCCTTGGTTACCGTATCTGAGGGAGGCTTGTACGCTATCTGATCCAGACCATTCTTTTGGAACGCAGATGCCCAATCATTCACATCAATATTGTCATTATTGGCAATAATAAGAGTGACGACTTCCGTTGGGTTTTGATTCATAAAGTCAGATACGTTGGAAAGGTAAAGCTCCAAAGGCGTGCTGCCCAACGAACAAGAAGTGTGGCACAACAAGACACCAGACGGGTTAGCAGTGTCGTCGCTTCTAGAAGATTTGTGCCCTTGAATTTGTAGAGCACGAACACCATCGCTAAGCTGCGCATTCACGCCAACGAGCTGGTTAGTGCTCACCTGTGCCATGGTGCCTAGAGCGTACGAGTTATGGGCACCCAGGAACGTAACATTGGAGTACTTGCGACTGCAAAGCTCGGATTTTCCGTTACACTCTGTAGCTCTCTTTGTTGCCATCGATGGAGCCGCCATAACGCTGGCAACAGCAAGTGCCACCACGGTTCCTACACATCTTGCGAGCTTCATTGTAGTGGTGGGCAAACTTCTAAGGCACTTCCACAGCCACCTCCATGATTATCCTCCCACGTGGAGTACAAAGCACTATCCAATCATAATGTGTTTTATGGGCCAAACGTATCTTTGTTACCCCCTGAAAGTGCACGTACCAACCAACAACTCAGAGCCAGATTAATCTCGCTCACTCTCCGCCTGGCTCGCCAGCGCGCAACTATCGACAAAACAGGCCACCTGCTCCTTTATATTGTCCATTGAGTTCATAGACCCAGGGCTGTCAGCAAATAATCGGAGTTGGTGCTCTTCCGCAGCTTGCGTTATCATGCTCAAATCTTGCGCGGTAAACGCTTTCCGAAGTGACGCCTTCAATATGCGTAGCAATAGACCTTATGTTAGTGATTTTCCTCGTACCTTTGTCATAAGGGCAATATCGTAAGGCTTGAAATGCTAGTGCCTTTACTCTTGACTTGAGCTCCGTCGTCAACCGGTTTGCTTGGCTCTGCCGCACTTCATAATCGATGGCAAGATGCCATAAAAGTGCCTCTCGAGGGTGCGATAGCAATGCTTGGTCTAAGAAAGAACGAATTCGAGAGGAAGATGTATATTCCACCATATAACGTAGTCCCAGGAGCCAGCCCCATATAGGTCTTACACATTTTGCGGGTATAACTTCCTCTTCGATAATCGCTCGCAGCTGCTGACCCACTCGCTCCAACTGTTTTAGCGTCGCCAACTGATATAAAAAAGTTGTATCATGGGGGAATTGTCGAACCAGCATAGCGCCTATCTCCCACTCTTCATCTGGGTGTAGGTGGGATTTGTGCTTCTTGCTTTTCGCCATTACCACAAAGCGCTGCATTCCATACGCCAGCTCTGTTCGAGTAGGGTCATCAGTATATGACAGTGCATCTTTAAAAACCTGAATGCTTAGATGCATTTCATTTGTCACACTTTCATGACCTTCACGTTGGAGTATGTGCTGAACCATACCCAAAGCATATGTATGAACAAAACATGGCTTTGTCTGGGCATGCTTCCGTAATGCACGCAACAACTGTAGTTTCCCCGTCGCAGAGAGGGTATATGGGATGGTGCGCAGGTCGCTACCTGCATAAGACCATTGTGCTTGCAGAGCTACCTTCAATGTATGAAGGCATGCCGTGTTCTCATCCAAAGACCAATGCAGCTCCGCCCACAAAAGCCACAACCTAGACAGAAAATATGAATCGCGTGAGGTAATAACTGTTGTTGGCGTTTGGCTGAGGACTTCCACAAAAACCTTTGAGGCTGCTTTGATATGACCAGTCGTACAAAGCTCCATTTGTGCGTAAGCGAACCATAAAAAGATATTGTCAGGAGAATTTTGCAGTTCTTGGCGTAATACGCGTTTTGCACTTCATCGTTAATAGTCAGTATACGCACCTGGTACTCTGACCTGCTTGTACATATATCATGGCCAGAGGAACCGCTAGGGTCTGGTTCCAGACGTTATTACCTATGCTCGAAAGAATGCATCGAAGAAGAAGCAGACATGACTCTGCTAGGCACGCTTCTTCTTTTGTTAGCGTCGCTAGAACATGTACCCACGACCCACGCGGGTCACTTGATGTTTGCTTAAAAAGCGTGTGAGGCAGGAGAGGAACACGCTGCACAGCAGCAGCAGTACCGCGGCTTGGAAAAAGGCCTTTCCACAGCGAAGATGGCACTTTGAGAGAGGACGAGGAGGGGGTGAGATGAGGATAGCTTAGGGTATATGAGAGTTCCTTTGCTTGCGTGCGATCTGGTAAACTTTGCCGTGCTGTAGCTAGCAGCCAGTGGGACGGAAATCCTAATGAGGACCAGAATGCATCCAACAGTATAAAAACAATGTCCCAATCATTTGATGCAGGCAAAAACAGAAACGGCACCAGGTCTGATGCGATCACGTAGGTGTATGGATCCGGTCGAATGCCATCATTGGCATCCTGTTCCAAAAAGCGCGGCGTTGTCCTTGCACTTGCAAGCAATTCCTGGTTTGCCCAACGTGCCCACTCATCTCCTTGTGAACCATCAGGCTCAACCGTTTCCGTTTCTTGTATTAATTCTAATTGGGGCGCGATGGTATATATTGGCGGCGTATGGCTCAATGAGAACCCATGATATTCAGATGCGTTGTCTCCCCAGCGTGGATGCTCTGCGTCCCACCATGCGCTGAACAAGTCTAATACGCTCTCCGTATCAAGCGATAGTGGATATTCACGAATGGAGCAGACAAACAACTCTAACAGTGCTTGAAAGATAGCATATCCAAACTCAAAATATCCTATGGTTAGTATAGCGTGAACATACCTGCACTTCGTAGACATACACAAAGACTTGTTACCAGTTGAATACGCGCTTCATCTAGATCTCTTTCAGAGTATTCCGATGTAGATGTATAGGTGGTTGAGGTCAAATCATGTAACGCCTCAGCATACAGAGCTGCCATGTCATCCACATGGAATCGGGACGCATCGGATGCACGAAACGACAAATACTCTTGCCATAGCCCTGCCTTTTCTGATGGTGTAGAAACACTTCGGCAAAGTAACGTACGCCAGGTCTGATCCAATTTATCGAATGACCATACGCCGCTGTCAGCAGCAATGCGTAGCTCAGCTGTCCGTAGTTCCAAGGCCTCTTTGTTTCGATCTGATGCCTGGAATGCTCGCTCCAGAACTGCTAGTTTTGTTCGTGCCAAAGAAGCATAGTGACTAGAATTTCGAAGAAAGTCAGCGTCACCCCACATTTTTTCTTGGATATCCACGAGTTGTAGCCATGCGTCAATGTCGCAGGGGTCCTTGCCTACCTGGGCATGAAGACTTTTCAATGCCGTCTGTAAGGATGAAGCGTCTGATTTTTGTGGCAAAGTTGAATATGTAGAAGGGGTCACAACAGTACGATTACTCTGAGAGGAGGCAGAAGCAGCGTCATCTTCTAGTTCTAGTGTGACATAGGAGTCTTTGTCTTTCGTCACAGCGGTCTCGTGCCTTGATCTGTGTCGATGGTGACGCGCGGATCGGGAGGTCTTGGTATCTTTGGTCAGTGTAGTCGAACGTACCTGACCCAATCCGATAGGGACGCCTGCTATGCTTACTTGAGCCATACATTGCTGCAGGTACATCGCCCTGTCTATCGACCACAAAGAGAGACGACGTACGATCTTTACGGTGATGCTGTTTAGAGGAAAACCTATCCTTCTCGCTCTTCACCTCATCTACACTGTCTGTAGCAGGTTGAAACGAGGCGAACGATGGTACATGGCCCGTGGGCCTTGGCGTCATGCTTTAGGAGGGCGCGTTGTGTCACTGTGGAGGAGAAGTATGGCTTACGTCACGGCGTGTGGGCCTATTGAATAATTCCCCGTTTGGGCCTGCCGCGGGCGACACGTCGCTGGCTAGCGCTTACGACGCCTCTCCAGTTGCCACAGCGTCGCGTCGGTTGCTTCGATCTTGTTCCCTTGCGACTGTGCTATTGGCAAATATGGTGGATCACAAGACAGAGCCCCAAGAGAATTTGAAGGATACGTCTTTGGCGATCCTTCGCAACAAGAAGTGTAAGTACTATGCGTCCTGATTAACATGCAGCGCCCAACCGCTTGTTCGTGGAGGAAGCCACCACAGATGATAACTCGGTGGCGTGCTTATCGCCCGCCAAGATGGAGGAGCTTGGTCTCTTCCGTGGCGATACGATTCTGATTCGCGGCAAGAAGCGCCGTGATACTGTTCTGATTGTTCTGAGTGATGAGGACACCGAGGATTCCAAGATCCGTCTGAACCGTGTTGCGCGCAACAACCTGCGTGTGAAGCTCGGCGATCTCGTGAATGTGCATGCATGCCACGATATCAAGTACGGCAAGCGTATCCATGTCCTGCCATTCGACGACAGCGTCGAGGGTTTGCAGGGTAACCTCTTTGACGTGTACCTGAAGCCGTACTTCCTTGAAGCCTACCGCCCTGTGCGTAAGGGCGACACGTTCGTGGTGCGTGGCGGTATGCGCGCCGTGGAGTTCAAGGTCATTGAAACGGACCCTGCTGAGTTCTGTATCGTGGCCCAGGACACCGTTATCCACACCGAGGGTGATCCTGTGCGTCGTGAGGACGAAGAAGCTAACCTCGCTGATGTGGGCTACGACGACATCGGTGGCTGCCGTAAGCAGATGGCACAGATCCGTGAGATGGTCGAGTTGCCATTACGTCACCCGCAGCTCTTCAAGAGCATCGGTATTAAGCCGCCGCGCGGTGTGCTCATGTTCGGCCCCCCTGGTACGGGTAAAACGCTGATGGCCCGTGCGGTGGCAAATGAGACAGGTGCCTTTTTCTTCTTGATCAATGGTCCTGAAATCATGAGCAAGATGGCCGGTGAGAGTGAGTCGAACTTGCGCAAGGCGTTCGAAGAGGCGGAGAAGAATTCGCCTGCGATTATTTTCATCGACGAGATTGACTCGATTGCACCGAAGCGTGAGAAGACCAACGGTGAAGTGGAGCGCCGTGTTGTTTCGCAGCTGCTTACACTGATGGACGGCTTGAAGGCTCGCTCGAACATTGTTGTTATGGCAGCGACCAACCGTCCGAACTCGATCGACCCAGCACTTCGTCGTTTCGGCCGTTTCGATCGCGAGGTGGATATTGGTATTCCTGACCCCACTGGCCGCTTGGAGATTCTTCGTATCCATACCAAGAACATGAAACTGGCCGACGATGTGGATCTCGAGCAGATTGCTTCAGAGACTCATGGTTATGTCGGCTCAGACATTGCTTCCTTGTGCTCAGAGGCTGCGATGCAGCAGATTCGTGAGAAGATGGATCTCATTGATCTGGATGAAGACTCCATTGATGCTGAAGTGCTTGACTCTCTAGGCGTGACGATGGAGAACTTCCGTTTCGCCCTGGGCGTGTCCAACCCATCGGCCTTGCGCGAGACAGTGGTCGAAGTGCCTACGACGACCTGGAACGACATTGGTGGTCTCGACAAAGTCAAGCAGGAGCTCCAGGAGACGGTGTCGTACCCTGTCGAGCACCCCGAAAAGTTCCTCAAGTATGGTATGTCGCCGTCCAAGGGTGTCCTGTTTTATGGTCCTCCTGGTACTGGTAAGACACTTTTGGCGAAGGCCATTGCCAACGAGTGCCAGGCAAACTTTATCTCCATCAAGGGCCCTGAGCTACTTACCATGTGGTTTGGTGAGTCGGAGGCGAATGTCCGTGATGTCTTCGACAAGGCACGTGCGGCGGCGCCGTGTGTGATGTTCTTCGATGAGCTGGACTCGATTGCCAAATCTCGTGGTGGCTCGGGCGGTGACGCTGGTGGTGCTAGCGACCGTGTGATCAACCAGATTCTTACGGAAATGGATGGTATGAATGCCAAGAAGAACGTGTTCGTGATCGGTGCCACGAACCGTCCGGACCAAATTGACCCTGCTATTCTGCGTCCTGGTCGTCTCGACCAGCTCATCTATATCCCTCTGCCGAACGAGGCTTCTCGTTTGGACATTCTCCGCGCGACTCTGAAGAACTCTCCTATCTCGCCCAAGGTCGATCTGCCCTTCCTTGCAAAGCACACGCATGGTTTCTCGGGTGCTGACCTGGCAGAAGTTTGCCAGCGCGCTGCCAAGCTTGCTATCCGTGAGTCGATTGAGGCTGATCGCCGTCAAGAGGCCGAGCGCAAGGAGCGTGGTGATGATGTGAAAATGGAGGAAGATGCCGCTGCTTCCCTGGAAGAAGAAAACGATCCTGTTCCTGAGATTACACAAGCTCACTTTGAAGAGGCTATGCGCTACGCTCGCCGTTCTGTGTCGGATGCTGACATTCGTCGCTACGAAATGTTTGCATCGACACTGCAGCAGAGCCGTGGCGCTGGTGGTAACAACTTCCGATTCCCGGAGAGTGGTTCAGGTAGCGGCCAGGCACCGGCCGCAGATGCCCCTGCAGCGCCAGCCGCAGCAGCTCCCGCTGCTTTTGGCACGGACGATGCGGATGATGACCTGTATGCTTAACCAACCAACCAATGCCATGCGGGAGTGCCCCGCCGTAGCTCTGTAGCTCTGTAAGTTCGTATTGGGGGCCCTATTTTCTTGTTCGTCGTAGCCTCTACAGGATCGTTCCTAGTCCTTTATTTACATTATAAACCGGAGAAGCCCTGCCAAAAGGGCAAGGCAGCCGCATGGGAAGAGCCACCGAATATCCACCCCATACATATATGCGGGCCGAGTCGTAACGCTGGTGTTAAGTTATTCTGTACGTACCAGATGGTAAGTTCCAACAAAGGGAGTAGAATGGCCGTATGTTGTAACCATAAAGGCCAGAGCCTATGTCTTGGCATGATGAGGGCAAGTTGGAGGTACACATACATCACATTCCAACAGAGAAGTCGGAGCGGTATAGACGCAGGCATCAGTGGTACGTGCGGGGGTCTTGCAGGTATAGCCACCTCTGTACTGCTTGTCCTCCGGTGAGTGGGGACAGCTAAAGCTTTCTCCGACGCTGGAGATGGGTCAGTAGGGTACAAAGCTAACGCATGCAGAATCTCATGGCAGGTTGGACGGCGTTGTGGATCTATATCCAGCATACTCATCATCAACTGCGCCAATGAAGGATGGATCCTGTCAAAACGTTTTGACAGCCCACGCATGCGGATCTTATCAGACAGGTTCGTGAAAGTAAGAATTTCCTCACGCAGCAAATCAATATCGTCCACTTGGGCATAGGGTAATTCGAAGAACAAGAGCAGGTGAAATAGTATACCCAAGGACCATATATCGGCCTTGCTTGAGAGTTCAGCGAGGACACCATTGTGCTGTTGGAATACCTCTGGCGGCATATATTCCATTGTACCCGTATGGCCGGTGCGATGGTGCTGCCAACATGCTTGGACTGGCAGTGACGACCCAAAGTCGCCCAGCATCGCTGTAGGCAGAAGGGCATCGTCGTCCCAATGTAGAAGAACATTGCCTGGTTTCAAATCCAAATGCAGGATATTGTGGTCGTGAAGAAAAGCCAAGCCCTGCGCGATATCTCGCATAAGCTGTACCACCTCGTCTTCTCGCAGGAAATGTACGCCCATTTGGCCAGATGTTTCCCCACGTCGTGCCTCACCCCGTCGCCGTCGAAACTCGCTTTTCAATCGTTCCACACGACCTGATTTCATAGTTGATGTCTCCTTTTGCTCCGCCACCGTAGGATCTCCAGCCCGGGCCGCTATCCAATCAGCCAAGCTGCCGCCATTGGCTACCATCATTAACACATACAATGTGGGAACGCGAGGTGCGAACGGGGAGGCTTGTGCTGTCTCCACCCAGGCATGTTTGTAGTGGATAACATTCGGGTGAATTAGTCCTTCCATCAGTTGCACCTCCTGGAGTGATTGGCGTAGGCTCTCCGTATTTCTCCCCACGGGGATTTTCTTCACAGCATACTTGCCCAGCGCATGGCCATGCAGCACATGTTGGCACAAATACACAGATCCTCGAGCCCCCCGGCCTAAGCGTCCCAATTCGACAAAGTATTTCGCATAGTAGCCTTCGTTGCTTTCCTGCTCTTGCAAAATATCAGGCGATTCTCGCGGTAACTTCGGGGTCGACGTGGCTGAAGTTTCTGATAAGAGGCGGAAATAGTGGGGAATCATGTCAATATTATTATCAGCGTCACTGTCATCATAGCCAGGTGTATGCATAAATTGGTCATGGTATAGATCTGGCTGTGTCCATGGCCTCCCACAATAAGGGCAAGATGTGGTAGAGATCGAGGCAGGGAGAGTTGGATCGTGTGGGGGAGCAAGGCTTGGCCTGGTATGCCCAACCATCGGGTTAGCCCGCAGGATCACTTCATTGGAGGCAGGATTGTGTACTACCAAATGTCGGTTTGTACGCAGCACAAGCTGCCAGTCGCCTTGGTCGCGCAACGATGGGACCAACTCCATCACGACATCAACACGATCCTGGCGGAATCAAGGAACCAGGCACTGGCTAAGTGGAGGGGTGGGGTTAACCGCCGTGCCGCTCGTGCGACGCCACACGACGCCTTATTGCTGCCCACCCAGCATGCGTAGCATGTAATGCTGTCTCTTCCCCCATTCCACGTACACATATCTGAATACACTGGATCGGCAAAGCAGAAGCAATCTACGAGTCCTCCTGCCAAATCAGCGTCATCTTCTTCCTTTGCCAAGGAGAAAACAGACTCGACTATCGATCATCGCCTAGGCTCGATTCGCCTGTGTTTCCTACGTATACGAAAAAGTGCGAAAATGAAGCAGCAACAAGACCGAGAGAATATTACCTTTGGTACTTATGACCAAACTAACACTTTCGAAGTCACTGCCGATAATATGCAATTTGAAGTACAACAGCAAGAATCACATGTATCTTTTGGTATTGTGCATCTTTTTCGTACATTAGAGGATGCTACATCTTTCCAATTGCATTCAAAGCATGAACCAGAAGTCAATGAGGAAGGCGCTTTAGGTGATGAGGCAGTAGATGAGGCTCTCGGTACAGTACTTGCCATGCTCAATGTGCCCACCTCTGTCACAGTGGCCTCCCTTCTTACGTTTTGTGGTGCTGCGCTAGGTGCGCTGCAGTATGTGAGACTTGTCCAGTACGTACCTCTATACTAACCAGGGAAGCCAAGTGGATATAGATCAAATGCTAGTCCTGCTTAAGTTTCATGATACTCTCGATGCCGAAGAATTCTTCAAGATGTTCCAAGGCCAACCGTACGACGCGCTGGAGCCAACAGATCGCTGTAAGCTTGTATATGTGACAGGAGTCACTGTAAATACTACCACATCTTTGCCCCATGTGCTTCCACTTGTCTCTGGCACAGAGCCATGGCCCATCATTCGCGATTCTGACGTGGCCAAGGATGCATCAATGCAGGCGCTGCGCCCCTACCGACCCGGATCAGCTCTTCGTGAGAACGTGTATGAACTTCCTACATGCCCTGTTTGCCTGGATCGGCTGGATTCGCAGATTTCAGGTGTGGTCACTGCGCTGTGTCAGCACTCTTTCCATTGTGAATGCTTGCAGCGGTGGACCGATAGCCGATGCCCTGTATGCCGGTATTCCTCCAAGGCACGGACAGATGTCCATTCTTCTGGCTCTTCTAATCTCCATGCCTCAGTCCATTGTCATGTCTGTCACGGAGCGGAGGACTTGTGGGTTTGCTTGATCTGTGCAAATGTGGGCTGTGGTCGATACACACATGGACATGCGCGCGAGCATTACGAGCAGACTGGCCACCTCTACAGCCTGGAAGTCGATACACAGCGTGTATGGGACTATGCTGGCGATGGGTATGTACATCGCATCATCCAGGCTTCGTCTGGTGGAAAATTAGTGGAGCTACCATCAGCTTCTAACATGGCTGCCACTACGCCAGAACATTTATGGAATGCGCGGTATCCTGGCGGTGTTCATGTATCGAATGGTGGTCGTATCGGTACCAATGGCTCTACGCCTGCGGCCATGGATGAATCCTTGTCGCGCTCCTCAAACGAGCTGCATCAGCAGTATCTCCAGTCCAAGTTAGAGGCTCTGAGCACGGAATATTCCAACATGATTGTGTCACAACTGGATTCTCAGCGTGCGTACTATGAGCAAAAACTTGCGCAACAGAAGCGAAATCAAGTGGATAAAGCCATTTACACAGAGGTGTGTGAAGAGCGTGACAAGTACCAGCAGCAATGCACCGATACGCAAGATCAACTATCCAACATTACAGAGGAGTTGAAGAAAAGCGAGGCATTTTCTTCGAAGCAAGGTCTTCAGCTACGCCGAGCGTTAGATGCGGCTCGTGAGGCACGCAAAGCGTTGGAGGAGGAAAAATCTGTCTCTGATGGGTTATGTAAACACGTAAAGGAATTGCAGGATGTGCGCGATCAGCTTCAAAAACAAATGGCCGAACTACAAGAAGAGCTGCGGGATATAATGTTCTTTGTCAGTGCGCGTGACAAGATCGAGCAAGGTAGTGATGCTCTTGGCATAGCAGGTGGTGATATATCTGTACCTGAGCCACCGCCTGAACGAAAGTCCAAGGGCAAGAAACATCGTAAATGAGTAGGTGAATGTAGTATAATTAAGCACTTTTTTGCAATTCTTTTTCGCGCTTGGCAATGGCCTGCTTGCGAAGCACGTTGAATATGAACGCCCCGATCACCGTCAAGCCAAACACCAATGCAAGCGCAGGCAAACGCACAGCCCATACACGGGCCGGAAACAAGGCATGGATTGAGGAATCGCTAGGGAAAAAAGGCTGTGGTGTAAACTCGATCATTACGTACAGTAATCAGAGCCCAGATCGTGTAGTATGAGAACACAAAGACTGAGATAGCCAGGAGCGATCCTCCGATGAGCCGGTCCGAGAAGGCCTGTGCATTAGCTTACAAACGCACACCTACCATGATATAGCTAGCTGGTGTGTTGGTGTTGCGCTTGGATGGCGCCCGTGTCACTTTGTGTGCATCGGCCGAACCTCCACACACTCCCACCAGCATGTCTCTTCGAACTGTGATTGAGGATGCGTACGACCGTGCCTCCGCGCCGAAATCTGCGGTACCTCTTGGCGGTGGCTTCCTAGCAGACGATGCTATTGCAGGTGCATTCCAATATGATGAGAACGTGGACAATTCGGCTGGACCAAGAGTGCTGACATTGTCAGGCCTATCGGCAGCACTACGTGCTGCTGGCTTAGAAGGACAAGCGTTAGAAGATGTGAACGAGCTATTAGTCTCCTATGCGGAGAAAAGAGAAGGTATACAAGAGCCCATTATACCCAAAACTTTCTTTATTGAGGCTGTTGAAGCTGTACTTGGTGGGAATTCTGTGCCCCACTCCTCTTCTGCGAACTATTCTACGTACCCAGAAAGTACAAAAGATTCCGATTCTGATAAAGGTATGACCAGTGATGATAATTTTGTGCCCGAAGGTGATCCCAATGAGAACGACAGCGAAGATGACTACGAGGTCGATCCTCGACCTCTACGTAAATCGAGGAAAGCATTGCACACACCGTCAAAACTCTCTGCCTCGAAAAAAGAGAAAGCTCGACTTCTATTCCGATTTCTACTTGAGAGAATCCCACTTGTATCATCAGCATCCCTACAAGGGTATCCAAAAGACTTCCTTCGCACTGATGTAACTGACGAGGAGATCAATACACGTCGTTTAGGCGTCGATGAATTACGTTTTGCTGCACACAATCTAGGTGAGCTATTAAGCCAAAATGAGATTGCTGAAATGCTATATGAAGCTACCCTCGAGCATTCTATCGCGCCCCAGCGGCGCAATCAGGGACTAACAGATCCTCCGCGAATCGGTTTACAGGAGTATGTGTAGCGACCTATGCTCACCTTGCAGGTTTATGCATATCACGTGGAGGTCTGGCGTTTTGGACTAAGCCTTTATTGTTCATAGCTGGTAATTGGTGATTGGGCCGAGGTTGATCTGACACCGGCGCATGCCCTGAAGGGCACAGCGCCTTAGCTAGTTTCGTACGTTGCTGTGTGATTGTATGATTTCGGCCTGGTATAGCTACTAGCTGTTATGTCAACTTCTAACTGGACCACTAAGTCACACGCAAGGTCCGGTTCTGCTATATCCTATGCTGAGAGGTTACGCCAGGCAAATCAAATATCCAGGGAGCGGGCTCATCGGTCGAGAGCCGGCGAGGAAACATCGCCCCCGGAATCTATCCAGGTTCATGATTCTATTGCCGGATCCATGAATGCACTGAATTTAGTTGAAGGCACAAATATGAAGAGAGAGGCAAAACAGGCTCACTCAATACCGACATACCCGCCACAGACGCCACTTCCATCATTGTCCGTCTCGCCAGATTCCTCCTCTGGCAAGAATCCCCCCATCTCTCGCTCCCTCCCTACAGCCAAGCCCTCGAACCATAATGTATGGGAGGCCCGGCTTCAGCAGCGTAAGAAACCAACTGCCACCTCACCCCCCGCACTGTCCCCCCCAGCGGGTAGCATGAGCAACGTGACAGAATCAAGGTCTTTATCACCTCCCGGCATGGTGCACGAGCCGGGCACCGATATTTCCCTCGATGTTGTACCGGATCCATCGCTTGATGATGGCTCTGATGATGCATGGCTTCGTCGTATTCACATGCTGAACGGTGGTGAGAGCAAGGCAAGATTTGGCTCTTTTCCTCCGCAATATACCCACGAAAAACCGGACCCTCTCCGGAGGCATGAGAGGCATGGCTCTAAATTAGAGGACGAGGCAGAGCCCTTTTTGCTAGATGAGGAATCTGTGTCATCAAGTGCGAGTGTCTCCGAAGCATATACTTCATCTTCTGGATGGGTACACCCATGGATGTATCAGCCTGACCAGCAGCGATCTGCTGACCAAAAAGAGGAGAACTTTTCTCCTACTTCTATCCGTTTTGGTCTCACCAAATCCGATGGTTCGTTTTCTCCCCACCGCCCATCTGCGCATGGACCTGGCTCGTACGGACCGCGCCCGCCCATGCCCCCTATGGGCTTTATTCCTCTTATGCCAATGGCTGACAGAGGGGAAAGCACTTCTACAGGGAAGAATGCGTCTTCAGACACACACTCTTCATACACATCTGTGCATCTTAATTCACATCCTATGATGCCTGGTCCTTCCTTCCCGTACATGGTTGTCCCCAGTATGCCAGTGCCTATTCCAGGAAACGGTTCTGCGTGGGATAGTGCACATCCCCCTCACCAATTTAGTCGGACGCCTTCCAAAACTGAGAATGATCGCGACGAGACTCGAAGTGAAGAAAGCCGTGAAGATGTGGAAGAACGCCAGGCCCCTAACGAATGGAATGGCCCTCCTACGCCCATGGTTATGCCTTCTGGACCCCAAGGCATGCCAATGCCTTATATGGTGCCTATGCAGTCCATAATGCCGATTCATTTGGATCCGCAAGGACGGCCTATGTTCCCCGTCTATGCCCCATTTGGCATGAGTCTCCCTACCAATATGATGGCTAGTCACGACTCTTCTACTGTATCTCATCAACTTCGCAGTCAGACAGAATACTACTTTTCTGATGCTAACCTACAGTCTGACTATTACCTGCGCCAAAAAATGGATAAAAGTGGTTATGTTGAACTGCAGACTTTGCTCGAATTCAAGCGTATCGGTGCCATACTTCACCAGATGCCTATGACCAAAGGGGAAAATAACGAACCCCTAAAGGCCAAGATGGTGGACATGTTACGATCCGCATTGGAGTCCAGTCAACTTTTGGAGCTTGATGATGCCAAGACAAGTGTTCGACGCAAGGAAAGGTGGCAGACCTTTGTGATTGGAAAATAAGCATGAGTATCACAACTCCCATCCGTTCTCCGTTAGTTGCTCTAATAGCTTATCTAGCTCCATTTCTGCCCATGAAATTGCTTTCTTTAGAAGCTCTTGTTGTCCTATTGTTGATCAGTGTATTGCAACTTACCTGATCGATACTCTTTCACCATATTCAGTACCGACTCCCTAATCCCATCGGGCCCATCAAATGCTACTGTATCATCCACTTCTCTCTGAACCGTTCGAAAGGCCTTGTACCGGCGGCGAACCATCGACTCCAAGGCTTCCACGCCATGCACACGGCTAAGGAGAACACTTACTTCATTTTCACCTTCCTGCAAAGGATCACTAAGTCTTTTCATTAGCTCCAATGGTGGATTAGGGTTGGATTTGTGCCAATAATACATCTCCATTGGATCATCGGCAGAGGAGCGAAGAGCAAACGATAGTACATCGTCAGGTCCGCCTGGTTCTACAAAACCATACGAAGCCAAAAGCTCTTCGTTTGATTTGGCTCCATAGTTGTTAAAAACCTGTGCAGATGCGGATATGTCATGTCGCATCGTGAATATAGCCGCTTTCTGTGCACTATCAAAGGCCCATGTCACTGGCTCGCCACGTCGATGATTTAAAGCGTCAAAGCCGGGTATCAAAATCGGTTCATCGCCTACACTCCATCCGCCAACTTGAGGAGGAAAGCTACGGCTAGAGTAGCATGCATCTGCCCATCGCCAAAGCCGGACCCATTGAAGTTCGGTCATGGCGTGAAGGATATTGTTCAAAACGGCATTCTTGCTGATGTTCGCTTGACACAGCCAAGTGCGCGCACGCTCACTGCTAGCCAGCGTCGCTTGAAGCTTATCCGATACAGCATTATACAAATTTGTTCCTTCCAGCAATGCTAGCTCAGATGATGTGAACTGCAGCGGTGTAACGATATTGTCAGGGAAGAGCGATAAATAATGACAATATGCTTGTGTCAAAGGGAGTACAGGCTCTTTTACCTCACCCAGGAGCCGCACTAAAACTAGAAATAAGACCATCCATTCTCTAGGATGAAGGTACGTATAATCCTTGACCGTTTGAAGGTCCTCTTGTATATATTCATGACATCTGGCCGGGTGAAGAATCAATGTTCTTGGAATGGAGAATATGGTAGCATTCTCATGGAGGTCAGCTACCGACACGAGCCCCCATCCCATTTTTTCATCTTTCTGGTTAGGTAATATATATCGTACCAAGCCGAAATTCCAGAGCAGGGTTCGCATATCCACCCTCTGTCTGGAGCCAGTGCAAAAAAGTATGGCCGTGCTGCTCCATGATCGAGGATGAACGGAGCTCCACATTCTATTTTTCAAGCGGGGACGTCGCCGCTTCCTTTTTTATTGTCATCAGCCATGGATAGTACAAAACACAACGTCCCTCATCTGGACAATGTTGACGATGCATCTCGTCAAAAGATTAAGAACGTACGTATTTACCTGCGTCTCATATCAGCATATCACAGTGGGCCCCTACTCGTCCAAGCAAGTCTCGCAAAGCGCTGAAATGACGCGCGAGCAGCCCGCTGTAGTGGCGCCTGAATTGGCCGATAGCAGGAATGGTCCTGTACCTGAGTTTGGTCAAGATGCACAAACAGGACCCGAGTTTGTTGGCAAGGAGGACCCTGCAAATGATTCACTTGCGAAGAAGAAGACGCTGGTACAGAAGATGAAAGGCCTATTCAAGAAATAAAACTCTTGCCATTTTTTTTTTTTTTTTTGTAGCTCGGACAATCGCGTTTTGTTTGCATCCTGGTAATTTTAATGCGTCTCTCAAATTATATACGACAATGCTCCAATAGAGCCGAACGCTATCATTTTTGTTTCTTAGGCATTATCGCGGTTTCGTTTAGCCGTTTTGAGTGTTCCCTTGGTTCAGCGCGCGCCTCGATTCCGGCTACGAAAAGTGGAGGCGCGTCGCGTTGACACCCGACTCTCAACTTACAACCATGAATAGTAAGGAAAAGACTCTTAATGCTGTTCGAGTAGATATTGATGAAGCTTCACGTCTCTTCGCCCTAAAGAAATATGAATCTGCGTCAGACCTTCTTGCATCGGCACTTGAATCACTGTATGTTGCCAATTGGACTACTTACCCTTCAGCCGTGATGAATACGGTGAAGACGCACCTGAGTTAGCACCCATACTTCATCAGTATGGTCGCGCTTTGCTAGAGCATGTTATCTCTACCTCCAGTGCTTTAGGTGGTGGGGGAACCGTTGAAAACGATGAGTCGGATGCTGTTTGTGCTGGTGCGATGAAGAAGAATGATGCACGATTTAGCTTTGAAGGTGATGGTGATGAAAGTGATGAAGAGGCTGTGCCATCTCTAGGAAAGCGGAAAGCGAATGACATTGACAATGAAGATAACGATAACCAGAACGATGAGGAGGAAGATGACGACGACATGGGTGTTGTTTTCTCTGTTTTGGATCTAGCACGTGTTTTATATGGGCATATTTTGGATGGAACCTCAAGCCAAGTTTCTTCATCGAAGGGCAAGAGCGCTTCTCGCTGCGAGCTGAAACTCATTACTGGAGAAGTCTGGGATCGTAAGGCTATCGAAACAGACCTAGCCGAGGTTCGGAACGATCTCGGTGATGTAGGATTGGAGACAGGTACGTGTTGCTTTACTTTCACACCAGAAAACTTTGAACAAGCTTCTACGGACTATGAAGCATCTCTAAATTTGCTAAAGCCCCTCCTTTCACCTTATTCGCGGAGGTTGTCCGATGCGAATCTACGCCTTGGACTTGCCCTTGAATTTCACCCTGATCCCGAGCAGCGTAGCCGCGCCCTTGATTATATTGAGCAGGCCGCCAATGTTCTGAAGCGCCGCTTGGTGGAGCTCTCTAAGGCGTCGGAATCTAAAAACGCCGATTCTAAGGACCAAACCGATGACTCCTTATCACTACTCGATGAAGATCAAGTAAAGCGTGAAACAAAGGATGTTCAGGAGCTGCTACAGGATTTGGAAGTCAAGGTCCGTTGGTCGCCTAAGTGTGTACTTACTCACAGATTGATGAAATGAAAGCCAGCCCTTCGATGTCGCTCAAAGATGATGGAAAGCCATCAAATCCCGTTTTGGAGCAGGCTATTAAAGAAGCATTCCTAGGTGCTGCTTCAGCTGCATTCTCATCAACTCCGGCAACAAGCTCATCGCAGCCTGTGAACGATCTCAGCGCGCGTGTCAAGCGTAAGAAGAAGCAATAGTGACGTGCTTTATATATTGATTAGTCATACTTACGATTGCGTGCCCTTCCCCACCCTTGCCGCGGGGTGGATGTTCCAGCTTCACTACAACAATGGCTACTAACATCACATTCCACCCAGGTAACGTCACGTACAAAGAGCGCAGCTCTCTTCTCAACCAGACTGGTGTTACGGTCTGGCTGACTGGCCTTTCTGCCTCTGGCAAGTCTACCATTGCGACCGCTTTGGAACAGCACTTGCTTCACCTCAAGAAGTCGGCCTACCGTCTTGATGGTGACAACATCCGCTTTGGCCTCAACAAAGACCTCGGTTTCTCCCCCAAGGATCGTGAAGAAAATATTCGTCGCATTTCTGAGGTGGGTACTCGCTTTGCTTTAACCATTTAGGTTGCTCTGCTTTTTGCCGATTCAACGTCGATCGCGATTACGTCGTTCATCTCGCCCTACAAAGCGGATCGCAACTTTGCCCGTCAGCTTCATGCGCAGCACAACCCGCCTCTCCCATTTGTCGAGGTCTTTGTTGATGCAAGCATTACGAAGTGTGAAGAGCGTGATCCAAAGGGTCTGTACAAGAAGGCCAAGAATGGCGAAATTAAAGGTATGTTTGCATATCATACCTGGTATCTAACTGCATCAGAATTCACTGGTATTTCGGCTCCTTACGAGGCTCCTGATGAGCCAGAAATTCACATTGATGCTGACAACTGGACGGTTGAGCAAAGTGTGAAGCACATTGTTGAGTACCTGGATCAGAAGGGTTACATTTAAAGTGCATTCGTTAGCTCTAAAGCGTCATGGCATAGTCTTGTGATGCATCGGACAATGATTTCTGTGCTCTATAGACTAGACGTTTGACAACGAAGAACCATACACAAGGGTAGTCATCAATGTCAAAAGTTTGCGTATAACTGACTTCCGCTAGACCCAATTATAGAGTGAATACAATCTGTTGTTGCTACACTTGGATGAAATACAGTACATTGCACACAAATATCTGGTTACACAAATCATCATTCAATATATAATTTATGTTGGGTATCGTTTATACTCAAGCATTTCCATCGTGTTTAGCATTTTAAAGGTCCATGTTGGTCCAGCTGCAATTGAAACCATCAGGCTTGGTATTTCCAGGACTCGTCATTTTTGGTTGGGCCGCACCGGAATCAAGCTTGTGACCTGTAGCTGCAGTTGGTGGGGTAGTACATGTAGTGCTTGGCTCCATGGAAAAGGATGGAAAAGCAGGATAGGGATGTTGGTATGATGGATCCATAAAAGAGGTGAGAGAGGGATTTTCGTTCGGTAAACTCCGATGTTGTGGAGACATGTTCATTGATGATGAATGTGACTGAGACAAGTCAAAGGTCTGGGAAAGGGGTGATAACATATTTACATTCTCGGGAGGAATTCCATATGAATCATATAGTGATCGAAATGACTGAGACGACATATGAGGCTGAATCCCCGTTGAACCTGAGTGTTCCATTCGGATTGGTTTGCTACCACCCATCCCAATGTTTGACTGCGAAAGAGGTGGTGACAGCATGCTTTGCGTGACAGGCATGAAGACTTCTCCTAAATTCGGTATTCCCTGTGGTTGGGCAATACCTGCTGCTGACACATTTTGCATCCCCATCGTAAACGCCTGGTCAGGTAGCTGAACACCAGAAGATAGGCCATAAAACGAGTTTGCCATCGTAGTCGAAGTTGGTGCTGAATCATGGCCCAGGTTTGATCCTGACTTAAATGGAGGGGGCATACCGGCCAGGAAATTTTGTGTAGTCATATCAGAAATACCAAGAGGAAACGATGCCGATTGAGGGGTGGGTATCATACCAATACTTTGTGAGTAGAGGGAGGCAGGAGTAGAGGGAGAAGGAAGCGCCGAGAAGGCGGGTGCTTGGTCTTGAAAGAAATTTTGCATGTTAGAGTTCGAAAGGCTTAAAGGAGCACAGCGCATATTTGACGATTTCGTGCCACTCGAACTGGAAATATTCCCTCTTTCCTGGTGCTGAAGGTTCTCAGACAGCGATTGAGGGGAGCCAACTTCCGTACTTTGACCTGGGCTCACATGTGATAGAGTCAGCTGATCAAATGTAGATACAGAAGGTGTGCTTGGTGCAGACATGATGAAATCATGGCTTGATTGACGGATCTTTCGAAGGCCTCGTGCCGTTGTAGAAGTATCATGCGAAGTACTAGCCGTTTGGACTCCAACTTTCATTGAATGATGCGAGAGAGTTCCCACACGGATAGCATCACTAAGTCTTCCTTCGCGAAAAGCCTCCAAAGCCTCGGCACTTAACGTCCACCAGCTACCTTTTCCGCCTGCTCTTGAAGGTCTTGCCATCTTTACAAAGAGGTGGTTTTTGATGGACAATGTCGATTTAATACGGTTTTTGACACGGGCTTCCCAGTCAGCACCAGAGGCCCACTCTTTTACTTCGGGGTATTTATGACACATCTCTTCAAAAAGCTCTTGGATGACAAGGCGACCTGAGGTACTGTCGTGGATCGTGTGAAAGATCATTTCAGACCAGTTCAATCGTTTGGGAGTCGACGAGCGATGTGGCATAGATATCGACTCAGTGACACCTCCGGCTGTATTACGCCTTTGCAGTTGTAGAGCAGGTGAAATCGCGCCTAGAGGTGATACTGAAATGGGGCGCTTCACTGCCGCATCAGAATAAGATGGGGCCAAATGAGTTTCTGAAGGTGTGGCGTGAGACTTTGGATTGTTTTGACTTGGGTATTTTTCTGATTCACGACCAGGCGAGATCGCAAGAGGGTCTTTAACTTGAGACGGGGATGCCGAAGAACTATGCCTTTTCAAGTAAGGCATGGTTGGCAGTGGCGTCGAATCGTTGTTCTCTTTCGCAAATTGCACACTTTTGGATTTTAAGTTGGATGGTGGCGAATGATCTGGGTTCAGCTGGCTAATGACAGCGTCATTGGGGTGACCCTCGGACTTCAGCACCTCAGCCAAGCGGCTCTCATGCATACCCAAGCTGTCAGAGGATGCTGTGCGTTTGATAGGATGAGGTCTTTTTTCTCTGTCCGCGCGCTTCTCGCTGGCAGTCGCATTCCCACTCGGTTCCATGATGAAATGCTGCTACACGTGATTCGATAGGGATCCAAGGGGTCCCGATATTTTTAAGCGGTGTCGCTTCTGGTTTCTATCCGAATTGGCTAGGGCTATCTCCCGATCCACACGTGCATTGGATTTATTGGACAGCGACATTTCGTAAGTCTACCGAGGGTGAAGACACATAGGTTGTGCGTCGCCGTGCGTGTGAGTTATCCAACCACATGTCAAAAAAAGTACGTACCTTGTGCCTGCCTTGCTTCGACCCCTTGAAGTCCGCTATTTTTGTCCCTGTCAACCTGTTCGAGGGTCTCCAAGTCCTCCACATCACTCGCGCCATCATCGTCGATATCGCCAGAGATGTCACCAGTGGATTGAACTTCATCAATTATGAAAGTATCTCGTTCTTGCGCCAGCGCCTCGTTGGCGGCTCGGAGACTTTCCACTGCCGCTTCAGGACCTTCCATAGCAAGGTCACTTCCTTTCATAGTCTTTCGCACCTCAGGCATCATGTGATCTTCTTCAGGCACAGGGTCGGCCGTAATGGTTTGTTCTTTGGCATCATCACTTCCATTGTCGCGTCGCCATGATCCAAAGGCACCAGCTAGCCTACCTCCGAAGGTGCTGGGTTTTTTCTCCGTCACCGCACCCGCTGCAGCAGAAGCGCCACGCAATAGCGCACTTCGCCAGGTGTTTCGCGTTTCTTCCACGGGCACAGCGGATTCTGCAAAGCTTGGAAGTGGCCCTTTCACGGAATGAGTTTGCAAGCGTAACCCAACCTGGTCAGCTAAGGCATCCATTCTCGTCTTGCCTTCTTCGCCAAGCAGACCACCTAAGAAACCAACTACCTTTCCACGTGTGCCTGTTGTAATATCGCGGGAGTAGCTTGCTGGCGTATCTGCATCAAGCGAGGGCGTATGAAGTATCGTGGAGGCCAGAGACACTGTGCCATGCGCAGCTGCTCCTGATTTCGTGTCGGTGACGCTGTTCCGTGGTGCCAGGGGAGCAGCGTGCCAGGCGTACGCACCGCCCGTTAACGACCGAACAACTTCGTCCAAGCGAATAGAAGCGACTAAATCGTGCTCGAAGAACCGCTCCAACACAGGAGCTGCCACAGCCAAAGCTCGAAAAGAGGCAAGAGATAGAAGGGGCTCATCATCGGTCCCAAGTACATCTTCTTCCTTGTTTATGGCTGCATCAGTCAACCTTGTTGAAGAAGATGATGATGCCTTTTTATTGTCAGAAATATCGAGAGAGGTCATATCCACACCGTTTACATCAGACGACTGGGCTGGTTGTAATGGGGCTTGCTTGTTAGGTGTTACACTGTCTTCTTCAACTTTAGGTTCAGTCCCAGTCCGGACTGTATGCTCCACACCAGTACCATCTTGTTCATTCAGCTCATGAGTATCGTTCTCCGTAGAATCAATAGGTCCAGGCTCTAGGTTGGATGCACGGTCCACGGCCACGTCCCAAAAGGCCTCTAAAAGACGTTCCAATTCCGCTTGCCATTCTGGCGTATCTTTTTTAAATACATCAGATGGCTTCCACCGTCTTAAATAGTTCTCCAGTTCGTCGGCCGCTAAAGCCGGTTCCCGAACCTCATCACTTGTGATAAAATGTAGCCCAAGGAAGTGTGATTCGTATTGACTACAAAGCGAAGTGAGGCGTTCACTCTCGCCAAATAGTGTGCATAAACGGGGATACGAAGATACCAGATTTTCACTGGCCTCCTTATCCCACCCAGGCTCTTCTTCCACACAAAACCGTGCTACATCAACAAGGCTGTCGTACGTCGTGGGCCGACTGTCCTCTGGTAGGTCAGCAATCGCAGCGTGACATTGCTGAGCAAGTGTAGATGCCAAATCATTAGTACAGTGTAGCAACAGCTTGAGGATCACTGTAAGGTCACCAATATTCGCTGTTGCAATCTCTTCCGCAGGCACAACTACACGAGTCATGACGCATGGGGAGTGAGATCTCGCACGGGCGAGCTGGCATCGCCCTGATCGCTGACTAAGCCGTATGCTCTGCCCTCACACTGGAAGACCAACACGATGCTACAGCGGCGCTGGCCACAAATGCGCTTTGGCCTTCGTGGGATTGCGACCCAAGCCAGATATACGCGCAAGGCAAATCATTTAGCGTGGGCTGGTTTTGGCAGTGCGGCGGTGGGTTTAGCCTCTTGGCTGTATTTACGGCAGGATTCTCGGTTGCCTACGCCATGGCAATATGTACCGCTCACGCTACATCAGGCTACCTATCTTCCACCCAGCAGTGGAATCGCTTTTGATTTGCAGCATATACCAATTCATCGTGCTCTTCATATCCAAGCCCCTTACGCTTTAACTTTACCTCAAGAGGCGGATATGGACAAAATTCGCTGCCGTCTAGCGATTTACGCATACTATATCAAAGAGCCGACCATTCAAGTCGAGCGTGCATATACCCCGCTTTTCATGATGCATAAAATAGATCCTACCATGTTGCATTTTACTATCAAGCGTTATGGCAGTGGTGAGCTTTCGCGCTATTTGTACCGCATCCCTACAGGCGCAACAGTGTCGCTTCGTGGACCTGAACTGACGTGGAAGTTGGATCCCAGTCTCGATGTGCCTAAAGAAGTTGTCATGGTATGTATGCAATGCACTAACCGAAGCTTGTTGCAGGAACTGGCGTGACAACAGCGCACCAGCTGCTTTCCAATGTGTACGACAAAGCTCCGTTACCTGCTACCCCCAAAATCTCTGTTTTGTATGCTGCACGGTCTATGGATGACCTTTTACTGATCCCTGAATTGGCTGAGTACCAAAAGAAATACCCAGGAAAAGTGAAATTGCATATATGGACAGAAAGTGAGCCTTCTTCCCTGCATGGTGCGTTATATGACCACGAAGGGCAGCCATACGATGCGCAGCTACGAGTGCTTTCACACAGAAAGGGTTGGCTGCCATGGCATCGACGCCCCTCTATGTATCAGCTGCTAATGGAAGGGCAGTCATTGCCACTGTATATTGGCCGACCAACGCAAGCACAGCTGCAATTGTGGTCGCCTCAGAAGCTTGGTGAGAGAATGGTTCTCGTTTGTGGTCCAGAGGGATTTGTATCGGCCATGGCAGGTCCCAAAGGACTTGATTTATGGACACAAGGGCCATTGCAAGGTGTGCTAGCAGCGCTGGGGTATCACGCTTCAGAGGTATTTAAGCTATAGAGATACGTCGGGATCGAATTTCTTGGACCTCTGTGGCTGTAAGCTTCCATGAGACACCTGCCGCGAGGCCTTCTTCGTAGGCATCGCTTGTTTCCATCTGAAGGTCAGTGCATGCATAACGTACATCGTCCTCGTCCATATTGAGTACATAGGAGGTCTGCATAAGCCGCAAAAACCTATCACGAACGCCCCATGGCAATTGCTCCACCAGCATTGCCTGGACGCCACGCAAATCCTTGTCGAGGCGAAGAGCGCCCAAATCTGTAAACTGCAGTGACTGCAAGGCCTTTTCCCAAGGATGAACGATGGCGTCTACCGCGAGGGAGAAGAGCATTGTATAATTGGCCTCGGACAACTGATCACGGTAGCCATGCATGAACGTGTCCCATCCATGGCGAAGGCGCGTGGGCACAGTGTCTGACTCCTCGGCATCGCTGTATGCTTTCTCGTTCAAATCATAACGCATGTCGCGGAACACATCAGTCACTAGTGTTTGCAATCGTGGCTCGATCAATGCGGCAAAAAGCTCTTTGATCTCGAAGTGCAGCGCAGACCGAAGTTTCGGTGCCAGAGTTCCTAATTGACCCGCGAGGGCGAAGGCGGACGTCAAGGCGAAGATACCATCTTCCCATTCCGCGTCGTAATACTGCTCCAAGAACGCATTCTCGGAGAGATCTGCTTGAATTCGTTCGGCATACATGGCTGAGGTATCGAGTGCATTTACATACACGGCCATCGTTGCTCGAACTTCGCGAGCAGCAGCGATACGACGAGGCCCATCCACTAGACGCGTCACATTGAGAGCACGTCGACAGGCATCCATACGCAAGACAACAATGTCAAGATAGTCTTGCTCGGTCATACGCAGTGCCATCTGTACGATAGTTTCTACCGCACGCAGATCTGAGGTGGAAAAGGCGCGTGTGAGAACAGCCCGCAATGCAAAGAACATATCATCGGGCAAAGAGCTGGCGTAAGGGTGCACAGATGTGTCCGGGGTATCTAAATGGTGCACCTTTTGTACACCCATTTGCAAGCTGTAGGTCTGCAAAGGGACAAATACAGAGGTAAGCAGGTTCTGCATCATTGTTTGTACATCCGATGTAACTTGGGCAAAAGCATCGAGGCCCATCGCACGCCGCAGGAACTGGCCAAACAAGGCCCATTGCGATGACATGTTCGCTAGCTCGGTAAGTATCGCATCCAAATGCTGGGTATCGTGAAGAGCAGGTGAGGATGCGCGAGATTGTGCGGCACTAGGTGCTGCGCTGCCGCCTCGCTTTTCCTTCTGCCCGAAAATGCGGCCTGGCGTGAATGGCGAAGCCCGGATCGACTCGAGAACAGGCGTACGAGTATCGGCTATCATGCTGAGCTGCTCATCCATGTGATGATGCACACGCCATGCTTGTACAATATCGGACGCGATCTGTGTCCATACGTCGCTCAGTCCTGGCAGAACGCTGGTCGCAAAATTCGCTTCGCCAGGCACGTGCAACAAGCGATCGACAATCGGTTGATGCTGGTTGATAAACACGGCGAGCTGTTCCCAGAGTGAGGCCCATACCATAGCAAAGAACAAGGGAGAGGAGGGCGGCGAGGCCATACGCCGACGAAGGTCGTCCGCCTGGCTTTCGAGGAAAGAACACGCAAAGCGGCGGTAGGCAGCCAACCCTTCTTGCTGTGCATGCATATCCGCAAAGTAGCCCAAGAAGACAGTCGCATTCTCTTCATCGCGTTCCTTGGTATAATGCTCAAAGTGCTGAGCGATTTTAGCAAGCAGTGTCGTTCGAAGTTGGTCCAACGTTTGCGGTGGGGCTTGCGGCCACATAGTCGAGGGCTGCGTCAGTCAACAAGTACGTACCACGATCATCGCTGCAAATTGACTTTGAAGGATCTCAGGGTCTACAGCAGAGGCCGCAGTACAGTGCTGAACGGAAGCGGCCCAGTCCTGCTGTTCTAACGCGCGCGCCAGGGCTTGTAACGATGTACGAAGCTGCAAGGTCTGTGCACACCAATGCATAGATGTCTCAATACGCGCACGCTCTTCATGTAATGTATTCATATCAGTGTATAAGTCCTGCGCAAGTCGGGCTGTGGGCGTGAGACGCTGCGAGAGGACGTCGACATGCGCAGCAGCCTGCTGCGTATCGGGCGTGACATGGCGGTCCAATGTGTTCGGTAGTGCCTCCCATTCGGATGCAGCTCGTGCTTGTAGAGCACTATGACGTGTCGCCCGCATCGTTGATGCTGCATCCAGGACGGCGAGAGCATCGCGCACGTCTGCTGGCGTGCTCATGCTCGACGTATGAAGGCAAGGCGTAACGAAGGAGGTGGGTGGGCCACGTGATAGGAGCGGCGTGCGCGGGGGGCGACCAGCGCCCTGTGGGGAAGAGGCGCATGCGCGGCGGACACACGTTGGTCTGTGTCTGACTCTGATCATGAGCGGAGTATTTTCTACGAAGCATTTACACGATAAGGTGGTCCTGATCACAGGCGCTTCGTCGGGTATTGGTGCTGCAGCTGCGATGCTCTTTGCCAGGGCAGGTGCGAACGTGGTGCTGGCCGCACGGCGCGCGGACCGCCTCACGCAGGTCCAGGCAGAGTGTGAGCAAGCGAATCAGCATGGCGGTACCGGCCATGGTGGACGCTATGCGACACTCTCGCTTGATATGCGCAGCAAGGAGAGCATTGACTCGGTGCTGCATCGTCTTCCGTCATGGGCTGAGCATGTGGATGTGCTGGGTACGTACATGGTGACTCATTGTAGTGAACAATGCGGGTCTTGCCTGCGGCACTGACAAAGTCGGAGAGATTTCCGAGAGTGATATGGATGCCATGCTTGATACCAATGTGCGAGGCCTCATGCAGATGACACAAGTGTTTGTGCCGCGTTTCCGAGCACGCAACGCAGGCCACATTATCAACATCGGCTCGATTGCCGGCGTGGAAGCCTACCCTGGCGGCTCGGTGGTACGTACTTTCTTAGCTCACAGCAGTACTGTGCAACCAAATTTGCTGTGCGAGCGTTCACATCCGCTCTGCTCAAGGAACTCTATGATACACAGGTATGTCTACGTTGCGCTTATCCTACAGATCCGCGTCACGAACATCCAGCCAGGCATGGTCGAGACGGAATTCAGCTTGGTACGGTACCATGGCAACCAGTCTTCTGCCGACAAAGTGTACACGGGTCTGCATCCCCTCACTGGCGACGATATTGCCGAGGAGATTGTGTGGGCCGCCAGCCGTCCAGCGCATGTGAATATTGCGGAGACGACAGTGATGCCTGTGAACCAGGCAGGTCCGTACCATGTAGCGCGGCCCTTGGCATCGTCAAAGTAGTTCGAAACCGAGCAGGAAGCGGACCGTGAGGTACATTGTGCCCTGACCAACGACGCCAATGCGGCGTGCGTCCCATGCGTCTGTGGTTAGCGTGGCATGTATACGTACGCCAAAATCCGCCGTTGACGTCGTCGTTGCGCTACCGTGCGCCATACCTCCCACGCATCGCGGCCCAGCGTAGCGTAAAGAAAGTCGTGTGCATGGGATTGGTGCTGCGCCGTCCGCCACTGCGCACGCCAGCGGGCCCATGCGAGTGTCAGAAGACGACGGCGCGTACGCTGCAGCGGTCGAAGGACGTGCGCGCGTGCGCGCCATCGCTCCCAGCAGGCACGAAGCATATACGTCCGCCGTGCAGCCAACGTGGACCATTCCTGCAACAGGTGAGTACAGACGTAGACGTACTTCGCTACGCAAATGCCATTCGATCCATGCATCGCGCCATGCTTGCCATGCGCCACGAAGACGCCGCTGCGCGTGCGCTTGCTCCCATGCATGCCATGCCTGCGCCTGACGAGTACGTAGGCGCCACACGGTCCAGGCGGCACGCCAAACGTGCGACTGCGCCCCATGCCGCGCGTCATGCCATTGCTCGGCAAGATGCACATGCGATTGGACCTGCGCCCAACGCGCACGCCACGTACGATAGACACGGACAAGGAGTAGGCGTTCATGCGTTCGCTGTGCACGTGTGATCTGCGATTGTCGTTCGCGTGTGCGCTGAAGCCACACGTGCCATACCTCGCGTTGGGAGCGCAGCGCCATGTGCGAGGTCAGCAGCGCCAGGGAGCTGCGTTCATGTCGTCGCTGCAAGACGGCGAGGCGCCAGGCTGCGGTCGTTAGTACGCTTGTACGTACCGTGCCATACACGTTTGTGCTGCATCCTACGCCACGCTTCGTACGAAGCTGCTGTGCGTCGCACATGCAGAGCGCTACGCCAGTGCATCCATGCATGATGCAGGTCGTGCGTTTGGGTATATTGCAACGCCATAGTATGCTTGGCCGCTATAGCAAGCGCCTTGGCACGCCAGGAGCGCCATAGCAGAAGTGTGAGGCGCCACGCATACGTGTGTGAAGCTGTACGTGCCTGCGCTTGACGTGTCTCAACACGGCGACGCCAGTGTGTCCATACACGCAGCTGCACACGATCGCCATGGTCCAAGGACCAGCGCTGCGAAGCGACTCCAGTAAGACATCAGAGATACGTACGTTGTCGATGCGAGGCACGCGTTGCGTACGCCATCCACCATGCATTCCATGTTCGTCGGAGGCATGCTATGTCATGGACTTTGGCAGCGTATCTACGATGCCAGGCCAAGGACCATAGATCCCATGCGCTCTGCATGGGACGAAGATGTGCAGTGTGTATCCATTGCGCCAGAAGAAGAGAGAGGGTCTAGGTGAGTAGTCGGACGTGTACGTACCTCGTGACGATGGCCCTGCGCACGCCATCGACGCCATGCCTTGCGGCGGAGCTGTGTTTGATGCCATGCCTCCGCCTCATCACACGCATACATGTGCCGCCGGCGCTCACCGAGCCGCATGCGCCACGCAAAAAACGCCGATTGGCACAAGTGCTGCTGTGTATACGACACCAGCAAGGCGCCTTTCTGCGGTAACGTGCGAAGATAGGCCCAGCGCTCACGCCAGTGCCGCCACGCCACAGGGACAAGGCGCTGAGCGTCGAGTCGTTTGGCTTCGCGGTACATAAATGCACGACGCCATAACATCCAAGCGATAGAGACAAGTCGGTGAGTTCGTTGCGCTTCGACCGACGCACAGGCCGCGTGCATAGCGTGATAGCGCTGCAGACGCTTTTCATGCATATGAGACGCAAATGCGTGCCGCCATCGGTGCCATGCGCGATGTTGCGATGCGTGTGTGGCCCATATGTCGGCCGCATGACGTCGATGTCGGTGCCGTACAAGTAGAGCGCGCCACCGGAGCCATACCTGAAGAAGCTGCAGCTTGAAATGCGTGTTTTTCGCTCGGGAGTCCATACGTACAAAAGCCCAACGGCGCTCGCGCCAGTGATGAAAGGTCTCACGAAGAGACTCGCGGTGCCAGAGCGCTAAGCGTCGCGCCAGGATGGGCGGCGGAAGCGATGCAATGGGCAGCATACGCGGCTCTAGCACACCTTCGTCCAGAGATGTATCGCTCTCCTGCCATTCGGGGGCTGGCGCTGCGGCGGGCACTATCGCAGGCACAGAGGCCAAGGTAGGGGGGCGGCCAAGCGGAGCCTCGCTTTCCTCGCGTGGCTCTTTGCCGGATCCCACGCGGATCGCATCCCACCGTTCGGACCATGTATGTCCACGTACTTGAACAAGTGATAACAGCGTGTTCCATAGCCGAGCCTCGACGGCATGGCGTGCTTCCTGTGGTGTCGCCGTAGGCGAACCAAGCGCCGTCACGACAGGCTGTAACAGGGCAGGCTCATGCTGACACGCTTCAAACGCCGCTTTCAGCTCAGCAAAGCTCGAGGAGCCAGGTGGGACAAGCGCAATGACGCCGTCGAAAAATGACCATTCGGCGTCTTGCAACGCAAACGAAGAGGCTAAGTGCGAGAGACGCGCAGGCGGCGACGACGGCGGCAAGCCGCCACGCGCAGGCGATGTGCCTGCCCCACTCGCATGGAAAAAGAGGGAGGAGGACAACCCTGACGTACTCTCATCGAGGGCGCGGCACGTACTCCATGACGCGTCCAGCGCCATAACGAGTGTCGGAGGCAACACGCCGCCGCGTCTACAAAGACGCGTGAACGACCTCCACATAAGGCAAAACGACAGCATCACCGGCCAGCAGGCCGGTCCTAGGACTCTATGTACCCTATCGTCGACGGCGTGGCTGCACCGTCTCGAACCCATCTTCATCAATTTCTGGCTTCGGCTTGGGCGCAGGTGCGCGAGGCGCTGCCGAGACCGGCTCCATAGGCCGCTCGTCCTGGCTGTAATCGTAGTTGGCCGGCGCATCGATATCTTCAATGTGCTCCTGCGTCGTCGCAGCGACTTTATGGCCACTTGCACGCGAGAACGACGCTTCAAGCTGTTTCAAAAGCTCGTCGCCACGCTCCTCTTCGAAAATGCCCGCGTGCAGCAGGCACACATGCTGAGCGACCATAGCGGCACTATTGTCTTCCAATTCACAGTCGTATTCTTCCATCACGTAGCCTTCAATCAGATCAGTGATGTCATCCAAGTCGGGCTTGGTCGCCTTACCGCCATTGCCGTACTCGTCACACAGATGCGACAAAAGGAACTCGCGTTTCTCTTCCGACTCGGGGCCGCCCCAGTGCTCATTCACAGCCTGCCGCAATGCAGGCCAAAGCATCAAGATAATGTACACGGCGCGTGCAAACTGCAACTGCTCCTTCGTCGGCTCGACCGCGGTGGTCTCGGTGGGCGCAGACATCACGAACGTGTGCCAACGTCAAATACCGTGGATGGGCCACGCACGCCGATTTTTTTTCCTCTTTATTTGGCGTGGAAAAGCACCTGCCCCCGGGTCGCTTCGCATGTGGAGGCCCGTCCGTGGCGAGCGGCGAAAGTCGTTTTAATAAGACTCACGTTCGGCTACGATGGCCAATCTACTCGATCTGCCCCTACCGGCAACCGAGTCAGTGGCACTTCGTGAGCCACTGCTACGCCATCTTCATGATTCCTTTCCCGATATCGATGCGCACATTTTCGAGCGAGATATTGAGGCATGGGCCTTGCTGCGCGAGACCTGCATCCATGCGTCGAGTGCTACATCGTCCTTGTCGTCATGGTACCAATACGCTACGCAGCTGACATTTTTACTGCGTATACTGGGTGAGCAGGTGGGAGTTGCATTCCCATGGTCGCACGATAGTAGTACATCCTCGCTGCAGCGTGATCCACGCTTGGCGTGGGAGTATACACATGTGCACCTCCGTATTGCCGCTGCCTATGCACAGGGCGGCGCCTCCGAGTCCCGTGGGACAGTCGATAGCGTGAAGCGAGCGGCCCACCATTTCCAGCTTGCGGCGGGGTGTCTCACAGCAGCGCAACCCATGGCCGTGGCAGAGTATGGCGCTTTGTTCACGTGCTATAGCGCGTTGATGCTCGCGCAGGCACAAGAATGCTTTTGGCAAAAAGCTGTGCAAGGTACGTTCAATCGGACTATTGACACCAGATGGGCTTAAGGATACCACCATTGCCAAGCTCTCACGCAGCGTGTCAGATCTGTACGCGAGTTGCGTAGCCTCTGCGTCGCTGGCGTCCGCGTACCTGCCACGTGGGTGGATCCACCACATGGAGTACAAGCAGCATCACTTTGCGGCCGCGGCCGAGTACCGTAAGAGCTGTGATGATCTGGCGCAGCGAAGGTACGCTGATGAACTGGCGCGATTGCATGCAGCTGCTGCCTCCGTGCAGCGCGCACGCCAACTGCCCGCACGTACGCTGCCTCTGCCTGCGATTGTGAAGGATTTGGAGCCGTTGCAGCGCATTATCGATACCAACCTTGCACGTGCGGAACGAGACAATGAGCTCATATACCTGCAAGTCCCGACAAGTGCAAGTCAGCTGCCACCCATCGGCACAGCCGTTCTCGTAAAAGACACACGTCCTCCGGAGCTTGGGGAGGCTTCGAAGACCGACGACAGTGCTACGCCGTACTGGTTTGTACGGCTTATCACCTATGGCATTGACGTGGCTGTGCGTCTGTACAAGGACCGCCAAGCGCAATTCCTCCTTACGACGCTTGAGCCGCTGGCCATGGAGAAAGACACAGCGCTGAGTGAACAGCTGCAGTCGATGCATGTCACCGAGACCTTGGACCGCATTGAGTCGCCCCGCCGTATGCCGGAACGGTGGCAATCGTATATGGATGTGCTGTCAGCGCACCCCGTCACAGAAGTCGAGCACCGTTTGCGGCAAGTCGAGGATCTCGGATCGCTGTGCAGCGACTTGCTTCATGAAGTCGAGTCACTACTTTGGACTCCACCTGTGCCATCTCATGCCACGTCTCTCCAAACGCTCTGGAAGGAGTACGAACGCACAATGGGACAGGCCTCCGTTAGTGATGCCGACGTACGCGCCAAGCTGCAGCCGGCGCTCCCTGTGCTGCGCAAACTAGCGCAAGGACGCACAGCGCTGCATGAGTGGCTCAACGCGGTAGCGCTGCCTTTGGAACGCGAACGCACCGCCTGCGCCTTGGACCTACGTGCCTTACGTCGCGCATGTGAAAAGGCCGACGATATCAAGGCGCAAAGCCGAGAGATTGTGTGGCGAGCACGCGCACAAGCGGATACGGATGACATCCGGCAGCGATTGCTAGACGTCGCACGCGAGCGGCATTTGGTCGAGCCGACAACGACAAGTGCACGGCGCGTCGATCCTGCGGCCCTAGACGATGTACTGCAAGAGGCCATGGCCAAGTACGATGTGTACCTAGACGAGATGCGGCACCATGGCGAGAGGCAGGCGGAAGTCCTGGCCGAGATCCGGCGCGCACATACGAAACTGCTACGACACGCCGCTTTAGCCGAGGCGCTCGATGCCCAAGCAGCCGCTTGGCAGCACATCGATGAGGCCTACGATACGTGGCGCGATGTGTGTACGCATGCAGAAGAAGGCTATGCGTTCTACGAGCAGCTTTTCTCAATGCTGCAGCAGCTACGTAGCGACGCTGCAGCGCTGCGTGGTGGCACCTGGGAAGGCGGTGTCATCCAGTTTGCCTAGGGTATACATAGATGGTTACAGAGACAGTGAGGCCTGCAGCGTCCACGCCGTCCAGGGCGGGTGTGCGTGCAAACACAGCGTCACAGGATCGCGCACCGCCGCAGGGTACTCCTGCAGACGCTGCGCCACACGGAACGCCGCATCGGAGGTGTGCCAAGGCCGCTCACCGAGCCATGCCTCCCAGAACGCCTCGGGCGTGAGCTCAAAGACGCGCGGCGTAAACAGGTCCACAGCATGGCGTACGTGCACAGGCGAAGCTCGCACAAGCTGCGCAGCGTACTCCCGCACCGATACAAGCTGCTGCAGCGCCGCTTCACACTGCGCTGCATCGACAGTGATAGTCTGGCTGGGCTCGCGTTCCTGGTCGATGGCTTCGAGCCATGCAGCTGGCGTCACGGACGCAAGCCAGTCTACCACCAGGCACAGGCCGGCCAGCACCTCATGGCATAGGTGAGCAGCAGCAGGGAGGACTAGCACTTCCAGCAGCGGATCCGAGGGAATGTGACGTGACTCCGCGCCGGGGATCCCACACTGCCAACCAACACACACACACTGCTGAAGCCAGAACAGTGTAAGCTGCAACGCATGCAACAGCTGCCATACTTTGGACGGCGCAAACGATACACGCTGCGCGGACGAGGACGTGAGGAGGAGATGGACAAATCGCGCATTGGTACAGTCCGTCCGAGCGGCACTCAGTACGCGGTGCACATGTGCCAGCGCAGCAAGCCTATGTGTCCGCTCAAACACGCGGACCATGGGCGCGTCATGCGCATCACTCGTCAGGGCCAGGACCATCGGCAGCATGTGAACGACTTGGGCTAGCGTGGGGATAGGCCGCTGCGGCGTACTGAACGCCAGCGCCTCCGATACCCCTTGCATCAATGCAATCAGGGACGCGCACGTCCACGGCGACGTATGCATGCGTACCACGTGAGCCACATCGGTCGCTGACGTGCCACGTAGAGCGCTAAGCGCCAGCAAACGACCGGACGTACGTGGATCTGTAGTCGGAGCGAGCAGCGGTAGAGCCATGCAGGCCATGTCGCCTGCAGGCCATGTCATCATCGCCGCTAGCACGCCATTGGGCGACAAGGCCATGGCAGAGCGATGGCGTGTAGACGGCGATAAAGGGGGGACATTCGCTTGCCGAGTCCATGTAAGCGATACAGGATCCACTGTCCCCCACACTTCAAGGCCAGGGGCTTGACAGTCCCATGCTGTGGCCCAGCTTGTTTGTGCGATCGGCAACGTCGAGCTGGGCGAGAGGAGCGTCGTAACGACATGCCCCGCGACCCAGCTCGCTTTCCGCAGCACCATTTTCCAGGGACGCAACGTAGCCTCCTCCTCTTCCTCCTGTATCGCTGACGCACTTGGCGTACGCGTAAACGACGCTGCTAAAAGATCTGTGCGTGATTCGGCTTGTCGTCGTACATCCCATGCCAGCAGTACGGAGCCCGACATGGGCCGATGCGCTTGCACTACATCCGGCCACGACGCAAACACCAACAGACTAGCCCAAAGTTCCAGTGTGTTGGCCTCTGTGCAGGTCCACGTCAGTGTAAGAGGAGGGCAGGCGGTTTGAAGTGGCGGAAGAAGCGACGCTACGCCGTCCATGGACGCCACATCCAGAGGGACAGAGGGGCATGGCTCAATTGCATAGAAGGACATCTCGCCGTCCAACTGACAATGAAGCTCCGTCCAATGCAGACATGGTGTTGTAACAGAGCGAGGGTTCACCATGTACGCTACAAGGATCACAGGCTCACTCGGTACCAATGTCATACTCACATGTCGTACATCCAACAGCGTCGTACGTGAAGGGCTATGCTCTGCGACATGATCCAAGGTCGGAGGCGGAGGCTGGATACTCGGCTGATCAAGCCATGCTGTATGCATGCGAAAAGAGGGCAGGAAGGACGAGGAGAGACCAACACCGAATCGATGCAAAAACGCCACTTGCCCGGCTCGCGTTACAAGGACGCAGGCCTGCTCCGTTTGTATCGCCTCCAGTGGCCAGCTAGGTTGAGGCATGAGCACTGAGGGACCACAGGCGGGCAGACGTGTATAAGTACCTTCTTTGTCTTTCCAACGCCGTGGCTCACCAATCCATGCGATGTCCAGTACGTCGTCCAGCAGCATAGACGTTGTCGTAGCAGGCGCCACGAGATCGTCAGACACAGGCTGAACAGGAAACCATTGGCCTAGGGACCACTGGTCCACCGGAGCATGCTCGGCTCGTGTCCATATGCAGAGCACACCTTGATGATTCGAAACGGGAGGCGACGTTGCATGCAAGGAGAACGACTCGCCTTGAGACGTACTACCGGGTGTGCCAGGCAGCGGCGTGATGGAGGGCGAGGCAGTTCCATTGGGCGTAGGACCTTGTACGGGCGTAAACGTAGGTAGGGAGCTAGATGTCAAGGTGGGTGTCGAAGCGCTAGTGGCTGCAACGGGTATCGGATGGCCGGCGGGCGCTGGCATGGACGTCGAGGCAGACGACAGCATCGCTAGCGAAGGAGGCATAGTCGTGCTGGTATCCTTGTCATTCGACATGCTGGGAATTGCAGGGAAGTAGGCCAAAAGGGTATGGCCACAAGGACTAAAACTGACCAGGGTCGGCGCCCCAAGAACACTGGGTGGATGGCCAGAAGGCGTCATGGACATGACGCGCGCAGGGGGGACAAGGCGTGCTAGGACACGCCCACGCAGGCCCTGCCCTGCCTCTGCCGCAAGTGTAACACATACATTGTCATTGAATTGTGACCCATACGCCAGGATATTCTGACGTGACCACGCCACGGATCTGACACAATGAGCAGCCAAAGACGACCTACCTCTCCGAAGCAACGGCACCGTCCATCCACGCATGCATGAAAGTATGCATGGCTGCAGGATCCACAAGTGCACCAGGGGCGCTGGACCGCCGACGTGGGCGGCTTGGTGCGTCCATCCTGGCTGCGCCACTACGCTCGTGGACTAAGCGTGTCGAACTCCACTCACGCACCAGAGCCGGTGCACTTGCCATGCATGCACGAACGCACGCACGCCGCCGCCGCTTCGCGAAGGGTCAAGTCACATGACCTAGAAGGACAGCGCGTCGGCCAACACATCCACACTTTGAGTCGGACTTCCCATTGCAGACATTGTGACGATGGCCGGCTCTCGTACTGCCACAGCTGCTGTGAGGCGGCTTATGATCGAGTACAAGCAGCTTACAAGCGACCCTAATACGCTGTTCCCTGCGGTCGGCCCGATTTCAGAGGACAACTACCTTGAATGGGAAGCCCTACTGCCGGGCCCTGACGATACGCCGTACGAAGGCGGCGTGTTTAGTGCTCGACTCTCGTTCCGTACGTATGGTGTTATTAACATGGCAGCACCTACATACCCGCTAGAACCGCCCAAAATGCGCTTTGATCCGCCACTGTTCCATCCGAATGGTACGTATATGGCATCTCACCTCCAGTGTACCCCGATGGCCTGGTGTGCATTAGCATCCTGCATGCAGCAGGGGATGACCCGAATAGTACGTATGCCTACTTCTCACACGTCAGTGTATGAGACATCCGCGGAGCGATGGTCGCCCGTGCAGTCGATCGAAAAAATCCTGCTCTCGGTGCTCAGCATGCTGGCCGAGCCTAATGTCGAGAGTGGCGCGAACATCGATGCTTGCGTATGTATACACTGAATTAACGTCAGAAACTGTACCGCGACAACCGAGCGGCCTACGAAAAGAAGATTCGCGATGAGGTGAAGGAGCAACTGGGTTTGTAGGAAGTAGGATAGGCGGAAGCACAAACCAGGACGCTGTGCTCCTTAGTACCGCCAAATCTTCACATTGCGATCACGACCACCACTTGCTAGTTTGTCGGCCAGGAAGTCGACACAGTACACTTCGTCCTCGTGGCCTGGCAAATCGACTTTGATCTTGAACGTCTTCAAGTTCCACAGCTTGATGGTGGAATCTTTCGAAGCGCTGGCTAGCATGCGGCTATCGCTACTCCATGCAACGCGGTACACACTCGCCACATGGCCGCGCAAATTCGCAATAAACTTGCCCGTCCGGCCATCCCATAGCTTGACACTATTGTCAAACGAGGCTGAGGCAAGCATACGTCCATCAGGGGAGAAGCTCACATGGTTCACCGTCTTTTGGTGACCTGTTAATCGCGCAATGCTCTTCTTGGGTGTGGCTGACGTGCCACCGATTTGAGGTGGCCACATAAAGAGGGTATGATCGTCCGAGGCTGACACGAGCATTTCAGCGTGGGCACCATTCGCAGTGGCCTCTGCGTATCGCTCTAAGGCGGCCGCGGCGGCCGCGGCGTCCTGATCTGCATCCGGGTTTTTGAGCAGTGACGCAAGGTAGTGCCCTTGCACATCGAAAGGCCCAGTGCGAAGGACATAGTCAGTCGATAACGTGAGCGAGTTGACCCAGTGGGAATGCTCATTCAGCGTACGAATCAAGCGGCCATCTTGGTCGTTCCATACTTTGATCGTACGATCCGACGATGCCGTGTAAATCGCACCATCGCCACCCCAACGCACAGCATTGACACTGGCTGTATGACCGCCAAGCACAAAATCGACTTGGCGTGCGTCGACGTTCCAGACACGCACAGTGCCATCTTTCGATGAACTGGCAAGGCGTGGCGAGCGTGCATCCCGATGAATCGGCTCCCACGATAGACTCGTGATCCACTTCGTATGGCCGCGCAGCATATGACCACGCGGCGCTGCGTGTCGAGCGGCACGCCGTTGTGCCACCGTCATTTTCTGTGGCGCGCTCCCTGGCGCCTGGGCACTCTGCTGCTCCGCCTCGACTTGCTCACTCGATCGTGAGCCCCATCCACGACGGCCTGGGAGCGGCGGCGTAAGCGCATCCCAAATCCACACTTGGCCATCCATACCACCAGTCGCCAACTTCCGCTCACGAGGCTCCCATTCCACACAAAGAACCCAGCCATCGTGCCCTTGCAGCGTATGCATGGGTGTCTCCGTATCCATATCCCATAGACGGCACACCTTGTCACCTGCCCCCGTAGCGAGCAATTGACCACTCGGACTAAAGGCACAGCACAGAATCGGAGAGCCATGACCGGCCAATGTGCTAGAGCATCGCGTCACAGCACGAACGCGAAACACAGCCTGAGGCTCAAAAACAATCGTCAGGCTATCTTCTGCACTGATACCGAGCTGCTTAGCAACGGACGATGTGAGCACGTCATCGTGAATACTTGTGTTGATGTTGATCCGTGTGGGCTGTGAAGTGGGTGCATCGGCCTTGTTTAGAAGGACATGGAATGTGTACGGCACGTCTTCGTCGTCCTCATCGTCCCTTTTTTCTTTCTGTCGCAGCTGACGACGAAGCTCGTTGACCAACTTGGCCATCTCCGCCTGGCCAGCGCCGGCGGGGAGACTCAGGGTGGGGCCGAGAAAAGAATCGTCTTGCCCCGACTGAAACTGGACAAGCACACTGGACATGGTCGCATTGAGGAGACCACTCGAAGATAGCTCTTCATTCGCGCGTTGCTCCGCCTGTGCGGCCAGACGCTGCCGCTTCGCCGACGGTTTCGGCACCTGCGTGGCCATTGCTCGTCAAGCGTCGTTCCACGAAAATTTTTGAGTGGAGGTGCACTCCACGTGATGGAAAGATTTTTTTGGCGCAGGCCCTCTCTTCCTGTCCTCAATGATGGCGGACGCCGCGGACTCGCCGCCCTCGCAAGGGGCGTATAAGGCACGTAGGCGCATATGGCTAACGCTCTAGGTCTCTCTTCTAGCGCATGATGAGGCGTTTAGCCGTCTTTTGAAGTTGATTCCAGCGAAGTTTTACGTGCCAGCGGCACACGACGAAGTGATCGACTCCAAGTACCAAAAGAACAAACGTACCAAGAGCCAGAAACAGAAGGAGGCAGAAGAACGAAAGTTAATGACCAAATCGTCAAAGCGATCTAAGGTGTGTGCGTGGTCCTACTTACGCAGCTTGATCCCGACAATGCAAAGAGCATTGAAGACGTGCAAGCGGAGCGACGTGCCGATATGGACCTCGAGTTCGAGATGGACGACAATGAGAGCAATGAGGAAGAAGAAGAGGACAGTGTAGATATCGAAACGGAAGATGCCGATGATGTACATGAGGAGAAGGAAGAAGCAGATCAGACGTCAACGACCCAACCAACGCGACGAGCGACCATTGCCGAGCTACGAGAACGATTGCATAACAAGATCCAAATGCTGCATAACAAGCGCCATCCACATGATACAACAGCTAAGGATGGGCCAAGTACCAAGGAAGAACTCTTGGAAGCGCGACGAAAACAGCGTGGCGAAATGCGTGATCGTCGTCGACGTGAGCGCAAGGAAGCAAGGAAATTGGCCAAGGCAGGCGTTAAAGGCACAAGCACAGACAAACCTACTCTCGCTGCAGGCAATGCTCGCTCTGCTGGCTTGCTGGTGCATGATGCTAACGGTATGACCATGACGCCTACCAAGTCGGACGACAACCTGGATACGAACCTGTCCTTTAGCCAGGTCTCCTTTGAGACGAGCCATGCGCCTGACCCAGCACGAAAGAATAAGTATGCATTGCCCAAGGACCCTAAGGCGGCGCTAGCCTCCTTGGAAGCTCGCAAGCGAAAAGAGGAAGCGAGGATTCAGAAGCAGATTGAAGGTGGCCAAGATGCGGCGCAAGCCCGGGAAGCTGCGCTCGAGTCGGAGCGGTGGGGCAAGGCCCTGGCGGCTGCCGAGGGCGTTCGCATTCGCGATAATGTGCATATGCTCAAGCAGACGATTAAGCGTCGTGAGAAGTCGAAAGAAAAGAGTACAAAGACATGGTATGTACCAAGGCCCTGGGAAACAACACTGACTACGATAGGAATGACAGGCGACGTGCCGAGCAAGAGGCGCAAGCCGCTAAGCAGAAGAAGCGTATGGAAAACTTGGCTGCCCGCCGTGATGCCAAAAAGACAGGCGGCAAGCCCAAGAAGCCTGCAGGCAAGCCTGCCAACAAGGCACGCCCTGGATTCGAAGGTAGTGCGCGTGGATTTGGCGGTGATCACCGCAAGGCCGGCGGCGCCTCGCGGCCTGCGAAGCGATGATTGTTGTCGGCCGAAGTGGAGTAGGAGGGTGATGTATGTGTGTAGTAGACGACAGACGCGTCGCGTAAGCCGTATTATTGTGTATACCAACAGCGCCCATATCATGTCGACATCCAATCACGACGACGTTGGGGTCAAGGCAGAGACAACGACGCCCGTGTTTCAAAATCCGTACGAGGGCCATAGGAGCTTGTCGGCCTCAGAGCAGCAAGTGCTGGGCGAGTATGCCCGCCTAGCAGCAACGCTGCGTCGCGTACGTATGACGCATGTCACTCACACATGATAAGGTAGCGAATCTCAGCACGCAGCTATCATCCAGTGCACTTCATACCGATGTCCTCAATGAGCTACGTGCGATTGAGCGCAAGATGGGGCTGGTGCTTACTCTCTTCAAAGCGAGTGTGTGGGCGATTGTGATGCAACAAACGGATGGCGAGGAAGATGCAGAGGACATGGGCCAGGAGGCAGATGTTATGCCTTATGATACCATTGCAGAGGAGCCTGAGGAAGATGAGGTGGACGTGGAACCTGCTGCCCGCGCAGCGCGTGTGTCACGATGGCAATAATCTTGTATAGTATGTACGTTCTATAGACACGACGACTAGCGCTGGCCGCTGTGTAAACGACCCAGCTGGCTACCTCACTGGGACCACGACACGTGTAGACGCTGTCCTGCTCTCTTCACCGAGTGAGCCAAGGAAGCGAGCGTGTCGTAGCCTGGCCCGCACGTGATATGCCATGTGTCTACTCCACCTGGCACATTGGCGGCAGTGGCAGCTGCGGCACTTTTTCCCTGGCCACAGTCCGTCACGCCGTGATCGTATGCCTCATCTCGAAGTGAAGGTAGGACCCGACCGTTTCCATATGGAACCGTGTCGGGTCAATGATATGAAGCATCCTCATGAAATTAACACGGATCACTTTGTGGGACGTGTGCTTGTGCGCATCATTGACGCGCCAGGCGCGAAGCAGGGCGAACCGGGACGTGAGTACTTCCGTGATCGCACACGTCGCTTTTGTATCCAAATTGAAGGGCGGTTCAAGCAGCAGTGGTCAGGCGATGATATTCTGTTCGGCTCAGACTTTGATAAGTTTGTGCCGTTCCCTCGGGCGCCCTTCAATGCCGGTATGCGTGTAGCACGCATGATTGACCCATGCACGTTTTACGAAGAGCATCCACCATCTGGCCGTCCCTATATCATGTCGCCCTATACGGCATGTATGAATGTATTCTGTGCATGGCCTGCACCGTCACGTCTGGACGACGCTGTCGTCGTTGCGCATGACAATGGCGTGACGCCCAGCTTGGCCATCGAGCATGAAAACGATGGCGGAGTCGTGCCTGTGGAGCATGTAACGGCCCCGCAAGAAGGCCGATCTGAAAAGAAGGGCGGGTGGCTCTCCTCGCTGCGCCACCCTGCGAAAGACGATCGTGTGACGGCACCGTACTGGCGCTTTATTGGTTTCCGGAACGACGAGCGTGTACGTGCGTATGTCGCGATGCATCCGCCCAACAAGCCGGCGGCAACGCCTACCACGCCAGCACCTGTGCGTCCTGTGCCTGTGCATCCTGTGCCTGTGCACCCAACACCCCGCGCTGGTGTGCCGCAGTACATGCAAGGCATCGACACCAAGATGATGAGTACGCTTGGCTCCAGCAAGAAAGCGGATATGATTTTGGGCCATCACCATATGGACCGGCCTGGCACGCCCCAGTTGCCTGTGTTTATGGCGTCGAATTTGCAGGTGAATACGGGCCAGGAGTACACGATCGGTTCGCCGGGTCTCACGCACCCGGTGGCACCGACAGCGCAACCTGGGAAAAACGACCTCATGGAAGCGTATGCGCGGACCGGGATGACGCCGAGCCCTGCTCTGTCTCTCTCGCAGTCGTCCTCGCTCGATGAGTGGCTCGGTCCGTGGCGCTTTGGGGACCCAGGCGCGGATATGGTGGAAGACAATGCCTTTATTTTCACCGAAGAAAGTGTCTCTGTACCGAAACGGCGGAAGCACTTTGCCAACGATGCGAACCGGAAGAACTTTACGTACCATCCTGACGTCGTGTATGGTGCGTCGTTCTTCTCCAACCTGTTCGACTTTAACACGTTTGACCTGAACATCGGTCCTGTACACATTAATGTGAACCCATTCTTCCGCGATATGCCTATTCGCTACACACTTCGCTCCAAGACTAATGAAGAAATTGTGTTCTGTACTATTTCATTCCAACTTGTCGATTGAGTCATCACTCCTCAGGCAAGACAGGCATGATAGCAGCCTGCCCTGGCTCTACCTCATACTCTGCCGAAGGGAAGAGCCAGATGTGGGGCGCGTCCTGCGCCTGCTGCGGATCTACCGTATCCTCAGGCTTCTTCGAGTCCTCCCACGGCCAGCCCAGACGCTGACACAAGTACCCTACAATGGGATCAGAATCGCCCAATAACATAACATCTGTAGCCATATGTGTAATTGGTGTACGATTAATCAAAACGGTAGGCACCGACGACGGTAAGTGCCTCAGCAAGTCAGCCACCGGCGCGACTTTGAGCGATGTGCCCATCACGAGAATCAAGTCCACCTCGTTGCGATCGGCCCATACACACTTTTCAAATGCATCAGGCAACTTTTCGCCAAAAAACGTAATGTCAGGCTTCATCACGCCGTACGCCAACCCGTCGTCTTCGTCCTCGTCCGAGTCGCTTGCATGGGAGAGTTTGCGACGTTTTTGCCTTTGCCGAGCCTCTTCACGCCGTTTTTCGCATCGTGGACACAGCGGCACTCGCTTCGCCATAATATCTTCACGAATCACACGTCCATCGACATGGTAGCCGCATTGTGGGTCCGTACACGTCGCTGTCGAGAACGAGCCATGGCATTGGATCACACGCTCAATACCGGCTTTCTGCTCGAGTGTATCGATGTTCTGTGAGTACATGCGCAGCAGCTTGCCACGCTGTTCCAGCATGCGCACGAATCTGTGGGAAGGGGATGGCTCATAGTTGGCCGGGTAAATGGAGTGACTGGTATGAGAAAGACAGAGACGTACGCAAACGAGAAGAACAGGGACGGATCCCGTAGAAATGTTTCCTTGTCAAACATGTCGGACGGATCATCTAGATCATACTTGTCCTCCGCTGCCAGAATGGCATAGATACCGTCCTGCGGTAAGTATAAGAGTAGGACGTACTTTGGAGCTAAGGTCAGTCATCGTCGACGTACCGAAAATCAGGGATGCCACAGGAGACACTAATGCCAGCGCCGCAGAGCACGACAATCTTTTTGCTCTTGGTCAGCAAGTCCAAAACATCGTCCACAGTATTGTACTGAGGTAGTTTCTGCCGTTGTCGAAGGCTGTGTAAGTGGGAAAATGACCTACATTCGCGTCAGCACCATCTTGAGAATGGGAAGGAGAGAGTACGGCGCATCTTCCGCCGCAACGATCATAGAGCGTGGCTAGAATAAGTTAAAATACACGTACCAGCGTGACCCCTAGCGATAGCAGCAAGGATAGGATCTAGGGTGAGTCCATAGACGAACGACATACCATGGAGGGGGCAGGGACAATATGACGGCGGAGGCACTCCATGAGCCCGTACTTCCGTAAATCACTCAGCACTTCACTGACGTGCTCCTTTGATAGAGGGCCAAACTCATAGGAGACCATATCAGTCGAGCTTGCCTCCTCTTCGTCCGATGAGCTGGCGCTAACAGGAGAAGAGGCCGGCTCGGCGATCGCGTTGTTGTCGTGTGCCTCTTCCTCGTTCTCTCGCTGAAGCTCTTCCATCATCTCCCGCTCCGCTTCTTCTTCCAGATCATCCAGGGTATCGGAATCAATCTCGTCGTCCATATCAATCAGCGCTTGCAGCGCAGCTGTCTCGGACGCGCTCTCCATATCATATGGTAATCGCGTGAGAGTACAGAGGTGGAGGTCAAACACACAAACGCCTCCACGTGAGGCGGAGAGCGCGACACGTACGTTGCTTTGTAACGACATCGTACATGGGGAAGCAGACCGGACGTGGACGTGGCCGTGGTGGCACGTTTCCCGGCCGTGGACGTGGACGGGGCAGAGGTCGTGGCCGCGGGCATGGCCGTGGCCCTACTGCGCCTAGGATGGAAATACCCGACTTGACCTCGCTGTCCCTCACCAGCGCCGCAGAACAGCGGGGCAGCCGTGGCCGTGGCCGTGGACATGCGCACCGTGGCTTAGGGTTTTCGCGCGGACGTGGTGGTGCGCTCGCTGTGACTTCGCAAAACCGTGTTCCCTTTGACTATAATGCGAAGCGCCCTAAAGTTCCGATCCCAGAAGCAATAGAGGAGCAGGACATGGAGGAAGACGAGGGAAGTGGCGTGTATGCTCATCTGGACAACGCATTGAGTCCTCCAGAGAGCGACGAATCGAGTTCGGAGGATGAAGAGGATGTGACCATTGAGCCACACAAGAAGGATGCCAAGAGTATACCCCACAGGCGCAAGCTGGAAGGATTGGTCCTCAACGAATACCAATACGTGGTCGAACGGAAAGCATACGATTTTAAAGCGATGTTGCATCATGTCAATCCACTTCGACGACCGATTCTTTTCGTCAAGTCGTCGGGCGTCTACGACAAAGAATCGATACAGCCGCGAGAACCGACAGAAACGCCACCACCATCCATCGCACCCACGACGATGGAAAGAAAAGGCAAGGAGCCTGTCAAGGGAGTTCCAGCGCCTGCGCAAGACGAGGCTCGCAAGACATTGACAAGGAACAAGAAAAAGAAGGATAAAGTACCTACCCAGGCTACTGTACCTATGCCAGACGGTACTGATGACTTTTTGTCGTTCCGTATGGCCGATCAAATCCTGACAAAGGGACCGCGACATAAGCCGTTGAATGAGCAGGAAGCGATTCTGGCTGATTGGATGGAGAATGCTATGCTGGAAGAGGAAGAGTCCATGACGCCAGTGCCGCTGATTACTGGGATCGCAGATCCATTCGGGGCTCATACCACCTTGGAAGACATTGCGATCGACGCACATGATCGTGAGCAAAAGGCCTGGGAGAGTGAGTCTGAGGAGGACGATGATGATGATGATGATGATGACGACGACGACGACGACGACGAGCTACTCAGATTTGATGAAGACCTGCATGCGTTGATGCTGAATCAGATCGGCAAAGCAGCAGAAGAGGAGGACGAGGAGAGTGAGGTGGACGATGCGCTCTTTGAGCAAATTTTGACCGGGACCTTCACGCGCGAGAGAAATGGCGGTATATCAGACTACGGCCGTGTCTCGAAGAAAAAGAGTACGTATATGTTGACCCTCACACGCGAAGCACGACAGCCACCGGCATTCCAAGACTCCCTCTGGGCAGAGGAGCTGCAAAGCCAATGGGAGAAGGATCGTGCGTCCAAGGCGGAGAAGAAGAAGAAACGTGCCGAGGCGCGTATGGCCGCGGCCTACGATCCGTTCCCCAACACACATGGCCATGTATCGTCGAAGAAGAAGAGCAAGTCGCAGAAGAAGCAGGAGAATCGACAGCGCCGTGCACAGCTACGTATGATGGCGAACGACGAGGAAGGTGGTATGGACGCCTTCTCGGCGCCCGCCTCGTTCGCGCATATTCGTGAGATGATCGAGAGCTTTTTGCAGGACGAGGGACGTACGACGCTGACGCTACCTGCGATGAAAAAGCACGATCGTGCGATGGTGCATAATATGGCGGACGCCTACCAAATCAAGTCGAAGAGCCGTGGGAAGGGCAAAGAGCGTTTCCCGATACTGTACAAGACCTCGCGATCGGGGCAAAATGTGGATCATGCGCGAGTAACGCGGCTTGTACGTACGCCGTTTGGATCGGTCGACGATGAGGCCTTTGAGCATCGTGGCCTCGGCCGCGGTGGGCGGGTCCGTGTTGAGCTGGCCCCTCGGCACCGTGAAGGCTCGCAGGTGGGTGGAGGTGCCAAGCACATTAGTGAGGACAACATTGGACACCAACTCCTACGATCTATGGGATGGTCGATGGGCCAAGGATTGGGTCATTCCGGCGGTCGTGCTGAGCCGGTCCTTGCGACGGTCAAGATGACGCGCAGTGGTCTAGGTATGTAAGAGACACCACTGGTCCCTGCATCCATAGATAATCAATCTCTGCCTACACAGCGTTACAGGGCCCGCGCCCAGAGCCCCGTGCTGTAGTGTAGATTCCACCTCCACATCTACAAGATTCGCCCCCGCGCGACGCGTCCGAGCCAATCACGTGCGCCGCCATAGTGCTGCTGCCACAACAGAGCGGATGCGTGAACGCCCATCTTGCTATTGTCGCTGCGCCATCGCATCACGCACGTACGTGGACGAGATTGACGTCCTCTGCTGATGGATACCTACTCGTACCAGCCCAGCTCTGCGGAGATGGACCGGGCTGGTCATCCATACTTGGACGACCAGCCTGGTGGAGATGCGATGCGGCATGACGAGCCTGATGCATGGCTCCGTAGTGGTTTCTCACTACGCACAGAGCCTCCGCTCCCACCCAATGCGCTGCAGAATGTCATGAATGCGCAGAACCAACTACGAAGCGCGTCAGGCTCCTCGTCTGCGCCCTCGAGCTCGTACGAAGACATGGAGCCTGGCCAGCCAGCGTGGGCGATGCCCGCTGAAGTGCCACTGTTGCCTCACGGTGTGTCGTCCCGTCATTTGGACGACGACGAGGACGAAGAGCAGACGTCCCCTGCGATGGAGCTACGTCGCTTGCCACCTCTTGCCTCGCCGGCCACGTCGCAGATCACACGCCCCCATGGCCGCACGATGCCCCCGATGCCCGCAGACGCGGCCCTGCACATTGCCATGGCCAAAGAGCGCGCAGCCCGAGGCATGGAGAAAGCTATATGCAAGCCCAGCCCCAGCTTCTACCGCGCTGACTCGCCCTCGCGCGTGCCCAGTGGGCCGACGTTGCTGCGTGATCTTACGACGCCCATGTCGGACGCCCCGTCGGAATCGACGGCGCTCGCGCCTGAGACGCCGTCGACGGTGGACGACGAAATTGATCAATTGCCCTCCGTATTTGAGCGCCCACCGACCCCGCACTCGGTCATCCGTCGGTCGCGCGCGCCTGTGCCACATACGCCGAGTCCGCACACGTCTGCAGCCGTAGCCGCGGCGAACATGTCGATGCCCGAGCACCATGTCCCGACGTACCCAAAACACCGCCCACCGCTGCGTCGTACAGTGTCTACGGTAACCATTGTACGGAAGACGACATCACGGCCTACACGGCCCGAGACGCCCAGCTCCGCTACTACCTCGCCGGCGAAGAAGGCGGGGAAGAAAGCCTCGCCTACGCAGGACGTAGAGAAGGAGACGCGGCGCTTGAGTTTGACGGACTGGACAGCCGTTCTGGATTCGTTCGACTCGTTTGAGCCCAGTACACTGGACTTGCTGGGCGATACCTCGGCACAGTCGCGGCGCGATACCGTCACTGCCTCCGCGCAGTTTGTGCGTCAGATGGAACGGCTGCAAACGCAGGACGAGTCGCAGGACACAGTGCTGGTCCATGACGACTCGGCCTCGAGTGAATCGGTGTTTGAGGCGCCGCTGCGTGAGCTCCCGGTGCCACGTCAGCCGGAGCATACGCAGATCCGTGTCGTGGGCCACAGTTTGGACGTGAGTACGCCGTCGCCGTCCAAGACGCGTGCCGTGTCTACGCCAGCAGCGGCTGTCCCTCCCGCGTCGTCCATGGCCCTCTCGCAGGCTGTTCGCTCGCCGCCAGCCGCGCAGGCCCCGCAAGAACCTGAGGCCACGACGCCGTGGGTGCCGCCTGCCGTGCAAGACAAACGACGTCCTGTCCCCCCCGACTCGCCTACGCCGCCGTCCGGTGCCAACATTGAGCCGACCTACCCACGCGCATGGGAGACGAGCACGTCGGAATGGGCCGCCGTGAAGCCAGCGCCGCCCATCACAGCGCCGCCGGTCGCGCCAGTCGCGCCGGCCGCGCCGGCCGTGCCAGCGACCACATCTACGTCCGACGTGCCAGTACCGACGACAAAGTCGGAGGCGACAGGCCTTGCCATGGCATCGGACGCGTCCTCCCCCGCCGCCCCATCCACCGCCGACGTGCCTGCGCAGACGGACCACGCCGATCCGTACGCCTCTGCATACGCGCCTGCCGACGTCGCCAATACACACACGCGAGCGCTCTCTCCTGTCCAGTCGGTGGCCGAGTCGGAAGCGCCGCCGCCGCCATCCAAGGACTCGGTATGGCAGCACACGGCGTTCTGGCGATCAAATGCGCCTCGCGTGCCTTCGTACTTGCGTGAGCTGGAAGAGAAGCCGGCGGATGCGGCGCCAGTGACATCGCAGCCGGTAGCAGAGGCAACGCAGCCTACCGCTCCTGCGACGTCCACACCAGATACGTCGGGTGTATGGGCAGAGCGAATGAAAGCCCCGATGTCGCCCTCGCTGGGATGGGGCGGCTCGCCGACGCCTCCGTCGTCGTTTGTCCGAGCACAGGCATGGTCCATGGCACATGGCCGCAAAGTCGTATTGGCACCCGCGGAGCCCAAGGAGTGGGCGGCCGAGACGCCCACGAGCTCGGCCTCGACGGCGGGGCCAAGGGCTGCTACGGCCGCTGTGGCTACGACAGCGGCAGACAGGTACGAAGAGGCTGCCCTCGATGCGTCTACGATGCCTACGTCCTCGCCGAAGCCTGACGCAGAACAGCGTGAAGATACCGCTGCAGCGCCTACAAATGACGTCCTGCCGCCCGAGATCACCGCGTCCGCGCCTTCCACGATGCCCAGCACGCCAGCAGAGACCTCATCGACGTTCAGCCGCCCAGCGGTGGAGACGCAGGCGCCGGCACCGGCACCGGCACGGCCGCCGGTGATGCCTCACCGGATGCCGCCGCCCAAGCCGCCGACGTGGATCCCGCCGACGGGTATCGAAGGGCCATGGTCGGTGTTTGCGCCGCCAGTAGAGTTCCCGCGCCTCCCTATCCCGCCGCCGCTCGCCCCGGGGCCTGCGCTGGTGCGAGAGGTGCCTACCCCTGAGCCGCCCAGCACCGGCAGCGTGGTGCGGCAGGAGAAGCCCCAGGAGGAGTCTGGGCGTATGAGCCGCCCTGACTCGAATCCGTTCCGTCTGAGTATGGCGAGCAGTCATCGCTCCCGTCCCTCGTCGGCGCTCAGCGACTCGACGCAGGGCGGACGTACAGCGGTGCAGACGGCCGTGCCACAGCTGCCACCACGTCCCGCCGCGGCTGGCACGCCGGACATCTCCATGGTGGCACGTGGCCATCATGATCCCTTGGAGGCGTCGATGCAGAGCGAGCAGCCGCCCGTGCCGCCTGTCGTGACCGAGAGCGTGCCGCCGCCGGCAGAGGCGGCGCCCATGGCCCCAGCACCTGCTTCGCCACCTCGTATGGCCACAGAGAGTGCCAAGCCGCCGCCCACGCCGCCCAAGCCGCCACGTACGTCGCAGGCCCGTACGCCAAGCATGCCGCTGACCGCGGCTGCCCCGGCCTCGCCCCGTATCCAGCAGCAGCCTGGGCAACTAAGTCCGGCGCTCACGCACTTGCCCACCTCGCCGCTATTGCAAATGCTCGGCTCGCCGACGACGATGGCCTCGCCCACGCCTGGCGCACTGGAGCAGTCGCCCACGATGCGATACGAGCAGGCGCCCAGCTCGCCCACGGCGATGCTGGGAGAGCAGGTGCCTGCTCGTATGCTCACGACCAACGCCCCCGCGTCGCCGGCCTGGGAAGGCCAGGAGCGGGAGACAGAGTGGGTCGCGAACAAGATTGGCGCTGCGGCGCTGCTCACAGGCTCGCCCACGACGGCCAATGCCTTCACGCCGGAGATGGACCAATCGTCGTGGCATGCGCCGGGAACGGCGAGGGACCCTGTGCCTGTGCCGCCTGTGCCCAGTACGGTGCCGACGTCGCCTGTGGTGCCACACGTGGAGGAAACGCGGCCTTCAGAGGGAGCGACGCCATCGCGGCCGGAGCCGCCGGCACCTACAGAGATTCGTGTCCCTGGCGCGTACGTCCCCAGCGCCTCGACGCACCGCTCGCCAACAGCGCCGTCCGCGGCGACGATGCCGCCAGCGGCCGTGGACGATCTGAGTAGGAGCGAGACTCCCTCAACGCATGCCATGGGCCCAACTAGTCACGCACGTCCACGCACAGCGCGTGACTACCCAGGCATGCAGCCACAGCACAGTATGATCCCGCCGTTTGAGCTGCAGAACCGATCGCTGACGCTGCCGGCGAACGCGGATCCACGTCGTCCTGGTGGAGGTGTGTGTTTGGAATGCATGATGCGGGATGAGGATATGATAGATGTGACTGTGACAGACACCGCGGTGTGGGAACGCCAGAGTGACGCGGACTTCCAGGAGGCACTGCGCATTGAGCAGGCCTTCTGCTCGCCCGACGACGAGCACAACGACGCCGCCGCGACGCTGTCCCTTGTGCATCCCCGCACGGGCCGGCCCCTGACCTTTGTACCTGTCCGCCACATTCGTCATGGCGATCCGCTCTCGGCAGCCCATTTGCAAGAGTTTACCGCGGCTAACCGCCTGACAAGTGCCGCCAAGGCCCGGAGTATTCAGCTGTTTGTCCTGCAGCAACGCCGCATACTCGGCCTCGATACCGATGGCCAGCGGTCGGCCCTCGCAGCCTTGTCGCCACCTCCCACAGGGCTGACAAGTCCCATGGCCCCTGCTACCTCGACCACAGCTGCAACGGTCGCCCCCACCGTCGCCGCAACAGAAGGTGCGCCGGTAAGTCCCATGGGCGCCTCAGTGCCCATACCGATGTACGCGGCTGGCTCGGCAGGTTCGAGCGGAGCGCCCATGCGCCCCCGCACGCCTACGGGAGGCCAGGCACGCGCAGGTCCCAGCGCGGTACGCAGTCCTGAGCGCGCACGAACGCCACGAGCTCGTACGGACAACCCACGCAAATCGAACGAGACGCCACGACGCGCGCGAACACCAGGTACGAACTCCGCACGAGGCACCGTCCCCGGCACGCCCGAGCGAAGCTTGACGCATGGCACGCCCACACGCTCGCCACGACGCCGGGCTGACGGTACCACGACACCCTCGCGACGAGGCGATTCACGGCCGAGCACCGTGGAAGACTCACCACATCGCGACGGTCCACGGGTACGCCGCTCGGCCGCCGGCTCGCCCACGTCGCCAACGCGCCGCGGCGAACCGGCTACACCCCGCCGGGAAGGCGGCGCGACGACGCCACGCTCCGTGCGTGATACACCGACGTCGCAGCGTCGCGTTCGTACGCCCGGGCGCGCTGCACGCAAAGCGTCGGAAGAACTGCATGCCGCAGCGAACGCTTCCGTCCCATCGAATCACGCGGCGACCACGTCTGCGCCGGCCCTCTCGCCGATCGCCTCGGCGTCGGCGTCGCCCGTGACAGCAGCTGCGCCTCAAACGATGGACAGTGGACCGATGCTCCAAGCAGGCATGCATGAGACGCAGACGCCTGGCAGTGCGACAAGGATCACATCGCCCAGCATCCCACCGCCGGAGCCTGTACCAGTGCCAGAAGCTGTTACCTCGCCGGGCCATGCGGCCACAACAGCCCGGCCTAGTGCCATGGCCACCCTCGTGGCGCCGACCAAGCTGTCTACCGCAGGGGGGCGGCACGCGCCCGCCACCGCAGGCGATACCACGTGGGACACGTCCATGCAAGGCAGTGCGTTCTCGATGGATGATAGCATGGACGACAACCTGAAACGCACGGCCTCGTCGCCCTTGCATCAGCAGCACAATGCTCCGCATCCTTCGCATGGCCAGCCCTTGCGTGGCTTCTTCCGGAAAATTGCAGGCCGGTCCGCGACGGACGACGTGGAGAGTGCACGTCTTCGTAAATCCAAGAATGCCGGTGGGGGGGGACAAGGAAGTCCAGACACGTCGCTGATGGAGGACGACGAGCAGAAATCGTTTTGGAAACGAATCTCACGTTCGCCTAAATCTGCTTCGTTGCACAAGTCAGGCCGACACGTCTCGAGCTCCAAGATGCGGCCACCCCCTCCTGTCCCCCCGCTGCCGAGCGATGCAGCAGCGCCCGTGCCCGAATCCCCGCCCAGATAATATAGTCGTGGCAGATAGTTCATCCCGTCGCGAAAGTCATGTACTTACTTCCCAGCCGTATCCACTGTGCGATAGACCACCACCACCTCCACTTTCCACACACGCACGACCATGTCGATCGAGTTGGACGCTGCCGCCGCGGTGGCTCCGCCCGAGGGTCCCCCGTATGCGACAGACATCGGAGGGAGTGCCCCAGCAATGAATGCGATTCTGCGTCATCCCTATGGTACGTAGTGGCTATGTACTAACGACCTAGCGCATGGCGATATGGCGCCACACGACCCTGCGACGTACGTGCCACCAAGTCGTACTCACTTTCTCTCTCAGATCACAGGCCTTTTTGCAGAACGAATGCCGCGTATTGATTGTAGGCGCAGGTGGCCTTGGCTGTGAAATCCTTGTGAATATGGCGCTCATGGGGTTCCGTGACTTGCATATCATCGATATGGATACGATCGACGTGTCGAATCTCAACCGCCAATTCCTGTTCCGCGAGAAAGATATTGGGCAGCCTAAAGCCACAACTGCCGCATCGTTTGTTATGCAACGTGCCGCCGGCGTCAAGATCACGCCGCATGTCTGTCGTATTCAAGCGAAAGAGCTGGATTTCTACAAACAATTCCACATGATTCTCTGTGGCTTGGATTCCGTCGAAGCACGCCGTTGGATGAATGCGACATTGGTCCATATGGTAGATGAGGCGGATCCACGCTCGCTCATCCCCCTCATTGATGGCGGTACTGAAGGTCTGCGTGGCCAGGCCCGCGTGATCTTGCCGACCATCACCAGCTGCTACGAATGCAGCTTGGATATGCTGCCGAAAAGGCAAACGTACCCGATATGCACGATTGCCAACACGCCACGTCTGCCAGAGCACTGTATTGAGTGGGCTAGCATCCTTGAATGGCCTCGTACGAGGCCAGGCGAGAAATTAGACAAGGACGATCCACAGCACATTCAGTGGGTCATGGAGCATGCGATCGAGCGGGCAAAGCAGCACGGCATCACAGGGATTACGTGGTCTCTCACGCAGGGTGTTGTCAAAAATATCATTCCAGCAATAGCAAGTACAAATGCCATCATCGCAGCGGCATGCACCCAGGAAGCCTTCAAAATCGCTACGTCGACGGCGCCGTACCTGAACAACTACATGATGTACGCGGGCAACGACGGCATGTATACATATACCTTTGAGTACGCCAAACGCGTAGATTGCCCCGTGTGTGGCGGAGAATCACGTACCATCACGCTGGCGTCCACGGATACACTGGCACACTTGGTGGATCTCTTGCGTGACTTGCCAGATATGTACGTCGCATTGCGTGCACAACTTACTAACCGACCAGCCAATGCAAACGGCCTACCATCTCGAGCGAGAAGGGGCCTCTGTACTATGCCGCCCCGCCCGCGCTGGAGGAAGCCACACGCCCCAACCTGGACAAGACCTTGGCCGAGTTGCACTTGCGAGCCGACGACGTAGTGTCCGTGGCGGACCCGGCGTGGCCCTTTGTCCTTTCCGTGGTGTTGGACCTGCTAACACCTCCACATTGAGAAATAGGTCGATTTTTTTTCTTCGTACAGATCACCCCAATGACACCAACGCAGGCACCTAGCTCCGCGCAGTCGGCTGTGCTGATGCGCTCTGAGCCCATGCCGACGGACGCCAAACAGGCCATGGGCCCTCAGTTTGATACGCAGGACCCTCGCGATTTGTTCGGCGTGCTGGACAGCATGGCCACTATGGGGTTTCAAGGGACCTCGGTGGCTGAAGCTGTCCGTATCATTGAGCGTATGGTACGTTGTTGATGTAGAGACTGACCGCAGCGTACTTGGCGTCTGAGTGAAGATCCTGCGTACAACCCAGCGGAGGATGAGAATGCTTCGCTGCCGACAGACGATCCTGCCCACCCCAGCAACGTGCGGTGCACCATTCTTCTGGGATACACGTCGAATCTCATTTCGTCCGGCCTGCGTGAAGTGATCCATTTCCTTGTGAAGCACAAGTATGTCTCAGGTATCGTTACTACGGCTGGCGGCGTCGAAGAGGATTTCATCAAGTGCCTTGGTCCGACCTACCTTGGTAGTTTCCACTTGGATGGCGCTACGCTGCGCAAGCAGGGCATGAACCGGATCGGCAACTTGATTGTACCGAATGACAATTATTGTGCCTTTGAGGATTGGGTGATGCCTATTCTGGACAAGATGCGAGAGGAGCAGGAAACGGCGCCGCCAGAAGACAATGGCGAGCGCTTTGCCTGGTCTCCCAGTCGTGTGATTGAGCGCTTGGGCCATGAGATCAACGATGAGCGTAGCGTATACTACTGGGCCGCGAAGAACAAGATCCCTGTCTTTTGCCCGGCCTTGACAGATGGCTCATTGGGCGATATGATCTATTTCCATACCTACAAAAACCCTGGACTGACCATTGACATCGTGCGTGATATTCGTCGCCTCAATGATATTAGTGTCAAGGCGAAAAAGGCCGGCATCATTATCCTTGGTGGTGGTGTGTGCAAGCACCAAATCGCTAACGCTATGCTGTTCCGCAATGGCGCCGATTTTGGCGTGTACATCAATACCGGCCAGGAGTTTGACGGGTCCGATAGCGGCGCGCGGCCGGACGAGGCTGTGTCGTGGGGCAAGCTCAAAAGTCGTGAGAATGGCGGCGATACCGTGAAAGTATACGCTGACGCTACCATTGTCTTCCCCATCATCGTGGCATCTACGTTTGCCAAGGCGCACTGGGCTGCCAAGCATGTAGCGCCCTCCGTGTAGAGTACCGACCCTATTCCTTCCATCCCTCCACGTTTCCTGGCGTGTGTCGTACCCTCCACTCGTTTCGGCGTGTTGAGCCCCCTCCTCCATGGCCGCACGAAACACGAGCGCAGGTCGTGGCGTGGCCAAAGCGCTGGTCGCCGCTGTGGCTCTAGTAGCGATTGTACTGGGTGCCTTGCCTCTCCTATCACCGCAACTCTTTGTGCCAGAGGAGCACCTGGCTGCTGTGCGTGCGTTCTTTTCGCAGAGCGCGACGGCCCCTGCATGGGACGAAGAGGCTTGGCAGGCTACCACGGCCCCACGCGCCACGACACATACCAACAACTGGGCCGTACTGGTATGTACGTCCAAGTTTTGGTTCAATTATCGCGTATGTACCTACCTTTCTCACTTGTCAGCATATGGCCAATGTTTTGGGCATGTATCGTACCGTCAAGCGCCTTGGTATGCCGGACAGCCATATTATCTTGATGATGGCCGATGATGCCGCCTGCAATGCACGCAATCCATATCCAGGGGCCGTGTGGTCCGCGTCCAACCACGAGCTCGATTTGTACGGTGACGACGTGGAAGTCGACTACCGTGGCTACGAAGTCACAGTTGCGAATTTCCTTCGTCTATTAACGGGCCGCGTACCGGCCCATACGCCGCGGTCGAAACACCTAGAGTCTGATGAACACTCCAATGTATTTTTGTATATGACCGGGCATGGCGGTGATGAGTTCCTCAAGTTCCAAGACTCGGAGGAAGTGAGCGCGCAGGATCTGGGTACGTTTGGCAAAGCTAACCTTCACAGCCGATGCCATTGAGCAGATGTGGGAGAAGCGGCGGTACCATGAGCTTCTCTTCATGATTGATACGTGCCAGGCCAGCACGATGGCTTCGAAGATCTACAGCCCTAATGTCCTTGCCGTGGGCAGCAGCATGAAAGGCCAAAACTCGTACTCGTACAGCGTGGATTACGCTGTAGGTGTGCCATTGATCGATCGATATACGCGTGCTGTACTGGAATACATGGAGAAAGTCACACGGGCCTCGTCCCAAACACTCTACGATCTCCTAGGCAGTTTGGACGTGAAGGAAATTCATTCAGACCCTGTGGTCCGCTCCGACTTGTATCCCCGCCGCTTGGAGGACGTGCGAGTGACCGACTTTTTGGGCTCGGTGGCCCAAGTACAGTTGACATAGATACCGTACCGTGCTATATGCACATTCTACTTGAACTCTTCGGCAGAGCCCGTCTACATACAGTAAGATTCCGCGCACGCTCGCACATACCATGATAAGACCGACTGTGGATGTTAGTTGTGCGTCATTGTACGTACCAATCAAACCAAAAAGACCCAAGATACTGCTGAACACCTGCGTTTGTGAGCATCAGCATGTGTACCTACCTCGACCACGAGGATTTTCACGAACAGTTGTGGGTCAGCTGCGTCGGCGACAGCCGCATTCGCACCGGTAATGCCTACAGACACACCACACACCAAGTTACACAGACCGACCGTCAGACCGCCCCAGAAGAGCGTGAAGCCTGTAAGGTAGTTCTGTGGCGTCCATAACCCATTTACACCGTCTTCCAATCGTCCTGTAATTTTCGCTGAGAAAACGATCGCCATAATCACACCGTAAATCGCGACGACTTCACAGAAAATAATACTAATCAAGTTCTTGGTGGTAATGCGTGGCGCCCGCACACCCGCACCCAGAATCGAGGAGCCGGTAATGAAAATACCCCTAGCTTGTTAGCAGCCTTCATGACGTACCAGCCAGCACCCACGACACTCAGGCCAATGCAGAGGCCAATGCCTGTGTTGGCCCACACGTAGGGGCTTGTCTGTTCAAGGAATGTGCCCACGGCAAATTCACTGCCAGAGCCTGACGTTAGGTGCTTTTCCGATCAAACAAACCTGTCAGGACGAGGTAGCCCGCACCATAGAGGGCGAGAGCTGCTAGCGTTCCCAGCGTGGTATAAGCGACCGCGCCCATGATGTGTAGACGGCGTGAGAGCGCACGCGGAGGTTGTGGCACATCGCCCCGTGCTGACTAAACTGTCTAGCGTCCGTGCGACGACGA